AATAACAATAACAATAACAATAACAATAACAATAACAATAACAATAACAATAACAATAACAATAACAATAACAATAACAATAACAATAACAATAAATTTCAATCCGATCAATCCCAAAAGATCTCCCTTCCTTCTCCTAGTCATGACGATGACGACGATAAAACTATAACTCCTTCAAACAAAAAAAGCTCTTCTGATATTCTAACACACAACTCTTCGGACTCAAACAAAATTAACACCCATCTATCTGATTTAAATGAAAAAAGTCAAAATATTACTCAAAATGATACTCAAAATGATTCTCAACAAGATATTCAAATTCAAAAAACTCTTCTAAATAACAATGATCTTACTAACAACTTGCAAACTCAAGACCAAGAACAGCTAAATCTGCAATCAATTCCACAAAATCCAGATTTAATCATTCAATTTCAACCACAACCAAGATCTTTGTCTCAAGACTCTCAATCTCAAGATTTAAATGATTTTCATGACTCTCATGATGAAGACTTTACTGACGATCTAGATCAACTAGATTTGACTCGAATTCAACCTGGTCAGGTTGTATCTTCGACTGGTTGGTTATTAGAGAACAAACCAGATTATTTAAAACACAGAAAGTGCTTGATTTTGGATCTAGATGAAACTTTAGTCCATTCTTCTTTTAAATTCTCAAGAACTGCCGATTTCGTCATTCCCGTTGAAATTGATGGCCAAATTCACAACGTCTATGTAATCAAAAGACCTGGCGTTGATGAGTTCATGAAAAAAGTAGGTCAATTATATGAAGTAGTGGTCTTTACCGCCTCGGTTTCAAAATATGGTGATCCCGTTATAGATGAACTAGATATTCATAAAAGTGTTCATCACAGATTGTTTAGAGAAAGTTGTTACATGTATGAAGGTAATTACATTAAAAATTTGTCTCAAATTGGTAGATCTTTACAAGAAACAATAATCATCGATAATTCAACTGCCTCTTATATTTTCCACCCCCAACATGCTATTCCAATATCGAGCTGGTTCTCCGATACACATGATAATGAATTGCTAGATTTATTACCATTTTTAGAAGATTTATCAAAAGAAAATGTTAATGATGTTAGCTTGGTTCTTGACGTTAATATCTAATCTTTTTTTCAAAAAAATTCAAAATAAAAAAAAACTAAAACCTAAAGAGATTAACAAAAAACCAATAAAATAACTCCAAAAAAAAGCATTTACAAAATCATTTTTCTTGAATCCTTAATTTCGTTTCTTTCTCCTTTTTTTATCCTATTTATTCTACAATTATTTTTTTTTTGTTCATTAATTTACGATAAAAATTAGTATAACTAAAGGTCATTAATTATTTTCATAATTATAGTTATTTTAACGATCGTGAAAATAACTATAACAAAACTAATGATTTTTGGCTTTTTTAAAATTTCACTTGGTATTTTTCTATCCTTTTCTAAATTTAAATTTATATTTTTATCACTCCTATTATTACTATTACTACTATTATTACTATTATTATTACTATTATTATTTTAATTTTTATTTACTCCTACTTATTTTGAACAATTTCTTTGATCTTTGCTTTGCATTGCTCTGTTTCTTACTGAGTTTTAATTATTTTTGAAACAAAAATTAACTAATCTTCTTTTAATACTTAATTGATTTAAATGATTTTACAATTAAAAATAACAAAGCTGATAAAAAATTCCATTTACTGTCAGTTTTTTTTCTTAATTTTTTTTGTATTGTTATTTAACCTTATGTTGTTTTTTATAATTTTTTTTTTGTCTTGTCTTTTCTTATTTGTTTATTTATTAACGTCAACTACTAACTGAAAGCTTGAATTTCAAAGTTTTATTCTAATTTTTCCCTTTTTTTCTTTCTTTTCTGTGATTTTATAGTTTTCTATTAATAATTCTTTTTTTTTCTGAAATAAAATTTCATTTCGTCAAATTGAAGCGTATTTAAAAATTTAATTATCATACTGATTAGCTGATTAATTTTAATAAATATATTTAAATTATAATTCATTAAAAGATGAAAGTTGAAAGAAGAATTTATAAAACGAAAAATCAAATTTTTTATTGATCATGCTATATATATAAATGGATTGATTTTACTAAAAGTAGCCATTTTTTCTGATTAAACTAGGGGTATTCATCATGTAAAAGTACTTTGCACTTGGTTTAAATTTAGAATCATCATCATTATTAATTTGATTATTGTTTTGAATATTTTCAACTTGAGATCGATTTAGATTAGTTGAAAATTGATTAGAATTATTTGAAGATGAAGAATTCAAGCGATTACTTAGTTTGGACATCAGGGAGGATTGTAAATTGTTGTGTAAAGAGTTGAGATTTATCAAATTATTAATTGAATTATCCTCTTTTTTAGAAGTAATAGAAGAAGAGTAAATCGAGGAAGATTGAAACTGTTTTGATTTTGAGTTGGAATTTAAGTTTTCCTTTATGTTTGAATTGGCATTGGAGGAGTTAGAAGAATTTGATGAAGAGCCTTTTAAAGATTTAGTATTGGAGAAAATTTTATAGGTTTGAAGCTTATTAATTAGTAAATTTTTCAAAAAAATATTAAATAGACCAAAAGCAATATTATAGATAAATAGTAATTGAACTAGTAGGAAAAAGTTTTTAATAAAAAAATTCTTTGATATGAAATAATTAATAAAGTTAAAAGATAATAGGAAATTTTTAAAAATTTTCAAAATAAATATAAAGAAAACATTGATTATGATTCTTTTTATTTCTAATTCAGTTTTGCTATTAGCAATGTTAGAGTCTAAATTGTAATTAAAAGAATTGTTATCTTTGTTGATAGTGTTAATCGAGGAAGGTAAATTCAAAGTAAGATTTTGAATTTGATTTTGATTTTGATTTTTATCTAAATTGTTTCTAGATAATATTTTTTGCTTCAAAGCATCATTTGGAATATATTTTTTATTAAAGTTGAAATTGAAAGAGGACGTCTTTTTATACAAGTCTATTAATGGAGAGTTATTATTGGTATTGTTATCCTGGTTGGTTTTAATAAAAATGTTATCTGCCGTGGTTGTGGGATTGGTAAAATTGTTGTTGTTGCTTTCAGTTAGAGAATTTAAATCATTATTTACAAGTTTATGAATACTGTTTGTCAAGTGCCTGTTTGAAGAATAATCAATGTTAGATTTCCACATTTCGATGAGATTGGTTGTTGAAGTCCAAATGGAGTTGATAGGGATTGTGAGAAAACGATAAAAGTAATATCAGCACTGAAAAAAAGAAACGGTCGTGAATAATAACAAAATTTGCACAAAATAAAATTGACAATACTTATATATCCATCAAATAAAATCCAAAGCTTTTCAACTAGCCTGTGTGGCCAAGTGGTAACAACTATCTGCATGTAACGTGTTTGATCTAAGTTCGATTCACAATTGTAGCTTTGATTGAAAATGCTCAGCATCTCAATCTCACTAACTTCCCGAGTCACGCGACATGTTGCTGTTTGTGTTTATGATCTTATTTTCAATTGCAGATAAATAATCGCACAGGAAGTTTAGTGGGAAATCCTAAAAGGATTTAGAGCTGCTAAGCGGAATAAAAGCAAAAATGAGGTTACTCCAGTCATCAACTCAGATCCTCTGCTTTTTTGATAATCTCACACTGAATAGAGTCGTTTGGGGGTACATTTTCAACGAACATCAAAAATCAGAAAACAATGCTGATTTATCAGAATGTGCACTTTTCACACAGGGCTTTTGGTAAGCCACACGTGAGGAGAGCCTGCAAATGTTTTGGGGTGTAACAGAATCGTGATTTTTCGTTCAGGGAACAACAAAACAGAATTATTGAGAGGTAATCGTTGATTTGGGTTTTGCGCAGCAGATTCACAAAATATCAAACGCACGTTTTAATGTGCTTGGCGCTGCAATGCGCTAAGCAGCCTCCTGTGCACTTGCAGAATGAGTGTTTACTTCCCAAAAACATATTCATCGATTCAAGATAAGCCAACGTGTTGTGATTGGCCAATTATTGTTTTGTACGGTCTAGTGGTGCTTTTCGTTTAATCATTCTGTGAATTGATTGTCAAAATCCCTCTTCCAACACAGAAAAAGCGAGCGTTGGCGACTGTTCCACGATGGAGAAAATGTTATGCCTGAACAAGGAACGACGGCGCTAGTGCTGAGAGGGAGACATCAGAGCTCGCCAATCAGATCGCACACCATCAATGCTCAAGGATTTGATCCAGATCTGACCAGTCTTGCTGAACTATTGTTGTGCTCAGAGAAGAGCTTGGCCATGAGTCACGGTGTGCCCCTAGCGTCTGTTTAGCGTGGTTCTTTTGGTCCCACTCGTATAAGTTATGTCCATTGATACACTCGACATGTTCAGCAGATCCACCTTCTCCAGCAGCAGAAGCAGCAGCAGAAGCAGCAGCAGAAGCAGCAAAAGCGGCAATAAAGCACACAAATATGTTCAATGCTTTATGATATTATTGCATATGGAAAACGAATTCAAAACACTCAAAAACCCAAACAAAAAACAATAGCTTTAACAATTTTGTTTGTTTTGAAAACTCAAAAACTGCATTTTTCCTTCAATCTCAAGTTTGAAGATCATAACCAGATAATTCAGAATTTTAAAAATAACCTTCCAGATCAAATGAGGTTTCACACATTATCTCAGCTATTTTTCTTGTTAATAAGATGTTTTTTTCTTCAGATATTTGCTATATAAGTATTTGCTTTTATCCTATCTCCCCCCATCTCTCTTTGGATTTTTATTTTATTCCTTTGTTTTTTGTTTTTTTTATCTCATTTTACTGATCTTGTTCGTTTTTTCAATATTATTATTTGAGTTTGACCTATTTTTTTGATTCAATAAGTCGCTCAACACTATATCTGATTTAATTTTGTTCAATTCTTTTGGTATCATTATAATTTATCCTCAATTACTCTAAATCTATAATTATCCACCGCTGAAAATGTCTGCTGAAGAGGCTTTACCCTCTGGAATCACCGGTACTGGTACTGGTGGTGATTCTCTTACCGTCGACTTGAATGTCCAATTCAATCGTGCTGATATGGTTTGGATTGGTGTCTCTGGTATTCTAGTTTTTATTATGATTATTCCAGGTGTAGGTTTATTATATTCTGGGCTTGCAAGAAAAAAACACGCCTTGTCTTTGATCTGGGCTGCAATTATGGCAACTTCTTTAGTAGCCTTTCAATGGTTTTTCTGGGGTTATTCTTTAGCTTTTGCCCACGATGGTTCTGAATTCTTAGGCACCCTATCAAATTTTGCTTTAAAAGATGTTCTAGGTGCTCCATCTGCTGCTACAACCGTTCCTGATATCCTTTTTTGCTTCTACCAAGGTATGTTCGCTGCTATCACATCAGCACTTATGTTAGGTGGTGCTTGTGAAAGAGCAAGACTAGGCCCAATGATGGTTTTCTTATTCATCTGGATGACCGTTGTTTACTGTCCTGTTGCCTACTGGACTTGGAACCCCAATGGATGGTTAGCTACTTTAGGTGCTTTGGATTTTGCCGGTGGTGGTCCAGTTCATCAAACATCTGGTATCTCAGCTTTAGCTTATGCCTTAATTTTAGGTAAAAGAAATGACCCAGTTACAGTTAAAGGCGTTCCCAAATACAAACCTCATTCTGTCACTTATTTGGTATTAGGAACTGTTTTTCTTTGGTTCGGTTGGTTTGGCTTCAATGGTGGCTCCACTGGTAATTCAACCATTAGATCTTACTATGCTTGCGTTAACACCCATTTAGCTGCTTCCTGTGCTGCCTTGACCTGGATGTTCATTGACTATTTCAGATCCAACAGAAAATACACAACTGTAGGTTTATGTTGTGGTGCAATTTCCGGTTTAGTTGGTATCACTCCTGCTGCTGGTTTTGTTCCCGTATACTTTGCTGTTCCAATCGGTGTGATAACTGCTACTTGTTGTAACTTTGCTGTTGATATTAAATCCCTTATCGGCATTGACGATGGTATGGATGTTTTTGCTATTCATTGTGTTGGTGGTTTTACTGGCAGTGTATTAACTGGCTTATTCGCTGCTGACTATATTGCTGCAACTGATGGCTCAACTTTCATCGATGGTGGTTGGTTGAATGGCCATTATGTGCAATTAGGTTATCAACTAGCTGCTTGCTGTGCAACTAACTTATGGGGCTTTGTTGTAACCTCAATTATTTTATTGGCAATGGACAGGGTCCCCTTCTTGAAATTGAGATTAAAACCAGAAGAAGAATTCTCTGGTACTGATGGTGCACAAATTGGTGAATGGACCACACAAGATGAGGATGAACAAATCTATATCCCCCAACCAGTAAGAAGTGTTAAATCACACACTTCAAAATCTGCTGCTACTCCAGCTGAAGAAGAAAAAGCTGAATCAGCACATAAGCCAGAATCCCAATAATTCATTTTTTGAATTAAATTTTAAGATGGGTTCTTATTCTTTGGTTATTTTGCTCTTTTTTCTCTTCTTTTTTTGGTTTATTTATCTCTTTATTTTTCTTGTTGGTGCTTGGTTCTTACTTTTTTATTTATCTTTTGATTTTGCTGTTTGAACTAGTTTTATTTTCAATACTATCTAATCTTGTGGCCAGCTCTGCTAAATTTATCAACTTTCTTGCTAATTTATAATGTTCTAATTACTAATATAATGTTTGTATGACTAATAAAATTTTAATTGACAAATATTTTGCTTTTTTTTATTAACAAATAATTTAAAATATTGTTACTAATATATTATTCTTTAAATGTAGATATATTCATTCAATTTTTTTAAGACAACACTCATTCAAAAACACCACAAAAAGAAGATAAAGTAAAACAAAAACAAAAACAAAAAAAAAACAATTTACAAATCTTTACTCTTAAATATATAATAAATTAATATACTTAGGAATTAATGTACTTAGGAATTAAAGTTCTTCATGAAAAAAATATTTTGTTTTCTCATTAGTTTTCTCATTAGCAGCGCTAATATTGTCATCGTTTTTAAAACATGCAATTGGACTGGATATATCAAAATGATATTCACACACTTGAGGCTCTGATACTTGTAGAATTTTGTTTTCAATTCCACATTTAATAGTAGCAACACCCTTCCTAATTGGCCCATTCCAACACTTTGCACCATTTTCAAATGTTAATCTGACTTTTTTTATTTTGCTTAATTTTTTAGCTTCATCATCATAAAACTTTATTGAACCAAAAACGTTTGATTCGTCATTTTCTTCTATTATTTCATAATCGTAATTATACTTCCCAATTCTTGTATTACTACTCTTTCCATTCACTGGTTTTTGATAAATTTCTCCAGTAAAACAAAATTCATAGATATAATCACCAAAAGTTTCTGAAATACATTCATCACTTAACGACCTTAAAATATTGTTTGGACCATACTTCTTATCACTATTTATGATTTCCTTATTATATACCTCATCAATTTCTTTTTGAATATTCTCAACCTCTGTTTTTAGATTGTCAATTTTACTTTTTATTTCAGCTAATTCTGGATTATCTATATCAATTACACCATTTTCATTTTCATTTTCATCAAGCTCAACTTTAGGTTCCTTTTTAGCAATGTTTCGGTTCTTGGTTCCTAAAAATTCTTCGACTATGTTTCTATAATTTTCTTTTAGTTTTTCCAAGAATGATTTCTCTGGAATCAAATCTGTCTGATAAAATTGAGCAGTATCCTTAATATTATCCAATATTGCTTCGTTTTCCTTTTTCTTCTTTAATCTGTTATTTTCATGGATGAGATTAGTGTATAATTCAAAAGTAGAATTAACTACTTTAAAATAATTATCAAGTTCATTTTTCTGATCAAATTGAAGTTTTTCATTATTAGCAAGATATTCTTGATAAGATTTAATCGTTTGTTTGACTACTTCATTGTTGAAATTTGGATTATAGTCATTTAATAAAAGATTTAAGTTGTCTTGAAGTGATTTTATTGAAGCATTAATTTTAGAGATATAATCAGAATAAGTACTAATAAATTCATGATAATTTAAATTAAAAGAATGTTTTATTTTTGAAACTACATCCAATTTATTATTATTTGAGGCACCTAAAATTTGATCGGTAAGATTTTTCAAATTCAAAGTGTTTGCCAAACTAGTTTTCAAATTACTTAAATCACTATTGTTGATATGATTAATAATGTTAAGATTATTTTTAAATTCTTTAAAAGAATCAATTGAATTTTTAACAGCTAAATCATTAATGGATAAATCAAAATTTTTTGATAAATTATTTAAAATATTTTCTAATTTAAAAAAGTTAGAGTATGATAAATGGAAATTATCGTTATAAGTACCAACTAGTTGCAAAAAATTGAGTATAATAGGGTTGAAAACTTTTTCATTTAAACCATTGAGGTCATTGATAAATAGAGAATTTTCATTGTTTTTGTTGGCATTTTCTTCGATTTTTTTGAATTCATTTGTCAAATGAATTAATTGGTTATTTAATCTATTAAATTTAGCTTCGTCTTGACTTAATTTAGATATAATCTCATTTTTCAAATTTAAAGAAGTTTTTTGGTAAATTTCTTTTAAGCTAAGACCCTTGTCATTAAATTTAATAATTTGATTAAAGTAAGATTGATATTTTTCATTCAATTCATTGCATCTATTTGGACAATTGATATTCGAAAAGTATTCATCGGAACCATCACAACAATTCAAGTAATCACAGGTGCCATCATTAACCATGAAGGATGGGATATAAGAAGGTTTAAAACCAACATTTTGACAATAAAATTTACCATTGGAACAAGCCGAAGTTCCGGGTTCATCGCTACCATCTGGACAGTCACAGTAGTTGTCATTAATCTGATCGAAATCAAGCATTATTTCAGAGTTTGACAAACAATGCCATTTATTTCCAGTATCTGGCTCATATAGGTGCTGGTGGGCTGGGGCAACTCCGATTACCTTGGTATTGGCTAATTGATAGAAGAGAAAGGAAGTGAAAAGGAAAATCAAGTGAAAAGCCTTAATCCTGAACATCTTTATTAAATTGACATATATAAAATGTATATGAAAATGGAGCTAACTACGAAAGAGAAGAGAAGAAAGAAGTGTTACAACCATTGAGAGATAAAGAACAGAGTCCAGATATTCCATCCACAGCGATGGTCTATGTTCCAGCATGCCATTTGAACATAAATATACATAAAAGGTATTGACCACCACAATGGATTGAAAAGCCAGAAATGCGTAAAAGTGGAAAAAGTGAAGGAATAGAAGTGAAAGAATAGAAACAAATGAAAACCCCAAGCAAGAAACAAAAACACGAATAAACAAAAAGAAGATAATAATATCGTAAATATTAGTGTAAAGAGTGTTACACAATTAAGACGATGATGATAGTCTTTCAAAGAAAGACTTTTTTAGTTTGACATTAGAATTGATCTTGTGTAGTTTATGAGATGCATTATATTTATATGATTTAACAAAGGTTTTCAATAGGTCATCGATTACATTCACCTTTAGTTGTTTAATTTTCTTTAAGATGAATAACTTCCTTTTATTTAGTATTAAAATATTTCTTTTGATTAGTAATTGCTTCAAATCGCTATAGTTATTATATAATTTCTTGAAGTTTTTGTTTAAAGAATCCTTGATGTTTAGAAACTTTAAAATCTTTAGTTTTGATAAAATGAAAATATTGGAGTAATTTAATGACAAATTCAACGAAATCAAAATATTTTTTTGATATAGTTCAATTGGAGTTGGGATTGAAACACTATTTTTTTGAACATTAGTATTAACAGTACTGAAGTCAAATTTACTTGAGAAAAACTTTTCCAATTTATATCTATTATGTTTGAATTTTAAATATTTGATCAAATTTGAACTTAGGTTATTGATTAAATTATAATAGCATTTATTCGTCCATGAGAATGAGTTCAACTCAGGATAATCTAAATGAATGAGAACATTAAAAATAAGGATATCCAAAGGTAGTTTGGAGATATCAAAACCTGGACAGTTAACTTTAAGTATCAGTTGGCTATTTATATTGTTATTATTGTCGTTTCCATCATTACCATTAAGCATGTAACTATATTTGCAAATGTACTCATCATTATCTTTATACTCTACGCTGTTATTAGCTTTACCAGCAGCTGTCTGGTTGGCAAGATAGGCTCCAGGAGAAGTAACAAGCAGATTCATTGTGTGTCTTAATAGAAGTGGTGTAGCTGAAAGAACAAAACTAAATCATTAAAACGTAATAATATAACTGAAGGAGGTGAGATGAAGAGAAAGATAGATTCCTTAAATACAAAACAGTTTCATCCAGCAATCAGCGATGACTCTGATAGCACTGCTCAAACCTAATCCTCTGCCTCTATCCTGCTCCAACAACCGTCACTGGAGCTCTCGCCTGCTGTCTCTGCTGCCTTTGCTTCTTTCTTTCTTGCCTCTGCTTCTTCCAGGCTCTGCTCCTTTCTTCTTCTGTTCTTCTTCTGCTGCTCCATCTCCATTCTCCTGTCTCCACACTTTGCCCTCGTTTCTGGCCGTTTCTCCCACAAGCATAGGTATTGCACATACACATTTTGCTGTATTTTACAATTGGTATAGATGCGTCCTGGTAACATTGGGGTTTTCTCGCTTTCAACATCTCTGCATTTTCTGTCTCATCAACCGAAAAAGTCACTATTGGCCCAGGAAGATTTCTTTCCTGCTTAATGCTAAATTTTTTTCTTTTAATTACTAATTCTTATCCTGCCATTAGATCTGTAAAGCCATTTACTTGTCGTTCATTTCTGAGGTCTTCACTACATCTAGTCAAACTAAGAATGTCTGTCCACAGATCAAATTCAAGCAGTTCCATTTCTAACTTGCCTGCCACCTTCAATGAACCAGTTCAGCTCGCTATTATTGGTGGTACTGGTCTTTATCATTTGGACTCTTTGACACCTGTTGCAAGACTTACTATTTCGACACCTTGGGGTTTTCCTTCATCTCCTGTTACAATATCTAAAACTGAATCTGGTTTTCCAATTGCCTTTTTAGCTCGTCATGGTTTCCATCATGATTTACTTCCAACTGAGGTTCCAAATCAAGCCAATATCGCTGCCTTGAAATCTTTGGGTGTCAAAGTAATTGTGGCATTTTCTGCCGTTGGTTCATTAAAACAAGAGATCAAACCAAGGGATTTTGTTTTGCCCAACCAGATTATTGATAGAACTAAAGGGATTAGACCATCTACTTTTTTTGAAAAAGGTTTTGTCGCTCATGCTGGATTTGGTGAACCATTCGATCCAAAATTAATCAAGATAATTTCCAAACACCAAGATACTTTGGATAATTCCAAATTACACTACCCAGATTACACCAAGACCAACAACACTAATGACGATGATGTTATCTTAATTTGTATGGAAGGTCCGGCATTTTCAACCAGAGCTGAATCACGATTATACAAATCCTGGGGTGGATCTGTCATTAATATGTCCTGTATTCCTGAATCAAAATTGGCTCGAGAAGCTGAGATTTCTTATCAAATGGTCTGCATGAGCACAGATTATGATGCATGGAATATCAATGAAGAACCTGTTACTGTTGAAACTGTTGTTGGAAATTTAAAGGCAAACAGTGCCAATGCAAACAGATTAGCTACAGCTATAATTCCTTCATTAGAAGAAGCAATCAAATCGAAGCAAGTTGGTAATGATTTGAATGGTGTTGTTAAAATGAGTCTTAGCACCGGCAAAAATGGTATTAAAAAGGAAGTTTTACATAGAATGCATTTTTTATTTCCAGGTTATTGGCCTGCAGATCATTTTTAATTACAGATAGATGTATAAATATATAGATTTATAGATATGTGTAGATATATTTCTAGCTTTCAATTTGAATTTGAATAGAGATTTGAATAGTTGGCAATTTGCGTAAACTGAATTCAGATAAAAATTCCCATCTTTGGATTGGGTTTAGTTGACCATTCCCAGGGATCATTGAATCTTAAATTCTGATCTAAATTGGAGATTAGATTTAATTCTTCTTCAGTCAAGTTAAACTCTTCAGTATTTAAATTTTCAATTAATCTTTCCTTTTTGACAGACTTTGGTATGATTGCAACACCTCTTTGAGTTGCCCATCTTAATAAAATTTGGCCGGCTAATTTTCGATGTTTATTTGATATTTGGATTATTGTATCATGATTGAATAGAGAAGGAGAGTCAACTGCCTTTTTAACATTGAGCTCCAAAAACGATTGTGGACCAAAAGAAGAATAACCAACAACTTTAATATTGTAAACTTTACAATATTCAATCAATCTTTGTTGAACTAAATAAGGGTGGTGCTCGATTTGTAAAAGAGCAGGTTTGATACAAGCAGATTTGATTAAATCTTCAATGAGAACACCAGTGAAATTTGAGATGCCTAGCGATTTGATTAAACCTTGGTCAACCAAATTTTCTAAAGCCCTCCAAGTGTCTAGAACTGGAATATTTTCAAACTCAAAATCTCCATTTTCATTTCCACAATAAAATCCTGGAGGGTATTTTTCTTCAAATGGAACAAATTTAAAAGAGATTGGAAAATGAATATAATAGACATCTAAATAGGATAAGTTCAAATCATTTAAAGTTTTTAGGAGAGCCTTTTTGACATTTTTGGGATCATGATAATTATTCCATAATTTTGAAACAATCGTTAAATCTTCTCTTTTAACAACTCCTTCATCAATTGCTTTTTTAATTCCCTGACCAACCTCTTTTTCATTCCCATAATCACAGGCACCATCGAATAATCTATAACCAATTTTAATTGCTTCGTAGACAGTCGAAGCGCAAACATCATTAGGAATTTTCCAGCAACCAAGACCAATTAATGGAATTTTGATCCCGTTATTTAAAGTGATTAAAGAAGAAACCATTTTTTTTAGATATGGTAATAAAACTGTAGATCTATTTAATGATCGGAGAGCCAGGAAGAATCGTATTCAGAGTAATTAATTGATGAACAGAGGGGATTAATTCAGTATAATTAATTCTTATGGCTAGTCAATTCACACCTTCTGAACTAAAATTAAACAAGGAAATTTCGACTTTTATGTAGAGAAAACCCTGAGACTTCCACACATTTGAGGTGAGCTAATCATGTGCAATGAGATAAGGAAGACGAAAAGGGCAGAGAGAAGGAGGGACCTGAAATGTTGTGGCCTTGGATAACTGATATTCGTCCGTTCGTTACGAGCTAATACACTTTCGAGCATATTCGTTCTGGTCGTTCAAATCCGGATGCAACATTCGATTCAATTAACTACTCTCTGATTTAATTGGTTAATTTCGGAAGCCTTTGGTGAACTATCAAGTTCCTCTTCGTTATCACTTTCAGTGTTCTTGACATGAATGGTCAGCTTCACAATCGTCGAAGGAAGGATAGGGATTTCTTCTGGTGCTCATGACTTAGTAGACTTCTCTCTCCTTTTCCTTTCTTGTTTCATTTTATTTCTATCTAGCTATCTAGTGATTATATTTATATTGTTTGAATCGCAATCTTCATCGAGGTATTTGTGAGTTAAATGTTTTTTGCTGAAACACAATTTTCGTTTCATAAGTGGTTAAGTCTTGTGTATGGTTTGGGGCAACGTACCATAATGGCTTCACGAACGTCCGAGTTCGGATTGTGTTTTCCGGCCACACCTCGCACAGCATGAAATTCGGGACTGCGCGATGTAATCTGAAATTTAACATGTATTTATAGAAAGATATGGGGTCATATATTACAGCTCAATGCAAGCCATTTCACAAAAATGTCGAAAGAAAAAGAAAAGAGAAAGTTAGAAAGTTAGAAAGTGATGAAAGTGATGAAAGTGATGAAAGTGATGAAAGTGATGAAAGTGATGAAAGTGATGAAAGTGATGAAAGAGAGAACGTAAACAATAATTGAGTCGAAAAAGAGCTCGGTGAGAGGCACTGCCAGCAAAACTAATAACATTGACCAGGGTATTGACGGTCAGAGAGGGGCGATGGAAACAAGCCATTGGCAGACAATCTCTTGAAATCCCACTCGAGAGAGGACTCAGTCTTGTATGTCCAGAAAAACCAACCTTGGTTCATTTCCCAGGCATCCAATTGAGCCTCAATGTATTTTCTGGTGTCCACCTTCTTCTGGTCAGACCAGGTGCTAATGTCACTGATACCGTCGCAGGAGCCAAAATATTGGCTGGATTTGAAAACACCCTCGTATCTAGAGCCAGTGTTGACACCATTCAACCAATAGGAACAGTCTGTGAGGGCACCAGACCATTCACCAATGACAACCCAGTGGTACTCGGGCTGGCTGGCAAAACCAAGGGCACAGGCAGTGAGAATATGTTGGTCGATGGTTCGGGACAATTCGCCAGGAGAGAAGACCTGGTAGTAGTGACGGTCGAGAACAACATTGTAGTAATCATCAAGATTCATGAAGTCGTTGTAGTAACCGCTGGCCATAAAGGCGTCCAGAATAACAACATTTTGGTGGGAGCTAAAATCGTTTCTGAGGATGTTGTAACCATCAGTGTAGAATTGTTTGATTCTTGCCATGTCCAACTGGGGACCTAAAGGTTCATTGAGCAACTCAATACCGATGATGGTGTCTATTTTATCGTTTCCACCGTATCTTTCAACAAGATGATAAAGAGCCTTCAAGGTGATAGGGACATTATCGCCAGTTAGCCAGAGCAAGCTGTCTCTTAATCCTGAATTGTCAAACGCATTTTGAGAGCCTGGAGCACCATGCAAGTCGACCCAGACTTTTAAATTGTATTTTGCAGCCCATTCAATTGCCTTGTCCAAGTATTCAACTTGTCCTTGAACATATGGATCACCATCGACCCCTTCAAAAGCCCAATAACCAATGGGGATTCTAACAGCATTGAGACCATACTCGGCAATATCAGCAAAATCGGATTCAGTGAAAAAAGTAGACCAATGTTCTTGAAGTCTCTTCAAGGCTTCTTCTTTGCCTAAATACTTGCAGTAATTGTATTCGTCAACAGGGATATCATCACCGAAGCCTTCAAATAGAGATGGTGTTATATAAGGTTCTAAAAGAAGCCAACCACCCAAGTTGACACCTTGAATTTTGTTGTCATAATAATTGAAAGTGGATCTCTTTGAAAGAAGTTTTAAAGAAGGAATTGGTTTAGCTATAGAAATGCTGGCCAAAAAAATTAAGCAAAAAGCGAATGTGTAGAAAGATTTAATCATATTAACGAGTGATTAATTAATAAATCTTCTGTTACCGTTCTTTTTGTCTAGCAAAATATACTGATTAAACAAAAACACAACCACGATAAATGAAAAAAAACTAAATTAGTTTTATAAATCTAAAAACAAATAACAAAAGGAAAGGGTGAAAGACCTATATAGCTTATTGTAAAAAAAAGGGAAAACTAAATTAATTTATATAGAGAAAATAATTGAAATAAATGTTTTCATGCCTGGCGAATAATGAAATTAATGGTGAAATACTAAATTTCTATTCATGTTTCAATTATCAGAGGGAAAGAATAAAAAGAAAAAAACGAGAAAGTATATCAAAGTTAAATACGAATACAATATGAAAACAAAGTCATAATCATTTAATTCTAATTTCAACTTATTTATTTAACACTTTTTGTTACTTCTTAGAAAAAGGATTTGCAGAGTATTATTATAAGTGGTAACAATTTGACCTAACATTAGAAAAGATGCAAAACGTGAAATCAATTAGATTGTTGCTATTCGACAGGGGCATGCTATGATACAGTAGAGTTTTTCAGCCAAAACCACATCCAAATGTTCCAGTGGCAGAAGGACAGCGTTTTTACTAAATATAACCGTTCCAAATATAGATGAAAAAGTGCTTTCCTTTTTAACAAAACGTAGAGAACCAGCGCCTGCTGAACTTGGCTAGAACACAACGTGATGATTTTGCAGTGGTAGAGCGAGGGCCAGCCCACCTGGAGCACTCCTGAGATCTACCTTGAGGGCCACGAAAAAAAAGAAAAACACGAATTGGGCCCACGCTGAACCCTAGCCCAATTCTTCCATTTCTACCCAGTTGGCAGACCCAGGCTGCTGGAAAACGTTATCATCAGTGCAGTGCACAGTGATCTGCTGCAAATGACGTAGAGATGCACCAGTCCTAGCCCAAAAAGATTGGACAGTCAATGTGACCATGTTTTGTACTTGCTCAGCGGCAGTTCAGGTTCCGGCTTCTCAACACAGTACCACAATCCGTAACTGGACAATTTAACAACAATAGAAAAGAATCTTAACAATAGCCCGGAAATGTCCTCGAAATGTTCTGAAACTGTTTTGACGCTGCTGTAACAATGCTCACAATAGCTGAAAACAATAGCTGAAGGTGTCCATGATCGATATTCGATAAACTTCATGTAGACACCTTAAGAAACAGTAATAATCCTGAGGAATGCTCAAATTTCCCTTGATATTTATGCAAATTCCCTTTGGAAACAGCCTCAGTCAACTCTTGCCCATACTTATCTACAAGCAGTATATATCACTATAAAAAAAATATATTTCGCTAAACTACATTTACTTGTTTATACTGTTTTCCATTGTTTTCTATTGTTTTTCTTTTATCGCCAATTTCAAATCTCAAACAATATTGCTTCCAATGTCCAAAAATATCTACAAAGGTGATGATTTATTAGTAAGTCGTCTATGATAAACTTATATTTCTTATCTTACTTGCTTTCTTTGCTGTTATCTATTACTAATTAGTTTATTTTCAATCAGATATTCACAACACCACAAGATTTAACCAAAAGCCACACTGACCCTGAAAGATTCTCAAAATCTAAAACTGGTGGTCCAATTTCTGATGGTAGGATTTTTTCAACTGTCAAAGCTGCTAATAGACATGCCAGAACTCATCATACTGGTGGTTCAATCAACTCTGATGACCAAAAACTGATAAAATCCTTTTCTTCGCTTTCTCTGCCCCAGAACCCTCATACTCCTCTACCAAAACAACCTACACTAGATGAACAGCTTTTATTATCCTTCAATAGAGTCGATAGAGACAAAAACGGAGTTCTAAATCTTTATGAACTACAAACAGCTTTACACAATGATGATTCGTCTGCTTTTAAAATATCTACAATCAAAACTTTGATCAAAAATTTTGTACCTCAGAAAGAAATTGATTATCTAATTGATTTTGAGGATTTCAAAAAGCTATATAAGGAGATTATCACTTGGAGAAACATTTTCAAACAGTTTGATCTCGATAATAGTTTCACTATCGATTTTAGTGAATTTGTATCTTCAATTGAAAAAATTGGCTTTTCTTTACCAGAAAATCTAAACAGGTTTATTTTCAACAAATTCTCTTATAAAAATCCTTCGAGTTTGAACAACGAAATGAAATTCGATTCTTTTGTCGAAAGCATACTATTGATCATCTCTCTCACAAAAACATTTGTCAAGTACAGAACTCAAGAGGATTTTAACTACGCAAAAATATCCTATCCTGACTTTCTTGAAGAATTTGTGAAACTCATAGCTTAAACTTTCTCCCTTGTTTTTATTTCTCCCTTAACATTTACTCTTCTTATCTAACTTTTCATTTCCCTATCTAATTAATATATATATCCCCCTTCTAGCCCCTGCTGGACTTTGTCCTCCTCCAATAAGCCTTTATCACGTGTGTCTACTGAACAATCTGCACTGTTTTCTATGCACAAAGAGTGATCTTCCAGCTGATGACATCCACCTCCAAACAACGACACACTTTCTTGATGATGGTCCTCTTCGACACCATCATTCGAAGATGGTGGAGCTCCACGTCTAAACCTTTGATATCTGATGCATTGTCTGAAGTTTCCAGCAATAACAAACGACACAAAGCACCAGAGTCTCCTATTAATAATGAATGCAACAGCTGCCCTTGTTCTTCTCTCACTGACGGATCTCATTCCCTAGTATGGGAACTTTTGAATCTTCCCAAACACGAAAAAGGTAAAACTGTGAAATGACAGTTCAATCCTCAAATTCAGCTTTTTTATTTCCAGTTTCCTTATACCTTATTTCTATATCTTCTGTCACTCTACAACATTCACTTTAGAGTGCTGTTCACTATCTCTCGTTTTCTATTTTTGTTTTGCTCTTATATATCGCTTTATAAATGCTTATTAATCCTTACCAGCTACAAATCAATGATTATATCCCAAAATGAGTGACATGAAATTTAATCACATTTCTTCAAATCCTCAAAGTTTAGATGACAGTAACCAACCAATAAATACTAGTATCAACAATAACCTCGATGTTTCTAATATATCTCATATGATTGCGCTTGACGCCCCCCTGTTGAATCTGAATAAAAAATTACTAAAAAATGGTTCTTCAAAATCTGAATCAAACACTGACTCTCAATCTAAAGATGATACGCAAATCATTAATAGTATTCATAATATCGATAACATTGATCATATAAACCAGCTTTCTACCAAAGATTCCGACTTACAAGAAATCTCTAATATAAACCGATTAAATGATTTTACTGCTGATGATACCAATGATGACATCAGCGATGATATTGATAATATTAGAAGCAGTAATTCCAATATAACCAGCAAAATAAAAAGTAATAAATTAAATAAAAAAATATCAAAAAGTCAACTTTCAAACCAAAATGTGTTTTCTGTTGAAAAACAAAATGTTGCAACTTCAACTTCAAACTCTCAATCAGAAAATCCAAAACCCAAAATAAAATCGAAAACGAAAACAAATTCAAATAACAACACAACCTCACCTCCTAATCCTGCTTACCAACCCCAGAAAATTAATATATCACAGCAGCATATGGTTCCTATTTCTACTCAAGGAATTCAGCAAGGTCCATTACCAACTCATCCTCCTTCAATATCACAGTTTGAATATTTTCCTCAATTTCTTCAGCAATACCCGCCACCACCGCCACATCAATATCAATTTCCTTTATATCAATATCCAATTCAATCAAATCAATTTATTCAATCCTCTCCAACTTATGCATTTAAAAACAAATCTGTACCTTTTAACGATGGAAAAGCTAGTAACATGATTAGGCATTCTAACCAAAAACATCTGAACGATCTCAAATCTAATTCCAATAATAATTTTATCTCAAAAATAGAGAATAATGATAATATTATCAATAACAACTCTTTTAATAACATGAATAGTTCATCATCTACTCCGACAACTTATATGAAAAGAGATCAATGTACTATTCTTGCTGATATTTATTATAATGTCAGGACTGATAAGTTGAATTTAAATAAAACCCCAAAGGAAATTGACGAAATTGTTTATAGTCAATTACCTGAAGCATTTAGCAAAAAAAATATGAAGTTTGATCGAACTTATACACAAATTCGAGAAAAATTAAGCCGATTAAGAGCTGAATTAAAAAAAATTTATATTGAAGAATTAGTTAATCATCCATCGTGGATAATGAAAATTAAAGAAGCAGAATTTTTTGTGCTGAATAATCGTTTGCATGATGGAACCCAGCCCACCAATAGTGATCCTATGTGCTTTAATTCCAATTCTAGCCTTAATAATAATAATAATAATAATAATAATAATAATAATAATAATAATAATAATAATAATAATAATAATAATAATAACAAAGATAATAACGATACTACAAATTTCAAAGAATTTAAAGAAAACAAAGAAAACAAAGAAAAAACAAATACAAAATTAGCAATTGATAAATATACAAACAAAATCAAATTAAGTGATTTATCCGATATCAGTGGTGAAAAGAGGAATAGATCTACTTTTGAAAATTCTGCTGCAAATGATGATGATTGCAATAATACAATCATTATTTCAAACGCCCCTTCTATCAATTCTAAACAATGTTATAAAGAATTTTTATCAAACCTAAAAAGACTCAAAAGCAATGGCACGACAGATTGTTTATTTACAAAAGCTGTTATCGATAAAGATAATCGTAACAATCAAAAAGATTTTAATACTGCATATAGTGACGATAATGATGAAAGTATTGGTTCAGAATTTAAAATTTCAGATTCAAAGGAAAACTTACTAAAATTATACCAGCAATCGCTAGCCCAGCAAAATAACATCATTAAAACTCTATCGGAAACCTTTAGCAAACTACCAAAATTTGATCAGCTTCAACAGATTGTAAACAAAAAAGATCAAAAAATCTTTCAGTTAGAAAAAGAGATTGAACAATTGAAAACCAGATTCGAAACAGAAAATTTTCAGTTGAGAAACCAGATAATTGACATCAAAAGTAGTAAAAACAGTGAAATATTGGATTTAAGAATCAAATTATTGGATTTGAAGGAAAAACAGATAACTAATGCTGCCAAAGAACCTGTTCTTTCGCCAGATTCACCTATTAATCTAAGTAACGATCGTAGTTAAAGTTTAACGTGGCTGTAATTAATTCTACAAATAGGAATATCTTTAGTTGTTTTTTTACTCTATTTCTGGTTACTTTTATGTCCAATCTCAAATTACACCACTTTTTTCGCTTTGCACGGCACAAACAGCACAATAAGCACTAAATTCACGTGTGCTTACGTAACACAAACCGCTTTTTTTGCATGGAATTGAAATATAAAAAATTTTCATTTTGATCTGGCTTCAAATAGAATAATTGATGAAAGTTGGTTTGATAATTACCAAAACAAAAGATGTCTTTTCCATTTTCTTTAGAGAATTTACCCCCATCAACTAGTCCTTGGGGTCCCCCAAAGGAAATCCCTTCTTACTTGAAGTTTCACAATGTTCCTTATGCTCCATTTTCCAAAACTGATAAACTAGGTAAAGCTGCAGATTGGATTTCAACTGATTCTAATCAACAACAAACACAACAGCAAAACAAAACTACTAGGAGAGATAGGGATCCATTTCATGCCTATGGTGCTTCAGCTGCTTCGAAATTTGCTGCTGATGACGAATTGGCTAATGATACTGCTGGCTTTGAAATTGTTGACTCAAGCACAACCGCTAACAAACCTCAACAACCTCAACAACAACAAAACTACAGACAGAGAGTTCTCAAGAGCAGATACCACAAACCTGTTCAAAATAAACAATTTCAATCAAACCAAAATCAAGGCAAACGTTCCAATGTTTCTAACTCATATAGACCATATTGGAACAATAATAATGAAAAAAATAAACCTAAAAAATCTTCTGTTGAAATTAAGGACAATTGGAAATTATTAACTTCAATCGATTTCAATAGGTTGAATAAACTAAAACTTGATGTTGATTTGAAAAAAAGTGTTGTGTTGACTTCCAAAGGTGCTTCTTTCAATTATAATAAGAATGTCTTTGAAAGAACAGGTATTAACAAAAAACCAATTCCATTAAAACCTTCAAGCACTGTAAAAACAGAATATAAGTCTTCTACAACTTCAAAGGATCCTATTTTGCTTCAATATGCCAAGGAAAATAAAAGTGAAGTTTTCATAACTGATACAATTTTATCCCAAATTATGTCAACTCTTATTTCCAATTTCTCATGGGATGTCGTTGTCACTAAAAAAGGGAATAAATTGTTTTTTGACAAAAGATTATCTTCAACTAATCCAATAACTGTCGATGAAAATGACCCAGGTTTATCTCAAGCTTCAATCAATATAGATGCTGCTGATATTAACAGTGACGTTAACTTATCAAATGAAGCATCTTATTTAAATAACTTGTTGTTATCATTATCAATTATTCCTGATGCTTCTACTTTAAAAAAATTTGAATTGTCTACAAAAGAATTTGTACAATCTGAAAATTCGAAGAATTTTATTCCCAAATCCTATTCTTATAAGATAATAAAATTGCCAAATCTGACTAATAAAAGTAAAAAAGCTAGCAGCAAATTATCATCTTATTATGATTCTGAATCCGAAGAGGACGAAAACGATTTTATTAAAGTTCTTGTTAGAACAGAAAGCTCTGCTGTTCAAAGAATCGGCTCAGATGTTTCACCAATTGCTATTCATGCTATTACTCAATATAAGACTGGGTCTAGTTTAGATTGGAATACTAAATTACAATTGCAAAAAGGTGCAATTCTTGCTGCTGAATTAAGAAAAAATATTAATCAGTTTTCTAAATGGACAATTGAATCTATCTTATCTGATGTCAAATTGATCAAGATTGGTTTTGTATCAAGAGCTAACTACAAGAAAAATGATTCCCATAATTTATTGGATGTTATTGGATATACCCCACAAGATTTAGCCAACCAAATGAAATTAAACTTTGGTACTGGTTGGGGAATCTTCAAAAGTTTCATTGATATTATTAATGGATGGAATCTTTCAGATGGTGAAAGTGGTGATGGTAAATTTATTATTGTAAAAGACCCCAATAGTCCAAAAGTATCAATTTATAAACTTCCAGATGAGGAAGATGCATTGTCTATTTGAATAAATGAATAAATAGTTTATATAATAAACAATTAGTAAAATATATTGAAAAAATTCATGGCATTTTCTTTTCAAATCTTAATTAAGATTTATAGTTGTAAAATTTCGTTGTTGAAATTCAAATCCGCTGTTTAATTTGATCAATTATTCGAAATTACCCCATATTCATTGTATTACCACTACCTTTTTTGTGGGTGTCAGTAAAATCATCCCATTCTCTTTTCTTATAAACACCAACTTCATCGTAATTATCTTTTTCTTCATCATCAGACTCTGAATCACTTTCATTTCCAGTTATGGATTGTTTAACTATTCCACCTCTTTTCATTTCTTCATCAAGATATTCTTCAATTGACATTGTTGGTAGCTCTTGACCAGTGCCAAATACCTTTTTCCTTAATTGATCCTTTTTGGAGTAAAGAGTGAATGGCCTCAAAACTTTGCCTTCTTTTGATAATATTGATTTATTTAAAGTTTCCAAATTCTCAGTATAACCATAATTGTTTTCCTCCGATAGTATATTGCTTTTATTGTCTTTGCTCGCATACTTTTGATCTTTTGTTTGATTAGTATTTTCTTTTCCCACTGACTGAATTTTAGGTGCAGGAATTGATCTATTGGACAAAAGTTGCAATTCCATTTGAATATTCTCTAGATCTTTGAATGCTTTAACAACTAAAAGATTTATTCTAGTTAAATGGAGTTCTCTCAAAATTTCTTCATCGATGTCATTTTCATTTAAATTTTTGTATTTGTTTTCATAATATTTTAGCTGGTCATTAATTGAATTTTCATATTTAAAAAATTTAATCTTTTCTTCTCTTCTTGACATAGGATTTGTATTGGTGAATATGGTATTTTTAAACTCGCTATCGTTATTATCATCAGAACTCTCGTCATTCTCAGTGCTTTGAAATGCTTTTAGTTTTTGAAGTAAATCCTTGTTTAAGATTGAATAGTTATCGAGGGTTTTTAGAAACTGAAGATACAAATATTTTGACAACTTTAAGCTGTTTACCTTTAAAGTGAAAGCTTGAGGATTGTCTTTGTCAAACTTCTTTGATGCCAATAAAGCAAGATAATAGTCAACAGACAAAAACTTGATGTAATTTGTATTTAACTCTTCGAGAGATTCATTAACCGAAAATAGAGCTAGGCTAGATATGATTTTTTTTAGATTTAGCAATTTCTGAAATATTTTGTTGGCTTTTGATTGATACTCAAGAGAATCTTGTCTAAGAGACAACTCACTCAACACCCCAATTGACCTTACAACCTGATTGTAAACATTTGCCAACGAGGCTTCCCCTTCTCGTTCGTCTTCTCTATCTGAGTCTGTCATTTATGTTCTTTACAAATCTCACCTCTTTATCAACGCTTTCTCCAACTGATTATCACCCAAAATCATCCCCCGTTCTGGGTCTGCGGAAAGAACGGAAACAGTTACGGATTTCTAATTAATACACATTTCCGCATTATATAATATTAGGTAATAATTAGGTAAGTAGCCACACCGATAACGCACCAGTAACGCACCTTTTTCTATGTATTCTTATCTACAAAAAGTCCAGTAAACACATTGAAAGTGACTAAAACACAAAATACCAAAAGCTAGTAGGCTCCTCCTACGCCTGCGACAAATGCCAAACTCCAGGTTAATGACATCCCATCGTCTAGATAGCCATAGTTGAAATTTTCTTTTCCAAAAAAGTTCCATGCTAACCCTGGATCAAATAATGCTGTATTCAACATTAGTATTCCTTTCCATCCACCGTCAACCTTATCGATATGGCTTGACAACTTTTCCTCCCATTCTTCTTTCACAAACTTTGGAGATCGGAAATAACTTGATATTGGTGTGATAGGTAACATATGGATCCCCTGAATATATTCTAGGTTATTCCCAAAGTATGTTGTATGGTGAATTTTATTTTCAAAAAAGATTCCTGTTACTTTATTTCCAATGAATTCTTTGGGCTGGATCTTATTATCATTATCCATCAACATGTAAGATGTGATTGAATTTTTCATTACACTTAAAATCAAATCCATTAGTCTTCCCAATTTATCATTTTTAACAACAATTGACCATAATTTGATCGAATAATAGCAATGATAATCCTCTGATGAGGATTCCTCGTCTTTACCATCGGCACTTGCAAATAATCCCTTAGCCCAACTGTGTCCATTAAACCAGTCAAATGACCTGAATTGTGGGAAATAATTATCTCCCGGACTTGGATTGCAAACATCTCTGACTAAAAAATCAACAAAATCTTTATTTTCATTTAAAAATTCACTTTCTCTTCCATCATTGAGGTCTAATTCGACCTTACCAATAATTGCCGCAGCATGTATAAAATAACTGTAATGAAAATGATGATCGTTATAGTATGAATTTCCGAAATCGAGATTGGGATCACCATTGATACCAGCTCTGGAAATCAATCCTTTATATGAATTATCGTAAATCAATGGTTGAATATTGTTCAATTTTGAAAATCTATTGAACGCATTTTTCAATTTCGGTAATAATCTCAATGTCAATTCTCTATCTTGTAAAATGTACATTGTTGAATACAAAACCAAAGCATATTTATCCAATTTTTTACCTGCAAAATACATCGAGTCTAAATTGGATAGATTCATCACGTCTTCACTAACTTCAATTTCAGCGGCTTTTCTAATTAGACCTAGACTATTATTATTATATGTTGCCTGATAATTTAAACTGGTACCAGGGAAAAATGTGATGTTAACTGGTAAATCGTAGTGAACAATCTCAAATTTATCAATCAAGTAACCAGCCATTACACCCTTGGTGGTTGAATCTAGATAAATATCTGTTCTTCCACTATTTGTATAATTTGAAAAATTATTATAATGGTGAGGTAGAGCAAACATTATTGGTTTGCTTGACAATGAATATCCTGCAGTTTTAAAATTAAATGAATAAACAGCACTTGAATTTGAAGAGGGGGAGCCAGAGGAATTTGCATCAATAACCTCGGATGAGATTTCAGTGTGATATACAAACAATCCAGCAGCTAGATCGTAGAATTGTGAAAATCCTGTAGCAACTTGAATTGTGCAATTGGATAATACATTTGACTGAATATTGTTATTATCTATTTTAGTTAAATTGAAATTCGGGTTTGAATAATTTGAAACATAAACTGACCAAACAATGTCATTAAATAGAACAATTTTATATTTTTGAATATTGTTTGATAAATTCCCCAATCTTTCGATTGATCTGAAACCGACAGTTGATTGTAACAATGGAGTTAAATTATTATAAATACCAGTTATAAAACCCAAACCTTGAACAATTGGAAAGTTGATATTTCCATTTTCGTTGCTATTATATGAGTTGTAAGGTAAAGATAAATTTAAATTAACAGAAGAATGATTCAAGCTATTCAAGCTCAAATTTAATAGGTTTGGGTCTTGCAAACTTCGAAACTGGGTCGAACTAAAGATAATTGATTTGATTCCAATTGGATTAATAAAAAATTCATGGGGTATGTTATCATTTGAAAAGGTTTTCTGGTTATTTGTGATATGGGAGACTGCTAATCCATTGAAACCATCAACTTTGGAGAATGATAATGAATAGGGATGAGTCCAAATAGAGCATTGTTGATTTTCGAGAATAAAATTGGTATAGAACTTGTTGGTGTAAATTGGTTTATTCGTGTCATTATAGTTGATATAGCTAATTGCAGATGTTAGTGAGTGAGAAGTAGCACCAAAATAGTCTATAGGGTTTTTGGTTGAAATTGGAGCTGAAAACAAGTCCTCTTCAAGATTTAGAGCTGAAGATGACTGAGAGACAAAATAAGAAGAAGTGGAAGCAGGAGTGGAAGCGGGAGTGGAAGTAGAAGTGGAAGTAGAAGCAGAAGCAGAAGTAAACCCAACTGTTTGAAGTGTTGGGTGAGATTCGATAAAAGAGTTGAAGTGAGTTTTTAGCTTTGCTTTAATGTCAGCAGCTTGTTGGGGCAAGGGCATTGGAGCTCTGTTGTAAGGCATTTTGAACAAAATATTGAGATACAAGAAAAAGGAGATCACCAACAAACAAATGGAAACAAACTGGAAACGAGACAGGCTCAACAAAGAGTTATAATTCATTAAATAAAGAGTGTGAGAGCCAACAGCAAGAGCAAAACGAGAGATGAAATACACTGAAATACACTGAAATACGTGGAACACGAAATAACGGCTGAAAGAAAGTGGCTAAGACAGCAGATTAAAATGGGAAATGATACTAAAAAAGAGGGAATTTCAGAGATAGGAGATTAGGAATTAGAGATGAGAATTAGATATTAGAATTAGATATTAGAATTAGATATTAGAATTAGATATTAGATATTAGATTTGAATACTGGAAATGGCAAGTAAATGTAAATGATGAAGATAACGAACGAAGAATAGACAAAAATGGTAAATATCAGTAAAACTATAAAGATCAGTAAACAAAAAAAATAATAATACACAGGATGAATCAGGTAATGGATACAAAGCAAGTTGGCTGTCTCTTTTTATTCAGACATTGCTTCATTGTCATCCTCAGAATCCTCTACAACGTATTTAGTTTGAACAAAAAAGAATTTGGCCTCTTTCTTGCCTCTGTTCACAAACTGATAGAAATTGCCCATTGGAACCTCAAATGAGCAGCCTGATTTGACAATAAAGGGAGTCTTGTTGAGAGTTACCTCGACTATTCCTGTTATCACGTAGAATATGGAGTAGGTTACACCAGAGTTTTTAAGATGTTTGACCCCATTTGGCGGCAACAATAGTATCCCACTGGCTGCAAACTCTTTATCTTCCTGGAACAAAACAGCAAGCTTGAAGTTGTCATTTCCCAATGGAAATAAATCCTGATATATCTCTTTGTTGGGAGCACGAGCAACCAATCTTTGGGTCTTTTCGTCTGAGCCTGGACCATCAAATACTTCAAGATTTAATATACCTTTTTTGGAGCTTAGCCAGGTTATCTGGGAAGAAGGTAGTTTGGTGTTTTTCAAAGAGTCGTTTAATTCATCGTTGGGATAGATGTACTCGTATTTCACTATTTCTTTTTTGTCATTCGTTGTGTTATCATCTTTCTGTGCCGATTTTTTTCGATGAGTTGAAGAAGCTCTTTTTTTCTTGATAGTTGGAGACGAAGACTCTTCAACTTTTATAACATCCTTCAAGGAAGGTAAATGACCTTTATTTTTATACTCATAGACTATTTTTTCATTTTTCCAGAACTCAATGGGAGGAATTCGAACTCTTGAAGATTTCCTTACAGCACGACTATATATGTTTTGATTGGAAGAAGCAGGTTTTGAGATGCCATTAATTTTACTATTGATTTTATCTGTGTCCTTAGATTCATTCTTTTTGGTTTTGGTATTTCTATCAATACTTTTAATGTTTTTATGAGTAGTCTTGTTGATATTTTTATTTTTTGGTTTGATATTTTTATTGGATACTTTATTAAGCGCTATGTTTTTCGTAGCAAGGCCCGAATTTCTAATTTTTGAATCTTGAACAATAGATTTACTCATTTGATTTCTAATTAATTTTTTATTTAATATGGGAGAATCGTCTAAATTGGAAAAATTATCTTCTTCTTCTTCTTCTTCTTCTTCTTTAGAATCGTCATTTTGGTTATTGGAATTGGCACTAGAATCATTTATACTGTCTATATCACCGATATTGATTTTATTCCTATTAATATCATTGACATTATTATCATTTGGGTCGGATTCTGAATCTGATTGAACAAATAGTTGATTATTTTTTTTTAGAGTTGCTTCAATTTGGTTTGATTTAGATATTGAACTCTTTCTCTTTTTCAGATAGGTATTTGGCTTTAGTCGAATGGGAGACATTAAAGGAGTATCTACAATTTCCAAAATTTCCTCGTCATCTTCGTCATCGTCTTTTTGATTTTGTAATTGTAAAGATCCCAGGAGACTGATATCGTTATCATTATCATTATCATCATAATTATAATCTTCAATTACCCTTTTTCCGTTTCTATTGTTCTGTCTATCGTGTATATCAGAAGTGGCTTTATTACTTCTATTCAGTTTATTTATGAATTGTTTTGAGGTCGCTATGGGAGAAAACCTTGAAGCAGACTCAATTTTCCTCGATATGCTAGACTTTCTTTTGGTCACCTTTGATTTGGTTGCAGTTCTATTAGTTCCACTTTTTCTCTTAGACTTTGCTGAACTATTATTTTTCGAAACAGAGTTCAATGATAGTGAAGCTAGCTGTTTTGAAGTAGTTGGAGTGCTGGTATTGTAATGAGTTTTGAAAAATTCGTCTACATCTTCAATATTATTTTTGTCTCTAGCAACAGACTCGTTGACTAAGATTCCAGTCTTACGAGACCTCTTGCCTAATTGTGTGTTTTCCATTAAAAGCAGGATCGATCACAATTATTCTTCCACTGTTTACCAGTTCTCAGATTGTTTATTTACAGCTGAAGACGAATTTATACGTCTTCCGGCTCACGTGCGCGGTTCCACTCAACACAATCCGAAAATCGCACCAAGCTGCCCCCGAAAATGTCTAACGCGCTGCCGAAAGTCAAATCAACCATTCCGGCACTCAACCGCTCGACGGTTTGCAAGTCTGCAATGCTCCGACCACCACCGGCATACACAACACCCACTCCGGCCAAGCTCGGGTTGGAAAACCACCGACCCAACTGCGCCACGAGCCCCTCGTCAATCCCCCGGCACAAGCCCTCGACGTCGGCAGCGTGGATCAAAAACTCGCTGCAGAAACTGCTCAACTCCACAAACAACTCCTGGCTCAACTTCAACTCCGTCACAATCGTCCATTTCTGAATTGCAACATGCCACTCCTTGTCCCTTTTGTTGTTCATTTTGCATCTGCACGAGAGATCTAGCACTATCTTGTTTTTGTCCCCAACGAGACTGTGCAATCTGACGAGCCTTTCCATGCTGAACTGATTGTTTGGAAATAGCCATGATGTGATAATGATCTGTTTCGCGCCTTTATTTAGCCACTCCAAACAGTTGCTGTCGTTGATGCCTCCTCCAATTTGGAAGTTGTTCGGCCAGCTTCTCAATGCAAGCTCGGCAACTTTGTCATTTTCTATTGAAGACCCTAGTTTGATGATGTGACACCCATAGATATTGTTCTCTTTATACAAGTTTCCGTAATACGACGATGGTTTATCAGAAACAAAATTTGTTGCAACCTTATCGCTGTCGTTGTCTGACTTCAATGTTCCTCCAACTATTTGTTTGACTTTCCCTGAATGTATGTCAATACAGCCTCTAAATCTGGTCATTTTATTACACTATAAAATCTAACAAAAATAGTTTATCAAAACTTTTTAACCAATAAACCCATTTAAGCTCAAAAATAACTGCAAACTGCAAAATGACCATATTTCAGGGTAACCCTGGTGCAAAATATAGTTCACGGGCTCGATCCCTGCTCAAAGCTTTGGTTTATTTTACCAAGATTTTGATATCTTTTTTCCTGCTACACGAAAACCTCATTGAAAAATTTTTATAGTTCATATTTTATTTTTTTTTAATTTATTAATGCAATTTTGTTTTTTCAATTTTTCATCTATTTTCTGTTAAAATGACAAACAATTCTGAAAAATTGAAAGTTTTAGTCTTAAACCCATCAATTGATAAATTGAATTTTATTTTAAATGCTTCCAATCGCTTAAATCAAAAAAATGGTCCCTTTGAATCTGTTTTATTAATTGGCGATAATGACATTACCACGGATACTATTAAGACTCCAATCAACCAATTAACAATTTTCACAAGTACAAAGTTATTTGCAAATGATAGAAATAAGGATAAAATAGATACTGCTATCACTAATGATGATGATAAAAACCATAATGAAATTGAAATTGAAATTGACAGCGAAAGCGAAAGTGACAGTGGAAGTGGAAATCAAGCTTCCATTGAAAAAGAAATAAAAGAAAATTTAATTGGTATCAATGACATTAAAAATGGTGGAATTTCATTCAAAACGACTTCGAATGGTTTAAATATCATATTATTCACCAGATATTTTGATGCATCTTTTGATAATTTTTATAAATTTAAAGAATATTTTAATAACCAATTATCTTCTTTCAAAGATAATATTCACGTTATGATTTCATATCAGTGGGCCTCTAATTTATCTTATTACTATAAATCTGATATTAGTAACAAAGCTGACATATTGAACAAATATCTCAAGTTAATCAAGCCAAATTATTATTTTACTTCTGGTTCCAAATTTTTAGATACTTTACCCTTTAAATGGTCTTCCAATAACGACTTGAAAATCACTCGATTTATTAGTTTATCTCAATATCATTCTAAAAACAGATATTATTACGCTTTTAATATTGATGTTAAGGACAATAAGAACAATAATATAAATAACAGAAGTTACTCGAAAAATTTATTTGAAAATGTCAATATAGAGAATTACAGAACTCAATTAAAACCAGAACCTCAAGATAAAACAGTAAAGGATGTTGAAAAGATTTCGAGCAAGGATAATGAAAACGAAAACGAAAAAATAGAGGTTGAAAAAGAGGAAGTTAAAGAGGAAGTTAAAGAGGAAGTTAAAGATGAAGCTAAAGAAAAAGCCGAAAAGGATGAAGCTAAAGAAAAAGCCGAAAAGGATGAAGCTAAAGAAAAAGAGGAAGAGAATGCTCAAAAAGAGGAAGAAAAGGTTCAAAAAGAAGAAGAAAAAATTGAAACGAAAGAACTAGAAAATAAACAAATCAACAAAAGAAAATTTTCTAAAGATCCAGAACAAAGTGTTAACAAAAGACCTAAATTTATTGTCACTCAAGAAAATTGTTATTTTTGTTTGGGTTCACCAAATGTTCAAGCTCATATGGTGATTTCAGTCGATAAACATTCATATTTATCAATTGCCAAAGGGCCATTGACCACACCAAAGACATTTAATGGAAAAATCCCATTTCCGGGACATGTTTTGATTATTGCTATCAAACATATTTCAAATATTGTATTAAATAAAACTGATAATACATTCAATGAAATGAATAAATACGAGGGAAACATTTTGAAGTTGTATTACTTGAAATATAAATTGGGATATTGCTCATTTGAAATAAACAGCTCGAAATTATTTCATCATCATAAACAAGTTATTCCAATTTTTTTAAATTCCAAATTGTCTAAATTCACCAAAACCTTGAAGTCAAACAGTGATAGAAACAATACATTATACAATAAGAATACATCCTTAGAGTTCAAACAAGTTGAGTTTGAGTTTGATGATATCAGGAATGAGGTGATTGTTCCAGATTTTGAAGAAACGGAAGACGAAGAGAAGACAGTTGAAAACGAGAAAAAGGCAACAGAAAAGGATCTGGAGGATTCTAAAAAGGAAGAAAGCAATGACGTCAAAATGGCAGATCAAAGTGAAGCTGGAAAAAAGCCAGGCACTAGTTTGAAAGAGTACTTTGATATCATGAAAAAGGGTGACTACATTTTGATGAAGTTGTTCATGGTTGACGGCGAAGAAGGAAAGCCCAAGCAGTACTGTTTCATCTCGCCCATGGACACCAGCAAAAGAGTTGACTTGATGTTCCCCCGAAAAGTGTTGTTGCAATTCCTCAACTTGCCCAAAAACAGATCCAACTGGAAGACAGTGGCAGATCCCAAGGAGGTTGATGTTGGGTATTGTGAGGCCTACAAAAAAGAGTTTGCTGAGTTCGACTCGTCGCTCAAAGAGGCATCTGCAGACTAGTGCATGTTGACGCACGGTGTACAGGTTCCTGCCAATACCGCAGCTGCGGCACTGTTGGATAAACACATGCCAAATACGTTTTCTACCGGGTAACTTTTATAGTCAGCTGACTTGAGATATTACAAACCTTGAATAAACCTTGAATATTACGCGTCTTCATAAATATTGTCTTTCAAGCACGTAAAACTGAAACAGATGCACTTAAGGTTTGCTGTTCTGCGCTGGACTGCGTCTGCGCTCGCTCCAGGGCTGCGGGTCCTGCTGACATAAGCGCCCCAGCAAAGGTCGTTCAGAGTTTGAGGTTGCTGAAGGAAAGGTGCTTTCTTCTTCACTTTCAACCAACAGCACTCGATTCGCATCTTCACCATGGCCAATATCACCCATCTAAGCAACACCACTGTCTCCAACAACATATTGAAAAAATACAAAATAGTCTTTTTGGGCGAGCAAGGTGTGGGCAAAACGTCGTTGATTACCAGATTTATGTATGATACCTTTGATTCTCAGTATGCTGCCACAATAGGGATCGACTTCCTATCCAAGACAATGTATCTTGATGACAAAACCATTCGTCTACAGCTATGGGACACTGCTGGACAAGAGAGATTTAGATCCTTGATCCCTTCCTATATCAGAGACTCCAATGTTGCTGTGGTGGTCTACGATATATCTCTGAAATCAAGTTTTGATTCAATTGACAAATGGGTCGAAGACGTCAAACTAGAAAGAGGCCCAAACGTTCTCATTACTATTGTTGGAAACAAAAACGATCTAGTTGATAAAAGACAAGTCTCTCAAGACGAAGCTGAACAAAAGGCTAAAAAATTAGGTGCCAAAATCTTTCTTGAGACAAGTTCTAAAGCTGGCTATAACGTTAAACCTCTATTCAGAAAAATTGCTCAGCTATTGCCCGATTTTGAGAACAGCAAGTCTAATGATGATGATAATAATGATAATCCTGAACTAATCGATATATCAATTGAAAATAATACCACCACTGAACAGAACTCATGCCAATGTTAATAATATTTCAAACTTATTATATCTCATTCCATCTTATTTTTAATTTTTTCAATTTTTGGGCCTAACTGTTTATTTTTTTTTCCTTCTTTTCTCTCTCACCTTCTTTTTTTTTGCCTTTATTTCCAATTGGAGAAGTTAGTTTTTATTTATCTTTTGTTTGATTATAATTGTATGTTTTGTTCCTTTCTTTTATTTTTCTTTTCCATTACTTTCTCATTCCGGTTGATTCATTTAAATACATAATTATTAATGTTCTCACTACTATAGTCTTTTTTATTTTTTTTATTTTCATTTGTTATTTATATTTGTCAATGAAACTAAAAAATGTGAGCATTAATTGAATGCAAGAATAAAAACAAAATTAAACCATACACAAAATAAAATTAAAATTAAAATTAAAAAAAAATTAATAAAACAAACCAATTAATAAACAATATAATATATATTTATATATACATATATACATGTGCTTTCCGCTATTTTTCCAATCTAATGCTTCTAAATGATCGAAGTTTTTGTAGTTTTAACATATCCTTCTCCAAAATTGATGGCTTCAATTCTTTTTTCAATTTTCCACCTGTTAAAATATTCTGTAAACTTACTGCTTTCAATTTCATTAATTTTTGATATGCTTTTAAATCTTCTTCAATCACTAAATTTCCTAACCCAACTCCCCAGTCTAGTATAAATGATGCCAAAACTCTCCAATCTCCAACTATATCTTTGTCTTTACAATTAAGTGCATTAGCATAAACAACTGCTTTATTTCTATTATTAGCAGCTTCTTTAAAGTCTTTAGTCTTTAAATCATAAAAACTTATCACATTCTTAACACTTTCATTTAGCGAAAATTTTAATTTTCCCTTTTGATATCTTCCAATTGATGAAAATGTTCCATAATATTTATTATGTAAATGAAATTTTAATTTAACACTGAATTTTTTAACTGCTTCGGCTGTAGTATTATATCCAACAACTTCTCCCATATATTGTAATACTGCAATAGCCAAGGCATAATCCTTCGCAGCAAAACATGCAAACGATGCAGTATGAAATATTTTTGGACTTAATGTTCCATGGGGAAAAATTGTCATTTCCAACGCTAACTCAACTAATAATGTGTCAATAAAACTTTTTGTAGAAGTAGTAGGCAACGGCAACAGTCCATTTTGATTTATATGCGTGTAATATTTTAAAAAACATCCCCAAACATCTGAAAAAAAATAATTGGTTTTCACCATCGAAGAATAATAAGATTTTTCTCTAATAAACGTCAAATGATCAATACCTTTATAAAAATATTTGGATTTTCTGTAAATTCTAATGACAGACGAAATAAGATAAACATCATAATCAATGCCTAAAATATCCATTCTCGTTAAGATTTCTTCCATTTTATCATATTTTTTACTTCGACCGTACATTTTAACAAAGACTAAATATAAACTAGGGCCAATTTCAGGAATAAATCCTTTATCTTCTTCTGATAATGCATTTCCTTTTTCAAAAAGATATTTAATATTTGTGTTTTTAAAAACTCCTTTACAAATTTCAGAAAATTTAGGATTAAGAATGTTTAACTCTTTTCTTTTTTCTGGAGTCAATGATAAAATGTACGATTTTTCCATTTCAGATTTTAAGCTTTCAAGTTCTTTTAGTCTTCCAAGAGATCCCAATGTCTTTAATACTACTTGGAAATGCTTTGAAGAAGGTTTGATCCCTTTTTTAACCATGTTCATTAACAATTTCATTTGTTCTTGAGATTCTTCAACTTTTCCTAGCTTTTTTAGCCAAATTTCAAAAAACTGTTCTTGTTCTTTAAATAATTCGGATTTATTGAGGCGATAATCGTCAAATATACCCAATATTATTTCAGCCCTTTTCTTTAAATGGTCATTGGCATCGTATTCCTTTAATGCATTTTTTAATAGAGGTTTCAAAATCTCTAGTAAATCGTATTTCAATGATAAGAACAATATTTTTAATTTAGTAAAACTTTCCTGTTCAAAATCAATGGTTTTGTCATTGATAAGATACCGATCAACTAATCTATAAGCAAGGTATTCTTTTTGTTCAAAATTTGATGATAATATCAAGTTTAACAAATGAACAAACTGTTCCATATTAACTCTTTTTTGTGAATTCAAACTCTCAAAATACTTATCACTATCTTGCGCTCTAACCAACTCTTTATCTTCCCAATCAACTGGATTCTTTTCAAGCAATTGTATTGTTTTTTGGATATAAACAAACGCAGATTTATTATCATTCATATTCAAATAAATTTCAATAAATTTTAAACATAAAGAAGGATTTAAATATTCTGATTTGAAAACCTTCTGAGTCAATTGTGATAGTTGTTCGGCCTTGACCATTTGATTTGATTCTAAAAAAAATGAAACAGCTAGCTCAAAATACCATCGAAAAGTTTTAGCCTCTGAGTCATCAGTGAACCTTTTGACCCATTCAGCTTCAGCTTCATCATACTTTTTATTTTTAATCAATGTATCCATAAAAATACACCAGTTAATATTGTCCAAAATCATACCAGGAATTTTAATATAGGCTTTATAAACATATTCTAAAAGACTATTCTTTTCATTTGCTGGATTTAATATTTTAGCCAAATGAGAAGCTTGTTGTAGTTCTTTAATGTCAAAATTTGGAAGTATTGGCCTTCTATTCAAATTCTTGAAAAAATGAAGATAAATAATTGAAACGTTTTTATATTTTTTGATTGTTTCAACGTCCTTCTTTATTTCTTTTGCTTTATTTTCGAGATCTTCCTGGTCGTTTATATCTTCATCAATCTCGGAGATTTTGTAGGATTTGATAAATTTGATGGAATCAACCATGCATTTATTTAAAATGCCCAATATTATGGAATTTCTTTCATCCACATCACCACAATTTGCCAATTTTAGTTTATAAAAAGCGATCTGATTATCTGATAAATTCAAGCTATGTAATAGTTTAAAATCGTTGTCCTTGTGTATTAAAAGCTCGGTTCTAGCTGTCTGGCCATTGGGACATTGTCTCAAGTTTCTCCTAAAAGTTGATATCGAAGTTGCTTTCCAATGAGAGAGGCTCTTCCAAACTGGAACATATCTGCTCAAACGATGAGATAACAATATCGAAGTGGTCTTCAACATTAGTTAAATGTGGTGATGATCTTTCATTTTGAAATACCAAATTGAGAAAATCAATCAAAAACCGTTTTTAAACTTTTGTGATCGGAGAAAAAAAAATTTTTGTAGAAATTGCGAAAAAATTTTCCACTACGATTTTCAGAAGAATTGAAATATTGCAATCTTATTGTTGATCTTCCTCGAGTATTATTGTATATCGCAGAGTAAAATGAACAATTCTTTAGAAGTATGTTTGATTCGGTTGTCCTGTGTTTTTGCGGATCACTCTAACAAGTCTTTTTAATCTTGGTTGGGGTTTTTTAGGAACGTTTGAAACAAAATTCATCTGCTTTTGATGGCTTATTGTCGTTGATACCTGCTAAATATTATTATGATGAGAACACTTTGAACCAGTGGCAACAAAAGAAGCAATCGAGGAATGAAAAGCAGAAAAACAAAAGAGCCAAATTGAACCTGGAAAACGTTGGAGAAGTGGTTGATGGTTCTAGTGCTGCTGAAGTGCTAAGAAAGAGAAGTGAGAATGCAAAAGCTTTGATAATTCCTGGTACGGGCGATAAAAAGATTCAGAGAAGAAATAGCTTCAGAAACAGGGGAAAAACTACTCGCACAGAGATTGACGAAAATGATAAAAAAGAACTCGCTAATGGTCATAAAAATACAGAAGAAAATCCTGATAAAAGCCTTGATAGCACCGAAAGGGAGAAAATAAACAAAAACTCAATTGAGAAACCAATTGAAAATAAAAAAAATGAAAACGACGAAGGGTCTGACGAGAGCATAGTATATGACGATCAAGGAAACGAAATAAAAGCAGAAGACTCAAAAATAAATAATAGCGATCAGCTGAATAAAAAACCGGTGGAAGATTCAGCAGAGAAGAAAGAAAAAATTGCAAAATTGAAAGAAAAATTACAGTTGCAAATACAAAATTTGCAGAAGAAAAGACATGCCCCAGGATCTGGAGTAGAAGGGGCAGCGAAATCACGACAACAAATATTGGAACAGCGTCAAAAACGGGATAAAAGAATAAAAGATTTAAAAAGAAAAAGAGAAGAAATGGAAGAAGATGATGTAAAAGATAATGATTCAGGTTCTAGTTCTGATTCAGGTTCTAGTTCTGATTCAGACCCTGATCCAGATTCAGATCTTAAAATAGAGGACAGTGCAATGTTTTCTAACATTGTTTTCAACGATGGAGATAAAGTGACTTCAGATTTATCTAATTTGAGGAAAGGTAGCTTTAAGAAAAAAGGGCCTGCAAATAAAGATTTCAAAGCACATCTTAAACTTCTTCAAAATCAGAAACTGAAAAAATCATCATTAGATCTGAGCAAAAAAGAGGAACTTGAGGAGAATCAAAAATGGAATAAAGCAATGCGACAGCTTGAAGGTGTAAAGGTTAAAGATAATGAACAATTGTTAAAAAAAGCCATTAAAAGGAAAGAACAGAAGAAAAAGAAGTCCGAGAAGCAGTGGAAAGAAAGAAACCAAAACGTCACTGATACAATTGCTGCTAGACAGAAGAAAAGAGAGGAAAATCTACAGCTAAGAAGAGAAAACAAGGGCAAAAAACGCTCGAAACAGGTAAAGCTAAAAAAATTTAATACAAATTCTAAGCCAAAGCGGGCAGGCTTTGAAGGAGGTCGTTCAAAGTTCAAAAATAAGAAACAGTAGCAAAATATATATTGAAAATGAATGAGTAAATAAAGAAAAGAAAAGAAAAGACAATCTTATTATATTATAGTACAGAAGATACATATTAAGATCCGGCTATTATATAATTATGTACAATGAATTTTGAATATTACATTAGATATTAGAAATCTCATACAAACTCTGCATCCAATTATGCAGCAAACCATGTAAAATTCAAAAAAAAAGAGGGAAAAAAATGGTATCAAAATGGCATCAAAACAAACAAAACGAATAAACAAAATGGACATGCATTTTAGATTGTTATCGGTTCTGTTGATTTAAATTATTTTTTATCTTTGGAGTGTTTTTTTTGCTCTGCAGCTATCATTGAAAATACCTTTGCATTTAAACCATGAAGCTCTTGAGTTTTACTGTCAATTTCAGCACTTGTTAGATTAGAAGTGTCCTCTTCATTTTCATTTCTAACAATTGAAATAATTTTCTTTAAAGAATCAATCTTGTTCTTCAACTCATTAAAATTATCCTTTAAAAGTTGATTGTCGGAATTCAAAACAACATTTTTGAAATAGTTTAATGCATGTTCATAATCAGAACAATACAAATCAGATTTTGTTGCCTGCTCAATTTTGATTTTGCGGGATTGATCGATATCCTTAAATTTTTCGGCATCTTTAATCATTTTATTAACTTCTTTCTCAGATAAACCAGAAGAGCCATCAACCATTATAGAAGAGTCTTTGCCGGTTTGTTTATCCTTTGCAGATACTTTTAAAATACCATCGACATCAATATCAAACATTACCTCGATTTGTGGAGTACCCTTTGGTGCAACAGGAATATCGGACAATTTGAAATTGCCAATTAATTTGTTGTGTTTGACCAAAGTTCTCTCTCCTTGATAGACTCTAATTTCGACGCCTGTTTGGCCATCAACGCCGGTGGAAAAAATTTGAGTCTTTTTTGTAGGAATGGTTGTGTTTCTTGGAATTATTGGAGCAAATATACCACCATAAGATTCAATACCCAAGGAGAGTGGAGTTATATCTAACAATAAAACGTCTTTAATGGCTCCAGATAAAACAGCGCCTTGAATAGCAGCTCCAAGAGCAACAGCCTCATCAGGATTAACTGAGTGTTTTGGTTGTTTACCAAAAAACCCTTCGACAGAATCTTTAACTTGAGGCATTCTAGTCATACCACCAACTAAAATAATTTCGTCCATATCTTCTGGTTCCAAGTCAGCGTCTTTCAAAGCCTTTTTAACTGCTACTAAAGTTTTATCAATCAAAGGCTGAGTTAAATCTGTTAATTTTTTAGAAGTTAAAGGATAATTCAAGTGAATTGAGTCCTTTATAAAAGGAATACTAATTTCAACATTTTCTTTTTTATCTAGCTCAATTTTAGCATTTTCTGAAGCTTCTTTGATTCTTTGTACTGATATATGATCGTTTGAAAGGTCGAGATTTTTTTCTTTTTTCAAATAAGATAGAACATTATTTAAAATGATATTATCAAAATCTTCTCCACCTAAATGAGTATCGCCGTTAGTTGATCTAACTTCGATAACACTGCTTTCGATATCTAGAATAGATATATCAAAAGTTCCACCACCGAGATCATAAACAGCAAAATAGCCACTTTTTTTTTTATTTAAACCGTAAGCTAAAGCTGCTGCTGTTGGCTCATTTATAACTCTTAAAACGTTCAAGCCAGCTAGCTTTCCAGCTGTTTTGGTTGCGGTTCTTTGAGAGTCATTAAAGTAAGCAGGAACAGTTATTACAGCATTTCTAACTGGTTTGTTTAGCTTTGATTCGGCAGTTTGTTTCAATCTGCTTAGTATAAAGCTTGCAATTTGGGAAGGAGAAAAGGATAAATTGTTAAAAGAGGTCCTGACCCATGCATCGCCATTTGAATGCTCAACAATGTTATAAGGCAAGTTATGTAAATCTCTTTGGACCTCTCTATCTTGAAATTTTCTTCCAATTAATCTTTTGGTGACATGAAAGGTGTTTTCTGAGTTGATAATTGATTGTCTCTTTGCAGGTTCGCCTACTATCACATTATATTTGGAGTTATCTTTAATCTGACTACTAGTACTATTGTTACTATTGTTACTATTATTACTATTATTACTATTATTACTATTATTAGTATCGTTAGTTGGTTGGAGAATTGACACAACCGATGGCGTTGTTTTGAAACCCTGATCATTCTCTATAATTTCTGGCGAAGAATAATTCTTTTCTAGAACAGCAACGGCTGAATTGGTTGTGCCCAAGTCAATTCCAATTACAGTTGGATGTTGTTCATTTTCGTTTATGATATTGTTTTGAACAGGATTAGTATGAAGCAAGTTGATCAGTTTGAAAATTGTATCGTTCTTGTTCAAACCATTAGAAAAACCATTGCTGGATGAAAAGTTCAAAAATCTTTTGAAGTGATACAAGCTTCTCAACGAATGGACTAGTAGAGGTTTAGAAGGAACAGATAGTGACCTTGCTATCGACAGAGACAACATTCTTATCAACAATAGATCTTAAAGAGTAGTAATGGAAGAAGTGAGAGGTTTGCAACTAATAAATGACCACCATACACAGTAGTTAAGACCGGCTTGCTGATTCAAGACGGACATCCTATTTGAGCTATATATGGATTTCGCGCTGAACTTTTGCAACGAAAATTTTCAGCGAAAACTTTTGTCGAAAACACTGCAATGCATGATGTATGCGTGTGTATACATACATCTAAATGCATGTATCAAAACGCGTACTCTACATGACCCAACTCTCTGGTGCAATTAAGACTGTTGTTTGTGTCTGAAGCTTTATTGATATCATATTTGGTAGATTGCAACAATGAAAAGACTGACAAAGATATGAAGGTGGTTGATGAGAAGTCGTTTGGCTGCGCTTGTCAGTAGTTTGCCTACAAAATTGCACGTAGCGTAGTCTTTGTCCTCGTCCCAAAAGTAGCTTAGTTTGACTGTGCTGTTTTTGCCAGGACATTGAAATCCAAACGATGCTGGACAGTCTCGTGGTAAAGCATAACACATGTTTAAACATGGTAGTATCTCAAAATACTCTTGTGGTTTAACCAACTCGTTGATGTGTTCTAATCTCGACTTTCCCACCTCTCTTTTTTTGTATTCTGCCCGAGTTTCAGTCGTGCATCTTGGTATAGTGACTGCACATAACCAATCCTTATAAGATTGTGCACAATCCTCGCATGTTAAAATCGGTGAAAATCTTTCTTCTTTTTTCACTTGACATGGCTCTTGTTGCAAATTTTTCTCAAAATTTTCAAATATTGATTTCGCATAATTGTCATAAAATTCTGGTAAAGTCATGTTGTCACTATCAATTGTAGATGAATTTCTTGCTAGAGGGACATTAGGATATATTGTTGATGCTGGGACTGTATATGCTATATCTGAGCAAAATTCCAAATCATAAATCAATTGACATGAGTTACTCGATTTGGTCTCAAACACAAAATGATTAAACACCACTCCACCAAGTGTTCCATTGAAATTCTGCAACGAATAAACAATGTACTTTGTTGATGCATTTAATCCATCCAAGTAGAATTGTTTTTTAAATAAACCCCCTCTTCTTGTAAAACTAGTTTGCATATCGCTAGTTTTGTACAACGAGGGATTATTCTTGACTGCACACCAACTTCTATTTAGCCCATTGAATTGGTATTCCCCAAAGGAAGAATTGTCACTGTATTTATAAACATAGATATCATAATCTGATGCTGATTCTAATGATGTTGTTATTTCCAGGAAGTCACTACTATCTGTATGATTTGTAACTTCTGATAAATTCCCAGTTGAAAATAATGTTGATGTGTCGTCTGTGTCCACTAATGAAATCCAGTTTCTATCATCCCATTGATAAATTAAATTGGATTGCGATGCACCAATCTGATACGACCACACTTCATCTTCATCAATGTAATCAAGATCTGGTGCCTTAACTAAAATATAAAGCGTAATATACGTTTCAGTTAGATTGTTTGGCATTTCATGAGTCGCTAGATCCTGCATATATCCATATTCAAATGATTTTTTTGAATATTCACTTTTTGAAAGACTTGATATATTTGCAAACAAGTTTACATTAAAACTAAAATAAACTTCCAATGCTGTAGATGAATCATCAATGTCTTCGTTTTTAAATCCTGACGGTAAAGAACAAATATTTCCAGATAAAAAAATTAAAACATGATAATATGATGATAATCCTGTGGATTTGGTATTAACATTAAACTGATAATACTTTGTTTGATTTTTGGCGATATTATCACTGATAGGCTCCCAATCAGAGATTGTATCTGCATCATCTTGATTAGTTCCTGAATCCAATAGAGATTTTTCGACAAGTAAATGAGTTATGTTGTCACTAATAATTTTATTTTCATCAAAATCATAAGTCTGGAGATCATCCTGAATATCATCCTCAAAATTGTTTCTTTGACCATCATCAAATGCTGACAATGCCAGTTTTATATTTTGACATGTAATATATTCGTTGATTCCATAATTGGCTAGTATTCTATTGCAATCTAATAATACACATTTATTGCTAATGGAACCTAAATTCACTGAGTAACTTGTATAGCAATATTGCCAAAGCTCATTTTCGATAGCATTATAGGAGTAGCCTGAATAACTAAATTTGATGAGACAGAATAGAAGTACTAGCACGTAATAGTTCACTACTTGGACAATATTAGAACCCATTTATCTATCCTTTACACCAATACCATTAATTAGCTTTTTATTTATCTATTTTTCCTGGGATGCGACAGATGATGATTTCGCATAGAAAGATTATTAGATCAAGTTTGAGAAACCTGAAATTAGGATTTATCCGTTTCAACTTTAAAGCACATGAAAGTGATCAGAGAAAGCTACAGTTGTAGTACATGTTAAATATGGCTACAAAGAAATGCAAAGATCAATAATTGTTTAGATTTTGTTTAGATGTTGTTTAGATTTTGTAGCTATACTATATATGAAGGTTTGGAAAAACATAAAAAGGGCCATGACAATTAGTTTTCCTCAATTTCTTTGACATGGTCTTTATGAGTCTTCTGGTATCTACCAGAGGGATCCTCGTTGCAACCCCATTCAGCCTTTGGAACCCATCTCATGACAGTGTCAGCAGCAGCCTTTTGAGGAAACAAGTCATCAAATAAGCATCTGTACCAGTAGGCCTCCTTTGTGGTTGGAATATCATCGCCCCAGTGAGGTTTTGGGTTATTGAATTCTTCGTCGGAAACTTTGAGCTCAGAAGTGTCCTTCAAACAGTCAATCCAACCGTAACCAACACCATCAGAGAATTGTTCTTTTTGTCTCCATAAGATTTCTTCAGGTAAGTAAGGCTTAAGGTCGGGCTCACCTGTGGTATCAAAGGCCTTACGTAATATGTATTTTTCAATTCTTTGTTTGTTGATCAATTTTTCTTTTGGATCAATGTTGAGGGTCAATTCCAAGAAGTTCTTGTCTAAGAAAGGAACTCTTGCTTCAAGACCCCAAGCCATTGTGGACTTGTTAGCTCTAAGACAATCGGCCAAATGCAAGTTCTTAACTCTTTTGATACATTCAGTGTGGAATTCTTCTGGAGATGGAGCAGAAGCAAAATAAAGATAACCACCAAATATTTCATCAGAACCTTCACCAGATAGAACCATTTTGACACCTTGTGCTTTGATTTTTCTACTTAAAAGATACATTGGAGTTGAAGCTCTGATGGTTGTGACATCATAGGTTTCCAAGTGGTAAATAACATCAGACAAAGCATCTAGACCTTCTTCGAGAGTGAAATGGTGCTCATGATGAACAGTACCGATATATTTGGCGACTTTTTTAGCAGCAATCAAATCTGGAGCTCCAGGCAAGCCAACAGCAAAAGAATGTAATTTGGACCAACCAGTGTAACGAAGGTTACCTTCGTCATCAATACCGGCCAAAACTTCATTAGCATCAATTTCTTCGTCAGTGTTAACTGCAGCAGCAGCCTTAGCAGTTTCTCTTGCAGCAACTGAAGCAATTAAAGAAGAATCTAAACCACCGGATAATAAGACACCAAAAGGAACATCGGCCATTAATCTTTTCCTAACGGCTAGTTCAAGAGTTTGCCTTAATTTTTTATAGTCAATAGGTGTGGAAGGAATTTTGTCTTGATCCCACCATGTAGGTTTGAAATACCTTGTTATCTTATCTGTTTTGGAGTCGTAAACGTGGCCTGGGGGGAAGGCAATTATATCATCACAGTCATCGACAAGACATTTCAATTCGGAAGAAAAGAAAACACTTTTAGGGTTTTTAGAAGATCTGCCCATATAAAGAGTAATGACACCAATTGGGTCTCTTGCAGCTATAATTCTGTCGTTTTTGGAATCGTAGAGAGCAAAGGCAAACATACCATCCAAATAGGTTGGACATTCAATGTCGTATTTTTGGAATAAGGGGATAATTGGTTCACAATCACTTAAAGATTTGTATTGGTAATCTGGACATTCAACGGTTCTTAAGTGGATATGGTTATAAATTTCACCATTGACAGTCAAGGATAAAGATTTGTCTGGAGAAGTTATTGGTTGAGCACCAGAATCTAAACCAACAATAGCCAAACGTTCATGGGTTAGAATGGAATTGTTTTGAATGATGTTACCAGACCAATCAGGACCTCTGTGACGAATCAATTTGGACAACTTCAAAGCCTTTGGCTTGAATTGGTTGACGTTGGGATGATTATAACAAGCAAAAATACCACACATCGAGGAAAATTGAGTATAATATATGGATTAAATGGGATGAATAGAAAGAAGGATCTTTTGTTTTGAGAGATTTAATTTAATTTGGCAGGAATATTAAATTAGAATGAATAGTTGTAAAATATAGAGCAAATCTGAAAAAGATTAATAACCAGAAGGAATAAGCCAGAAAAAAAAAACACCAATAAATACCAGTAAATAAAACAAGAGAGAATATGGAATATATATATGAATTTGATTTGATTTGATTTGATAGAGGGATATCTCAGAAACTTCGTAAATAGATAGGTTTGATGGAGGCTCTTTGAGTCATAAACGCAGGAATAGATAACAGCACCAGAGTACTCAGCAGAAACAGACAAGCAGAAACACCAGTAAGAGAACAGTAAGAGAATAGCTCGATCCAACAGCTCCAGCAGCAGTGTTCTGGTGGGCTCGATGCCCTGTTATCTCTTGAAAAGTTTTCCAGCATATAATCCTGCTCCCGTCTCGGGCCAATCACAGCGTGCACCCACGGTCCCACCACAATGAGTCACTATCGAAAGCCACCCACGCCGCTGGCGACACGCACGGACCCGCTCTGATTAGCCCAAGAGCTGGTTGTTTTAAGTTTCCATTGGCATCGCGTTGGGGTGGGTTTATGCGCATCTATACCGCTATATACTGCTATATACCGCTTCCAGCTGCTCATTCGCTCTTCAACAAAACTATCTCGCCAATGTCGACCATCGAGTTTAAAACAGAGGTGATGGCCAACATGGGAGCCAATGAAACGTCCTCGTGGATGCCAACTCCCCATTTCTTTCGAGACTCGTTGTTTTTGTTCTTAAAGCTTAGTTCAATGAACGCAGCAGCCTTGGATTTCTTCCCAGCGGACAAGGTGTGCTCGTTGTAATTGAGCACCTCCAAGTGCAAATCAAAATACTTCGATACTGCATCTACAAAGGACGAGATAGGCCCATTGCCCTTACCATTGATGAACACTGATTTGCCCTGTATTATGAGTTCAGCTTCCAACGATCTCTCTTCCTTGTTTCCTTTGGCAATTGAAAAATCTTCAATATAAACTGGCTTGCTTTGTTGGTCAACGTAGTACTCTTTGTTGAACAAATTCACAATTTCAAAGGCTTTCAACTCTCTTCCGTGTTTGTCGGTTTGATTTTGAACCAATGTCGAGAAGACAATTTGCAACTGTCTTGGAAGATCTAATCCCAATTTTTTCAAAATAACCCAGGCGGCTCCACCTTTACCAGACTGAGAATTAACCCTGATCACAGCCTCATAGTCTCGCCCTATATCCCTTGGGTCTAAAGGCAAATAGGGAATCTTCCACGTTTTATCTCCAGCTTTCCATCTCTTTTCTTGACTGGCAAATCCCTTTTTGATGGCATCTTGATGACTGCCACTGAAAGCACAAACAACCAATTCTCCACCGTAGGGTGCTCTTTCCGGCACTGGTATTTTATTGCATCTCTCAACCACCTGCATTACAGATTTCAAATCCGAAAAATCCAAATTTGGATAGATGCCCTGGGTATACATGTTCAACGCCACTGTTACTATGTCAACATTTCCTGTTCTTTCACCATTTCCAAAGATACATCCTTCCACTCGGTCAGCGCCCGCTAACAATCCCAATTCTGTTGCTGCAACAGCACATCCACGATCGTTATGGCAGTGCAATGAAACGCAAACCTTTTCACGCTCACTTATGTGTGTGCAAAAATATTCAATTTGATCCGCATAGACATTTGGTGTTGACATTTCAACTGTGGCAGGCAAATTGAAAATAATAGGGTTCTCAACACTTGGTTCCCACACACTTTTAACTGCTTCGCAAATTTCAACGGCGAATTCCTCTGGGGTATCACTAAATGTTTCGGGAGAAAATTCCAACGTCCAGTTGGTTCCACTTTGACTTGGATCATCTTTGGTTAATGATCTGACTAATTTAATTGCTTCCACCGCCTTTTCTATGGCCACTTTTTGCGACATATTGAAAACAACATCCCTGAACAAATCTGATGTTGCTAAATATATGTGGAGAATAGCATTTTTAGCACCTCTTAATGATTCAACAGTTCTTCTAATCAAGTGCTCTCTGGATTGGGTTAAAACCTGGATAGTAACATCATCGGGACAGTTTTCAACTGCATATCTAGTGAAATCAAAATCTGTTTTTGAGGCCGAAGGAAATGCAACCTCAATTTCCTTAAAGCCCAACAGGAGCAACATTTGAAAGTACTCCTGTTTTTCTTCGATACCCATAGGATCCGGCAATGATTGGTTCCCGTCACGGAGATCTGTGGACAACCATCGAGGTGGTTGTGCGATGGATTTCTCAGGCCAAGTTCTTTGGGGAAATTTTATGGCTTGAAAGGCTTTATATTTTATGGAAGGGTCTTTTAGCATGTTTGAAGGAGCTTGGTGTTGGTGCTTATGACCATTAGCCTGCGAAAAGCAACTCATTTTTTTCAAGTACGAGGTGAAGAATATTGATCTGTAAAATTAGTGATTATTTGCAAAAATGAAAAGCTAAAGAAGAGTAAAATAGTAAACCAGCTAGGAACAATATATGATTTGTTTGATATTCTGCTGTCCGATAGTAATTATCCTTATATTGAATTGTATTTATACAAATCTGTCTGTTCTACGTTCACACTCTTCCATGAGTCATTACATATGGAATTTATTGGGTCGAAACATCACAATAAACTCGACTGAAAAAAAATTCACTGAAAAACTCGATGAGACAAAAAACAAAATTCCATTTGCAAAAACATGATTGCTCGCAAGAGTCACAGTTAGAGTGCTAACCCTAATGTTGGGGTTCTGCTTCGTTGCAAAACTGGGGACAAATGAGATGCGGCCCAATCAAAGAGGTATTCTCCGACACTATCCAGCAATGCTTTCTTGTTCCACGCTTATCCGCAGTTTGTTTATTCAGGTACTTGCCAGAGCCGCGGAGGAAGAAACAGCCCATAATGCCGGTTTACAGCGGAGGGGGCCGAGCACATGCCTGTGGCGACACGGGCTCGACACGGGCTCGACTCCTGTGTGGGGCTTTTCTGCGGCTCTTTTTTTTTCTCAAAACCATTTTAATGACGAGCCCTCTCACAATTCACATGACCTTAACTAGGGCTCTGTTATGCTTACCTCACCTCTACAAAATATTTCATCAAAACTTTCTTTCCTCTTCTCTAGCCTCTTCATATATCAAGCGTCGAAATACCTACTACACAGGCCCACCAAATCTTTTGGAAGACACTGCATTTGATTTATTCAATTCACAAAAATGTCCAAAATCACCAAAGCCACTGTTCGTGAAAACGTTCAAACCATTATTGAGTTTTCTCAAAAAACCAAGAAGAGAAATTTCTTAGAAACTGTTGAATTGCAAGTTGGTCTTAAGAACTATGATCCTCAAAGAGATAAGCGTTTCTCTGGTACTCTTAAATTACCACAAGTTCCAAGACCAAACATGACCGTCTGTATCTTTGGTGATGCTTTCGATGTCGATAGAGCTAAATCCTTAGGTGTTGATGCCATGTCTGTTGATGATTTGAAAAAATTAAACAAAAATAAAAAGCTAATTAAAAAATTAGCCAAAAAGTACAACGCTTTCATTGCTTCCGAAGTTTTAATTAAACAAGTTCCAAGATTATTAGGTCCCCAATTATCCAAAGCTGGTAAGTTCCCAACCCCGGTCTCTCATAATGATGATTTAAACAACAAAGTCAACGACGTTAAATCCACCATCAAATTCCAATTGAAAAAAGTTTTATGTTTGGCTGTTGCCGTTGGTAATGTTGAAATGGACGAAGAAGTCTTGGTTAACCAAATCATGATGGCTTGTAATTTCTTAGTCTCTTTACTAAAAAAACATTGGCAAAACGTTGGATCCTTAGTTATCAAATCAACCATGGGTCCAGCTCAAAGAATTTATTAAGTTATCTTCTTTCGTATTTTATATATTTATGTATATTAATCTAATCTCATAAATCAATACGTAAGTTATTATGCCAATTAATATGTATTTTATTATTTGAGCCCTATTTCATTTACATCATTTTTCTAAATTATCCAATTTATAATTCATAATTTGGAAAATCATATAAATGCATCAATAACATCTCAGGTGTAATCATTTCTTCTTCCAACTCCTCATCGTAGAAATTATTGACACAAATTTCATCCGCCGAACTGATATCTTCTAAACTATACTCATACTCTTCCTTATAAAAATCTTCCTTCTGAAAAGTACTGTTGCTTGCTGGAATTGTGTTTCTATTTCCATTTCCATTTTTATTTTTATTTTGCTTTTTCTCAGCATTGGCCCTTTTCAATCTTTTCAATCCTTCTACCCTTTTTCTATATTTCTTTTTGATTTGTTTCTCTGCATTCTTCAAATCTTTCCTTGTCTGAATATATTTCTTAGCAACGTTATCTCGGGCCAAATTTGGCAGATTAAACGTTGAAAAATATGTTAATAAAATATTCTCTTGATTCAAAGATTCTTTTAAATCATCTCCATCTATCAATTCACTTTCTTTACGGAAAAGTGCCCCGGCGATTTTATTATCAATGAAAAATGTTTTATCATCTACAATAAAATTATCCTCTTTTTCCTCCCCTTCCTCATCAAATGCTTTGCTTATACTTCTTTTTTTACTTCTCTGTTCTCCAAAAAACCAAATTGAATTTTCGGAAGCTTCGTTTGACCGAGAAAACTTATCATTTGCTTCATCAAGTTTTAAAGTTAAATTAGATTCAAATGTCCTTTTATTGGATTTATCAAGTCTGTTTATATCAATCACTGTAGTTTCATCAATTTCTAACTCAGGTTCCGATTCAAATTCACTTTCAAAGTTCAGTTCAAACCCAGATGTCTCTAATGTTGGATCAATATAAATTGATGGGTTATCTTTCAATTCAAAATTTTCTAATCTTATTTTTTTCAAGCGTTTTACTTGATCTTCACCTTTTGTAATAATCCCCAGAATTGTATCTTTTATAGCCGAATTTTTATTCACGAATGAACTAGGAACCACCAGGTTTCTTTCATTGCAATCAGAATTAATATCATTTAAATTACTTATCTGAGCACTCTCTTTTTGTTTTAAATTATCATGAATTATTTTGGAGGGGTTCGATATAAAGGATAAATCTGACATTAAACCATTTAAACAAAAAATCTTTCTTTCTCCAACCGAAAACCAACTTGAATTTTCAAATTGTTCAGTTGTCATTGGTTTATCCTTATTTCCTTTCACATTTAAATTCAAATTTCTTTTTAAATATTTCCAGTAATTATTCAAGTAAATTGGTTCAATATCATCAATTTGAATATTTAATTTTTCGCAATTAGTCTGATGGTTCTTTAATCTCGGAAGTAAATCTAATTCATAAATACTATTATAGATATCTCTTTGAGTCATTTTAAATGATAAACCCTTTTCTTTTTCTTTTCCTTTTTCTTCTTCAGCTTCAAATTCAAAGCCTTTTTGAGATAATTCGATTAAAGATAGCTGATTATCGTTTTTCCATAGTTTTAATAATTTTGTTTGTATTACTTGTGAAATAATCGAGTAAACTTTTTTGGTTATAATTTCTACCAAAAAATTGCAGCAGCCACTCGTCAACTTAGGATATTGATTATCTTTCATAAAAACCTTGTAATCCTTTAGTTCTTTTAAATTGTTTTGCATGTAGAGTTTTTTAGTTAAAATGTCCAAGTTTCTTGTAATTAACAAACCATTTTCTTCTATATTCGATTGCAGAGCCTTTTTATTTTCGTAAGTAATAATACATGAAGCTTGATTCTCTTCCAAATCAATAAAAGCTTCAGACATTTCATAGGCAATTGGCATTTCATTATATTTGATCAATCTTTTAAATACTGTTTTTCTGCTTTTATACATTTTCAAATTATTTTTTAGCAAGGTATAGTAACAAATAATTTCAGATTCAGATTTATTGGGTAAATGCGTTTTGATCATGTCTAAATTATGAATAGAATATCTTGAAAGATAATGAAAAAAAATTTCTTTTTCTTCTGGACTCCACAAAGTGCCTCCATCATAGCTGTTGGTATCAATTAAATATTGTGAATCAACTCTTTGACTTGCATTGATTTTAACCAATGAAAAATTAAGTTTCTTGTCAATGTTCGAATATTTAATTGGATTGAATATATCAAAAATCTGTTTATTGTAGAAGTCAAAGTAATTTCTATTTACTCTTAACACATTTCTTGTTTTTTTTGCTCCTATCGTTGTGGTTTTGCTGGATTCAAAATGGACTAACGACAAATCACTTCTCTCTGTTGCATCATTTTCCCCAGGTTCATCTGACTGATAAACAAAATCTTCAGAGCCACTGTTTTCTAAATCTTCTTTACTTGTTTCAATATCTTCTAAATCACCAGTAGAGTCACTAGGTTGATCCAAAGGTTTCATTATCGAAAACAGAAAGCAAATCCTCAACTGTTTCGTCTCTAGATCAAAATTGTGCTACTGTTTAAGCTCCGCTTTTTTGGTGCTAGGTTTTGAATTTATCAGGATGATTATGTTTATTCAGAATGATGAAGTATTATACAAAACAAAAATTTAATGAAAAAGATATTAAAAATTTGAAAAAAAAGAGGGAAAAAAAAACAAATAAAAACAAATAAAAACAAATAAAAACAAATAAAAACGTAAATCCTAAAAAATCTTTTTATTAGAATAGCATTCCATTAGCAGATCATTTAAATATAACTTAGCTACTACGCATGTAACGTCCAACTACTATACAATGATCTCTTTCATAAGGCTCTAAAGTCAACTGTTCAAGGGGTTTTATACGTTCTTCTCTCAATTTTTGAACTTCTCTAGCAAAGACAACTTCGGCAGCAACAGTTGAATCGATACAGTTGGCTTTGATGGAAATAATAACACCACCTTGATCTTTGAGGAATAAATGAGAATTCAAGGCAATAATACGGGCTTGATCAGGCTGAGCAACATCAGCAAATACTGCATCAACCATTCCCATAAGCATTCTGTATTTTTGAGGATGACGAGCATCTTCAATGATGGGTATAATGTTAGGTCTTTTTTTAGCCATATTAATCAATTCTCTTCCAGGTCTATGAGCAAATTCTACAGCATATACTAAACCTTCGGGCCCAACGATATCCGAAACATGAGAAACTGAGGTACCTGAAGCAGCACCGAGATATAAGATTTTTTTTCCAGGGGCAATGAATAAATCATCTAAACCACCCATAATACCTGCAGCCAATTTGGATCTGAAAGGATTCCAGACTCTATATTCAATTTTGGTTGGTGGAACACCTTCCTGAGTCGAAGGTTGTTCAACTTGTATTCTTTTTTCTCCATAAACACTCTCACCTGGAGCAAAATTTTTAGTGACTAACAAATCTTCTTTACCTTTTGCAACATAAACACCATCATGACGATGAGGTTGAATAACTACTTTGGCACCTCCACGAGCTCCACCACGACCTCCTCTGGCTCCGCCACGACCGCCTCGGGCTCCACCTCTAGGACCTCCTCTAGAGCCTCCTCTAGGACCTCCTCTTGATGATCCTCCACGACCACCTCTGGCTCCACCCCTGGAGCCTCCTCTACTGCCAAAACCGCCTCTGCTTCCAAAGCCACCTCTGCTTCCGAAGCCGCCTCTGGCACCTCCACGGCTACCTCTCTGTTCAAAACCCATTGTTATGATAAATTATGATAAATTATGAGTGAAATTGAGTAACTATAGGTTTGAAAATTTTAGAAATTTTGCAAACAAAAATAAAGTTGATGCTTATTTACGGAGAATCCTAATTATTCAGATCTGAATTGGAAATTGTAGCAAATGACTTGAAACCAGATTGGATTATTCGGTTACAACAAAAGTTATAATTCGGTCAATATAATTCAAATTTAAGCCCAAGTTGTTGGTTAAAGATTGAAGAATTGTTACTGAATTGGATTATTATTTTGGAGAGATAAATGAAAATTTTCAGTCTTTGGTTGAAAAATGAAAAATTCCAATAAAAAAAATTATCATGTGCTCGTAACCGGGTTATCGAGCAGACGAACGCTCTTAAGAACGTGTTTGCTAGAGGTTTATTAGAGGTGGAAGCGTTCGTTTATTGTTATCTAAGATTTAAATTCTATATGAGAGAGAGAAAGTAAGAGAGAGAGCAGATTTGCCGGAAAGATTAATATTTAATACTCAAAATTGAATGGAATGTTCTCAGAGCAGACATATATGACTTTGGTGTTTCTTTCAAAGCCGTTGAAACCAGTGGTAGCAGACAAAGTGTAAGCACCAAGGTCGTTGAAATATAACCAGTCTTCAACTTGAACAGGATAGTTTAATGTGGCATCTTTATCGATGCAGTCCAATCCATCGCATGTGGGACCCCAGATAGAGACATTGTATTTTCCAGCGGATTTGTTATTATTCTGCGAGCCAGAAAGGTTTTCTTCATCAAAATAAACAAAGTTGCCATTGTTTGTTGCGACCTTAGCAAAAGGGTTCTGGTGATCGTATAAGATGCAGTTCATATTTCCATAAACACCATCGTTAATGTAAAGCATAGTTTTCTCATGGTGGGAGTTTTGGTGATTTCCTCTTTTGCCAATAACATTTGCAACCAAAGTGAAAGCTGTTGCGACAAAATATCTTCCGGGTTCAGCAATAAATTTAACTCCTAGAGAATCAGGAAAATATTTATCTAAGGAATAGTTTAATAGTTCGCAAGAATCGTCAAATGTGTCCTTTGAGAAACCTCCTCCGACGTCCAAGATGTTCATATTATGCTTAGAAAAGCCATAACCCCAAGCTAGTTCAAAGATTTCTCGACAATTTTTAATTGAATTATAGAAGGAGTTAACGTCATTTGTGCCAGAGCCAATATGAAATGCTAAACCAGCCAAGTTTAAGTTCAATTCTTTGCATTTAAGAACCAAAGAGCTAATGGTTTTCAGGTCCAAATCACAACCGAATTTTGAAGATAAACGGCATTGAGCGAACTCATCGTCAGTTTTAATTCTTAATAAGATTTTTGAATTTCGATGATTTTTCTTGATTTTGTACAATTCATCAATGTTATCAAAGGTCATTAAGTCAACTTGGTTATTGTTTGCATACTGAATGAAAGAGTTGTTTTTAATGGTATTAGCATAAATGATTCTATTGGGATTAATATTATTATTTAAAATAATCTTGATTTCATTTTTCGAAGCGCAATCAAAATTAGCACCCAAAATGGATAAGAATTTTATAACGGTCAAGTCATTATTACATTTAATAGCATAATGAGGTTGGATTCTTGGTAGTTTTAATTTCCAATTAATAAATAAACGATAAATTTCACCTAAATCGCAAACGAAAAATGGAGATTCAGAATCATAATCATTGTTTTTGTCATTATTGTTGTTATTTTCAATAAAATCAAGTTGAGATAAATGATTTTGAATTGCTTGACCAACAATATTTCTTGACTTTTTGATATTTTCAATACTTGAGGGATTAAGTTGATTACTATTGTTATTAATCTTAGATTTAATATCGTCTTTCAAGTGGTTTGAAATTTTGATTTCATTGATTTCATTAATATTTCTAATGGAAGTTGAATAATCAACCAAAACTGGGAAATTACCTTGAGTCATTTTATATTCCAATTAAAAAAACCCAAAAAACTAAGTTTAATAATTTGATAATTTGATAATTCGATAATTTAATAATTTAATAATTTAATAATTATAAAGACCAACACAAAAAGATTCAATAATAGAGACAACACTAAAGCAGATCTTTGACTGAGACAATGATTAGAAAGAGAAGAAAATAATAAAAAAGATCAATAGATAATTTTGTAAGATTTTCAACTTATATAAGAACTATGGAGGATTATAAGAGATGTTACGCAAAGAACTTTAGAATTGTAGCGAGTCTAAAGAGCGATCTAACAACTGAAGGCATAAGAGCTTTATTGAAACTAATAGTGATAAGAAATAACCTATTCTTGTTGATAAATTATATATAAAAAAAAGAAGAAAAAAAAATTGAAAGAAAAAAGGGCATAGTCGTAAAAAAAATCCATCGGTTACCAATAAGACGGATGTTGATGTGAAAAAAATCTGAAAAAATTAAGAACATTGGCCAAAAGAACAGTGAACTCTGAGACCAGCAAGAAGTAGCAAGAGAAACAAACAAGTTAGAACCACAGGCAGCTGGGTCCACTATTTCCTGTTATTTGGTTAGTTTCAACAGAATCATCAAGACCATTCAGCCCTTTTCAGAAGAAAGCAATCAAACAACAAACACATAGCACTCCAACTCCTGCGAGCATGAGTCGAACAGCAGTATTTTGGTCAGCTTCTTGAATAAAAGCACAACTTTTTGAAAAAAGTACCAGTAGCCGTGTAGGGTGGCGCTTTTTGCGTGGAAGGGGCAATGTAGTAGTGTATAATGTAACGTGTGCAGTAAAATGCACATTAAAATGCACCTCGGAACCCAGAGTCACCCGGCCGTGTTTAGAGGGGGTAACTTTATTTTCGGGGTGGAAAAAATGAGCTCCGTTTCTTGAGTTTTTCTCGAGTTTCCTCAGCTTCTTGAGCTTCTTCAGCTTCTCCAGCACTGCGTTCTCTGCTTCCTACAATGAGTGTTCCTCGATTATACTACAAAATAACACAGACAAGGTCTGCCATTGCTTTGCCCCAGCACTACAAATCCATCTTGAACTATCTTGGGTTGAAAAGAAAAGGTCGTGTGGTGTACAGAAGGGTGTCTCCGATGATCGCTGGTTCTATTGCTGCTGTTAAGGAATTAGTCCAAGTAGAGCTATCCGAAAAAAAACTCACCAAAGCTGAGATCAGAGATGCCAAAAGACCCAAATTAGGTTTTGTCATTGAGAAAGACTGATTTCATGAATTCTGTTCAAAGTTACTTTATTTTGTATATATGTTCCTGCTATCACTATTCCTCTTAATAGCGTTTATCAGTTACTTCTATGACATTGGAATATAATATAATATAATATTATAAACATTAGAAACCATTTTTATTTTCAAGGACAAGTAACAGGAACGTTCAATTATTTTTTCAAAAACGAAGTATTATCTAAAAACTAGTCAATTAAATGTAACTATACTATTACTACAATTCCATCTTTTATCAAATTTGTTTTTCCAAGATATAATTTATCCAAATATTTGCTGCTAATTATTGTAATATTGTTATCTTTCATTCTACATGCGTTTGGATCAGTCCAAGATAGCTATATTTTGCATTATCGAAATTTGAAACAACCCAATAAATTAACTTGACTAATAGTTGAATTAAAAATTTATTAATTAGTTCCAAATACTGTTTTTATCATTTTTAAAAGCATTTTTTATTCCAATAATCCAAAATCAACAAAATTTGTAAAATAAAAAACAAATTTCTTTATTTTTGTACTGTTATGGTTTGTCTTTATCCAATTACGAGTGAGATGATCACTATTCACCCGATATGTTGCTTTTTTCATTAAATGACTATAATTGCAAACACTAAAGTAGATGGAGTTTGAAACAAATGCACTTCGAGTTTGTTTGGCTTTGCAAATCCAAATATGAAAATAAAAAACCATCCAGCAACAAAGTCGAAATACCAAATTCCTTATTTTTGATAATTTCATTTCTTAAAAATAACCGTTTTCGCTGCATTGTATATGCATTATAACGTTACTAAGATCTTAGTGCATTAACATGCACTAACCTTTTCAGTTGACCAAACCACAAAAAACTAACTGCTCTTTATTTTTTTATTCGATATTTTTCGAACAATTGTCATTTTATTACCATTATCACTAACGCTTTGCTTTAATAAATTTCTTTTATCATCGGTAGAACCAATAATACAAAAACAAAATAATAAGCGTTTTAAAATAATGATTGTAAATCTAAATTTATATAACCACCATACAAAAGAAATCACTTTTTTTTTTAATCCGTTGAGGATTTAAATCAGATTTATTATATTTATAAGTATATAAATATCTATAATAGTTAATTTTGAAGAGAATATAAAAGCCATGACCATAAATAGTAAGATTAGTACTAACATTACAAAAAAATCTAAGTTGAATTATTAAAACAGATAAAAATGATAAAAATGATCATTAAGAAAATCATGCTGTTGAACTAAATAAACAAATTTTAGGATAAAAAAAATAACATAAGTGAAGTAAACCAAGTTTCAATAATAATAATAATAATAATAATAATAATAGTAAGAAAGATGCAGTTGATGCAAAAAAATAAAAAAATTGGTTAAAATATACTAATACTGATCAATTTAAAAAAATGATAAGTAAAGAGAGCTCTAATAACGGTAAGTGTCTGGTTTGAATGGACCTTCAGCTGGAACACCCAAGTAATCACTTTGTTTGGTGGTCAATTTGGTCAATCTAGCTCCTAAATGATCCAAGTGTAATCTGGCAACAGTCTCATCCAAAATTTTAGGTAAAACATAAACATCAACATCAAATGGACCAGTTTTTTCAAATTCAACAAATTTTTCTCTAAACTCTTTGTTATTGGCATTAAATAAAGCAATTTGAGCTAAAACTTGATTACTAAAAGAACAGGACATGACAAATGAAGAGTGACCAGTACCACAACCAAGGTTGACCAATCTACCTTCAGCTAATAAGATAACATGTTTACCAGACTCTAAAAGATAACGATCAACTTGTGGTTTGATGTTAACGTGTTCAACATTGTTTGCTTTAATCCAAGCGACATCAATTTCAATATCGAAATGACCAATGTTACAAACAATTGCATCTTCAGGCATTTTTAAAAAGTGTTCTGCAGTGATGATATCTCTGCAACCAGTAGTTGTGACAAAAATTTGACCAATTGAGGTAACTTCTTCCAATGGAGAAACTTGATAACCAGAAACAGCAGCTTGCAAAGCATTGATTGGATCAATTTCAGTGATGATGACTCTAGCTCCCATACCTCTAAGAGCCATGGCACAACCTTTACCGACATCACCAAAACCACAAACAACGGCGACTTTACCGGCAATCATGACATCAGTTGCTCTTTTGATACCATCAATTAAAGATTCTCTGCAACCGTATAAATTATCAAATTTAGATTTGGTGCATGAATCATTGACGTTAATGGCAGGAACCTTTAATTTACCATCCTTGACCATCTTATATAAATGGTGAACCCCAGTGGTGGTTTCTTCAGATAAACCATAACAACCTTCTAACATTTCAGGGTATTTTTCATGAACGAGAGAAGTTAAATCTCCACCATCATCTAAGATCAAGTTCAATTTCTTTCCATCTTTGAAGGAGAAAAGTTGTTGTTCAATACACCAAAGGTATTCTTCTTCAGTTTCACCCTTCCAGGCAAAAACTGGAACACCAGTGGCAGCAATTGCTGCTGCTGCGTGATCTTGAGTTGAAAAAATGTTACAGGAGGTCCAGGTAACTTCGGCACCTAAAGCAACTAAAGTTTCAATCAAGACTGCAGTTTGAATTGTCATATGAAGACAACCAGCAATTCTTGCGCCCTTTAAAGGTTGAGAAGCAGCGTACTTCTTTCTGATTTCCATCAAACCAGGCATTTCATGTTCGGACAATTCAATTTCCTTTCTACCAAAGGCAGCTAAGGAGATATCAGCAATTTTGTAGTGGGACATGGTAAAAAGCAATGGAAGATGAGGCAAGTTTAATTTTGATGAAAGGCAGATGAAACCAAAGAGACAGTAACCAATTAATACTAAGAATAAAAAGATAGTATGAAAAAAAATCGGGCGAAGAACTCTTTAAATGGATGAAAAAATCACTGAAAAATTTTTGCGGAAATTTTGTTGTGCTGAAAAAGAAAGCCAGGAACGAGGTACGAACAACGTGTTTGAATTCCATGTGATAGTCCTGTGTTAGAGAACCGCCAGGGTGGATTTGCAAGACAGGCGTATATGTATGCGCCTTCTGCATGTACCGCATGCTCTGCGTTAGCTTCCAGTATTTTGGACAAGCTCCAGCAGTGTTTTGCTATTTTTGGTACACATTTAATGGTGGTTAGTGGTGAGCAAAACACTTTGGATGAATTCGAGCTATTTGCAATTGGTGTGGGAAGTATTAGAATACAATGTATGTTTAATTCTAAGTTAACCTGATATGTATATGTATTAGAGCTCCTATATTCCTTTATCGCTTTATTTATTTTTGGCTTGTTCTTAGGCTAAGCATTCACTAAAAATATTGAACAAAGTATTGTTAGTATCTATTATGGCTATATTTTTGGAGTATTATTAAAAGATCTACTTGAAATCGAAATACTTTTCAAAAAATTGAAAAGAATTACCAGAAATTTTTGCCTTTGTCTTTATTTTTTTTGTTTTCCACCTACAGCCACATTTATTGTTATCACATTTCTTTCTAAAATTATTAAAAAAAATAGCGATTCTCTCCTTTATGCTATTTTCATTATTGATAGTATAAAGAAATTCATCGGTACTATTTCTAGCTTTTATTGGCATTAGACAGGCATAAGAAACGCAAGAAAGCAATTCACTAATTCCTTCACCAGTTGTTGAAGATACTTCCATATAAGTAAGGGCATTCATTTCAGTTGCAATAATTTTACCATATTCATATGGCACTAGTCCTGAACGATCCTTAATTGATGGTTTTCTTAAATGACTATTGACTCCAACTAGAATGGTTGGGATTACAAATGCGCTATTGAATTCATGATTAATTATTCCATTATGTGTGTTGAATAATTGTTTAAATGAATCAAAGTTATCGATTGAGTAGCACAGAATTATTATATCAACAGGACCTGAATTTTTTTGACTAGATATATTTAAAGTTGTGATTTTATTGCATGTTTTAATTTGAATTATAAGAGGGTCGTAACTTATTGGATCTAAAACATTTACTATCGAGGTCACAAGTAATTTCTTGTCAACATCTCCGGAGATAAGTAGGGTTTTATCAGTTATTTGTGTATATGGCATTTTGATTAATTTTACTTTTATTTCACTAATACTTTGATAACATTAAATGAATTCTATTAAGTTTATATATATTCCCCCTTTATTTTTTTGCTACGATCAATATTATAAAGTATAACACCAATTAAACAGACTTTTCAAGTGTGCTAAAGATCCTAAAACTAAGATTTATCATTACTGAAATATTAGAATGTTGATGGACTTAGTTAGTACTTTATCCCAATGACGTTTTAAAATGAATTATCATAAAATCAAATTTAATTCCATTAGGTTAAATTAGACTAAATTATTTAATGGCTTCAGATTTTAACCAAAAAGATAAAAAAACAACTTTAATCAATCTGATACACATTTCAAGTTGCTAGATACAATAAAATATTTAATATGTATTTTTTTTACTAAAACAGCTTAAGCTTCAACTGTAAATGCCAATGTGATTCCCCAGCCAAAAGATCTTTTCTTTAAAAAAACAATAGGTACTAAAGAAATGGAATTATTATTAATCGATAACCAAAGAATGCAATCCATCGGAAAATTAAACGCAATCACGCGTTGGTATGCATTATTGTGTACATGCGTGTAAATGCATATACACATCAATAAACAATTGATATCCCGAAAAACATGAAATCAAAACATTTTTAAGCACATCAAAAAACTACAAAGTCACTGCTCAAAAACAGAGAAAAAGAAATTTTACTGCCAGAAGAATGATGAAAATAATAGATAATTCACTTTTTTACTGCTGCAATTGAAGTGGTTCTAATAACTTCAGCTAACAGCATCATAGCATTTTTTTGTTCCATCACGCTCCATCAATAGTCTTGTTTGTTATCATAAATAGAAGAAATTTATAAAGGAGCATTGCTGCCTTGATGCATACCAGCCTAACTTGTAGTCGAATTTATCTCAAAATATCTGTGATTTTTAAAAATTTCCTATATACATAAGCGTTTTTTATCACGATCTCATCAGCCGAATATAATTCTGATTAATCCAAAGCATCCTTCAAGCTTGTAGAGAACGCCCATAATCATCAGCCATATGAATTATAGATTCATTCAAATCTAGATGTGACTTTTCTCAGAGCAAACGTATCTGCTGGCAGTAAAATTCGGGCTTCAGTTTTGTTTTGAGGTGAGGAAACCAACGGACTTTGGTAAGAGAATACTCTGCACCAAGTTCTCACAGACAATATACTGTTAACACGCTATATAACCTTCTTCTCGGAACAATGCACATATCAAAGCTGTTGTTTCTACTTCCAGTTTATTTTTGGTTGGGCTTGCTAGACTTTCGTAAATGGGGTTTGCTCGCCTGCCTTTCTGCTTTTAAATCGCCCATTTCTCATCTACCTAGACACGTTTTCCAGTTGAACACACTATTTCATGTTTCTTGTCGAACCGAGCACAGCATGTCTCTGCTGAATGCCTTTGGTTCTCAACATCAAGCTATTATCCTTAAACTGATGCTGTAAAATCTGAAATCACCACTACAAACTGTGTACTTCCTGATTGGATTGTTCTATTCTATAAATACTGCTTGTTTCGGTCAAAAAAAAATATTGTAAAATTGAATCGTTTGGTTAACATGAAAAAAATTTTCCCTAAATCAAAATAGATTTTTTAAAACAAAAAAACAACTTTTGATGCTATTTAGTCTCTATGTTCAAATAAATCATTATTCAAAACTTTAAAATTACAGTCCTACCTTGCAGCGTTTTTACTTTCCATTTTCAAAGTATTTCAAAAATTCTTCTATTTCAAAATTATACTCATTAAGGGAGTCATATTCATATCTCGTGGTGAAATCGTTTTTAATGCTGTTTTCCTGATTATTTTTATCACTAAAGCTCATTCCAAAAATATTGTTGTCATAATTTTCAATATTGGACTGATAGCTATCAAGCAGATCCATTCCCCTAAAATCAATCTGACTTCCTGAAAAATTACTTATTATGTTTCTAGAATTATCTTTAGCCTCTTCAATATCTGCTAAATCCTTTTTCAAATCAGAAAAATTTTCGGGAAATATCACTTCATTTTCATTAGTTTTTCTTCTTTTATAATTCGATGAACATGAATTTTCATCATTTTGGTTCGCTTGAGGTTGCGTGTCATTAAAAGGAGTTGGAAAAGAAGTAAAATTATTATTCATCCTGGGTTCAAGATTATCTTCATTCCCTAAAAAGGTGCTTGAACTGTACGTTAAATCTTGAGATGTCCTCTTAAGGTTTTTTGGACTTTTGAAACTTTGAGAATTGCAAAAAACTCGTGAATTCTGTAAATCCTGGGAATTCTTATCAAAATTATAATCACATTTCTTTTGTTTAATTTTGTTGAGATTAAATTCATCTTGAGATTTACTACCATTATTTCCTGCTTTTTTTGATTTATTAGAACTTTCACAAATACGTTTTGGACCTTCGTTTTCATTATAATTTGATCCATTGTCATTTCTCAACCTAAAAATCCTTTTGTCTTTTAAATAATTATAAAAATTAACCGAAACTCGATAAATCACAAAAAATGTATAATAATTTTTCAAATTTTCTCCTATTGTGCGATAGAAAAAATCAAAAAGAAGTTCATTTAACTCATTTTTCTTTTCGTGAAAATTATAAAACCTAAATTCTTTGCGAAAGTTTTCCAAGTTATTTTTGGTTACCGAAAAATTTTCAATGTTGATCTCAAAAACATTCTTTTTAAAACAAATTTTTTCAAAATCTTCCAAAGAAAAATTTGAAATGTGGTGCTGACAATTTATAGAATTCAGAAGACAACAATTCCTGTCACCATTTCTCGGATACTTTTTTTTACAAAAGATATTTGAATACAAAAATGTTGATGATCTTAGTGCTATTCTTTTGATATATGGATACAAATAAATATTAAAAATATGTTGATTTTTTAAATCTCCATTTATGGATGAAAGATTTTTATCTATTGATACTGCAAGAATTCTTTTAGACAACAATATAATTAAAATAGAAAAGTTAGTGGTTTGATTTCTATAATAATTTTCTGATGTTTCTAATTTTTCAAGTTTATCAGAATCTATTTGAATATTAGATTCTTTTAGACTGTTAATATAATTTTTCACACTAAGACATAGGATATTAAACATGGTCACAATATTATCTATCAACTGCAATTGAAGTTTTAAATTTCTGATCAACTCTATGATTTCGTTTTGATTTACGGATTTATTCAGATTTTGATTTCCGCCCAACAAATTATAAGCTCTTTTCAAGTTTTGTGATATTGGAATAAAAACAGGCTTGAAATTGTATGTTTGGATTAATTGATGAATGCATACTTCAAGCTGAACAGTTGTTATAAAATGATCTCTTTCATCGTGTAGTTTGAAGAGCAAATCGATAATATTTCTATATTGATAAAGCATTGCATGGTGAATCATTCGTTCTGTTTCGGGAGGTAGCATTTTCTTTGCTTTGGAGGGACAAATAATTTTTTTTAAGTAGTCAATTGAGGAAGTAAATTTAAAGTTATCACAAAAATTTTCGTTAAATGTAATGGGATAACCTAGATCAAAGGACCTATGAATATCCAAGTTTAATAAAAAAAACCAGCAATATAGCATCATTCTGATGATATTCTGTTTTGTTTTGAATTTTTTTTCTTCAGTATTAACATTTGATAATAAATTAAATGAGATTGTTTCCAATTTAAAGGATTCAAGATTTTTACCATACATTACTTCAGATTTCCTGTGAAAGCCCATTTGAATTGCCATGTTAAAACAAATGGAGAAAAGCAAGGAGCCATTAGAAGAATCACCACCATCACCATCGTCTGGATGATAAGTTTTGTGACATCTTAATAATAGTAAAGCTTGCAAAGCAGTAACAGAGGTATTTTTCATAAAGTTGGATAAAGACAAACAATTTTCAATAAATATGATTAAGATTTCATCATCATTTTGTGGAATATTAGGATGTAGTATTTCTTTGTTAAAAGTTAAAGAGAATTTTACAACTAATAGAATTAAGGCGATTTTTGCGAAATCAGTTCTTTTATTAATAATTAATATTTTAAAGTCATTTTCTGGGGAAGAAATAAAGGAGACAATGTTAGCCTTTGTGCCATTAGGAATAAGATGCGAGTAAGGGATTTTAGAATCATCAATATTGTTGTTATTATCTATGAATATAAAAACATCATTAAATATAGAAAGCATGTATTCTTGAGTTATTAGAGGAAAGAGTTTATGCAAACCTAGGATGAAAAATTTCAATAAATAGTGCTTTAATGTATTATAGTTTGGTAAATAATCTAATAAATTTTTGAGAAAAAGGTTGTTATCAAAAGCTAAACCCAATTTAGTATTTGAGTTTAAAAATGGGAAAACCGATGTATAGTTGACTTTTTTTTTTTTCAGTTTAAATTTTTTTCTTTCCATTTTTGTTTTAGCAAAAATGGTATGATAAATTTTAGAGAAAAAGGGGTCCATGTCAATTATTGTTCTAAAAGAGGTTGCACCAAAGTAGATTAATCTATTTTGCTTTTGAAAAGAAGAATGGAAATTTTCAAAAGATAGTTTTATGTCATTAGAGGAGTTGATGTTGTTTGGAGAGTTTGGAGAATAGTAGTTCAAAGCCGAAGAGCTTGAAGATGTGTTGTTGTTGTTGTTGTTAGTATGAGTATTAGTGTTGTTATTGTTATTGTTATTGTTATTGGTATTGTTATTGTTATTAATGGCTTGTGTTTTAGCCTTTCTTAAATTAGTAATTTGGTTATTTAAAATTGCGTTTGTATGTTTGATATCATTAAGTTGCAATTTTAATAATTCATTTTGAGATTTGAGATCCTTTAGTTCTAGGATTAATTCTTTTTCAGAAACTAAGGAATTTATAAAGGGAGAATCATTGATATAAGAACATAAATGTTCAGTTTTTTTTTCAGAACAGGCAGAACAAGGTTTTTTTCTGTTGCATTTAATTTTTTTTTTACGGCAAGAAGAGCAAGATATTGGGATTCTTACTCTCTTTTTCTTAGCAGATTGAGAAGGGTTTTCTTTTTTTTTAGTTGATGGTATTGCGGTTGGGGTTGTTGATTCTGATTTTAGACCAGAGGTGGTGTTGATATTGTAGCTATTAGTAATGCTATTGATACTATTTCTGTCAAGGTTGTGAATACTGCTATTAGCATTATCATCAACACTGTTGTTGTCGTTTGTTGAATCTAATGGAGATGTGGCATTAGATCTGGTGGAGATGTTTGAGGCTAAAAAGTAGGGAACAGAAGCTGAGGGAGGAGCAGAAAAGGAATGAAAAGGATTCTGAAAAGGAGTGAGATTTGTATCTATTATAATGGGATACTGTGAAGATTGATTCTGCTGGTGTTGTAATTGTTGGTTCTGGTGCTGCTGGACCTTCTGCTGGGGGTTCCGCTGGTTGTGCATTTGTTGTTGTTGTTGCTGTTGCTGCTGCTTCTGCTGCTGGGAACAAATATTTGAGGAAGTGCCTGGAGAACCACGTTGTGACATCCTCTGCAGTGCTTATAAGATGGAAGAGAAAAATTGGATAGAATAATAGAAGAAATTAACTTTTGGCAGAAACAAATTGAGTTCTGTAGCTGGGAAAATAGAATAAACAGATGTGTTGAGTTGTCTTAGCTTTGGTATATATAGGCCTATAAAGTATTCCAGGTGAAGAAATAATAAACATGGAGGAGCTATAAATCTAGGTTCTTCATAACCTATCTGAAGCCAATAAAAGCCAGTATCTGGAAATATATCCATTACAAACAATTGGGAGTTAATGGCCAACTCTAAGTATGTGGGTTGATTTTGGCAGACGATCCAAGATAGTCAATTTCACGGGACAATAACAAACGCAATACAAAACTCTAAACCTAACGGTGCGCTTGAGTGCGCAACCCTGCGCTATGAGATCATCGTGCTGCGATCTTTCCGCAATTCCACGTCGGTAATGGTGGCCTTGTCAGTCCTCCGCACGTGCTACTTCTGCCGCCTCACTGTGGAAACGCAGATGTCGGTGTTTCAGCCCTATTTTCGAGCGCATGCTCCTTAAGCAGCGCGTCGAGCTGGCCTATCTCCGCGCTTCAAATCCCGGACGCGCCCAAACAACACACCCTCATGCTGGCAGTGATTCATGGTACCTGCATGGTCCTGTAGGAGAATATCCTGCTACCTGCTGCATTTTGGTATATTTCCGCCATTACTAATTATTAATAATAGTTCTTTGGCTCTTACAACGGCTTTATTCACGCTTTACTCACAACTTGTCAGTTATCTATCTATCTCAGTGTCTTTTCTTCCTGGCCCTTTTGTATAATAAAATGGACAATTCTTGTTCGTCTTGATATGGCCAACGGCACCACAGGTAGCGCATTTTCTATTGGTGTTTCTGCCCTTTCCTATGCCTTTACCACTTTTTGCCATTCCCAACTTGTCAAAACTCTCGGCTGTCTCCTCCCGAGATCCAAGCCCATTGGACGACTCATATGTCGTATTTACCCCTAATGAACTAAGGGCTCCATCCTCAATCATAGAACCATTGTTGCCAATGCCCTCATTGACGTTGCTTTCAATGCTATTGTTCCCATACATATCTCCCTCACCATGAGACACTCCAACTCTATTTATGTCGTCTGAAGTCAATCTGCTGTTCAAGTTCACACCGCTATTGCTCTTAATGTTTCCTCTTTTTCGTCGTCCTCTTCCTTGTCCACTACCCTTTTTCTTTCTTTCTGCTTCCAAGATTTCCAAATGCTGTTCTAATATTTTTTTCTCATTCAAGTTCGATGGCGCCTTTATATTGTTCAAATCAAAATCGTATAAGTTCCCTGTTCCTGACCCTAGTCCTAACCCTAGAGCATGCCCACTTCCACCTGACGATAACAACAGCAACTTTTCCTGAAATTGTTCTTCTTTTCTTAATAAATAAGCATTTATAATCCGAGAGTCTTTAATAACTTCTGCCTTTCTTTGAAGCATCCCATTACTATCTTTAATCAACCTGGTAATCTTAAGCACCTTTTCATGTTTGATTCGGTTCGCTTCAAACCTTAAAAATCTCAATTGATTACTTAGATTTTGTTGATTTTCAATGATTTCATTTATATTATCATTGCTCAAGCTTCTTGCCTGGCTTTCCCAAACCCTTTTGATCTCATCGTCGTACGCCTTTTGTTGACTTGCAATACTATAACTATGCCCGGATTTACCCCCTTTACTGCTTCCCTCTTTTTTGTTACTATTACTACCGCTATTATTACCTGGCGTTCCAACAAACGGACTGTTGCTACTATACTCATCTAATGTCTTAAATCCTCCCTTCATTGATGTTTTTAAAAACGAAAATCCTTCCGATATTCCCGTTGGATCCATTTCTCCATGAATTTGCAACATAGCTTTTCCTTGTGTTGCTATGATGAAATTCTTGGTTAAATTCCAAGGTGCCTTTTCATCTTCGTCATTATAATTACTATTACTGTTGTTATTCTCATTGTGATCATTACTATGCTCGTTTCTCTCATTTTCATCACTATTCTTGATATCGTTCAACGCTTTTTGCAACTGATTAATCTGTGAGATTGTTAATTTCCAATTTTTATTTTTCAAAAAGTCTCCACCATTGTTATCATTAATAAACCTAATCAATCCTTCAAAATTTTCCAACGAAATCCTTGATATATTATAAAGCAATGAATCCTCATTATACTGTTGCCCGACTTGCATGCTTTCTAACAATGTTATATCTTCCGGTGTAATCATCGATCGAATCTCTTCAAACTCAGGTAATACTATGTCATTGTTTTTAATTTTCCAAAATCCCTGATCAAATCCAGTTCTCTGGTATTCCATAAACTCCTTTAATCTTTGCCTGTTTTGCATATCATTTTGATCAGGAAAATGCGATGAAATATCTCTTAAAGATAATCTATGATATTCACTTTTGTTTAGCGCTCTAAAAACAATCATTTTCAATCGATTTTTTGAAACCGCTGTAACTTTTCTTGAATGTGGCGATGGAACCTCAACAACTGGAAATAGTTGTCCAACAACAAATAAAAATGGTATACTTCTTAAGAAATATCGAGCATTTTGACCATGAGTAATCTGTCTAATTAATAAGAAATCTGTTGATTTGGCTTCATGTCTAAAAATTGGTGACCTTACCATTTTATTATATAATGTTGGAACTATTTGTCCGTTATTGACAAATCCAAAATTCCAAAATGGCGATCTATCTTGCACTCCAAGAACTTGGGTTTCACCAATAGGCAACTTGGGTCTTTTGGTGTCTTCCTTGGTTATTTTTCTATAATAATTTATAATTTTTGATCCCATTCCAAATTTACTTAAAATTAGTGGCATCTCCTCTGAATATTCTAGCAAGACATAATTCAAAGAATCACCAAGTGATAGATCTGCGGTTTTGTTGAATACTTCCTTAATATCTTTATTTTTATAAGTTTTTCTTTTTCGTAATTTGACTTTTGAAAATTTCATGACTGTATTTGAGCGAATTAAAAATCTTGGTCTATGGAAATATCTCATTTCTTGTTTGGTTAGTTTGACAGGATAATAGGGAGATTGTAATTTAAGAGCAGGAGCTGAATGATCAATTTGTAAATTACCGATAGTTGTTCTGATTTTAGAATGATAGTTTTCATTTAATATTTGATATTGAGTATCATTTGAAAAATTGAATCTCATTGCAAGTTGTTTTTCATTAATTGGGATCTGTGATAATAATTGAGGATCTCTTTTATTTATTTGGTTTCTTCGGGTGCTATGAAATCTGCTTTTTGAAATTTTTTTAATAGAATCGCTTAAAAATAGTAGTTTTGAATCATTCAAATCCAATTTAAGCTTGGGTTCTTTTTTAAAGTAGTTGTGTTCTTCAATATCATCATTATCAGTTTGGCTGTTTTCATCAAGTTCAATCAAGTCATAATCACTTTCGTCAAAGCTATTATCGTAAGGAAATCTATCTTCAAGAATTGAAATATTATTAGAGGTGGTGTTAGTATTTGTATTGGTGGAGTTTTGTTGAATTTTAATTGAAGTATTTTTTTGAGTAGCCGAGTCTAATAATTGATATGAATCATCTAGATCGTCAATTCCAAAAATCATTGTATCATCCCAATTGGAGGTGGCTAATATTAAATCATTAGTTACTATATCAGGTATTATTTTCTGTTTTTTTCTAAGAGAATGCGAGTCAAAATGTGAATTACTTTTCGGGTGTTTTTCTAATATTTTGAAATTATTCTCAATTTTATTGTGATTTTTTGTATTTATTTTACTTATTTCATTATCTGCGCTATCGATTTTTTTGTTAATTGTATTTTTATCATCTGAATTAAGATATATATTATAATAGTCTAAATCATCTAGATGGATAATTTTTTGGCCCAAATAAGAGTCGTCATTTATTTGGGCAGATTGATTGACTTGTTTAATGTTTGAAGACTGAGTTTTGTTAAAGATTTTAATTTGATCAATGTCGATTTCCATGTTTATCTTTGTTGGGATTAGAGGTTTTGCGTTATCTTTATTTAAATTTGCTATTGAATTTTTGAAAAAATAAGGTTTTGAGCCAAATAGGGAACTTAAAGGTAATTTTTTTGAATTTTTATTGAAGCCTGGGTAGTAGTAAGATAGATAGAAGTCGTTCTTTTTAAGTTCTCTTAGCCTTTGCAATTCCTTTTGGTGAAGTAATTCTTGCTTTTTCTTTTGAAACGATTCTTCATTAGTTATCAAGTTAAAATTGTGATCATTGTAATTGTTATTATTGATATTATTTTTGCTACTGTTATTATTTTTATTATTGGTATTAGTACCGATGATAATATTGTTATTATTTGAGTGAGAGAAAGAAGAAAAATCAGTAATTCCATGAGTGGAAGGAAGATGCAAACCTTCAAAAGGAACTTTGGTATTATTTGTAGTATGGTTGATATCGGTATTCGAAGCAGTCTTGTTCAAGTTTTGAGAAGAGTTTTGAATTGAAATTGCAGTTGTGTCACCAAACAAACTGGTAAAATCGTCATTCATGAAATTTTGAGAAGAATTCTGGTTGAAAAAAAAGGGTTCGTCTTGGAGCGATTTGAAAAAGGAATCGGTAGCCAACTCGTCGATATTTGATTTGGGGTTGGTGGAATCAGCATTGTCGCTGTTCTCGAGCAAAGGCTCGTCGTCATCAGCCAATTCGTCTTCATCTTCAAAGTCAATGGCGTTAGCAGCGTGCTTTGTTGAGCCAGAAGCAACAAGTTTTGAAGGATCAAAAGCTGAGAGATTGAAGGCGTCTGAGGGGTTGAAGCCATCAACCTGAGTAAGTAAGGAATTCAAGACATCGTCTTTAGCTATCACATTCTTCTTCTTGGAGGTTGTGCTGGCAGAGTGAGAGTTGCTCATCGTCGGTGGAGATGGTGGAGGCGTTGGTGAAGACCAGCAACATCCTCTGGACTTAAGCGCTGACACTGTGTACACGTGGAATTATGTAAGCAGTACATGTCGTGATTGGTACACGTGCTCCAGTCACGTTTCAAACGCGTGCGTGACCTTCTCTTGAGGAGAAGAAAAGCAGCAGCAGCACAGGCAGCAGAGGAAGCAGAAACACCAGCAATGTCGCGCCACCAGTTCGATCTTCTAGTGTGCCACAAGTTGCCGGGAACGCACGTGGGAAAGCTTTGCGAGAAGTGCGACGGAAAGTGTCCGGCGTGCGATTCGTACGTGCACTCGTATGAGCAGGTTCGGGTGTGTGACGAGTGTGCTTTTGGAGAGAACGAAACCAAGTGCATTATCTGCTACAACCCAGGGGTGTCTGAGGCCTACTACTGCTACGAGTGTGTGATGCGAGAGAAGAACCGAGAGGGCTGTCCAAGGGTAATCAGCATTGGAAGCAGCAGAAGCAACTTGTTCTATGAAAAGCGGAAGCAGGCCTGAGCTGGCGCTTTTTCCTTGGAGTGACCTTTCTCCGATTTCTCTTGCTTGTTTAGGAAGGAAAATTTTTTCTGCTTTGCTTTTTATCGCTGCAGACTTTTCTGTCTTTCAAATTATTCGCTTCTAATTAGTAATAGTTCCATAATATATAAAACAATCCAACATTTCTCAAGCTCCTTCAAGTTTATTTTTAATCCCTCTTTTTCAATTTACAATTTTCTAAAACAATATTTAATAACATTGGTTTCTTATCTCGTCGGTTTTTTTTTCCCTCAATATATATTGCTTTCTTTATCAAGACACATCTACACATCTACACATCTACACATCTACACATCTATAAGTATATCTCTTTTTCCTGACTATCCCCATAACAAGATACAGAGCAGAGATCAAACATCAAACATGACAGGCTCCAGCAAGGAAATATTATTATTATTAGATCCTTCGATCGTCACTAAATCTAATTCACTGAAAGTTGAAATATTCAAAAAGCTCATTGACAAGAAATATCCTCACTCCCATATATATCAGTATTTGCTTAATATTTATTGTCTCAACAGCGATAATGACCAGATATTGTATGATGAAATATTTTATTTGAATAGCGGTAATTTCAAGGATAATCTACGAGGGTTGAAGGGGAATAGCCAAATTCTTTCAAAAGAGGTGGAGAAAGAACTAAAAGAAATAGAGATAACTGATAACAATTACCAGAATTACCAGAATTACCAGACAGATTTAAAAAACAAAGAGTTGGAAAATAACGAGTTGGAAATAATCTTCAACAGATTGAGATATAATGGAAAGTTTTTATATAAAAATAATGACAAAACCAAATTGCAGGGCATTATGATCGGGTTTATAACTGGTGATAATTATTGGACCAAACCTGACTTGTCAAACAAATCTGTATCAATACCTCTCAAAAGAAACACTAAAACTAATAAGAATAAGAATAAAAACATAAAATTGCCTTTCTTTAAAAAGAAAACAACTTCAAATGGACTTGCTAATAATGAAAACAACTACAACAACACTAATAATGACAATGATAAACTAAAATTCTTTGACAATATTGATATAGATTTCAATGATGATCTTGATTTCAACATGGACAATACAAACCACGACCATAACAACTCCTCCTCCTCTTCTTCCCTATTCATAAATGACGATGACGATTATCTTCTCTTGAACTCCAACTTGTTGTCGAATCCAATTGAACTCCCCAACACTGATGACGGTTTGATCTGCTCCACTGACAAAAAGAAAAGGAAAAAAGCCTGCAAGGACTGTACCTGCGGACTTAAAGAACAGGAAGAAAGCGACGCTTTGAAACACTTGTCAATCCAGCAAAAGATCTTGGGCAATTTGGCCCTCAGTGCCAACCAGGAAGCTATTAAGATCGAACAAAGAATCATCTCCTTAGACACAGACGAAATGGCAGAGGTTGATTTCACTGTGGAGGGCAAAACCGGTGGATGTGGCTCGTGTGCTTTGGGAGACGCCTTCCGCTGCGATGGCTGTCCCTACCTAGGTCTCCCCCCTTTCAAACCTGGCGAAATAGTGTCTCTTGATGGTTTTGGTGAAGATTTGGACATCTGAAATGGGCTTTGTTGTTCCGTGTTTGGAGCCGTAACCGGTGCAATGCGCACTCTTCCGACGGCCAACCCACTCGTACAGCGGTGTTCGGTGTGTAAGACTCGGATAATAACACACGAATAGCAATACACGAATAGCAATACACGAATAGCAATACACGGTACATGAAACACGGCCGGCCTGCACGCTTCGTAGATGTAGTGCGTAGGGCTTTCGAAACCGCGCTGGAGCCCGCATGCCAAGCTTTGCTGAGGATGTGCTGCGCATTCAACACTATTTATCTGAAAATATTTCTTGTCTGATCTGGGAGGGCTTGGTACGGTTCCGGCAAAAAGTCTTGAACTGCGTTCCACAAATAAGGTTAGCACAGGTGTGTCCGCACAATTGAGGATAAGCTTAACAAAAATTAAGAAAATGGTGGTAATTCTATTGTAACCTTACCATTTTAAGCTTAAATCGTGGTAGAATTCTGTATTGTTTCACTTGTGCATATTAATTACCTTAGTGGCTTCTTAGCGGATTCTTAGCTTTCTACCTAACTTTCCTTCTTGCCCTTTTTTCATCTTCTTTCCATCCTTTTTTTAGCTTTCTCTTCCCTCCTTCTATTTTTTGTTTTTTACTTAAATACTACCAGGCCCTCCATTTTCCACTCTGCCTATTTCCCCCCTTTCCTTTCTCCATACTTTTGCGCTATTGCTGTCTGTCTTGCTTTAAAAATCTATCCCACTGCCCACCATTTTCCTTTTGTCTATTCTCACCACCCACCCATTGTGCTTTACCACCACCCAAAATGGAGACTTATCATGGAATGATTTCTTCCACAAACGATGCAATCCTTCTAATGGAAGCAACAAGGTTGTCCATCTTGCCCAAGATTACACGACGTTTAACTGAACATGAAAGAAAATCAATCAAATCTGGCTCCATCTACATCTGGGACGAAGAGGAAGCTGGCATGAGACGTTGGACTGACGGAAGATCTTGGTCTGCCTCAAGAGTCTCTGGCTGTTTCTTAAATTACAAAGAAATGGAGAGTAATCTCACCTCAAAAAGCAACCCCCAGAACAACTCACACAGTCACTTGAGTAATCTTAATGGCCTTCATAATTTCAACAATTTCAACAACTTCAATAACAACAACAACTCTGCTTTTCAATCTAACATGCCCATGTATTCCTATAAAATTGATGGCTTAATTAAGCAAAGCTTTTCGTTAAACACAAAAGCTGGAAAAAAATTGCATTTAATCGCCTATTTGAATAACAACATTGATATCAATAATCACAACCTAATGATCCCAACAAAAGACCCAAAATTACAATCTATTAAAATCCCTGATGATATTTATCCCGAAGAATACACAAATCCTGATTCCGATAACATCAACGACATTTCTGAATTTACTTCAGACAATAACAATAATAATACAAACTCAAATACTATCACTGATGCAAACAAAAATATCAATACAAATAATGAAGGTAATGATAATGGTAATGATAGTGACAATCAAAATCAAAATCAAAGAAAAACAGAATCCAACAATAACAAAACTCACTCTGAAGTAAAATCAGAACTCAAGTCTGAAAATCAAATCTCAACAATAAATAAAAATGTATCTTCAAATCTTTCTAATTCTTCAAAAAGCTCTCCAAACAATAACCAACCTCCAACTATTACTCTCCCTTCTATAAACGATCAGTTTTCCTCAAATTCTCCAATAAATTTGATCAATTCTCATAACTATAACCAACCTCTACCCCCACTCCATCAGATTAAAAGCACTGTTCCTACTTTGCCTCCATTAAATTATAATCATCCCTACGATAATTTCTATCTTCCGCAAAACTACACTAACAATAATAATAACGCTAATATGACTTTTATAAACAATAACTATCCTCCATCAATCCCTTCACCTCATCTTAATCATAACTTTCCACCTCACCTGCAACCTCAAAATATTCCTCCTCCAAACCCACGTCAGCATGATTATTATAACAATCGTAACCAAAATTACAACAACACTCATCACTATCATCATCCATCAGTTCCTCCATCAGCTCCACCATATTATAACCAAAATTCACAAATACCCCCAGGCTATAATAGGAATTATAATTACAATTACGATTATGATTACTATAACATGCAAAACCAAAGACCTTATGATCCAATGTATGATCAATACAGCTCATATCTGCAAAATTTACCTCCTCAAGCTCAACATTTTTACAACAGAGGTCCTCAATATCACTCCTCCCAAAATTTTAATCAAATTAACAAGCCTTCTCCAATTATATATCCTCCTCCACCACCTTCACCTTCACCCAACTATCCTATTTCTTCAAATTCTAGGCAATTTACCTCTCCGTTGCCTCCAGCAAACCCTCCACATTATTATCAAAATCAAAATAATTACGATCAGTATCCTTATCCACCAATCTCAAAACCACCAATACCTCCAAGCAAACATGTTAGAAACGATTTCGATAATCAGCTATTGGGTGCTTTAAATAAATCATCTTTCAAATAATTAATTTACCCTTTGTGTTTTTTTTTCAATTTATTTTTAACTCTTTTATTATGTAGTATAATTGAATTTTCATTCATTCATATTTTTAGTCCTAGTCTTACATTCTTGAGTTTTTACATTTCAAAAAGAAAGCAATTCTTTGGAATTCTATCAATTTACGATGTTTACAACAATTCCTGAGATGCTTTTGAACCCTTTTGAATGCTTTTTATAAAAAATTCCACGTATATATCACAGTCCATATAGCTTATAATAATTAATGCTTTGTCACTGAACAACTACTAACTGCTAAATAGCTACTAACTCACCTACTATGATCTACTCAGTCGTCTAATGGCTCTCTTTAATGCTTGTTCCATCCTCAAACGTTTTGATAAAGACAGGCCAAACGAAGCATCACAAATGCTTGATGAAATTCTTCATGAAATTCTTCATGAAAATCTTGACATATCATTGCAAAAGCAAAAGGACGAATCGATATTTGCTCTCGATTTCGTCAAATACGAGATATATTATTTGTATTATTTATTTTTTTAAGGACAAACAATACAAAGAATAAGTTACAACCTGTGAATTAAGAACCCTTTTTTAAAAAGCATTTCTTTGTGACGCTATCGCTTATCAAAAACGCAATGTAACATATTATATAATTACAAGATATTAAGGAGCCATTGTTACCTCTCACACTTAGAAAGCTGTAAATTAAATGCAATTGTTTGGTGATATGATTCAAAGAACATAGATTTTCACTTAGCTCCTATCAAATGTAACGAGTGTGTGCTGTTCAAATCAGTTTCATGAAATGTTATTTGCCATATTATTTGAGGAGTTCAGTTTAAGTCTTCCATTAAATTTAAATGTATCGTTTTCTACTATTCCCAGAAGTTTTTATTCAATATATTCGGAGTGGCTAAAATCACACTGATTAAGGCATACCTATTTTAATGGTTTAAGATTTTATAATGAAAAGACATTTAGATTGTGTTTTAAAACTGATGAGGATATTTAATATTTATCTTCTGTTATCAGTAACAATGGTGACTTGAAGATTTGAATTTTCAAATAGACCTTGACTCATTATTTATATTGAGAGATCGTAAGAAAGTTAAGGAAGTTAAGAAAGTAAAAATTGCATTAAATTGATTATCCTAAAAATTTCTATTTAGTAATGATTAATTTATGCTATATATTACGTATTGTTCACAAAATTATTTAATATTTACCTAAATCCTTTCGTTTATTTTTCTGTGATAAGTAAATTGTATTGAATCTCATAGTGTTTTGAACCTTTTGAAATAGAGAAGAGAATTTACTGGCGTTTTTTATCCTTTGTCCAAGCTCAATTGGATCAATCCAAAATGATAAAATATAATAGGAAGAGAGTTTGAGTTCTAAGTCAAAATCAAAATCAACATCAACATCAGCGCCAGGACCAGAATCAACTTTAAAAAATGAATTGATTACCAGCCATCCCTAGAAATATATAGCACTAATCATTGATAAAAGTACGATTATTGAATCGACTTTATATGTATCTATAACTTCTGTTATCCATCTTTTGGATAGACTAAATTTCTTTTGGATCAAGCTTCCATTGAGAAAGGTTGATAAGTCAGTATAACACTCTTTGCTTTCATATATATAATACGTGCAGATATCCATAATTGGACCCATCTGCATCTTCATAAACTAGTGTAACTGCATTTTTGCTAAACATGAGGCAGAATAAACATGAGAATCATCATTAGTGGACATTGTAATAAAAATTCTTTCTAAAGCTAGTAATCCAAATCAAGCACTAGATAAAAAAATGACAATGATTTCTAGCAAAAGTATTTCATCGTTTTATTTTTGAAGAAATAATCTTCCAGGAGCTTTAGAGATTTTAAATTTCCAAATTGAACTGTCGATAATACTGAAATTCTCATTGCATCTGCCATTTGTTTTCGCAAGTGATGTAGGAATTTGTTGTGCAGTTTCTGGGTCTTTCAAACCTATAGCTTTTACCAACTTTTTATTTGTAGGGGAATTTACAGCTTCAGCGCTTTTAAATCTACTCACAAACACTCCTGATATACTGTACAGATACCTTCTTAAAGCAGCTAACGTTTGTGAATCAACCTTTCCTTACGCCTTTAAATAGTAGACGAGATTGATGATATGGATGTTTCTAAAATTTGGAGCGTTTTCTTACGATCCGTTCGGATTCATCGACAATGTTTTATTCCATCTTCCAAACTATCGTGCATACAAAAGATTTTGAACTCGGTTAGACAAGATCGTATATATGTCGTTCCGGATTCTAAATTCGTAATACTAAAATCGGCTCGAATCGTTAAATAAAGTCGTTAAATAAGAAGAAACTCACAAACACCAACCATATTTGATTGATGTATGTTGACGATTTTACTACTAGTGGTGCTATTATCTTAAAGAACTACCATTCGATCAAGCAAATTGACGTGGCTAATTCACTTTTATTCAAGTCATTCAATTCCTTATCTCTCACAAAGTTTGGTTATTTTACATGAAAAGATAATTCGAAAACTCCTTTTCTCTATTTTTTTCAATACAATTTGTTTTAAAAATTGTTTAAATGATAAAATCAAGAAATTTTTGATGCGTGAATTTGAAAAATGTATACTTAAGAGTTATTGTATAAACTATTTAAGGAACTTTTTGATATTAATCCCTGATATTCAATCAACTACTGATGACTTGCAGAAATTAATGTCATCAATAAAATCAAAATTAATTTTTTTTTTGAACTGATGCTTATTTACCCAAATGAATTTCACCTGAATTTTTTTTAGCTTGCTATTTTTGATTATTAACTTTTCTTCCAATGCTTTGATAGTTAATAAAAATACCCCTTTAGTTAACTCTTTAGTTAATTTGTATCACTGTTTTGAGTCGTATAATCTTAAAAAGTTGAATCTGGAAATTATCGCAATTAAAACATCCAAAAATTTAACAAAATTAATTATTTTTAAATAGTTTAGAAAGCTTAAATTAAGATAGTTGTGATATTATTTAGGAGTTTGATAGTCTTTGTTGTTTGGCCCATCTGAAATTATTAGATTTATCTAGAATTCACATTGAGACCAATTCATGGGCTTCTACAAAAATCTACAATAGATAAAATTAACTCTTTTCAAAATCAACTGAACTGGTACAAATTACAGATATAAAATACTGGTATTTTTTAAGTTTAACTTGGTATTAATTAAAATTAAAATTAAAATTAAAATTAAGAAATTTCTCTTTTTTGAGTAACTTTTTGATAAATGGATCTAATTCTGATTTTGAACAAATAGAAAACTCATTTATTGGGTCTAAAAGTAAAAAAAAAACTTGTAATTTTTTGAATTAACTCGTAAAGGAAAAACTACATTACATAACAGAAGAATTTTTATAGCAATTAATGAAAATAAAATTATAGAAAATTATAGAAAATTATAGAAAATAACATGAAATAACATAAACAATCAATTAAGAATAATCTAAAAAAGCTATAACATTGCAAAATAAAGATAAAAATGAAAATCAAACAAAAAGAAGGAGCAAATTTGTGTACATAAACAAAGAAGTTGTTCAGGTTATTTTATTATGCAGCATTAACTGAGGTCATACCTAGATCTTTCAAATCATTGATATCTTCTTTTGAAGAATCATCAATTTCATTAATAGTCTTTCTAGGGCCAAAATAATTTTTATGAGCATAGGCGTAGTAATATACCATTGAAGAAATCCATATTCCACAAGTAATCACAACGGTATAGTTCATAGTTTCCTTTTCAACCGATTTAGAAGCTGGAAACATGCATAAAACAATAATAAATGCAACCCAAGCTAGAGCAATCCAATTAATGATTGGGGATAAAGTTTTACCCAAATAAAATGGACCTGGTTTGAAAATATCTTTACCAAATACAAACCTTAAGAAGACTGGAGTTCCCCACGAAAGATAATTTGCACTAACAGCTAAGGTGAATAAGGCATTGGCAGCCTGAGAGCCAATTAAACACAATAAACCGACAACGATACCCAAACAACCAGCGAAACAAACAGATCTTATAGGAACAGACCATTTTATGTAAACGACTTTGATGAAAGAACTGAATGGTAGACCATTATCTCTTGAAAAAGCCCAAACTTGTCTTGAAATGGCGACTAAGATAGAAGCACCCATTAACCATTGGCAGTAGGCAATTAAAGCCATAAAAGCAATTGCCCATTTTTTACCCAAGGCCTCATATATAATTTGAGCTATTGGAACCCCAAATGGACTATTAAGAACAGATTCAATGTCTTCATTGATGCAAGCACAAATCATAATAATGATGACCCAGCCTAAGATACCACAAGAGGCAATGGCACCAATGATACCAATTGGAACAGATTTGGAAGCATTTGTGGCTTCTTCAGAACAATGAATAACACTATCAAATCCACCAATTGTCCAAACAGCAGGCATAAGAGACAACATGAATTGCCATCCATCGGGCCAATCAGATAAATTTTCGAACTTTCCAAAGATGAATTTAGCATCTCTAAAACCAGAAGTATTTTTGGCGGTTCCAATTGGTAAAGCAACGAGAAAAAGAATAATTAATGAGACATTACAGACAATTGAGAAAGTTTGTAATCTAGAAATTTTGGATGAAGCACCACAACAAACTATGATGTGACTAACGACACAGGCAGCAAATACACCATAGGTCCTAGCAGTTGTAATTTCGAAATCACCATCGTAAGTAATTGCAACAGCAGCCAATACTTCGCTAGCGAAACCATAGTTGATTGAACATAACCCACCAGTTAAAGCTAAAGTGTTTGAGTTACCGATTAAAAAACTCAAAGGGATTTTTAAGCTTTCTGGAGCATAATGATAAGTCCAATAATATAAACCACCGCTGGTTGGAATTGCACTACCTAGTTCAGACATGGTGATACCGACGAGCAAGATGAATATCGAGGCAATAAACCAACCCCAGACTAAACCAACAGTTCCACCAGTTAAACCTATTGCCATAACAGAAGAAATAGAGGGCAATAAACCCATAATGGAAAAGGCGACACCAAAGACTTGTAAAGTAGAAAAGTATCTCTTTAATTCGGGTTTGTAACCGATTTCAGCTAAAAGCTCGTTATCATCCTTAGCTAATCTGGGATCAATGATATCCTGTTGTAAAGGAGAGCGAATTGGAGATAGAGTATTTACTAGTTCGTTTTGACCAGCGAGAATGTCATGGGCACCGACACTTGAAGACCTTTTCTCTTTTGGCATTGTGAAGATGGAGCTGAGAATATTAAATGGGTACTATTTATGGTATGGATAGTGTGTGCAATAGCTACAATAAGTGTGGTAAGTGGTAAGTGTGATATGTGACAAGTGTGGTATAATATGGTATAATATGGTATAATATGGTATAATAAATATGTATAGTGTTAAAAAAACAACTGAAAAGTCAATATGAATTTTCATGATTATATATAATTTTTCTGTTTGAAATACCAGAATTTGTTCAAAGGCATCAATATTCAGAAATTAAACAAATTAAACAAATTAATTAATATCGTCTGAGATACTCGTTGAGAATTAGTTCAAAAACCAAATTTTATTTCCTAGTCTGTAAACAATCGAAAATTGCTTTTTTTTCCAGCTATTGTAAATTATTGTCTTATCAAACACCAGCTAGTGCACTGTAAACACATGGTGGTGTTTAAACTCTCTTGGATTTTGACCAGTCTCTTTTGCGGTTATCTCTGAATCAAGAAGGTGGTGCTCTATGATTTGCTGCTAATGTCAAAACTGATAACCTAATCTAGAACAATTGGGTTGGTGCTTCAGAGATAACTGGTGTGGTACAGATTAGAGTTTGACATTAAATTGTGCTCGAAAATGGGATCTCAGGTTTGGACCGAGACTGTGCTATGTTGAACTGTTGTTATCGTCTTCTGGAAGGAAACCTATGGTCTTGGTGCTTGCAAATGAGTGTTTGTGGCGACGTAATTGGTTTGGGGAAGTTTTCCATTCTCAAGTTGGCCATAATCAACAGTATCAAACCGGCAGAAAAACCCCAGCAGAAAAGCTGAGCAGTGCAACGTTGTGCAAAACATAGTTCCTCACAAAACGTTTTTATCTAGGGTTCTTCCAACCGATGACAGCAGTGGCAGCAATGCTATCAGCAGCAAATACAACACAACACTCTCAGCAATCTTTTGCAAATGCTTTTAATGCAGGCTTTTGGTGGCTTTGGGAAAGAATCCACCAAAAAACATCAGTTTCTATTTTAGGAAATAGGCGCAACCCCTTCTATCAAAACAGGCCAGATAAGCTCTGTTAGTTTCCCTCATCCAGCACAAACAACACAGGCAACATAAGCAGCAGCACCAATAGCTGGAAATAACTGTTTGTTGGCGATGTGAGATGCTTGTGAAATGAAACAGCTCTTACAGCTCTTACAGCTGGAGCTGATTCTCGAACTGCCAGATATGGTTTAGTCTTTATCGTTGATATCAGGCTTTCCAAATATCCAAAAGTTGTGCTTTTTAGTATTATCCTAACGTTGATTTACAGAAAAAGTATTTCTGGAGCTAAATACCTTTGGTAGCTCCTCTGTGTTCTTACTTGCCAGAAAAACACTTAGTGTCGATGAAATAAAATAATTGATTAACTTGCCTATGCAATTATAGAGCTAGGATAATATATCGTGAATTAAAGAATTCGAGAAAAAGAAAAAATCATAAAATTAGAATTGTTTGAATAGTAAGACTACTCTCATGCTTTTTTCCAAATCATCTACTAATTCAACAAAATCAAAATGAAGAGTTTTTTTTAAAAAAAATATCAATTAATAACTTGATATTGAAAACTCAAATTTAATGATTTGAGTTTTGAGGTTTTCTCAACTCTTTAAACAAACATGTCTCACTTTAAAATAAATCTCTGTAAACACAAAAAGGAAAATGAAAAAAAAATATAACAACAATTCAGTTTCTAGAAAAGAAAGAAGCTTTTGGAAAGTTTAGCACCACTTTTAATCAAAATCATTGAATCATTGAATTTTTAATGGTTATCAAAATTTAAAAACAACTAAGAGAGAAAACAAAATTAAATAAAAAATAGTTTCTATGTCATTTTTCTCTCCCTTTTAATTCAGATAACCAATCTATTATTGTAATCATTATATCAATCGTACAAGATCCCATGCATAACTAAACTTTTATCAATAGTAATAAATACTACTATCTTTCTAAAAGTGCACACTTACCAAAAAAAGAAATACCCGTCACAATAAAAAATTCCACCCTTAAAAAATATAATAAATAAACTCAAAGGTTCTAATTTTTGAAATTTATCAAATAAAAGCATGAATGAAAACAAAAACAAAGATAAAAACAAAAAATCTTTTGTGGCTCATCAAGTATTTATCCTAAATTTAAGCATAACCCATTACTACTAGCTAATTCATACCAATTTAAACATATGCTACCATGAGGATTTACTTTCCATGATTGTTCAACAAGACTCTTTACCAAAAATCCATTTCCTGGCGTTGGATTTATATTTTTTAATAATTTTTCAAATCTTTTTAAACACGAAATCCTATCGCTATCACTAACTGAATTAAATCCCGCCAATGTCATTGGTAAAAACAATGTGGGCTTTACTGCACTATCAATCAATATGTCTAACGAAATATTAATTTGAATTAATAAATACTGAATTTGTGGTGAATTTGGTGAAGCATATTTTAATTCGCTTAACAAAAACATTTTCAATGATAATTGAAACAACTCAAATAACATCAAATGTTCTTCAAATTCTTTATCATTTTTAAAGCACAGCAAATCCTCCTTAGACGGTTTACAATTATCAATTCTGGTTTCAAATTCGATAAATTTTTGGTCATTTTTTTTTAATAATTCAAATATTTCGCTCTTACTTAGACCTTTTTTAAACTTCCAATTATTCCTAATGGTTTTATTATTCAACTTGAAATTATCAAATGTAGCCTTGAAATCCCTTTCACTTTCATTGAAAGCATCATTCAATAAACTAAAATCAATATTTTTGTTGCTAACATTACAAAAAAACTTCCTATTAGATTTCTTTTTACTTGCTCCAATTTCTTTACCTAATCTAGTCTTTGAGTCAAATGAACTTGAATAACTCTCTTCTTGCTCATAGATTTGTTTCTTAAATTGTTTTGAATAATTAATTATTTCTGCCATTAATAAAAATAATGGTTTCAGACAACTTTGAACAGGATCAATACCATATCTATGATTCATTAACCGATAGGTCATTAAATAATCATGATCGGAAAATAATGTCCCGTTCTGAAGCGTTTTTGATGATAACATTTCCATATAGGTAAATATCGATAAAAGCCATTTTTCTTGAACTGATTTTCCAACTGATTCAAGACCTCCTCCAAATTCAATAAGCTTTTTGCAAATGATCAACAAATTATAAAAAGAATTGCTTGAATTCCCAGTTGTGACATAAATTCCCCCGAAAATAGTCAAAGTAGCCAAGCAAGATATATAATTTTTCAAACTTAAATTATTCAACTTTTGATTTAATAAAAACAATGATTTTTCAAGATAGTAATTTCCAGAAGGGTCGTTTAATGTCTTAGCAGCCCAATAAACCAAACTATATAATACACATTCATCATCGGAAGCCATTGGAAGATAAATATTTATAAATGAGTTTTTTTCGTCGGATATAGTACAAAATGACTTTGCCAATTTCTTGCAATAAAATTCAAGAAATGTAATTGGTTTTTCATCGTTATAATTGAAGTTTTCAGGATAATGGAAAATTGATAGATTATGTCGTGATGGAGTGTTTAAAACTTTGTATTGAGATAACAAGCTATTAATCCTATATTTATGTATGTCAAAGTTATCATTTTTTTTAATAGAACTTTGAGAATTCTCACGAAGAAACACTTCATTGATAAAATTCCAAAAATTTAGATCTTGATTTTTAAAAATTTTCTGATTTTCTGATTTTTCATCGTATTGATGTTGATTATTAAAATATTTATTGTAAGGATGATTATTAATAATAGCTTGAGTATTATTATTATAGTTTGTTTTCATCTCATTTAAATTATTATTGTTGTTAATGTTATTAATGTTATTTTGATTAATGCTATCATCATTAATAATAACGTTATTCGCACCATTAATCTCATCAATTATGCTCCAGAGATTAATATTGTTGCTATTATCGTCATTGTTATTTTTAAAAATTTTGGCATTACTGTTGTTATTATCAAAATTTTTGATATTACTGTTTTTACTATTAGAAATAGTATTACTATTGGTACTAGCGTTGTATTTAGAGTTAGGACTAATATCTGTGTCATTAATATAAAAACAATTATCACCATTATCTGAAATATTATTATTTCTAGTATTATTTATATAAAAATAGTTATTATTCTGATTGATATTTGTTGTATCAGTTTTGATGTCATTAACGTAAAAACTATTATAATTTATGTTAGGAGCGTCAAAATCATTATCTGTGGAAAGAGTAGAATCAGAATTAGTTTGAGTATTAGAGTTATTATTGGTAAGATATGGATTATTTGTGTTACCAAAATTGCAATATCTATTGCTATATAAGTTGCTATTATCCAGTTCAGTCGAATATTTCTGCTGATTTTGAGAGCATATTTTCAAGGAATGAATAATTGGTATAGAATTGGACACTGCGTGAATATCAGAGGTTGATTCAAAGCTAGAACTACTAGAGCTGTTCAAGGAAATATTCATTTCGTTAGAAAAAGTACTTATTATAGCATTATTTAAAGGTTTTCCGACGCTTAGTATGGGCAAAGATTTATCATTAATCAAAGAATTGGACAAAAAGTGGCTATTTATTAGCACATCTTCCTGTTTGAGTTTCTTTTCTTTTTCTTCCTCTGGTTTGGACGCTAAAGCATTGATTATTTTATAGACAGAGGTGTTGTTTTTGGGATTATAAACAGTGTATGTACATTCAATATCTCTTTTTTGGCAAAGATTGCATTTTGGTTTATTTTCATCGCATCTTTTCTTTCTCTTTTTGCACTCCAAGCAGCCATTTCGAGATCTTGGGGAGATACCAACAAACTTCAACAGTGAGGGTCTTGTTTGTTCATTGGGATTGTTTATTTTGATCTTTCTGACTTTGAAATTGGCAGAGACATCGCCCTTGGAGTTAAATGTGGTGAACATTGTGGGAATTGCGAGACAGTAAGCAAACCTTGAGAAAGCCTGAGGTTATTGTGTTAGAGCTGGAGAGATAAAGATAATAGTTCAGAAAAGGGTATGGAGCCCTGTTTTGGTGTCTAGGGCTCTTCTGGGCGTTGTTTGGGCATCGAAAGCCCTTTTGGGGATGGAAACGTTTCTGAGGGTGTCGAGCTGAGGTTGTGGTAAGCTGCTGATGGAAGGCTACGTTATATCGTCTTTGTTTTTGGTGCTTGTGTTTTTTTTGAGGCTTCTTCATAGATTTTTCCAGTTTTCCAGAAACAACGAGGAGCTCAGGCAGACTGTGAAGCAGAAGTACCAGGCTCGCTTGGATGAGCTAACGGATTCATATTCCAGCTTGGTCTCGATTAATGAGAGAACAGATCTGTTAATTGCTCAGAAAGGGGAAGAGATTCTCAAATTGACTGAGCAGTTCAAGCTCAAAAAATCGCTATTGAACAGACTTCAGAAACAATTTGACGAAATTGAGAAGGAGATTTTGGAATTGAGCCAAAACTTTAAAAGTATAATTAACGACGAGAATTTTTCAGTTAAATTAAAGGAACAATTCAAATTAAAAAAGAAATTGGAAGGGAAAATTGAAAAATTGAGCTACGAAAACGAAAAATTTAATTTTGAAAACAGTAATCTTAATCAAAAAATACAAGATAATTTGAATGATTTTGATAAATTGTATGAAACTAATAACAAGAAATTGATTTTAAGTAATTTGAGTAATAACATAAATGATGATTTGATAAATATTGATCAGCTTAATAAAAATTGTATTAGTCAAAATCATTTCTTTTTTGATCTTGTTTTAAATTTTAGAAAAATATATAATCAGGCATTGGTTGAGCCTGATGTTTTAATAAGTTATAACCTAGATTTTGTTTATAAGTTTAACAAAATCACTGATCTGATTATCAAAATGAAATATCACTTCTCAACTGAATTTTTAAAAATTAAAAACAAAATAACTGATATAATTTTTTCATATCATAAACATTTAAATCATGAATTTGAGTCCAAATCAAATGCTAAAATTATTGCCAAGCAAAAGGAATTAGAAACATTAATTAATAATTACAATTTTCTACTTTCAGAGAGAAATGAACAAATTGCTATTTTAGAGAATAAAATTAAAATTAAAAAGAAGGAGCTATCAAAGAAGAAACCACTTGAAATCAAAAATCAGATACATAGGAAGAAAGATAAAGATAAGGATAAAGACAAATTAGTTGAAAATCAAAAACATAAAGTTCCTAGTGAAGATCATGTCAAACTGGAAAGTTTTTCAAATGAGATACTTGCTGTATCTAAAATTAAAAATGATTTTAGTTCCAAGAGAATCAAAGTTGCAGGAGGTTTTCTTGAATTTGGAAAACCTCAAAATCCTAAAACAATTAAATTATTAAACAAGTTGGCTTCATAATTCAGATTACTTGGTATTTTGTTTATATTTTATATTTTATATTTTATATTTTATATTCATTTATTTATTTATTTATTTATTTATTTATTTATTTATTTATTTATTTATTTATTTATTTATTTATTTATTTATTTATTTATTTATTTATTTATTNATTTATTTATTTATTTATTTATTTATTTATTTATTTATTTATTTATTTATTTATTTATTTATTTATTTATTTATTTATTTATTTATTTATTTATTGATCTTTTTTCTCAGATTTATATCTCTAAAAAAAATCCATTTATTATTTTACATTAATTTGCGATGTGCATTGAAAACCTAATTTACAAAATATCTTTGAGATTCACAGTTCCAGAACCTCTTTCAGCAGATTTAATATTCCCTGTTAAATCTTTCCAGCCAATCCAGTAGATAAGCCTAAAAGTGGCAGGCAAACAAATCTTACTTTCAGCATCAATTGCAGGGTGTGGATTTTCAATGCCATAAAACTTCTTATAAATTAGGTCTGCGGCTAATAATGTATCCTTTGATATTTTATTTTCACTGCTATACAAACAATTGTTTTCACCCATTATTTGCAAATCATTTAGCAATTCAAATAAACCAGGATAATTTATAACGATTTCGTCGATATCAATTGTTAGCATTTTGAAGCCTGCTTTGTTTAATAAATTTCCCAAATCTTGAACTGTAATAAAGGGCGATACATGTGGAGAAATACCATTTTTTCTTTCTAATTCGGCTAGCTGCAAAGAAGATCGCAATTCATATAAAGTATCGTTGCCAAAAATAGAGCCTATAAACAAAGTATCTTTTTGACTTAATAAAGAAAAGACTTTTTTGAATACTGATGGAATGTCATTTACCCAGTGCATTGAAAGATTCGACAATGCTAAATTATATGAATCTGGTATTAAATCTTTTGAATCAAGATACTCTTCATCACAAACTAATTTATTTAATGAAATATTTGGAAAGGAAAAATCGTTTCTGAAAAGCAACTCTTTGCATTTATCGACCATAGTTATATTACTTATTTTGTTTCTCACAACTTCCTTATCTTTGCTAAACTCTTTAAGGAAATCATTTTGTTCTTGGTCTTTGCAAACCAGGATGGTGTTATCAAACAAGACTTTCTCAAAGTTCCCTGACTCACACCCAATATCAATGACATTATCGAAACTTCTGTTAATAAATGATAGCCTTGAAATCAATTTTTTAGCTGATTCGTCCTTCAAATACTGAACTGAATCATAGTCCTTGTTGCGCGAAGAATTTGCTTTTTGTTTTAGTTTAATCGCTCTGTTGAAGACTGTGTATGGAGAATTGGAATTGGAAGTGGAATACCTCGCTTTAAACAAGCCCCAAGCACCTAGCCCATTGTGTCTGCCCACAACCGGTTTGCAATAGCTCATTGTAAAGGATATCCAGGTATCTCAAGCAAAAGCTAGAGGGAGATTTCAGTCCCAAAACTGGCAGTTGCACCAATCAGAAAGCGAGATTAATAATTCAAACAAAGCAAAACTCCAAAGCGCAAGATGTCACGTGCGCGGGTGAGCGAACCGTCAGGAAAACGACCCACAGTGCCTTGCATGCGCTGTTGCCTTGGCGTGCTGTGGGTGTGCTCAAGCAAAAGCCGAACCCAACCTGTTGTTGGGGGGGGGGGGGTTCGGCTTACAAGCCCTAAGTTCCAGACTCGGCATCCATCTCCTTCCTTGGGTCTTTTTTTGGTTTGATTTGTACCCTGGCCCGTTTTGGCTCATGTTTTTGTCTGTTTCTGTTGCCAAAATCGCTGTGTTTCTTCAACAATAAAACGGCTTTGAATTCCACCCCAGGACTTTAGCCATCTGCTTTACCTGCTTTATGTGGTTCAAGTGATGCATCGACTGCAACTGGAGCCTTTCTGGCCTTCTAGATTCCCACTGGATTCACCAGAGGCTGTAATTGAGTTTAGCAGACAATAAAAATTTTAAACTTTCTCTAACTTGTTTGTTGATAATAGTCAGATTGTTTATCACCACGTCTATTTTTAAACATTGTGATATATAACAATAGTGAATTTTTATTTCTTTTTTTTGTGTTTTTTTACCTTTTATTCATCAGTTTTCTTTGATATTTCCTTCATTATTTGCTTTTTCTTGTTAATTTACTCTCAACAATGTGTAATCCGTTCTGCTAATAAGACGACACTGTAATAATATCTCTTCGAATATACACCTCAATATCGCGATTTATTTATCTTAATGCTAAATTGGATTTTCCATCACGCTAGTCAGGTTGTCCTCGAATGATTGTTCACATCGCATCTAATCTATCGTATATAATAATAAAATAAACATGAAATATTGTAATGAAACACTGCTTTTTTTCTTGTTTTCCCTTCATTTTGATTTCAAGCAATGACTATCAGCAATGCTTCTTAACCAATTAAAGTTTAATCTTGCTAAAATCTAACAACTACATAGTATATTAACAAAAACCCTAATGCATCATATTGATCAAGATTCAACGATATCATAAATCATACTAATCATGAAAAACACTTCTAAATTTAAATCAATAACGAATGAATTATTGCTTAGTCAATTTTTATAATAAAAAATCAAAGACGTTGGTGATATTCCACAGGTTCAAGTGAAATCATTCATTTGACGTTGATTGGGATATAAAACTCTTGTCAATTTCTTCATTTTTCTTACTTTCATCAACGATTCCAATTTCATCTTACAAAAATACCAATTAATTTTATAATGGTCAAATATACTTATGAATTATCTCTAACTCAACCCGATATTGGTGCTAAATCATACAAGGAAAAGGGAAAAATATCAAAAAGAAAATTTCATCCAATTGTTAAATTAAGAGTCTTCAATCAAACAAACCAAAATATAACTGGAGTCATTGATGAAAAATACATTGTGCTAGCAAAACTTAAGAATACCACTCAAAGTGCTGCGATGGCACCTGAAGCCCTTGAAACTTACCTTAGAGGTAATAAAAGCAGCACTGGAACCTATGAAGAAGAAAATAATGAAATAATATTTGCTTTTCCTGATTTGCATCTTATAACTGTTGGTGTGTTTATAATCGAATACCAATTATATAAATCAAGCAATCAATTAAACACATTAAATATGGAATTTATTGATAATATTTCAAAATCAATCAAATTTGTCACTACAAGAGAGCTATATGCCACCGAAGCAAATAACAATGCCAAAACAACGATTGTCAAAAAAAGAAAAAGAGAAAGTATACCAACAACTAACAATCAAATACAAAGCCAGATGGTAAACCAGATACCAAGTAGGATACAACTACCAAATCATTTACCAAATCAATTATCTCAAGATTCAATATCGTTTCCACCTTTGTTACAAGAAACTCTACAAAACAATAAGTTACTAACAAGCAGTTTTTCCAATCATCAATCTTCTAAAAGTGCTAGTGATCTGGCGGGGTTATCAAGATGGAACAGCTTCAACAGTACAAAAAGCAGTCAATCATGCTGCACTTCTACTCAAATACCAAAACTGGTATATTTAGAACAAAATAACGCCTTTTATGCTCAAAATCAACCTCTTTTTCTACAAAGTTTGTCCAATATAGCTTACTCTCCTTCGAGCTTAATTTCTTATAATTCGGTGAATGACAGTTTTTTGAATTATACGCAAATGCAACAACAACAGCAGCAACAACAGAGTATGGTTCAATTAAATCAAGTTACAGGTTTAGCCAATAATGAGGTGCTATCTGCTCAGCCCTCAAATTCAAATTTAACCAATTCATATATTGTAACGGATCCTTCAGCAATTTATAGAAACGATAATCAGCAAAATGTGATGAGAGCACTGTCGTTTAATACGTTATTGGGTAATGAAACTCTGAATAACATCAATGAACAAAATATTGGAAGGTCTCTTAGTAATAGTAGACATGGAAAAGCGCTCAGCGAAAACGACTATTTGTATTTACTATCTAATTCAAAATTCTATCCTTTTTAGTTGTGTTTTTTTATTTGTTCTCATGGATTTTTTATTTTTTATTTTTATTCAGTTCTTTTCAATTCACTTTTTTATTACTTTTTCTTAGGGTGTTCATTATTTTATTTGGATCATCATTTTAAACCTCATTTTCTAACCATCTAGGCTGGCTCGTCATTGGAAAAAGAGTCTGGAACATCAAATCAGTTGGCTTTAAACAATCTCTTAGCATAAAACAGTCGCATCTTATTATTTAAAATTTTTCGGAGATTAGTTTTTGATTAATATTGTTCAAATTATTCCCTTTTTTTTTTTTGATCTATTAAAGCTATTTTTAAACATTACTAGTAGATAATAAAGTGAGGAAACTAAACTGAGCAAAATGAAGCATTCGTTTACGAGAAATTGATGCCTATCAAGAAACGAAAGCAGTTAGTATTTTCACTGAAATCGAATAAAATCTAACATGTTAAGAGAATTGAGGAGTTAGAAAAGAAAATTGATTGAATCAACTAAAACTGCTGAATCAGTTGGGCATTATTGGACATTATTAGGTTGCCAATATTTGAATATCAGAAAAATAGCTCTGAGCGCCATTTATCAAATAAGTATATCAAACTGAATGTTTGGTGAATAAAATTATGCCCAACGGCAATATTATTCTGATGTGACATAAAACGACACAATATTACTTGAATTTTTGTGAAAACGTCAATCATTTTCGGAGGATGTTTTGACAATTTGGGCGACTTTTAGTTTCTACAAAAGTCGGAGGAATAACATTCAAGGTGATAGAGCAGAGGTTGATTCCATCAAACAGAATACTCAAAACCATCCTGTACTGTTGATTGGCATTAGCTGACCAATTAGCTGTTCTGGGTTTTTTGCGCAATCAGTGAACGAATTACAAATTGGGTCTAGCTAAACAAAATAAGAACATTTCAAAATCTTTTTGATTAAAAAGAACTTGAGATAATGATAATTTTATGTCAAGTGTGTTTGATATTTTGTACATTATTTAGGCAATGCGATCTGGAATGATAATATTTAATGAGCGAAAACTGAATCTAGCAAAAAACAGTGTGTCATTAGTTTGTGGGTTGGCATGTGTGATTTAAATTTGTTAATTCCAACTTGATTTCCAAAACTATAAAGATCAAATTTACTTTATATAAACAGATAGAAATAAAAGTGTATTAGATTTTAAAGATTATTTCAAATGAATCGGACTACATTAGGATTTGAGAAGACATATGAAACGTCAAATATAGCAGTAGATGCATTATAGTAGTCTTTTGTGGACATCTGAAGAAAAAAAAAAGTAAATAAAATAACCACTTTCCAATGGTGAAATTTAGATTTTGGAAAATGTTATAAATTTAGTGGTGATAAGATTTGTAAAGTAATAAGATTGTACTGTATGAATATAGCAGCTGCGATGCTTACAAATCACTATAATTATTGTTACGTAATACAATATTTGACATCCAACACCCTATTTGCCAAAACAGCAGCGACAAAAGTGGCAGATAATAGACTGTTGCCAAGATCTGAAGATAAATAATTTTTATTATGACGGTTGAAATATTGATCTAGAGAGTCGATAATCAAATACAAATATAATAGTGATCAATAGATAATTTTTTAATGTTTTAAACAACACTTTTGCTTCATTTACAGATGTTTCAAAATTGGAATTATAGAATTGAAATTAGCAATATGAAATATGAAATATGAAATTTGATATTAGGGATATATATTTATTTATAAACGATATAGACCAACGCAATAGAGTTTATAGTTTTATAGAGATTTGTTAAATTTTACGATAACAAGTTACAGTAAAATATATATATTGAAAACAAAATTAAAATAATACAAGTTTTAGGATGATTTGAAAAAAAACATTCGATACAGAATCTGGTTAGTAAAAAAAACGATAAATGTTCTCAATAAAAACCCTGTTAAGTTATAAGAATAAATAATAAATGAAATTATAAATAAAAATTTGAATCAAGTAATAAAGAATTAATGGCCATAAAAAATAATATTAGGTTATCCAGAGTTAAAAGGAAATAAACGAACTTATGGGAATAACCGTTTTTTTATATACACTGGCGATAAATCAGGCAATTGAATCAGGAGAAGGTTGAGTTGAATTAATTTAAAGTATAATTGAAATTGGATAAAATTTTAGCAAAGACTTGATAGATATAGAGTGATAATTGGCAGATAGAAAAGATGGGTAAATGCATTATCATTTAGAAAACAGATATCATTTTTTTTTTTTTCATTTGTTTATTTCAATTGAGAACGTTTCAAAATATAGAAGTAAATGTTGATTTGATGTGTATAATTTTATTTTTGGTAAACAATATTAGATTGAGTAATTGTTTTGGACCAGAAACAGAAAGGATTTTAGAGGTGTTAAGAAAAAGAGTAGAAAACTAAAGAGAATTGATTGATTAAAATGAAATTGAAAAGATATGGTATGATATGACATGATAAACAAAGACAGGGAGACGGAATAAGCAGTCAAGTCAATTCAGGATGGTTTTTGAAAAGTGAATTTTAAGTCAATAACAGTTGTAATAAATTCCTTACATTTTGAAACCATGATTGTTCACATTTTCGTTTTCTGGGTTTTTCAGCACGTCCTAAGAGCATCACATATTGACAGAAGCCACTCAAAACACCTAGAGAAAGAAACTGGGAAATATAGAAGCAACAAAACAGTGCTCCAGCAGAAGAAGAACCCCAAACTAGTTCTAACCACAGCAATAAGACCCACACTCGCAATTGCTCCATTTGCAGTAATTCCGTCTCGAGCCGCTTGACAGAAAACGTTGAGATGTGGACAAAAAGATCGAAGAGTACTCGGTTTGGGAAAGCTATATCACGTGCAGCGCTCTGAAAGTGGGAGCGGTGTTTGCCGCAGCAACGGGAACACCGCTGTGGAACCAGGACCGTTTGGGACGTTTGTGTTCGCTGTACAGCCTACTTTTGCGGGAAAATGATGTCACTCACCACAGCTGCTTTTAAACCTGTAGTACCAACAGCGAGGTGCCTGTTCAGCGCTGCGGGAGGCTTGCTTGCCTGGCTTCCGCAGACCTGGCTCTTTCCTGTTTGTGCAGGGCCAGTCTGGCTCCTTCCCAGGGGTTTCGTCTAGCGTGGTGGGAGCTTCCTCATGGGCAGCAGCAGCAGCAGCACAGAAAACAGCTGTTGGTTTGCAGTCTGCTAATGAGTAGAGGCTGCTGCTCCAGTTGGGGAGGGGAGGAGGGCGATGCAGCAGGACGAAGGTCTCGGCCGGCTCAGCTTCTTATCAGCAGCAAAACGGGAAAAACACTTTATTATTTGCAAACCGTTGGTGTCAAATGAAATTAAAAACGGTGCTGAGCAAAAAAACGTGTTTTTCTCGTTTTGTTTTCTGCAACGGCGATACATCACCTCCAGCAATTTCAGCTTATTTTCTTCACTCATTTCTCTTTCCTTTCATTCTATGCAATCTCTAGAATGATTTAGAATCTTTTAGCGATAATCGTTTGCAAGCTTAAACCTACTCTTGTCAATGACCACTTATTCTCTCCATTTCATGCTACATGCACTCTTAAATTCATTTCAAGAAAGCATTTTAAATTTGTAACAAGAAATTTGGAGGAACTAGATGACAATCAAAAAAAACGGTTTTCTTCTGATAGCAGCTTTTTAGTTTGAACACCTGCAGAGATTCCCAAACGGTTTTACTGGTTTTATTTCTTTGGGTATTTTTTGCAAACAAATTGCAATTCCTTACAGCACTTTTGCAATTCTTGCGTTTTGTTTCCAGTTTTTTAGTCTCAATTTCCTAAAATCCAAATATTCTTTTGCTTTTCTCAATTCTTATTCAAAAAATGCATTTTCCTATTAATCAGAATAAAAAGGACATGTTAATGTCTCTTAACTAATTTAACTAAGTGCAAAATCACATCTTTTCTTGAATCAAAAACTTTATCTGACTAAAACCGTTGAGACTTGGAAATTATTTTTTAGCAATTGCGAATTTAATTCTACACTGTTAACTAAACATTTCTCTAAATCTATAGCAAAAATTTTCTTATATATTTACTCTTTTCCCGCCAATTTTTATTTAGTTTTAATTTTAAAAAATCAAAATTGTCTACCAATCTCCTCCTAAACTATTATATATAACCTCTCTTATTATATTACCCCCTTTAGTTTCCTTAATCTCGTTAATCTCCTTTTTATCCTTGTTATCCTTGTTATTCTTGTTATCCTTATCCCCCTGTATCCCTATATATTTTCTATTCTTTTCCCCCCTACTCCTCCTACCTTCTTTAACATGAATAACTCAATTACATACACTCTATTAGTTGAACAACCAAAGCTTGGCCCAAAGTCCTATAGACAAAAGGGCAAAATATCCATCAGAAAACTAAATCCCTTTGCTTGTTTATATGTCAACGATACTGATTTGAGTGCCAATATCTCTTCTACTATCAATGAAAACTACATTGTTCTTGTCCAATTGAAAAGTGATTCTAATACTTCTAACAATATCCGGGACTGCGAATTAAAAGGTAACAAATCTTCCACTGGCAGGTATGACGAAGATAAAAATGCAATTTTATTTGAATTCCCTGATTTACATTTTACCAAAATCGGAAATTACAAAATCGAATATCAACTATATAAATTAGTCGACGTCAAAATTGAAAACTCAAACATCTTGTCCAAAAATTGGATCTTCATTGAAAGCCAAGTTAAAGATATTAAAATTGTTACAACTAGAACTCTTTATGGTAAACCTGATCTCAGCTTGAACGCTGGAAAAATCTCAAAAGTCGCTTATAAACAAATCCAGCCCACAAAATCAACTGATTTAAATCAAATCTTTGATGATTCAGTCGAAAACTTTTTCAACGATGTTAAAAGCTCCTCCCAAAAAAATATAGCCCAAGATTTGTTAATCTCCAATTCAAATGACTCTTTTAAAAATAATCCCAATTCCAATTCCAATCCTGCTTCAAACTCATACAAAAATGAAGTAAATGATATTCAAGAACCAACGCCTAACCACCCATCCCTACCATTTGCTTACAACAACTACAACTTTCTTCTCAACGGAAGCTCTACCTTGAACTCTTCAACTTCTGCTGCCTTTAATGACTCTGCTTCTGCCTCTCTTCATCTTGCTGCTTCTGCTCCTACCAACTCCAACACATCAACTGCACCTTTAGTTAGAGCCAACAAATTAAATGGTTCTATTCTTACATGCCCTCAAACTGCCAGCTCTTTTAAACCATTAGATGAGTCTTATTTTGCTCCCCATTTCAACCTCCTTCAAGAGTCAAGATCAATTACACCTTCTTCGGCTTCATCTTCTCTATATTCCTCCCCAATGACTTATGATTCATCATCCCCGAATCTTGCTAATGGAATTCAGTTTCCAAATATACTTGATCAAAATAATACCACTACTACCACCAACAACAATATCAATATCAACAATAGCAATAGCAATATTAATAACAATAGCCTCCTCAATTTTGATACTGGTTTTAGGGTAATGAATGAACCTGAAGCCCAATTCAAAAATGATCAATATTCTAATTACAACTATATGGACTTCAATTTATATGGCCTTATAAACTGACCTTCTCATATTGTACTAAGCCTGTTGTTTTTTTAAGAAAACTCTTGATTTTGTATTATATTTTCTCTGATTTTGGTTTGGGCCTAAAGTTTATTGCATATTTTTTTTCTACTTTTTCTCTTCGTTTTTTCTCCAGTTTTTGTTTGTTTTTTATATCTCATAGTTTGCATACTTTTAAGCAAACCATTTTTATTGTTTTATAGCTTTTGGTAGTTTTTTTGATCTTGTTAATTTTTTCACTCATTCCACAAATTATTCCCAAACAATTTTTAACTTCTTTTACTTTTATACATTTTGTGTTATTACTTTATTTTTCTAAGTTATATTTTACATCATAAACCTTTTTGTTTGCACTTCTTAGCTTATGGTTTTACAATTACATTTTAATGATATTTACCTTTTCTTTCTTTCTTTCTTTCTTTCTTTTCATTCAATATAATATAGTATAATATAATACAATACAATACGGCTTAATTTACCCGGCCTCCCGTAATATAAATGTTGAGATTCGGTACACGTGATTAAAATTCAGTAAGCATATATAGATTAGTTCTCTCTTATGTATCCCTATTTTCATGTAAGAGGTGTGCTACTCTAGTCTTACAGTCTGTTCCTTTTATGCTCCTAATTACTTTCTTGTTCTTATCCCCAGGAAATAAGGATATGTACAAACAAGTAATCTATATGCTAGCTGAATTTTTAATCACGTGCGCCAGATCCCAACAATAAAAGCGAGATCAAATCTCCTGCTTTCTCCACAAGATGAGATGATAGACCTTATCTTTAGCAAAAATGGCAAACAACAACTTGCTACCTTTATATAACCAAACTGCTTCTGGCTCAGTCATTCCCAATGCTGTTTCTGCTTCTAGCAACAATTATATCGAAATCCACATCAGATTTTCAAACGCACAAATACCTGATTTGATAATCCCAATCAGCTCCCAGCAAGAACTATCGCTAATTGATAACAGATATCTTAGAGTCAAAGTAAGACAGTACAATAATGAAAACACTCATAGCAAAAGATTGAGGTTCATTTATAATGGTAAAATCATAAACGAAAAGGTAAACTTGCAAAACGAATTGACAAAATTTGACAATTTCCTATACAATGGTCCCAATAACCAATCCGATGATAATAGAAAGGCAGAAGTGAAAGGAAAGGATAAGGAAACAACAAGTGATTCTGGAAGCGAGCAACAACAGATCCATAAATTATATATCCATTGTTTAATAGGGTCAGACTTAACTCCCGAAGAATTGAGACAAGAAGATATAATGGATTCAAAAGAGCAAGTAAAATCAACCACTCCTGCCCCAGTTGGTTTTGATAGGTTAAGATCTCAAGGGTTTACAGACCAAGAAATCAACGACTTAAGAGTGCAGTTTAGAAACATATATGGATTTTCTTCAACAACTGGATTATCAAATACTGTCAACGATCTGTTTGAAACTGAACATGGCATTGATTTGAATGCTGAAGACGATCCAAATTTTAGAGCAAGCAATCCAACTGAAATCAATGATATCAGACAGTTGGAAGAAAGATGGATGGATAATGGTGCCAATGAACCCGATGACCAACTAAATATGGTTGCAATGAACAATAATGTACTAGGATCAAATCAAGATTTGCTAATCGGTATGTTAATGGGTTGTTTACTTGGAGTGTTGAGTTTATTTTTCTTGAGAGAAGAATTTATGATAAGTAAAAGACAGAAAATGGCTATTATTGGGGGTTTAATAACAAATTTTACATTTTGTTTGCTTCGTAATTGGGTATAATGGTATCGTAAAAGTGTTTATTTTAATTTAACTTAACTTGATTTAATTTTATTTTAATGCATTTCATTTTCCCCCAGTCAAATGAATAAATAAAAAAATAAAATAAAAAGGTTTTGGATACATAAAAATTATTAGTCCATCTAGTTCAAAACAGTTTCAACTGCTTTCTCAAAAATAGTCAAACCCTCTTCGATAACACTGTCGTCGATGTTCAAAGGAGGAACGAATCTAATAACATTACCACTAGCAGAAATAATTAACAAGCCTCTTTTTCTTGATTCGTCAATAATTTTTCCAATAGTTTCACTATTTTGCAATTCAATTCCTAATAAAAGACCTTTACCTCTAACTTCCAAGATTTCTTTTGGGTGTTTTTTCTGAATCCGGGTTAATTTTTTAACAAAAATATCAGATTTTCTGCTTACTTCTTTTAAAAATAAAGGTTTTGATAATTCATGAATCATATAGAGACCAACTCTTGAACCCAAAGGATTTCCACCATAAGTTGTACCATGATCACCGACGTTTAATACTTTTTCTACTTTTTCACTCACCATTGTAGCGCCAATTGGGAAACCATTGCCCAAGGCTTTAGCCATTGTAATAATATCGGGATGGGCCTCTTTTGGCAAATACGAATGAGCCCATAATTTTCCTGTTCTACCTAAACCACATTGAATTTCATCATAGATTAGAATTGCATCATTCTGGTTACATAATTGTTTCAAATGAACCAAGAAGTCAGAATCCATAGCATTAACACCACCTTCACCTTGAATTGGTTCTATTATGACACCGCAAGTATTTTCGTTTATTAATTGCTTAACACTTTCAATATCGTTAGGATTGGCAACTTTTACACCAGGAACTAAAGGTGAATAGGGTTTTTGGTATTTGGGATTTGGAGTTAATGATAAAGCACCCATAGATCTACCATGGAAACTTGAATTGAAAGTAATAAAGTTGTATTTTTCAGGATTCTTAGTTGTACCATATTTTCTTGCGAATTTAAAAGCAGCTTCATTAGCTTCTGTACCAGAATTGCATAAGAAGACTCTTGAGGCATCTACCATACCATCTGCTGATTTTGTAATGTCTACTAAATCTTTGGACAACTTAGTTGTGTATAAATTGTGGTATAAGTTTGACGAATGAACAAGAGTCTTTGCTTGTTCATACAAAATTTCAGCAATTTTTGGATTGGCATGTCCCAAGGCAGTTACAGCAATACCAGCAGTAAAATCGACATATTTACGATCTTCTAGATCCCATAAATACGAGCCTTCACCCTTTGTAAATACTAGACTTGGTCTTGAATAAGTGGTGACAGCAAATGGAACATTTTCATTTATGAATTTGATAGTTTTTGAGTTTTGATCAACAGGATCAGGATGAGTGACTGGGTATTTAAAATTGAACAAGACCTTTGAGGTTGATAAAAATCGTTTACTTGCAAAATTGACTGAAGAAATAGTCAATTTCTTTCCAGTTGACTTGAACATGACCAGATTTTTGACGGTTTTGAAGATTGAAGAAAAAAAGTTGAAAAATAAAAGAGACAAAGAAATATTTCTGGATGAGGTATTTCGAATGCCAATTTATAATTAAAATTTTATTGTTTCGGTGATGCAAAAGCTTTACTTTGATTTATAGGCCCGTTGAGTCACTGAGAAGAAAAACGAAAATGAACTTATTTTCCTTATTGAAACATTTTGAAAATTTTGAGAAAACACCATTAGAACTAATATTATAGGTTATTTATTAAGGTATATAGAGAAAAAAAATGAGTAAATTACAAATAATAAAAATCCATATAGATTTGTGGGAGATGCAAAGTTATTGGGGAATTGTATTGCGTGAGTCATTAGAGAGAGGATCCGATTCACCTTGTTTCCATAACCAAAGAGCATCTAAAGCATAGTTTCTGACACTAAGGTTTCTTGTCAAGTTTTCATCAGAGGCCTCACTTAGAGAGTCTATTATTCTTAATTTGTGAACTGTTTTCCATGCTTGGTTGTAGAATTCGTCTAGTTCGGATTCATCACTGGAGATGTGGTCTTCGATTTGTAGGATATTGTCATATTTTTTAGAGGATAGTTTATATAGTATTCTGCCCAAAGTTTGAATAGCAATGCATCTTTGAGGTTGAAAATTCGATCGACTTAATCTCGACAATTCTGATAGCGAATAACCAGGTATGTTTGGACTATCAGCGTGGTTATATAAACCATTTTGAAAATTTTGTTGAAGGGGAGTTAAATTGTTAGGATTTATCAAGTTGCCTTTGAAATCAAATCGCAACTGGTCAACGTTATCATAAACAAACGATTTGTTTTTTTGGTCATCAGAAACAGGAATCGGTTCCATCCATTTCAATTTATCAATTTCCTTGGGCAAATCAGGAAAATATTTGTCATGTAGTTTAGGTAAAAAATCAGGATCGTTCAAATCCAAATCAGGATCAAGATCATCCACTTCATCAACATGGCGATTTACTGGTTTGCTGAAATGAGTGTGAAACGACGTATTTTCATTGATTGCAGGATTGTTAAGTGAGAAATTGTCTATTTCGTTTAGTTGGTTATCTTGAAGAGGCTCCAAGGGTACATCGAACCTGACTTTTTTGTCTGTTGTAGAACGTTCTTTTGGTGTCTGGTCTTTCTCACCATCTTCTTTGCCAGCATGGTGCACTGCTTCTTTTTCAAGCCCACTGCTGCTGTAGTCAACCAGCTTTTGGCTCAAAAACTCGTCGGCCTGCTTTGCTTTCCTGTTCAACAAGTACTTCAAGATGTTGGGATCCAAGCTGCTCAACAACTCGTCCTTCTCGGCCTGGAATTGCTCCGGGGTCATGGAGTTCAAAAGTTTAAGATTCTGCAAGTTCACCTTCTCAGCCTCAGTCAATTCAGCACTGGGCTTGCTCGTAGGCCCTGGGGAAGCAGAGCCAGAGGTCGAGGAAATGCCCTTCTTGCTGAGTCTGGCCTGCCATCTGGAGGGCTTCCTGGGCCTGCTTTGTTCTGGAGCGCTGCCAAAGACCAACTTGCCTGGAGCCGCCACCTCCTTCTCCACCACGTCGCCTATGCCAAACATCTGTGCTACCTGTGCTTCCTCTGCTTCCTCTGCTTCCTTTGCTGCCTTTCTCTGGGTGGCACCGCGCACGTGCTTTTCTGCGGCCAGAACCCGACGGCCTCTCATCCTCAGGCTCCGGCGTTGCTTCCTCTGCTTCTTCTTTTTTGCCTGCCTCTGCTGTCGATAACTACAACAGACCCTGCTGCTTCTCTATAGCTGTTTTTCTCATCGTCTGCTCGCTGAATTCTCTCGAGAACACAACAGGGAGGCAAAATGTTCCTTCCTTTGCGTTTTTTGAAAAATACCCACTCCACTCATCGCCATCTCATAAAGTCTTCTGTGAACCAATTCTTAATAACGAAGTCCTATTCCACGTCTTTTAACACCAATGTTCCAAGATTTTTCACTGATTCAGGTCTACTGACAAGAAAGTCTCTGTTTCATACCTCGACAGTGTATCGAAATGCAAATAGTAAACATTCTGGGAATGATCCAACAAAGGATCCTAATGACGAACTATACAATAAGCTTTTGAATCATATAAATAAGAAAAAGAAAACCATAAATAAAAAAAACAGTGAAAAGGATATAAATCAAAATTTAGATTCCGATAATAACAAATTTGATCTCGAGCAAGCTTATCCCAAAAAATTGAAACAAAATAAAACCGAAACTGAAACTGAAACTGAAACTGAAAAGAAAAGGGAAAACGAAAAGGAAACTGAGAATGAAAACGATAGTCTGGATAAAAAGAAAAATCCCAAATTTGAATTTTTTTTTGGCACTGATCCATCTGATAAAAAATCATTTAACAATCCAAATGCTTTAGTTTTCAAATTGAATCTTAGTTATGTTATCTTTGGTGCTTTAGGTCTTTACTTTTTATTCTCTCTCACTTCTTCAAACAACGGCAAGGAAATCTCCTGGCAAGAATTTAGAAACCAACTACTAGATAAAGGTTACGTTAAAAAAATCATTGTGGTAAATAAATCTCTTGCAAGAGTCATTCTAAACGATGCTGGTAAACAAAACCTTTCTTTAGTTATCGGTTCTATGAATACAAACTCTCCTTACTATTATTTCAATATTGGTTCTGTTGAAAATATTGAACACAAATTAGCTAGAGCTCAAAAGGAAAATGGCATCCAAGAAGACTTTAAAATCCCAATCATATATGAAAATGAAATCCACATCACAAAACACATCTTTCAACTCTTACCAACTGTTCTAATGATTGCCGGTTTGTTTTGGATTACAAAAAAAGCTGCTTCTGGCTTAGGCTCCGGTCCTGGCGGCAGAGGAGGTATTTTCAATGTCGGCAAATCTAAGGCTAAACGTTTTAATAAAGAAGAAAACGTCAAAATCTCATTTAAAGATGTCGCCGGTTGTGATGAAGCTAAAGAAGAAATCATGGAATTTGTCAAATTTTTAAAACACCCAGCTAAATATGAAAGACTTGGTGCTAAAATCCCAAGAGGCGCTATTTTGTCTGGTCCACCTGGTACTGGTAAAACTTTATTAGCAAAAGCTACTGCTGGTGAAGCTGCTGTACCCTTTTTTTCCGTTAGTGGTGCAGAGTTTATTGAAATGTTTGTTGGTGTTGGTGCTTCAAGAGTTCGTGACTTGTTTAAAACTGCTAGAGAAAATGCACCATCAATTATTTTTGTCGATGAAATCGATGCTATAGGTAAAGCTAGAAATAAAGGTTCTATGAGTGGTGCTAATGATGAAAGAGAAGCCACTTTAAATCAATTGTTAGTTGAAATGGATGGGTTTGCTACCTCCGATCATGTAGTTGTTTTAGCTGGTACTAATATTCCAAACGTTTTAGATCCTGCTTTATTAAGACCTGGCAGATTTGATAGACATATCACTATCGATAACCCTGAATTGGAAGGCAGAAAGGAAATTTTTAATGTTCATTTGAAAAAAATTAAACTTCATGATGATATCGAAGACCTAAAAGGCAGGCTAGCTACATTAACTCCAGGATTTTCAGGTGCTGATATTGCTAATGTTTGTAATGAAGCTGCTTTGATTGCTGCGAGAAAAGGCGCCAATGATGTCCAATTAATTCATTTTGAATTGGCAATTGAAAGAGTCATTGGCGGTATTGAAAGGAAAACAAAATTATTATCAATTGACGAAAAAAAAATTGTTGCCTATCATGAAGCTGGCCATGCCATTTGTGGTTGGTACTTGGAATTTGCTGATCCATTATTAAAAGTTTCAATTATTCCAAGAGGACAAGGTGCATTAGGATACGCTCAATATTTACCAGGTGATCTATATTTAATGTCGGTTCAACAATTATATGACAGATTGACTATGGCATTAGGTGGTAGAGTCTCAGAAGAATTAAATTTTTCAACAGTTACAAGTGGAGCAAGTGATGATTTTAAAAAAGTTACAAGAATGGCAACAGCTATGGTAGTATCATTAGGAATGAGTGAAAAAGTCGGACCAATAAACTATGAAAGAAAACAAGATAACGATTATACAAAACCATTCTCTGAAGAAACAGCTCAATTAATCGATGAAGAAATCAACAGAATTGTTGAAGAATGTCATGAACGTTGTCGTAAACTATTAACTGAAAAATCACATGAAGTTGAATTAGTGGCACAAGAATTGTTGACAAAGGAAGTAATCACAAGAGAAGATATGATAAGACTATTAGGAAAAAGACAATTTCCTGAACGTAATGATGCATTTGACAAATACTTGGAAGATAAAACTAATAAAAATAATAATGAAGCTGCATCACAACCAAACTAGATTAGTCACAAATATGGAAATCTGAAAGTTGTATTAGAAAATCAAGGAAAAAAATATAGAAATTTTTTTGAAACTAAACAAAAAAAAAGAAAAAAAAACTGGTAAAAAATGGCAAAAAAAAAACAACGAAAATATTATCTGCAAAAATTGTTATTAAGGTTTTTGAGAAAAAACAAATGAAGGTCAGTTTAATATCTTGTAAATATATTAACATCATTATTATAAAGACTTTTTTATATTAAATTGATTGATCATAACTATATTATGTTTATAATTAAACTTTAAGATTTAGTACTATACAAAACCGAAAGTAATAATGTAGATTTGAAGATAAAAACAGCAAAACAGGCAAAATGTAGATAAAAAACATCTCGAAGGAATATGATACAGTTAGAATTAAAAAAGAAAATAGATAAAAAGAACTACCATTAATGGAACCATTACCAAGAATAATTATATGAGGAAAAATGAAAACAATCAAAAAGAAAGAAAAGTGCCAAAATATAGGATAAAAAAACAGTTCTTCTAACTAATATTGACCTCTTATTCTTCTAGCCAATTGTATATCTTTTTGCATTATTGTTACTCTTTTAGCATGCAACGCACAGAGGTTTGTGTCTTCAAAAAGATTGACTAAAAAGGCTTCAGAAGCTTCCTGGAGAGCTAGGATGGCTACCGACTGCCATTTCAACGTATACTCTTCGCCTACAAACTGGCTAGCAATTTCTCTTATTAATCTTGCAAAGGGTAGCTTTCTAATCAAAAAATCTGTGGATCTTTGGTATTTTCTGATTTCTTTCAACGCGACAGTGCCAGGTCTATATCTTCTTTTTCTGGCGAAAGCAACAGGATCGCCAGGCTGGTTCCTGTCAATTGCATTTTCAGAGTCGAATGAGTCTTCCTGTTTGACAATGGCCTCTTTTCTTGTGGATTTGGACGACCTAGCTGCTTTGGATTCTTTCAGTTTTGTGGAGGAGGCTCTGGCCATGGTGTGCTGAACGTGGTGGAGGAACAATAGCCAGTTCAACAATAAAAGCAGAACCAAACCACTTTTGTTTTTTTTCGCTCCATCATTTACCTTTTTCCTAATCGGGTCTTGCCCAAAAAGTAAACACAAATATAATCATCACGTGACAAATATTGCTCACAAACGCGTTTTCTTCTGTTGTTTTTGGTGCCCAAAATGCTTGAGCTGCTCAAAATACTCAAAGTGTAGAGTTGGGGCTAAAAGACATAGTATTATTGGGTTTTCTCTCCACTGGTGGACTGTGCACCTCTATTTCCTGTTCTTCTTTGCAATACGGCGTAGTGCTCTCTGTTCGTTCTTCATCACTCCATCCACCATCTTGTATTTGCCCTTCACTCCCTTGGGTCTTCCTGCTATCTTCTTGTTTTTGCCTTTAGCTACCACTAGCGTCACTTTGGGCCTAGTTTTCTGTTTGTTTGTGAATTTTTTCATCATTTTTCCTATTTGTTCAGCTTTATCTCTTTCGCTTCTGGAGTCATCTTCGTTGATGAAATCGGATTTTTTCTTCAACTTTTCGAGTCTTCTTAATGCTCTCATCTTTTTTCTGCCCTGGGCCTCCATCACTTTCTTTATAGGTCTGGCGTTTAATGCTTTCATCTTTTCTTTGATCGCTAGTGCTGCTTCTTTGGTGATTGGTTTCAGTATCTTAGAATGTTTATTTTCATCTTCTACAAACCATTCTGGAACTCCATCCACATCTCTAAATGAATATCTGTTATATGAGTTATCTATCAATTCTCTTTTGCTCACTTTTCCTAGAGCAAGATTATGCGCCAATGTCATTGCCTCTGCTGTAACAATATCAACTTTTTGCTTTTGATCTAATTCTTTATCGTCGTCTTCATCCATTGATATATCGTCTTCATCGATACCATGATTGTTTGGAACAAGTTCAATCTTAGAATTACTTCTGGATTCTGATTCAATATCTGAATCAATGTTATCCCCAGACAGTATTTGTTTATTATTATTATTATTATTATTATTATTATTATTATTATTATTGCCAATAATATTTTTCTTGTTTTTTTTCTTGTTTATTCTATTGATATTCTCCAAATCACCCTTAGCTTCTTCAAAAATCGAATTGCTGAATAATAAATCTGCTTTCCTACTCAATTTACTATCTGGATTTAACTTACTTGATGATACTAATAATTTGTTTATAATGTCATCTTCTTCATCTTCATCCTCATTTCCCTCTGTTTCTGATTCTTCAGATATTGCCTCAAAATCAGAATCGGAATCAGAATTAGAATCATCGTTTCCACTTTTTTCTTCATTAAAGCCTTCAAATTCTTCATCCTCATTTTCTAATTCCCTTTTGGCCTCTCGACTTGATCTTTCCGCTTTATATTGTTGATACATCAAATCCAATTGATCTTCCAACTCGTCTTCATTATCTGAAAAATTTACTATCTTACTATTTTTTTTACTTCTATTATTCTTAGTGCTCAAGTTTTCAAATTTATCTTCATCAATTGCAATATGTGAATCTAAATCCATATCAGCTTCTAAGCTGTTATTTTCACCACCCTTTGATAATGATTTATCTGTCATTCTAATTTTTCCTTTTGCAATATCATTCAATTTTCCTGTTTTCTCGGCTGCTTTAAGATTGAATAATGAAATATCATTATCGGCTGCTTCATAACCAATATCAACAGGATTCAACATATTTAATTGCATTCTAACTATTTCTTTTTGTTTCAACTCATTTTTTTTTCGTTTCTCTCTCTTCTTCTTCAGCTTTGCCTTTTCATTTAATTCATCTAATTCCTTTTCAATTTGTTCTTCTTCTGTTAAAGGCGTAACTTCAATATCAAGTTTATTTTGCTCATCTTTTTTAGGGTCTTCTATATTCAATAATTTTCGTACAGATTTTCTCCACGTTAAAATCCTTTTAAAATCATTCTTACCCAATACTTTTAAATCTTTAAAACATTCAATCAATTCTGGTGTCGTTTTCTTGAATCTTTTAATCAATTTCCACTTAGAATCTTTATTATCAATAACAATTTGACTGGCTCCACCCAAAAAATTAATTGGCTCTTCTGTTAATATAAATTCCATCAACGGAAACGCACGGAATTGAAGATAGTCCCCTTCTTCGTAACCTTCTCTTCTTCGAACTTTTTTCTCAGGATTAAAAACTTTTGATTCGTTATTTTCTGGTCCATCTGGCACGTCTTCAAAAACATTTTTGGGATCCAAAAACTTTTTATCTAATTTTTTAGGTGCTTTAAAACCCTTGCAAAATACAAAAATCTCTGCTGACACATTTCTTGAAGCTGGTGGCTTTGTCGCTTCAACTTTATCAAATAGTTGTTTGAAAACCCATAGAAGATTGTTATAATCTTTGGATCTGAAAATTTTTGTTACAAATGTACCACCAACATCTAAATTCTCAACTGCTAATTGCAAAGCTCTTAATGTTAACTCAGACTGGGTATAAGCATCATGAAACCATCCACTACCAACATTTGGAGCACCATCATGTAGAACAGTATCAGCCTTCCAAGTCTTCATTAAACCTCTCAATTGCGATCGACAGTCTTCAGTAGTGATATCGGACTGAACTGTAATGCAACCTTGAATGCTCTTCATTGGAACAATATCCACACCAATAATCAAAGAATTTACAGGGCAGAGCTGAGTTGCAACTTGACACCAACCACCAGGTGCAGCACATAAATCAATAACAACTTTTGATCTCTCCAAAAAATGACCATATTTTTCGTTTATCTGCAAAATTTTAAAGGCAGAACGAGCTCTGTAGCCCTTTTCTTTCGCTAAATAATAGTATCGATCTAAACGACCCTTGCTGTTTTTTTTCTGAGTCTTTTTTGGCATTCTTTTGATGTTTTATGGTTGATAAATATTACTGATGATATAAATTTAATTCCAATCGGTTCTGAAAGAAAGAATTTTTTTTTCCAGAAAAATTATTTTTCACTGAAGAGACCACCGTTATGGATCCAACACAAAAACAGAAAAACTCGAAACCTCCTCAAACTCTCTCCAGTTTTTCTTTCATCACCAATTAAAAAACAACAACTAGTATTTATTATTATATCAAGGAATAATCATTATTCTTGCTTGCTTTTATTTCTAATGGCTTTTAAATCAGCTTCTTCTCCTGCTGCTACTGATTTGATTCGTTTAGATCCTGTTTCCTCAAAGATTTACAATTACTATAAGAAGGGTATTTAGCACTGTTTGTTCAATTCTGGATAATAATAATATATTAAAAGAAATCAGAATAACAACTGACTGCAATAAATTTTTATTTTAAAGAAAATTATATTAAATTAATAGACTATTTATGGGGCAATTATGATATTTTATATTCAGTTGAACTACCAATTCAAATAAGAATTATAATTGCATTGACTTTATTCAAATTTCCAAACCGAATTATAGAAGGCTTAAAGCAATATTTAATCTTGATTGATGATTTTTCTTTAAATTTTCGGGATAAATCTGTTTTTTATTATATTTTAGCTAATATCTATGCTAATGATTTAAAGTTGTTTGACCATGCTATATTTTTTTATCAAAACTCGATATATTTCAATAACAGTAATAGTAATAGTAATAGTAATAGTAATAATAATAATAATAGTACCGATGATGATATCAATGTTAATGTTGATAATAAAAAAATCACTGAAAATTTAATTAATGATTACGAAAACTGTTTAAGTTTAAAACAAAATAAGATTTGCAATAAAAGTGGCGATGGCAAACAAAGAGATGGCAACAATATTATTAAATCATCATTGATTTCAAGATTCAATTCAAAGTCTATTTTTGAACAGTTATTAGAATCAGAAAGTCTAAAAATTAGTCTAGATAATTATCCCTTATCAAATTGTTTGAATAATTCATATAATATAATCAAAAGCATTGATTCAACATTAAATAAATGGAATAATTCAAGTTCTACATCTAAGAATCATTTTTTCAGCAATACTATCAATCCATTGAACAAATTATTTTCTTTAATAATTGATAATTCATTTACTCCATTGTTGTTTTCGTTGTTAGTAGAACATTTGGACATTAATTTATTGAATTTATTTATTAATACCGAATTATCAATGTATCCAGAAATTGAGATTGATTACTCGATTCAATTGCAGCCCAAAAATTTAATCAGGATTTTGGACAAATTTACTCATTATTCAGTTCAAACGTCAATTTCTTTGATTAATTTAATAATTAAGCATATAACAATCAATTCTTTTTTAAAATTTATGATTGAAAGGGAGTATTCATTTGCATTTGAGACTTTAAATTGGTTACTAAAATTTATTGATGAAATTCCAAATAATATTATCAAACACGATAAAAAATATAATCAAAATGAATATTTATCATTGTCTACAAAGGAATCGATTCTCATTTTAAACAGTAAAATTGCATCTTTTTTACCATTAAATCGAAATAACCTAAAAAATGAACTAGACTCATTGTTTGCCAAATTAATTGGTGACGATATAACGGGTTACAAGTATACTAATAGCAAATTAAAATTGGGCAAGATAAGTGATTTTTTTTTGGTTTCAGGCTTTATATTCGAAAAACTTAGTTTTCTTAATGGCGAGAAATATATCTTGGAAAACAGCTGTGAAAAAAGGGAAACAAATGCAATAAGATTATCGAAAACATATATCGACGAAATGATAAGAAAGTATATCCTAGCATCTGTTACAAAATTTGGCGATGATCCATCGATCATTGAAGTATACGATAGAATATTGTGGGGAATATTAATGTATGGTGGAGCACATATCAAAACGCTATGGTTTTTTAAAATGTTAAGAGATTACTATGACACCAAGTTGAATTTAAGTCCATTTGATTTGAAAAATGAGCCAATCAAACAGTTTGATGAGGACCTATTGAGAAGTTCAAATGCTTTGCCAATAGTGGAGCAAATCTACTACTTGAAGGAAAATATAAAAGCAGTTGATATGTGGGACCAACGACATGGAAGCAGTTTTTTGATCCCCCAGATTTTGGTGGACGTCGACGACAACAACTTCGGGAAAGCCATTCTCATGGACGAGTTCTTTGATGAGAACAACCCCTACGGCAACAACAAGGGCTTTGTGATTGGTACTGCTCAGAGAGCCAGCAGGAAGCTTAGGGGCCATATGAAGTTGCACCAGAAGATCGTCCGGTTCCAGCTCGACAAGAGCTCTGAGTGGATCTACCTCTGGACCAAGGCCTACTGTGATCATCAGTCTCACGACGTGCCTCTACCCATCCAGCAGTTTCTCGGACTCTGTGCCGAGTGAGTGGTGCTTCTTCTGCTTCTTCTGCTTCTTCTGCAGCTTATGTTGGATTTGGATTTGCGTATTGTTGCAGCGAGAGACGTGCTTTCAGCACGTGATATCACCAGCTTTTGCAGCATTTTTTTGTATAGCGATAGTGGCAGCTCATCCTTCTTTGCCAGCTCCAACAGCAGTTCCTGAGATAGCACACACAATGTATGATCCACAACTATTGGTTGCCCAAGTATGTAGCCATTTCAATCTCTTTGTTTGAGTCCTTCTAAGTCGTCTGTTTTACTAACAAGCTGTTCAATGTGTCAAGGCTGACAAGAAAGCTACTCCTCTAACTGGTTTCAGCAGATTCTTTGCTACCGACAGCAACTATCGATATGAAGAAGCTGCTGATCTATATATCCAGGCTGCTAATCTCTACAGATTGCAAAAACAAGGAATAATGGCTGGAAGAACTTTTGAAAAGGCTTCCAGTTGTCAGTTCCAAGCTGACAGCAATGATGAGGCTGCAAATACTTTAATAGAAGCCTTTAAAAGCTATAGAAAGGACTCTCCCTCCGATTCTGCAAGAGTTCTTAATCAAGCAATAACAATTTTCATTCAAAAGGGTCAGTTTAGAAGAGCTGCTAATTTCAAAATGGATTTGGCATCTATTTATGAAACTGATTTATCTGACACTAAAATTTTTGATGCCATAAAAGCCTATCAAGAAGCCGGCGATTGGTATTCCAATGATCAAGCTGAAGCATTATCTAATAAAGCCTATATCAAAGCTGCTGATTTGAATGCTGTAATGGAAAACTACCTTGAGGCTGCAAGTCTATATGAATCTGTTGCTAAAAAATCTCTCAATAACAATCTCTCCAAATGGAGTTTAAAAGACTATTTTTTCAAAGCTGTACTCTGCTATATGGCTTCAAATGATATTGTCGCTACTGAAAAAGCATTGAATGCCTTTGCAAACTGGGATTCCAATTTCCAAACTACTAGAGAGTTTCAATTGTTAAATGATATAATAATTTCAATTAAAGAAAACGATCAACAATTATTCACCGATAAACTTTATGAATATGATCAATTTAGTAAATTAGATAAATGGAAAACATCTATCTTTTTAAAAATAAAAACCCTGATTTCAGAAGCTGATGATGACATTTTATAATTGTTTGGATTGTTTTATCTCTCTTTTTTTTATTGCCCCTCTTTTTTTTCTCTTTGGTTGTTTTTACTCACATTTTACCTTATATCGAATTTTCATTTTTTTTATTTGTCAATATATAAGAGTCGGTTTAATTTTTAATTAAATATTTAATATTTTTTCATTCTATCATAACTACTAGATTATAGCAGTCTTTATAAATGGTTATTATTACTAAAATTTATTGTTTATTTATAAAGTAAAAAAAATATAGACGTAGTAAAGAATAGTTTATAATAAATTTATGCCAAGAATCAAAAAAATGCAAAAAATTATTATCATATAACAAAAACAGAAATTAAGCTGAAAATACATTATCCTTAAAAACATAGTAAAAATAATATAATAATTATTTGATAACCAAATTAAAAGAAAGAGAAAAAAAGAAAAATTAAGGAATAAATATGAAATAAATTAAATAAAATAAATAAAAACAGAATTGAAATTTTAATTTGATCTATATTACATTGGCTGAAGATAAGTTAGCAGTTAATTTCTGCTTTAATGTGGATCTTTTAATAGGTTTTGGTAAAAAATCATCCATTCCTATTTCTAAACATTTTTTTTCATTACTGTCATCAGTATAGGCACTTAATCCAACAATTTTTCCTCTATAGCCTAGATTTTCTCTAATTATTTTAGTGGCCTCAAAGCCATCGCAATTTGGCATTTGAATATCCATAAAAATTAAATTAGGTTCTTTATTCAGTTCCTTGGCTTCAGTGACTATTTTAATCGCCTCAAGCCCATCACAGGCAACAGTCACAGACTTAATGCCCTCAAGGAATAAAAATCTAGAAATAACTTGTTGGTTGATTTGATTATCTTCAGCAATTAAAATACTGATATTGGAATTTTGTTGTTTGGCTGCTTCTTTGAGTTTTTTGTTTTTAATTTCATCAATATTAATGTAAACTGGTTTACTTTCATCACCTTCCGAATTTTCTGTACTTTCAAGTATCTGATTCTTAATGATTAAAGTATCGGGTGAAACCGCAGATGGGTTTCCAGGTGATGACAAATTGTTGGTTTTAAAAAATGGATTGCTTGCAATGCTATCTGGAGATTCATATTTTCTAGAGGATCTATTTGAATGGGCTGTTCCCGTTGAACTATTAGGAAAGATTAATGAATTGTTAAAATAAGAAGAATCCAATTTCAAATTTGCATGGTTCAACTTCCTTCTTGATCCCAAACTTTTTAAACTATTAGAAGTCTTAATGATGACTGATTTTCCCGCTCCGACAGGAGACTCTTCAGTTGTAACCAATATCTGATTTGAGGAAGGTAGTCGGCTTGATTGTACACTTTTAGAAACTTCCTTTGGGTTCAGACTTGTTTCAGCAGCCGAACTAAAAACTTCGATACTTTGTGAAGAACTAATGGAATTACTAGATGATTCTAAAACAATATTCAGATTAATAAAATCAAATTTCTTATGAAATGAAGCTTGATGATCTTTTTTTCTAAAGCATAGAATTTTATTTTGTATCAACGGTATAGTAAGAATAAACTTTGAACCCTTTCCGATTTCACTTTCCAACGATAGAGTTCCTTTTAGTAATTCCGCATACTGTTTGGATATTGCTAATCCTAATCCGGTACCTCCATAAGATCGAGATAGTGTTTGATCACCTTGCATAAATGGTTCAAAGATAGCATCCTGTAATTCCTTTGTGATTCCTGGTCCAGTATCACTAACTGAAAATTCAAAAACCCATTTCTTTGGAACTTCTAAATCCTCCAAATAAATCAAATTTTCATCATTAAAATCTTCTTCCTGATCACAATTGTCCAAATTTAAATTGGTTTCTTCCATTATTCTTGCATCACGGATGGCGTTCATAGCTTCTGCAACCATCGAGTTAACAGAGGACTCTACTGATGCATCTGAAAGCCTTCTACTAGATTTATGCGAATGTTGAGTCTGAACTTTTATCAAGCTTCCCTCTTGAGAATTCGACTCTTTAGGATCAAATTCTCTAGAATGTTTATGAATATGGTGATATTTAGGAACATCATTTTTTTTTTTGAAGTAAACATTAGAGTAATTTTCATCTCTGCTTCTTTCCTCGTCCCATTCACCTTTAAATTTAAACTGAACTTTTACTTCACCATCCTGTGGAGTAAATTTGATGGCATTAGAAACTAGGTTCATTAATATTTGACAGATTTTTTTGTCATCTGAAAAAAAAACAAAGTCTCTAATATTAAACCATCTTTGAATATCTGCAATTTCATCACCAATTTTAAAACAATTTAGCAATTCTTCATCATTTATTTCAAAGATCATATTAACTTTCATATCCTGAACATTTTTGAAAAAAATGGTTTGTACAAGCTTGCATAATGATAGCAATGTAAAATTTTTTAGTTCAAGTTTAACTTTATTTAAGTTTGTTTTTGAAAATGTTAATAGCTGATTGAGTAAATGCAATAATAGCTCACCACAATCAAATAATCTTTTTAGTGAGTCTAATGATTTTAAACTTTGATTTTTGACATCGTTGGTAAAACTTTGCAATGAAGATTTTAAAAGTAAAGCATTTTGATGGTCTGCATGAAGAATAAAATTCTCTGCTTGCTTTCTAATTTGCTGGCCCTCTTGTTGGTTTTCTTGCATAAAAATGTTAAGTTCAACAATTGCAACTTTGCACAAACCAAGAATACCATTTAATGGAGTTCTGATTTCATGAGATATATTTGCCATAAAGACAGTTTTGGCTTCATTAGCCTCTTCGGCTTGAACTTTAGCTAATTCTAACTCTTTGGTTCGATCCTTGACTTTAATTTCTAAGTTATTATATTGCTGTTCAATTAAATTTATCATTTTCATAAACCTTTCTGTTAGCTCTGTCAATTCATCGCGCACTATAAATGGCTTTAAAAGAACACTTAAACTACCATGGGCCTTTCCCAGCCGATTATAGGCAATATTGCTATCGTCATCGTTATCATGATAAGGATAACAATGAGAAGGTATTCTTCCAAAAGTGTTTGTTGGAGAGTTCAATGTGTCATTATTATCGGATGTGGTAGGATTTTCGTTGTCAATTGGTGGGCTTTGTTTTAATGTTTGGGATGTAAGAGTTGATGAAGTTGGAATATCATGAATAGGATCTTTATGGGGATGTTGAAGAACTTCAATTTTGGTTTCATCCTGAGAAGAGGGTGTTATAGAAGAAGACAACAGTTTTAAATTTAGAGGAATATTTTTACTAGTGTTTGAAGTATTTTGATTAATAGAATCATTTGTTAAATGGTTATTGATTAAGTGATTTTGTGGCTGATTTTCATATTTTAAAACCTTTCTATTGTGAAATTTTCTTATTAGAGATTTTGGGTTCAATCTTTTTGAAATATTTTTTCTTGAGCGAAGGGATTGATTCTGTTTATTTTTCAGGTACAAAATTTGGTTATGAGATTCAATTGAGCTAGAAGAAAAATTCTTTTTATCAATGACCTTGACGTTTGTGTTATCAAACTTGTCGCTTTTATTTAAGGTGAAATCTTCAGTTAGTTGTTTTAGTCTTATTATGGGTCTAACAGCATAGTGAGCAAGTGGGTATGCAATTAGACACATCATGGCAGCCACACCAATGACGGTTCCAACAATAATTTTTGTTAGTCTTCTACTAGGGCCCATAAATTTGTCCTTTGATTGTTCGACGAGAACAATCCAGTTTGTCATGGCACTTGAAATTTTGCAGTAGCCAATTACAAAGTTATTTCCATCAGGGCTGTGAGCACTTGTGGAGGAGCCAGATTTATTGTAGAATATTGCGTTTGCTAAAAAGCCAAAATCACTGACTGAATAATAATTTGGGGTATGAGTTATATTTGACAATTGAGAAGTTGGAGTGAAAACATAGGTGATATAGTTTATGTCAATAGGGTAAATGTAATTGACAGTGTTGGTAATGGCTCTTTTTTCGAGAGATATTTTTGATTGTGAGTCAAGATCGTTTTGATTAGTGTTGTAATCAAAAAAGTTTTCCTTAGGATCATAAGAGGTTGAATTTGAATTGTTTTTCAGTAGTTTTGATTGGGAGGATTTTAAATTTGGGTTATAAGATATGGTAAAGTTACTGGAATTGAAGAAGCCTCTTTTGTTTATAACAACCAGCCCATAGCCTCCAGATGTGACCGAAGTTGTCGAGTTTGTAGAATTTGAAAAGGAGGCGGTTGTTTCAATTGTGTCTATAGTGCTTGTTGAAGGATTAGAGGTGTCTATGCTAGAAAAAGTGGAAGTGTAGTTGGAATCTGAGGAATTATCAATCAAAGCAGGAAATTCTGATTTGTTTAAGTTTGTGTCATAGCCAGCTTGATAGAGCAGAATCTGGCCACCATTTAAGGCAGTTGTATCATTGACAACAGATTTCAAGGCTTCTGCATTCAAGCAAACAGTTAGAAAGCCAGCCAAGTTGGGAGATTTGATTAGAACCGATAGGTTTGCATAAATGGGGAGAGTCATTGACATTACATATCTTTTTGAACGAAAGTCGTATTTCGGACCATTTAGTAGGCCAGATTTAAGAACGACAGCAGGTAGAGTGGTTATATTTTGGTTGAGTGGATATAAATATTCTAGAGTTTCATTTGAATAGGCGTCAATAACAGTTGTGTTCAGGGTTGCGCTGGTGGTTAAGGAATTAGAATTAGAATTGTAGCCGGAAGTCGCCGAGTCTGATTCAGTGGATACAGAGGTGGAGCTGGAACTATCACCATCAGCGTCGTCATCGATATCAGTGTGAGTATCAGTAACTTTGACATTTACAAGAACGTCAGAAGAGTTGTTTGATACCTCGCTGATTGTGTTGAAGGATAGATCGTATAGTCTTGCTTGGATATAGGTATCGGAAGAATCAACAAATTTCTGCAAAAATGTAAAAGCCTCTTCCCCCACAGAGGTTGTGGTATTTCCAGCTTTGTAGCTTGCAAGCGTTGATTGTATGAGGTCTCTGGAGGTTATCCAGTATAGCTGGTAGTATGTTAAAGAAAGCGACTGCTCGATCTGCGAGGCCTTCAACTGGGCGATGACTTCTAGCCTTTCGGATCTTGATTCCAAGTAGTTTGTGGTGAAATAGAAGCCTGTGATGAGGGCAAGAATGAGAAGAGAAAAGATGGCAACGAGACAGGACAATATGATCACCTGGAGCTTGAGTGAAACTTTTATATTGTGCTGCCGTAAGAAACGTAGCTTGAGTTGACCAAACATGTTTTCTGGACAAGGAGTAAGGGAAAGACAAAAGAAAGACAAACGTAGATGTGGGAAATGTTGCTACCTGAACCAGTGTTTCATTTATCGAATATATCTTGAGACGTCAGAGCTAGGCAGGTTGAAGACAGTTGCGATTGCTTGCCAGACTTCGAAACTCAGAATGCTTCTTTCTGGAATATGATATAATGCCGGTTGGGCTCCAGAACTCAGCAACGCTCCCTGGGCCACGTGAAAGGACTGTCCGACGTGGTGGTGTCTGCAGCACTGCGCTGCGAACCGCGGCTGCTGCAGGGTCCACGCCAGCGGAGCTGCGACGAGGGGGCCGTGCTGCGAAGAGAAGGCCATCAGAGCGAGAGATGCTCCATCTCCTTCTCCTCCAGCAACAATGGGCATCCTCTCCAAGTTGAGCTCAGGCTACAAGCGATTGTCTAGCAACGACTCCCAGAACCTCACTGTCATCCACAATGCCTTCTCGCCCCAGAAGTTGTTCTTCCAGATCGTCTTGTTGCAGTCCTTGTACTACATCATAGCGACAGTCCTCTTTTTCTTCACTGCCTCAGTCTCAGGCTACGAGTTTTCCTTCTCCTGGGTCTTTTCCTGGGAGATCATCAGCTTTGTCAACACCTTGGGCTTGACGTTGTCCTGTTTGTGGTTGTTGGATACCTTGCTCTGTGTTCTCATGATCACCTTGATCGTCGGCAGATCCAAGCTTGCCTGGGACTTTGCTTTGACCTTACATTTGATCAACTTGATTGTTGTGTGGCTCTATTCCTCCTCCTTTCCCAACACCTTTTCCTGGTGGTTTTTGCAGTTTGTCAATTGTCTTATATTGGTCTTCCTAGGCACAATGACCTCCAGATGGAGGGAGTTGAAAGACAGCTTTTTCGATGGCATGGTTGATGTTGAATCCCCAAATATCCACAACGATGCCCTTCAGATACAGTTGTCTGATTTCGCCTCAATATCAACACCCACAACTACTGATCTCTCTCCATCCACAAACAAAAACCCACAAACATGATCACAACTCAATCTCAATGCTGCTTTAATCTTTAATCTATCTATCCCTATTACTATGTCTCTACATTATGAAGCTCTCCATCAAGAATAAAATGAACCCCTGGGTCTAATTATGGTCCAATTATATATGTATTTATAATTCAATCAGCTTTCCAACGCTTCTATTCTCTAAAACCCACTTCTATTCATTGATTTCTAATTTGCATCTTTTAAACGTTGATAAATTTAGATGCTAGGTTTTGCTCAATTAATCTAGATAGTGTAATATATATTTTGATTTGATTTGATTTAATTTAATTTAATTTAATTTAATTTAATTTAGTTCAATTCAATTCAATTTGCTTTTTTTTTCTGTTCCTATTTACTTTTTGGGCTTTTTTCTTCTCCTTCTTTTGTTGTCTATGTCTACAACATCTTTTCCCCCTTTCTTTTTCCTTTTTGGCCTCTTTTTCTTTCTCTTCCTTTTATTTCTTTTTTCTTTATTTCGTTCTTCCATTGAATTAAAACAAACTCCATTCTCATCACACCAGTTTCTAACAACTTCAAAATTTAACCCAATATTATTTTCAACCAATATTTCTTGTAGCTCTTCAATCCCAATCGGTTCAAAACTAATGATTTTCTCATAAATTCTCTCATTACTCTGCACTGCTCTTGAAATCTTATTATATATTACTTTTTTAATTTTTTTACCTTCCTCTTTAAGTTCTTCGCTTTCATCCAAATCATTCTCGTTATTGCAGTTTCCATTTTCCTTATCTGTACTAAAAACTACATCGTACATTTTGGAATTACAGTCCAACTTCTCACTTCCTTCAACTTCCATATCTAATTCACAATCTTCATCCCCACTTCCAAAACTTTTTTTCCTCTTATTCTTATTTTTTTCAATCGCTGAGCTGAACTTCAAAATTGATCCCACATTTATTTTCGATTGCTCAAAAAATGTTTCCATCTCTTTTCTTCCCAATGCTTTAAACCCAACGCTACTAAAAACATCACCTAAAACCTGCGTTGAAATCTTTTGGTAATCGTACTTATCTTTATCAACTAATGATTCGCTCTCAAAAATACCCGGTTCCTCATTCTCCAAAAAGCTTGACCGAACCTGTAAAATCGCATCATCCATCTTATTGTCTATAGGTGAAGAGTCAACAACACGTTTAATTTCAACAAAATTAAACTGTTCATTACCATAATCACTATCATCAGAATCGGGAATTTCAATTATCTCTTTACTGATAAAATCGGGTCTTGTATTCTTTTTTTTAATCGATAGTTCTATATTTCTAAATGGCGATGAAGAATCAATCTTCAATTCTCCTTTATAGCGTACTTCTGAAGTCGTTATTATTTTGTTCAATTTATAAATCTCATCTTCTATATTAGATTGAGATTTAGATTGAGATTGTACAAGTTGAGATCTTGCCGTTTCAAAAAAGGATTCTGGTGTACTTTCATTATCGGAATGCATTTTATTTTCGTTGAATTTTAAATCATTTTTAGAATTATTATTGAAAAATTCTTCAAATAATTCATCATCAATTTCCTGCTCTTCCCCCAATAAATTATCCAGAATTTCATTAATTGCATTAAAATTTGAAAAATATTTCGAAACAGTTGAAATTTTCATTTTATCATTAAAATTATCAAAATTATCAAAATTATCAAAATTATCAAAATTATCATTTCCCAGATTTATCCTTTCACCGTTTAATGGGGATAAAACATTTGTAAATCTATTATTGCTATTTAATTGAGCACTAGATATACTGTCTTGCTTTCTTAAAGTTTCTAAATTGAAAAATGCCTTTTCTTCTTGTATATTAGAACCTGTTTGATCATTAAACGATTCACTTGGAAAAATTTTATTATTCAGTAAACCATTTGTATTCTGAAAATCATTGTTGTTTGAATTGTTTGAATCTTTTTGTGATTGAGAAATCCCAATTATTTTTTTAACTTGTGTCGGTAAGATTATTTCATTTTCCTCCATTATAGGTTGATGTTCTATAGTCTGTGAACCAGAAAAACTCGTTTGGAAAATATTTACTTTTGATTTATTTTTAAAAAGATCAAATTTTAATTTTTTTCCTGCCCTTATATTTTTCAAATCTTTTTCTGTTACCTTTATTGGGGAAACTCTTGGAGATGAAGAAGGAATCAAAAAATGGAAATCATGGGCACCATTTTTCGATTGTTTCAAGGGAGTTGTTTCAATATTTTTGAAAAAATTTTCTGAATCCAGATCAAGTATTTCAATAATAGAGTGATCTTGCAGTTTTTCTTTTAATTTTAATTCCTGAAAAGAGGGATTATCTAAATCGATTATTGAAATATCGTTCAGGCTATATTTACTTTGTAATGCAGTTGGTTCTGCAATACTCTTGTTCGAAGATTGGGGCAAAACAATGACATTTGGTATGTCACTATTGTCGGACTCATCTTTATTTAGAAAATTCTTGGATGGACTAGAGGTAAAAATCCAATCACTAAGATTTTCCTTTTCCTTTTCCTTTTCCTTTTCTTTTTCTTTTTCTTTTTCTTTTTCTTTTTCTTCTTGTTTATCTTTATCATGTATCTTGGTATGGCTTAAATCATATAACCATTCTAAATCCTCTCCAGATAAAGGAAAATCAGGTGGAGAGCATGCCAAACACCACATATCATTGTTTTGGCTACTGTATTTATTGCATTCAGGAACAGAATACCTCAAGTACAATTGATTAATCAGTGATAAAGATAGCTTTGTTTTTTTTGACAAATTGGGAAAATTGATCTTTATCGATTTGAGTATATCACACCATTCATCAGAATTGTATAAATGAATACTATTTTTATCAATGTCAATTGAGGATTCCAAAACATGGTGATTGGTTTTTTCAATTTCTTGGATTCTACTGATAATCATTTTCTTTTTATTCTTTTTTTTACTTGTTAATAAATCCAACATTGATTTGCTAACTTTCAAATCGCTAGTATTAGTAGAAGAGCCCGGAGCTGCCCCATATTTTTTTCGCATATGATCTGTTATAGAAAGTATTTTGTTATCTGTTGTGGCTGCTCGCCTAGAAGCTTTTTTCTTTGATCTGGCGTTTCGATATTCAGCTTTATCCAGAGCAAGAGCCGAGTCTTTCGGTGCCAGTCTGCTCCCAGTTTTACAGTCGTCCTCAGCTAGATTTTGAGCTAGATTTTGAGCTGGATTCTCAGTTGCATTGTCAGGCCCACACCCAAAATCCAAGGAGCCAAAGGAAAACTTCTCTCTCAACTCTTTGAGTGTTTTTGTTTGGCTGTCTTGGTGCTTAAAGTAGTTCAAGTTTATCTGCATCTGCGTGGACAAAAAGGGCTGGACGTTGCTGTAACCATCTTCACGATCACTCTCGCTATCTGGTATTTCTGTAAATCCAACTGATTTCATCAAAGCAGCACATCTAATTGTCTCCCACCTCGTCGCTAAGCTGAGCATCTCCTGAAGAGGCGTCCAAAGAAACGCTTTTCTCTTTATAACGTCTTGAAAACGTCTTTAAGCGCGGCCGCACCCGATTAGGCAATCGAACCAGCGAAAGGTGGGGGCCCCTCTGAAGTCGTTCCATGAAATGACCGTCGGTGAAACTTTTCGAATAACACATTATGCATAAATTTAAGTGAGACAAAAATGAGGAACAAACACCAATGGGAAAGATAAAAAAATGAGAAAGTGAGAAAGTGAGAAAATGAGAGTGAGAAACAAAAACATCTAATCATAAAAACGTTGGGAAGGACTCTATTTGCAAACCAAATAGATTTGCTTCAGTAAAATACAATACACAGTTTAACACCAGAAGTAGTAAACTCTATAATACCAAGGTCTGGATTTGACATAAGCTGCTTCTTCAGCGACACTTTGTTTAATAACATCAAGATCGACCTTCTTTTTTGCTGAGCTTAGATCAATTTCTTTCAAGGGAATGCAGATTCTCCAGCTTCTGGTCCAGATCTTGTGGCCAACATAACAAACCAATACAACAACACCAGACAAGTATGACTCGAAAAATGTTTCAGCACTTGGAGAAGATCCAATTGGGAAAAGAGCAATCCAAAACTGGGCTACCAAGATCAATATCATAACAATTAAACCATACATTGATCCCCAAAACCCGACTTGAGATTTATAAAGTAAATCATCTAATGATTGGTTTTGGGCCTTCATTGCTAATCTCAATCTAATGTGAGATAAACAAATACTACCCCATCCGAAAATTGCTGATAATCCCGAAATAGCTAGCATCCAAGTGAAAACCTTTTCTTGTGCAGATGATGCAGAGAGGAAACAGAGTAATCCAGCTAATGATGTACAACCGACTGCAGCTAATGGTCTACCTGTTCTATCAATATAGCATAAAATTTTTGGTGCAAATCCTTGATTTCCTAATGAAAGTAATGTTCTTGAACAGGCAAACACTGAAGCATTGGCGACTGAGGTGACTGCAATGAGAATAACTGCATTCATAATTGATGGCAAGACTTTGATCCCACCGTTGGTAATTGCAATAACAAATGGTGAAGCTGAAGCGTCGTATGAATTGGATCCAATGAGTTTCTCGGAATTATATGGAACCAAAAATCCAATAAGGGTTAATGGGAGAACATAGAAAAACACAATTCTCCAAAAAACCTTTTTGATAGCTTTTGGAAGAACTTTGGTTGGGTTTTCTGATTCTGCAGCAGCCATTCCTGAAAGTTCGGTACCAGCATATGAAAATGCAGCTGTCACAAACACACTGCAGACACCTTTGAAACCATGAGAAAATGCACCTGGATTATGCCAGTGCTTTCCACCAATGTACCCACCTTTAGGTGCTCCTCCGCAGATTAGCACTATCGCCAAAATCATAAATCCAATAATAGTAATAATTTTAATCAATGAAAACCAAAATTCAGCCTCACCATACCCTTTTACTCCAAAAACATTAATCACAACGATAAAGGTCCATAAAATTGCTACCCATGCTGCCGCATTGATTTTATTGTTCCAATATCCAATAATCATCGAAGCTGCCGTCAATTCCAATGGCAAAATAACAAGCCACTGCAATGCATAATTCCAACTCATTGCAAAACTCCAGCTTGGACAAATGAATCTGGTAGAATACACAATAAAAGAACCGGAACATGGAAAATTGACACAAAGCTCACCTAGTGCATGCATTGTGCATAAAATTGATGAACCCACAATTGCCCAACCAATTAAGACACCAGCAGGACCACCAGCTTTCAAGGCTTTTCCAGAACCAATAAATAAACCAGTTCCAATGCAACCTGCAAGACTGATCATTTTTAAGTGTCTTTCTTTTAAACTTTTTGAAAAGGGATCATTGACACTTATAGCATTTGAATCATTGTTTATATTGGCACGTTTGAACGAATCTTTAAAGTCTTTCCATTTGGAGTTTTCCAAATCTTCGGTATTATTTGTTTGAATCGAATTTGGAGCACTTAAACTAGCTGAAGGAGACGAAGCTCCATCTGTTTTCTCTATTTGACTTTCTAAGTCTTTCATGACCACTAACCAATGTTTGTATGTGATTTAAACCAAATGTTTAAAACTGTTTGACTATTATTTTAGAAAATGTAGTAAATATCAATTGATTTTTTTTTTATTTAAAATATTCTGAAATATTCTGGGATATGAACAAGTTATAAAGAAGTAAAAAGCATTTTTCATTGATTTATATAACAAAACAATTACCACGCTTCTAATATTGGGAATGCTTTAAAAAAGAAAATTAACACAAGTCTGATCTATTTCTCCAGCATTGATATCGATGATATGCTAATTATTCAGGGAAATCAATTCTGTTAGAAATCGAAAATTTACTTGGATGATACTCTTAGAGTTTTCAAACGAATATGTTCAAGTTGGACACTTAAGGTTCAAATGTGTATCAAGAATTTTGTGGTTCCGAAACTTAGCTTTGCAGGCTAATGGCCTAATGCCATCGAACTTTGTCGGTTGATTTACTTCTTAATCTATTTTAAATCACCTTTATTAAAAGGCTTAATTTGTCTTTATGCCAAACTCTCCTAGATTAATGTATTATGGGTGTGGTTTTGTTTGCAGCTTGAACATTTATTCAGACTATTAAGTTGCACCATCCAGAGATTTCGTGCAGGGAAAGACTCAAAATTCTTCTCTTTTCTGCCTTATATTGAGACAATTAATTGAAGCCAGGCCATTCTTGATTCAAATTAATAAATATTATTTGTTAGTGTGGCTCTGTAAAGGCACCAAGTACAGCGCAGTTTCTGTGTTTAGGCGGTTGGAGCAGTTTGGGTAGAAGAAATAGTCGAAGAAATAGTCAAAGATATTTTGACAGCCAGCATAGCCGTTGGAGTGTTTCAGTCACTGCTTCTGTGCTTAACCACCTATTTCTAAGATATACCTCAAGTGATGGAGTTATTTTGGGGTTCAGGGCATGTTCTTGTTTGCAAAAGATGCTTTATGTTGGGAAAACAGTGCTAGTGAAGCTTGCAAAGCAAGTGATTGCACTCAGTGTCCACAGCCATCTTTAATGAGAAAACGACTATGAATTCAATTACACAATAAAAATAATACAATTAGAATCACTCGGTATGACTGCTACATCTTTTATTGTTATATTTTAGCTGTCCAGATTAGTGTCGAGGGCCAGCAGTTTCTACTTATGATGCACTGCACTATCCACTCCCAGTCCACCAAAAACACATTTATGTCTTTACACCTGGATTTTGTATTTATTAGCTCGGAGGTTTTCGATTTTCTCTTTCCGCTGCTTGTTCTTTTTCGACTTCTGTGGATTTCACTTTTGGAGCGCTTTCCAGATCCTCTTTCTTGTACAATGTTTTCATGAAAATTTAGATTTAGAATATTCAAATCTTGATAAACCATTTCAATATTTTTATAGTCATAGATCAATATTTCGTCTTCAAAATTAAGATTGTGTTTTTCAATTTCTCTTATCACATCAGGAATCGCAGTGATATTCTCAGCGTATTTAATCGATTTGGCACCTAAAGTATGAATTAAAAACTCAACAATAAACGGCTCTTTACTTAACATTATAAATTTTTTTCCATTTAACACACCAGAATTATTAGAAAGCTGATTAGATAAGTCTGAAGCCTTTTTACATTCAAAATTTATTTTGAAATTGGATATATCAATACTTTGTATGCAATTAAATCTTTTTGACTCGCCGCTCGCTAATAAATAGCTAGTCCAATTATGAAGAAATTTTTGTTCTCTGATACAATCTTTGATGAACTCAATTGATAATGTTGGCCATCCTAGGGCCAATGCTTCTAAATATTTCGAACTTCTACAATATTGGTTGGAAATAACAGCAGCAAATTTATAGGTTCCAGCTTTAAATTGATTTTTCAACTGCAATCCCAAACAATGGTTTTCATTGTTAATAACTAGTTCCATCCAAGAGTGAAAGCCATCTTTTAGAATTGCTCCACCATTATCAATAATCAATTTTGATATTTCATCTCTGTTTTTATGAGTGAAATTATTGATGGTAGAGCTTCCCGTTAAACAAAAAACGCAACCGGAAAACATATTGCTATAATAAATTTCCTGATCTTCTGGGGTTTGGTATAAACTTAACAGCAAAGTTGTATTTGAACTATGGCGTAATATTGCCAGTGAAACAGAGCCTTTAAGGTTAGTAGATAATTGATTAGCTTCGCTTCTTCCTCTAATGGGAATTATGGAGTCAAGACCTTGTCCCAGTTTCTTTTTAAAAATGTTACATTTTTTGCTCCATTGTTGGGAATTAATACAGATATCACATAGATTGGCTTTGATTTCATTTGAATTTTCTACTACTTTTTGTCTTTTAATTATTTTCAAGTAAATAGTGTCATAGCCTCTAATACATCTGATAATTTTTTTCTTTTGTTTTTCGGTTTGGGTTTCGGTTTCGGTTTCGGTTTGATTTTTAGGAAAACAGCATTCTAACCCTGTGACAATATAACTGGGTCTTTTATTGATCAATTGTACAGAATCACCAATTCTTATGTCTAGAGGGGAAACAATGTCATTTTGATCGATTATAACAGAAGTGTCGTAAAACATGACATTGTATTTTCTTCCATCGACTTTAGATAGGACTATTGCAGGATAGTATTTGTATTGAAAAAGACACCAAAAGTAATTATTCCAATTTGAAAAGTTGGATAAACTTCGATTAGATGAGGTTTCATTTCTTAGTATGCCGATGGGAAAAGTATTAAAAATGGATTCATTATCAAAAGATTCTGTGAATTTAGATAAATCATTTTGAGAAGGATTATTTGAAGGGGGATTAGAGAGTATCTTGTGATTTGTTTTTCTCTTTTTTTTGGGACGTATCATAAAGTTGTCATCAAGATCAGGATCGAGATCAGGATCAGGCTCAAGATCAAGATCAGGAATAATGTCGGAATTATTGACGGAAATAATAACCGGATCAGAATTAAGATCAATGTCGGGATTATAGTCAGAATCAGTGTCAGAATCATTTTCAGATGTAGTTGAATGATTAGATATGGCAGAGTGATTAGACTGAAAATTTTGATTATTTATGATTTTAATTGAAGAAGATTCATTTTCATTTTCATTTTCATTTTTGAGATTTGAGTGATTTGAATTTGAATTTGAATTTGAATTCAGATGTTTACTTTGATTTTGATTTGTTTCTGAATCTGAATCTGAATCTGAATTGGAGTTGGAATTGGAATTGGATAAATTGAATTTGGATAAGAATTCATTATTTCTAAATAAAATTTCATTTTTTGAAGAAATTTGAGTTGAATGAAATTTATGATTAAAATCCGGGAGCGAAGAATCTAAGAGCAAATTTATGTTATTTGGGTTTGAATTTGAATTTGGAATCTGATTTTGATTTTGATTTTGGTTTTGGTTTTGGTTTTTAATTGATATGTTATTTGAGGAAAAAAATTGAGAAGATGAATGGTTTTGAATTGAAGAGTTGTTTAAGATTTCAAGATTTCCTTTTTTCGATGGGGATTCGTTTGAATTAGAGGTAATATCTTCGACTAGGTTTATATTTTGGGTATCGTAAATCTGAGATTCATAGTCTTGATGCAATTTTTGAGTGTCAAGGATATGATCGTTTTTTGTGGAGTTAATAAAGAGATCGGATATCACTGTTTGGTTTTCAATCTCGATTTCAGTTTCAATCTCGATTTGAGTATGAATCGTATTGGCAGTATTGTTGTTTTCAAATAAGTTTTGTTGTTCTAGAGTAGCGGGAATCTGTAAATCTGGTAGAAAGTTGTAGTTTGTGTTTTCATTTGTGATATTGGAGATATCATTGGAGATATCGTTGGAAATGTCATTTGAGATGGGATTTGGGATAGCGTTTGGTGGACCTTTGAATAAGTCTGTGGTTGTATCATTAGACACATCATTAGTTGTGTCATTGTTTAAGGAAAGATCATCGTCAGTGCTTGCTGCCAATATTCTTTCTTCAGCTTTGGAGAGAGTTGGAATGTGGGAAGTATGACTGTTATTTGCTTGTAGGAAGTCGGATCTGGAAAGACCCAACGGGAACTGAATGTCCTGGGGCTGACTGGAAGAGTGATCGATTATCTGCGTGTCGCCAGCACCGTCATCAGAAACAGCAGAAGAAGCACGCTGGGGGTGTTTGCCACCCGGGATCTCGAGGTCATTGCAGGTACTGCTCTCGTGGACAGCTCCAGCACCACGCGCACCAGGACTGAGGGGAGGACGCGAGTCGATCTCCTGGGTGTCAGCGTAATAGAGGCTGGCGCTGCAGACCTGAGGAAGCGCATCTTCCACAAAGGCAGCGGCGGGGTTGTGCTGGGCGTCGGGCATCTCTGGCGGCACAGGCATCTCTAGCGGCACGAGCTTCGTCCCTCCGCTGGCGCTCCAGAAGTCGACCTCCTGGCCCACGCTGCACACGTGCAATGGCCACGTGTCTAACGCACATAGCTGCATCTATGGAATTGACATATCACGTGATGTTATTTTTTTTGATATATATAGCCAAGCCTTCCCCAGGTTTTGTTCCTTTTTGGGTGTCTGCATTTCTTATCTCATCTCTTATTCTTTCTTTTTATTTCTTTTGCTACTTGCTCTCTTGCTTTCTCGTATCTTTTTTCTTACTATTCTCTGCTGCATTCACCAAATGACAATCATCCTCAACGACACCCGTATTCCTATTTGGCTCGACTGTGATCCCGGCCACGATGACGCCTTGGCTATCATTTTGGCCTGTTTCCATCCTTCACTTAATCTCGTCGGTATCTCAACTGTCCATGGAAACACCTCTCTCAAAAACACAACCTCCAACGCTTTAACACTACTATCCATTCTTGACAAAGCAGTCCAGGTTCCGGTGTTCTCTGGTGCTACCCATCCTTTAATAAAAGAAGAAAATCTCGTCACCACTGCTGATTACATTCATGGTAAATCTGGTTTGGACGGTTCCGACCTATTCTTAAAAATCAAACATGATATCCACAATCTAACCTCTCCAAAATCCGACAACATTAATGATACTCTTTTCAATTTAAATCAAACAATAGACCTCTATCAAGATAAGTTGGTCTTAATAGCAACTGGTCCTTTAACCAATTTGGCTTTATTATTTCAAATGTACCCACAATCGATAAATAAAATTAACAAAATTTCTATTATGGGTGGAAGTATTGGTTTTGGAAATAAAACTCCCTTTGCCGAATTCAACTTTTGGTGCGATCCCTTAGCCACTGCAAAAATTTTTAATAACTCTCAAATCCATGATAAAATCTTACTAGCTCCTTTGAACATTACTCATACTCTCTTGGTCACAAAAGATGTCTTGAAAAATATTCTAAAACCTCAAAACTCACCAATTTCCTCCGGTTCTTCTAGTTCTTCTAGTTCTTCCAATTTTAGAAAAATGATCTATGATTTGCTAACTTTTTTTGCAAAAACTAATGAAGCGGAACAAAATTGGTTTGACGGTCCTCCCTTACATGATCCACTAGCTATAGCTCTTGTCTTAAATTTCTTCCAAAAAGATAATGTCTCTGTAAAGGATCCCTCAAGTTTAAACAACTATAATTTGAATGTCAATTTTAATTGTTGTAAAGTGCGTTCTATCTCTCATGGCCTACAAAAGGGAATGATTCAAATACTTCAAGATAATATTCCACATGGAAATGGTGTAATGATAGCTGAATCTTTAAACATTGATGCATTTTGGAAAATTCTTTACGACGTTATTGATTTAGCTGATAATGTCTCTCCAGCTAATATCCTCTAACTAATAATTTTTAATTCATAATGTCCAATCATCTTTGCATTTCTCTGATGTTTTTGTTTTCTTTTTAATCTTTCTTTGTTTTTATTAATGACCTTTTTGCCCCGTTAGTTTTGTTTTTATTTCAATTAGTGACTTCTTTAGGTTTTAAATTTTTTTTCTTATTATTACTATTTTATATTATTTTATTTTATCATATTTTATCATATTATATACTTAATATCACTAATGCCTAATTAATAAACTCCTATAATAAACTAATCTTACCGTATATATCATCTACAACTAAATAATCACCACCACCATTCTCATCATTATTCGTGTTCTGAGTATTTCCTCTACTCTCACCCAAATATGCGATAGGAACAATTGTAGGTCTTCCATGTGCACATTGAAATGGTAGTTTGCAATATCCAAGTTTATTTATTAAAATCTCACATTCCTCAACCAATAGTTTATCCCCAAACATAACTGATCCTCGACATGCTTTAGAATTAAGACATTCAATAATCACTTTAGGTATATATCTCAACTCATTTAACCACTCGTGATTATTATCTTTTTTATCCTTTCTAAAGAATTTCCGGTTTTCGCTTAAATCATACCCGTGTTGAATTAAACATCTCTTAATAAACTCCCCATCTTTGTAATTACTTCTTTCAATCAACGTATAAGGTAAATGTGTTATTATGACCTTATTCACACTATTATCTTCTCCAGATTCAATTGAAAAATTAAACCCCCAAATATTAAATTCATCCAAATAGTTTAACAATAGATCACTTTCATCAATACAAACCTCAATTCTTAATTCTTCTTTCAACTTTATTGACATTTCAAAATCTTTATCGTTCATTCTTTCAACAAAATCGCAAAATATCTCCTCAACCTTAATTCTCTCATCACAAGCATGTTGATCAACAATTAATAATATTGATGAGTTTAGTGTTGTTAATATAAATTTATTGTCCACTTGAGATATTACTTTTAATTTAGCAATATCTTCTCTACTTAGTTTAAAATTTTTTAAATTAATTTCATTTCTGCCTATCTTATTATCGAAAAATTCTGATGTGTAAGCTGTTTTATAATTTATTTTCAAAATAGAATTGTCATTTCCATAGTCATCAAAACAATGATGAGATTTTTTATGACATTTGGATTTTTTCATAATTTCAACCAAGCTACTTTTAGATTCACCATAACAATTATTTATCAATTTATCATTACCTTTAAACCCAAATTCAAATTTGGATAAGAAAGGCCTCAAAAATAAAGAATTATTAGGATTCGAATTATCCCATCGACCATTTATTTCCTTAATATTAATTCTTCCTGTTTTAATTTTGGAATTTAAAAATAAACTGGCTGACTTCTTATTTACTTTTTGATTCAAAAGTTTTATATGCTTTGTCGTATCATTTTGTTCTAAATTTATATTCTCGTCATTATAATCATCAATATTAGAAATATTATCTTTTGTATTTTTAAAGTTGATATCAAGAGTATCTTCGAATTTCCGCTTCAAATTGATTCTATTAGAATCAGTATTATTAATACTACTACTTTTGCTAGTAGTTCCTCCAATATTCTTTTCATTGCCCTTTTCATTATTACTTTTATTGCTGTTCAATGTAAAACCATGCTCAGATAAGAAAGTTTTTAACAATTTTAAAATAATTGGGTTAATTGATTTAAAATGAGCAGAATTATAAATCAACTTTGAAGGATCTTGAATCAAATCAGATATCGAGTTTTCACATTCGATTTTAATAATGAAAACTGGATATCTTGAAAAAGGCTTTGTAATTGAGTTTAAGGTTTTCTTATAGTATTTATAAGGACTCTTTATTTTTTGTGGAGATAATTGTTTTAAACTGCTAGAATTAAAATAAGGTTGCAAGTATTGAAAAGAATTGTAACCAAAATCAGATGATTTAAAAACTTGATTAATTGTATTAAATAATTGATTATTACTATCGATTCTTCTATTATTTATAAATATAAATTGATATTTTTTAGATTGAGAAGGAATGGTTGAAATAATTCCACTCAATTTATAAGATTTAGATTCAGTAGATAAAAATTCATAATTATTCTTTATTGAAATTCCATAAACAGAATTTAAAATTTGGATCATATTAGTAGAGTTATCTAACAAATTTGGAGCTCCATTTGAGCAAGAAGCTGAATACAAAGGGGGTAAAATAGCTTTTGTAATTAAGAAATTTGGATATAGTTTAATTTTCAATTGAACATTTGGGTTTAAAACTGAAATTTGAAGAATGCTCAATCTAATTTGATCTAGAACTTTTAGCAAAGATAACCGAGAAAGTTGTGATTGTCTAACAGGTAAATTAAAGAAAAGATTATTGACTATGACTATAGTTCCAGAGGTTTTCAAATCGAGATTTATTGGTATTTGGTATTGATTTTTATAGAGCTTATTCAAAAATTTGATATTAGTCAAATTTAAATGATTAAACATTTTAACATTTTCAATCACTGGGTTATGGTTATTTATAGACTTTATAAAAATTGAATTGTATTCTTGAGTTTTGGAGATAATATGAAAAGATTCAGTAATCTTTGAAATTGAAAATAACGATTCGCCTCTAAAGCCAAAAGTCTTTAAAGATTTCATGTCATTAATATCATTAGAAGTAAGCTTTGAAGTTAGAAATCTTTTTGAACAAATTAGGTTCAAATCATCAGGATTTATTCCAGATCCATTGTCTTTGATGATAAAACTAAAATTATCCAAATCAACGATAGCCTCAATCTTTGTTGATTGTGAATCAATGCTGTTTTCAATGATTTCTTTAATTGCTATTGGAACAGATGTTATAATAGTTTCTGATTTCAATAACGATAGCACCTGGTTATCCAACAAGCTTAACTGACCCATGAAAACAGAAAATTGCTGATTTCAATCTCTTCATTTAATGACTGGTAATTGAACAATAAAAGCAACAATAGCGATTCCTTTGTGTAATTTGAAAGAAAACAGCTCTATTGTCGATATTTTGGGAATTGAGAACTGAGAATCGAGAAATTGGATTTTGTGTTCGAGCCCTAATACCACTTGACCATGGATTGGGATTCAATGTACTTTGATGCAATATTTAAAACCACTTTGATGGATATTTTCAATCCCATTAGGACTTTGGAATATTTTTTTGCTCAAAAACTTAAAATCATCTAAATTGCATTTAAAAAAAAATTTTCAATTTTATAATATTTCAGTTTCAAACAGACAATTTTTGAAGGCTTTTTCAGAAAATTGATTTCTAGTATTATTGTATTATACCAATATAGAGATATAATAATTTAAGATGGGGAATTTGAAAAAAGAGAAAAATAGAAAAATAAGGGAGAATGCTTCATCAAAATCTCCAAATTTTTCTAATGTTAAAGTTAAAGGTGAAAATTTTTATAGAAATGCCAAAAAGACGAAATTATTAAACATGTATAAAGCAGATGCAAAAGTATTACAAAGTAAAGAAATCCCTGTTGCCAGAGTTGATCCAAATCGGAAATGGTTTAATAATACTAGAGTTATTTCGCAAGATGCTTTAGATCATTTTAGAGAAGCGATTAGCTCTAAATTAAATGGAGAAAATAATAGTTATAATGTTTTATTAAAGAGAAATAAATTGCCGTTAAGTTTATTGAATGAGAGTGGCAATAGTATTAATTTTGATCCCGATTCAACGGCTAGAAAGGATTTAATGACCAATGATATTAAAAGCAAAAATGATCCCAATAATAATAGTAAAAAAAATTTGATATTGAGTAAAAAAAATAGTAATTTAAAATTTTCTGATTTAAATGAGTTGATAAATCAAACAGATGGAGATAATAAATCATTCCAAGAGAAAATTGAAATCAATCAAACATTGGGATTAATGAATAAGTATGATGATTTTGAAAATTTATCAAATGAAGCAAGAGATGCGATATTCAGTAAAGGGCAATCTAAGAGAATATGGAATGAATTATACAAAGTGATTGATTCATCAGATGTTGTTATTCAAGTATTGGATGCAAGAGATCCCATGGGTACTCGTTGTAAAACTGTTGAAAGATATATGAAAACGGAAACACCACATAAACATTTGATCTTTGTTTTGAATAAATGTGATTTAATTCCAACATGGTGTGCAGCAGCTTGGGTAAAACATTTATCTAAGGACTTTCCCACATTGGCATTTCATGCATCGATTAAGAATTCATTTGGTAAGGGTTCATTAATTCAGTTATTAAGACAATTTTCTCAATTACATTCAGATAGAAAACAGATTTCAATTGGGTTTATTGGATATCCAAATGTGGGTAAGTCATCTATAATAAATACATTAAGAAATAAAAAGGTGTGTACAGTTGCTCCAATTCCTGGTGAGACTAAAGTTTGGCAATATATCACATTGACAAAAAGAATTTTTTTAATTGATTGTCCAGGTATTGTTCCTCCATCGCTAAATGATACCGAGGAAGATTTGTTGTTTAGAAGTGTAGTAAGAGTGGAAAATGTTTCTAACCCTGATCAATATATTGATGGCGTATTGAAAAGATGCAAGACAACACATTTAGAGAGAACCTATGAGGTTAAAGATTGGGATAATGATTCCAAAATATTTATGGAAAAAATCGGCAAGAAAGCAGGAAAATTGCTTAAAGGTGGAGAAGTTGATTTCCATGGTGTTGCAATTAAAGTGATAAATGATTTTTTAAGAGGAAAAATTCCATGGTTTGTGCCTCCTCCAGAAGATGAAAATAGTTCTGCCAATAGAAAGAGAAAATTGGAAGATAGGAAGTCTATAGAAGACGATACAAAGAAGCAGAAAACGCAGCCCATACAGTCGCCAGCTGAAACAAAAGTGCAGACCCAGAGTGAAGGAAGTCAGCAGAGTGTAGTAAACACTTCAGAAGAAACAGAAGAAACAGAAGAAAAAGAAGAAGCAGAAGAAGCAGAGGATGGAGAGGAATGGAAAGGATTTGACGACTAGAGTAATCTCATAAACGTAATAAGATGCCATTTCGGCTAATCCGAAAAATCCGAGCTTTCGATACGTAGCCACGGACGCACTCTGCATCTGAACGCAGGCTCTTATATTTGTCCAAATAAGGAAATTCTGTAGATAAGCCGGAAGACGCTCTTTGCCGCGACCGCTCTGCAAGAATCGTTTTGCGGGCCGACGCGACGCGACCCGGTGGCAGAAAACGGAGGCAAAGAGTTAGAGATGGTGGAAAAGACCTCAGTGATGAAGAGAGCAGAGAAAGGTTTGGGGCCTTATATCAATTATGAGGACGAGAGAAAGAGCTCAGACGACGCTGGCCCTGTGAAGGAGACAAGTGGAAACAAGACTGAGGCTTCTGGTATCACTGACTTGATTCGCAATGACAGGTTTTTGTATCTTGCCAGGAACAAAAATGTTCAAAACGACGTGAAAAAGCCCTTGGACTATGACTACAGCGACCAGCAAAGTGATTTGAAGCTAAGTGAATTTCAGAAAAACATCATTGACTCCAGTTTTCAGAAGATCTTGAGGTTGGACAAAGAGAAGCTGCTGGATGGGCGAAATGAAGTCCCACTGCTGGAGTTGCCAAAGCTGCTGGTGGCTTCTACAAGTACCGATGATTCAATTGCCCAACAGGATCAACAAGATCACCAAAATCAAGAGTCCCAACAAAATCAACCAATTAAAAAGAATCAGGCAATTCATGGAGATCGCCCACAGCTCTTTTTAAGCTCTATTCTTCAGAGAAATCAAAGGTTTCGTAGCAATCCAGGTTCAGTTGATAAAAAAACCAAAGTCAAGTATCTCGATTCAAGAAAACATCAATTGATATTCAAAAAGCCTTTATATCCCTTTTCAATTAAGGATTTTAATTGCAAATTGACAAAAGTGTTATCCTTTGATCAATTTCAGTACCACAATCAATTATCCTTGAGCAATAGTGATATCAATAATCAAAATTGTTTTAATAATGAAAAAGTTGATGTCAAATTTCTATTCATTCCAAATAAAAATGATCTTTCATTTTATAGAGAAATATGCGATCTATTATATTATTTCATTAAACTTGATTTAGAACCAACCTCTATTCATGAATTTCCTGAAATCTTATACTTTTATATTTCAATCTTAATGAATTCCTTTATTGATCCAATTCAAGATCAAATTATTTCCTACTTGATTAATTTTTTAAAAAAATTTAAAGATAATAATCAATTAACTTGGCCTGCTTATTTACAATACATTTCAAGAATTTTTAATTTAAATTTATTGGCTCACATATATCCTTATGATTCAATTTTTTTAAACAATCTATTATCTAACCCTGAAATTTCCATCAATAATCATACAACAATTAGTTCCTCTATTTCCACAAGCATCGATGATAATAAATTTTCAATCTCTTATTATACTAAAACTTCTCACAATCTATCTGATAATATCTTAAAGGTTAACATTAACCAGTTATCGAAACCAATTAAATTAGCAATCTTTAATTATAATCAATATCTTAAATTAATAACCCCAATTTATCATCATTGGAAAAATTCTTTCATTTTGTTTAAAAACTTATCAACACATAAAAAAAATATGTCCGTCTTTTATTTTTATAAAACTTTTTATTTTAAATATAATAAATTAAAAAAATTAAAATTCATATCAAACAAATACTATAATTATACCCTATTAAAATTTTATTTTTCTCATTGGCATAGCCGGTTTTCAAAAATTCAAATCTTAAATATGAATTCTATATTTCACTATCAATTATCTTTAAAGGAAAAATTCTTAAGATTTAAATGGATCGATAAATATAATTTTTATAAAAACGTTGAAATCGAAGGTATTGAACTCTTGAATCTATCCAAAAAAAGATCCTACTTCTACAAGATTTACCAAATCTATAAGATTAATTCAGCTATCAAAAAATTCAATCATATATCAAACTCAAATCTCCAAAAATATTATTTTAATAATTGGAAATCAAAATCTGAAAAAATTAGAAAGTTGAATAACGATGTAACATTAATTGAATTAGCTATTGTTGCTGGCTCTTATTATATCAAATGGGCTCATAAATCCAATCAACTAAATACCAGAAGAAAAAATTTTGTTGATAAAAAAAATTATAACTTGAAATTAAAATATTTCGAAAAATTAAAATATCATTTGAAGCTAGCCAAAATTAAGAATAAAGTTATTCATAATATTAATTTAATTTTTAAAAAATATTATTTTAATGAAATTTTAATGAAAAGATTTCAAGAAAGAAAAATTTTAAGTGATTATCTTAATAAAAGTCCATTAAATTATAACCTTAAAAAAAAATATTTCAACAATTGGCATGACTCTTTAGTATTGAATTTAGCAGCAAATTTTTACTATAATAAAAATTTGAAAAAAAAGATTTTTCAACAATGGAGATTAAAATCTATTTATTTGCAAATAAATAAATATTATAATTTCAAATTATTAAAAAACTATTTTCAAGTATGGAAAACAAATAAATCCTTCTCTATGATTATAAGATCAACAAATAAAAAAATACTCCAGGAAAAATATAGCATTTGGGTCAATAAATGTACTACTCGACTAGAAGATAATGCTAAGGCATTGCAAATTTGCAATTATTTTAAATTAATACGATATTATAATTGTTGGTATAATTATTTCATAAAATTACAAGATGATAAAAAAAAAGCTGATATGATTTATTTAAAAAGCTTTCTTAAAAACCGGATGATAAATAATGTTATTAATAAAACTCAAGAATTGGGTAATAATAGATTAATAATTGAAAGCAAAAAAAAATTTCGATTAAAGGATTATTATTTGAAAATTTGGGTTTTGACTTTTAGGAAAAAAATGGTGGAAAGATTAGCAACTCGAAAATTTTATATTAAATGGAAGAGCAAAAGTGAAGATTTATATGAAATGAACTATTATACTGTAATGTATTATAATAAACAATTGATAAAGGATGTGATGTTTCAATGGTATTCTAAAAGTGCCAGGTATCAAATTAGTGAATTCGAAAGTCAAAAACATTACAATAAACAATTGATTGAAAAATATTATAATTACATTTTAAGTAAAAGAGAAAATTTAATAGAGTTGAATTATCGTTTAGAAGAATTTGATTTCCAAATAATTGAAAAATATTTACAGAAATGGAAATTATTATATTTAAAAGTTAGAGCAAAGAACGATTCGTTTAAACGACTTATGAAAACATGGAATAAAAATAAGTTAAGAGGTTTACTTTCTCTTTGGATTGCAAGGTACAAAGAGAGGATGAGAGATAAAGAAGAGATTTTAGGTGATATTCCGGGTGAAATAAATGGAGAAGAGATTAATGATGACGATGATTATGGTGAGGGCAATCATTCACCTACTGAAGATAAAAAAAACAGATTAAAACAACAATTTCGACATGTTTCATCTAATTCCTATCACTCTACACCATATTTGAACAATAAAATTAAAAGTATCAGTCCATTAAAGCCAGCAATAGAAAACGGTTTAAATTTCATGAAAAATACCAATAATAACAGTCGTTCTAATTCCAATTTGAACAATTTTAGACCTAAGACTCCTAATAATACAGTCAGATTTAAAGATATTTCTAAAAGCTTGACTTTGACTCCAAGATCGATTTTGCGACAAAATAAAAAAATTGAGGGGCTCAAGAATTATTATCGAAAAGGAAATGCTAATGATTCTATATTAAAAGCTGGTAATAGTTCTCGAACAATGGTGAATAACAATAGTATTCTAACCAATAGTGGGTTTGATAATGTTAATTCACCAATTATAAATGATAGTAGTATCAATCATAATATATTTGATAGAACAGGAGCCAGCGAAATGACAATTCGAAATAAATCAAATGGAAGCTTGAAAATGAATCGGAGCTTCAATGTTACGCCAATGATTGATCGAAATAAGATTTTTTTTTCAAGGAATCAAAATAAATAGTTTATATAAACTACAGAACTGGCATGATTAGTAGGTACTACTGATGGTATTTGGGAGTTGATTGTAGTTTTCACGTTGTAGGTGGGTATAAGTAGTGATAAGCAAGAAACAAAAACAAAGTTAAAATTGATTGAAATAGTGGCATGAAAGTGATCAAGAAAAAACAAAACCAGATTACAAAACAAAAAAAACACATTGATATTTGCTAAATATATATTATAAGATATAGATTGGAAAAACCGAGATAAAGTATTTTCTTTTTCTTTTTCTTTTTTCTTTTCCTTTTCCTTTTGCTTTTCTTTTAACTCAATCAGTGTAATTTAATTGTTCAGAAGTAAAAAAAACAAAAAAAACTCGTATATAATAGTTATAAAAAATCAAGATACTTGAAGGAAAGGAAACTAGTAAGCAGCACCGCCAATTTGCTCACGATGAGCCTCAATGACATCTCCATCTTCCAATTCCAAAGAATCAGGAGTGTCTTCAGCGACAACTCGTTCACCATCGCTCAAGAATCTCAAGCTCTCAAGGGTCTTGCCTTGTCTCTTGCAGAAGGCCTCCATTAGTCTTTTCATTGGAGTTGATCTCTTGATCTTGAAGTATATTTCGCTGGAACCGTCGCTAACTTTCAAGTTGATGTGGGTGTCGGGCTTGACATCGGGTTTCTTGTCGTCAGAAGAAGCTCCTGCAGCAGATTCAGACATTTTCAGATAGAGTTGTGGTCCTCAATGATCGTATAGCCAGTGGCAGAAGTTGTTAGAGGTGAGTGACGAAACTGCTCCAGCACCAGAGTTCTTCACCTCAAAAAACCGGCAGGTGACCGCACGTGAGCAGTCCGAAAGTCGTTTTCCGGGCGGTCGCCGCTTCTGAACGGGGAGGCAAAAGAAACAGAAGAAGCACAGGAAGCAGAAGAAGCAGAAGCAGCACAGAAAACAGGCCCAGGATGTCCAGACGATCAGAGCGAGCTTGCATGTTGTGTGGCATAGTCCTTCAGTTCAGGGTATGTGTAGTCCTCCGGCTGTTTCTTTCAGGATCTGCTCAACTAACATCTTTTGACGACAGGAATTCAAGGGCAAAGGATGCCCAAATTGCGAGTCTGTTTTGAACTACAAGGACAGCGAGGAGTCGTTGGTCCAGGAGTGCACCTCCCCAGCCTTTGAGGGTCTAGTGGCTGTGGGTGATCCCTCTGGGAGCTGGGTAGCGAAGTGGTTGCGAATCGAAAACTTTGTTCCTGGGTTATATGCTGTAAAGGTAAATGGGAGATTGCCTCCTGATGTTGTCTCGCGTTTGGAGGACAATGGCTTTCACTACAGACCGAGAGATGGCAGTGTAACAGACTGATTTGCAATTTCTTTTATCTATATTATACTATGCTATGAGGGATGAGGTATCATGAAAAGGTATTTTTGCCATTGTTTAGGCTTTTTAACAAGAAGTGAAATTATAAAAAATAGTGAGAAAAGTAAAAAAAAATATAAAAAAAATAAAAAATATAAAAAATATAAAAAATATAAAAAATATAAAAAAATTCATAATACACACGACAAAATTATCCTAAATCAAGAGCTTTATCAAGTCTAAAGCAACAAATCAATGTTTAGAACTTTTGTTCAGGGTTATTATGCATGCAGGCTCTAATATGCTAAATCTTCTCTCTCTGTTACCATATCTTATCCGAGACGACTTTTCAGTCTCTGGGTTTTCAAAACTGTTTTTTTTAACCTTTTTGTCGTCTTTATAATCAAATATTCTTTGGTCAAATCTAACTACCATAATTGTAATATTATCCATACTTCCGTTTTTTATTGCATAATCCGATAAAATTTTGCTGGCTTTATCGCAGTCTTTGACATCTTTAATCAAATCAACTGCTTCTTGGTCCTTCACTATATCCCATAGTCCATCGCAAGCAATGATTAAAAAATCATCATCTCTTGTCATTTCTAAAGATGTTGTATAAGGTTTTGCAATAACCAATTCCTTCATATAGCAATCACCCAATGCTCTTGTAATAGCTAAAATCCCATTAACTCGATTTCTTATAATCATCCCGCCACTATTAACGATTCGTGTGCTTTCGTTGGAATCTCCTCCCTTATGGTCATAAGATAATCTAATTGCAAAGCCATTACGGCATAAAATTATTCGGGAATCTCCAACATTAGCAGTATACAACACTCTTTTATAATTGTCATTTGGAGGAACATAATCAAAGATTTTTCGTAATTTATTATACTTGACTATTTTGTTTTCTTCTTCTTTAGTATCTAATGGGTTTTTATTCAATTGTAATTTTTTTGATAATCTATTTTCACTATCGTCATTGTCATTGTCATTGTCATTGAAATTCTCTTTATCTTTGTATTTATCTTTGTATTTATCATTTGTTTGTTTTTCATTCTTTTCCCAAAGAACTACTGCCACTGCAGCTGTAGATCCACCACGCAATCCGATTTTATTTGGATGACTTTCAATTAAGAAATCAGCTTCTTGAAATGTATCATTTAAGCATCCTTTAATATCAATAGAATGAGAAGAAATTTTCTTTTCCTCGATTTTTTTCTTCAATAATAAATGCAAATATTTGCCACACCAATTTGCTGTTTCAACTCCTGCATGTCCATCAAATAATGCAAAATACCCACAGTCCAAGGTTTCATTGAAGTTCGATATATAAGTGTGAACATCTTCCATTGTTTTTCTAAATTTCGAATTTTTTTCCTCTGAAACTCCAACTTTAAATGATAATTTGTAATCGATAATTTGGGCACTTTGTTTTCTTTCATTTTTTTCGGATTTTTGAAGACTCTTGTAGGAATTAGTAGTGCTCAGTCTTTTAGTTTTAATGCTTTTTATCTTTCTAATACCTTTTGATTTATGAATTTTAGATTTTGAGTCGTTATTCTGCGAATTTGGATCCATGGTACGAACAGTGATGTTGTCATTATTATTATTATTATTATTATTAGATTGAAAACTATTTTGAGGAGTTTCTTGTAGTTTTTCTAAAGATCTTTCTAGAGATCTTTCTTGTAGTTTTTCATGTTGTGCTGTTTTGTGATTACGATCATGTAGTTTTCTTTTTGTTGAAATTGCAGTTGAGAAGCCTTCATCTTTAAAACTGTAAGGTAATAAAGATCTTGGAGTTTCTGGGGTATTCAAAGTTAGTGGAGTATTTGAGGAAATTGGAGAAGGAGGAGAAACAGGAGAAGAATCTTGAAATGATGACTGAATGCTTTTTTCGTTTGAAGGAATTCTTTTATTTTTAAAGGCAAAACGTTTAGGTTTGAAAGAGTGAAGATCATTTGAGTGATCGAAATTGTTTTTATCATTTTTATCATTTTTATCATTTTTGTCAGATTGAGCCAATTTATATAAAGAATCGGATAGAGAAAAGGATCTAAAAGGTCTTCTTTTGAATGAATAGCTTCTTTTATTAAAGATACCATTTTTATTGTTTTGAGTTTGATTGTGATTATGGTCATGATCGTGATGCATATTGTTACAATTGTCATTTTTAAGATCATTTGTTGTGTTTATATGTGAGGTTGTTTGAGTTAAAGGTGTATGTGTTGCAGAAGAAGGAGAATATGAACAGAATCTAAAGCTATATCTTTTTTTGAAATTCATGAAATGTGTTCTTCTATGAGAATCAATATCATCATGATTGTTGTAGTTATCATTATTATCATTATCATTATCATTATCATTATCATTACCATTACCATTAAAGCCTTGATCATTATCTGAAGTATAATTGTGGCTATGATTATCTTTTTTCTCATCGTGAAGAAGTTCCAAGTCATTATTATTATTATTATTATTATTGTTGTTGTTGTTGTTGTTGATTCTGGGATGTAAACGTAAATGAGAGTATATATTTGAATGTTTTTTTGAGCTTTTCTTTGAATTTGAATCGTTTTCAATAGGTTCAGCGTAAGCTTTAACATTTTTGTACAAAGGAGGGATGTTGGAATTTTTACTCATTTTTTTTTTTTAGTTTTTTAGTTTTTTGGAATTTGGAATTGGTATTTAGGAATTGAAAAGACCTTTAAGTACAAATAAGTTGCAGAGATAGGTTGGACAGATAAATTGGGGCTTGATTGGGATGGTGGAAATGAAAAAAACCAATGAAGGACGTAGATGCAGAAGAAGAAAGATTGGGTATGAAGATTGTTGGAAGTATGATTGCAGAGACAATGGGTAGAGAAGTGTGAATTGAAAGATGTTTCTGATAGAGATAAGTAAACAAAAGAAATAAGTAAATAAATAAGTAAAGTAAATAGAGTGATGCAACAGAGTGACAAAGTAAATAAACAAATGTTTGGTTAATGTGTGTGTGTCGACGAGCTTAAACTTATTTGTTTGTGGAATGCTGAAAGGCAAAACAAAACAATAAGGAAAAAGAGCAGATGTTGTGTTTGTGATGTGCACCCAGTGGTTGGGAATATCAGATGCTGGACAGATGTATCTCTATATATATTGCGATGGATCTCAACAAGAGCTGCTGCTAAGGAAGAAACATGGAGACAGAATGTTAGGCAAGTGGAAAATGTTTTACTCTGGATTAGTTGCTAAGCGTTGTAGAGCCATAGCAGCTGAAAGAAGAAAAAGGGATGGTATTGGGAGAAGCAGCATATGGGCTCGCAAGTTATGTGCGATTTGGTGATCGTGGACCTGGCAGAGGAGGATATCAGAGATATGTCACAGATATATCAGAGACATATCACACAAGTGCCAGAGATGTCAGAGATGCCAGCCAGTTATCGCAGAGGAAACAGAGAAACATCGCTGGTATATCTGGACCATTGGCAGTGATTCATCGATACTCAGCAGTGCTCACTCACACTCACTGTTGGGCAATAATGCTTTTACTGGAGAAGAAAAAGGCGAGCAAGCTGAAAGAACAACCGATTAGAGTTGAAATGCTAAATGCTAAATTCTAAATGCTAATTTCTACAGAGACTCAAGTGGTAAGAAAAAATCATGAAATTATAGCCAGGTTACGTTAGGCTGGAATAGTGATAATAGATAAGTGGGAATAATTAAAACAGTAATCGTTATTTTATGTTGGAAAGACGCTGCAGGGACGCTGATTGGCTGACCAGATCAGTTAGATGGCAACAGATTTGTGGAAGTCTGCGCCTGCGTAGATGGCTTTGTCACCTAATTCTTCTTCGATTCTCAACAATTGGTTCAACTTGGCCAATCTTTCAGATCTGGCAGGAGCACCAGTCTTGATTTGGCCGGATCTCAAACCGACAGCAATGTCAGCAATTGTAGTGTCTTCAGTTTCACCGGATCTGTGGGAGACCATAACACCCCAACCAGCAGCATAGGAGTCTTTAGCAGCTTGGATTGATTCAGATAGAGAGCCGATTTGGTTGACTTTTAATAACAAAGCATTGGCGGCCTTCTTTTCTATGGCGGTTTTGATTCTTTGTGGGTTAGTGACAGTCAAATCATCACCAACAATTTGGATATCGACTTTTTCAAAGAAGTGGGACCAAGCCTCCCAGTCGTCTTCAGCGAAAGGATCTTCAATGGAAACAATTGGGTACTCTTTCATCAAGTCAGCGTATAATTGGGCCAATTCTTGACCACTTAACCATTTGGATGGGTCGGAATCTGGGTTTTTGAAATCTAAGTCGTATTTACCATCTTTGTAGAATTCAGATGAAGCAACATCTAAAGCAATGGAGATCTTGCCCTTGTAACCAGCTTTTTCAATTGAATCGGCAATCAAGTCCAAGGCTTCCTTTGGAGTTTGAATGTCTGGAGCAACACCACCTTCATCACCAACGTTACCAGCAGATTGACCGTATCTCTTTTTGGTTAATGATTTCAAGGTGTGGTAAACTTCAGCGCCAATTCTCATGGCTTCAGAGAAGCTTGAAGCACCGGTTGGAACAATCATGAATTCTTGGAAGGCTAAAGCACCACCAGCATGGGAACCACCGTTTAAAACGTTTTGGAAGGGAACTGGCAAAACGTATGGTTTTGGAGAACCAGATAAGTCGGCAATGTGGGCATATAAAGGAATGGATTTTTCAGCAGCACCGGCTTTAGCAGCAGCAAGAGAAACACCGAGAATAGCATTGGCACCTAGTTTGGATTTGTTTGGAGTGCCATCTAAACCCAAGATGAAATCATCAAAGGTTTTTTGATCGGTGACATCCAAGTTGGCTTTGAGAACAGCAGGGCTGATGATATCGTTAACATTGGCGACAGCCTTTAAGACACCCTTACCAAGCCATTTTGACTTGTCGCCATCTCTTAGTTCCAAAGCTTCGTGGATACCGGTGGAGGCACCAGAAGGAACAATTGCTCTAAATAAGCCTTTGTCGGTGGTCAAGTCCACTTCGACAGTTGGGTTTCCACGAGAGTCGTAAACGTAACGAGCAAAAATCTTTCTAATAGCCATTGCTGGATTGAAATTGAATCTGGGTTTGAACAATTTGAAAAAAGAAGCGTGCAGAGAGGAAGTAAAAACAGCAGAGCAAGAGAAAAGGAAGAATTGGAGACAATTCAATAGGGTGGTAGAGAACAAGAGAAGAAGAAGAAAGAGGGATGTCGCACCGATTGTATTTATATGGCTTTTATTGTTTCTGAGATTGGACAGCGTCCCGGGTAAGAGCCGGTGGAAAGTCCTGTTTCTGCAGTGGCGGACCGTGTGCACACAGGGCATGGGCTTGTTTCTGTGGGTTTTGTGTGGAGTTTGTCTCCTTTGACCGGGGATTGGACCGGATCACGCGTATCAGTCCGACACCAGCGCGCGCTGTGATTCGCCAATTGAGCGCGCCGATGTGGTGCGATTGGCCACACCAGGCTGGAGAAGGAGATGTAGGGAAAGAAAGAGAAAGAGAAAGAGAAAGAGAAAGATAAACAGAACAGCAGAAGACCTCAGAGCGTATGTTGCAGCAGACCCTCAACATCTACTTTCGCTTTTTATCCTCCTCAACAGAGAACTCACTGCTGAGCACGTACCTGATGCCCTTTGCTCCTCGCTCGCCCTCCTCCACAACGTACTCTGTGTCAAGGAACTCCACTGGCTTGATGCTAGGCCAGCTCACAAACTGGAGGCGGTTTCTCTCGCCCAGCAAGAACAATAGAATCTTGCCCACAACCCCAATCGACACAGCGTAGACTACCAACACCTTGATCGTTTCAATAATATGGTGCCCACTGCTTGTTGTTGCTGCCTTGCTTGCCAACTCGTTAGAGCTGCCCAGCAACGACAGCAAAAGACCACACACCCCATTGATAAAGATCTTGGTGTTCATCAGCAACATAAGAAAAACAAAGAAAAACATCACATAGGGGATGTACTGGATAGCCAATGGTCTCAACTCTTTGTTGAATTTCAAATTCTTCACTGCTTTCAAGTTGTCTCCGAAATTTCCCAATATTAAATCATACCCATCTTGTCTATACCCGTCAAAATAATTGTTCAAAATATACCTGGTGACAGAATTAAGTCCATCATTTAAGACTCCTCTTTTGGTTCTTTCGCCAGTTCTGGTGAAATCCGTTTTCAACGCTCCTGTACCACTATATCCAAATGAAATTGCATCTGCATTATCTGCCCAAATCTTTTGGAAAAACAATATCAATTCGGGATAATCATTTAATCTTTCGCTTTCGCCCATTATTTTGTTTTTGATCAATTGCTCATGCAATATCCATTTCCCAAATGTACTTTGAACAACATTCGTACGATCCAAACAATCCATACAATTGGTTCGGATATTATTTTTTTGTAAATTATTAACTTCAATCTTTCTATCACTGCTACTACCTTCACTCTTCAACTGGTTAACATAGTATTTGCAATCAAAATAATCCTCGCTAGTTACTCCGAACCCAGTTAATTTAGCAATCAATTTATCAACATTATACCATTGCATTTTACGGCATTCATGATGAAAATCAAAATAGATATATTCCAATGTATTGTCATTTATTTTAGATGGATGTTTCGCTTTCAAATCAATAATTATCTTTTCATAACAATCTTTAATTTTTTTCTCTCTACCACCAGAATTAATTAAATTGATCAAATAATTCTTCCCATATTTAGAGATTTGTTCATCAAAATGCTTAAAACTTGGTTCAATTGAATCCCGCTCACTAATAACTAAAGATGGTGCGTATTTCAAATTGTTAATTTCAGCCCAATATGCAGGAATTGATCCTCTAGTCTGCAAATAACTCATTATATTGTAACTATCACTTTCATTATGAATAATTAGAACTTGTTCAGTCTCATTAAAATTTCCAACATTTCCATTAATGTCAATTCCTCTCGTAAAATATCTTGTACCTGCTCGAAATTTGCTTCTTCTTGTAATTAACCCAATTGAGAATTTAATCTTATTAATTATCAAATCAATAAATTCACAATATCCTGAAATCGCTGGTAAAATAAATTCCTGGATTTTATCATGTTGTTTCAAATTTAAAAAATCCTTCAACAAAAATTCATTCCAAAAAAATCGTTTATCTAGCAACTCAATTGAAAACAACTCCTTTTCAGAATTTAACTCAATTTTCTCGTTATTAAAATATAATCCTGAAATTCTTTGAAATGAATTAGTCAAATCCAAATTCTTAGAATAATATAACTTGGAATTGATTAAATTATACTTCATTAACTTAATATAATAGTTAATCGATTCTTTATCACCCCTATTATCAACATTATCAATATTATTATTGTCATTTGAATTAGTATTGGTATTATCATTATCAATATCACTACTGCTATTGTCAAAATCGCTATCATTATTTAAAGAATTTAAATTTGAATTGGGAATCTTAATAATCTCAAAATCATTTAATTTCAAAATATTGTGGTTGTCAGCCAATTTAAAAATTTTTTCACCATTTTTAACTATCACCACAAACTTTTTACCTAATAAATTAATTGAACCTAAAATACCAAAAATCTCAGTAATACTTGATTCATCTTCATTAATTGAATCTTGATTATAATTATCGAAAATCGAAGCATTTGTTGTTGAAATTGTAATCGAATTGGTTTTGATTTCCAAGACTTGAGGTGAGTTTTCTAGCTTGAATAAAAGAGAATCATTGGATTTGAATAAAAGCATTTTTGATTGTTACGAGTACTCAATTATCTAACAAACCAAGATAAAGCAATAATAATGAAAACGTTACAAATTAAGGAACCAAAAATAAAAGACAAAGGAATCAAAAGAAATTTAACAATAACAGCGAAACAAAGAATGAATATAGTACTTCTAGAGCTGGTTTTGATATTGAGCTGAATTTCTAAGTAATTTTAGTTCTAAAAAGATTATGTGAAGTGCTGTCATTTTTTGAATTTCACAGATCCGGTACGAAAAAAAAAACGTTTGACAATGTGAACCGGTTTGGGAAAAAGCGAGTGGATATGATATTAATAAGAATCAATCTTAGTGAATAATAAATATGGAAGTCGATTAATTTATAAACTGAATATATAAACTAGATATGAGATATAAACGCTGCTAGAAATTCAACACATTGCAGACAACTAAATAAACAATAATTTAAGAAGAAAAAAAATTTAGATAAATAAAGATAAGAAAGTAGGTAGAAAGAAATAGTATAGAAATCATTAAATAGGATAAATTATTTGATCTGGCTGAGTTAATATCAGGCTGCATTGTATCAATGTGTGCATTTTTTTATTGTTTTATTGTTAATTTCAATTTTAATTTTAATTATCATTTTCATTTTTTTATTGTGGTTGTATTGTGGTTTTATTGTAGTTTTATTATAATTAATAATAAAACTATAAATCACTTCTGGTGAAGTTTCTAATATCATTTGGTTCAGGACTTAGCAAAACCTTTTGGCCACCTAATGGTTCAATTGATTTCCTACCACTGACTGGGCCAGCTTCTGTAGGTTTTCCTTCTTGGAAAGACTTTAAAATTTCTACTACTTTTTCAGAAGTCAAATCTTCATAATAATCATCATTAATAGCAATCATTGGTGCATTTGCACAGGCACCAAGACACTCAACCTCTTGCAATGTGAATAATTTGTCGGGGGTTGTTTGTCCTGGTTTGATTTTCAAATATGATGTGATTGTTTCCATAATTGAATCTGAATTGCATAGCTGGCATGGAGTTGTCGTGCAAACTTGAATATTATATTTTCCCATTGGGTGTCTATTATACATGGTATAAAATGTTGCAACCTCGTAGACTCTCATTGGTGGCATATCGAGTAGTTTGGCAACATAGTTCATCACACTAATAGAAGTAAAACCAACTTGTCTTTGACCGAGATCTAATAATGGCATAACAGCACTTTTTTTATATTGAGAAGGATATTTGGCGATTATCTCTTTGGCACGAACTTTGTTCTCCTCATTAAATTCAAAAGGTATATCTGGATTATCATCCGAAGAGTCTCTGTGCACTGAAATAATAGAAGTTCTTTTGATCAATAAAGAAGTCTCTAAAGAACCTTTTAAAGATTTGTGGACAAATGAAGGAGAGTTTGTCTTTATTATTCTAGGTAAGGAATTGGAAAGTTGTCTGCGAATCAAAAACATCCTGGCTCTGATATTATATTATACTATACTATTATTCTATGATACTGCTACGCTAATTTTTTGACTGTCCCACTGTTACTATATTCTTCTTCTCTACACTGATACACTGATATTTTTATCGAGTGTTGAAATATTCCATAGTAATTAGTATTTCCTCTGCGTTTATTGGCCAATCAACTCCGTTTCAGTGCTGCAAACCGTGATGCACTTTGGATGTTTTGATCAGATGACATAGCTCATACAAAACAGCCCCGTAATACAAACATATCACGAGCACAAGCCTTTATCCCTCGTCACTATTTTAACCATGTGATATATGTCATACTGAGGTCGGAACTTTACTGCTTAGTATGATATTTGTCACGTTTTCATTGTTTTATCGTGGAGAGCTTTTATATATGGTGGTGGATAGAAGTGAACAAAAGTGGCAAGATGACCAACTCGAAACTGTTCAGCTCAAACTTCAATCACAATTTCTTTCTTCTCTCAGGTTCGTCAATTACACATTATAAACTACGATGAATGGCATTAGTGTTGATATCAATCATTTGAAAAAGGGTGAGGTTAACCTTGGTACCTCCATTATGGCTGTTACTTTCAAGGATGGTGTTATTTTAGGTGCTGATTCAAGAACAACAACTGGTTCGTACATTGCCAATAGAGTAACTGATAAGTTAACCCAGGTTCATAACAAGATCTGGTGTTGCAGATCTGGTTCTGCTGCTGATACTCAAGCAATTGCTGATATTGTCACATATTATTTGAGTTTGCACCAAGCTCAACTAAATTTCCAAAAGGGCCCCTCAGTCAAAGATGCTGCTTCAATATTTCAAGAATTGTGTTATACAAATAAAGATCGTTTGACTGCTGGTATTATATGTGCTGGTTATAATGAATCTACAGGAAAAGGCGAAGTTTACTCCATACCTCTTGGAGGTTCTTTACATAAGCAAAATTTTTCAATTGCTGGATCCGGATCTAGTTACATATATGGTTATTGTAATGAGCATTTCAAGAAAGATATGGAAAAAGATGAAGCAATTAATTTTGTTAAGCATTCGTTAGCGCAGGCAATAAAATGGGATGGAAGTTCTGGTGGCGTTATAAGAATGGTTTTATTAACTAAAGACGATATTGAAAGACTAATTTTTTTCCCTGAGGAGACTTATTTGGTTCCAAAAAACCATGAAATTTAATGTAACGGTAAATCTAAAGATTTTCAATTGTATTTATAAATATGTAAATGTATATAAATATAAATATAGAGAGAGGAAAAAAGAAATATATTAATTAAACAAATTATACTTATTATGATGGCAGAAAATTACGTTATAAAACTGAATAACAGAACTAAAGATTATAGAACACAAAAACGATGAAAGTGCTAAAAACAATCAAAACAAGAAATAATTGAGAAAACGAAAATAAAAGAAAATAAAAGAAAAACCAAAATTATTTGTAAACATTCTTCTAATTAAAAATAATTAAAAATAATTAAAATATTAGAGAAACATCAAAGGAATTAAATAACAAGTATAAAAACTGGAAAAAAAAAATATACATATAATGAAAACACCGAAATTATCTGCAATTATTTATTGCACATAACTAGAGTATAAAGACCAAACATTATTGCAATGCTGAATAAATTTGTCTTTATCTAATTTATTATCACCTGTTTTACAAAATTCGAATTCAAACTTATCGGAGCCAATTTTAATTTCTCCTTTGACGTCAGTATCAAATAAAGTATTTGAATCATTTTCAATGATATTTTCGCTCGTCACAAATTCAGCATCATCTTCAATTGCTTTTTGTTCGACGTCATCATCATCGTCATTTTCTTCGTCTTCTTCTTTTAAAGGTTCATTATTGATTGAATTTTCTTGATCAGATAACGGACTACCGGATTTTTGTTTCAGATTAGTATTGTTTTTATTATCGATATTATTATTTTTTTGATTACGGTTACGATTTATGTCAAAGAATTCTTCCTTTGCAGATAAGGGCTGCACACTTAAAGGAGCTATTCTTGTAAATTCTCCTGGAAAGACATCAGTGACATGAGGAGTGTTTGGGTTTTTGAGAGATTTGATGGAAGAGTTTTGTGAAGTTGAAAGTAGTTTAGATTTGTTTATATTTGATGATTTGGAAAAGTTTTTAATGGAATTGAGAGGAATATTTTTTTTGTTTCTAAAATATTGGTATTGGTAATTGTTAGAAGAAGGGATTGAGGTTTGGGGGGCTTGTAAATAAGGAGAAGGAGCAGCGTATGGTGAGTTGATTGATAGGTTGTGATTTAATCTATTTGCAGATTGGTTGTAGAAGGTCAGGAAAAAGGGATGAGAATAATAGTAGTAAGGGTTTATATTAAGATTTTTAAGGTTTATATTTGAAGGAAAATTAGCAAAACGAGGAGAATTGAAGAAATTCTGATTGAAAGCAGAAGGAGGAGGTATGGAGGAATTTAATGGAGCAATAAAAGGGTTGAAGTTGGGATAGTTTTTTAGGGAAGCAGTCAAGGGATTTTGAAAGTTTTGAAAGTTTTGAAGGTTCTGGAGCAATGGATTTGATAAAGAAGGGAGAGAATTTTTAGTATTATTATTATTATTATTATTATTATTATTATTATTATTATTATTATTATTATTATTATTATTATTATTGGTGTTATTGGTATTATTGGTATTTTTGTTTTTATCTTTGGTGGTGTTAGAATTATTAATGGTGTCATTAGTATCGTTATTATTGAAAATTGAAGATTTGGGATTATTTTGAGGAAGAAGGTTGTTTAAAGAGTGGTTTTTGAGAATTGGAGCTGAGCGTATTAAAGGGTTCTGGAAGGAAGCGCTTGAGGCTAGTTGGATGTTGATAGGAGCTGGAGGGGGCTTTCTTCTTTTTAGGTTTTTGGTAAAGGAAGAGTTTTTCAATCTGGAGGTTAGATGAGCGATATTATCAGCTCTTTTTAATCTTTCGGAGATGTTATTTGCAGTAGTTGTGGTTGTGGTTAGAATTGCAGATCCAGAGATTGATTTTTGTTTTTTTGTTGGGGATTTGATAGAATTGGGAAGTATTTTAGGATCGAGTTGAGAGTCCATATCGACGCCCTGGTTTTCATTATTGTTATTATTGTTATTATTACTATTGATATTATTATTGTTATTATTACTATTGATATTATTATCGTTATCATTATTATCGTTATCATTATTATCGTTATCATTATTATCGTTATCATTATTATCGTTATCATTATTTTCATTTTTTTTATTTTGGTTGGAAGCAATTGTTTTGAGGTCAGTATCATCTGATATTTCAGATAAAGGTCTCTTTTTATGGTTTGAAGAGTTGGAGGTGGACATGGAGGTGGAAATGGGGTTGGAAATGGAAATAGAAGAATTAGGAGAAGATATTATGATTGGAGGAGGAATTGTAGGGGATAAGAGATTATTTGGAGTAAGTGGGATATTTTTAATTGAAGAATTTATTGGAAAATTGGGATTGATTGGGGTATTGCCGGTTCTTCTACGTTGGATTAGTTTTCTTTGGTTGGCTTCAATAGATTTTGATAGATATAGCCTTTGTTGCATTTCGGCATTTAGACTTGAAAAGCCTGGTGATAAACATTGGATAGCGTAAGACTCCATGGATGGCTTCAAGGTGTTGTTATTTTGTATGACGATAGTTTGCTTTTTGATGTTGTTTGAAGAGGTGAGAGTGGAAGAGGGTTTGAGAGAATTTCTGGAAGCAGTTGGAGTTGGAGTTAGAAATGTAGTAGGAGGGTTTGTATTAGTGATATTAGAGATATCGGAGAGGTTGATGGATAGGTCCTTTTTATTAAAGTCTTTGGATTGGTTATCGTTTGCAGGTAAGGTATCGGGAGACAGAGAGGCCAGAGCAGCAGAGGTATCTGGGAGAGAATTGTGGGAGAGGTTTTTGATCTGAGAAGACATGGTAGAATATATATGGCTTTAGCGATGGCAGAGAGAAGCAAAAAGAGAGCGAGCAAAGAGAAAAGAAAAAACCAGCAGGATGACAAATCCTGAAAGTGAAACAAAACCAAAGGAAGATCAAGTATTAAATATTAGGTTGTAACTGAGCGAAGCAGAGAGAATAGAAGGTGGAAAGAGCTGTGCAGATAAAACAGAGCTGTGCTCGCTGTTTGAAAGACTGGAGAATGGACGCACGCGCAGAAGCACACGCAGCAGCAGACCCCACAGCTGCGGAACCACCCCTGACCGTTGCGGGAGAAACCGTGCTGTCTCTGCTGCTTCTGCTGTTTCTGCTGCCTCTGCCGCATTATATCTGCTTCCCAACGGAGCTGCTGAAACCGCGCGCCGCCGGAATGTGCGCGCCGCAAACCGCGCACAGTCAGACCTGAAACGTCGGCCATCGGCTCCTCCCGTCCACCACAGGGCTGAGCCCGCTCAACGGCCTCACCTGCTGCCTCCCTTCCCACTGGTAACGGGGATACTCTGGCCCACACACATGTTTCAAGGTGACACTCGAAACACACGCATGCTGCCGCAGACACCACAGTGCGCCGCAGACCAATGCTATATTTAGCTCGCGATCCCCAGCGCTGGATCCTTCTCTCGAGGTGTGGAAGCTTTTCCAGTGCTACGGTGGAGATGCCCTTACCACTATTTATATCTGGTTATAAATACTCGATATCTGTCTGTTTTGGAGTTCCACATTTCAGCTCTTCTGTCCTTCTCACTATTGTTCTTTTGCTGTTGCTGCAACTCCTCTACTCCCTTTCTCACTCTCGTTTTCTCTTCTCTTTTTCTCCCACGTTTATCATGAATATTAGTGCTCCCATTCTTGATACATCCTCTGCTCTCTCCAACACTCTCATTCGCCAGTACAAAATCACCAAGCACTTATCCAACGAAAAGATCCTTCTCCTCAACCAGTTCATGTCCTCCACTACAAAGATCAGAAATATCAACATCAACCAGGAAACCAACCATCCCACAATCTTTCTCTGGAGACAGGATATCATCGATCTTTCAAAGGAATTGAAATTGCCAACCGATTCCTTCCTAAACGAGACCTATCAACCTGTAAACCCTATAGAACTATTCAATTTCAAGATATTTCAACAAAAAATTTTGTCCTCAATTAATAACAACAACTATCCTTACTCGTTTCAACATCTACATCCCGCTTTTATCTATAAAATTATAAGCAAAAAATTCATCAACAACTACATTTATGATAATGAATCAACTTTATACCAAATCCTATCTACTTTTAACATAAGTCATTACCAAATTCATGACTATTCTGATATTGTAAATATCTTTGATACTCTAGATGCCATATTCAACCAATTTCAAATTCAGAGAAATTTCATGCTTACTAATGACGAAAAAATACTAATCTACCTCAAAAAGATCTTGATTAATACAAATAATAAAAATTTATTGGATGTTTACCAAAAGTTCATCAAAAAGTATAATATAATAAAAAATTTCAATCGCTCACCAGATAATAATAATAATAATAATGATAATAATAACCCTACTATTAATAACAATAACAATAACAATAACAACATCAATAATAATAACCAGTTTTTATATATCAATTTAAGACATATCTTGATAGAGAAATTGTGTAAATTAAATCCTCATGTAACAATACCCCAATCGAATTCTTCTCACCATGAAAGAAAATTCTCTTTTACAACTAAATTCTTCAGAAACAAAAGATCCCTTTAATCAATCCTACTTGATTCTATATCACTCTATTCATTCATCTATTTCCTATTTCCTATTTCCTATTTCCTATTTCCTATTTCCTATTTCCTATTTACTTATATGTATTCTATCTTTTCTCAATTATATTATTCACCTCATTTTTCTATCCACCTTATTCATCTTCTTTATCAATGTTTGCCTTTAATTTTATCCATGTTGCTCTCCTATACTGTAATCCTTAGCCGTACATCCTCAACTTTATTATCATCATCGATATCTTAATATCAATTACCCCATACAGAATTATTCTATCTTACTTTCTACATTTAGCATTTCATAATATTCTATATAATATTACTATCTTTTCTATTCATTTTTTACATAATCAATCAATCAATCTAAGAGTCGATCTCTCTTTCTTTTCTTTAACTTTATTCTTTTGTAATTCTCAATATTATGTTTTATGTTATAATCATTATCACTATAATTAATATAATTAATATTATAATTAATATTACTATAATTAATAATATTATTAATATCTTAATACCTCATTTGTTATAAATCTGAGGGCTTATTCGAATTTTCTTTTATTACTTTTTTTTTTTCATTCCAATTTACTATTATTCAAATCTCTTTCTTTTATTTGTTTCACACTATAATGGTTTCATAATAGTAATTCACTTCACTTCACTTCACTTCGATACAATATAATACTCGGCTTCAATCAATCACCTCATCTTTAATAAATTATCAATTACATTCTTAATGATTATTAATAGAAGTAACATTTTGATAGATATACTTTAATAACAATAACAATAATAATAATAATAATAAAATCCAAAGAATCGTTCTAGATTTTTCAAATTTTATTACTTATTTATTATTATCTTTTTATTTATTTATTTATTATTTATTTGTTCATTATTTATTTGTTCATTTATTATTATTTTGATTTTTCTAATTGATGTAAATTTTGTATTTTTTCCATGTAAAAGCGTATACATGCATGTGACATTTATGCATAAATATTAACTCAAACTTTTCTTGTCCCAAATTAATCCACATCAATTATCAATTGCAATAAGCAATATTTAATAAGATTGTCTCTATGGTTCTTAGTATCTTCTTACAAAAATATTATCAAAAATGAGTGGTTTTTTTCCAATTCATTGCATTAGTGAGTTGAAGAATTGAAAAAATAAACAATTTCTCTTTTTTAGAAGATTAAATTAAAGATAACTTTTATCGCTCACTTTTAAGAGTGAATTTTGGAATCCACATCAACAACAGTGGCTGCCAAATTCTAAAAAAAAACAAGAAAAGCCTGCGGAAAAACAAATTCAAACAAAGCGTGCCCTAATATAATTTTATTTCATTTGGTTTCATTTGGTTTCATTTTTTTTATTTTTTTGAATTACCAATGGTTTATGGATGTAATTATCCAAATTTTCTGTTCTCTGTTTTTTTTTCTTTTTTAATCAACTTGCTTTCAAAATTGGATTGAAGAATTAGCTCATTTCTCTGACCTGGAAAAACAAATTGAAAAGAAAAACAAAAAAAAGCCGCGCCACGTGGAGAGTAGCAATAAGCAGGATGATTATCTAATTTCGCATGGTATTACTATGGAGATTCCCCCTTAAGAGCCAAATATGTTACACGTGGATGTCTAGAATCTGGAGACCGGTGAGAATTGGAGCTTAGGTTGCTTTTGTACCGAATCTTGTTGCTTTTAGTATGTGTCAAACTCTAAATGAGAGAACTTGAAACGGAGTCTAGCAAATTGAAGAAGAGATGTGAACGATTGCTAGATGTAGATTTTACCCTCATTTTTGTTGACATTTGTAATCAAAGTGAGGATAATATTAAGTGTGATAATATGATAGTCTGCTAGTAAGTATGATGTTTTAATCACTCATAAGTAATTGAGTTGTTAAGATGGTAAAATTGCTTTGTAAACAAAAGAACAAAAGAATTGAGTTAGTATGACACATTGGTACTAAAATATCGACACAGTAACAGTGATAGGGAGAAAAGACACCAGATTAATAATGTGTTGTTGATAACAAATTGGGGAGAGTTCATAGGTCGATTAACAAATTGTTGTTCTTGATTTCTAGATATGAGGAAGAAAGAATGATTAAATGAAGAAGAAATGATATAAAAAAGGGATGAGATCTCCTCATATTTGCAAATAAATTAACAACAAATACAAAAGTACATACTATTGAACAAGTAATTTTATAATATTTATTCAGGTCTCAAATAATTCAGACAATCGGTTTTTCAATTCAATCTCAGTTATTATTCTTATTATCCTTATTATTATTAAAACAGTTGATACAAAATGAGTGGTATTTTTGATAGAATGATCTCATATTTAAACAGTGGACCAAACCAATATGCATCAGGTTCAAGATCCAATGCTTACTCTGATCGAAACATGATCTATGGCAGAGATGTTACTAACTCATCGGCAACTGCTCATCCTAACCGCAAGAGCAGAAGATTGAGCACTATTTCAATTGAATCTGGAGATTCAATGGACATGCCCCACAAAGACGAAGAGGCTGGAATTTTTGATGACAAAATGAAAATGAAAAAGAACATGGACATGAAGAAGATGGAAAGAGATAATAACAATACATCAGACTTTATTGATGCACATGAAGGTATCTTTGCCAACTTTAGCAATTAACAGGGAGCTGTCGCTGCTGTTGTTGATATTTGTTTTTTATTATAGGATCTCTCAAAACATTTGACAGTGCTGGTATTTTTGGTTTATTTGAGTATCCGTTATTTAATTTGTTTATTTTTGTTTTTGACATTTAATTCTTCTAGTGATATTTTATAATATTTTAACATTTTATAATACTTTTGGTTATATTTTGATTTGTTTTTTTTGATTTTATTTTCCATTATTTAGTCGATATTCTTTTTACACAACATAGGAAATAGGAAATGAGATGCATTTCGCAAGATGGCATCTTATCTATCCGTAACTACACTAATACACATCATCAAATAGAAACGTGCGCAATACAATTATTAATATTATATCATTACCGAAAAAAGCAAAACAAATTGCTAGCTCGAGGCTTGAAAGAATGAGAAATCGGTGGAAAAACCGAGAAAAGTGAAAAACGTCAATTACTAACCCAGCTCTGGCAAAACTACTATTGGCCTGCAGTGACGGACGTGCTGACAAATACCCACCACCCTGCAGATCGCAGGCTGGACATCATCGCTGGCACCTTGAGGACCAACGGCTGGTGAGCTGGAGTAGCGCAATGGCAGCGTGAAAGGGTGAAGGACATTCCCTGGCGGTCGTACTTCCGTCTCCCCGCTAGACACTAGCGGTGCTGCACTGTGCTCACAGCTGCTATCGGAGATAGTTCCGGAAGAGGCAGCGGCGGCGGCGGAGAGCCCGCTCCGCAGCGTCGGGCTCGCATCGCACGCCGTGGCCCAATGAAAACGGGCAAATTAGCAGTGGATCCTGAGGACGTGGGTCTCTCAGCAAAAACTATGACTGTCAATTTTTCACCTGCTACAACGAGTGCACTCAACCATATATATAGGCTATCTTTTTCCTTTCCTGTGTTTAAGATTTTTTGCACCTTTCCTCTCTTCATCTCTCATCTCTCTTCCTTCCCCCCTTGCGTCTTTTATACCTCTTGTATTTTCTACGCTCTCATCACTTTGCATTTTTCTTCTGTTATTTTACTCTTCACTACAATCTTCACTCTTCAATTGATAGTCTACTCTACATTATCCACCTCTACATTATCCACACCTTGCAATCCACACTTGTCACAATGTTTCCAGCAAAGAGATTAATAACCTCTTTATCCTCGCAATCTGCTTTGCTTTCTTCTTTTATTGTCAAACCACAAATAGCCTCTAGATCAGTCAAACCTATAATACTCACACAATTCAACCAATTCAAAAGAAGTTACCATCCAAAAGTCATAGACCACTACCAAAACCCAAGAAACGTTGGTTCTCTAGACAAAAACTCCCCTAATGTCGGTACTGGTCTAGTTGGTGCTCCAGCCTGTGGTGATGTTATGAGATTGCAAATTAAAGTCAGCGATGACGGGATTATAGAGGATGTCAAGTTCAAAACCTTTGGCTGTGGTTCTGCCATAGCAAGCTCTAGTTTTGCAACTGAATTGATTCGTGGAAAAAATATCAACGACGCTTTGGAAATTAAAAATACCCTTATTGCAAAGGAATTATCTTTACCCCCCGTCAAATTACACTGTTCAATGCTCGCCGAAGATGCCATTAAGAGTGCAGTAAAGGACTACAGAAACAAAAGAGCTAAATTTATCAAAAACCCAACCATAGGTCCTGATGCTGCCTCAATTTAAATTTAATCTATAATTTACTATCAATATTTTATACTTTTATTTCTTCCCTACTCTAGTTTTCTTTTTTTTTTTATTTACACCACTGTTTCATTTTGTTATTAAGTTTTTTTTATTATCTTTTATATTATACTTTTCATTATTCATTAAGTTATACATAAAATAAATATCTAATTACTATCAATTACCTTCTCGTTTATATATTCTCCCAAATATAATTAGTTATAAAATAATCGCTCAATCCCTTTTTATCTTGTCCGATTGTTAACGTCGTAGTTGATTTTTTATTCTCTGACTGATTTACAATAATTAAATCAATATTATCTCGATTCTCTTGATTATTCTTATTATCTTGAATGATTAATCCCAAATTCTTATAAAAATTCAACTTTAACGCTGTAGAATCCGGATTATTATTTATACTGTCCTCTAAAAAATTATTAGCCTCCTCATTCAATCGTATCCTCTCTTCCTTTATATTCTGATACTGAATGTTTAACGTATTTATATCGTTTGTCAAACTACTAATATTCTTTGCTGTCTCAAATTTACTCGAATTCATTTTATTAATCTCATTCAGCAACTTCTTTATCTCTTCCGACTTTTCCAAGCTTTCAATTCGTTTCTTTGTCTCATTGATCTCTTGCTCAATCGCTTTATTCTTATCTTGTTTTACCCTCAACTGCTTCTCATACTGCTCCTCATATTTCTTTAAATTAATCCGGATCTTATCAAGTAATTTGCTATCATCGTCTATCTCAAACCCATCTGTCGTTGAGGTCAACAATTCTGTTAACCCATTATTCCTACTGATCATCTTAATTTATTTTATTTTTCTTCTCTTCTTTGGCTCCTTTTACTACACTATCAATTTTCCCTGCTAAAATCTCTTTTTTTCTACTATTTTTTGTCTCTTCTCACTCTTTCTATTTGAAAACAAAAACAATCCCATTCCGGAAATTGTCCAGCGCACGTGATGGGGTTTGTTTTCAAGTCGTTTTTTTTAACCAACCCAAAATTTTTCAAATCATCCCCCATTTAAAAGCTAAAGTTACATAGCTTGTTAACTAAGGAATCATTATCATTAACAAAAACCACAGAAAACAACGAAATTTAACGTTTTTTTGTTGTTTTTTGATCTTTTTTGATTTTACTTATTAAATTATTCTATTAAATTATTCTGTTAAAGATCTTCTATTGCGCTAATTAAACATGTCTTCTAATAAACTAAGAATCTTAGTTCCCATAAAGAGAGTCCTTGATTACCAACTTAAACCAAGAATCAATAAGACCAATGATGGAATTATAACTACTGGTGTTAAATTTAGTATAAACCCATTTTGTGATATTGCTGTTGAAGAAGCTGTTCGCATTCGTGAAAAGAATGCTGACTTGGTTGATACTGTTCACGCTGTTTCAATTGGTCCTTTAAAATCTCAAGATATCTTGAGAAGTTCAATGGCAAAGGGCATTGATTCTTCAACTTTAATTGAAACCTCTGAAAAGGATAGAGAATTGGAACCTCTTATTATCGCTAAAATTTTGAAAAAAATCGTTGAAAAGAATAATTCAAATTTAATTATACTAGGAAAACAGTCCATTGACGATGACTCAAATCAAACTGGACAGATGCTAGCTGGTTTGTTAAATTGGCCTCAAGCGACGAACGCTGCAAAGGTTGAATTAAATCCTAGTGACAATTCGATTAACATAACTAGAGAGATTGATGGTGGTGAAGATATCGTTAACGCCAAATTGCCATTGATTATCACCACAGACTTGAGATTAAACGAACCTAGATTTGCTACTTTGCCCAATATTATGAAGGCTAAAAAAAAACCTTTAGAGAAACTTAAAGTTGGAGAGTTGGGTATAAATTTAGAGAATAAGTTGAAAATTCTAAAAATTGAAGAACCTGTTCAAAAACAACCGGGTATAAAAGTTAGTTCTGTTGATGAACTTATTGAGAAACTACAAGAGAAAAAGCTATTATAAATTAAGATATTATTTTCTGATATTTTATAATAGTATTATTAATATTCCCTGTATAGGCATTTGATTATTATTTTAACTTTTTTCTTTTTTTTGACATTAAATTTATTAAATCGTGTGACATATATATAAACTATAGATAAAAGACATTACATAGGTAAATAAAGAAGAAAAAAAGGTAACAAAAAGGTAATAAAACAGTAATAAAAAAATATTAAAAAGAGGACAAAAAACCTCACATTATTCCAATTATTTTAAATCATTTTTACTTTTTTTAAAGTAAGAATCTTGATTGATTAAAATAAAATGTTAGTAAATGAACAGTAAATTAAAAGTAGAGTATGAGTAATAAAATACGGAGTAGTAGTATAGTGATGCAGAAATGTAGAAATAAAATGACAATTTTTTTACTAAGAATAATATCAAAGTTAATGAAAACAATTAATATTCAACTCACAAAAAAAATTGAATCAACTAAGGAAAATTTCTCTTTAAAACAAAGAGAAATTATAGCCAGTTGAAATAATTAGAACAATTATTTGGGTCGGTTCCTAGGTATTGAAATTGATCTTCCAGAACTGTAACAGACAAAGAATCATGATTGATTGGCAATTAAAATAATAAAAACACAATAAGATCGGTGTCCTGACTAAAATTCTGGCAACTATTTAAGAAAAAAAAGATTTTAAATAAGACTTACATTGATTATATGATAATTGAATAGAGGGCAGTGAGAAGTGAAGTGAAGTGAAGTGATAGAGAAGATTTTGAAGCAGTGGTGGTAAATATGGAATATGGAATATGAGAAATTGTGCAGTTATTAAGATTGATAGATGGAAAAGTTTTTAGGGTTTTTTTTAAAGGCCCGCAGCACGGATTGCGAGCAATGTGAGTGAGCGGATAGAAACGGAATATCGTGGATGGATTGAAGACGATTAAGTTAATTATTAATTGAAATAATTTAATTCGAAGAAAAGCGAAAAGAGGCGAGGAATATCGAAAGATTGTGGGAAGAATATTATTTGGTAGCAGATAGAAGAGATTTGGATCGGATATAAGATGATTCGAAAGGAAATAGTGAGAGGACTACTGAGGGTTGGGATTATTAGAAAGCCATTAATGATACAAACACAATGGAGAATCAGTATTGATAATAGTTTTGGTCAGTTTAATAATAAATATATTAATAATGATTATATGAGTAATAGTTATATTAATATTAATATTAATATTAATAATGGCATAAGGATGTTTTCTAGTAGTAAGATAAGTAAAGAGGTTGAAAATGAAGAGAAAAAACTTGAGGAAATGGGAGAATATGAAAAGGAACTCTATTTTCGATTAAAAAAAGAGTTTGAGCCAGATCTATTAGATGTTATGGATGTATCAGGAGGATGTGGGACAATGTTTGTAATTGATATTTCGTCGAGGAAATTCCGAGGGATAACAATGATCAAGCAACATAGAATGGTGAATGAGTTTTTGAAAGAGGATATTGCCAAATGGCATGGCTTACAATTAAAGACAAAGGCAATTCAAGACTAAGTATATGAAAAACGAAGATATACATTGTAAATATATAGGTTTGATAAATAAAGAAATAAATGAATAAATATTCTAGTGGTGATAATGAGGGTTTTCGATGGGCTTGAATTCAATTCGAGAGAATCAGAAATGTAATTTATTGGTGGTGAATATGAAAGACAAAGAATAGAGAGCGGAATGCTAGAGTGAAGAAGTAATTAGATGGTACATTAAATTGATTATAAGATATAAATTCTAATTAAAGTGGCGGTGGAATGTTTGGGGTTGGTTGGATCAGAAGTCCTTTGGAACATATTCTTTGAAAATTGGAGCAGTTCTTCTGCTGGCAGGAACATAGTCGCTCCAGCCATCAGTCTTTGCGCCAATGTAGATGAGAGCAGCAGGAAAGAGACCCATCCAGATCAAGTTGGTTTTGGCTGCTCCCTTGGTCATTCGGAAGATCTGGCCATAGTTCTCTCTGTACTTGTAGAACCTTTCAAAAGCAGCATCCTTGTGCAAGACTGGAGAGAGCAATTGTGTCAGTAGAGGGCGCTGTGGGTGGGAAGAGGAGCATTGGGGCTAACTTACGGTGGTGTCCATCGTTGTGTCCAGCCATGGTGAGAAAGTGATAGTGTCTTGAGGTGGCAAAAGAGAATTTGAAGAAGCTGGAGAAGTTAGCGCTGGAGAAGCTGGAGCAGCTAGAGGAGCTGAGAGTGGGCGCTTACTTTTGTGCTCACGCGATTGGCCAGTGCCGGGGTCTGCACTGCTGGGGTCCAGCCACAAGGGTCTGGTTAGCAGGAACCAGCTCATGCAGCGGTCTGCTGGGTGCACGTCCGGGCGCTGGGGCGGAGGAGCCGCTGGGGAGGCCCGCGGTGGTGGAAACGGTGCAGCAGCTCCAGCGAGAAGCTCCCTTCTGGAGAGCAGTCACCAAATTCTTTAAGTTCCACAGCTCTTTCCCGTCTGCTCTGTTTCGATCCTCACTATGGCTTCTCTCTTTCCTGTCCTGTTGCTGCTCCGAAAAACTTATAAATACTCCCTGTTTTCCCCTTCGCCTTCTTGTTTTTCTTTCTTCTGTTTTTCCATCTTTTTCTTGCTCTTCTCTTCTCTCTCTCTTCCTTCTTTCCCACTGCATGAAACACCCTGGTTTCTTTTGGCTTTTTTTTTGCTCTTGATATTCTTTTCTTCTTCGACTCATCCACTTCGTTCTCCCTTTTTCAGCATCTTTTCCACGTTCTTCTCTTGCTTCAGTCCGAACCTTTCTTATCTCTTCTCTCGTCTCTTCTCTCTGCTGCTTGCTTTCCTGACTTTCCTCCCATATTTGCTTCGCCACATTGCTTTCCCTTCCTTGCCACTACCATGTCAATGCTAATGACATCTAGACCTGATTTAATTACAGATTCCAACGACTTTGTTAAAGAAGACCCCTTTTCCTCTGAATCCGATCTCGATAACCAAAACCAATCCCAAATTCAAATTCATCATAATAACCAAATTCATCACAATAATCACCTTCACAACATGAATATCCAAAATAACGATCATATCTCAATCAATTCTTCTTTAAAGCAAAATATCAACTACAACAACAACCCCAATCTCAACATCGGCATCAATAACGGCATCAATGATGATCTCAATATCAACAATATTAACGACATAAATGATTTAAACAACATAAACGATATAAACATGAATAACATGAATAACATGAATAATATAAACCATATAAACCATATAAACCATATGAATCATATGAATCATATAAATCATATGAACAACATTAACAACATGAACAACATGCATATGAACAATCTAAATATGAACAATATGGATATAAACAATATGAGCATCAACAATATCAATAATATGGCTAGTATGAATAATTTGGCTATTGAAAATATCAACAACAACAATGAACCTAATAATGGTAACCTTAATAAAAATGACGGATCAAATATTAAAAATCTCAATAATGACCAATCAATTCAAATCAATCAAAACCAAAACAACCAAAACAACCAAAACAACCAAATCTCAAAAATCATCAATTCTCCTAAATCTTTTGACAATTCTACTGATCAACAATCACTAAACGTTCAAAATGACTCAATCAACACACCCACCCCAAATACCACAAATATTTCAGAAAACCAGGATAACTCAAAAAACTCCAACAATTCAAACAACTCAAATTCTGATGATGACTCAAATGATAAATCTCAAGATCTATCTCAAGATCTATCCCCCAAACCAATGATAAAAAAGAACTCAGGCTCTCAAGGTCCTCAAGATACCACATTAAATCCCTTTATTTTGGACCGCTCTTCAATTGATGCCACAAAATGGTCAAAAGAAATGAACGACTTATTCATCAACCTATTGATAAGGGAAAGTGGTGAAAACTTTTATGAAAAAAATGAAAATGACTGGTCAAAAGATAGCTGGGACAGAATCACTAAAGAATTGGACTTAGCCTTTCCATTGAAAGCTAAAGTCAATAAATTCGATAAAACTAAATTGAAAAAGCATCTAAAAATCCTTAAAGATGAACACGCCTACTGGAGATTTATTAAAGACAATGCAAAGGGCTTTAAATGGCTAAATAAAAAAGGCTGCTTCAATCTAGATTATTACGAAGTCGACCATTATTTCGCTCTAAATAAATTCATTGAAGATGAAGACGTAGTTAAAAAATACCAAAGGAAAAAAAGTTGGGTCAAAAAATTTTGCATTCCTCATGCTTGTGACTACTTGGTTTCATATGATAAATTCATCTATAACCAACCTCTAAACCACAACGTCACAATATCTGACAACCCAAACTCTTACGATGATAACGACAACTTTCAAAATCAAAACAGTAATCCTTACGATTATGATCTGGCCGATGATGATGATGATGACGACGAGGATGAAGATGAAGATGAACTTCCCCCTCCTCTTCCAAGAGAAAAACAGTTTTACGCTGACGATGATGAAGATGATGACAATTATGACAATAATCAAATTATCAACAACGAAAACAAAAATATACAAAATCAAAATCAAAATCAAAGTCAAAGTCAAAGTCAAAGTCAAAGTCAGAATCAAATTCAGAACCAGAATCAACTTCAGTTTCCAACCCAAAATATTGATAATGACCAACAAAATCTTCAACAGAACAACCCAAACTTAATTACCAACTCAACCTCAAAACCTAATTCTCTTCAAATCCAAAACCAACCTCTGGCTTCTATCTCAAACCCAACCTTGAAATCTGATGATAAAAGAGATCCTGTCAAGGATATAATAGCTGATGACGATGATGATGATGACGACGACGAACTAGACGAAGATGATAATGTCCTATTAGAAATGAGTGGCTACAATAGAAGTAGTAACAACAATAATAGTAATAACACTACTAACAATAACAACAGCAAAAATAACACTTGTAACAACAGCAATCCTCCTAATGGATCTGCTCGTCGTCCCTCAACTTATAATGGCAATAGAATAACAAAAAGAAAATCTCAAAGAAATTCTAGAACTTTAAACAACAACAATATGAATGGTAGAAAAGAATATATCATTAATGGTTTGAACAGTACTTTTAGTAACGGTTACACTAATTCTTCTAATACAACTGCTTTTTCCGATAATTTCAACAATGACCCATTTGTGATAAATAATGTATATCAACATTTATTTATCTTAAATAATTCTGATGCCTTTGATAAGTTGACAAAAATTGTTATGAATTATGTGATAGACAGTAAAATCACAGTCAAATCTCAAAGAATCATTTCAAAATTGATTCTTAATGATATAATACTTTTTAACTTTTTAAATGATGATGGGTTCTCCGACAAAGATAAAATCAGATATATCAATGATTTAACTAAAGATTATTAATTGTGACAAAGAACAAACACCTGAGTTTGCTGGTCATCAACTCAGAAGTATAACAACTTGTGTAATTTTTTTTTTTCTAATTTTTTTTCAAATTTACTTGAACTTTTCTAATTGAATGTTTTATTAGTGATATATTTTATTTTTTTTTCTTTATATTCCATATAAATTTGTATAATCTGATTGTCTATTAATTGGTTGCAATGTCCGCAAGATAAAATGCGTTTTTATTTCTTTTTTTTGTTTCTAATGGTGGTAAATTAATACATGTTTTGTTTTAAAACGAACAATAAACTAATATACTCATATAAAATTCTTTAACGTAATATGCATAAATCTTAATTAGCAACGGAAAGAAAAAAAATCCCTAAGAGTTTTTCAGTTTATTCTTCAAGCACTCAAACTATAAAAGTGCAGTATAGGTTGAAGGCAAACCTTATAAATGTGGTTAAAATGAGATTGATTCGATTTTGGCAAGTTTATTAAAGAATTTTACAATTAACTACCAGGTAAAGTAATTTCAGTGAAATCAAACTTGCTTTTGAAAACCAAACACTGGACTTGAAGGGAAAAAAAAAGAAAAACAATATATTGTTTTTCTTTTTTCCCCCCCCCCCCCCAAATAAATTTATAATCTGGGCTGGGGTTATAATACAGTCGAGGTAAATTATGAGGCATAATTTAAAGGATTCAATAAATGTTCAGCGCTACTATTGTTTTGATTTAATGTTTGAGGTTGGCTTGAATGTTGGATATCATGAGCAGTGTGGTGGTTAATTTGATTTTGAATTTGAGTATTATCAATGGTATTAATATTTTCGGATTCTGGTATTAATATTTTCGGATTCTTTATCAATTTCATTTTGAATAGAAGAATTATTGTTATCTTGAAGTTGATTTTCTGATGTAATTTGAGAATTGTGATTGGTTATTTTGTTATTATTATTATTATTATTATTATTATTATTATTATTATTATTATTATTATTATTATTATTATTATTATTATTATTAGTATTAGTATTAGTATTAGTATTAGTATTANTAGTATTAGTATTAGTATTAGTATTAGTATTAGTATTAGTATTAGTATTAGTATTAGTATTAGTATTAGTATTAGTATTAGTATTAGTATTAGTAATATTAGCAGTATTAGCATGATTATTAGCATGATTGTTATTATTATTAGTTGTAGTAGTGCTGTTACTATTACTATTATTATTGATATTATGTGAAACCATGTTATTTGAATATTGATTTAATCTTTTTTGTTGAAGTTGTATTTGAGCTTCTTCTTGAATTTTTTGAACGACATCTCTTTGTAATTTAGGATTTAGAGATTGAAAAGTTGGATGCATTGAGACCAAGAAGCTGATTTGCTCTTGTAATTGATCTTGTTGTTCTTTAAGATTTAGCTGATTCAATTTATCATTATCAGTGTCAATAATATTATTGTAGTTGGAAATATTTGTTGTGTTTTTATTGTTGTTGTTGTTGTTAATAATATGGTTGTGATTACTAGATAAGCTGGTATTTGCATGGACATTCGTGTTGTTAATGTTGGCATTAAGATTGTTTATAGAGATGGATTGATTGTAGTCGATTTGGCGGTAGCTTGAATGGGACAAGTATAGGTTATTTTTCTTCTTTCTTGAGCGACAGAACATGCAAACCTTATGGTTATTGATATCATCACCAACCAAGGGTTTTGCACATCTGTTGCAGTTGCCGATTCTCTCCAAGTTTGTTCTTCGTAGTTTGTCATTGTCTCTGCATCTTTTGCAGACTTTGTAGTAAATAGGGCCTTCTTGTTGGTGATTTGGACCAGAGCAATGCACACATCTTCCCTCAAGGGCTCTGTTGGCCTTTTTGCTTCGAAGGCTTAATCGGCAAGCAGGACATAAAACATATTGAGATTGGTCTTCTGGAATCAACTGGCCACATCTTCTGCAGGCACCATCTTTCAACTTGGTTTTGGACTGCCATCGTCTGGACCTCTCTTTTTGCAAGTCTCTGCAGTGGGGACATAGCTTGTAATGTTTTGTGGTGTTCTGCTGGAAAGCCTTTCTGCACCTGGAGCACTCAGAGGAATCAGGCATCAAGACAAGATAGTCGTTTTGAGCAACGTTGTTCATCATTAGGATGGCAGAGCCATCGGAGGGCTCATGGACCATAAGGCGGCTGGGATCATCGTCAGGAAGGCCAGGAGAGCCAGGTTCCAGGTCTGTGACAGAGTTCTTGAGGTTGTCTTTGTGCTGGAGGTCGAAGGCAGGTCGCAACTGAGGATCAACAGCAAAGGAGCCAGGCACCATCTGGGCGAGGGCAGAGGGCAGCAGGGACTGGTTCTTGGGGAGGAGGACAGAGGACAGGCCCTCCTCGTAGGCAGCAGACTCTCCATTCAGCTCCAAATCCATCAGCGTCGTCACCAATGGTGGTGGTTAGGAGGAGATGGGCTCAGAAGAACTGCTTTTTGTGCGCGGCGCCGGCCCGCAGCGGTGGTCTCGGGGGCTGTTTCTTTTTTGGCGTCGTGTTGGTGCTGGAGAAGCACAAGAAGCACAAGAAGCATGAGAAGCACGAGAAGCACGAGAAGCATGGCTCGTGTGCACACAGAGGAGTCTGGCAGTGGCGTTGCTGCAAAGAAAGACCCTTTTGAGATGCTCGGATTGGTGCCCGACAGATTCAGGCCCAAGGCCTCAGCTAAACCTCATCCAAGAAGACGAAGGGCTGCTGCTCATCCAGAAACAACACCATCACTGACCACCTTCAGGTTTTTCAAAAAAGCACACAGTTCCTCAATTATTGTCTCCAGTACTTCACCTGCTGCTGAGAAATTTTCCAGGTCGAGCTTTTCAACAGGCAACAAACAAGATTCGCCAACCAGCGAATCATACCAGCTAATTGAGATTGATAGCGATGAGGATGCTATTCATGACGAGAACCATGCTACCCAGAAGAATGTCAGAAATCTTGCTTTTCCCAGAATTGCCACCAAAAATACAAGAAGAAACACACCTCAAACTCGCAAGGTCTCCAACAATTCAAATAGTAATAAAAAGTCAAGCAAAAGCTCTTTGGAATTGCTTGATATTGCTGAAGTCTCTGACACCAGCATTGCTGAAATCTCTGACGACATATTCAATGAAACATTTGACGAAGAAGCTGCTCTAGATGAAATTAAAAAATCCATAAAAAATACCATGCAATTTGGTAAAAGAAACGTATCTAGTTCTTCTTTAAATCCCAATTCCAATTCTAATTCCAACTCAATTAAAAAGTCAACAGCAATTAATCTGAGCGATATTGATTCCGACAATACTCTTTTGAATGCTGTAATAGATATCGACATGTCCTCTGATGACAATTTTAACTCTCCCTCTGAGCGTAAAACATTCCTGAAAAGAATTGATTCTTCCACTATTTTTAAAAATCATTTTCAAAATCAATCCAAAAAATCCATACAAAAACAATTAAACTTCCTTTCAATTCAACCAAATGATTCAAACCACTCAAACCACTCAAACCACTCAAATAATCCAACTTTATCCAATTATACTTCTCCATTTAAAAAAAAAACAACTTCTCCCTCCGAAGACTCAAATGAAAATTTCGAATTGATTGAAATAAATTATTGTCGCAATTCCTCTTCATCCTTTAAACTAAATAACTCAACTTTTGAAATACCCCAAAATGTATTAATAAATATTAAAAATCACTCCAAAATCGATTCCTTGCCTTCTTCCTTAATCTATTCCAATCACGATGATTACTTTCTCAAAAATAACACTAAAATTGTTTCCTATTTTCAGTCAAAGGTAAACTCAAAAAGACTTTGTTTAGGTTACCCAATAATCCCCTCCATCTTTGCAGTCTATATCATTCAAATCTTAGAATTCATCTACAAGTTTGCAAACCTATTTCCCAAAAATTTACTTTACATTGGTCCTCAAGAATTAGAAGCCGGTATTGGCTTGAATAAAATTCACCATACAATCTTTGACAACAATGACTCATTTATAAATAAAATCAACAAAAAATTCGATTCTTGTTGCAACATAGATACTCAAAAATTAAAATTCCTAACTAGTCAAAGTACTTTGGATAATCAACACCATTCAGATGACCAAATTACTTCTGAAAACAATCAAAATTCAGCCGAAACTTCAGATCAAGTATCTCCTGAAATAGAAAGACTATTTTCTTATCTATTATCTCTTGTACTCGACAAGACAAACATCAGAAACAGTGCAACTCAAAAATCTTTAATTGAACTCAAAAAAATCTCTAAAAATCTACAATATCCAGATGAATGGAAATTAAATTCAATTGATCATCTTAATAAATCAAATAACATTTCAAACACCACTATAACTGTTATCGATATTGAAAATGATATTGATAATGAAAATGATATTGATGAGGAAAATAATGAAAAAATTGAAGAAAAATGGTTCAATCCATTTACTGACGTTCCAGATTTTCTTCAAAACGGTTTATCCTCTTTGGAACCAATCGATAGACTAATAATGCTTCACCTACTCTGTGATTGGGCTATTGAAAGATCAACAAAAGTCAAACAAACAATTACAGAACTTTTAGAATTGCAAAGTTTATCTAAATTATTAACAGAAAGTACATATTATGTTTCAAGATATATTAAAGAAGGTGAATCCGGAATAGAAGCCGCTGTCAAAAAGGCAACCAAAATTAAAAACCAAAAAATCTCAAATCAAGTTTTAGTTGAAAATACTAAGATTAAAAAATCAGTCTTGAATAAAAATGCCAGTTCAGTAAAATCTGACACTAAAAACAACAATATCAATGAAAATGGAAAAGAAAATAAAAATAAAAAAAATAATACCCAAAAAATTAAAATAAAAGACATTATCAATGAATTAAGTCTAGAAGAAAAGGAAAAAAATGATAAAACGAGGCGGGAAATAATTGACAAGATTAACAAATTACCAGAGTTGGATCCGAAATCTGATCCATTAGATCATCCACTAGCATTAAGACTATTGGATTTTTTTGCAGGAGAATGTGGTCCAACAGGAAAATTTTATTTAGTAAGAATGGCAGATAGTCAATCTGGAGATTTAACCAGTTATGATGAGTTTAAAAAAGTTATCGAAAAGAGTCAAACGAAAAAGGATGCTATCAAGTGTAGTCCACCTTCAAAATTTAAATTATACGTTAATGATGTGAGTGGGATGTTACAGACAATGTTCATTGAAAATGATTATCATAATTGGAAGAAAAAAAGGAAACGAAGCAGCACTAATAACTCTAAGAAATTGGAATTTTTGGGAGATACCACAATTGATAGAATCAAGAATAAATTTTTACTAAATCCATGGTATGAAGTTGCTAGTTCGCCAGCCGAGTTGAGTGCAATAATTGAATATTTTGAAAGGAAATTAGAATTGGATGAGGATACTGAGCAGATTCCAACTGATCAACTTTTAGTTAATGGGAAAATAAGTAAATTTTCTAAATATTATGATTCAATTTTTTGTTTTATTAATTATCTAAAAGGGATGTTACCATTATTAACACTTCATGACGAATTATATGAGGTTCGAAGAAAGAAAAAAAATATGGAGATTGACCTAGATCTTGATGAAGGCAAATCAATAGCTGAAAGGAATATTACTAATTTTAGGCATTTAAGAACAAGACAGCAATTGCAAAATTTAAGAAAAAAAGATAAAGAAATGAGAATATTATTGGAGTCGGATATTGATAGTTCTGGTGAAGATGATGAAGAGGTGGATAATGATGAAAATAATAGTTTTGATACTGATGAAAGTAAGAAAAAGGAAAAAGATAGAGATAGAGATAGAGAAAATTCTGAGCAGGCTGATGATGATTATGTGAGTAATAGTGACAGTGATCTTGAACTTTTACAAAGCTAATATACTCGAGTCAAAAAATGTTCACTGCAATTAAGGAAAAAAAATATAGAGTTAAAATTTTATCTTTTTTGATCTTGATTGATTATTTTATATTTCTGTATTTTATATATATATACTTATATATATTTATCTGTGCTAACGATTATTTAGAAGATTTTATTTGATGAAAGAATTGAAGCGTGTAGTTATTTTAATTAAATTTTTAAAGTCAATTTACCAGTTGTTCTTCTACCTTCCAAGTCTTCAGCAGCTTGTCTATAGTTTTTTAGAGGGTAAACCTTTGTGATATTGAATTTCAATTGATTGGTTTTAATTAAGTCGATCAATTGAGAAGAATATAAATCCCATTCAGACTTGTCTGTAATGTAACCAAAGACAGTTGGTCTTAAGATTTTGACATTTTTAGCAGATAATCTGTTGATAACTAATGGAGGAACAGCTCCACTGGCATTACCAAAGCTTACAAAAGTGCCCTTTCTTGCAAGAGAAGCTAAGGAGATTTCAAAAGTGTCTTTACCAATACCATCAAAAACAGCTTGAACACCCTTTCCATTTGTAATTTCCAAGACTTTTTCAGCGATATTTTCAGTTGAAGAATTGATGAGATACTTAGCTCCATAGGATTTGACAAGATCTAATTTTTCTTGCGTTGAAGCAGTTGCAATTATGTTGGCATGTTTCAAATTTGTGATCAATTGAGTGAATAATAAACCACAACCACCGGCAGCAGCATGAACTAAGATGTAATCATTTGGTTGAACATTGTAGGCCTCATTGACAAAAGTTAAAGTGGTTAGACCTTGAACCAAGCTGCTGCCATAGAGCTTCAATTGCTGGTCAGTGGAGTCGATTGGTAGCTTGATAATCTTGTTAATATTTGGGTTGATTTTTGTAAACTCAGCAAAGGTGCCAGGACTTAAGTATGCTACTTTATCGCCAACGCTGAAACCAGAGACGTTTTTGCCAGCAGCAGAGACAATTCCTGAAGCTTCTCTACCCAACACATAGGGCTTTTCACATGGATAGAGGCCATTTCTGAAGTAGGCCTCGATGAAGTTAATTCCGGCGTACTTGTTGTTGATTAAGATCTCGTCGTCGTTTAAGGCAGGAATGGGATAGTCCTCCTCGTATCTGATGACCTCAGGACCACCATTTTCACGAATCAAGACCACTTTGTTGGTTTTGGGAATGTTGAAGGAGGAAGTAGACATATTTCTGTAGTAGCAACTGAGATGGTTGGAACGACGGATATAGGTGTGGAGGGGAGGGCGAAGAGCTGTGGAAGCTGGAGCACAAGAAAGAGTTAGTTTGGCGCCAGAAGAACGAAGGAACCTGGAGGAAAGAGAAGAAAGCCCAACCATGAAGCAAGAGAAGCAGTATTTATAGAGGGCTGCTTAAGAGCATCAGCTGGAGAAAGAGCTCACCATCGCCATTCATTAGTAATCCTCTGGATATTGCTTGATCGTCTCCATACTTTGTGCAATCGCAGGCTCTGTTCTCGGTAAACAACCAGTGGGGGACGAAGCTCTTCATCTCTCTGCTTCTTTACTGGTGAGAAGAATCAAACAACCCATTGCCATGTACAGGAAGAGCTCTTTTGCCAGCCAGTTCTCCTCTGAGCTGTCTGGCAACAACAACGCCAGCAGAAACGAGCTCACCTCCATCAACAAGCTCATCAACAGCTCCAAGAGCAGCTCTTACAGAAAGAAGAAAAAGTCCATTATCTACTTGCGATACCAGCTAGCTGAGTTGGAGAAGAACTTCCAGAAGTTTGACAAGCTAATAGAGATCCACTCAAAGCAATTGAACTCCATCAAGAAGTTGGCCATCTTGAACACTAGTTTGTTTATGAGTGTTGATAAGATTGTGGAAATGGATTTCAAAAAGGAGATGGGTGTGCAAGTGAATGACGAGGCCAAACAAGACGAGCTTCATGGTTCCAATGAACGCCCTCTCAATAACAATGAAAACGACAAAGATAACAATAATGTTGGCAGTAATGGCGACAACAATGGCTACAACAATGACCGTAATAATGGCAATTTCAACGTCGACTCAAATGATCTACATGAGAGAAATGATGAGGACAGTGAGGAAAACAAACCCATCGAGATAGATGAAACATTTGAACTAGACTGAGCATTGCTCTCCTCCTCTTCTTTGTTGGCCCATCCTATCGTTGCAGAGATACGTTGATGTTTTCAACAGAAATAGAATCAGAATACCACTCCAGCTCTGGTGGAAGATCTTCCCAGCAAAGAACTGGCAGAGTATCGATGCTGCACAGACACTACAGGCATTAACTGCTTAGTAGTGTCAAACACTTCATTTAATCTCTATATGGTTGTCTCAATACAGTAATAAACTAGTAGCCCAACCACTACATTAATATATCACCAATATATTTGCAAACTGTAGCTTGACAAAAAATTCACTTTAAACCTTGAACAGCTGCATTAAAATTTTCAAAACGAATATTTTCCAACCTTCTAACTCTGGTTTCATAAAAGGTTTTCTACTCTCAAAACCAATTATCCTTCTTATCACTGTTATCACTGTTACCGCAGATTCGTTGATTCATTAACCCATTAAAATCTCTTACCATTAAAGCACACAAAATGTGGAAGAACTCACTAATCCCAAACAAATCCTTTTACATGAATAAAGTCCTATCAAAAAATGTAATATACAGACTCACTTATAATTCAAGGGAACTCTCCCCATATTCTGCTTTTTCAAATAATTGCAAATACAATTATAAGAGTTACAGCAACTACTCGAATAACTCCCACAACACTCACAAATCTCAAAATACTCAAAATACTCAAAATACTCACTATCAAAGTATCAAACTACTTTCTCTTCTCTTTATGACTTCTGCTGCTTCCTTGTCCATCTATAACAATCTACTGAGCTCCAACAATTACACAAAAATCTCCTTAGATACTCTCACCCCATCCTACAAAAACGATGAATCCATTCAAATTGATAAAGTAGTAAACGATTTCCCAACATCTGTTGTCTCTGATTACACAAATGACGAGTTCTCTCTTATTGGTTATGGCTCCAGATCTGTCACTTTTATAAACTTCAAAGTCTATTGTCTAGCAATTTATATCTCAAACTCAGATTTACATCTAGTATCTCAAATTTTAAATTCAAATTACCTATCAAAGACATTTATTGATGGTTCGAAAAACCCTTCGAATAGCCATAAAGAAAACTTATTGCTTGCTTTGAAAGATCCCAAAACTTCTCAAGTTTTAATCGATAATCTTTTAAATTCTGGTGTAAAATTCTTGGTTAGAATTGTTCCTACTAGAAATACAGATTTTAATCACTTAAAGGATGGTTTCGTTAAAACTTGTTTAAGAAACGAATTAAATAAAAAATACCCTGAAGAAATGTCAAAGGGAATCGATGAAGTAAGAACTGTCTTTCAAGGTTATAGATCAAAATGCCCAAAAAATCACAACTTGATTGTCGAAAGCTTGGATGGTGGTAAATTGGCCTTTACTTATCAAAAACTAGACAAAAAAAATAAAAAAATCATCAAAACTGTTAAAATGGGTGTCGTAAATGAACCTTTAATCAGTAAAGCTGTTTTATTGAATTATATGTCTGGTGATGCTCCAATTAGTGAAGAAGCAAGACAAAAATGTATTGAGGAAATTTCAAGACTCGCCTAATTCCAATTAGTCGTTCCGAATCCTTTTTTCGATTATTGCTCATCTTTAAAGTCAATTATATTTATCTTTTTTCTTTTATTTCTTTTATTTCTTTTATTTCTGTTATCAATCTAGGATTTTGTATATATTTACAAACTTTGAATATTTTCACTTATAGCTTTATCAGACTCTAAACTTAAACATGCTCCAAGTTGAGCCTTATTTAAAACAAAGTTTCTTCTCTTACCTACTTCTATTAGCAAATTATCATCACAGCATAGTTCTTTGAATAAAATTCCTGCAAATGAATCTCCAGCGCCAGTGACATTATTAATTTTTGTAAAATTCTTAACTGTAGAGTAATACTCAATCACAACTCCGAATTTCTTAGATTGTAATTCATTTTTACTTGTTAACGTAAAGACTGGGCTCATTTCAATTACTTTTTGCTTGTAAAAGCTATCTTTATTGTTTTTTTCAATTTGCCCTTCATTTCTCATTTTGTCTATTATTCTATTATTTTCTTCTAAATTCGCCTTAATAGTTAAATTCTCTTTAATTGACCTGACATCTTCAGAAATATTAAATACTAAAATACCATTTTTGCCACATTTAACAATAATTGATGGAATATATGGAAGCAAAAAAAATACTTGTTGAAATACACCATTTTTTTGACATTTTTTTAAAAATACATTCTCACGACACAATTTATCCAATTTTTCTTTAAAGATAAGCCCATCTAATCCCAATGAAAAGATAACATTTGACCAGCTTGTTTCAAACAACTCTTTATTAGAAAATGAATCATACATGCTTCTTAGTTCTTCCATCGTTGGCAATGCTAATCCAATACGATTATTAGGGTAAACAAAATCTTTTTTAATCACATTTGATAATCTAGCTGCTTTTGGCAATGATGTTGGCTCAAAAATTAATTTAGCATTTATCTCAAGAGAATCCCCTATAATTTGTTTCATTGCTAATTTACTGAGATTTCCATCAAAGAGGATATATGAAGGGTCTGATTTTATGATTTGAGTAGAAATATGTTCTATTGACATATTTTCAATAAGGTTCATATCAGCACAAGCTACAACCAATGCACCATTGGGATCATGAATCGAAACATAAGAAGCTGTTTTGTCTTTGGTCTCATTTTGAAAAATACCGCTTGTATCAATTCCTTGAGATTTTAATTCACTTAAAATTAAATTTCCAGATGGATCATCAGAAACTTGAGATATTAACTTGATTTTTTTATTTGCGGTTTTATTTAGATAGTGATTTGAAGCTAAAAATACATTAAGACCAACACCCCCAATTGATGTCTTGATTTTTCCAGGATATGAATCTCCTAAATAATTACCAGAAGTCTTAGAATTTTTCAATACCCTTTTCGGGGACAATGTACAAATGTAATCGCAAGCAGCAGATCCAACAATTATTCCATCACATTTGTCGTAAACTGATGGTGTTTTTATAGAATCTTCATTGACTTCAGTTTTTTGACCAGCATCTAGTTTAAAAACTGGTTGATATGATACAGGTGTTTTTTTCCAATCATTTTCAAAGGATTCAAGATATGATAGGTTTTTTGAAATTTCTGCAGCAGCTCGAGCATTATTTAAAACAAATTGAATATTACTAGAGACACTTTTACCTTTACTCAATTCAGCTATACGTTTTAATAAAAATGGAGTTAAATGTTTTCCTCCAATGCCCTGATTTTCAGCTTCAGTTTCTGCCATTGATATCACATCATTGATCATCTTAGGGTCTAAAGCAACATAATCAGGAGGAGGAATGCAGAATAGATAACCAGATTTCAAATCCATCAAATTATTGCCATTGTAGATAATCTCTGCTGCTTCTTTAAAATCCCTAAAGCTATAAGGCGATTTGACGCCAGAGTCTTTTGTAAAAAAACCTGGGATATTTGTATCTTTTGAAGACAATGTTCCAACAAAACAGCCTTGGGTCTCGAGCACTTCAAGAGTATTGGCCACATCTAATATCGATTTAGGACCAGCACAAACCACAGCTACTTTGGTTCTACCCAATTCAATTAAATCAGCAGAAACATCAAAATGATGGTTTTTAGTTACACCACCAAGTCCACCTGTAGCAAAAACTTTTATGCCAGCTTTTTCAGCTAAAATCATTGTTCCGGCAATAGTTGTTCCACCACTTAATTTATTTGCCATAGTATAAGCAATATCTCTTCTCGAAATTTTGTTCACATTTTTCGACGAAGCTAAGATTTCCAATTGTTGATTAGTCAATCCAATGTTTGGATTCCCATTAATGAAAGCTATTGTTGCTGGAATTGCACCTTTATTCCTAATTTCTTGCTCAACAGTCGAGGCCATCGATAGGTTATCTGGGAATGGCATTCCATGAGTTATAATTGTGCTCTCTAAAGCAACTACAGGTTTTCCATTTGCCAAAGCGTCTTTAATTTCTTCTGTTATGTTTAAACTAGCAATACTTCTTTTCAAATGTTGGTAATGTAAGGCAGGATTGGAGTTTCTGAGTGAAAACTTTGATAGTGAGAAAGCTTTGAGCATTTTAGCTGTGTTTGTTGCTAAATTCAAAAGGGTTCATGTTGAAAAGAGGTGTGAAAGTCAAGATTTGGTCTGATATTTGATTTGATAAAATGATTTATGGTGGATTTTCGTGACTTTTTCAGCTGTGAATTTGTAGATTTCTTTCACTTTTTACTTTGATTTTGCTTTTCAGTTCCATTTTTCAAATGGATAAACACAATCAGGCAATTGATTAGTGAAAGTGATATTTAAGCAGTTGCAATATAGTAATGGGAGCATGGAAACAGTTAAGGCAATATCTAAAGTGATTCCTTTATCTAAGGTTACAGACGATCCTAGTTTTTCGCTAAGTGAGGGAACAATCTCTCGATTAAAATCAATTGCAAATGATGAGGTTATTAATGACTTGCTTTTGATTCTCACTGAGGAGAAATCTTTACTTGAGACGAAGATAACGATTATAATATATGTTCAAGTTATTTTTCAAAATTTGAAAGAAAACCAGAGAGTGTTGTTATTTACAAAATTGGTTGAGCTGTTAGATTTTCCTACAGATCAAATAAACTGGAAGTGGCAATCAAGAGATTTTAATGTTGAGAATTCCGACAGTTATAAATTGAAGATAAGAGACTATGATTTGGTAAAACAGAACGAGTTTAAATTACTTTCAACGTATTATTTAAAATTGCTTGAACATATTTTAAAATCTTCAAACTATAAGATTAGACTGATAGGAAACATAGCGAACAGTGATGAAGAAATAAATGAATTGAATTTTAAATTAATTAAAAATTTGGGTTATTATTACATGAGATCAACTCCATGGTGTTCAAATTTTAGCAATCAAAAAGCTATAAGCTTGTTGAACAATTTCAAAGAAAATAATTACTATACTAAAAATGATGGTGAAAATGAAGAGGAAAAGGCAAGTGAAAATTGCAATAAATTTATTGAAAACAGAATATACAAAGAGTTAATTAAAAACTTTAGCAAACTTAAAGAAAATAACAAAATTCATAAATCCATTAGCAAAATGGGTTATAGGAAAAATGAAGTTGATAGGGGAGTTAAACCTAATTATACACTTCGAGATGTCGATGAATTCAAGAAAAAGCAAATGAGCGAATATAAGAGAGAAGATTGGACAAAAAGTGAAATTAAAAATGTATCATTATTATTATATTTCATCAATACTTTTATTAAAAGAGATAGCACCGAGAAATATGTTAAAGAACATTGGAGTTTTTTAATCCCATCAATACTTAATATACTTGATGATATCAATTGTTTAATAAAGATCAAAGGATGCGAGCTATTATCAGCACTATTGGATAAGATAAATGAGTGTGACACTGGTGCTCTTGACAAGATTTCTCATTATGATAGTGGAAATTATTTAATTAAAACAGGAGTTGGACCAATTTTTATAGACACAATAACTCCAATATTAACATACCTACCTCCATTTATTTCTGCTGAAGAAAGTTTGGTAGTTGTACCGATTGGATTTAAAATAATCATTAAAATTTTGAATAAACTATACAATTACAAAAAAGATAAAGAAAAATTTCAGAAAAAACTAATTGAATTAATTAACAAAGAAATAATAGAAAGATTAAAATATTTTAATTTTGCAAGTTATAAGGCGGATAACAATGATAAAATTGATGCCACTGATAATGCATTGAAAATGATACTAATTTATTTGGATGTGCTTGATGAAATAATTGAAAGATATTTAGACATTCAAATAGTACTAATAATCAACGATTTATTGAATGGGGTTGTTTTACAGTATTTGAAAAATCCAGTTTTTTTGAATTGTGAAATCAAAAGTGATACTAATTTGTTAATAATAGAAAAGCTATTAATAATTTTGATTAAAATAATGATAATTTGCCATCAAAGAATAGAAAAAAGGAAATATGATATTTTAGGTGGGGTTTTATATTTTTGGAGCAATTTTGTTAATAAAAAAAATGATTTTATAAATGATTTTGGAGAGGATAAAATATTGGGTGATGATTTTCGAAAAATATATGAAATTTCAACAGAAAAAAAAGATAGAGCTGAAGATAAGAAGATTAAAAAAATTCATAATTTAGTCAAAGATTCTATGGATGTCTTGGCTGAGTGCTGTGCGAATAAAGAGCAGTTAAAAGACGATTTCAAAAAAATAGTAGAATGTAGGGAAGAATATCGAGATGTTCTTCCTGAATTATAGTCTATAATAGAAAGCGAATTGAAACGAGAAATGTTCTAATCAGGAAACTGAGGTTATACCTCTAAACTATCCCCGAGCTGAAGATAGGTTTTGGTTATTTTGGTTTTCGCAACGAAAAATAAAGCAGTTTCAAACTCAAAACCTTAATAATGAAAACGTGACTTTCGGCTTTATGCAGATCTCGCTCACGTGCCTAAATAGCAATTCCGAATTATGTTTTTGATATTTTTCACCTTTTACATTGAGTTTCGATTATTAATGAAATCAGGTATCTTTGAATCTTCAAGTAGATTGAGCTCATCTGTGCTTTGTTGATAATTTTTATTTAGATTTTTACAATAATTTATTAATTTGTTTCTAAAAATGCAAAGAGTGATATTCAGGTCATCTTCAAGATTAGCATCTCGATACATTGCTAAACCAGTTCTAACTAATAGATTAACAATACTTAGCAGTTTAAAATATCGAAATTATTCATCTGGGAGTCATGGAAATAAGAATGAAGATGATGAGAAGTATTATAAACTACTAGTACCTGGCACATTTGTTGCAGCTACAGCACTTTTATATTATGCCAATTTACCAGCGAAAAAAAAGAAAGTAGCGGCATCAGCTGAGGAACCTAGTAAGGCAAGTGAGTTCACTGATGAGGTTGAAGAAGTTGAAGAAGTTGGAGTAGCTGAAGCAGAACCTGAACAAACTGAAGAGACTAAAACGAGTGAAAAGGCAGTAGAAGAAGGTTCTGATGAGGAGGTACAGCAGGAGAAATCCAGTTCTCCAGAAGAAGAGAGCAAAGAAGTTAAAGAGACTAAAGAGTTTGAAGAAACTAAAAAAGGAACGAGCGCTGAACCAAGTGAAGCTGGAGCAGCATACAATCCAGAAACAGGAGAGATTAATTGGGATTGTCCATGTCTTGGAGGTATGGCAAATGGACCTTGTGGAGAGGAATTCAAAGCAGCATTTTCATGTTTCGTTTACTCTGAGAGCGAACCTAAGGGTTATGATTGTCTTGAGAAGTTCAGGGATATGCAAACATGTTTTAGGTTGTATCCAGATGTTTATAGCGAAGAATTGAGGGACGAGGAAGATAATGTTGTTGAAAAAGATGGTAAAGATGGTAAAGATGGTAACGGAAGAAGTGCGGAAGAGGAGTTACAAGCTTTAGAAGAAAAAATGGAAAAGGAAAATGCGAAGTTGAAGGAGTTGAAGGAGTCTAGTGAGTCGAAAGAACCATGATTTTTTTTATTTGTGAATTGAGATATGGATATTCTAGTTGTAAGTAGAAAGTTGTAAATATGTTTTTATTTTATTTTATTTTAAATATATAATAGAGTAGTTTAAAATAAGACAAGAGTAAGATAAATGTAAGATTAAGATAAAAGAGCAAAGGTAATTTATAATTTGTAGTTTATAATTAGTAATTAATTAATATATAATTGATTAATAATTTATGAAAGAAAAAAAAATGAAGTAAGATTAAGACGAAATAAGATTAAGATTAAGATTAGGATTAGGATTGAAGATAGAATTATTAAAATGAGATAAAAATAGAAGAAACAATAAAAATAGTAATGAAATGAGAAAGTATAAAGGTGTAAAATAGTATAGTAAATAGTAACACAAAGTTAAAAGGAAGATTAGAGTAGATTAGATTAGAGTAGAGGGGAGTAGAGTAAAGTGAGATGTAGTAGATTAGATTAAATTAAATTGGAATGGATTGGAGAAGAGAGGAATATAAATTGAGAAGATGAAAAATTGGAGAGGAAAGCTAACAACAGGGAAATAGTTTTGAGTTATTTGAGGATAGTTGGGAGGATATATCAATGTTGTCGAAGTTGAAGACCTGGTGATTTTGCTCTAGGCTTTTTAGGCCTAGATAGGTTACTCTTTTGAATATTGATTGAACTTGGTTGAAATCCTTTGCAGAGATTTGGAAGATGTCGTCATTAAGGTTATTGAGGTATTCATCTATGAAGGAATCGTTGTTGTTTAATACGAAATCTTTGCATTGTCTTAGGGAGATGAGGTGGTCGTTGATCGGTTTGTCTAGTTTGTTGCCTACTATTATGATGCTTGGTTTTGATACGTGAACATTTTCAAGAAAGTCGTTTGCCCATTTGGAGAGGTTGTAGAAAGAGTTTGGGTTTGATATATCGTAGACGAGGATTGCTACATCAGTGCCACGATAAAAGGTTCTTCCAATTGAGTTGAATCTTTCTTGACCAGCAGTGTCCCAAATTTGGAGTATTGCCTCATCATTTTCTATGCTATTGCTATTGTTGTTGGTGTCGTTGTTATTATTTGATATTGAATTGTTGTTGTTGTTGTTGTTGTTGTTAAGATTGGGGATTTCGTTTAGTTTGATTTTTGTTGTGAGATAATCACCACCAACAGTCGCTCTGTAAGCATTTGAGAAAACATGGTGGACAAATTGAGCTCTAATTGATGTTTTTCCAACAGCCGGATCGCCAATTAGTAGAACTTTTATTGTTGGTATGCTGGTGTTATTCGAGGAGGAGGTAGAAGTTCTTTGGTTTAGATTTGACATAATTAGATAATTTAAGTGAGGTATTGATAGTGATAGTGATAGTGATAGTGATAGTGATAGTGATAGTGATAATGATAATGATAATGATAATGATAATGATGGGGATGGGGATGGTGATGATAATGTAATTTAAAAGAAAACAAAAAGTGGAGTTAAGATTGGAAAGATGAAGAAAAAGTAATGGAAAAGAAAGTGAGAATAAACAGAGCGTATGGTATATTAGAGATACTGTAAAGACGAATAGAGCAGCAATCTGGAAAGAAGTTAGTAGGATCGCAAGCAAATGGCAAGCAGGAAGAACAGAAGACTTTGATAGTATCTAATGACGATGAGATTGCGTGAAGAAAGAGAGTAAGGTTAATGGTAAAGTTACGATGGAAAGGGTTTGCAAAGTAGTAAACAGAACTTGTATGGGCTTTTGGATGCTGGATGAGAGAAAGGGACCCGTAGAGGAATTGAACCGCAGAGACTGAGCAGTCGTATTCGTATAAAGCACGTGATATTGGCACATGGCAAGACGGGTAACACACGGGTGACAGGTATATAGATGAGCGGGAGAAGGCTTCTGTTGCAGTAGGGCTGAACAAAAGTGAGTTGTGCTGGCAGTCAAAACCAACAATGGAAGTGCTACGATCGAAGATTCTGGGATTGAGGCTTGAAACAGAGAGGTCGGAGGGAGAGGCGAGGAAGTGCCGCGAGGAAAACAAGAAGTTGCAGCAGCAGATTGACGAGAAGGACACTGCGATCAAGATGTTGACAAGCAAGAACGAGAGGGTAGAAAGCGAGTTGGAGACAGTGGAGGCCAGGTTGAAGGGGGTGTCCGAGAAGTACCACGCGCTCGACCTTAGTGCTGAGGCCAGCAGCAGGAAGATCGAGAGCCTCGCCAGGGACAACGAGCAGCTCGAGAAGCAGTTGGAGGAGCTCGGCGGCAAGTACCAACAGGCGCAAAGGGAGCTCGACGAAATCAGCTCCTCGTTGGACGTGCTCTAGCGCACGTGAGCAACAGCAGCCAACGGCGCGGGACTGCTGTCGGGCGTGCGCCGAGGCCCGACGGTGAGGAGCGAACGTTATCCAAACTCAATTTCTTTGTCTGTGTCTGAAAGGTGTATATATTCCCATCTCACGTCCACTTCGTCCTTCTCTTGTTTCTCTTGTTTCTCTTGTTTCCTTTCGCTCCACTGTCCTCTCTCCCAAAAAAAAATTTTCACTCCAATTTCTTTTCAGTGGCTGTTTGCTCCTCTCTTATTTATCTTCCTTCATCTGTTCTCTTTCTTTTCTTTCCTCTTTCTTTTCTTTTCTTTTCTTTTCTTTTCTGCTTATCCTTTCATCGATTCGTTATCTACTATCGCCCTCTTTCTCTTTGTCCTCCCTATCCTTTTGGCTCTCTTCCCTTTCTGCCCTTTCTTCTTCCTCTCCCTCCCTCTGCCTCCTCTAGCTGCTGCTCTTCATCCTAGTCGCAATACAAACACTACCCTTCTATCTACTCTTCCTCCTCCTCCTCTTCCTCCTATCAATCATGACTAGAGACATTAAAAACCATCTCTTATTCGAAGTGGCAACTGAAGTCGCCAACAGAGTTGGTGGTATCTACTCCGTCCTAAAATCAAAAGCCCCAATCACTGTCGCCGAATATAGAGAACGCTACACCCTAATTGGCCCTTTAAACTACAACTCTGCCAAAGTGGAAGTCGAAGAACTACCCTTGAAGGACCCCTTCATCAAAGATGCTCTTGACTCAATGTCCGAAAAGGGCATCATATGGATGTACGGTAGATGGTTAATCGAAGGTGCTCCAAGAGTCCTCTTGTTCGACTTGAACTCTTCTAAACATTTTCTTGACGAGTGGAAATCTGACTTGTGGAACATCTCTGGAATTCCAACTCCAACTAACGATGATGAAACAAACAATGCTGTCCTACTAGGTTACCTAGTCTCCTGGTTCTTGGGCCACTTGGTAGCCAACGACAACAAAAGAGCTGTCATCTGTCACTGCCACGAATGGTTAGCCAGTGTCTGTCTACCTCTTTGCAGAAAAAGAAGAATCGACCTCACCACCATCTTCACAACTCATGCTACTCTTTTGGGCAGATATCTCTGTGCTGGTTCTGTTGACTTTTACAACAACTTGTCCAACTTTGATGTCGACGCTGAAGCTGGCAAAAGAGGCATCTACCACCGTTACTGCATCGAAAGAGCTGCCGCCCACTCTGCCGACGTCTTCACCACCGTATCTCACATCACTGCCTACGAAAGTGAACATCTCCTAAAGAGAAAACCCGATGGCGTCCTACCAAATGGCCTCAATGTCGTCAAGTTTAGCGCTGTTCATGAATTCCAAAACTTGCATGCCCAAAAAAAGGAAAAAATTAACGACTTTGTCAGAGGCCACTTTTACGGCAAATACGACTTTGATCTCGACAACACCCTCTACTTTTTCATTGCCGGTAGATACGAATTCAGAAACAAAGGTGCTGACTTCTTTATAGAATCCCTTGCCAGGCTAAACCACAAACTAAAAGAAGCAAACTCAAAGATGACAGTCATTGCTTTCATCATAATGCCTGCTGCCACAAACTCATACACCGCCGAAACTTTACGAGGTCAAGCTGTTATAAAAGCCCTTGAAAGCACTGTCGAAGAAATGCAAACAACCATCGGCAAACGTCTCTTGGAACACTGTGCTAGATACCAACAACACGGTAACGAAGTTCCCTCCTTAGATGAATTGATCAGACCTGCCGATAGAGTCCTCTTGAAAAGAAGAGTCTTTGCCTTGAAAAGGGACTCCCTTCCCCCAATTGTCACCCACAACATGGCTGACGATGCTAACGACCCAGTCTTGAACCAAATTAGAACCGTTCAATTGTTCAACAAACCTGAAGACCGTGTAAAGGTTGTCTTTCACCCAGAATTCTTAAACTCAAACAACCCAATCCTTCCTCTTGACTATGATGAATTTGTAAGAGGTTGCCATCTAGGTGTTTTTCCTTCCTACTACGAACCTTGGGGCTACACTCCTGCCGAGTGCACCGTCATGGGTGTTCCCTCAATCACAACAAACTTGTCCGGTTTCGGTTGCTACATGGAAGATTTAATTGAAAACTCCGCCGATTATGGTATCTACATTGTTGACAGAAGAATGAAATCCGTCGACGAAAGTATCAATCAATTGACTGATTACATGTTTTCCTTTGTGTCAAAAACAAGAAGACAAAGAATTAACCAAAGAAACAGAACTGAAAGATTGTCTGATTTATTAGACTGGAAAAGAATGGGCTTGGAATACATCAAGGCTAGACAGTTGGCCTTGAAAAGAGCATATCCTGACCAATTCAAAGCCGGCGGTCCTGATCCTTTTGCTTCTGGCCATCAAGTTAAATTAACAAGACCTTTATCTGCTCCTGGTTCTCCAAAGGATAGAGCTTCCCTAATGACTCCCGGTGATTTAGGTTCTTTACAAGAAACTAATCAATTCTTAAACACTGAAGACTATATGGGTTTCAAACTAGAAAATGAAGATAACGATGATTATGCTGACGATAAATATCCCTTAACTCTAAGAGGAACTTCTGGTCCTCCAAGTGTTGCTGGTGATTCGGATGATGAAGAAAAAGATCAAAAATAACTTTTTTAATTTATTAATTTATTCATTTATCAATTAACCAATTCACTAATTCATTTAGTTTACTATCTTACTATTTCATTCCTTTATTCAACACTTTAAAATCAACATTATAAATTTTTTTAAAAATGAAATTAATTTAAAAGAAAATTATATTTTTTTTTAACAATCTTTAAATCATAAAATAAAAGTATCATCTACTACTAAATTCTGAAAATCATTCATTTCTCTTAATTTTTTTTGTGAAAAATTTTCAAAAAAGCTTTATTCTGTTTTTTTTTGGTTTTTTTGTATAAAAAGTTAATTAAAAGCTTGCATCAATAAATTTTTTTTCAACTGAAATTAGAAATTCAAATTAAAATAATTTTGTTTTATTTTTAATATTTTGTTTTTGTTTGTTTTTGTTATTTTTTCTTTTTTTTTTTTTGTCTCTTTCTTTATCTTTTTCCTTTTTTGATTACTTTATATATTTTTATTTTCATTTTTCTTCTTTTTTTTGTTATCTCATTCTAAGATTAAAGTTGTTTATTTACTTGGATTCTATCTTTTAATTTTAATTCTAATAATAATTTATTTTTTTTTTCTATATTTAAAAGAGAGAATGTGTTTATACATTTTTATATCTGTTTTGTTGATCTTAATTTTTTTTTCTTTCTTTAACTGAAAAGGAAAATTTTAATATAAGAAAATGTTTACTTTTAATTGTTCATTACGATTCAAACTCTACTGTAAACTCAATTGAAATTTTTTCTATAATTCTCTTTTATTTTTTTCATTACTCCTCTTTGTGTTCTCTCAATTTTGATTTTTTGTGAAACTATCTCAAAACCACCAAAACCACCAAAAACAGAAATCATAAAAGAAATGTCTCAAGAGATTGCTTTAAAGTTTTATCTTGCTTCTATTTCTCACTAATTCTTAAACATAATCGCACTTTAATCAACAATGATTTTGCTTTTGCTACTTTTTATGTTTTATTACTTGGCTCTTGCGATTACTAGGCCACCAGAGTGCTATAATACTTGTATTAACGAAGTTGGAACATGGTGTGAAAAGCACCAAGATGATATCAACTGTCTTTGCTTCAATAAAAGATCTGTTATAGGATGTTTACAAGACCTTTGTGATAATTCTATCAACTTGCAGTTTTTTCAAGGAAGAGATCACTTTACTGGAATTTGTTTGGCAAATGGGATTGACTTAACTACTGCACCATATAATACAACTGGTGAACAAGAAGCCCAAAGATTTACTAATACAATCTTTTCTTCGACCTTAACTGAATTGAAACCCGAGCCAACAATTTTAAATCAGGTATCAAAATTTGTTAATGAAGAAATCCCGATAAGTGGTGATAAAAGTCAAATAGTTCATGTTGATGGTAACGGATTGGAAAAGTTCAAACTTAATACAAATTTGCTAAAAGAGAAAATTAAGTCAAGATTAGGTGGATCAGAAAAGGAAAAGGAAAAGGAAAAAGAACAAGAGCAAGAACAAGAAGAGGAAAGCCAAGATGAAGATGAGGAAATGTATGAAGGAATCGATCAACTACCAATTTTAAATCAAGAAGATTTTATATCAAAAGATGAAATTAATCAAGAAATTTTAGAAAATCAAAAAAATGACAACCAAAAATATAAAGAATCCGAAACTATTGGCTTTTCAGATGCTGAAGTCTCACCAAATTATTTCCCAATCAAAAATCAAAAATTGAATAGAAAACCATCATATCCAGTTACAATTAGAAAGGTTGGGCCAACATCATCGAATCAATATATTTTGCTTAAAAAACCTAAACAAAGACCTGACTTGGAAATTACAGAACCTATTTATGAAGCAGTTGCAGTAGCATCTCAAAATAATAGAAATAGAAATAGAAAAACTAATCAAGGTTACAAAAGAAAAGTTATTAGACCAGAAATTTCTCAAAATTTGAAATCTTCAAATGATTTTGTAAGTCAAGCATCAAGTGTCGAGTATAACGATTTTAGTATCAATGGTGAAAATAGAAATAGCCCTAAAAATGATAGAAAAGATAGAAAGGAGCAAAATTATGAGGAACAGGATAAAATTGAAAGAAAGCCTGAAGCCATATTAATATCATCACCAAATCAAGCCCGCACCAAGGTAAAGGCGAATGGATTACCAGAACCACCTTTAAATATTTATAAGAAAACCAGACATGAATACAATTCAGATGGTATTGAAATCAATGGAAATCCAGGAGGAGGATATTCGGGATATTCAGGGAATTTGGGATACTCTGGATATTCCAATCCATTAAAATTTAACGATATTAAAAGAAGAAAATTGAAATTATTAAAACAAATTCCAAGCAGAAAATTTCAAAAACAAACATTAGGCACAAATCATCCTTATGTTTCGCATCATATGCCAGAACTTATGTAATGAGTATTATGGTTTAAAAATATAGGAACACTAGTTGGTAGTTGGGTTGAATTGATATAATGGAAATCTAACTGTGTATAAATATTTTTTTTCTTTATATTTCATTTTTTAACAAACCATGAAGATTTTGTGATTGATAAATGAATAAATTATTATTATAATTATTTACAAAACTTTCTATAGTATATATTAATGAAAAATATAAGACATTTTAAAGTAAATCAAAGCAAAGCTTATTTTTGAATACTTTGAAGACTAAATAGCAATAAGAAAAAGAAAAAGTGGTTAGTATAAGAAACAAAATAAAAATGAAAATGTAAATGTAATCTGAAAATGAAATCGAATAATAAGCTTTATGATTAATGAATGAATGAATGAATAATAAATAATAAATAATAAATAATATAACATACCCCTTGACAATTTTAATATTAGTATCTAAGAATCTGTTCAAGCAGCCATTTAAGCAACTTTCTTCATTTGAGGATAATTCACCAGAATCAATTTTAAAAATGCATTTTTTAAAACACATATCAGTAAAATTATGAATTGCAGATTGAACTTTTGATTTGGATCTTTCAGCTTCTAACCACTGCATCATTTCCTTTTTGGAGTTGGCGTCCAAAGTCTCCAAACCAACGGCTAGTTCTGACATGATGAAAAAAGAGAATGATTAATACTTTAAGCTTATATTATTTACAAAATAGACAAGATCTAAGTGAAATTTACAGGCAAGACAAGAAGATTATTTAATGCTCTTGAGGTGAAGTGGAAGAGCATTCAAAGTCTTTCCAATGATGCGTTTTCAGTGACAAATCAGAGAAATGCAACCTCCACCACACGTGACAAAACACAGAGTTTCATCCAGAGCCGGTTTTGGGCCTTTTGGAGATTTTGAGGTAAACAAACGGTGGAGCTGTAAGTGATAGCTGGACTGCTGGTGATACAGATCGTTTGGAGCACGACACAGGCTAGATCATGGCGAATAAGTTTACCCCCGAGCAGCGAAACAAGTTGGCTGAGAGATTGGAGCTCAATAGTATGTTTTCATTGTTCAATGCACAAGATGTAAGAGAGAAACACTAACCACGATTCGTTACTGTTGCGGGTAGTCAGCGAAAGGAAAAAGGCAATGGCCAGAGAATATCAAGAGATTGCAGATAATTTGGAGGAAAGATTGAAATACAGATTGAACCGTATTCCAAACGAGTTCAAATCATTGAAGATCAAAGACATAATCCAGCTTGAGAGAACAAAACAAATAAATTTTGCAACGTTAATCGCCGATATAAGAAACTTGAAACAGAATCTCATCCAGCAAAAAACAATTTCTATGCATCAGAATAGCCGGTTTCAAAATAGAAATGGCATTCAAAGACACCCCAGACGTCAAACGAGACAGAAGCTACCTCAAATCCAGCTTTCGAACAACCAGACCCAGCTCAGTAACACTGGAAACAACGAGGGGATCAGACTGCGGTTAAGAAGCGCAAAGGACCGGCACATCACCAAGACGCAGAATGGGGTCCAGAAGTAGCTGTCTCTTCAGCAGAAGACTCAGCAGAAGATTTGCTGGTCGCTAGCAGACCATTTTCAGAGTGCTTTCTCATCTCTATCACTCACAAAACATAAACAAAAGCGCGGCGCCGTTTCTGTGGTTGCTTTCGAGTGAGCCGGGTAATGTGTGGGAAACAGCGAGGAAGTGTTAAGTGTTGCCACTTCGAACGAAAAGTGCCTGGTGGATACAGGTATATCCTCCAGGTCCTTCTTCAGTTCTACACACTCTCTTCTTCCCACGCAGCTCCAGACGACAATTCAGAAAGCACACGTTCAAAATGGTTCTTGAAGCTACTATGATAGTGTAGGTATACCTTCTTTTTTTTTTGCTCTGTCTCAATTGCATCTATTTTGGGGTTCGCTACTAACATTTACTGATCAACTACTAATATCTGGAAAAAAATACTATAAATGAATTCCGATAGTCGACTGCATTTCTTTTGATACATTGGATTTGTTTATTTCCTTTTATTTAATTTTTGTTGTTTTTTCTAGAATTGATAACTCAGAACACATGAGAAATGGTGATTACTTTCCAACAAGATTCGAAGCTCAGCTTGAAACTGTAGATTTTATTTTCCACGCAAAGACTGACTCAAACCCAGAAAGCACTGTTGGTTTATTAGCAATGGCCGGCCAAGGTCCTCAAGTTTTAAGCACTTTAACAAATGATCTCGGTAAAATACGTGCAGGAATTCATGAAACCAAAATTCATGGAACTTCTCAATTGACGACAGGTATTCAAGTTGCTGCTTTAGTTTTAAAACATCGTGAAAATAAATCTCAACAACAAAGAATAATAGTCTTTATTGGTAGTCCCGTTAATAACACCCAAAGAGAATTGGAAAAATTGGCTAAAAGAATGAAAAAAAACAACATAGCTGTTGACTTTATATGTTTCGGCGAAGAATCCCTAGATGATCCTAAACTAGCAAAATTCATTTCTACAGTTAACAACCATGACAATAGCCATATTGTTTCTGTTCCAGTTGGTCCAACTTTACTATATGATGCTGTTAAAACTTCTCCAATTATCTCCGACAACGCAAACAATTACACAATGGATGGCGACGATTTCCTCAATTTTGGTGATGGTGCTGATCCTGAATTAGAATTGGCCTTGCGTCTTTCTTTAGAAGATGAAAGAGCAAGACAAGAAAGAGCTGCTGCATTAGCTGCTGCCAAAAATTCAACTCCTTTAGAAAAAGTTGATGAAGAAAGCAGTACAAAGGATAAAAAATGATTTCAATCAATCACTCAAGCTTTAATAGTCAATAATCTATAATTTATACATTATAACAATTTTATAATTGTAGATTTTTTCATTTGTTTATCATATCATTTCTTATCATATATCATATTATATTATACTATACTATGATACACTATAATACGCTATGATAAACTATCTGTGCTATATTATACTATATCATCTAATGGCTAAATTTTTCTAAACTCTTATAAAATTCCGTCACATCATCACTAGCTATAATTTTATTTGGCTTAAAATTTAAAACTTGTAACCTTTTGCTTGAAACTGCTCTTGATAGTGCAACATAAACCTGTCCCTTTTCAAATATCCTATCTAAATCAACTTTAACCCGATCTAATGTTTGTCCTTGAGCTTTATGAATTGAAATCGCCCATGATAACAACAACGGCAATTGCACTCTAGTTAAAGAAGTTTTAGGGTTATTGAATTCGATTGTAAACTCTTCTTTTTCAATCAATAATATCTGTTTCTCAAATTTAACTAATGGTGCAATTGAAGTTGTACTTTCATTTTGAATTATACGAAGCAATGGCTTTATTTCTGAATTGGTGTTCCTTGTTTTGGCAATTAAATTCAGGATTTCCTCCTGTGTTTTGGGATTTATCGTCCCTACCCCAATACACAAGTTTAAAACACGAACCAATTTCAATTGGTTTTCATTTAAATATTCAAAATCAATATTGAGTATTTCAACAAATTTTACTTGCAAAAGTTTGGTTGTAAAACAAATAATTGTACCCAATGATCCATTGACCACATCATCTGCTTTATTTTTAAGGCACATCACTTGTGCATCTTCTTTTAAAACCAATGATTTAACCGCCATGACATTATCTAAATTTTTTCTCAAATATTCATATTTTTGATCAACTACATCTGAAGCTTCAAAAGTAAATGCTTTACCAGGTAAACTAGAAAGCCTGAGTTGATTTGCCTGCTCCACTTCTCTTCTTGTTGGAAATAACTCGGTTGGCTGTATTCCATCTTTATATTCAACAGGCCTTTTCAAGTACTGGAATTTTTCAATTAATTCAGGGTTTAATTGTGCAGTTCTAATGCAATTCAACATATTAATTAGATCATGATCACCTTGTTGACGGAAAACCTTTGTTAATAGGATTGTCCTTGTAATTATACTTTTCCATTTAGAAGATTGAAAGCAATAAAGAGGTTTTTCTCTCGCATTATATGAAGCGTTATTATTATCAGGTACTGGTGGCAATTGAAGAAAATCTCCAGTTAAAACAATTTGAATTCCACCAAAGGGTTTATTGTTTCCTCTAATACGTTGACCCAAGTCACACAATTTAGAAAATAAATCACCGTCAACCATTGAAATTTCATCAATAACAAGAACCTTTGTGCTTAGCCAACGTTGTTTAGCCGGTTGAGATTTAATAACTTTTTTGTATAAAGAGTCCACAGTACCTTTACCAAGCCCAATTCCAGAAAAACGATGCAAAGTCTGGCCTTCTATATTTAAAGCAGCTAATCCTGTGGAAGCAGTTACAGCCACTCTTAACCTACCATATTTTTCATACAATAGCTGTATTAATTTTCTTAAAAGCAAAGATTTACCTGTTCCAGCAGGACCGGTAAAGAAAACATTACTTCCTTGCATCACCAATTCTATCACTTTTTGTTGTTCTTCACTAAGCACGACTTCATTTGATTGAGGAGCTAATGTTAATGATTTTGACGATTTCTTTGAATTTTGAGACAAAAAATTTAAAGACTTCTTTTTCCTCGACGTTGTTAAACCATCATAGATAGATGCCAAATCAGCGCTATCTAGTTTTCTTTTTTTTAAGGTGGTATTTGGGTATAGTGAGGCAGATTTGTAAACCGAAGCGTTTTCCGAGGTAGAATCAATGTAATTATTACTTTTCAGCTTTAAACTATTCGATTCGTTGGATGATTTTTGGTAACTGTTGTAAAGATTGACAACGCCTGCAGATTTTATCAGTTCAATTTTCTTATTAATTTTTTCAAGTCGTTGTGGAGCTAAGGATTTGGAGTTTGTTAAATTGGATGGCTTTCTTTCAGAAAGTATTATTAAATCATCATCTAGTTCTTCACTGAAACCATCATTCAAATCCTGACTTGCTTGAACAAAGGGTTGGAAGTTAAACAGTTCTTGGGAATAGAAGCTAGAACCACTAGTCAGAGACTCGTCTTTTTTTGAAGCAGAAACAGATCGCTGTTGAGTTATTGTCAGCCGAGAAGTATTCCGAGAATACAGCATAGAAATATTGGATTTTATGGGTTTGGGTTTGAAGTTGAAAAACAACTCGAGGCTCAGCTGCTTCTTATCCAGCGCATTGCTGTTTCTTTTGGTGGTGATGAGCTTGTGATGTACCATTGAATTGCAGAAGGAATGAGGTCGTGAAGAGAGCTGATGGTTGTTTCTTGAAGGTGAAATATATATATAAACAAAACCCACACTAGTTTGGCGACGGAAAGCGATCCGTTCGTGTGGTCTCGCACCGCTTTTTGGGTCACACAAAAAAATGGCAGCAGAAGCAGCAGAAGTAGCAGAAGAAGCACTCTTCGTTTGCGTTACACCGAGAGAGGTCTTTTGTTGCGCAGTATATTAAGGCTTCTGGGGGCGATTGTGCTGAGTCTGGTTTTTCTTTTTGGTTCCTACCTGCTCATGAAATTTCGCTATATTTTACATTATTAGCCTGCTTATTTTTATCTGCTTTTGTTCTTGTTCTTGAGATGACAAGGCACTCCAATACCATTGCTGGGAATGAAAGATCAGGAAGATCCACAGGATCCACGTTTAAAGAGAAGGATGTTCGATCTCCATTTAAGAAGAAGAAAATCATTGAGTCCTCCACTCAAAATTCAAGTGAAAGCTCCAGGAGAACTTTGTATCTACCACCTAACACCATCTATCTTTTGTCTTTATTAGCGATTGGTTTGACTAACAAGAGCATCTTTAACTTTTATCAATTTTCTTCTAATTTTTGATTCTTAATGATTTGTTGAATTGGTTTAGTCTCAGTAATCCATCTCATTCACCGGTTGTGGTATACAAAAACCAAAAATCTGGGTTTCCGAATACTCAAAACTCAATAATTAGCTCAGCTCCATTGACACCAGCTCATTTTTTAGATGCTTATAGCAAAGGAAAATGGAATTTATCCTCAGTGCCCTGTCCTCCATGTTTTCATGGGATTGGTTTAATGAAACCTCCAGAAAGTTATAATGAATCAATTAGACTAAGATTAGTTCACAACTACATGGATTATGAACAATGGAAAGATACAAAAAAATTCACAAAGTTAATCTCTAATGCTTGTAGAAATTTTCAATGCTTTGGTGCTTCAATATCTTTAATTGATCAAAAGAGACAAATTGCTAAATACCAACACTCCTTTGGTATCACTGAATGTCCTAGAAGTATATCAATTGATGCTCATGCTCTTTTGTCATTAGACTATTTTTTATTATTGGATGCCACCAAGGATTGGAGATTCGAAAATAACCCCTTTGTGAAAGGTATGCCCAATATCAGATTTTACGTTGGTGTCCCATTATTAAGTAAATTGGGTATTCCAATTGGTGTATTTTCAATATTTGATGTCTTTCCAAGATATGAATTTGACCAAAACCAATTATCCTTATTAAAAAATTTAGCCCAAGAGGTAATGGAAATTTTAAATTCACCTTTCAATCCAACCACCACTAATAAATTAAATCAAAACTGTTTAAAATCATCTTCAAATACTGAAAAATTAATCAATAAAATTGGAAGACCAACAAGTTATAAACTCACAAAGCTATTAACTAATGTTCCTGTCTTTGAAAAAGATGGCTCAGGTAGTCAATATTCTCAAAATCATAATTTTAGATTGAGCAAGTCTCAAATAACTAATCAAGAAATTGAAGCTAAAAAAGTTTGGAAACTATTATTTGATGCTGGCCAAATCAAATTTGCCGCTAATCTATTATGTGAACACTATTGCAAAACATTTTCCATAAGTTATGCTTTCATAATGGAAATCAGAATTGCTGAAACCTATCAAATCCCCTCAAATTGCTTTCCTGTAGAAAATAAGATTGATGCTGAAAATTTTAAATTTGCAAATCAACTTCAAAGAATCGATAAAGAAAAAGTTATTACAAAAGTTTTGGGAAGTCATTGTACAACTTCATTTGATGACAAATTTAATGAGTCCAATATTTATTATAGGTCTTTAAGTTCAGAATTTGGAATATTGATCAAAAGTAAAGCTTCTGACGTGAAATTTACATCTGGTGTTTGCATGTGCTTCCATAGACTACCCTCAAAATTGGTTAGGAAGAAACGAATACATATAGATGAAAAAAATAAAAATACGAAAAATATTAGTTCCAAAAAACCAATTGAATTGTATCTCAGATCTGGTGGGTTTCTTGTTGCAGCTTTTAATGAAAATGATAGAAATCTCACAGAAAATGAAATAAGTGGGATTTTCGAAGCAGCTTGCATCTACAGAAAGATATACATTACAAATTAGCACAAAAAAGTACAATCTATTCAACTAATATATCTACAATATTCTCAAAAAGAATAATAATTTATTTACATATTTATCTCCTTATGCTGGGCATTTTCCTTGAACTCTGGGGAACGGGATAACATCCCGGATGTTACCGGCAGCCCCGAAGTATCGAATCAATCTGTCGAACCCTAAACCGAATCCGCCGTGCGGAACGCTGCCGAATCTTCGAAGATCCAAGTACCATTCTAGATCCTTCGCCTTCATCTTTCTTCTTGTGATTTCAGCTTTGAGCAAGTCATAATTTTCTTCTCTGATAGACCCACCTATTATTTCTCCAACACCAGGAACCAATAAATCAAAGCATGCCACAGTATTGTTATCAGAGTTAACTGACATGTAGAATGGCTTAAGCTTTTTTGGATAGTTGATAACAAAGACTGGGGAGTCGTAAACTTTCTCACACAAATACTTTTCATGCTCAGATTTTAAATCATCTCCCCATTGAGGTTTCCCAAACTTGAAATCTTCACTCGAATTTTCCAATATTTTGATCGCTTGGGTGTATGTTACAACAGGAAACTTTTCTAAACTGTGGACCTTATTGATGGCTGCTAATGCGCTTTCTTTTTCTTCATCAGTTCTTCTGGAATGATCTCCAAATAGGTCATCTAGTATCATAAATTGATCAGTTTTATTTTCGACTATTGTTCTTGCTAAATACTTCAACATTTTTTCGCAAAAATCGGTTAACTGACGAACATCGGTAATAAAGGCCATTTCAGCTTCTAACATCCAAAATTCTGATAAATGTCTTCTTGTATCAGACTCTTCAGCTCTAAAAGATGGTGAAAATGTCCAAACATTACCAAGACCCATACTTAATGCTTCTAGGTGTAATTGGGTAGAAACAGTTAAATATGAGTCATCTTTGAAGAAATGAGAAAGCTTTGGTTTTGCATCCAATGTTTCTAACTTTTCAACTGATTCACTTTCATCTTTACTCGTTTTCTCATTTGGTGTAAACTTTTTTATATATTTAGATACATCTTTTTGAAAAGTTTTTATGTTAGCAGCACTCTCAATTTGAAAAATTTCAGACCCACCTTCACAATTAGAAGTTGTAATTAATGGAGGGTTTGTTTTAATGAAATTTTCTTTTTGGAAAAATTCATGTAATCTGTAATCCAAAGCAGATCTAAGTCTAAATAATGAAGCAACTCTTCCAGTTCTATGTTTTAAAGTTGGTAAAGATCTAATATAATCATTGAGAAGTCTAAAATTTGCCAATGGATAATCGTTATCAACACTACCAATCAAACCCACTCCATTCTTACTGCAAACAATACTAGTATTTTCAATTTTTGAATTAAATGAATTTTCGGAATCTTTTGTTAATTGACTATCAGCCTGGTCATTAGATTGATTTTTCGAGTTTGTTTCATTTGAAGTTTTCAATTTCTTTTTTAGCTTGTCACTGGGATCTTCAAGGTATCCTTCCACTTCTATTGAGCAACCAATTTTCAAATTTTTAAGTAAATCAGGGTCCACTAAATCATTATCTACCACAATTTGAACCCACAGAGAAAGAGAACCATCACTAATATTTATGAAAGAAGTTTTCTTATGTTTTCGAGTTTTATTTACCCAACCTCTAACTCTCAAACTCTGATTGAACGATGGAGGATTTGAGATTAAATCCGACAAACGAGGTATTAAAGTAGATTTCAATCTTATGAATGAGCTATGAGATCTGTTGAAATATGGATTTCTACTTATTAAATTAAACATTTCTTTATCATCAGTATTTTTATATTTTGATAACAATCAGATTATAAGTGAAATTCAAAAGTTTTCCCATAAAATCCGCGCAACGGATATTGGAAAGTTCTGTATATGGTTTGCATATTTAATACAGATTTCTACAGTTACTGAGCAAATATTGCATTGAACCCTAAAGTTACTTCCTTTAAACCAATATTGTTAAAAGACCAATTATAAATGTTCAATAAAAATATAAGTTTGCTATTAATTATATTCATCGAGCAACCTTTTATTACTATTAGGTTATCGATCACTTTGGATATGATGTACCTTGGATATGATATTTTTACAGTTTTGTTAGTTCAATAAGTAGGTAATTGATGGGTAGTTTAAATTTTTCTATATTCAAGGCATTGTTTGTTACTTTTGAAGGAAGTTCGTTAAAAACAAGAAAATAAAAATACGATATAAAGGATAGAAAATTAAAAATTAAAGATTAAATTATCAACTCTATTAAAAGAGGTTAACCACTGCCGGCAAATATCCGCCAAATAAATAACAAAAAGAAAAAAATGAGAGAGAGAGGGAGAGAGGGAGAGAGGGAGAGAGAGAAGGAATAACTAAAAACATTAATTCGTAATATTAAGATTGGAATTTAGATAAAAATTGAAATCGCAAAAAAAAGGTAAAAAATCGAAACAAATTGAAAAAGTTAACAGTTAAAAAATTAGTTTGTTAATTAGGCAACTTCATTTGGAAGAGTTTCACCTGAGTTTCTGGCTTCAGAGTCGTCATACTCTTTTCCGGTTGTGTTTTCAACTTTGTTTTCTTTTGATTGCTTCTTGTGAATAAAGGATAAGATAGTTGGAACAACAATAAATTGAAGAACATCTAAGACACCATAAAAGGCGGTTTCGGAATCTGGTTCGATGACATTACCACCCTCTGAAAGACCGAAAGCAACTGGGTATAAAATCCATAATAAAGCCAAGAATGAGAAAACACACAAGACGTTTTTGTTTTGCTTTTGAATTGTGGTTAATCTATGAGCCAAAGTAAAGATAGCTAATAATAAAGAGAAAGTACCAAAAGTGAAGTAACCCCATTTATAAGAAGATTTAATTAAGGATGAGATTAATAATGAAAGGACAAAGATTTGAGTCATCACCAATTCAAATAATAAAGAAGTAACATTTTTGAAACTTTTTATAGATGGATAAGATAATAATTCAAAGGAGTATAAGACAGTTGGCCAAGCTAAGAAATAACCAACCCATTTCGAGTAAAAGATTTGTCTAATACCTGGAGTAACTGAGGAGTTATCAACAGTAGTGTGATTAAATTGAGCTTGGATATCAGTCCAACCCAAGTTTGAAGCCATTGTGAAGTAAGTGTAAGCTAAGATTAAACTCGATAATAAGGGAGCGATGATTAAGAAAGGTTTGGGTGAATCCTTTTTGAAATGATTTTTGATGTATAAAGCAGCATAAATTAAAGAAACAAAGGTAAATAAGGAGAAAGCAGCCCATAACCAATTTGAACCTTCTTCGGTGATGTGCATATCTAAACCAGTTGGTTCATTGATTTCGATAGCATCATTATCTCTTGCAATGAAAGCCATTTTAATTGATTAGTTAATGATTAAGAGTAATTAATGGATATAATATGAACTGAATTGGATTGAATTGAATTGAATTGAAACTATTAATATTATAGAATAGTTTGAATAGGTAGTGATTGGTTGTTATTCAGGTAATGTATTAGTACTGATTAATTGGAGTATTGAATAAACTATATTAAGAATAATAAGTAAAAAAATAATAAATTTAATAGAAAAAAGTTCAGAAATTGGCTCATATTTATATTAAATTAAAGGGATAATGAGCAGGAAGAATAGTATGAGAGATTGGACAATAAATGTTGAGTTGTGGTACGAATTGAATGAATCCGAGTTTGTTAAAAATTTACTAATGTAATACCATAAATTGAAACCAAAATGACTGAAATTGGTGAAGTGATTAGTAACAAGAACAAAGCACTTGAAAACAATTAAAACTATGCATAGTATCCATGATATCCAAAATATTCATAATATTTACAATGTTTATAATATTCGTAATATTCATAATATTCATAACACTCAAGGTTAAACTGCTCAAGTTAAACTCGATAATAATTATTATAATTTTTTTAGAAATTATAAATCGATCATGAATCATGATTCATGGTTGATTAATAGATAATAATTAAGTCAAAAAGCAAATCCGAATGTTCCATTTTGTTCCACACAATTAAAAACAAATATGTTGAGATAGAAATTAAGATTGAACACAGATCAAAAAATATCGAAATTATTGGTGAAAACAGTGTAACTAGTGTCAATAGCTTAATTGAAGTGATTAAAACATTTTCGTGAATTGAATTGTTAATAAAGTTATTTGGTTTCGTTTCGAGACCGTAAAGGAACAATGAAGTCTAGGTAGTTGATGATTAATAATTAATGAACTATAACAGTATGGGGTGACATATTAAATGACCTTGAGTTCATAGATAGCTTTTGCAATAAAGTAAGTACACATACTTGAGTGATTGTATGGGCATGTTGAGAAATATCAGTGAGAGGTGGTTGAAGTAAGGAAACATCGGAAAGTGGTGGAAATGAAAATTGTTGAAAACGTGGAACACGACCCGATTGGTTGACCTCTAAACGAAAAACGCTGGGACAAAATCAAAGTGCGTCACGTCAAAAATCAGTGAGAAATTATGAGAAATGCATTATTATGAAGGATGATGTAATCTGATGCATCTCACTCTGGATCCGCTTTTGATTGCATAATACCAGAGCTGCGGTTCTTGCTGTTCTACCATTAGTATACTATATATAAGCCTTCTGCTCCTAGTTTGACCGCAATTCCTTGTAAACCTAGCAGCAGAACAATAGAAAATTTGCTGCAAGCTTATATTCACATTCAAAATGCTGCTACTATGTTATCAAATATGATACCATTTCACTCCAGTTTCTCTTGTGGATCTGTAAATTTTAGGTGTATCAATAGCAAAGTTGAATAAATTTAAAATTGAAACATTATCACTGTGAGAAATAAAAGCGTACTGCTTCATAAATACTAGCTGCCAAAACTGAGTTGCAAACAGAAAAATATGTTTCGATATCAAGTGGAGAGTTCAACAATTCTTCATCATATTCTTTTGGTTCCATTTTGACCGTTGGAAAAGATTTAAGTGGATTCTTGTTGCCATTGTTTGATTTTAAAGGTGATATACCACGCTGGTTTTATCGATGAAAAAAAAAGCATCCAACACTGTTAGTATTGCACATGTTAATTGATTATTAGATTTTGCATTTTTGATATGTCAATATTGATTTTATTGTACTAACAATACCTATTTCTGATCAAGAGTGGCTTTGGACACTTTTACATCCTCCGCCAATCGCACGTCGGCAATTAGTAACCATGACCGTGGGTAGACACACCGTTCGGCATCCACATGCATAAATTCAAACCAGTGGTGTGGCGCTGATGCTGCATTTCACGTGAAATGAAGCGGTGGCTATTTTGGGCAGGCTGGAGAAATCTGCGAAAACCTTGAATCTCCAGGCTGGAACCGCGAAGAAATTTGCCACGTTGACAATTTCGCAACGCTGGAATTTTGACTATTTATTACCGCTTTGGGCCACGCCAGGACAAAATTTCCTTTCTTCCAATCATCCAACCATCGCCCGCTATTTGGTGTTGAATATAAATCTATTTCAATTCCTCTTGTTTTTTTTCCTTTTGTGATTTCTTTGTTCCTTCATTTCTGGTTCCTTACTGAATCTACTCAATTCGTCTGCAGCTTAACTATCTTCGATTTTGTTGCCCGATATTTGCTCTCTATTGTCTTTCAATTGGTATATATTGCTTTACATTTTGACTCATTTCTCATTTTATGAAAATGGTTTACAGTGTTCGTCAACTTGGTGCTAAAAACACCTTGGATTACAAGGTCTACATTGAAGATGATGGTAAGGTTGTTTCTCCATTCCATGATATCCCTTTGTACGCTGATGCTTCAAAGAAAATCTACAATATGGTTGTCGAAATTCCAAGATGGTCCAACGCCAAATTAGAGATTACAAAGGAATTACCTTTAAATCCAATTTTGCAAGACACCAAAAAGGGCAAGTTAAGATTTGTTAGAAACTGTTTCCCTCACCATGGCTATATACATAACTATGGTGCTTTCCCTCAAACTTGGGAAAACCCAAATGCTACCCACCCTGAAACCAAAGCTAAAGGTGATAACGATCCATTAGATGTCTTGGAAATCGGTGAAACTATTGGTTACACTGGTCAAGTCAAACAAGTCAAAGTATTGGGTGTTATGGCTCTATTAGATGAAGGTGAAACCGATTGGAAAATTATCGCCATTGATATCAACGATCCATTGGCCTCAAAATTAAATGACATTGAAGATGTTGAAAGACATTTACCTGGTTTATTAAGAGCCACTAACGAATGGTTCAGAATTTACAAAATCCCTGATGGAAAACCTGAAAATCAATTTGCTTTCAGTGGTGAAGCTAAAAACAAAAAGTATGCTCAAGATGTCATTGATGAATGTAACTTGGCATGGCAAAATTTGATCAATGGTTCCATTACCCCAGATAAAATCAACTTATCTAATACCACTTTAACCAAATCTGCCTTTTACACCTCAACTCCTCAAATTCGTGCTGCTCATCCATTACCCGATGCCAAAATTGATGCTTCCATTGATAAATGGTTCTTCATTTCTGGTTCTGCCGCTTAATTATCAAAATTATGATCTTCCTATTATAATCTTCCTATTACAATCTATCAATTATTCAAAATGAAGTCAATTCAATTTGAAAGTAAATTTCAAATTTCAAATTATAAATTATAAATTGGAGATCATCAACTTTAATTCATAACCCTATATATTACAACAAGATAACGATATAATGATGCTTAAACTATTTTTTATATAATTACTCCTTATATAGTATACAATCAATCAACATTACCTATTTATTCAATACCTTTCAATGTTTGGTCCACTCTTATCTTAGATTTTACTAATAACCCAAACAAAAACACACAAAAATAAAAAAAGCTAAAGCAAAAAGCAAAAAGGAAAAAGCAAAAAGCAAAAAGCGAAAAAAAATATTTTCCAGCAACAAAAAATAAACTAAAACTCTTTACATCAACATTTCAAGTTTCTATTGTAGTACTCTTCAAAAACTCAATTTGTTCATCAAGTTCTTTACAAAGCTCATCTGTCCCCATTCCTTCAAACGCTTTAGTTTGTACTTTTAATTTACAGATAAAGTATTTCATATCTTCCCAAATTTTCAACTCTAAATCGTATCCTTCAATATCATTTTTGCCATAATGTCGATGTCTTTTATCATTTTTATCAAGTAAACTTTTATTTTTTTTCAATAAAGCCGGATTTAATTTAGGATAATTTGAATGAACAAACAATATTTTGAGTTCTGCAGGCTTTAAAACTATTTCTTCTTTACTATTAGTCTCTTGTAGTTTTAATTTCAACGCTTTGTTTGCCTCCTCATATGATTCGTAAAAAATTTGATTACCGCCATTAATAAATTTAAGAATCCTATCATTTTTATTAAACACCCTATAATCTTCAACTGGATCAGATTGAATCATTGAAGTTCCTTGAAACGTTCCATCGTTATCATAACCAAGAACTCCAACAAATTTATTGACTTGATAAAATTTTGATCCAGTTTTAACCGCTGCGGCTAAAAAGGTATCCTTATCTCCTTCTCCCATACTACCTTGAGATAGTAAAGGGTAAAAATAATCTGGGCCATACGAATTATAATAAAGTGATAATAGTAACATTTTAAAATGTGTTTTCTTATTGACCATCAATTGACCTGATTCAGTAGATGAATCAGGAATTGAGCCTTCTCTATCATGTAAGGGCACTTCTGCAAGATCTTGTTCATCTTTAGCTCCAATACCTGGGTCGTGAATCCCATAAGTTGTGTAACCATATCTAACTCTTTTGCCTAATTTAATTTGAGCAACATCGTAAAAATATGGAGAAGTTGTTCTTCTCCAAAAATCTGGCCAAGTTACTAACCCATTTGAGATGAAAGGGTCAGTTTTAAACAAATAATCCGGATTAATTACAGGTATATTATCAGCGTCTAGTAATAAAATTTTCTCAAAGGATGAAGCCAATATAGCTAGAATTTTATATTGATAACCTTTAAATTGAAAGCTTTTTGTAACCTTTTGACCTAATACTTCGGGTAGATAAATACATCTTGCATTATAAGCAGGAAAGATCTGAGTACATAGTTCAATTTCGTAATCATCGAGAGTTGGAATCAAAATTTCGACAGGTAATTTGGAACCCAATCTTCTTAAGGATTTGATGGATAATAAAGCTAACCAATTAAATTTTCCACCACCAGCGTAAACTATGCCACTGCCTCTATATTTTAAATTCTTTGGAATAGAGTTTGGAGTATTTTTCAAAAAGGTCGAATGAGACTTTTTTAAAGATTCAACTTCATGAGGAGTTAATTGTACAAATTGTTTCAAGAAATTTTCAGTGAATAAAGGTTTGCTTGAGTGATCAGAACCAAGAGTTGGGCATTTTTCCTTATATTTGTCACTTAAAGAAGGGATTTTTGGTTCAGCCAATTTTATAGCATTAAAGACATTTTGAAAAAACAAATTTACTTTATCAATCAGTAAGCCAGTTCTATCGTAATAATAAGAGATTAGAGATATAGATTTTAGTTTTTGTTGATTTATTAAAGATAATTCATTGTCAATATCAGAATCTTGGGTTGAATCGATTTTGGAATTTTGATAATAACCTTCGATTATATAATCTAGTTTTTTTGATTCTTTGTTTTGATAATGAGTATTTTTGTTAGAATTAGAACCAGAATTAGAGAAAGGATTTAAAAAATGGAAGAAGGATTTTGAATTATTTGAATCCTCGTCATCAAAATTATAATTATTTGAATTAAAATAGTCAATTGAATCAGCGATGGTATCATTGTAGTCATCAGAACTGGCTTGAATATTCTTTATATAATAGTCCTCATCACCAGCTATTTCAAAAATATTAAAAAAAATTATCAAAAAGAGTATTAGAGAAAAAAAAATTATGTTCCTGAGTTTTAGATGAGCTAATCTCTGAAGTTTGTGTTGAATCATCTCAAATGAAGAACGAGCAAATTCCATTTCTTCGAATTTTGAAGCAGCGAATTGAAGACAGGCAAGAGGAAACTCAGCAGAGTAAACTAATAAAGTAATGCAACCAATATTTATAGCAAGATGGGCATTCGAAGACAGCTATGGTGGTTGAGGTGGTTGAGGAAGAAGTGATCAGAACAGCTGGAGAAAAGTAGCCAAATATCACGAAGTGACCCACAAAGCTTATGTAGGTTGATAGGGCTTTCTGAGAATGGAGGCTCTGAGGAAGAAAAGCAGCAGACGAGAAGCCCAGTCCAGCACAGGCAGCAGAAACAGCAAAGCCAGAAAAGCCAGCAGAAAAAGGCCTTCAGAGTCCACTGCTCTTTGTTGGATGGTTTCCTGAGGTTGTCCCAGCCCTCGACCAGTTCTTTGTCCACTGATCAAACCAGTAGTTTCTACAAGAGCTGCTGTCTTTTCCAGATGTTGTTATCTACAAAATGCCTACCTATACAAGTGCCAGGAGCTGCTCTTCCTCTAGCACAATGCTCGAACTTCCTACGCCTCCATTTCTACTACAGACGACTTTGCTGAAACAGACTCTCAAGGTGTAGCCTCCTGCCCAGAAGCTTTCGATTATCGATTGTTTGGTCTGCTTCTTTTCCTGCGTTTTTGTATCAGTGCCATCTCTCCAGCAACAAGTGTTCTCTCATTGTTGTCTTGCTTGCTATTCTCAGCATCAGTACCACTTTCCCTGCCACCATCATTTTCCCTGCCACCATCATTTTCCCCACCAGGAGCTTTATTGAGAGGTGAGTGCAATTTGGTTGAACCAATTTGGTTTTTGTTGATGCTTTTGTTTGCACTTGCGCTTGTGTAAGAGTGTCTTCGTTTCTTTTCTTTATTTTCTATATTACTGTTGGCATGATTGTTACTGCTGGCAGATTCAAATTGCAACTGTTGAACTTTTGCTAGACTCAGGTATCTTCGGCTTCTGGATGGTCTATTTAATGGAAGACTGCTGCTTGTTCCTCTAACAGTGCTTTGTTTCAATTCTTGAAGAACCTCGTAGGCTGATTTAGGCTTCAATAACATTTTTTTATATGAGTCATCAACTTTCAGATTTAATGAGTTCGTCTTACGTCTCAATGTTTTCTCTTGAAGAAATTTAACATCATCTTGACCACCTTCTTTTCCATTTTTATTTTCATTATTTTTAGATATATCGTTAATTTGTTTGGATTCAAAAACAACATTTTCTTGCTCTTCAACATCACTGTCATCATCGTCATCACTTTCATCATCACTTTTATCATCAATCTCATTATCGCTTTCATCATCACTTTCATCATCTATCTGATCATCATTATTATCATTAATTTGCAAAACCTCAATTGAACTCAGTGATATATCATTATCTGTAGATTCAATGTTTATAAGCTCGATATTTTTTCTCTCTGAAGCTTTTTCTATTATTTTTTTTGCTTCTCGTTCCTTTTCTTCCTTTTCTTCCTTTTCTTCCTTTTCTTCCTTTTCTTCCTTTTTATCTTCGTATTGCTCTTTTTTTTTATCTTTCTCTTTTTTATCAATTTCAACATTTCTAATAAAATTCTTATTCATTTTTTCAGTATTATTCTTAGTTTCTATATTATTTCCCAAACTAGTTTTCCTTTTGTCTTCAATTTCATCACTATCTTTATTCCGGTTTTCTTTACCAGTTCTCTGACCATTTTCATTTTCATTTTCATTTTTATTATAAATATCATCATTATTTTCAATGACATTAACGTCATTATCATTATCATCACTATTTTCAACATCGTCATATTTATCACTATCATCAGCACTATCATTATCATCCTCGTTTTCAATATCAATTTCAATAACATTATCAGCATTAATATCAGCATTAATATCAGCATTAATATCAGTAAAATCTGCACTATTTTCATCGTTACCATCATCATTATCACCACTATCCTCATCGTCAATTTCAATGAATTCTCCTATTTCTTCTATTTCTTCATTTTTGTCATTCTCATCCGTAATATCTTTTTTGTTTTGCATTTTAATACTTTCTTTCTTGTCATTATGTTCATTTAAGTTTGGAGTTTTCAAATCTTTTTCAAATAGTACTCCGGATTTAATAATACCAGAAATCTCTCCATCTATAATTTTTAATACAATTAATGCTCTAGGAACAATATCCCTTTTTGCTACCCTAGATTTAATATGTAATTGGGCCATTCCAACTCCGCCAACCCCAGCAACACCCTCAGAAATCATCATATTCATATTAATATTCTCATTAGTTCCATAATTGCCTTCCATTTTCTTTTGACTTTTAAAATTTAAAAAAAGTTTTAAATATATAGAAATGAATGTATCATCAATAAATGAAGTTGTTGCAAATCCATTGTTCATTCTCCTAATATTTGATATTTCAAAAAGCATAAAATATAACAATGCATTGTTTTTAACTTCTTTTTCTTTATTTATCTCCAAGAAATCATTGAAATCACTGGCCTCTTTAATAAACTCGCTATAAATCAAATTTGAAACCTCTCTATCAGTATAATCCCCTGGAATGCTAGCTCTTTTTCTAATTAACTGGCATGTAACACTACACGCATACTCCCAAACTTGTAATTGTTTGACCATACTTGAACCAAAACGACGAAGTTTCTTCAATAAATCAAATAATGTAAACATATCATTTGTCCTCATCAATAATTTTATAAAAAAATCAATATATTTATACACATAAACAAAATGTTTCCCGGGTCTTTCATTCTCTGGTTTCCAAATAGGAACAAGATTTTTGGAGGTTTGCTTTAATGATATAAGATGCAACATTTCTTCTTTGGCCTTGAAATCATCATTAAAAACTTCAAACATTATTTTTGCAATTTTGAACCTAGGCTTGTGATGCCATTTTTTCTTATCGGCTGATATCACTCTTTGCAAAGCCATTATGCAAAAATTTGAAAACTGTTCGAAATTGGTTATTTCATCTGTAAAGTCCATTAACAAAAATTTGTTATCCTTTTTAAAATAATAAATAGCATTTTTTATGGAAAGTCTCTTTTTCTTCACTAACTTGAATAATAAAGAGCATAATCTATAATGTGGTTCAATAATAGGCTCAGAAGATGAGCCACTTTTATTTGATAGTTCACAAGAGGTTATTAGATTATTCAAAACTTGAGCAAGATCTTCTTCCAATTTAAACTGAACTTTCGATAAAAAAAAAAAGTTTCCCCAATTTAAAGGATCGAGTTTTGTTGCCCACTGAAAAGAAAATAAAATTACTTTCAAAATTGTGATATAATTAACAGGCCTTTCATAATGTGTTTCGTAAAAGCCATTTGGTCCAACCATAAATTTAGGAAGAGTTGTGATTCTAAAACATAACCTATCCATTGGTTGCATGCAAGCATTATACAATTCCTTTGCAAAAGACGACCACAATACTGTAATCATTGCTTTACGACTTTTTCTTTGCTCTTCACTCATATTAATAAACATACTTATAGCTTTTAAATAGCATAATAGTGATTTTTTTTGAAGAATAGCGGTAAAATTTTTTCTGTCGCTGTTTAACTTGTCAGAAGTCCAAATCAAATCATCTTCAACTAAGTAGCCATAAGACTGCCCAAGCAACAACCAGCTTTCAATTCTATTTGTTCCACACCCTAAATCAGCCATAAACATTTTGATAACAATATCCAACTCGGCCGATCTCCCTTGTTGCGATCTTTTTCTTATTTTGAATAAAGCCAATGCAATTACACCTTGTACATAATATAAACCATTATCAGCACAGGTTTGAACATCGCAACTGGTAATTGGCAAACAAGTTTTAGATAATCCATAAAATGACTCTCTTATGAGCCTTGCACTAATCGAACTATCAAGATAGGTACTGACTAAAGAACTAGCTCTAGCAACCACCTCATCTGTGTCAGGAGGATCTTTAATAACCTTATAAAATTCATCAATAACATTTTTAAGATCATTCCTTGGAACATTAAAATAGGGATCCTTTTTTTGGAAAGCAATTCTCAAAACATATTTGTTCAAGTTAAGAGCGGAACTTCTGTCAATTTCTGTTTCCAAAGTATGATGATTTGCAGGAGAAAAATACTCTTTTCCTAAATCCAAATGAAATCGACAATGTAAAAGCTGAAATATATTGCTTTCCATATTGGTGTTATAGCATGAATCCCGAATTAACATATCTTGAACCATTTCCAAAAATTTACCACCAGATGAACCACAAAAATAATTAAAGCCAACATAATCATGAATAATATTTAACAAGCTCACAGCATTTTTATAATAAGTTTCTTTGTTAGCTTTCGATTTGCAACTAACTTCAATTATGTTCCTATAGCAAAGATAAAGAATTGTAAATGAATTTAAAATCATGTCATAAAACCTATTAGAAGATAATTTAAAATTAGAATCAATTTGAACCTTCTCGGGCATCACTAAGGATGCTGTTTCATGAAAAAGAAAAATAAGCAAAAATCTGATAAATAAAAGAACATATTTAAAAATATTATTTATCACTAATTCAGAAATAATATTCCATGAATTTTCTTTTAAATATGTAGTAAACAAGTCACAAAAATAGCTATAATGACACAAAAGTTTTAATAAAACTATTGCCTTGTTCTCAAATGACAAATTATAAAATTCTTTTGAATTTAAATAATCCATTATTAAAGTTATAATTGATAAGAAGTGAGTTTCCAAAGATTTTGAATGAGATGCATTATCAAAATTTTCTATTTTTCTATTTTCTTTAATTTTTAAGAAATGAAATTCAAAAATTAACTGCCAAAACTTCAATTTTATGTCTAATGGACATTTTTTTATAAAATAAAGAATCAGCGTATATTCTTCTGAAGAAAATAAATCGGCATTTGTCGGTTTATCTTCCAAAATAAATTCAGAAATATTAATAACATCATCCAAAGAATCTTGAATTTGAAAATTAAATAGCTTTGTGAAGCTGGTTAAAACAGTTATTTTTGACAATTGCATATCAATAGCATCTAGAGTGAGAGGCTGAAAATGTTTATAATTGATATAAGGTATGTTAATATAATCCAATTCATTTTTCAATATTTTTTCTTTTATATTTATTAAAAGGTTCTTCAAATAAGTATTTTGGCAAAACTTGATATCACCACTTTCTTCTAAAACCTCATGAACTTCTTCTGTAGACTTTTTGGATAGTTCATCATTCATATAATCAAGTCTAAAATTGAAATTTGCCCATTTGAATCTAATAAACAATATGACATAATTTATATCCCTATTATCTTCTATTTCATAAATAAAAAATAACTTAGAAGAAATTTCAATCCACTTATTTATTCTGCTGTCCAAAAACGATCTTTTTTTTTCAAGATCAGTTACCAGACAAGAAAACGAACTATTTGATGTTTTAAGAATATTTGTTTTTTTTAGCGTCTGAAATATGCTTTTAGAAACATCAATAAATTGATCGACCAAGTTTTCAAAAATAGCAATCGATATTGAAAGGAGTTCATAAAAAGATGATTTGCAAGATTCTTTTGTTCTATCAGCTGAGGAAATACAAGACAAAAAATCATCGTGGATTGAGTTGTAAATAAAGTTCTCATAAAAATCAATGTATTTTTGAAGATGAGATGTAATCAAAAAACTATTCAGTGCTTTTTTTTCAGAAAAATTTAAATTTGTAATGAGAAAAAACACTTTTTTATCTGTTTTATATGAGCAACTGAGTATTTTCCTTAAAATTGAAAATCTTAAAACATACAAATTCGAATTCATATCACCATTAATAAAGCCATTAACAAGATCGGTTATAATTTTATTAGATTCATTAACCATTTGTTGATTTTCGATGCACGCAGTCTTTAAACTATTATCTTGGTTATTTGGATTTGTATAATAATCTAATATGTCGCTTAGTAAAACTTTTGTAGAACTTTTAAATAGTTTTTGAAAATTACTTTTTGAGTTGGCGTTGAGAGTATTGACAGCTCTATTAAGGAATCTAGAATAATTTTTATTCCATGATTTTAGACATTTGTTTATAACACAAATAATTTTTTTCGAACTAAGCAAAACAATAGATATTTCGGTATTAAGATCATCAAAATTTTCTGTATTTTTCAATGTCGACTTTTCGTCTTCTAAATATATTTCAACTATATCTTTAAATTTTAAATCTCTTATGTCGTTCTTTGTTTTAAATTGTGATTCAAAATCGGAATTTGAATTTGAGCTTAAATTTGAATTTGAGTCTAAAGGTGAACCTTTTAATCTTAGGAAATTTTTATTTTGATCGTTCTTAATATTACCTTTTTCAAATGATATGTTTATACGCTTCATGCAATATTCGAATTTTCTGAGAAACTCAAAATGTGGCTCAAAATCGTTGTCAGTCAAATCATTTTTGACATCTTCTTTTTGTGCTCTAAACCTTTTTGATGTTCTTTGAGGAAGATTCTCACTTGTGAGTGAGCCTCTTCTTGTTTTTGAAGAGCCATGAGTTTGATTATTGTTATTGTTATTGTTATTGTTGTTATTATTATTATCACTGTATTTAGAATTATCATTATTATTGGTGGTGTTAATATTGACATTCTTTTTATTATGATTAATGTTTTGAAAATTCAGCAAATTATCTAGTAAAATACCACGGTTTTTAAAATGTTTTAAAGGTTCTACTTCTCTGTCAGATATAATAAGAATACTATTATCTTGATCGGAATCCATGCTGGAGCTTAATAACTGAATTTCTGATGAATCTTTATCAAAATCATTTTTCATAAATTGTTCGATAAATTTAGTTTTATCCCAAAAAGGGAACTCTATATTTTTGTTATCAAATAAATAAGGATCCAAATTGTAAAATACTTCCTGGCCATAATTATAATTATAGTAGCGATGAACTATTTTGGGTTTTTGTTTTGCATTCAAAGTTTTGTGATAATCAATTTCGCTATCACTTGTATGATCAGTTTCCAGTGAGTATGCAGTTTCAATACCTTCAATTAAATCTAGCCAAGAAAAAGACTTTAAATAGATAGTTTTTTCTTTTTTAAGGGGATTGAGGGCTTTACTTTTATTAAATTTATTTTTTAAATCACTTAGAAAACTAAATTTAATATCCAATCTTTTGTTTAACTTGTGAAACTGTTTCAGAAACTTAGATCTACTGTATTTCTTTAATTTTAAAGTATTCAATTTAGGGTCAGTGAAATCGTTTAGTAATAGTTTATAATCTTTGATTAAATTGTTAAATTGTAAATTTATTCGATTAATTCCGTAGTCATTTAGTTGATTCTCAATTAATAGTCTTGAAGCTCTTTGAATTCCAAAAAATGTAAAAATTTGAAATAATAATTGAGTTAAATTATCATCATCTTCATCAGAGGAAGAGTATTTCAAAGCTTCTAAAAGATGATATAAAATGCTTTTTAATTTGCTTAGGAGAAACTCTGATTTATTAAAGATTTTTTTCTCAATAAATTTGAAATTTTTCTCCGAATTGGCATTTAAATTGGCAGTCCTTATCGATTGAATGTGTTGAGATTTTAATCCAAAATTGTAGGGTTGAAAAGATATATCTGTTCCTGTTTGAACATTTTCTGAGGAAACTTTGTTCAATTCCTCTTTTAAAATCTGAAAATTAAGTATACCTTTATTTCTGTGAACCAAATATCTTAAATTTGATATGTTTGGTGATATAAAATAATGATTGTTCTGAGAAATTACATCAAAATCGAATAGGATTTTGTACTGTTTTAAGGCATCATCATAGTTTTTTGTCTTTTGATGGTTTAAAGCAATTTGGAATATTTTATAGGCCTCTTCAATCTGAATCTCTTTGGTGTGCTCCTCAATATCTGAATTGCCTTCATCGTCACTTAGATTTAAAGCAGTGAAATTGGACTAAAACGAGAACAATTCAGCAGTTAGTATAAAATATCAGGCAATTAATTGAAGCATATTTTTTTTATCAATAGATTATTGGGACTTACCATATTTATATATCAGTCATAATGGGGTTGATATCCACAGAAGAATAGGAAAAATGTGGAAGAGATTGATAAAGGAATCAAGTTTCTTTGCATTGATAACATAAATATCAATGGTTGTTTGAACGTGACTTTTTAGACTGAACTTTTGAGTTTTACTTATATTTGGTGGTTTTAACGTAGCATTAATTATAGTATATTAATTGGGAGCTATAGAAAAGCTATTAATTTATATAGAAAAATACCTCACAGTAGTGAGCTTATAAGAATTGGTTGGAAAGCTGAATCAGTCAAACTATTTCTTCGCCTTAGCTTTGGCAGCCTTTTTTTGGCTGGTGGAATTTTTTGGCAACTCTTTGACAAAAGGCAAGAATTCAGGTTCACCTGGAATATACTTTCTTAAGACTTCAGGAACCTTTAAACCATCTTCGGTTTGGTAATTTTCTAGGATACAACACAAAGCTCTTTCGGTGGCACATAGAGTTGAGTTGAGACAGTGAACATATTCTTTTTTGGCTATTGGACCCTTTTTAATACCACATCTTATTTCAAGATTTCTTGATTGGTAATCGGTACAGTTGGAACAAGAAACCAATTCTTTGTATTCTTTTTGGAATGGGAACCAGGCTTCGAGGTCGTATTTTTTAGCAGCAGCATTATTTAATTCACCAGAGACAATACCAACGACTCTGTAAGGTAAATCTAAGCTTTGATAGAATTTTTCAGAGAGCCCAATCATTCTATCAAATTCAGCCCAGGATTTATCAGGTTCAGTAAGACAAAATTGTTCAATTTTTTCAAAAGCATGGACTCTGAAAATACCCCAAGCATCTTTACCATGGGAACCAGCTTCTCTTCTAAAGCAGGATGAATAACCAGCGTATCTAATTGGCAATTGGTCTGCTGGTGATTCAAACCATTCATTTGCATGGTAAGCAGAAATTGGTTGTTCGGATGTAGCGATCAAGTATTTTTCGTCTTCACCATCAATAACTTTATACAATTCTTCATCAAATTGAGATAATTGAGCAGTCTTGGCCATAACATCTTTGTTCATCATGACAGGAGCTTGCAATGGGGTATAACCATTGAGTGATAAGAAATTTAAACCGTAGTTGATCAATGCTTGGTTTAAGAAAACACCATAGTTTCTTAAAAAGTAACCACGATGACCAACAATACGAACACCTCTTTCTGGGTCGTAACCATCTAAACGAGTTAGGATTTCATGGTGAGATAATTTGGCTGGAGCACCTGTGGCAGTGGCAATTTCACCAATTTCCCCAGCAGCTTCAGGTTTCCAAGTTCTAACTAACTCGTTGTTGTCCTCATTCATATCAATAACAACAGATTCATGAACAATATTGCCGACTTGGTTAACTTTCCAACGTAATTGAGTGTCAATTGATTTTTCCAATTCAGATAATTTTGATTTTTCTTGAACAATTAAGTTTTTCTCCTTAAGAAGTTCTTGTGGGTCTTCTTTGGCTTTATATTTTAAACCGATTTCCTTTTGAATTTTGTTTTGCTTTTTATTTAAAGCATCTAAATCGAATCTGACTTTAACCCATTGTTTATATTCAGCAATGATTTCATCAACGATTTCAACAGAGTCACCACGAGCCTTTTGGGATTTTTTAATTAGATCTGGGTTACCACCTTTTTCTACAATAAATTGCTGAATATCTAACATTTTAAGAATAGGAAAATTGAGAAAAAATTGAAATGAATTGAATTGAAATAAATGAAGGTCAATTAAAACGAAATGAGGTGAAAATGAACTACAGCAATGCCAAAGTGTATTGTATTCTAAGCAAAAAAAGTGTGTGTATATATATATGCGATGAGAAAGATAAGAAGGCTATTTTTATTTTGTTTTTGCGATCCAATTGATACAGCTGTTAGTTTTGAAATTGGGTAATGAAATGAGCCATTTTCTAAGAACCAAAGAATGCTGTTTTGAAGAATAATTTGCGATTCTTGGGTCTGGAAAGAAAGGAAGGGATGGTGGGATTACTTACGAATTCTCAAAGAGTCTATGGAGAAGAAATGTGGATTTAAATGAGGAAGGAAGAAAAGGGCTGATATAAGAAAATCAATAAGAGATAAAAAAAACATCAAAAAATTTCTAAAGTGAAAAGTTAAAACGTCAACATTTATTTTTGGGCGCGCTGTGAGTCATTTTTGGGCAGTTGAAGAAAACGCGGTGAGTTTTCGTTTCGCGGAGAAAACCAGCAGAAGAAATATGTTGGAAACATAAAAATGAGATATATAAAGATAAAGCATAAAGATGAAGTATAAAGACAAAGTATAAAAATGTAAACTGCAAATTAAGTGCAGTGTAAATAGAATGCATAGAACAAAACGAAATGAAGACGATACTCTGTGATCGATAGTCCATAAAGACAGACCTCTGTGATAATACAAGTATCCATGGTGTGTGTGAAAAATGCAAATACTGGAATACTATAGTGTAGTTGGTGTATGCAAAGATGAAGACATGATTGAGAGTAATTCTGGTGAAATAAGTCTAGTTTGATGTGCTTGTTACGTCAATTTTTAAGGTGGATTTTGCTTTATTGTTTGTTTTGATCATCATTATACTGTTTGAAAAAGGGAGTATTTTGTTTAGATGATCCTTTTGGTGATGTTTTCGATTGAAAAATAGGTTATTTTCATCATTTGTTTTGATATTTGAATTCAAATAGGGACTAATTTTAAAATTATTGTTATAATCTGGGGTAGGAATGGCTGTTGGTGTTATGGGAGAAACCATGGAATTCACAGTCTGGTCTGAGTTTAATGTAAGAACAAGAGAGTCTTGAGAATCTTGAAAGATGTTTTTATTTGAATTAAGATAGATATGATTATTATTATTATTATTATTATTGTTGTTGTTGTTGTTGTTGTTGTTGTTGTTGTTGTTGTTATTGTTATTGTTATTGCTATTATTAGTGGTTGTATTTTGATTATCGTTTATAAGTTGGAAGCTGTTTTTAAATTCGATTTTGTCTTGCCAGTCTAATGGAACTTGTTCATTGTTATATCTAGCGAAATATCTTTGGTATGGACATACAGACCAATACTCATCTTTATCATAGTCAAATTGATTATCTTTATTGGTAATATTATTTGAGTGATTCATATTAACTGATTGTCCTTGATTAAAGTCTCAAAAAAAATGCAAGTTTTAGGGTTTCTTTTAACTGAATTTGGGTGGATTCGGTTGAATTTGTTTTTAATTGTTTGTATTTAATATATAGTAAATAAAATAAATTACTTAAATCGTTAGCAAAAGAGAATATATATAGATTAAATTATCAAATAAAACAAACTATTTTTCTCAGTGGAAGGGGATGAATCAGCTACTTATTGATAAATAACAAGTGTAGTGACAGAGTGAAGTAATATTCATTATCTGAATATCAATGATGATGAGCTGATAATAAAAGTTAAACAAATTGAACTTAACGAATGGAATAGGAAAAATGTCTTTTTATAAGATATTCCAGCTGGTTTGTCTCAAAGCAAAAAAACAAATTTGCTTTGTTTTTTTTTCTCTTGATTTTTTTGTCTTTTTTATTTTTAATCGAATTTTAATCAATTTTATGATTTGAATCTAACGTAATTTTAAATCGGAAACGACAATAAAAAAGAAAAAAATAAACGAAAATGGACCTCTTCAATAGAAATCTTACTAATAGCTTTGTCAAGTTTTCTTTTTTTTCTCGTTATGTGTTGTTATTATAATTCAGCAAAAGAAACCACCAAACAACTTAATTCATTAAGAAAATAGGATGAACATGATACTGTGTTATATAACACAAAAGAAAAACAGCCAAACAACTTTATTTGGCTTGTGGTTATCTAATCACAATTATTATCACAGTTATCGCAGCAATAACCAAGCAGTGTGGATAAGAACAATAGGACAAGTGCTTTATCATTTCCTAATTTGCAGAACCAATGCTTCCATCTTTGTCGTCTTTATCAGCTCCCACCCAAAAAGTGACTGGGCTTGTCCCCAGAGATTGCTTTCCAGCACTCACATGTCTTTCCCAATCCTCGACTCCATCGCCAGATTTATTGTTTACACAGTGACCGTTTAGTCACATACACACGTGATTCTGTTTGCATGTGCTGCACGCTTTGATTGGCTGCTGCTCTGTTCATTAACCGAGAGCTCGCACGCACGTTCTGTTTTGGGAAATGTGTCAGTTGCCGAGAGACTGTTTTTGAGAGCCGGTATTCACCTGGCACTAAATACAGCCGTTTTGCGTGGCACACCACTCAAAGGCTGTTTTAACATAGATCAGAATACAGATGTCAACAGTGGGGTTACAGTAGACCAAACGCCGCTGAGATGCCGTGGTTGTTACGGAGTCCGGCACTCGATGTACGATTTGGGGTCTGCTTATTTTGCTGCTTCTCTAATTTGTTCCGGAAAGCTCATTGGATAACAAACCAATCAGCGGCAAGACATGTCTGAGATGTCTTCTTGTTGATGTTTGAAAGGAAACATGAAGCAACAAAAAGGGAGCGTTTTTTTCGCAAATTAGCAGTCGCAGTCGCAGTCGCAAGACCTATGACCGATGTGGATTTATTGTTTGAAACTTTGGAACAGAGTGATTTGGTTTTTGCTCATTGGTTTACTTGAAGGACGTTGCAACAGCAATAGTTGCTGGAGACCACTCTCTGTTTGGTTTTTGACCAGGTGTCGCTAATTCTCAGCATGCATCCTTCCTTGCTTGTTTTGCGTCGTCTTTCGGGGGGTGTGTTTCTTCGATGGCATTCCATCTGTAATCTGTTCGAAAATCAGGATCCCGCCAAAGTTGATTCTACTGGATTTGGTGACAAAAACCGGACAGCTGTCCACAGAACACTTTTGAGCTTCCATCGCCCACCGCCTTTCTCTGCATATCTATGCGTACTGCAACAGAACAATAGAGGTTGATAAATGCACACAATTTGGCTCATCTTTTAGTCCGTTAGCAGGTAAAAATAGCTTTCGATTACCAATAACAAGAGCTCTCACATCACCAATCCCTACCTGCCATAATTCAAATCAGTCCTCTTCTTTTGTACTGGATTAGGAAACTAGAATGCTCCATTCTCTTGTTTTCAAATTTTATTGTTTCAATCTATATCTCCAGAAAAACTGCTATCATGATTTCAAATCTATCCTAAAAACAAGAATTCGATTAATTCTAATCAGTTTTGCAACTGAAAAGCACATTTCTTTAACTAAAGCAAATGGCCAAAGATAATATAAATATTGGACAATTCTCCTCAAATTATTTTCAATCTCAAGCTAAATCAATATAACAAAGACCCAACAGCTTGTAATTAAAATAAAATAAAATAAACTATTATTCCAATGATTGATCAAGGTTCCAACAATACTTTTATTTCTTGCAATGAAAACGAAAAACACAAGAACCAATTATTAATGGTTCAATATCGTCAATTTTTGAAAATCATTAATTTATTAAAAGTCTCCAATATTATCAAACAAAATGCATTTCAGTTTAGAGATACACATGAAATCACAAATTATAAAATTAAACAAAATATAACTAAAATCATTAACATTATCTCTATCTTACGAAAAAAAAGACAAAAATTAAACAATTCTCAGAATTTTGATATTCCTGATGAGATTATCAACAGCCTATGTTTAAGGCAAAAACTAAATCTAAATTCTCAAAATATCCTCCAAGATAAAAATATTTTTAATATCAATACAAACATAATTTCTAAAAGGGTCTTTAATAGAATTCAAAGGATTTGCTTTAAAATTAAAGAAAACTATTTCAAAAATCATCAAAATCATAATAATAATTCACACAAAGAATTGCATGTTACATGCAATAACACTCCTTTTAACTCTGCTGATTATATTGATGGTTTTACTCAAAACGATTCCCAAGACTTAACTAAAGAAGCATTACAAGAAAAAACCGAAAATTCCACTAAAAGAAGAAATATTCAAACTAAAAATAAAAATAAAAATAAAAATAACAAAAAAATTACAAAACAACCCAAATTGAATTATCGATTCAGATATAAATTAATCAAAAGTCAAAGGAAACAAACTGGCAAAATCAATAATAACAAGCTCTTTATCAAAAAGGCCTTCCATGCTTTTCAAAAAGACAAACCATCAAATTTTAAAAAACTGGACTTTTTTCCTAGAGTAATCGAAATCATGCTAACACTTTCAAATAATGAACAGTTTCTGGATGACGAAATAATTAATTTGGTCTTAACTGATGTACTCCCCAATTAGTAGATATATTTTTTTCTTTTCTCAACCACCATAGTTGTCTCAGATAAAATTTTGTAGCAGAAATATATTGAATTTACATTTCAGAAACAATTCTTTAATCACAGCGTAGCATCAATAAAACTTGCAACTTGTTTGCTAAACTAGATACTTAGGAGATTCTGTAAATCACAACGAAGGTGAACCAATAGCTAATGCTGAGAACTGAGCACTATTTGTAATACATGCACAGGCAGTAACCTAGATTGACTTCCACAGATTTTGTTTTTTCTCAAACTTCTGTTTTTTCTCAATAACTTCACAACAATTAAGATGTTTAATGTGACACTGCTAACCAATTCTGCTAATAAAATTGCTGCTCTATCAGTGAAGCGCAGTTGTTTCAACAGCTCTAACTGCTTTAACTGCCTTGCCCCAAGAACATATTCCTCACTTTTCAAGCTTCAGAGTCGTGAATCGCTCTCTGATCTGATCAAAAAAGAAAAGTTTTCGAATCCACTTGAACCTGTTCGAACAAGATTTGCTCCCAGTCCAACTGGTTATTTGCATTTTGGATCATTAAGAACAGCCCTATTCAACTATTTATTAGCAAAGGCTACAAAGGGAACGTTCATTTTGAGGATAGAAGACACTGATCAATCAAGATTGATACCAGATGCTGAGCAAAATATAATTAAAACATTGCGTTGGTGTGGTTTGGATTTTGATGAGGGACCCACACAGGGAGGCAATTATGGTCCCTATAAACAATCTGAAAGAACCCAAATCTACGAAAAATATATTAATCAGCTATTAGAGAATAAAAAGGTTTACAGATGTTTTTGCTCAAAAGAAAGGTTGAATGGACTTACTGAGTCTGCAAAACTCCTCCAACCACCTACAAATGTCTCTTATGATAGACATTGTGCTGACATTTCAATTGAGGAATCCAACAAAAGAGCTCAAAATAATGAGTCCTACACCATTAGGTTCAAATCTCCCGAAATCTATCCAGTTCTTGATGATGTATTGCATGGAAAGGTCAACCTACAGCCTCAAGTTAATTATGATGATAGAAGATATGACGATCCAATCTTGATCAAATCAGATGGACTACCAACCTACCATTTTGCTTGTGTTATTGATGACCATTTAATGAAAATCACACATGTTATTCGAGGTGAAGAGTGGTTGCCCTCAACCCCTAAACATATTGCACTTTATAAAGCATTTGGTTGGAATCCTCCCAAGTTTGTTCATGTTCCCTTGTTAACAACTCTTTCCAATCGTAAACTATCAAAGAGACACAAAGATAGTGATATTCTTTCGCTCAAAAATACTGGCTATTTACCAGAAGCCATAGTTAATTTTATTGCTTTGCTCGGTAGTGGTGTTTCCACTGTTGAAAATAATATTCATAAAGCCAAAGATATATTGCCTTTAGACTATTTGCAAGAAAAATTCAAATTAAACAAATTATCAAGATGCAATATTAAAATCGAACCAACTAAGCTTGATTTCTTAAACATTTTTTATTTACGTGAAAGAATTTCTAAAGATCCCAATGATCCTCTATTTCAAGAAGTTTTCAACATGTACTACTCAAAAATTTTGAATGTTTATCCTGACACCTCAAAAGAACATTTTCTCAAGTTGTTTAGAGTGGCATGTCTTAAAATTCATGATCCTGCTGATCTTATGAGAACTCCTGAGTTGTTTTCCTTTTTATTTAAAGAGCCTACTAGAAGTTTAAAAGATAAATCTCATGTTCAATCTTACAAAAGAATCTTTGAAAAAATTCTTGAAAATCGAGAATTACTAACCAAGGAAGGATTTTCAACATTAGTTAACGAGCTAGTAAAATTTGAACAAAACCATAGTCCAAGCATCAAAAAAAAGGATATTGCAAAAAGCATCAGGTACGCACTAACTGGTTTGGATTCTGGAATTGAACTTGCTAGTATTATTGATGTCATTGGCTCTGAAGAAGCTATTAAAAGGATAAAGAACACAGTAGATGAGTTAAATGCCATTTAACAACCTGGTCCATTCACCAGTTAATTTGTATATAGTTTTGCTCAAAATTTGCATGTTTTTATTGTGTGTACTGTATATTGGTTTTAATCACAAAACTCATTTAAAACAATAAAATATAAAAGAATCAATTCGATCTCTATATTATCAATTTTATTGAAAACTAAACAAAATATCTTGTTTCGACTGCCTGCTGAAATTACTGTTCAAACAGCAACCAAAATAAATTACATGCCGAAACTTAAATATTAGATTAGAAAAATATATAGTTAAAAAATTATCACAAAAGCTGAAACTTCATCAGTAAGTCATACTTTCCAATATCTGGTTTGCAGCAACCAAATAATTCAACTCCTTAGAAACTATTTCCTTAAAGCTACCTGTTCTTTCCCCACTAAACTCAAGCATTTCTTTAAGAACAAAATACAACTTTTCTGGTGAAACCCCGGACTGTGTGAAAATATTAGCAATTGTTCCTAAAGGAACATTTGAAAACCCAGTAGTTTCATTGAAAAACCTAATAATCTTATTAAACAAAATGTTAATGGGGAAAACATATTCAGACTTGCTAACGCTTTTGCCGATTTGAATTATGGAATTTGATAGGTCAATATACAATGGATCACTACTACCAGCGCTTTGAGTTTCATTATAATTATTTTTCACTTTAGAAAACAATGAATCCCACTTTGCTGAAATAGCTTCAATGTCTCTAAAGTTAGATTCTTTGAATATCAACAAACATAAACTTTCATAGCCTAATGGATCACAGAACTCATTGTACAACATACTAATATTCAAGATTTTTTTGTTTAGTAACTCAATATTTTCAACTTTAGTTTCATGATTTAAATTTATATCATTCTTAATTTTTTCAATCAATTCTAATTGAATACCAGAAACATCTAAATTATTTTGAATGTTATTCAATAATGAGACAGATTTTTGTTTCAAGTTAATTTGTTCAATGCAATTACAAAACCCTATAGCTTTTGCTAAATACTCGATTCTTTTCTCTAAAGACAAGTCAAAGTCTGATAACGCAAGCTTATACAATGTTTCAGCAGACTCGAAATATTTTGATCTTTTTGAGTAGTATCTTGATAAAAGATATGCTAAATCTTTGGAGTTGACGGATTTTTCTTTTAAAAATTGCAATATAAATGGAGTATCAATTTCCAATAATCTTTCTTTGACACCTTGAACAATAATCCAGTTATATAATTCGTAATGAAATAAAATATCGGGGTAATTGAAACAGATTTGATAACTTTCATCTCGTAATTTTGTTACTTCACTAATAAGAGGATCTTTATCAAAAGAATCCGAGGTGATATTTGAATAATTTTTTCGAATTAGTTCATAATTTTCAATTGATTTAACTTCTACTTTAATAAGTATTCCAAAAATTAATTTGTATCGTTCAATTCTTTCAGTATAAACTTTAGCACCTTCAATATCATTTTTAAGTTTTCCATTTTTGATGTATTTAATTGCCAATTTATTTTTATCCAAGTTATTTGCTGTGTTAAGAATGAAGTCAATGGTTTGATGATAGTAGTTTAAGTTAATCATTGTATTGACAGCTTCTTTGAGATCCTCGAGGGATAATTCTACACTAACTTTTTCAAATAACTTTACTGCAGAGTTTAATTCATATGAGGTCTTTTCTTGATCTTTTAAACCTATTGAATTTGCTTTCCTTAAATGCTCAAATGCTCTAAATATAATAACATCACTAGCTGAACAAAATGATGAGCAATGTTTTTGTAAGCTTTCGGCTAAATAATCAACAGAAATCCCCTTGTTAATATTTTTATTAATTATTGATGTGAAAACATCTTTGATAATTTCTTTAGTTTTAGAATCTGCGGTGAACAAGTCATAGAAATTCAATTTAGCCAATTCAACTTGTGTATTCAATGAAATGAACTTGATGGTGTCCTTGAAGATGCTTTGTTTTTTATCTGTAAAATTATTCACTTTTCTAGCAGTATCAATGATAATACTTTCATCGAATAATATTAAGAGAAAAAACAAAGCTTCTTTCATTATTTTTAGTAAATCATGGAAAGAGTTGAGTGCAGTATATTCTGCCTGGGCAGCAACTTCTTCTTCACGAGATATATTTCCATTAACTAAAGCTAAAGGATTTTCAAAATAAGGAATTCTGGCACCATATTCCTGAAAGAAATTTAATAATACAACGATTGTGTTGATGAAAAATAATATTTGTTTTTTGTCGATATTTATTAAACTTAAATGTTGGTTATTTTCTTTTAAAAAGACTTGATTTAACTGACCATTCTTCAAAACCGAATCTTTGTTAATGGTGAATATTTTTTTTTTCCAGATACTTCTAAAAATTCTTGTAATTAGTAGTGCAATACCGTAAAGTCTAGCAGATAATTTGACATTTTCAAAGCTGTAATTGAAATCATTTGAGTTTTTAAGTGATATTCCTGTGGATGATGAAAGAGCAATAGTTGAAGGGAATGTTAAAGAGCTGTTGTTAATTGATATTGTTTTTTCATATATGGGTTTATTAATCAACAGATTTGATAAATTCAGAAATTGGTTACCAACAAAGAAGGTGAAATAATTTAATTTAGCAGAATCGGAGAGGTTGTGTTTACAAATGATTCTTAAAGCAGTTGAGCAGGCTTCTTGAAGGCCATATCTTTCAATAAAGGGCAATAAATCGGGACCAAGACCTTCAAAGACAGTATCAGGCATTCTATATTTGAAAATCAGAAGAGCCGAATTAGTCAAGACAGCGAAATGTAAGGGTTCTGAGGTGTATTGGATAGCAAATAAATTGGAAAAACCTATTGGGGTATTTGTAGCAGAAAAGGTTTTATTTAAAATTTGGATATCAAAAATTTCGCCATAATTTTTTAAAAAAGTTGCATTTTCAACATATTCGTGGTAGTAATTTAAAACACCATAATCGGGGACAGAAACAAATAATTGATGATTTTTAAACTTGTTTTTTGGAGAATTTTTTGGAGAAGAGGTATTGTTGTTGTTGTTGTTGTTGTTATTATTATTATTATTATTATTATTATTATTATTATTATTATTATTATTATTATTATATGAGTTATTTTTATTGAGAGAATTATTTTCAACGGCAGCAACAAATATTCCAGGGGAGATAATTTTTGAGTTTATGGTTGTGTTTGATAAGATATCGCTATTTTTTTGATAATTTAAGATGATCGAGGATATTGAAGTTGATAATTTATTGGAGAGGTTTTTTTCGTTCAATTCATTTTGAATTTGGTCGATTGATTTATTGATGGGGGGAAATTTGATATTTTGTAGTCTTAGGGCAGTTATGGAGCCGGAATAAATAGCACCATTCAAGTAGATTCTGCAGCCAGACTTTGTTATACCAACTAGGAAAAGGTTTTCATTTTCGAATTTTGATACGACGTCGATATTTACAAAATGGAACAAGTTTTTGTTTGATAAAAGATTTGAATCTTTACAATCAGTTGTTCTTAGGTCAGATAAGATTTGCAGAGGGTTTAGGATATAAGGGTTGGTTAGTGAGGTGATTTTCAATTGTGATTTTGATTGAGAGGAGATTAGTTTATAGGCCCTTATGAAAGATTTTGAGGATAATGTGTATAATATTTCTCTTGATTCGTCGATTTTTAGTTGGATTATATGTTCTGGGGAGTCGTCAGAGTGCAAATTTTTAAAAGAGAAATTTAAATGTAGATTGTTTAAATTAACTGAGTCTTTATTTGAGTCGTTGAAAGAGGATGAATTGAACAAGTTCATTGCGGGGACCAAGTAGGATAGGTTTGATCTGGTTAGGCAAATTTTGTTGCATTTATTGTTGAACCAGGAATCAGTATCAGAATAGGAGAGTTCCCAAATATTGAGAGAATCACCATAACCGGTGAAGAAAATCTGACGAGTTTTTTCAAAGGTGATAAAATTGTTGACAAACAAGCCCTTTGTTGAGATGGATAGGTCAGTGGTGAAGATTTCTAGTTTTTTGTTTTTAGAATCGATATTTTTGGAGTTGGAGTTGGAGTTGAAGATTTTGTTGTTTTTGTTGTTTGTGGAGAAGGATTTGTTGTTATTGTTGTAATTGATTGCTAGGATGTAGATGTTATAAGGGGTTGAGATTAATAGTAGGTGATTGATTGAATCAACAAAGGTATTCTTTTTTGGTTTAGTTAATTTGATTGCCAAGATTAAATCTGGGATGTCGTCGATAATTGAGTAGTTTGAGTAAGGGTTTGGGTTTGCGAAATCCCATAGGATTAGTTGGTTATTGAGAATTATGCAGACGTGTTTGATTTCATTCAAAAGAATCATGTTGAAATTTTTAGCGTCAGTATTTAGAATTAAATTTTGAACTTTGTCAGGTATGGATTGAGAAGAGATTTTTTCAAAGGGAGTAAAGGGATTGGTGTTGAAATAGGAGGATAAATTTTTTGAGTTATTATTTTTGACATTGTTGTTGTTGTAGTTGGAATTAAAACTAAAGTTGTAGTTAATTGGATTACTTAAATTTGTCTTTTCATCTAGAATTGGAGTTGAGTTGTCGTAGGTAATTAAATCATCAATGAACTTTGAGGCCAATTGAATGGAGGATAAGTTTGAAGTAGCCAATACCTTTGAGTTGCACTCATATTTGGTGGGGATTTGCTGTTGAACAGATTGAGAATTTGAATTTGAAGTAGGGTTCAGTGGTAGGTTAGCAGAAGAATAGGAGGAGGAAGCAAAACCATTAACGGGAAGCGAATTGGCAAACGAAACCCTTTGGAGATCCATAACAATGCAATGGTTGAAGCAAATTAATGGAAAATAGCAGAGTAAAGAAAGAAATTACTGGATTTCCTCTGAAAAAATAATGAAAAGAACGAGAAAAAACAACGCTTGATCACGTGAAGTAGTATATGTGGATGCAAGGGTGTTCCGTTTTGGGCCTGCGTTGGGTGTTTTGTTTTTGCTTTTGCGCCGCAAAATTCAGATTGAGTTTTCGCGGATATCTTCGAGAAATCGTGACAATAAAAAAGTGATTATGTAAGTGAGTGTGATGTGTGGTTGTGCACGTGAGCGTTGAAGCGGGCTGTTCGCGAACAGCGGCTCACTCTTTGAAACGCGCTACATACGCTCTATAGCATGCGCCATTGAAGCGTCATTGAACGCCGAGGAGACTGAGGAGACCGAACAGCTGCAAATACTGCAGTACAGCCAACAGAAAAAGGATGTGTGGCGGTGATGACAAAGTGGTTGTAGCATTAAGAGAGAAGCCTAAAACACTGGGGTTGCAGGGGCCAAAGCTGGAAAAGGAAGCAGATCGTATATTTGGAGCTCGGCCAACGGAAGGAGGCCCGAGCGTGGAGACCGGATTAACTGGGCCGGAGCTAAGCATACAGGTGAGACAGCAGCAGGTTCTTTGTTCTGCAAAAAGTGTCGGAAGGTCCCAGAGCAGTTTGAGCGACAGCGGGTGTTTTTCAGACAGGCAAGTGGGTCAGCTCAGAGCAGACGAGCAGTGCTCCTACAGCAGCAGATGGGCCTTGAGTGCCAGAGGCTTGAGTGGTGTTTGAGCTACCAATTCATACCGGACTATCAATACCATTCCTCGCCGGCTGAGAGCTGGCCGTGCTGCCTCGACCAGCTCCGGCGCAAGAACACAGTTTTAGCTTTTTTCAGAGGCAGCGGGAATTGTGCTGAGAAACACGAGCAGTGGTGTGGGTGATGTTTCGTAGCAGGGCCTGCGGGGGATGTGGTGCATGCAGGATACAGAATGGGACCCGCTTCTGGCGCGTGCGTTCTGACAAGAAACGTTGGAGGTAAAGGAAACAGCCCAAGTTGGCGAGAGACAAACAGGAAAGGGACAGGAGAGCCAGCAGGAAAACAGCAGGAAAAACAGCAGCAAGGCCAGAACCAGCGTGGCGGCGCAGACCTCCTGTTTGGGAGTGATCCGGTGCACGAAACCGGCTCCTGCTTCAGTCTTTTTGGAGCACTTTTGGAGTTGTTTCTTTCCGTCTGCTGTTTGTGTCCCAGCTTCTATTGTCTTCATTCTGCTGCTTATCGCTCCTATTTCTGGTGCAGCTTCTGTTCCTGTTCCATCTTCCTGCTTTGGCCTGGTGCTTTCTTTCCATATCTCTTAATATCTCTTCATATCTCTCCAAGCAATCTTATCTCAAACCTTCTTTCTCGCAGTTTTTTCACCTCATATTTTAATGATCCCTCATTTTTAGTATTCTTTACCCAATTCATTATTTAATCGATTATTTAATTATCTATCCACTCATTCAACAACAGCTCCAACTCTACCTGTATCTCTATCTCTATCTCTATTTCTATTTCTATTTCTATCTCATTTGCTCTTTATATTCACTTCTTCGATTGCAAACATGTCCAAAGTCGCTAAGCGTTCTGTATGTATTTTTTCCAATATCCATTTTTCTCCATATTTTTCTTTCATTTCATGTCTCAATTCAAAATCAACTAACATTATCGATTTTTTTTGGGTTATTTTTTATTATTTTTTTTTCTTCTCCACTCACACAGTCAACTTCAACAAATTCAGAAAAGTCCTTGAAAAATAAAAAATCCTTTGCTTCAAAATTTATCGATAAAATAAGTCAGACCACACTAGACCACCAAAATAGAAAACAACTAGCTATCAAAAAGAGAGAAGAAAAAAAAGCTGAAATAGATGAAAGAATTCGTCTAGAAAATGAAAAAAGATTGATCAACGTAAAACAAAAATTTCAGCAAAGAAATTCCTCAAACCCATCTCAATCTCAATCTCAACCCACCCCAACTTCTCAATCCCATTCTCACTCTCACCCAAATCCTCATCTTAAAAACTACTGCTCAAATAATGGTAATATAAGCATCAACTCTTCAATCAACTCCTCCTCACCTCCAACTCCATCCAACCAACTCTCTTCTCCCAATAAAAATATCAATACCAATACCAATACCAATAACGACTCCAATTTCAACTCCTTTAATAACCCAAAGATTTCCATGTCTGATGACCCATTGCAAAATTCCTCTTTAAAGATATATACTCAAAATACAAACATCAACGACTCCATTATCAACGACAATTTCGACACTCAGATGTCTTTCAAAAATTCACCCATCTCATTTTCCAATAACAACATTTTAACCTCAAATTCAACCTCGAATTCAAACTCAAATTCAAACTCAAATCTAAATCATCTCTCTTTATCAAACTCAAATTCAATATCTGCTTCGAAAAATACTTCCTCCTTGACAAATTTGGCCTCCATCTCTCACTCAGACTCAATTTCAGCCTCAAATAATAAAAACAACAACAACAACGACAACAAAAATTTTAAACTCATAATAAAAAATAAAAATAAGAAAATATTTTTAACAAATAAAAACAAAAAACCACTCTACGTTGCCAAAAACTCATACTTATCTTCCTCATCCTCCTCCTCTTGCTCCTCCTCCTCCTCCTCTCTCTCCTCCTTCAATGACTCATTTGTTAACCAAAAGATATCACCTCACAGCACAAGCAACGATGACTTGGATGATGATGATGATGATGATGATGATGATGATGATGATGATGATGATGATGATGATGACGATGACTTGGATGATGATGACATAGATGACATAGACGATGATACTCGTATTGACCATATCGATGATGATAATCATATCAACCATACCGATGTCAGTGATACCATCGATATCCACAACAATTACAATAAAAAAGATGATCACTATCTTCACGATCAAAACAAAAGTTTCCACAACACTCAAAATAATTACAATGAAAATGCCATCATCGATGATGACGAAGATGACGAAAACGACGACGACGACGACAATAACGAAATTCACAACTCAATCACTAAAATTAACACCCATCATCTAAATATAAACAACAATAGCTCTAACAAAATTAACTCAAATCATCATCCAAATAGCATCACTACCTCTACAAACATCAAAGCTGAAATCACTAAAAATAACTTCAGAAACAAACAAAGAAATCGCAACACTTTTGCTAACCATGATCCAAACTTCTCAAATCATATCCATAAACTCAAATCCTCAGCTCAAAACAAATCCCTTCCTTTCTCAAAATTTGCTGTTTATAACGTCGAAGATGATGATGATTCCTCTGGCTCGATCTCTGATACCGACAAAAACTATAAAAATATAGACTCAATTAGAACTAAATTCAGAAGAGCAACAACTTCAACAATTGTTAACCCATCTTGTTTAAACAATAACAATAACAACAACAACAACATTAATAACATAAAAATTCAAACCCCAATCACGAATAACTCAGATGAAATCGTCTTAAACATCATGAAAAAATTCAAAAAGGATGCTACTATTGGTGATAATAAACCAACAACTCAACAACAATTCCAGCAATTCCAACAAAATATACTAAACAGCACCTCCTCTTTACGCAAAAAAAGTTTTAGTAGCTTGAATTCAGCTCCAGATTTCCCTCCTTTCAACACTAAAAAACTAAACTCCAATGCTACCGCAACCTATAATAATTTTAGAAGACCTTCTACTGCTCTTTCCACAAATACCGCAAATAGATCTTCCTATGCCTATGAATCCGATCATGATCTAAAACCCATAACTAGCACAAACACCCATATCAGTGTTTCCACTGCTCAAACACACATCGTTAATACTAATACCAACATCTCAGCTCTAAAAAACGAAAAAGCTAGAGATACTCATATCATAAATAACGATAACAACAATGACAATAAAAATATTATTAATAATAATAACCTTAACAAAAACTATTTTTCTTCTCATCATAGTATTAACTCCAATAACAATAGTCTCAATACCATTACAAAATCCGGAACTGCTCTCAAAAAAAGTTTCAGCATAAGAAAAGCAATGACAAACTCTCATCATAATTCTTTAAATCAACCACCAAAATCAGAAATTATTAGCAACTATAATTCATCTCCAAGCCCAAGATGCCTTATAGACAATAATATCTATGAACACACTGAAGATAATACCAAATTAAATCAAGTAATTGACCAAACTAAAAATATCGCTGGCGAAACTTTTAATAACCCTTTCAAATTAACTACGCAAAATACAAATCCTGAAAATGTGCACACAAAAAATAAAAATCATAATTCAGATAATATCAGAGGAAATTTTAACTCAAATACAAAAGATATAACTCAAAATTACATTGCCGATAAAATTTTACCACACGAACACGATTTGAATATATTTAATAAACCATATAATTATTTTTCCAAATCTGTTTCTGAACTGTCAAAAAAAAGAATTAACCTTCAAGATTTGAACAGGGAGGTCAATAGTTTTAATATTTTGTCTCATAACGATTACAAAAATTATGTTTCGGATCAGAAAAATGAAATGCCAAATAATAAATTATTGCAACCAAAATTTTTTCTTTATAAGTTTATTAATTCCAATAATAGCAAAGTAATTATTCTTGAAAAGCCAACTAATTTAAAAATCGAAAAAAAAGGCTCCTCAAGGGATTTGAAGAAAAAAGAAAAAAAACAACTGAAGAATAAAAATAAGAAAAATTTATTTTTACCTCAACCACCAAAAGTATCAAATAAAGCTAATTCTTTATCTTCTAGCAGATTGAGTGCTGGATTTTCTGTTTGTTCTGCTGATTCAAAATTAAGTATTAGTTCAAACGATCAAATAGTATTGAAACACTATAAAATCGAAGGAGAATTTTTGACCTCAAAAGTATTTATTCCCAAAAATATTTGGTATTTGAATAAGATTTCCATAAAAGACGCTAAGATTAAGATCAATATTATAAATGATTTATCAAACTTATTAAACACATTTATTAAGGAAATTTCCAAGAAAAACCTTTCAGGGATATTCCAAACAATTGACAACTCATTAATTTATTATCAAAAGCTATTATCAGCGTTTAATGTTTACAACAAAGATATGGAAGAAGAAGCTTCAGAACTTTCTGGTAATTATGAAAATGGTCTTAAAAGAACCTCAGACTCATTTTCAGCAGTTAGTGTTACTGAATTAAATGCTGATACATACCGTCCTATGATGCAACTAGGATTGACAACTCCCATAAGTAATTCAGCAAGAAATTCAAGCTTTGGTGGAAATAGTAATCACAATAATAGCGGTACTAACATTAGTAACTTGAATGGAAATCTTTATTCAATAAATTCAAATAAATCAGACAATAGTGAGAACTCGAGCAATTACTCTATGAACTCGCTAAATAAACAAGCAAGTAATGATAGTTACAGAAGAATATCAATATTTCATAAGAAGATAAAAAATAGACATTCTCCTTTGACTGGTGCTGGTCCAAATCAATTTTCAAATGGAAATATGGGCGTGAATGATCTCGACAGAAATTCAAGTATCTCATCAATCAATGTTTCAGTTTCACGCAATTCACAGTTGATGCTGATTGAAAACTTAGACAACAACATGCTCGACAAACATTATAATAATGAAAAAATCAAATATTTGGATTCATTGACTGGTTTATACAAAGTCGTTTCTCAAATTACTGACTATACAATAAAATTACAAGTTAAATTGGATTTGGATGAAACATCAGAATTCAGCAATAGTGAAATCGAAAATGAAAAGGAAAATTCAAGTGATCATCTTGAGGGCAAAAGCAAAAATAATGAGGGTGGCGCTGATAATGAGGAGTTTGTTGATTCAAAATCCCCAAAAACATTTAATGAGGAGGTTAAGATTGTCGTAGAACCAAAACAGATTTTTGATAAGTGCCATCTTGTTTTGAAGTTTTTATCTAAATCTGTCATTAGGTTTATTTTAATTGATGTTTTAAATCTTGCAAATGATTATATGAAGTCCTGCTGTGATATCCTTCTGATTAATACCGGAAATGATTTTATTCTTAAATGATTTTTGTATGTTTTACTGTTTGTTTTTTTAAGTTGTTATAATTGATAATTTATTGTTGTTTTGGTGCTTATAAATAGTCATTTTCACTTTTAATTGATTTTTTTCCACTTTTTAGACTTTTTCCACTTTTTACCCTTTTTAGACTTTGATTTCCATCCATTGAAAATTGACTATTCCACATTCGTTATTTATTTTCTGTTAATTTAATTCTACATTATAAATTTCCGCTTTTTAAACAAATACTTTTACAAACTTTTTTTGTGTAATAATCAGATTGGAACAGTTTTCCTCTCCATTTTCTATTTCACAGACATTCTCCCTCTTGAAGTACAAAAGCAAGAAATAAAAACAGTAACTCAATTAGGAAGTAAGCGATTCGCGTTAATGAAGAACCAGGCAGGTGGTAATGATCCATATTATTGGTTATAATCCACTTTAATGGTTGTTATCCACACGCTTGGTTTTGCATTTGGCGAAATTTTGCATTTTGAAGCAAAAAAACAAAGAGCTATAAAAGAAATGTTGTTGAGAAAGGTGGTTGCAGTGTTTGCTGTTCTTATTTACAATGGAGATGGTAAGTTTGCAATGGGTGATGAGATTTTTTTTATTTTGAGGCAAGATTTTGGAAACTAACTTTACCAATTAATAGCTAGCTAGTGGAAAAACAAACAATGTTGAAGTTCTATGGGAGGACCAACAAAAGATCAACGAGTTTTCAACATTAATCCAAAAAAAGGACATATTGACAATTGATTTGAAAGATTGCAGACAAGAGAAAGAATATCTAGATGATGTTTCAACGGAATTGGATATGATGGAATTGGAAAATGACGACTTTGACGACTTATTGTCTGATGATGATGATGATGATGATGATGATGATGATTTGAATGACGATTCTGATAATAAAGAAAAAAAAAAAGATGTTTCTGAAGATAAGAAAATCCAATACAAAATTGGTGACGCATTCATATTTATGTCATTGGAAGAAACTAAAACAAGATTAGAAAAAGACAACAAAATATTGGAAAACAAAATAATTAAATTTGAAGAAAATATTGATAAAATTAATGAACGATTAACGAGTTTGAAAAGTCAGTTATATGCCAAATTTGGTTCAAATATTAATTTAGAGCGTGACGAATAATATATAAAACAATAAAGATGCAAATAAAAAAGAATGTGCTATATTGATAACCTATAAATCGTTTAATCATATAAACACGATAGATCAAAAATGCATAAAGCCAAACAATAAATGATATTAGTTTATGCGAACTGTGCTGTCCTTCTCAATAATGACTGGATATCGAGCATTTTGAATTTCATATTGAAGAGTCGTAATCAATGGCTCAGGGAAAGCAAAAGTGAAGCCTGTTAAGACACCAGAAAACTCATCAGTGATGCATCCACCATATTCAACCAATGTGTTTTTAACGTTTTCAATTCTAGATGAGGGGGTTTCATCTCCCTTGGAAAACATTAAAATGTAATTTGAAAGAGCAATATTGTTGACAATAAGCATTGTAGTTTCCTCAACCGAACAAGAATCAATAGTAACTGCTAGATTTACTGAAACCCCAACACAAGTAAGCAATGACTGTTGGTGGGAATTTATACACTGTACAAAAAAAGCTCATCGATAAGCACTATCTCCAAGTGGCGTTCTCAAAACAACTCGCTTTGACTCTGAGATAGCGACTTATGGAAGTCGAGTCAATCGTTGATTTTAGCCTGTGATTGTGTTTTCTTTCGGCAAACATATTGTGAAGAACAAGCGTATCTATGAGTATATGTAGATGGTAAAAAATCTTTTAATGTATGCTATAAAGTGAGATATTGTTTTGATTCTCAAATGAGAACAGAGTTACTTATACAGTATAACGAAATGAAATGGTTTTAGTGAAACAACGAAAAAAAACATAAAAGTGGTGAACGTGTAAAAATCTAATAGGTATGATGTTTTTAAAAAAGACAAAATGATTTGGGACATGAAAAACGAATGAAAATTAAAAGTTAATAAAAAAAAAGATAATGAGAAAAGAAGTAGAAGCAAAAAGAAAAAGGGAACTCCTTTAAAGCTCTTTGAAAAACCGGGCCTCAGTAGCACTCCAATAGTTTAAATGCTTGACCAATTTCCAAATTTCCATATCAAGAGTATTGTAAACTTCACTAACATCAACTATCGAGTACCGATCATCAGATAGACTAATTTGAATCGATTTATCGTGAAGTAATTCAAACATTCTAATTATTTCTTTTGCTAGCTGAAAATTTGAGGCATCGTTGTCTCTCTCAAAAACAACTTTCAATTTTTCTAAATTACTGACAAAATTCTTATCAAATGAATTAGATAGTGAGTTGCTGAAAATCACAGAGTATAATAAATGAAGGTTATCAAAAGAAGAATCAGTTGTTATGTTCTTAATATACTCAAGGATTCCAGAGTTATCATAAAATTTATCTTTTAATATACTCATTGAATCTTCAATTTCATCTTGAGTTTTTGGTTTGGGATATACAGGATGAATAGTTTTTTTATTATTAATAATTAGGTTCTTAACATAGTAAATCTTTTTGGTGAGATGATCAAAATCTAGTAGATTCTTTTGCAGATTTTTAAAATTATATTTATCATCAACATTCGCCTCCAGTTTTAAATCCATCAATGAAATAGATAAATCAATAATTATGTTGTCACTGATCAATTGATTTTCTTGTTGTTCATCTTGAATAGGGTCAAGCATTATGGCTGTATTTGAAAATTCATCATTATTTTGATTGTGATAATATTTAATAAAACTGAAACCAAATATTGTTGGAAAATATTCATTTATTAAATATTCATAAGAATAATCATCGAATATTTCCCAGTTAAAATAAAAAACATTTCTTGATAAAAAATAATCATCAATAATTTTGTCCAATAAGTTTTTTAGTTTATTTTCATGAATTTTTAGTTCATTATTGTGCAATGGAAATTGATCATAATTGTCGTTATTAATTAAATTTCTATCCATCAAATCAAAATTATAATTATATTTATCATTAAAATTCTTTACTGAATTCTTTTTATTACTAAATTCTGAATCAATCAATTGATTAAACAAAGGATTTAAATAATTTAATTTGTCTGGGTCATTGTTTTGATAAAATAATAAGTTTTTAAATAAATTAGCACTTGGTAATTTATTATTATGACAATCTAATAAAGTTATTATTGTTAAGGGATGTTGAATTGAATAAATAATAAAATAATCATCGATATCATCAGCCTTTTCAAGGATAAAAGATTCAGGCAATTTTGAAGTTATTGTTATTGGAATGTTATTTAAATTTTTATTAATTTGATTAAAATTTTTTAAATGAACTTGGAAATTTAATAAAGAAAAATCATTATCAAGAGACATCTTATTATTATTGATAATTGAATACATGTGAATTAAATTGTTAAATTCAATCTTTTTGGGGTAATCAAATAGATTTAAATTTTTTTTAATATCCAAATTAAGATTGAGATAATTTAAACATGATTGATAATTGTTTGATAATTGGATTTTTGATAAAGTCATAAAAACTTTTTGAAAAATTTGAAATTTTTTTTCATTTGATAAAGAATTTGATAAATATACTAAATCATTAAAACCATTTTTGTTATAAAAATGATTTAAAGAATTCAAGTAAGATAGAGTTGGAGGCTGGATTAGATAGATTACTTCTTCAATAATTTTGTTCAACTTAAACAAATTTTGTTTATAATCATATAGTTGATAATCAAAGTTATTATTTTCATTTTTATTTTTATCGTCATTAATATTATGGATATTGTTAAGATTATTTGATAATAAAAAATGATTTTGAGAATAATTGTTATAATCTATAATACAGTTATTAATTGATAGGTTATTTAAAAATTTATAGAGATTTTGAATGAAAATGTGATTTTTATGATTTTTGTTTAATAAAGAATACTGATCATAGATTAATAAACCATTTATAAATTTTTTCTTAAAAAAATTATTATAGAGGTGAATATCTAATATTTTTAAGAATTTGTTATAATAATAAGAGTTTAAATTTGAAATTGAAGGATTTAGATTAAATATTTTAGTTATAAAATGAAGAGAATAAGTTGAAAATAAATCGAAATCCTTATGAATTATATTTAAGTTTTGAATTGAAAAAGCAATAAAATTTTTCAAGTGATTATTAATTATGTTGGAATTTTTGTTGTTGAGAATATTTAAAGAAGAATTGAATAAATCCGATAATAAATTTGCATTATAAGATAAAATTTTTGAGTTTTTATTATACCAAAACGAATCATAATCATAAAAAACATCTTTATTGTTGTTATCATCTTTATTATTTTTGATATTTTTAATATTATCATATGGAGAAAGAGTTTTTTTAAATTTAGTATATTGAATTGATAAATTTTTTATATAAGATTGAATTGAGAATTTATTTGCTAAGATTACGTTTAAATTATGGTTATTAAAAATGTTTAGTTTATTTGATTGAAATAGTGTATTGAACTCGTAGTCATTTGAAGAAGTATGACAGTAATTGAGTAAATTTTTGAGTAAATTTGAATTTTCATTAAAATTTTCATTATTAATGTCATTTTTGTTATGTAAATTAAAAAAAATATTATAATCTAAATATAGTATATTATTGTCTATATTATTTTCTTTATTGTTATTGTTATTTTGGTAATTATTTGATAGGTAATTATTAATTGCTAGCAATTTTAATAGATGATTATAGTTGAAAAAAACTGAAGAAAATTGATTATTTCTTTGGAAATATTTATAATTTGAGAATAACAAATTTTTAATTAATTTAATCAAGTTTCTGTTACTATTGAAATTATCAATTTTATTAAGATTGTTGTGGTTATTATCATTATTATCAAGAATATTATTCAAAATATTAATCGAGTCATTGTAAGATAATACAATTGGGTTGAAACCAATTGATTTCATGAATAATAACCATTTTTTCAATAGGGATTTATTATAATTTAGAAAATTTTCATTATCATTATTTATGAGATCAAAATCATTGAAAAAAGTTAAAACTGGGCAGTTGTTTTTAGAATAATAGTTATTGTTATTTAAAAATGATAAGTAATTTTGTTGGTTTAAAAGATTGATATTTGAATCAATTGGGATCATAAATTGGAATTGATCACTTCGGGTGGGTTTGCTATCATCTAAATCATCAACAGGATTTATATGGTCATTATGGTTATAATTGTTGATGTAGTTGTTAATATAATTATTTGGGATAAGATTCGAAATTTCAAGATTTAGAAAAATAATGAAAGACAAAGAAAAAAACAAAATTACCAATAAAAGATGTCTTCTTCTCCTTTTATGATTAAAAATTGAGACTAGTAACATATATACATTTCTTTTAGTGACTCTTTTGGTTGAAATTGACATTATTTGAAGGAATGGAGAGGTTCGTGCAAGTAAATCAGTTTATGCTGTGGAAAGAAATGGAGAGGTGTGAACATTTACAGCGAAAGGTGAAAAAAGCATAAAAGACAGTGGAAAACAGCAGCAGAGTATCAGAATACCAAAAAAACCAGCACAAAGGACCAGAAGTAAATAGCACCTTCAGAAGCACCTTCAGAAGCAGCAGGAGAAGCAGAGACAGCAGAAACAGCAGAGGAAGCAGAGGAAGCAAAGCCAACATCTTCACCAAAGTGCTATGTCAGGTGCTTATATTGTTAAAACAGAATATGTTTTAGTGCGTGTACTTTAAACTTATAATAAATACCTGCATTAAATGGTCGCAGACACATAAGACGGTATGCTAAAGTATACGTGTTCCATGCACCTTACGTGCAGCTTAACGCGTGCGGAAAAGCGCGGAGCTTGCGGCTATTTACGTTGTCCCGAAGTGTTTACGGTGATTTGGCGTACACTCGTAACTTGTCGTAGCCTGTCTATCCTTCCGACGGGTCGGAGCGGGTCGGAGCGCGCCCTGAGAAAAGCAGGCGTATTTGGGACGAGATGGTGAAGCACAAAAAGAAATGGTGAAAACAGAAGATGAAGAGAGGACGAAATAAGAAGACGAAAAGAAGTTGGAATGAAGACACACTGAAGACGAAATGAAAATGAAATAAAGACGACGGCTAATTGCAGTGGAATAGATAAGAGGGCAGTCCCTGCCTCGTTGCCATTTATCTGCCTCCTCTCATTCGACAGGTAAAACCAGTTTATCATTCACCAGTCATCAGCTCATTAAGGTGCTTTTCTGTCTATTTCCTAATCAACCAACTTTCCACAAATAATTACAAATCAATCTCTTTTTTACTACAAGCTTTTCCTCCTTTTTTTCGATTATTCTACTCACATTGTAATATCTTGTCAACTGCTTCACAATTACAACACATTCACAGTTCCAGCTGTTCAAATTGAGCCCTTTCTCTTCAATTTATGCCCAATTGATTTCAATTCTTTGTTTCTATTATTAAAATTAAAATTCAATTTACCTCTTGCTGCTTTTATCACAACCGTAATCAAAACAATTTTCAAAAAATTTTCTTTCATAATCATCTTTCCCAATCTTAAATCATTGATTTAATCACTTTTCTGTCAACATCTCTGGTCAATATACTTATTCAGCCTATTCCTATCTTTGCAATTCTTTATTATAAATACTACTTTACATCCTCCTGCTTTTTCTTTGATCCATTTAAAAATGTTTAAATTATTCAAATCAATTAATTCATTAAACTCATTAGCTGCAAAACCTGCAAAACCTACAACCACCTCATTGATTTTGTTATCCAATTCTACCAAATTACCTCAAACAACTCCAAAATTATTGAATTTCTCATCTAATATGCCCAAAGCAAGAAATTACTCAAAGAAATCTAAATCAAATAACCAAAGAAACAGAAATAATAACAACACAAATCTAATGAGAAATAATTCTCTATTTTCTGTTGATCCAAATAAACCTCCTCTATTGATTCTTTCTTCTGTTGGTAATCCTGAAAATCAGTTTGGTTTAACAAGACACAACGCTGGTCATATAATATTGAACTATTTGAAGTTAATCTACAATTATCCAAATTTTTCTAAATTAAATGGTTTTTCAAATGGTGTAGTATCCAGATTTGACTCCCCATCAACAAACAATCTAATCTTATACAAATCAACCAATTATATGAATGAATCCGCAAAGTCTTTTGCCTCTCAAATTCCATATTTATCTAATCAATTTGGTAATTTCTATAATATCTGCTTAGTTGTCATACATGATGAATTATCTTTGCCTTTGGGAAAAATTCAAATCAGAAAAAGATGTTCCTCTCCAAGAGGCCACAACGGCTTAAAATCAATCCAATCCTCCAATATTGGTGCTAATTTCATCACTGTTAGTATAGGTATTGGTAGACCTGACTCAAGAGACCCAAATGTGGTAAGCGACTATGTTCTTTCCAATTTCAATAATAATGAATTGCTATCTTTAAATCAAACTGCAACTCAGTTATATAACCATATTGAGCAAATGAAACTTGGTCAATATGTTTATGAAATCAATGATAATTAAAAATATTTAACAATATCAATCTTTTAAAAATATTTAAAAAAAAATTTAAAAAAAACCAAAAATTTTCAAAAAAAAAACGTATTATCATTTACTGAATTTACACTTTATTCCTTGTTTTAGATTTCTCCATTTAGATTTTTTATAAACCAACATATACAACCATACATTACTAGAAATCGTTAACATTTTTTATTTTTGTTTTATTACTATGTTTATATTATTTTATTAATCACCTTTTTTTTCTCAATTTATTATAAACCTATTAGATCATTTTTAAATTATGAAATTATTATAAAATTTCTGTTATATTTTACATTTTTTTTTTTACTTTTCATTTTTTTTTATGTACTGTTTTTATCAGTGTATATAGCATAATTATTAAATAGCACTTGTATAAAATCTCTTTCTCTCTCTTTTCAAGGGTAGAAATATTAACTATTTAACGATGTAATAACTTTTGATATTACTTTAATTGATTTGATTAAATTTTTTTTAACATGAGTTATGTAATTTTCTTTTAAAATTATATAATTTTGTTGAATTTGCAATCTTTTTGTTGCTCTTTGATCATCAATAAATAATGCACTATCTATCCAATTATTGCGCTTCTTATCCAATTTTTCAAAGTTTTTAATTATTTCATTCATTGACTTTTCATAATCTTCAAAGATATAATCATAAACAGCTCCTAATTTTTCCCAATTGAATTTAATTAATTCATTTTTATTTTCAATTCCATTTTCAATTTCAATTTCATTTTCAATTTCATTTTTGTTGTTTTTGTAATTATTATTTTCTTTATCTAATGATGATCTTTTACTTATAATTGAAGAATTTAATAAATTTACCATTACATCATCATTATATTTTCTATAATCATTTAGTATTTTGTCTTGATTTATTTTAAATAATTCAAACAATTCATTATCTGTTGGGTCATTATTTTTTTCAGTATTAATAATAAATTTATTGGAATTTTTCAATGCTGTTTTGAAATCTTCAAATAATATGTTATTCCTTTTTAATAAGTTATTAATATTTGAATTTTCTTCCTCAATATTAATATCAAAAGAATTATCATTACCATTATCACTGTTATCATTAATATCATTATTATTTTTATTATTTTTGTTATTATCATTTTTATCTTGATTTTCCTTTTGATTTTTATTATTACCATAATTATTGTTACTATTATTTTTATCATTATTTTTTTTTCCATTGATATCATTATCATTATCGGAATTTTCAAGCGATTGTAGATCATTTAGTAAATTTCTTTTTACATCAATTATATCTGAGTTTTTAATGTGATCCACATTATCCAAATGATCAAATTCATTTGTTATGTTACATAGTTCATTCCCTACGATTTTCAATTTATCATAATTTGATAGATTTAGATTTTGCAAAGATGGGGTCACCTCATTATCGGGAGATATAAATTTTTGTTTTTCTTTTTGTTTTTGTTTTTTCTTGAGTGCTTGCTGAGTTTTTTTTTCGTTTTCCATTTTATCAATTTTGTTTTTGGTTTTGTTGTTGTTTTCTTCAATTTCTTTTGTATCCATTTCTGCTTCTTCTTTCATTGTATTTTTAGACATGATCACTTTCTTATCAACCTGAACATTATCATTGATACTTGTCAAGGTTGTATCATTGCCAGGCAATTCAACATCAATATCATAATTTGGGTCTCGGTCACTTTTAGAAGAAGTCATTGAAAAGGCAATTGAGGACGCTATTGTTGCCATAGAAGTATTTAATTCATCAAAGGTTATTACGTTTTGATTGTTGTTATTGTTAATTTCAACGGCGTTATTATTGTTAGGATAGTTTTGGTTTAGTGTCTTTTTCGATTTTTTGATTTTGGTATTTTTAGCAGCTTTTGTAATCTTATTCAAATCCACATTTGGCTTTAAAGAGTTAATTGGCTCATTTGAGTTTGATGACTTGTTTGATTTGATTGATCTAATTGATTTTGGATGTGGAGTGACCTTCTTTTCTACTTTGTCTGGAGTGGTGAATGGATCAAAAGCATGTTTGTTGTTACTATTAGTGGTTGTGGATGAAGTTAATGCCATCTCAGCTTGGGCCTGTGTGAGTAAAGATTGGCGATTGTGTATCAGCTCTGCCTCTTACTAGGGCAGTGGGCAGGGCTAATTATCAATTTGTCAAGATATTGCCGGATGAGACGCTGCTGGTGAATATATCTTTGAGCAATTGAAGATTAAGCGCTGAAGGTCTTGAATATAATCAAGATACAATTGAGGAAGAGAAACGAAAAGCCCTGAGAGAAGCATATATACCTGCGCCCATTCCCAATCGGGTAAAACGCGATGGCCCAGTACTGTGGATCTGAAAAGTACTGATCCGCGGATCTGGAAGTCAATTAAAGCCCCGCGTCTATATGCATCAGAATTTCGAGCAGATGTCCCGCATATTCAGACGTCCCGCGGGTAGCTGTCGACGAAACCTTACCCAAAACAAGGGCCGGAACAGGGCCGGAACCGCTGTGAACTGATAGCTGATAGATTTCGCTTTTCTCGACTGTCTAATCTAATCAAAGAGATATCAACAATCTTTCTCGATATTTTCAGTGGTTGGATTACTAAACATTTCTTCTTGATCAATATAAATAATAGACATTTTACCGTATTTTTGAGAACTATTTCTCTTTTCTTTTTTGTTTTCAATTGAAATACAATAGTAATACAATAGTAATCAGGTAATTCGTCAACAATGGCTATAGATTTAGACTCCCAATCTTATTCCGACTATTGCAATCCAGAAAATGAAATTTCAAAGGTCTTATTAATCGGTGCAGGAGGTGTTGGTGCTGTTGTTGCTTATTCGTTAGACTACAATCAGAAATGCAGTGTATCACTTGTTGTGAGAAGAGATTATCCTGTGGTTAGCAAAGAGGGTTATCAATTTGATTCAATTGATTATGGGAAGATTTCAAATTGGAAACCTAGAGATGGGTCTATTTTTGCTAATATATCGGATGCAATTAAAGATAAACCATATGATTACATTTTAATTTCAACTAAAAACTTGCCAGATATAACCAAGTTTGAAAATATTATCGAACCTTTAGTGATTGAAAAAAAAACCACGATAATTTTGTTTCAAAATGGGTTTGGTAATGAAGTTCCATTTTTTGAAAAGTACCCAAATAATATTATTTTAAGTGGCGTCACATTGATTGGTTCTCATAACGATAATGGGAAAATCCATCAAATTCAAAAGGATAGAACATATGTGAGTTATTTTAATAACAAACACATTTCTACAAAGATTCAAGAAAAGAAAACTTTGGATTTCATCTCAATCTATCAAAATTCTACCAATCAAATTATCTATCAGCCAGATGCTCAATATCATAGATATAGAAAATTGGTGTACAATGCCACTTTAAACACTACGTGTGCTATCACTGGTGTTGATGTTGGAAGAATTGATGCATTTGGTGGATTGCAAACCATAATTGTACCTGCAATGAAAGAGATTATTTCAATCGCAAAGGCTGACGGTGTAAATTTACCTGACGAAATTATAACCGATTTGATTCATTCAGATGATGGTGATTATTTTGAACCTTCGATGTTGATTGATGTTAAAAAGGGAAATCCAATGGAATTGGAAGTTATTCTTGGAAATGTGCTAAAAAAGGCTAAGCTTTTCAATATTGATTGTCCCAAATTATCAATGCTTTATAGTTTATTGTCAATTATTCAATTTAGATTAAAAGAGAAGAAAGGTTTAATTCCAGCATTGCCAAAAGATAGACCAATCAATCCAGATACAGTTTATCATTTATAAAATCATATCATATCGGGATTTTTCAGACTAGTTTCCCCAAAATAATTTCAATAGAAATAAAATCAATAGAAGTTGTTTTTAATTATACTATTTAATACAAATTTGTAGATAATTGAAAATAAGAGATAAAATAAAAAAAAATAAAATAAACAATTAATTGATTCATTAACAGAGAGAATTACAAAGATAAAAATAAAATAAAATAAAATAAAATAAAATAAAAATTAGCAGATGGTCAACATAAATTAACAACAACACTTGGAAACTGGGGCAGCTACTTTGGTAAAAGATTTCTTATTCACCACTGCTAAAGGCTCATATCCGAAAAGTAATTTGCCAAAGAAACAACCCAATATGCAAGTGATAATAATATAACCATTATAATACATCCATAACAACATAATTAAATAAGAACAAGTCCATTCCACCATAAAAAACAATGATTTTAGTGAATGTTCAGCAATACTGGGCATAATCACCACATCATCTGCATTATGTGATTTTTTAGCTGTAAATAACCAAGAGTGACTTAAAACTTTGAAAATTGGTCCAAAAAATCCCCCAATTACACCACTGCTATTTTTATTAGCAGCTATATTTTTCTCATTGATGTCTTCGTTATCAGTGCTATCTCCCAACTTGATTTTTTCATTCTCGCAATTGTCGACATTATCACAAACAATCTGTAATTGAGCAGTCTTGTAATCAACAATAGCATTATCGTACTCTTTGACGACTCTGTGAACCCAATAGTAAGCCAATATAAAGAAGAAAACCCCAATACAACTTCCAGCAAACATGCTCTTTGACCTTACATGCCACGATCTTGCAAGAAAACATGAATCAATAGTGTACCAATTCCACAACATGGAAATCTTGCACGAAGCACTTGTACTACTACTACTACTGCTGCTGCTACTTGACATATCCATCTTGAAATGCTGTTTCTATAGTATTATATTCTGTTTGATTTAGCTGTTTGTTAGAGACACAAGGATTGAAAGCGAAAACTAATCTGTGCTACAAAAGAATGGAACTGGCTCAATTATATATCATTTCCTCGAAGAAAGCCACTTCATGGAAACAATTCAGTAACAGTCCTTTAAAGGAATATATTAGTTTTCTCATCAAGAGGTGATTGAATATATCCACGAGCAAATTTGACAGTTTTAGGAAGTAATATTACTGTTTTTTTGGAAATCTTGTTTAGTAAACAGCCCCCAGTCTGCACCAGCATTTTTGCACATTGAAAACAGGGCCCTGTTCGGCCACAACGATCACAAAGCGAGCAAATATTTCTTTTTTGAAGATTCTTTTCTTTGGAAATTTGCTCAAAAACAGCTCTGGTGAAGATGCTTTGATGAAGTTATTCTCTTCTCTTTCCCAGATCTAGCTCGATGTGGGAGCAGATATATAAGCTCTGCTGTTTCCTGATGTTGATGCTGGACCACTTCACCAACTCTTACTTCCTTTAATACTGGTTCTGTGAAAATGCAATCGATGAGTGAAATGGATATGGATATGCAAATGTCGACAAGCCTTATCAGCTCTGCTACTTCGATGGTGATGAACATGGCTTCTTCCTCGATGGATCATTCAATGGACCATTCAATGCATATGGCAGCTACAACCTCCTCTTCAATGGAAATGAATATGGCTTCTGCGACTGCTACTTCCTCTGCTGCTCACTCGCATTCCTCTGGCTCATCTTGCAAAATGAGTATGCTTTGGAATTGGTATTCTATTGATACTTGCTTGATCTCGAGAACTTGGAAAAATGATACCAAGGCAAAATTTGCTGGTTCGTGTGTTGGTGTATTTTTCCTCTTAATCGCTGTTCAATGGTTTAGAAGAGTAATGAGAGAGTATAAGAGAACCATTCTTCAAAACAAGAAATCCCAACTAGCTAACACAAATATCAGCTCTTTATCCACAAAGACTAATAACTTCAAACTTCAAAGCTCTCCGATTCAAGATTTTTTGGTTCCCATCTTATCTTGTCTCTCACATAACTGGTTCTGGGCTTTGAATTCTCAAAATGCCATAGTTAAAAATGATAACATCTACATATATCCAAACGTTTTGGAACACATTTTTTATTGTGCATTAGACACCATTGAATGGAGTGTTCATCATGTTGTCATGTTGTTGTTTATGTATTTTAATGGTTATATTTTCATTTCATGTATGGTTGGTGCTATGGTTGGTTACTTTTTATTTCATTACGAACCAATGTCAAAACAGGCTAATTCTACAAACGATGAAGAAAAGCGATGCTGCCGTTAATACCTTTGATCTTTATTGTATGTGCAGCTTTTCTTTTCTCTCTTTTATTTGCTTCTTTAACGTCATTTTGTATAATTTCTATTTCCTAGTTTAGCTTATCCATTTTCCAAATCTATGAAAAAACACCTAATCCTAATGTTTTATTCTTATCTTCTACTAAAATTACTCATTAAATCAAATATCGAACTTTGTGTACTTGTATCTTTAGAAGCTATTTTCCTTCCACGACCTCTAGTGGTTTTTCTGCTCGAAACACTTCTTCGGCCTCTATTACTAGCTCCTGCTCTGCTTCTCCCTCTAACTGATCTTGATTTGGGTTTTGGAACTTCAACCATTTCCATTTCCAAATCCTCTTCTGCTTCATCATCATTTTCCTCTTGTTTATCTTCTGCTCCACTTTCGTCACTTGAAAAATGTTCTGATGGCGATTCTTCAGAACTTTCATTCTGTATTTTTTTTCTGTTTCTTCTACTTTTTTGTCCTTTATCTTTTCTACCATCATAAACAGCTATCTCATCAATCTCTTCATCCAAATTATAAGATACAGCCGTATTTCGTTTTCGAAACCTTGACGTAGGTCTTGAGATATTTTTTTCAACTCCAGCAACATCTTCCGTTTCACTATCTGAGACTCTGAGAGCAACATCATAATCTTGATTTTTACCAGTTTGTTTTTTATTTGATGCAATTTTCGATGGCCTAATTGCAGTCTCTTTAAATTGTTGCCGAGAACTCTTGAGCCTTCTAGAATTTCTAGTTTCAGCTACTCTTTGTAAAATTTCCTCATCGCTATCAATATCTAATACATTTTCTTTGCTTTTAACGATACTCTTTCTTGTGCCACTTCCCAATTTCTTTTTCTCATTTTTCAATTCCAGAATGATGTTCATACCTTCTGTGACTTCAGCCTTCATCAATAATTTAAAATCGTTTTTCAATTCAGTATCAATAAATTCCTTCAACGCTTGTTTATCTTCTTTGTCAACAAATCTTTTAACTGCCTCATTGATTCCATCTTCAGATAATAAAGATAATTCAGAATCCTTCAAAAAACTATTCACCAAGTTTTGAACTTCCAATTTGATGTTGACATCATTTCTATTCTCATCATCACTATCATCTCCTCTTTTCGATGTGCCCCTTCTATTGCTTGCAAAACTTTTTTTTCTATAAAACTGAACAACATTATTGACATTTGCAATACGCCCAACAAATCTATTACTAAATCTTCTAGGATTTTCTACTTCATAACCTCCACTATAATCAACTCTTAATCTGATTAAAGGTAAAGGGAATTTTGAATCTATCCTCTTTTTTCTTTCCTCTTCCTTTTCCTCTTCCTTTTCCTCTTCCTCTTCCTCTTCCTCATTATCTTCAAATATTTCTGCATTTTGCGTCACCCACTGCTCTTTTGCCTTTTCAATTAAACTCTCAGTTTCATTAATTAAATATCGCGTAATCTCTGATTTGGTTGTTGGCCCAGGAATAATTCCAGAGTTTTTTAAAGATATTTCGGCCATTATAAATGGTCTAATTGTTTCAAGTTTTATAGGTTCGATACTATAATCCAACTGATTTATTGATAAAACAAAAACTTTTTTTTCTACTGCCTCACCTTCGCATAACGATGTGGCAATAGAAGAACCAGGCTGCAAAGTATTAAATCCAGTTTGGCTATTTGTAACAGTGTATGGAATGCATTCATGTTCATGGCCCCAAATTACCAAATCTAAAAACTTTGGTAAAAACTCCTCTGGTAGGTATGCTGTATTAACATGAGCAAAATGATTTTGGTGCACACACATGAGATTAAACCATTCATTTGATCTTATTGTTGGTGTTAAAAATTTAACTCCCCCATCTCGAAATGTTTTAAACAATCTTTCATCTCTAACACTTGCCATGCCAAACAAGCTCAATTTAGTTAGGCCTTTTTGGAATAACAAAGGACGAATATTAATTCTATCACTTTGTAAAACCTTGCCAAAGTGGTTTACAAACCCACAAACCGATAAAACATCCATTGGAGCCAAAAGACCATCGCCACTAATATCATCATGATTCCCACTAATCGAAAAAATTGGAATTGATATATTGAGGTTTGGATCTTCATAATTCACCATGTTGATTCCATCGTCTAGAGATAGACTTGGGTCACTGAGTAATTCCAATTCGCAGGGCTTGTCCCCAAAACAGTTCATTCTGATCGACCTCATTACATGATATAAAGACTTCTTTGAGGGCTTGTTGACATGAAACAAATCTCCAGACTGAAGAATCATATCCACATCCTGATCTTTGGCTATTTTCAACACTTCATCAAAGGATTGCCATGAATCATTTCCAGTGATTGGGTCATTCTCATTGTATCCAACATGGTTGTCTGTTGTTATCAATATCCTGATAGTATCATCAGAAGGCTGTATGGGATTCGAGACTTGTGGCATTAGAAACAAAGCAAGATATCTTTACCAATTTCACTATTTTCACTTTTGAAGGTTGAAAAAAAGAATCCGATCAAAGTTTTCTCCGCTTAATATTTATGCATTGAAAATGCCAGGGGCCTAAGATTTGGTCTAACATATCTATTGAATATAATACAATTGCAATTTACAATTACAATTACAGTTGTAATTGTAGCTAGCGATATATGTATATGTAACTATAAACTTTTGGTTGTAATTATGATCAAAACTTGAAGTCGTTTTGATATTTGGAACGATCATATCTTTTTCTTTTTGAGGTGGAATCATTGTTGTTATCTTTAGTATTCTGTTTTTGATTTTGATTTTGATTTTGATTTTGATTTTGATTTTGACTTTGATTTTGACTTGGTAATCTATATGTATGTTTGCCTTTCCTTGAATCAGAGTATTTTTCTTCTTCCAATACTTGATATAATACCTTTGGTTTATTATCTTCTTTTTCTGATTTTGATTTATCATATAATGATGGCATGTCTATATCATCAAGAGAAGCAGTAGTTCCAAATTCAATTATAGGAACAGCTTCAACATCATTTTCTTTATAATTATTGCTGTCTTCATCACTGTCGTTATCACTTTCACTACTTGAATTTATTTTTGCATCAACATCAACATCACCTTCTTCTTCTTCCTCATCATTTTCATCTTCTTCCTCATCTTCTTTAAGTTTGCCCCATCCAGTGGGTTGAATTGGAACTAATAATGCATTGTTTTTAGCTTCATTAATGCTATCTTCATTACGATTATTTGTATATTGATTACTAAAGTCAGGAACATTGATTCCTGGAATAACTAAATTGGGATAACTAGGAGGAGTTCCAAATCGCTGCATATTCATTATCCAGGGAGGAAGAGCACCTTCTGGTATTCCCAATGCATAATATAATCTTTTTGATAATTTTCCTGGTCTAAAATCCGAGATTTCAATTTCATCATTTTCTCTTCCTTCATAATAGAGTTGGCCATATTTCAACAATTTTGGTTTTTTTTGATATTTGAAAAACGCTTGATGTAATTTTTGATAATCAATATCAATTTTCCCCATTTTGGGTTGAGTTTTTTCTCTTGTTCTTTGTTTTAAAGTTGATTCGTTTAATTGAGTTGTATCTCTCATATCGGTTATACCAGTATTACGTATGAATTCAGGTAATTCAAAGGGCTTCTTTTCGATACCTCTTTTTGAAGATAAATATTCTCTTTTAATTTGCCAATGGAAGGGAATCGGTACTATGTTCTTTAAGCATTTAATTTGAACCAATAGTTTTGGATATGGGGCGTCAACATCAAACCATTCAACCATTTCGGGTCTTTTGGCTTCGACTTTTAATACGGATAAAGGAATTTTATTTAATTTCCGTAATTTTCTTTTACTTAGTTTTTCAAGTTGATTTTCATTATTATTATTATTGGTACTGGTATTTTTGTGATTAGTATTATTATTGGAAAATTCGGAGGTGGGATCTAAACCCTGCTCCAACTCTAAAATAGAGTTGGATAAAGGTTTTTCATCATCACTATAAAACATATCTTCTTTATCATTGGATTGATTTTTATCTTTAATATCATCTTTGGAGTCAGAAAATTCATCAGCATTAAATTTGTCAAAGACCTTTTTAAAGTCTTGGTAAGTTGGGTCACTTAAATATTTATCAATTTCAGATTGGAATATTTTTCCATTACTCTGGTTGTATGGGAGAAATTCATCATCATCGTTGATATCATTGGGAAGAGTATTATCATCATAAATATTGCCTTCATTGAGACTCATTTTAATGGATTCTAAGAATGCATCTGCCTGTATTTTTCCAGAAGATACACTATTGTTTACATTTTTAAGCTGTGCTATATCTTTATTTAAGACTATTTGGTTAAATTGATCTTTATTATTTATATTATCGGATTGAACATTCTGGGTATTATTTTTAATATCATTTTTAATGTCATTTTTAATGTCATTTTTCAATTTGGTTATTTCTTCGTTAGCTATCAATTTCTTGAGTTTTGCTCTTTCTCTTCTTAATTGGTTTTTTGATTTTTTCACTTTTGACATTATTCAAAGATATTTATTAAAACTATTTAATTGTAAAATCTATTAAAGATAAATAGAATGAAATGAAATGAAATGACGAAAAGGATTTAAAGATAAAGATGAAAGAAAACCTTCACGAATGCCGGGTAATTTTTTCTCAGAATGAGGAAGAGAGTTAATGAAGAAGAGTTAATTTTGCAAAGTAAAAAAGATGAAATAAATTTTATGAAAAGAAAACTAGGTCGGCTTATGAGATTGTTATTTCCTCAGATCCAGCAGGAAGGGAAGATGGATTTATGTTTGAGATAGACTCATTCTCGGTTTTTCTTATTTTGAGTTCCATGTCAGTCAATTTTTTGGTTATTTTTTCAACTTTTTCCATGATAAAAAGTTTGTTAGTTATTATTTCAAAAAATAAAAAATGCAATGACATAATTGAGAAATTAAATTTGAAAATCTATAGAATTTCCAGACTTTTATCAACATACTATTATTGTTTATTTCCAGGTCAGACTCTTCAACTTTTTTCAACTGATGTGAAGAATAAGTTAGTATTAATAAAGATATGGAAATTGAAAGAAATAAGAAAACATACTAGGTTACCTAAAAGGGTCTCTAAATCAGTAGCCACTTCGAATATCGAAACAGCCTTTTTCAGCTCACTGGCTTTGAGAAGGTCACTGTGTAAATTCAGGCTGCTGGATAAGCCATGGTTGTTTCCACTGGAATGCAAAGGCTCGTTACTGAAGCTTTCCTTTGAATTGGGAGAAGCATCGATCAAGGGAGAGGTCTTTGTAGAGGTGCTCATGGTGGAGATAGAAGAGAAGAGAGAGGAAGCTCGAGGTGATACGACTTTGGATTGTTATCAGTTATTTTTGGAGCCAAAACAGGAAAGAGCAGGAGGCCTCTCTGGTTTACGTAATCTGATGCTGGATGCAACGTTTGATGAGTCAGCACTGCGGACCAATATATACGCAGGGACTCAGATCCGCAGTGTCTTAATCTGCCGAAGAATTTGGAGCTGGAATTGAATAAATGTTTCAAGAGCACGAAGAGATGTTGCTAAGGACTAGCACACAAAGGATATTTGGGGTTAATGCTCTTGGGGGTAGAGCAAGATGGATGCCGGTTTTTTGCTGCAGATATACATCGAACTTGGGTGAAGGCAGTCTTGTGTCGAAAGACAGGCCAACTGCTTTGATTGAGATTGAAGAGTATTTGGCAGATTGCCAAAAAAGAACAGTGGATACGAAATCAGCAGTATTTAAGGGAACATTGTATGAGTTGCAGACTAAATACATTTTGGAAAAGTTTCTACATATGTGCAAGATTGTTAGAACCGGGGGATCGTATGATGGAGGAGTTGATTTGAAAGGGTATTGGGATTTAAGTGAATATAAAATAAAAAAGATAGAGGATAGTCAAGTACGAAGACTAAATGTTAAGGCGTTAAAAGGTACTCTGAAGATATATTCATTGGTAACGAGAGAAGAAAATAATCAAGAATATTCAATGAAGAAAACCCCGGCATATGTTCAATGTAAAAATACAGATAAGAAACTTGCAGCCAAATTATTCCTTGAATTGGTTGGGGTATTTAATAGTATTGTTCCAGTTAATAAGAGAGGGTGTTCATTTTTTTTTGTTGTTTCACCTACATCATTAACATATAATGCCTCGAAAGTGGTGTCTACAATAAAAGTACCATTTGTCTTTTTAACTATATCCCGAATAAAATTCAGGGGCATCAGAAATGGAAAAAGAGAGTATGCATATGAAAATTATTATGGTGGAAATTTATTAAAGTATTATAGAAATGATAAGGCTAAATGTTTGTTGTTAAATTTAAATGATTTTTTCTCAATTAATAGTTTAATCGAGGGATATTTTGAAAAAAGGGAAAGACTAAATAAAGAAGCTAGAAAAAGCAGTAAAAGTTCAAATGAACAACTAAGTAAGAAAGTAGCCAAATCAAAGACTGGATTGAAAAATGAAAATACTAATACCACTGATAATAACATTGATAATAACATTGATAATAACATTGATAATAACATTGATAATAAAATTGATAATAATACTGATATTGATATTGATAGTGTGAAACCAAAGTCAGTGTTAATTTGAAAAGTGTTATCTTTTCAAAACTAAAAGAAAAGAATATCGTTTTATTTTTTTTTAAAAGTTTGATTATTACAATAGCATGTAAAACACAAAAGAACAATTTTCTTTAAAAAAAGGAGGAGAACACAGAACATAACAGAAATCCTTTTTTTTTTTGTTGTTTAACAGAACTGATTATAAATTAAAAGAAGAAACATAATTATACTTTATAAAATTGGCCACAAATTTAAATTTTGGTAATTTTTTGTTTGTAGATATGGTTCAGTGTGATTTAAATCTGATTTAAATTTGATATAACTTTAAATAAAAACAGCATCAATTACATCGAAATGAAAAAACGGTTGAAATGACAAAAGCCAAAGCGAATCTTGAAATCTCTTATTGGAGACACATTTGATGTGTCCTGATTCGATAGGTCTGCTAATTTTTCAAATGAATCAGGTAAAAAACAACGATTTGTGTGCGTAAGGCAGCAGTCCGTGTAATAAGGCCTTTTCATAAACAGTTTCTTCAATTCAAACAGAAGAATAGATCAAGACCTGACTTTTTATTGTTTTTTTTTTCGATCGAGTTTAAATTGATATTATCGGTGTCAAATCTAATGAGTGATAGAGAATCCAAGCCCTTATTGAGAATATGTCTCATTAATATGACAATGATTATTCATCATTATGATTGACAGTCTGTGTTGATTAAAAATCATCTTGAGATTATCGGTTTCTTTAATTTCTCGAAAGATGGTACCAGTGATCAGGTTCTTATGCACCAAACACAAAGAGCTGCCGAACGGTTAGCGAACAGAGGATCGGCAGGTCTCAGAACATGGCAACAGAATCTTCGTCAGTTAGAGCTTTGGAGTTTGATTTCCAGAATAGAGTTACGGAGTACAGGAAACAAGCTCATTTGCGCAGAGAAAAGCGCACGGGCTGGAGACCCAAAGCGTGTTTTCCAAATATGAAACGCGGCCAAAGCAGAGCTGAGACACTGTTGCCAGCACTTTGAGGCGTGATGAAGGCGCATCCAACGTCTTCTGCCGCAGCCGCATGCTTTAAATGTGCCGGGCCAGGTTTTAGTATCAAATGCAGCACTGCGTTGCGTTGCGCGTTGCGAGAGCCAGAGAGACGGTGCAGGAGAGTTGTCTCGATTTCCCGATTGGTGCAGGAGCGGTTTTGGGGTGGTATAAAAGGTGTTGTGGAGAGGTATAAAAGAGGTGGAGGTGGATTGGAACCGGTCTGGAACTGGTTTTGGAGCTGTTTCTGCTTTGTTTTGTCTTGCCTCTCTTGTTCTGCCTGTGGTGCTTTGTTTGAGCCCAGCTCCAGCTTCTGCTGGCGACAAACCTGCTTTTTCCTCTTCTTTCCAGCACCTGCACCATTTTGTGTGGTTGTTTCTCTCCAACTTGCGATTTTTGAACCACCATAAAGAGCTTTTGTCTCATAATCATCGAACTCTAATCAAAGAGATGATTAGTAAGTTTCGAGTTAAAAGCAAAAATTCTTCGTTTATCTTTATCTGTGCTTTTCTACTAATTGTGCTAGTTTTACTTTTTGATTCTTTTCAAGCTCTAACAATTATCTGTTTAAGTAAGTTTAGTGCTTTAAAATAGCTTGCAACTATTTGAATATTATTTTAGTATGATTACCAATTTGAAATTATTCCAAATTATTCTATGAGTTTGGGTGATGGTTTGGGCAACTTTTTCACAATTATTTTTAATTTTTGTTAATTAATTGTTAATTGCTAATTTGTTTTTGATTTTGGTTCTCTGTTTTCAAGCGATTTGTGTTAAATTGTATAACTTTTTAATATTTTTTAACAATTTTTTTCACAATTTTTGATAACCTTTAATAATAAAATTATTTTAAATTCACTAATACTGCAATTTTATTCCAAAATTTGCTAGATTATTTTTGTCCAATTCAAATTAACTTCTCTGTGTAAAAAATTAGCTTACTAGTCTTTTAATGACCAATTCAGTTTTTAGTATTTTGTTTTGAATTAATATTTTTTTGTTTTTTTATTTTGCTTATTCCATGTTTTTTTTTAATATAAATAATCGCAAGTATCCTTGATCATCTTATTCTTTTTTTCTTCTTCTCATCTCTGCATTACTTCCCACTTCCTATTTCAAGTCAACACTTCAACTAACTATTCATACAATCTACTTTCCTATTCAATAAAACTAATCTACAAAACAAACAATATCTTATACAAATCAATTTCACTCATACTCATTATACCCACTTTTGAAAATGGATTACGAAAACGAATCTAATTTGGCAAATTACCCAATGATGCCCCCAATTCCTTACAACTATCTTACTGGCTATTATTCCAAACCAAGATACGTACCCTTCTGGCCTGTTAATTACTCCAATCCATACTTCCTTGAGTATGGTGATGAAGATGAAAAGACCAAAACCGATAAAAAGAACTCCGAAAAGAATAAAAAGGACAAACTCAGGTTCTTCAAAGTCCAAATCTCAAATTACGAGGAAAACATAACTGATTCCAATGGCGAAACAACTACAAAGAGAGCTGAGTTGCCTATTTTCTCCTTTCCATACGAAAGCTCTAAAAACTTCAATTCCTTCTTAGAAGCATTGAAGGGCGCTTATTCTGAGATTCAACCTTTGCTAACTCCTGAAAACATCTCCATTTTTATTCAAGAAGATAACGCCAGTGTTTTGCCTAGTCATTGGGAATCTTTTATCAAGCCTGATATCAATGTCTCTATTATCTTAAAGAAAAAGTCTTTGCCAAACAAAGTCAAGACAATGAAAACTCCTCATGGCTACTACTACGATCCAAAGATCCCAACTTATCTCTACAACATTAAAAAGAAGAAGTATTTTAAAATTAGTGATGAATATAAAAATGTCATATTCAAAAACTAAGAAAAACAACAACAACAACAACAACAACAACATATAACTTTACATTCAAAAAAAAAACTTCATAAAAAAAGGGTTTTTTTTATAATCATTACTGATATTCATTTTGTTTTTTATCATCATTTATTATCACTATTATCCACTACACTCTAATCAATTTTTTTTCTAATTCCAAACTTCCTTTTACCTCAACTAGAAGGTGATTTCTATTATCTCATTGATGTTTTTTTTCCTATTCTTTTTTGTTGCTATCTTAGTTTTTGTCTTTTACCTTATATCTTATACCCCATATCTTATTTTCTTTACTCACAACTTTTTTTTTGTTTTTTTTGGCTATTTCTTATACTATATTCCTTTTATGTTTGTCTTATACCTATCTTATTTTTGCTCAAGAGAGAAATATTATAACCTTATTACTTTTATATTGCCAATAGTTAGCTTCTACTTTATTTACTTTATTTCTTTTAATAAATCAACCTTTTCGGTTTGTCATCACAATTCTTTGTATCAATGTTTTGTATTTACAAAAGTAGTATTCAACTGAACAGCAACAGAACGCTCTGTCTATGAGCATATTACTGCAATTCTCTTCTTCAATCGAATATATCAGCGCTAACTCTCGCCAGCACCAGTTTGCCACGAAAATGTTGCAACCGTAAAACTTGTCAGTTATCAAACACCAAACTTAATGTTGATCCACGAACTTAGACTGAGCAGCTGAAACATTTGCGACTTCCAATCCAATTCCAGCACAAAATAAAGCCAAATGTTGCCTTGAAGGGAAGAACACAAAGAGTCAAAACAACCCAAACTCTAAGCGCTGAGCAGGTTTGGCCACTTTGGCTCGTTATTCAAGGAGAGAAGAGCTCTTTTATGATGTATTTTGAGTGCAAAAGAGTCAGAGTCAGAGACAACCTGGAGCAGAGCAGAAGATGGTGCATCTACAAAGAGAGGAAGGTCCATTTCGTTCTGTAGTCTGGTGTTTTTATATATTGATATTATATAAGTTATGAATTTTTTCAAATGAAGAAGTGGAAAGTGAAATTGTTAGATTTGTTCAGGAAAACTATGGGTTGATTTGAATTTTGTTTCCTTTATTTTTGTTTTAGATATATAAACAAACTTTTAAAGTTAATAATAGAAAGAAGAAAAAGAAAGAAAAAAAAAATAAAGGATTTGAAAAAAAAATATATTCCAAGATAAACAAACAAAACAGAATAACAAAGAGAGATGAAAAGCTCAAACGTAAAAAACAACTCAAAAATAAAAGAAGACTTAAAATAAAACAAAATTTTTCTTTTCTCGGCAGTATAAACAAAAAAAAAAAGATGAATCCCATTATTAATAATATAATTTGAATAACAATTAAATAAATAAGTAAATTAAAATAAAAAAAAATAAAAAAATAATCAATTAAATAAAAGAAAAATTGGTAAAAAAAAAAGGAAATTAATTTTTTTTAAGATAAAAAGACAAGGATTAAAAAAAATGACGATTAAAAAATACAATATTGTTAAAAAAAAGTTCAATATCTTTTGCTGTTTGTTGTTATTTTTATTTTTGTTTTCATTTGAATAAGAAATGTCAGAGTGAGTAAACAAAAATCTATTACCATTTTTTTTTTTGATTTTAATTTTAATTTTTTTCTATGATAAATCACTAATTTTTACAACAATAACAATAACAATAATAATAGTTAATAGATGGCAATGAATGAATACACAAAGTATTAATTAAAACCTTTTGCTAGATCTATTTTTCTTGCAGGTAAATTTTGATGGGTTTGCAAGTGCAATTGTAATTGTCTTGAAACGCTGCTGCCTCTCCTAACTTTACTTATATTACCAGTAGCAATATTTCTTAAAAATTCGTCTTTGTAGGACTCAGCGATTTGCCATTTCATGCCTTTACCAGGCTCGTCAGGTCTTCGTGGGACTTTTTCAAAGGCTTTATTCAAGGAGAGATTATGCCTTATTGAGTTTTGCCAGCCAGTTTTGCTGAATCTGTAAAAGGCGTAGTGCTTTGAAATCCAGTCATAAATTTCGCTTAGTGATAGTACGCCCTCTGGATTTGATAAAATAGCTTGGGTTATCATTGTAGCATAGGAATAGGGAGGTTTGATATCTTTTGATTCTTCTTTGGATAGGTCTTGTTCTAAATTGTGTAGTATGTTATTTTTGAGAGCTAGGGAGTTTGGGATCATCAAGTTATTTGAGGCGTTTATATTTTGTAGTAGATGAGTGTTGTTGATGTTGTTGTTGTTGGATGAGCCGTTTGATAAAAGGTTTGAGTTATTATGTGAGTTGATGTTGTTGTTATTGTTGTTGGATTGAGAGATGTTATTTATTAAGGGGTTGATGTTGTTGAATATTTGGAAGCCTTTGATGTGGTTAGCCATGAATGGGTAATTGACGTAGCCATTTTTATTTGAATTTGAGTTTGAATTGTTTGAATTGGTTTGATTAGAATTGTTTTGGTTTGAATTTGAATTTGAATTTGAAGATAGATTTGAGATTTGGAATTGATGGTTATTGGATGAAGAGGTTGGGTTGACTATGTTGTTGTTGTTGTTGTTATTATTATTATTATTATTATTATTATTATTATTATTATTATTGATGGGGTTTATGGTGGTGAAATTAGTGAAAGTTGATTGATTGTGAGGATTTGGGTTGTTGGATGGGTTTACTGAGGATAGTTTTGAGAATTTTGAGGATAGTTGTGATAGGATGGATTGTGCTATGGTGGGAGTTGATTCAGGCAATATGAACATCATTTGAGTTCCACCAATGTCTATAACGTTGCCTGAATGCAATACTTTTGGATCAGATGCTTGACCAAAGGGTATTCTTAGGTTATCGATTTTTGCACCATTTCTGCCAGTTACGTGGAGTTCCCAGTTTCTTGTTGAGAGGTTGTAGGAGATGGTCGCATGTTGTCTTGAGACGACTTTGGCAGGGCCTAGGTCTATGTCGACAGTGTTTGGGTTTGTATTGGAGGAGGGATTGGAGGTGGACTGGTTATTGCTGCTGCTGCTGTTGTTGTTGTTGTTGTTGTTGTTGTTGTTGTTGTTGGAAGGAGGAGGAGGAGGTGGTGGTGGTGGTGGTGGATTGTTGTTGGTGGAGTTGTTGGAGGACAGGTTGTTGACTTCAGTGTTTCTGCCTATTTTGATTTTTAGTGTTTTGACGTAGTAGGTCCAGTTTGAGCCAGATATTTTGGCATAGGCCTGAACTTCGGTAGCACTGTTTTTGTCATTGGCATACTGGTCAGATACGACAGTTTTCTGATCGGAGGGAGAGGATAGAGAGGCAGTGACGATGTTGATTAGTTCAAAGGGATCATCGTAGTTTAGATTGAATTGGTTCTGAATTGAAAGAAAATACAAGAAAGGTAGTGAATGGATTAGATTTTTGATTTGTTTTATAAATATGGAAGAACAATGTATTAATTTATACTTGATTCATTATATTTAGATAAATACTTATTTAATAGACGAAAGATTTGTAATTGATTTGATAATTCAAAGTGAGGGGAAGTCAAATAATAAGATGATAATCGATTGAGCTATTGAGATAAAGAGTGAATTGAATTGAATTGAATTGGATTAGATTAGATTGAATTGGATTGGATTGGATTGGATTGGATTGGATTGGATTGAATATTAAATAAGTAAATAAATAAATAGGATGAATGTAAGTGAAATAAATTAATAGATTGATAAAAGAGAAAAAAAAAGTAATGTTAGTAAGATATCTTATAGTGCATTTAAAATTTAAAGTAAAATTTGTGTAACAATGTTAAATATATTGGTAATCTACCGATATATTTAACAATAACAGTAATAATACAGTTGCTGCTATTATTGTTATGGTTTTTTGTTTTGTTTTGTTTACCTTTTCTTCGATCCGTTGAGTGGACTTTATGCTTTGAATTCCCATGACCATGAAAGCAGATGAGTAAGTGGTGAGTAGTAGAATAGAGAAACAGTAGAATGGAATAGAAAGAAAGATATAAGTAGGAGAATTAATAGGAATTCATGCAAGGTGATTGCGATTGAGTAGCAGTTGAAGAGAAAGAGGTTTTGTTGGAGTGGTTTGTTTTGGTTGATCTGATTTGATGGGATAATTTTTTTTTTCCGTCAAAATTTTTTCTTTCTGGAAAAAAACCAGTGGAAAGGGATGGAAAAGTGAAAAAACGAGCGAAAAAAAAGACGAGAGGGATGGGGGTGAATTGGGGAGAGGGAAACAAGGGAAGCACTAGGAGAACAAGACAGGAAGGACGAGAGACGAGAAGAGGAAGGGAGCGAGGAGTGGGAAGCTCAGGCAGCACAGGAGGCAGGAGCGAGGGACGGGGGAGTGGTCGAAGAGGTAAACAATGGAAAGGTAAACAGAAAAAAGGTAAACACAGGGGCGTGCCGCAGAGGCAGCAGCGGCGAAGGGCCCGGCGGCAGCGGCAGCAGGGGCCGGCGCAGGACGGGAAGCACATACCTCACAGGAGTCGTCGAGTGGGAGCTTGGAAGACTGCGACATGGCGTTGGTGGAGCAAACTCCTCTCAACAAATGCCAGCGGCCCCCAAATAGCCCGGCGTGAGCACGTGCTCTGAGCGTGACTCGTGTCGGCGCTTATTGCGCTGGGAGGGCCCTTCCCCAGCGGCAGCACAGGCAGCACAGGCACCATGAGCTATCTTCTCGACTTCCAGCACGCGTTGGTCAGCGTTGTTACCACCGACGGCAGGCTCTTTGTGGGTCGCTTGGAGGGCTACGACTTGGCCACAAACCTCCTTCTCGCCCACACACACGAGATGGTTGTGTCGCCCGACGGCACTGAGGTGCTTCCCTTGGGGCTTTTCATGCTTAGAGGCTCCACTGTCGTGTGTTGCGGCTTGCTTGACGAGGACCTCTACGCGAAGATCGACTGGGCTACGGTACGTACTGGCGGTTTTTCAACCAATGCAACATCAATTCAATCTTACTACTTACTAACACAGCTCCAATATGCTAAATGCAATATGCAATATGAATATAGGTAAAAGGCCAACCACTCAAAAGCACCAAAAACTCGTACTGACCACAGAGACACTAGTATCCTCCCTTGTCATAAACATCCTCACCATCCTCGCTGGACAAGGGTATCCTGTTCTGTATCATCTTAATTCCAATCTCCAACAAATAATCAATGGCTTCGTTATAAATTTTTGCTTTCCAAATATCTTCTCCCCAAACATATATTCCATGTCTCTTAACCAACACTGCCGTTGTATTGGGAAATCTTTCAATTGCCTCCTGGAGACTGTCCGTTAAATCCTCTTCAAAATTCTTGTTATCAATAATTGGAATAACTAAATTCTCGTCAAATCTCAAATTCCTCTTTTCTTTCAAAAATGGTATAGCTTTAATTTGCTCAATATGCGAGATCCGAAAATAATTCTGCTTCTTAATCAACAAACTAATCAAAACCGCATTTTGAGAATGGGTATGAATACACGCTCCACTGTTTCTCAATTTAAACGTAGACAAAAATAATGGTGTGCATTGACTGGGCTTATACGTATTTTTCAGCTCCCGAACTCCTTCAATCTCGTTGGGCGTGTACAAATATTTACCACTGTCTTTGTAGTTATCAATAAGCCCATCGTACCCGTACCCTCTTTTGATCTCATTTTCTTTCTCTTCGCCGTTTTGGTAATCTCTCAAAATAAATATCTCGTTGGGCTCGATCTTCTCCTTTTGCACCCCCGATGGCGCCAAATAAATTAGCTTTTTCTTTCCATCTCGAATGCTCAACCCTCCACCGGTCCCTGTAACCCAGTTGTTGTAATAAAAATCTTTACACAACAGGCAGATCAAATTAATAGGATGCTCTTCATCTTCAATATCGTACTCAACTATATCTCCAATGTCTCCGTTCTTATGAAGTCTATCATGTTTGCGAACCCCTTGAATTCTTTCAAGTTTTTCGGCTCGATGATCATAACCATGGTTGTGGACATGGTTGTGGCCATGGTTATGGCTTTTAAACCCATGCTTGCCGACTCTTTGTCGCTTCAGGTCCAGTTCCAACTCATATGTCATCTCCACTTAATATCCTTGTAGCACTCTTATAATATTCCCTTAGCTGGATCGAAAAACAAAACACTCCCACTTTCCTCGCTTTTATACTCGATGAGGTCCCACAGCTGTGGCCCCATCTCTTCTATCTCGGCTCACGCCATACACGTGGAAATGGCGTGAGGTTATCACCAGGCCTCCGCTATAGCCCTCTACTACAGACCCTCACCAACGGGGTCTGCGCTATTTTCTTATCAGCTCCCGCTTTTTTCTGGAATTGCTCAACTCTCGATTGCTTTCTGATACTTTAATAAATAGTTTAATACTTTAATAAATTAAATACTGTAATACAAGATACTTAAACAATTGACCATACTTTCAGCATACTTTCAGCATATTTCCAGCTGAAATTGCCTTTACACCAGATCTACCTCCAACCATTGCACCTCTGCTCCTGCTCTATTGTGTTTCACTGCCCAAACCAATCCTTCCACAAGCACTACCTCCCATTCTTTTTATTTGTTTTTATTATTATTATTTTCACTATTATTATTATTTTCACTATTATTTTCAAAATCTCTCAAATTTCACTACATCACTACTTATCTACTAAATTAATGACCCATATATATCCTTATATATATCTCCCGTTTTATTTCTTATTTCTTATTTTCTAATTTCATCATTTCATTCCACAATTTCTTAATTTCTTGATTTCTTAATTTCACATCAAAAATGGAAATCTTAGTCTTCTTTAATAACCTATTATTTTACTTTTCTTCCTTTCAATTTTTCTCTCTATTCCTAATTCCAATTCTTTTATCAATCAAAATCCAAAATTACAACAACCCAATCCTACTCAAATCTTGGATAAAATTTCTACTCATCCTATCCATCTACAACTTCTTTTCAAACAACACAAACCTCTCATCACTACCCATCACCACCACTATCATCAATACTTGTATCAACGCTTATCCTCGCATTAAATCATTCATACCCATTTTATCCAATCTATTCAACCTACTCTTCGTCTTTTGGCTATTCAACCCTTACTACCAAGGCTACATTTCTCTATTCAATACTCTATTCCTCAACTTCAACTTCTTCAACTGCTCGTTATTTCTCTTCAACACTATCTTGAAATCCACACACTTATTCCTATTAAACTCTCTCAATTACCTGCTTAAAAACTTACATTTCCTTAACAACATATCTTTTCTATCCAATCTAAATGACTTCCTAATCAACATCAACCAATTTATTACAATAAACAATTTCCACACCACCACTACCATAACCACCACCATCACTGCTAATAATGACAATTATATCATAAATTCAACCAAAAATAACTCAAACCAAAGCATAAATAGCGAAGCTGCTGATTGCTTCTTTTCAACTTTAAATAGCTACAAATCTCATCATAAAAGTAAATCTCTAGCAAGTGATCTTAACACCGATAATACTCACAATATTCTCAGTAACATTCACAATAATATTCATAATGTTACTGATATTGATAATGATAACGATAATAATATCAAATTATCTCATAATACAAAAAACTTATACCTAACATGTTTACTATTACAATTCAATGAAAAATTAAACTCAAACAAAATTATACTCAATATTGTAAAATTTCTTCTGGCTTGTCTTCAAAATATTTTCCACTTCTTCTTTTACCCATTCAATCTACTCTTCTCAAAATTTATTCCATCAACTCTTAATAATAACAATAATAATAATAATAATAATAACAATAAAAATCTAAAGCTAAACTTAAAACATTCAAACGATTTCAATGATTCAACCATAACAACTCTTAACTCAATCAATCTCGATACAAATAACAAAATTCATAATAAAACTCATAATAATCATATCAAAAATGTAACTTTCAGTTCTAAAGAAAACATAATAATACAAAACTCAAACCTCCATCAAAATCAATCCAATTCAAACACAAACTTAAATATATCAAACTCACTGGTAAAATTTAATATTCCAATGATTCATATCAATAATACATCTGATGGTACTTTTTCAAATAACCATAATAATCACAATCACAATCACAATCACAATCACAATCACAATCACAATCACAATCACAATCACAATCACAATCACAATCACAATCACAATCAAAATCAAAATCAAAATCAAAATCACAATCATAATGATAATTATAACTATAATTATAATTATAATGATATAAACGATAATGAAAATCACGACAACTCATCTACATCTCTATACTTTTTAAAAAAATTAACAAAATCCTCAAAATCAAGATCCAGATCAAAATCAAAATCAAGAAATTCCTTCGAAATTAATAACAATACAAGATTAAGATCAAATTCAAATTTATCATTCGACTCTAAACTTATATGCGATTCAACAACTCTGATCAATGAAGCAAGTATATCCCAAAATAACGATAATAACGATGCCTGCAGTGATAGAAGAAATTCCTTCAAGGATTTCTTTAGAAGATCTTCCACCATTAAATCAAGATCAAACAGTAGAGCAACTTCCCCGGTCGTAAATAACATATACCAACAATCTCGTTTATCCTTCTCAAATAATAATATCACTAATAACAATACAAACATTATTAATAATAGTTTAAATCTAAATTACTTAAATGCACCTGAAAAAGTCAAGACAAGAGTTGAAAGACAATCATCATCTACATCAACTATTATGCCATTACTAAATGACCATTATTTAATCAAGAATCAATTAAATCATAAGAAATCATTAAGCGATCACATTTCCATTGAACCAATAATAATTAATAATAATAATAATAATAATAATAATAATAATAATAATAATAATAATAATAATAATAATAATAATAATAATAATAATAATAACAAGTTTAAAATGAACAAAGAATATATTAACAATAATACACCGTTTGTAACGCATGGCATATATAATGGAAATAAGTTAGATACTCCATTTGTATATGACAAGCAGAAAAATTTGACTACCTCCACTAATAATAATCAGGAAAATCAAATAAAGATGAGAAAAAAATCCAGCACTTTTTCATTTGGAGATACTTCAACGCCATTAAAATGCATTCCATCATTAACAGTGTATACTAATAATGTTAAAATATCTGATTTAAAATTCAAAAAAGCACGAAGTAAGAGTCCCACTTTAAAGAATCTTGTTCATAAGCTTAATTCATCTCGAAGATCATCTTTTGAGGATATAAATATAATTAATAATACTAATTATGACAATGATAATGATAATGATAATGAAAAGTTGAATAAAGAAAATAAAGAAAATAAAGAAAATAAAGAAAATAAAGAAATCAAAGAAATCAAAGAAATCAAAGAAATCAAAGAAATCAAAGAGCAAAACGATAGAGATGTTCAGAAAAGTAATAGTAATAGTAATAGTAATAGTAATAGTAATAGCGATAAAAATAATAATAAAGAAAATGAGGATGGTTGGATAGAATTAATTTATAAGTCAGGTAAAAAATTGGGATTTGGAAGTGAAAAAAAAATTGAGGAGGAGAATAAAGATCAAGGTGTGAAAATTAGTGATTCTAATAGCTCAGACCAGGCTGATGATACACAAAACTCAGTTGTTGAGCTGAAAGTGAATTCAAGCTCAAATTTCAATGAAAATAGTAAGAATAATCGAAAAATTAATCATACACCAATCAAGACATTAGAGGAACCCTTTACACCGAGTGGTAGTACGAATAATGAAGGAACACCAAAGGCTATCCATAAATCAATTAAAAGTTATACATCAATTGGGATAGGAAATCCATCACCTGGAATAAGAACTATGAATTTAAATTACACAAGAAAGGATAAACTTCGACATGAGAAGGAGAGACAAAAATTCAATCAAAGTTATGAGTATATAGGTGACTTTCCAGGTGGCGGAAGCAACATTATTAATAATTACAGCAATTATACCAATTACAGGGAATTACCTAGATCAAATTCAGCAATAAGTTTATCAAAAAGATTAACAACACAAACAAGTTTTGTTAATTTTACACAAAAAATGGCAAGGACAATGACTCCCTCACTAATTACAGAAAACAGTATAGAAAGAATCACGCCTCGAAACAAAACCAGCAATAGTAGTACCAACAACAGCACCAGCATTATTCAGATTCCAGAGGACGACTACCATTTCTTGTCGTATGAGTATCCAGTGAAGAAAAGTCTACACATGAACACAAAAAGGGCCGAACCACGAGGAGAACAAACTTTAGACGAGAATTCTGGCGAACTGGTTGGACCCGGAGGTGACAGCACAACCAGCAAGAACAGTAAAAACAGCAAAAACAGCAAAAACAGAATTCTGATGAGACGCTGGCAGTCGCTCACGAAGAACATACGGATACGATCCGGGACGAAAGATGGCCGGGACGACGAGTACGACACTGATGATCATCGAGAGCTGTACTTTTACGGCGACACGCACTTTTACAGTGAGACCAGCGTCGCGACGCGAGATGTGACGCGCAGACATCGCCACTCTCATCTGCACACCAGCCTCCTCAACCATCGCTTGAGCGCGCACTTGAAGCGGTTGAAAAATGGCAACGTCTACACAAACTTTGCGGAGGAGCCTTATGTTCTTCCGCTGGCGCAGTAGCACGGGGCTACCACGCAATTTCAATCACGTAAACGGTGTTTTGCGCATTTTGCACGGGGTAGCCACGAGAACTTCAAATGTAAACAAAAACAAACACAAATCAAAACAATCAAATCAACAAATTTCAACATCTGTTTGATCAATTTCTGGTTCTCTTCGAAACCTTTCCATTGCCTTTGGTTCTCTTCAATTCTCTTATACAACTCAATAAGGGTGCTCTTCTCTTCTGGTCTCACTTCTCTCTATCTCCAATATTCAGTTCTTATTCAACAATGTCCAATGTCTTGAAGGACTCTAAGAGACCCAATTTATACCCAGACTTGAAGATTAGTGCTGATATTTCAAAAATAAAAGAGAGTTTATCTCCAGTTGTATGTAATTTATTATTTTTTTTTTAAAAAAAAAATTTCTGGACTCATTTATAATATCCATCAACTTTTTTTAGCAATTATACTAATTACTTTTTTTCATTTTATTTTCCTCTTTTGTTTCTCGTAGAGAAGGTCCCCAGGCCGATTAGTGGATGAAAATGGTAACCCAGTTGGTATAAATAAACCTCCAGAGAGAGTAATATCTCCAGTTAAATTCATCTCTTTAAGAAAATATGATAAAGACATTTTTAGATCACCTATTGTGAATTCAAATATTAATCAAAATAATATAAGTTTGACTCAAAGTGTTGATAGAAATTCGGTTTTTACTAAATTAAAATTGATCGAAAGATCATCTAGTTCCAATACACACACAAACTTTAATAGATTCTCTAATAATCATAATATTAAAAATTCAATTTATGATACTCCTTCAAGATTTCGTTCAAGAATCAACAATAATATAGATAATTCAATCGTGAAATTATCTCATAGTATAAACTCAATTGATCATAAAATTAATACTCTTAATAATTTTAAATTTAATAATATTAACAAGAATAATAACGATAATCGTGATAACGATGATGATAAAAAAAGAATTTCTTCAATTAAATCAATCAATAAGATCACTAACATTGATACTAATCTTATTAATAACGAAAAAACTAATTTAAATTCAACTTCAATTTCCTCAATCTCTTCAATCTCAAGTTCTCCCATTCATAATTCTTTATCGCATATAAACGTCAATAAAAATAAAAATAAAAATAAAATAAACATGAACATGAACATGAACATGAACATGAACATGAATATAAACAGTAGTCCAACTAATAAATTGTTAATTGAAAAAACACCTAAAAAATTAAAATCTTGCTTAAAATTACCTACCAAAAAAAATAGCATCTTTGAAGATGATCAAAAAAATCTTGAAATTAAAAAACTATTAAATACTATTGATGCCGACAAAAATGATGAAAAGGCTTTAGAACAAATTTTTACCAATTACAAGATTTCTTCTCTATCATCCAAATCTTCTTTATTATCTTTATCACCAGAAAAATCTTCAATTGACTCAATTGAATCCAATTCTTTGATTCTGAGCTCTTATTCAAATAATAACAATCACAACAATAAGAACGATAATAATAAAACTCTTGCAGGAAAAAAAAGAAAGTCTGTTACGTTTGAAACGACCATTGAAGAATTAAATGAGGACAATTCAATAACTAATAATAAGAAAACTAAATTTAATGAAGATAATAACAGTAATAATAGCGAAAATCAAAATATTCTTTTAAACAATATTGAAAATAATATTGAAAATAATATATTTTTCAATGAACATGAAAATGAAAATGAAAATGAAATTTTAGAAAATATTTATAATATAACTGAAAAAATGATTAATCAAAACAGAAAAATTAAATTGAAGAATATTCATGATCATTCAGCCAATGGATTAATTAAACGTAATAAAATGATTAATGATAGATTAAAATTAAGATTGCAATTTCCGTCAATTCCTCAGCCAAAGATAAAGACATCCGAAATCTTTAAAGATAATTTAGATAATAATGGTCAAAATGAGAATGATAGTACAAATCATAATAATGACCAGAATCAACAAATCGATAATAATGATAATAATAATGATAAAAACGATAAAAATGATGATAATAATAATTCAATTGAAAGAGAACGAGAAAAAGTGAGAATCGTTAACATGAATAGAAATAAAGTCGAGACTAAATTGAATTGTTTAATACGACAATGTTCATCAAATGCTACTAATATTCAGTTATTAAGCACCCAGCTTAACAATTTAAGTAATAAACAGATGGAAATAATGAAAGAAATTAAAGAGTTGAAGAGGATGCTACTATAATTATATTATAATTATACTATAATTATGTCATAATTTTTTTGATATATTTTTTTATTTTTTATTTTTTATTTTTTATTTTTTATTTTTTTATTTTTTTATTTTTTTATTTTTTTTCTTTTTCTTTTTTTTTATTTTTTTTTCATTTTTTCTTGTTTTGATTAATTTTTTTGGATAATTGAAAAATATAAGCTTTGAATTCATTCAAATAAGATAATTTTGAAGACTTGTATTTTGTTGCATACTCATATTCCTTTTCGATACAAATTGTATTTGGATTTTTACAGTCTGGGTTAAGAATTATATAATATTTATGTAATAGTTTTAATAAATTTAATCTGATATCAACAGGAGCAGGACCAACAGGCAAGATATTCCTTGGAGTTAAGAATTTAGCATCAGGAACAGGCTTGCTTAATTTCAATTTCTTTTCGTTCTTATGCTGAGGATTGTTGGTATCACTTTTACTGTCTATCGGGAGAGGTCTCTTCGGGCTATCAGAAGCGCTGACAGAGTCTGTGGCTTGAGCAGCCAACTTCTTCTGAAGATTAAGTAGCTTGATCTTCTGGTCCACTTTCTTTCTTCTCTCTGTGACCTCGTTCAACTCTTCAACCCAATAGTTTTGTTTCTTAATCTTTATTCCTTCGATCTCATCAGGCTGGTTGTGCTCAATAAGCGCTGTGTCTCCATGGTAGAACAAGCAGTTGACTAATGTGCAATTCTGAGCAGGACAAGGTACGTTTCGAAACAAGTTCAATCTTGACTTGAACATTATCGCTATCTCTAACGCTGATTGATTATCTCTGATTATTGTTGATTATTGTTGATTACTTTTGATTACTTTTGATTATCTCTGATCTGTTCAATCACTTCCGAACGTTTTTCATCTCCCGCGGCCCGCGGAATTTCTCCCATTTCAACAGGGCAACTTTTTTTAAACGCTGACTGAAAAATTTTTCGATATAAAACGCGGTTTTTCTTCTCTTTCTTCTCTCTTTCTTGTTTCTTCTTTTTCTCCTTTTCTTTTTTGGCAAACACTGCCTTTCCAGATTTGCCCTACTTGTGCGCCAGCGTCACCAGCATCACCAGCGCTGTCATCCGCCTCACAACTGCTCTTTTAAAGCTTCTTTTTATCTCATCGTCAACATGTCTATCATCCAAGACAACACCACCGCTCTTGACTTTCTCTCCAGTTACGACTCCAAAGATGGCCTCAATGTCAACCAATTGATGGACTCTAAGACCAGAGGTGGGCTTACCTACAATGATTTCTTGATCTTGCCTGGCAAAATCAACTTTCCATCCTCTATTGTCAACTTAGAATCCAAATTGACCAAAAAAATCACTCTCAAGGCTCCCTTTGTCTCATCACCAATGGACACTGTCACTGAAGTTAATATGGCTATCCACATGGCTCTTCTTGGTGGAATTGGTATTTTGCATCATAATTGTTCTCCCGAAGAACAAGCTGAAATGGTTAGACAGGTCAAAAGATACGAAAATGGTTTCATAAACAACCCAGTGGTTGTTTCTCCAGATTTCACTGTTGGCGATGTGAAAAAGTTAAAAGAATCTTTAGGTTTTGCTGGATATCCAGTTACTGGTATGTATATCTGCGTTGCTTTTCAATCAATTTCACTATCATTTTATTGTTTCCAATTGTTTTTTTATAATGATGATCATCAAAAATTTAATAACTTTCGTTCTTCCGATTATTGAACAAACGTTCTTGTGGAAATCTTATTCAATTCTGAAATTATTCCTTAAACAATAAAAAAAATATACATTTATCGAAATTATTAAATCTTACAATAAAATTTTGAAATTTTGAAATTGTGAATCAATCAAAATTATAACTCCAATATCATCAAATTGAATTTTTACTAACTGACTCATAATTTTTTTCTATTTTACCTCGCTTAGAAAACGGAAAGTTCCCCGGAAAACTAGTCGGTATTATTACATCTCGTGATATTCAATTTCACGAAGATAATTCAACAAAGGTCTCTGAAATTATGACAACTGATATAGTCACTGCTCATAAAGGTATTGGTTTACATGATGGCAATGAAATATTAAGAAAATCAAAAAAGGGTAAATTACCAATTGTCGATTCAAACAATAATTTGGTCTCTTTGTTATCAAGAACTGATTTAATGAAAAACTTAAATTACCCAAATGCTTCAAAATCCCCTCAAACTAAACAGTTATTATGTGGTGCCGCCATTGGTACTATCGAAGCTGATAAAGAAAGATTAGCAAAATTGGTTGAAGCTGGTCTTGATGTCGTTGTTCTTGATTCCTCTCAAGGTAATTCTGTTTTCCAATTAAATATGATTAAATGGATCAAACAAACCTTTCCAGATTTACAAATTATTGGTGGTAACGTTGTAACTAGAGAACAAGCTGCTTCTTTAATTCAAGCAGGTGTAGATGGTTTAAGAATTGGTATGGGTTCAGGTTCAATTTGTATCACTCAAGAAGTTATGGCTTGTGGTCGTCCCCAAGGTACTGCTGTATTTAATGTCTCCGAATTTGCAAATAAATTCGGTGTTCCATGTATTGCTGATGGTGGTATTCAAAATATTGGTCATATAACTAAAGCAATCGCTTTAGGTGCATCAACTTGTATGATGGGTGGTATGTTAGCAGGCACTACTGAATCTCCTGGTGAATATTTTTATAGAGATGGTAAACGTTTAAAATCTTATCGTGGTATGGGTTCAATTGATGCCATGCAAAAGACTTCTGTCTCTGGTAATGCTGCTACGTCTCGTTATTTTTCGGAATCAGATCAAGTCTTAGTAGCTCAAGGTGTTTCAGGTTCAGTTGTCGATAAGGGTTCCATTAAAAAATATATTCCTTATATTTTTAATGGTTTACAACACTCTTGTCAGGATATTGGCGTTCAATCATTAGCCCAATTAAGAGAAGAAGTTGATAATGGTGATGTTCGTTTTGAATTTAGAACTGCTTCTGCTCAACTTGAAGGTGGTGTTCACAATTTACATTCATACAACAAACGTCTTTATAATTAAATTATAACTTAATTATAAGCTTTTTCTAACACTTTTTTTTAACTTCTCATAAATTTTTTTTTTCTACTTTAATTATATATTCTCTTCGGCTGTTATAAAAATATTTTTCTCTTTGTATAATTTTTTAGATTTTAATATATTCGCACTATTTCGTTAATACCTTAGTTTTAATCTCATCCTCAATTAATAAATATATTAGTTTATTAGTTTATTTTTTGTGTTTTACAGTATATTAAAAAGGTTTTAATGGTCAAATGAATTACAAAATTTGTTCAATGGAAGAAAACTGAGTAAGTAAACAACAAATTCATTTATAAGACAATAAATATAATATACAAGAATTTAATCATATAGATAATAATTATGAAAACAAATTCTTTATAATTCTTTATAATTCTTTATAATTCTTTATAATTCTTTATAATTCTTTATAATTCTTTATAATTCTTTATAATTCTTTGTAATGTTTTATAATTTTTTCTTTATCGATTTTGTTTTAATTTTTGTGACAAGTTTTGTGAAAATTTCTTGATAATAATGTCAATGATAATTTTTTTTGTTTCAATTATTTTTAGTAAAATACACCCATAAATACTCAATTGAAATTAAAAGAAATCATATATAAAAAAAAAAGATTAAGTTTTCGGTTTTTGTTTTAAAATAGCTTGGATTGCAATTAGTTTTTAAATTTTATGTGTTTTTATTAATAATATTAAAATATATTTAAATAGATATTTTGAATTATTAATTAATATGATTAAACAACTTCTAAAACTTCATCTTTAAAACCAGTAACTTTCTTTCCTTGTTCGTCAGTTGAAGATTCACCGTGTAAAGATAATAAAGCACCTAAATCGAATTTTGGTTGTTTTAATAATTTGACTTTTCTAATGTGAACATCTTTTAATGGATAGTTTGAGTGAGTTGATTTTTCAATTTCACGACCAATAATTTCTGGAATCAATTTAGAGGTTAATTGAGATAAAGTACAGTTGGAGACTTCTCTTCTCATAATTTCAATCATTTTCTTTCTAACTTCACGGATTTGAGAAGTTTGAGCATAAGTAGTTTTTTTGATTTGATTTTGTTGTCTTTTGGTGAAGGCAATTGCAAAGACTCTTAAAACGTAGTCATCAGCGGTTTTAACAGTGACATTTGCTTCGATAAGAGTTTGCCATTTTCTGACTAAAGATCTTAATTTATCGGTTGTAAAATCCATTCCATGGAAATTGGTTAATAAATTTTTACCTTGGACTTCATCGACTCTTAATTTGACTTTTCTGTAGGAATTGTCACCTTGAGATTGTAAGTCAGCTAAACAAACTTCAACAACACGACCTCTTAAACCATCAGCGGCATTTTTAAGACCAGTTGAACGATTGATTAAAGTCTTACCAACGTTTCTGTTATCAAAAGTTGATGGAGCTTTAATATCATACCATTCTTTTCTTGTGAATGGATCAACAACCTTCTTCTTAAGACCTTTTTTACCTTTGGAAAGTCTCTTATTTTTACCTACAGCCATAATTTGTCTTCTTTATTTGTGATATTAATAATAGATAGTAACAATAATCAAACTAACTACTTAATTTTTAATATTAATAAGGTCCTGATTATTAAAATAAATTTGTGAAATCAACACAATAGTGAAAATTGGAAAATTGATAGTATAAGCATGAGAGCCAGGGCTTTAAGCGGGAGAGCAGCTATGAAAGAGCACACGAAGAGAAGGAAAAAGTAGTCACACTTCACGTGCCAAAAGGTACTACTGCGAGAAAGCACACTCAACAAGACACACGCGGTCTCAGTTCAGTTAAATACATGATAGCCCTACTTGGTAACCCGTGACAGATTTTAAAGCTATTCAAGAACGTGATCAGTGCCCTCGGATATAGTTGTTATCTACCTTTAATTTACCCTCAATGGAGAAAATCGATATCTGAATCTAAGTAATTTAAGTAGAAGCGAAAAAGAATTGAAATAGAATTAGAGATTTAAGAATTTTACTCCTTCACATAGAAACCAACCAAGCACTCGTCAAGCATTCTTTCAGCATTGATCCAAGAGTGGTACTTGTTGAATAGCAATGTTCCATCTTTCCCAGCGCACTTCATCAAGTAGTCGACACCTCCAGGATGATATTTGAGATAGGAAGTAATGTTATAGACTTTGTTATGGATGCAGATCCAGCAGTCCTCTTCTTTATTGTGTTTCTTCAACTCCAACTTGGTAACTCTTAAAGGGAATTGATCTTTAGGAATACCTCTAAGGTTGGCACCGGAGCACTTTAGGTTTCCCCAATCGAGTTGGGAATATCCAGGCTCGACTCTAAACTTCTGTCTTGGAAGTGGTCTCTTTGCAGATAAAGACGACTTTGATGGCGGTGGTAAAGATGGCACAGACAATGAAGAGCGGGAAAATCTGACATTCAAGTTATTGTTTCTCTGCCCCACATTTAGATTGTTGCCTAATCTGTTATTCACCATTTGAGGATTAGCATTATTAATACGATTAACATTATTGGCATTCAAATTAACATTGTTAGACTCGAGGAAAGTGTTTATTTTATTGGAATCATTGAAATTTAAAATAACATTGTTTCTTTGGCTGTTGCTGGTATTGATCGTAGGAGCATAGTTGTTACTGGGTCTTAGTATGCCCAACCTCTGACCAACGGGCATAAACAACGAGCCGCTGTTATTGTTACCACTGCTAGTGTCGTTTTTAGTATTGTTAAGTTCCATTTGCACCATTTGAAAACACCTGAGCTGTAAAATAATAGTCGAAATTACAATTGCTAAAACCTGCCACTGGAAACCTATATCTGGGGAGTATAGATGCCTGTCGCCATTCTGTCCTTTGATAGTCGACGGATTAATAATACAGCTTTTCTGTTACTCTCATCGCAACATAAGATTCCCTTCTAGCCCAGTTTGGAGAACATTACCCTGAGCTGAGCACACGCGTACAAATGCATAGAATACGCTGATGTACATCAACGCAATGCACTGCATCATGTGATAAATGCATATTCACGCGTGTGATCAAACACCGAACTTCTTCCGACCTGTTTTTTTCTTATTTACGGTACACTTCCGTCCCATCCCGTGATTGTTTACCTGAGCTGCGTTTTCTCCAAAAGTAAACAAAACAGATCAGCTCCTACAAATTTTGAGGAAGGAACATTTTGAAATTGGATGAATGAACAATAAACAGCAAAATATCAACAATTGCCATTGGACATTGACTTTCCCTTTTTGATCAGAGATATATTGCACATTGTGATCCAGACTATATTATAACCAATTTATTGCTACGCTTTTTGCTTGTTGCTTTCGCATCTTTTTACTGGCCACCATCCCCCTTAGCTAGATGTTCATTTCTTTTGTTTATATTTATTTCCAATAACAACACCAACACCAATCCCTATTTATTTATTATTTATTTCTTTGTTTGTTTATATATACCCTACCATCTCTTTCCTTCTCCAAATGCAAATAATGCTGAACACTGACACCACAGTAACCTCTTCTAGTATCCCCAGACCCTCTAAATCTAATACCAGATCTTCCAGGAACAAATCTACCACCACATCCAACAATAATACTGACAACTCAAATGCGTCCCATTTTAAAGACAAAGACAAAGATAAAGATAAGGAAAAGAATAAGAACTCTATTTTAAATACCTCTTCTTCTTCTGTATCTTCATCATCTACCACTGCAACCACTTCAACTACCAAATCCTCCTCCTCTTCCTCCTCTATTTCTTCCAGCAGTCTCGCTAATGATAATAATGACCATAAACCTTACGGCAATAAAAACACCACCAGTAACAGTAACAATAAAACAGTACATTCTTCTTCGTCGTCTAAACCAAAAAAAAACTCAGTCGCCCTAAAAGTTGGACTTATTGGCGATGCCCAAATTGGCAAAACCTCTTTAATGATAAAATACGTCGAGGGTTATTACGATGAACTATACACTCAGACTCTAGGTGTCAATTTCATGGAAAAGACGATTCAAATTAAAAACAATGAAATCACCTTTTCAATTTGGGATTTGGGGGGCCAAAAGGAATTTATCAACATGCTACCTTTGGTCTCAAATGATGCTGTCGCGATCTTATTCATGTTTGACTTGACTAGAAAATCAACCTTAAATTCAATTAAAGAGTGGTATAGACAAGCAAGAGGTTTCAATAGAACTGCTATTCCTTTTTTAATCGGCACAAAATTTGATCTTTTTATAAATTTTTCCAACAAAGACCAGGAAGAAATTACAAACCACGCTCAGAAATTCGCAAAAGCAATGAAAGCATCTTTAATTTTTTGCTCAACTTCTCAATCTGTTAATATTCAAAAAATCTTTAAAGTCATATTAGCCAAGGCTTTTGACTTAAAATTATCAATTCCTGAAATCTCAAATATCGGTCAACCTTTACTTTTATATAATATAGATTAATCTTAATAACAGATAAGAAAAAAACAAAAAACAATGCATTAACAAAAGAAACAAAAGAAACAAAAAAAATTTTAAAATTTAATCAAAATATCTAAAAAGCAAAAATTAAACACTAAAAAATGAAAAAAAATAATTTAAAAGGTATATTATATTGCATTACTACATATTGTGCCATATATATTATAAGCAGTAATAAATATAAATATTGAATTTTAAAATATGATAATTATATCCATCAAACTAATAACGGCTTTAAATCATTATCTTTCAATAATGAGTTATATATATCATCATCAGCAATTGCTAATTTAACTAATTTCAACCTTTCACTTCCAAAATTTTCTTGGGCAATAATTCCACTATCATTTAGTTGATTAATTATATAATAAAATCCTCTAATTCGAATATTATGACTTCCATATAACAATTCTATTAGATCTTTATTTCCGATCAAATCGTTATATTTCATTTGATTAATATCATCACTATCATCATTATCATTTTTGTCACCACCATTACTAATACTATTATTATTACTATTATTATTACTATTATTGTTACTATTATTGTTACTATTGTTATTATTCTCACTAACTTTTTTATTCTCGGATATATTGATATTTTTGATAAAATCAATATTTAATAATCTTTTCATTTCGTCAATTATATCCCCCAATTGATTTTCTGCAACACCACTTCTTTTCTTTCTTTTCAACAATGCTATTAAAAATAACTTTGAAATAAACGGTAAATTTATTATATATTGTGATATTGGAGAATTTGTAGATTCCTGTATGGCTCTTGTAATATTGTTGATTGTAACTGCATGATGCTTGTTTTCTTCTGAATCAGAGTCCATTTCGAAATCCATTTCATCTTTTTTTGTTTTCTCACTGTTTTTATATTTTTTTTTACTAATTTTCTTAATTTTGAGTTTTTCTTGTCGTTCTTTTTCTTTTTCTTTTTCCTCTTTTAAATATTCAAACTCAGCTATTTCAACAGCTCTTCTACAAATAGTCAATGCTCTTCTGGCATCACCACTAACACTTGCAACTTTTCTGGAAGCAATTTCGATTGCATCGTTTGTAAATTTCAATCTTTTTTTTAAGTTTGTATTTAATTGTTGCATTGATTCTAATCGAAAGTGAATGATTTTCTCCAATTGTTCAAATGTATATCCAGGAAACTGAATTCTAGTTAATCCTAGTCTGGATGAAATTTTATTTGATAATAACCTTTCTGGTAAATCCATTGTATTGGCAACCGCAATGATAATTAATTTTGAATTTAAATATGTTGGCCAGTTGAAAAAATTATACATTATTGATTGGTTTTTAGTGACTATTTGATCTAACTCATCTAATAAGACAACTAGGGTATCTTTTTGTTTTTCTGAATCCTTAAAGTATTCTTCTAAAGAAGAAGCAGCAGTTCCAGGTGATAGCCTTTTTCCTGATATAGATTTCCATAAAATCTCATAGCATTCTTGAGGGTTTACTAATTTTAACCCATTGATTTCTAAAAACTTGAAATTTTTAATAAAATCTTGATTGAGATCTTGTTCAATATTATTAACATCATCATCATCATCATCATCATCATCATCATCATCATCATCACTATCCATTGGATTTTCTGAATTAACATCTGAGGGTGAGGATGAGCTTGAATTAGTAGTATGCTTCGAACTGGCAGATGGGTTTAAAGTAGAGTCCAAAATAATGCCACTGTTTTTTCTATTACGAGATTTTGTCTTTCTGGTATTTAATTTTGGTTTAATTTTGCCATTTTTAAAAGAGTTTGTATTGTTTTTATTTTTTAAATGGTCCAATGTTAGATTTAGTCTTGTTTGTAACTGATGTATAACCTGACGAACGGTTGCAGTTTTACCAGTTCCTGGAGTTCCACTAATATAAAGACAGCAAGAGTTTCCTTCATTAATCATGCTGTCAAGAGTCAAATATATTTGAGCAAATTCTTCCTCTCTACATGGCAAACAAGCTAAAGCTGCCGAAGTGTGTAATTGAGATCTAGCTTTTTCAAAAAGATTTGTTTTCTCTTGAATAGATGAGTTGATGAAATCGGTAGTTGTATCCACAGAACCGAATTGCAATTTTTTCCCCTTATTTCCACCTTTATTAACAATTCTCACTGGAACTTTTGGTGTTGAAAATTTAAGAGGTGGTTTTCTTGGGGACTTTTTAGGAGATTTTTTGGGAGAAATTTTTGAAGATAAAGTGGCAGATTTCCTTGAAGCTTTTTTAATATTGTTTTTTGTTGATTTTTTTGGGAGGTCAGAAATATCCTCACTTTCATCCTCAATATAACTTGAAGTGTCAACGTCTTTGGAAGTGATCTCGAACTCATAGGTGTCTTTGTTATTAGTTTTATAATTTTCCTCAATTTCAATATCAGAGGTTGAAAAATCATCGGAAATGTCAATATCTATTGCAATCTCATTTTGGATTGAATTGTTGGCATTTTTTCGTGGAGGACTTGAAGTTTTAGGTCTTTTCTTTTGTTGAATTGAGCGAGAATCATGCAAAGTTTTTCTTTTTCTGACATTTAAAACTTCTGTAAACCTCAATGATTCCAAAAAGTTCAAGAAGTTGAGAGGATTTTGAAGAAATTTTCTGTAGATTCTATCCCAGTTAAAAGGCTCAATTGTGAATTTTTTAGTTGAATAATCGAAAGCCTTTCTCACAAAAAAAGTAGAGTTGTCAGTTTTTCTGTTTTTCAATTTTAAATGTGAGCTATTTGAGTAGATTTTGATGTTGTTCTCAACGATATCGGTAGGTTTGATTGTGAGTTCAACATTTGACAAAAATATTTCATTCAGGTCAATTTCAGTGGGCTTGAAGATGGAAGACTCAACAAATGGGCTATCCTGCTCTAGAAAACAGATGATGTCGATGGTAATAGCATTCAGAGTGTCTTTGTGGATTTTTTTGACCAACCCAATCGACCTTTTGTTGTAGCTGTCTTTGAAGCCTATTATGTCGCCTATCTTGATGGCAAACCTCTGCCCTGAATTGCCCCCAACGGTTACAGGGTGGGCTGCTTCTGTTGTCCTGCTTCTGGTATTTACCATTTGGAAACAAAACCTCCCTGCAACAACATCCAATTGACGAAAGCACAGCGATATTCCACAGCGATATTCCACAGCGATATTTCACGAAGACCTCAAAAAGATCTCTTACAGTGGTTGGAATTCTCGTGAAGCAAATGTTCAAATCGGGTAATCGAAAGGAGAAAGCTGTTGATGAGCTCTCAGTTCTCCAGTTCTTCAGCATCAGAAACACCAGAAACACCTCGACGACACCAGCTCTCCAATTCACCATGGCCCCAGCCTTTGCTTCCAAGCAAAACCTTTCTAACGCCCTTGCTGACTTCAAAACCATGCTCTTCACCGAGAAGTCGTTGCTATACTTGATGAGGCTCATAGCTCCCATGGTAATTGTGATTGTCTTGACTCTCCAGAGCAAGAGCAGCATCCGAAGTGCCACATCCCTCTATATGTTCACTCTTAACTGCAACCACGTCACTGTCGCTGATGGTCTTTTTGCTGCTCTAAGGAACAAGCAGCAGTCCAACTATTACAGAACTGGCGACACCTATGGCATTGGCTTCACAACCTCTGAAATCAACATTTTGACTGACTATACCACTGACCAAGTGAAAGAATGTCCCCAGATAATATTGTCCAACTTGCACGAGTGGTGCTATGGTGATTACACTCTTAGCGATAATGACGACTTCGACAGCTCTAATAAGGAGTTGAACTACTTTTCAAATAAAAACTTTACAATTACTGAATGCTATTCGCTAAACAACACTTTTTTCAACTACGTTCAAATGCTAGATTACATCGACTTGACTATCATTCTAGATTACGCCTATAATGGCGATTTTTCCAACGAAAACTCAGACTATGCAAAATTAACAGCTACTCTAAACAAAAATAAGCCAACATTGTTGACTTTATCAGACATTGGCTTGTCTTCAAATTGTGCCTTGATTATCTTTGCATTTTGCATTTTTTTTTTCAGAAATCAACAAAAAGTTAAAAAAGTATTAAAACATGTATGTGGTTTGCTTTCACTTGTTTCTTTGGCAACAATATGCCCTTCATTTATTTTGATATACATTCAATCCATTCAAGTAAAACGACAAATTCAACAAGAATTGAGTGATTTTGGAATATGGCTACACATGGGTCGTCGATGGTTTATTTTATCATGGACCTGTTTTACTCTTGCTGTGCTCTCCTTTGGAATCTGGGGCTTTACAACTTGGCTCATCTTACCCAGAGATCAATCCCCAGATACATATCACAATTCTATATCTCTTGATCACAACTATTCCTATGAAAATCGTCACGAAGGTACTTCCAAGTCTCATACCACCAACAATCCAACCCTCATAAGCTTTAAAAGTCATTCTCCAGAGAATTCAAAAGTTAACGTTAACGTAAAAGTGCTAAACTCTTCAACATCTTCTGTTGATAAATAAATTCAAACACCCAAAATTACCTTATTTTTTTGTTTGTTTTTAATGACACAAAAATCTTTTATACTTTTATCATTATATCTTTTATTTGGATACACAAAAAGACACCTTTATTTTTTTTTTTCAAAAATTTATCTCTGACTATTTTTTAATTGATTGAAAATGTTTTAAAAAATCAATAATGAAACAATCAATTAATTTATCTATAAAAGTTGATTGAAGGACTAAAAGATTAAAATTCCAAAAGACAAAAACACCCAAACACCCAAACACAAAAATCACTATCATAAAAGCAAAATATAAAATAAAATAAAATAAAATAAAATAAAATACAAAATACAAAATACAAAATACAAAATATAAAATATAAAATATAAAAAAGATTTTCAAAACAGAAATATTAAAATGAATAGCAGTTCCTTTTCAGGAGCAATATTAAATTATTGGTACCACATCGATGAACAATCAGGCACTCATACAAATGCTTCAATTAAAACAAACGATACCGCAACCTCAAAATTAAGCAAATTTAGAAAAAACAGCCTTCAAAATGATGAATCATCTAATATCAACAATAATGATTTTGAGCTTTATAATAGTTTTTACAGTAACAATATTACTACAAGTAATTTTGATAAATGCGACTCTAGAATCCAAGAAGATGAAAATCATACTCCAGTTGAAAATGCTACCAAAAAAAAAAAAAAAAAAAATCTAAAAAAATTAAAATCATTTGTATTTTTAAAAACAAAAAATATCAGTCTAAAAAAAATATTTTTTCTAAATCTGTTAAACACAAGTATATTACTTGTCATCCAAATTTTGTTACTATTTGCCTTTAACACTTGCAATGATACTTTTTTAGTTAATCGAAGATGCTTACCACAATTCAGGTTTGAATTTATTGATCAAACTAATTTTGCAAAAGACGTATTGGCTTCTGCAAGGGACGTCTTTAAAGCTGTCACTTTTTTGGCAAATGATATGTCCGATATTGATTTAAACAATAATTATAACTTTGATAATGAACACATTAGTCTAATTGATTTTGGAAATAACACAGATGCAAATATTCTTGAATACTATAATACTAAAGAAAAAAACCTCAAAAAATCAGATAAACCCAAATCAGATATTGATACATTTAGCACAGACAATCAATACGAAATTAGCTTTTTAAGCTACTGCAGGAAGAAAAAAATCAATACTGAAGCCGGTAGAAATATTTTTAAAAATTCAAAAAATGACAAATTTTGTACCGATTCTTCCAGTGGTGTTGATATTGTTTCTACCTTAATTAGGGACTCTGGAATACAAATCGGTGAAATAACAAAAAATGATGATTTAAAACTAATGGGGGATTCTTTCGTTTTGGTTTATGAAATCTCCTTAATGAATGCTAAGAAATTGAAAAAATTAAAAAATAATAATTTGAAAATTGAAGCTGATGATACAGAAAAATCAAATTTAGATGATGATAAAATGATTTTAGAAGAGGGAGTATCTAAAGCTTTATTGTTGAGAAAAATCAGCAGAATACTACCTAAATTACTTGAACTTCAGTTTTTCATAATAGTTTTGAGCATGCTTATTTCGTTTACTTACTTGGTTATTATTTTTTTTAATCTAAAAGTTTTTAATAAGGATTTAAATCAGAATGAACTCGATGAAAAAGTAGAAAAACAACATGGTAGAATAATAAAACTATTCATGGGTAATCGAATCAAAGCTCTAAAACTATACTTTATAGCAAGCTTGGTAATTACAGCGATAAATTTTGCTGTTGCTATAACACTATTTGAATATATCAGAAAGTTGAGCCTTTTATTGAAAGATAAAATAGGTCTCGCAATAATCAAACCTGGCGAAGGATATTTTCTTGTTTGGGGTTCTTTCTCGGTTAGTTTTTCATTATTTTTTATGTTTTTATTTTTTTTATTTATTAAATGATTTTAATATTATGACACTGTTTGTTCTTGATTGGTTATGAAATTATATCAAGATGTGGAATCGTGTCAAAATTGAATAAATTTTATAAAAAAAGATTCATAGTTGTTAATTTATTGTTATAGAAAATAATACGATTAAAAATTATATTGACTAAATAAAAAAACAATCATTATAAATAGCATTACCATTGAACAAAATCTCTTCCCACAGTTCTAAAAACTCTGATGGTTCCAGATTTTAAATCTGAAGGTCTGTAACTACTTTGCTTAATTTTACCAGTATTTGAAGATTTTTCAATTACTCTAAATTTTTCTTTTTTGTTATCCCAGTCAGTTATTATTGCAGAAAATGGTTTATCAAATCCTGTTTCAAAAACAAATTTTTGATGGAATTTGTTATGTGCGTTAAACTTAGCTTTTTCAAGGGTCAATATATCACCAGGTCTAAAATCGCCTTTTTTGCTTATTTGTGAGTTTGAATTATTAAAATAAATTTGAGCGCCAAATGAGGTTGCACCTACTGGTCTTAAAATATTTGGGATTTGTGATAAAAGTCCTGGAACGAAGTCACCATAAATAATACTACCAATCGATTTAATGGCTAATTGATAAATAGTGTTTCCAAATAAATCATAGTATTTGTTTAAAATATCATCATTAATAATTGGTGGTGAAATATGAGATTGATTCATATTAACTGTGATTTGAGGATTTTTAGAATCAAAAGAAATAGAAATAACAAGTTGAGAGTAATTGGCAAATAAAATGTAGTAGTCACGATAAATAAATTTTCTGTTTCCCCTCTTAATTATTTCGTTTTCTTCAACTTCAAAAATTAAATTATTGCCCACTTTTCTAATCAAATCGCTAGGTAATTCATTATTTTTTAGCCACCAATCTGAATCTTGTTCCAAATCAATATTTTGACCCGTGTAATTATCCTCGTTGTCTTCATCATAATCAGCTAACGCACCAGAATCAAGTGGTTGAAGATTTTTATTTGAATGCTCTGAATGAAAACTGGTTACACTATCTATAGATTTACGACTAATAGAAGTGCTTCTAGCAATCTCTGGAGAAAACAGATCCACAGTCTCTTTTCTATCATTTTCAGAGATTGGAACTGGGATTGGTGCTGGGACTTGAGGTGGTGCTGGAGCAGAAATAGAAGTTTGAGCTGTAACTGGAATTGGAGCTGGAGCTCTGGTGGGCGGTGATGGAGGTGAACTTAAAACAGGAGTAGATAATGAATCGGCTGAATGTGGTGGAGGAGGAGGACTTCTATTAGTAAACTCCGGAGCAGGTGGAAGTGAAACAGGTGGAGGAAGTGTATCTAAAGCTGCCAATTTGTTTTGTGGGAAAGTAGAATTAGAAAAGGCTGAAACTTTAGAGTTAGTAGAAAGAGTAGGTATGATCTCTGTATCATCATCGTCGGCTTCATATCCAGTAACTTCATCCTCGGAAACAAGATTTTGATCGATAGGAATATTTGGTAAGGAAGTAGCCGGAGGAGGTGGTGGGGGAGCTTTAAATTTAGAATTTTCATTTATATCAATATCATGTGAAGAGGAAAACTGCTTATTGACATCATCTTCAAAAGATGTTCTTGAAGCAGTAGATTGATTAGATTCACCGAGAACGATGTTTCCAGAGAGAGGTACTGGTAAAGATGTTTCTTTCTTTTTTATCATTTCGGAGTCGTCGTCGTAATCATCTTCTTCCAAACTATCAAGTGGGTTTTCATCGGAAATAACAGGAATGTTTTTATATGGTTTCACTTCGGGTAATTTTTTTTTCATTTCTCTCATATTGAAAGAGTCTTTTGGATTAGAAGCAGGTTCATCGATGTTCTTTTCATATTTTTCGTATTTTTCATATTTTTGATTGTTTTCATTATCACTATTACTATCGCTATCACTATTATGATCAGAAATTGGTTTTTCAGCTTGATTATTATGATGAGCTGGTGGTAAAGCATTAGGGTTTGCAAATGGCAAAATAGGAATGGCACGAGAAACATTTTCAGAATCGTTGTTTTCAAGATTTTCAAGATTTTCAATTTTCTTCTTTTTAGGTGCAGTTGGTGGAGCACCAAATGGAGATATGCCCATCATACCAAACATTCCCATCCCACCTGAAATCTTAGCCATTCTTTCTCTTAGTGCAGCCTTACGTACTTCTTCATTATCTTCCTCATCTTCATCTTCATCTTCATCTTCATCTTCATCTTCATCTTGTTGATCATCTGATTTGTTGGTTTCAGATTCCTTTTTTAGTGAACCTGTTGGATTTGATTCAATTTTTTGAGTATTGTTTTCATTTGTTGTTGATCTAGAAAGTGAAGAAAGAGGTTGAGGGGTGATAATTTCTTTTTTAGTTTTATCAGTGTTATCTTGAGTCTCTTGAGTCTCTTGGGTCTCTTGTTCAATAAATTGATGTGAAGGGTTGTTATTTGTATTATCATTTATATTGGGAGATTCAGAAGTTGTAGTGGGGAGTGGTGGTGGTGGAGAAGGAGGGAGATGGTGCTTCTTTTTTTTCTTTTCAGCTTTTTTCTGAAGATTAGCTTGAGCTCTTTCAGCTTCCTCTTGTTGGACTTTTTGTAATAGAGCGATTCTTTCTTTTAAGCTCATCTTTGGAACCGATTCTGAGTCATTGTTTTGATTTTGGGATTCAGATGCGATTTCTTTATTAACAGGAGTTGGAGGTGGGATTTTTGGTTTGGGTTTTGGCTTTTGTTGATAAGGAGAATTGGAGAAGCCTGGAGGTATGTAATTAGAGTAAGAAGCGGTAGCATAAAAGGGTTTTTTAACAAAGGATTGTTCTCTTGGTTTTATTGAGGGTAATACAGGAGCCGAAGTTTGGTTGAAAGCAGCAATTTTATCAAATAAAGCATTTTTCTTGAAAGTTTTTGGTTTAGGTTTTGGAGGAGTGTGTGTGGGGGTGGGAGCAGAAGGAAGATTTTGTGGTGTGGAAGTTTTAACTGGGATTGGAGCTGATACAGGAGAAGGAATTGGGGGTGATATTGGAGCCGGGATTGAAGGGGGAATTGAAGGAGGAATTGAAGGAGGTATGGTTGAAGCCTTTGGTAGTGTAGCTTTTGATGGAACAGAAACAACAGGAGGGAGTGGAGGTAGAGAAGCTGCTTTTTTTATGATAGGAGAAGGTGGAAGAACCGGATCAACTGTGTCTGGTATAACTTTGGGAGAAGATTTTTGAATTTCTGCCGGAGAATCCTTAGGTATGGTTGGTTCAAATTTAGGTATTAAAGATGGTGGTGGTTGTGAAGCTGTGAGAGCAGGAGCAGGACTTTGAACAGAAGCAGGTTTGGGGAAATTCATTGGAATTGGTTCATCTTCAGAATCGATAGAATCAGAATATGAAAAGCCATCATCGTCATCATCATATTTGCTTCTTGAAACTGTGTTCAAATTGGCACTTTGGTTCTGTGATGGTTGAGGTTGAGGAATTGAGAAAGACTTTTCAGGCTCAGGCAGTATTGTTTGGGCGTTGGGATTGGCTTGAGATTGGATCAAGTTGATGGTGTTTGGATCCCTTGGTTCTGAATTTGAGGGTGGGCTTGCTGGAGCAGGTTTGGATGTAAGCAACTCAACGAAATTTTTGGGGAAAATGCCTTCTAAAGGCTGGCCATTCTTGCCTGTATAAGTTCCAGCATACCATTCGTCGTCTTCAATGGAGGTGACAGTTATTATTTGGTCAGCGTCAAAGACCAAATCGTCGGGATAGTCAGAGGCGTATTCGTAGACAGCACGAACTTTGAAAGGGGGAGTGGCCATTGAATGGAAAGCAGAATTGAGCAGAGTAGCTGGAGGGTTGTTGGAGAGTTGTTGGGTAGCAAAATCGAGTGTAGAAGAAGTGAGATGAAGATTAAATTGATAGATGGAGATGGAGATTCAAATGGAGATTGAGCGATGTTCTGTGAGACGTTTTTATACGTTTGGGAAGGACGCGTCCACCGCAGGAGTGGGACGAGAGCGCGCCAGAACAGAAAAAGAGCAATATTGCACGAGGGTAGCCCTGTGGAAGTGGGCGGGAGCTTCTGTGGGCAGGCTATTCTAGCCTTTGAGGCCTGTTTTCAGAAGCAGAAGCAGCAGAAGCTTCAGTCCTCTTCGATGAAGAAGCGAATGGTGCCTGTGGAGGAAGGCGTTTTTGAGCTGGTGTTCGATGAGTCCTCCTCTGGCAGCTGGGCTACGTTGCTGAGGCGAGGCATCTTCGTCTCAGCTATCTCGCTGATGTTCTCAAACGAAGCATTTCTTGATGTGACCCTTGAGGTGTTTCTTGATATGTTTCTGGAGTGGAGTCTGGAAATGAGCTGCAAACCAACTCTTGATCCTGTTCTTGATCTCACCAATATGGCTGAGTTTTTTCTGGAGACATCCACAGAGCCTATCAAAGAGTGCAAGCTTGACGAGCTCGAGAAAACAGGTTTGAAGCTGGCATCGAAAATTGGCTCGTAGCATAGCTTTCCGTCTAGTTTAATGTCTTCATCGTCGTCCGTATTTTCAATCACAGACTCGAACGATGGTAGGTTTAGTTGATTGAGGTTGTTTCGCAATTTTGATAGTGATTGGAACGACAAAGATGAAGATGCTAAGTTGTATCCCAGAAAATTATGTCCTAGCAAGTTGCTTGTCAGCAATTTATTAGTTTGCATTGGACGATCAGCATTTGACAAACTAATAAATGGATGGTTCAATAGTGCCTCAACCGAAGGTCTCTTTAAAGGATCTATGATAAAACATTGGTTAATAAAATTCTTTGCATCGTTTGATATGTGGTTCCAATATTCAATTGGCTCAAAGTAATAATCAGACGTTAATATGGCCTCTTTGGTTTCATCGTCATTTTCACAATCAAATGGGAAATATCCACACAAACAAAAATATGTTAATACTCCAATGGACCAAACATCTATAGCAAAGCTCTGTTTTCCGATTGTTTTATCAATTAGCTCCGGTGCCATATATGATAATGTTCCACCTTGAAAATTAAACTTGTTATTTTCATTGTTATTTTCATTGTTATTTTCATTGTTATTATTTTTATCACCATTCTCATTTGTACCCTGCTTCTTATCATAGATCATAGAAAACCCAAAATCAACAATTAAAATATCAGACAAGTTTTGTAAATTCGAACTAAACAAAATATTCTCGCTTTTCAAATCTCGGTGGATTATATTGTTATGATGCAAAACTAAAACAGAATTTAAAATTGACTTGACAATCACCCTTGTATTTCTTTCATTCAATTTATTATGACTCAAAATCAAATCAAACAATTCTCCACCTTTGCATAACTGAGTTACCAAATATAAATTCTCATCCGTCTCAAAATAGTCAACCAATTTAATCAACGACGACGATGATAACGATGAAATGAACTTCAATATCCTAAACTCATTTTGAACAACAAATTCCCTGCCATACATCTTTCGTTTCTCAATTTTCTTAATAGCAAAATGCTGGCTCCTATTCTTGTATCCATCTCCAACTCTTTTGCACTCGTAAACCGTAGCATAAGATCCTGTCCCTAGGGATGACTTTGATAGGATATACTTGCAATCATGATACGTTCTTCTCCTTGAACTTGAATAGAACAATGAAGAAAAGGACTCCCTGGGAGGCCACACTTCAATTGAGCTCAAATCAAGTACTGTTGACAGCATTTGTTCCACTTTTCAATCCAACAAATGCTTTTTTTCATTTAACAGTCAATGAAAAAGCGAACAAAGAAGCAAAATCAAGATAACGTCAATTTCCCGATTGGGACACCACGCTGTGTTTGATATGCTGGATGATGCAAGTATGCAGTATAATGCATAATCATACGTTTCAAAACTCACGCGTTAGTTTTTTTAAAAAGTTGAAAAATCGAGAAAAGAACTGGGAAAAGAACATTAACAAAAGAACGTTGATGAATTCTCAGGATGGACTTTGAAAACTTGAGATCCACCAACAGCAGCTCCTCTGCTCGTGCTGACCACCACAACAGCAACTTCCATGGCAACAACAGCTACAAACAATCCACCAGTGGCAGCGTGGATGCACTTGGTTTAAATGAAGGAGAATTGACCATTAAGAAGAAAAGAAGATATGTCAAATTGGACGATGAAAAACTATTGTCTTCAAAGGGTCTTCCTTATATTTTAAAAAATTCAAACAAGGTCACTAAATTGTTGGATAATAGAATTCAAAAAAAGAAAAAAAACGACTTGCAAAACAAATCTAGACACAAACACCAAAACAACTATACTTACACTCGAATGAACTCAAATTTTGAATTTCAATTTGAAAATTTGGTTAAAATATTGGAATTCTATACATTATGGGCTCATCATTTGTTTCCAAAATTCACCTTTTTCGAATTCGTTCATTATTGTCAGAATAATAATAATATCAAGACAAGCAAATTGCTAAAAGAATTTAGAACCGAATTAATTGTCAAAGAAGAAAACAGAAATATCGATTCTAAAAATAATGCTGAGATTAATAACAAAAAAAACAATCTTGATCAGAATATCCAAAACGATTTAAACATCATAAATATTGAAGATGATTTAATCAACACAAATACTACAAACACAAGTCACAAAAACAAAAACAAAGATAAAAATAAAAATAATAACATTGATAATAATAATAATAATAATAACATTGATAATAATAATAATAATAATAATAATAATAATAATAATAATAATAATAATAATAATAATAATAATAATAGTGATAATGATACCAATATCAATCAAATTGGAACTGAAAACTCAAATCATTTTATTTCCAAGACAAACGGACTATTTGTTGGTGAAGACTTTGAATTAATTGATTCAATAAACACAACAATCAATAATAATTTACTAAAGAATAAAACTTATTCATCAAGAAGAAGAAGAAAAATTAGTTCAATAATGGATAGTGATGATGAAAAAAATGATGATGATACTACTAATAAAATAAACAATTCAATAAACAACAAAGACGACGACGACAACGACGACGACGATGATGATGATGATGGTATATATGTTACAGGATTTAATAAAATTAGTTCTACAAGTATAAATAAAAACAATATCGATTCTAAGAATGACAATAATAGAAAGGAAAAAAATAACAAAGATACTGATGAATTCTCAAGTGATGGATTTTCAAGTGATGATGATGACTTATTTTTACAATTGACTAATAAAAGCAATAAACAATCACAAATTCAAAGCAATAAAGAAACTACTCAACCGACTCATTTGTATGTTATGAATAATGATATCAATATCAGTAAAGAAAATAATACTAAAACTGGCATGAATAATAGTCTGGATATTACTAATCCAGTTCCGGGTTTTGATGACGTCGATGAAGAATATAATGAAGAACTTGAGTATTTAATTAGCATGGGAATGTGAATTAGAAATCATAAAGAGTAAAAACTAAGTATAAATACCAAGTATACTTTAATATAATATAAGAGAAAGTAATATCTAATTTTTGGTTGTTTTTTTTTTATTTTTCTCATTTTTCTCATTTTTTTTCATTTTTATTATGATGGAATATAAATTTATAAATTGAGAATTATAAAATAAACTGAAAATTTAACTGAAAAGTAAAACATTGGAATTTGCAATTTAAAATTTAAAATTAATATAAACAGAATATTTATAATACTTATTCTTCATTTTTCTTTGGTCTTATATCATTGATACCACGACCTACACCCAATTGTTCAAGAGTCAAAGACAATGGTCTTCTTGTTACAACATCATAAATCGAGGATTGGTTATTTTCAACACCATTTATGGAATCAAGTATTTTTCTAGTTTCATGGCTGAACAAGGAATCTGAACCCAAACCTTGGAATCCACCAGCCCAGCTTGTAACACCGGCAGCCAAACCGAAACCTATGGCGTATCCAAAAGTTTTTGGAATAGATTTGACCAAACAACCAACCAATGCACCGGATAATGCACCACCATTGAAATCGTTAAAAGCATCGTTTTTGCCTCTCAAGTTATTGGAAACTGCATGGCCAAGAGTGAAAGCGGTTCCAGCAGTTGTTAAGAAAATAATTGTTTTCCCATGCTTGGTAAAAGTCGATAAGGGAGAATAGGTGGTGGAGTCCAATGTGTTTTGAGTTGTAGCAGTTATCAAAGAAATAACACCTGAAAGAAGTGCAGAGTTCAAGGTGACAGCAGGAGTGTCAATTGGGGAAAAGGGCACGTCTTTCCTGATGGTGAAAATAGGAAATCTGAATTCTGGAGAATAGTTGGCTTGCTTTTCGTCGCTCATGTTGGCTGTAGGAACTGGTGTCTCTTGTTCGATGGCCTGTGCTGCTTCTGCTGCTTTCTCTTCCTCATCCTCAAACTTCTCCAAAGCCAATCAAACCGCTCCAAATTCAAATATCCAGTCACGAGAATATTTCCACGTGCTCCTTCTTGGAACTGAGCACCCAACTGCGTATTTACCGTCACGGCAGATATTCCGGATCTCCTCCAAAATAGCAGCCGGTTTGGACAAACTGCGAAAATCCCAGCAGAAACTGCGAAAACCCAGAAAATCCAAAAAAGCTTCACATGTGAAAAACTGCCAATTCCTCCAGCAATCATAAATACTTCAGATCTCTTCTCTTGGAGCTTCAACAACTCGTTCTTTGCCCCAACATCTACTTGTTTTTGCTTGTTACTTGCTCTCTACCTGCTCGCTACTTCACCTTTTCCTAATGGCTAACACAGCTGCTGCTTATTCCTCGGCCATCGATGACTCCTCTTCAATTGCAAGCGACGATGAGGTCTCAAGACCTGCTCCAGTAAGAAGAAGATCCTCTTTGTTCTCCATAATCTCAGATTCTGAACCTCCTTTGCCTCCTCCAGATGAAAAAGATATAATTGCCTTTACCTCAGATACTCGTCATTTCAACATGGTGAGGAACCTACATCTCGCTGACTTGATTACTTGTATGAATGGCTTTTCCGGTTTCTACTCCATCATCTCATGTTTGAGATTTATTCTTACAAAACAGTCTCATTATGTTCAAAGAGCTCATTTTTTCATTGCTTTAGGCTTGTTTTTTGATTTTTTCGATGGCAAAGTCGCAAGATTAAGAAATAAAGCTTCCTTAATGGGCCAGGAATTGGATTCTTTAGCCGATTTGATATCTTTTGGTGTTGCTCCTGCTTCAATTGCATTTTCTTTGGGTTTCCAAACCACTGTTGACGTCTTAATCTTATCTTTCTTTGTCTTGTGTGGCTTAACAAGACTAGCTAGATTTAATGTAACGGTCGCTAATATACCAAAAGACCAATCCGGCAAGTCTCAATATTTCGAAGGTTTACCAATTCCAACAAGTTTATCTCTAGTAGCTACAATGGCCTTTTGGGTTTACAAAGGTTGGTATTCGTCTGAATTGGGACTACCTTGTGGTGTTCTTTTTTCAAATAACTTTTTCGAATTCCACCCAATAATTTTATTATTTTTCATTCATGGTTGTTGTATGGTTTCAAAAAGTTTACACGTTCCCAAGCCTTAATTCATTCTTTTAAAATCGTCAATCAATTTATCTTTATATTGCTGATCTTATATATACTTTAATAAAGCATCATCATTCAAACACAAAATATAAAATAAGCAAATTAAATAAACAAATTAAATAAAATATAAAATAACTATAAAAATCCCACAGATGCTTTTTCCGGATTAATCATTTATTGCTAGACAGGAGCTAAAGGATCTTTAAAGGCAAAGAATTTTTAGGAGGCAAAGGAGGTCCAAGAGAATCTTGTTTTTCAGAAGAACCAGTAACCTTTTTATAAAATTTCTGTTTTATAGAAAAATCTTCACTAAAAATAAACTCTTTTTTATGCAATGTATTTTCCATTAATGGAGCATCTTTATCTTCCACCAACTTATCATTTGAATTATATGATTCGCTGTTAGTCGTTACTAGAATACTTTTGCAATTTTCCTTTTCGTCGCTCAATTTCAAATCACCGGTATTTTCAGAGTTCATATAAAGAATTCTTTTACCATCTACATATTTTCCGTTTCCTTCTTTTATATTTTCTACTCTTATCTTTTCTGGATCACTTGCTTGATAATTGGGTTTTCTATGATGGTCAGCTTTTGTTTGAAGCTTTTTTTCATTTCTACACCCGTTTATTGATCTTCTACTAGAATTGTCAAATATCGGAAAACAACCATTATTATTTGTTATTGAATTTGGATCAGGGATTGAAATCTTTTTGGTTCCAAAAGCGTTATCTATATCAACTAAATGGTTGATTAAATAATTAGAAGAATCAAATATCATATTCATTATAGCTCTTTGAACCTGTAAATTGATGTTATCACTCGTATCAATAATCATATTGATATTTATAGCATTGTTTTTAGCATTTTTTTTTCCTTTTATATTATTTGAAGAAGGATTTGCATTAAATAAGTGATTCATGAAAAAACAGGGATGAAGAATTTTAGATATACTATGGGTTGAAATAGTGGTTAATTCCAAAATAGAATGATAAGTTCTCCAGTTTGAATAAGGGGATAAAAAATAAAGAAAATAAATTAGCAAATCTAAATTGGCCTTTGGTAATTCCAAACATTTAATTGAAAAAAAATATAAATATCTTGCAATTGAACATTTATGGTTTTCGGGAATAGGATTATATAAATCAATTGATGTAGATATTTCTGTGTCTTCGTTTAAATATGATATTAAATCAAAATATTTGTGGTCTTTTAATTCCTTTACTATAATATCAATGAAATCTGGAGGAAAAACTGGAGACGGTAAAGAATTTAAATACCTTTTCAATAAATTAATGATATCATAATTAGTGATTGGAATATCATTATTAGAATGATCCAAAGCACTAAAACTCAGGTCTTTAAATGATGATGAAAACAGTTTGTTTTCAGAAAAACATTTCAAAAAAAAATTTCTAAAATTCAACAATAAATTATTAAAATCACTCCCAGATTCTTTAGCCAGATCATTAAAATTGCTGGCATAATTATCGTCATCATTGGAAATGTTATTATCGTCATTACCTCGGCTTTTTTTTAGGTTATCCTCAATTTTTTGGTTATGCTCTTCAATATATTTATTAATGGTTTTTAAATCTTTTTGAGGATCTTTCTCATACATTTTTTCAAGAGTAGATATATTGTTCGAGGAACCATTTAATCTAAAAATTTTTCTAGTTTTTTCATATCTATTATCAAGAAGATAAGTTACACTATTTGTAACTAAAGTGGGTAATTTAACGGCTATTTCAAAATTATCAGAATGAAAATTAATTTGGTTATTGGAATTACTATGAGTGTAATAACAAATTGGATTTGGATTTGGAGTTCTTTTAATTGGGATTACTTTTAGATCATAATATTGACAAACCTCTTCTAAAGGTGATTTGAATAATTTGAAGTCGTTTCTTGAATTTTTCAATTGATTGTTTGAAACTCGAGAATTATTTTTCGGGTCTTTTTGAAATTTTTTCCTGGTGTCTTCTGGAACTGGAACTCTTTTCAATGATTTAAAAATTCCTTTTAAAGAAACACCATTTGGAGAGGCTGTTGGATTGGCTTTTGCATCATTTTGGTGATTTTTTTGCAGATTAACTTTTGCATCATTTGAAGTTAACATAGTTAGAGAGCTCAGTAACCTTTAAGATCAAACCAAAAAAATGATATTGATCATTTGGAAACAGCAAAAGAGCTGTTTTAAAACAAAAGATTCTTCATATTGTTTGTTTCAATGAGCTAGTTTTAAATAAAACATGAATAAGGTAAAATAAATTTTAACAGTTATGAGCTCACGTGTTTGATTTTGGTGCAAAATTGTGGACAAATTGATTCACGCGTATATATGCATCAAAACTCACTTCGATGTATGTAAATGTTTACTGTGCTATGTACCATTGGTGAGGGTCTCTTGGCTGTCTGCCGAAAAGAGCAATGGTTTTGTCATATGCGGCTTTTTTAACGGCTGCGTGTATACACAGACACGTGAGCAAATACAAGGCTATGATTGGCCAGATCTGCAGGCTACTGTGTGATGCGGCGGAGTGTACGTTGCTGGTGCAGCAGTGTAGGGAAGAACAATAACTGGAGTGGAAGAAGAGTTATAACGCTGTTTTTATGTCTCGATTTTTTTTTCTTTTTAGTGCAACAAAAAAGAGTCTGGGAGCTCAATTACTTTCTAGAAATAACAATTACATCAACTAGCCCACGATATATAAGCTGCGTTTTCTTATATTTTGCAATCTTCTCGCTCTGAGGCTCTTGTCTGCTACAACATTTTGTCTCTTAAAACCTCTCATTTTTAGGAATCCAGTCGCAATACATAGCAAATAATGAAGTGGCAGTACATGTCAACTCAATAAACGCCAATTTACAAAATGCCCAACATGAGTGACAACAAAATGAACCTGTCTTTGAACCATTTAAATTTATTGTTTAATAATACCAATACAGCAGTTAATCATACTAACAACCCAAGTAACACCAACCCTGACAGCACAGGCAGCACAAGCAACCTAGGTATTAATGGTAGCATCACCATTACTAATGAAGACATTGCAAACATTAACCACAGAATTAATTTGCCAAACAATGGTAATTTAAATGTTATTAATAATATTCATGATCTTAATGATTTAAATGATTTGAACGACTTGAACGATCTAAATGATTTAGCTGATATAACTGACTGGTCAAATAACCAATTTCATTTGAATGAAACTGCCAACAGCATTGGTAATAATCCATCTAATATTAATGCCAAACCAATGAAAGTTGATTCAGATTTTTTTAGTCAAATCAATACAAATAATAATACTAATACTACTAATAATACTACTAATAACAATAACAATATTCAACTTAATGCTAACCCCAATAATGAAAATTTTCATCGTGATAAAATCAATAATGATTATACTGACTTTTCCTTAGACTTGAGCATGAATGAAGTTTTCAAGTATCTAGATGATCATAATATCAATAATAATACAATCAACTCAACAAACAACTCAATAAATAACTCAATAAACAACTCGATAAATTCAAATCAATTATTTAATTCAGTAATTGATTCATCTGAAACAAGTATCAATAATAGTTCAGTAAATAATAACGAGCTCTTTTCTCCTTTTGATATTCACCATTTTCAAAATAATTATAATTCAAATAACTTATCTCATGTTAATAACAAAAATTTAAACTATAATAATATCAACAGTTCTACTTTAATCTCATCGGACAATCTTCCTGATGTCTTTTTCACTCCCTTATTATCACCAGCTATCACTCCTTTAGAATCACAATTAGTTAAGGGTGCAACTAATCCTTTAAACAATAACAGTCAAAATTACCTTAATAGTAGTAGCAGTAGTAATAATAGTAGTAATATTAACAATAAAAACCCAAATAATATTACAAATACCTTTGTTCCTTTGACTTCTCCTGCTATTCAAGCTTTTAAATCTCCTGCTTCATTTAATAATAATCATATTTGTTCAAATCAGCAATCCTTGCAACTACAACAACAACCAGATTCAGCTCCGGCTCCAGCTACAACTCCAGCTCCAGCTGCAACTCCAACTCCAACACCACCACCTCCTCCTCCTCCTCAGCAGCAACATCAATTTTTATTTTACAATAATAATGCAAGCTCATCAACAACCTCTCTATCTTCTGTATCAAACAAGAGTATAAACAAGATTACTAAAAGAAAAAGTGCAACTTTTACAAAACACTCACCACGACTACTAGCATTTCAGAAAAAACCACCATCTATAGCCAATTTAGAAAACGATAATGCAATTAATAATTTTCATTTTCCAAACAACCAAAACAATCAAAACAATCAAAATAGTAATTTAGAAAACGCAAAAAATTCAATTAATAACGGAAATACTAATAATAATACTAATACTAACACTAACAATCCAAACACAGTTTTTTCAACTCCTGCCACAATTATGAACTTTAGAGATAGAAAAAAATCGTTAACTTTATTACCAAAGAATAATTTAAACAACAATGTTAATAATATGAATATGAATATGAACGTCAATAATAAGATAATTGAACCGTATCATAATACATTTCAAATAAGTAATGAATATTATGCTCATGATATCAATGAAAGCCCAATTTTATTGCCATCATCAAGTCAAATGGATACATTTTATTTAATTACTTCATCAAAGTCGAAGGCTTATTCAAATCTCAACAATTCAAAAAGAGATTCACACAAAGTAGCCGAACAGGGAAGAAGAAACAGAATGAATAATGCAATTATCGAGTTGGGCAATTTGATCCCTCAAAATTTAAAAGATTCTGTTGCAATTCCAAGCAAAGCAACAACAATAGAGTTGGCGTCGAGTTATATCAAAATGTTGACAAAGGAAATCAGCGAATTGAAAGAGAAAAAAAGCCAAATAGCCTCGAAGTCCAACAGCAAATCTGAAGTCAAAACCAAAACCAAAAAGAGTGCTTCTATTGGCAATTCCAAAATCTCTAAGTCAAAGGAAAACAATCACGTCAAAGAAAATAAAATCAAAAAACAGGATAATAAAACTGTCAAAAACGAAAATGGCAAGATAACAGCTGGCACTAAAAACAGTGTCGCCGATAAAAACACTGTTGCTGATAAGAACAGTGGCAAATCAACCAAAATTGCCACCAAATTGCATGATAACAACGACAGCACCGGCAGCAGTAACAACACCACTCATGAGCAGCACTTGGACGAGGAAAGGACAAAGCTCTGCTCAAGCGATGAGGACTCAGTCGAAACCATCAAGGAAGACAGAAAGGCAAACGACAGCCTGTGAGTTTTCGATAAGCCCATATCCAGAGACCTTCTCTTGCACTCTCTTCTGTATGTGAATCGCTACTCTTCCTCTCTTCTCTTCTTCTCTTCTTCTCATACACATCGCTTATCGACCGCCAACCCACGCCCGTGGTGCGTCCTCCGCGCAACGCCACGCATGCAGACTCACATAAACGCATTCTCATGCTTGCTCCAGCACCGGGGATTGCACCGCTCCCTCAACGCTGTTTTCTCACCTCTGAAGGTTATCAGAATAACGTCAAATCTTCACTCAACTGGAAAATATGATGCTACTGCTGCCTGTGCAATATATATCTCTGTTTTCCTCCCTCCGCTATAGAAACAGCTCCAAGCTCTGTCCATGTTCAAGAAGTCCTATCAGCTTTCAGTTGTGCTAGATCCCAGGGAGCGTCCTGCTGACTCCACCTACAACAGCAATGTCTACACCAACAACGACAGCTTATCGGGAACAATCGTCTTGACTGTTGCCAAACCCATCAGAATCAGCACTTTGGAGGTGTCTTTTGTTGGCCATGCTGCTGTTGCTTTGTCTGAGTTTATCACCACAAACAACAACTCCAACAACATTGTTCTTTCTGGTCCTGCGAACATGATCAATTACGATAACAACTTCCTCAATGAGAACATAATTCTTTTCCCTCCTAATGACATGAGATCTGCTTTATCTGTTACCAATGCTGAATCGAAGGAAAGCGAAAGTTGCCCAGGGACTCCTGAAACAATTAATTTCATCGACAATAACAAGAAATACGATTTCACTTTGAATCCAGGAACATACAACTACCCCTTCTCCTTCAAGATACCTGTGAAGATCAACTCCATCCCTAATGAGCTTTTACAATATAGAAGCACCTTTTTAACCCTAGACACTGAGTATTCCACTGTCAATGATAATGACATGTTTCACTACTTGCCCCCTAGCTTTATATACACAACTGATGACTCCTTCATCAAGATATTATACTACTTGAAAGTCGTTTTGAAGAGAGCCTCCATTTTCAAATTGAATAATAAAATATACAAGCCTATAAGATTCAGACCCAAAAACTTGTTTCTAAACTACGAATTTCCTTGTCCTGAAACCTCGATCTCAAAATTTTATTTTCTCAATTTATCGAAATACTTGCCCAAAGATCATGATCGCAAGATCTTCCATATCAACGAATACATTTCCTCTATTCACGATTCAGCTCTACTTAACCCAAGTTTCAATTTACAAATCAAATTCACCAACAATCTAAATTCTCGAATATTTAAACATTTTGATCCTTTAAATAATAATTTTAAAGTTAACCTCTTATTTAAAATATCAAACCAATTAATAGACACATTTAAAACCTACGGTCTCATTGACATTAAAAATGACTATTACCTATCTTTTAAAAATCTTTTTATTAATGCAATTAAAATAAACCTAATCTCAGTAACGACCTTAAAAGTAAAATATGTAAAACAATCAAGAAATGCCTCGGTTCCGATTTATTCTAATGATCATCTAAATCTCCCCCTAACAAACATGTTCAAAATATATACTCAAAATGGGGATTCCTCAACTAATCCCGAAGATTCTCTCGACCCTTCTTCTTTCACTAATTCAAATGTCTTCAAATTCGAAATTCCTAATCATTTCTTTGAAAACGAGATAATCAACTGCCAAATACCCTCCTTTTTAGCTAATGACGTCCAAAGAAAATATAAACTAATGGTAGCAGTAGATATATCAAATTTAGAAGATTTGTCTGATTATAAAATTTATAAAAATAAACCAATGTCTGATCTGTCTCAATGTTTTATCTTAAAATATTTATGCGTTGGTAGTGACATAGTTTTGATAAATAACGAACCGAATTCTATTTACTCTACAGAAGAAATTCATGATTTATACAATAGATTAAATATTCAAACTCATTATCAAAATGATGATGACTATTTACCAAGTTACGATGATAGATTTAACGATATCTTAGTTAACCAAAGCCAACATTCATAATTTTGAAACAAAAACAAAAAATTTACTATCCATTGTTTGGTTTTGCAATCTATTTCTGTTTTTTTATTTTTTTATCCTTCTCTCAAAGTCAAAAACTTTGTTTCATTCATAATTCATTCTTGTTTTATTCCTGTTTTATCTTTTTTATGTTCTCTAAGCCTACATTTATATTTCATAATGTCTATTACATTTGAAAAATAGATTTAATCATTAATGCCTTTTTCTCTTCGTTTTATTTCTTTTTTTTTAATTTTTAGATTCCAAAAAACAAAACTAAAACAAAAAAAATATATAAAGCGATAAAAAATTAAATTAAATTAAAAAAATCATGTAACCCAGTATTTCTGAAAAACAAAGTTGAGCAACTAAAAGCAATATATTAGGATCTCCTTTTAAAATAACCACAAAAACACTATCACCATAAATATATACATATATAAAAAAAGACCAATTAATAATTGATGGTCAAAAATTAAAAAAAATGGAAACTAGAATAAAATAAAATAAAAAATAATATAAAAAGAATTTGAATTTGAGTTTCATAAATTTCCATCATTATCATTAAAACCAATTTCTGGAAAAACTTCTCCAAGTATTTCATCAAAAAGTTCATATATTAAATGATTATTCAATATCTCGTTTTGAAGCATTGAATACACCTCGAATGCTGCATATTTTGAATTAGACATTCCGACAATTGTTCCGGCAAAATCAGTTATAATTGTTTCTAAAAGAATTTTAGCTTCATATTTTGCATGCATCTTCTCAATTTTTGTTCTTTCAACTCTACCTTCATCATCCAAGAAGAATGTATTTTTAGGCCAAAGTGTGTCTTTGAACATTCCCAACAAGTTCATAACCTGTAGTTCATTTTTATACAGTCTGAAAAATTCTCTCGTTTTCTTCTCAATTGTGCTTCCCAATAGTTGTTGTAAAATTACCAAAATTGCTCTTCCTCTAATCCAGCTATTAGAGTGTCGCAAACCAAAAAAACTTAAAAACAAATCACAAATTGGTTTGACAAAAGTGGTTTTATCTTCCATATAAGATTCCAATTCGTTTTGCATAGCATTAACTTCTTCACTATATTGATCAATATTAGCTGAACCAGACTGCTCGTTATGAATGTTGGGATTTACAACACCACTATTCAAATAGTCTAGCCCGTTTATGATACTATTGAATAATTTGGTCGTAACATTTTCTATTGTTTTACCATTGAATCCTGTCGAATGTATATCTGTAACCTCAGAATTATTATACGCTTCTTTCAAATTGTAAAGAGATTTCTTTTTAAATATATCATTGTTAAAATCTTCTGATGATAAGAACAATCGAAACGCTCTGTTTTGACAAACTTCTGGAAGCTTTAATAAATCTTGCAAATACCTTTCAAGGAGCTTTCTTCTGCTTTTAATAACAAATTCCTGTTGAATCTTATTTAATACTAAAACGTTCTTTTTCGGAAATCTTAAATCTCTCACATTTGGATACATTTTTTTAAAATATTCATGTAGTTTGTAAAATTGATTGAATCTTCTTGCAACAATCCAGCCTGCTGTGACTGTTTTATTATCAGTTGATAGTTTTTGAACTTCTATCATATATAAAGTAAACTGCTTTCCACTTTTATCGTAATCGTTTATACAGGATTGAATAGAAACTCTGGATTTTCCATACAAACTATTATCATTTTCCTGAACAATATATTGCTGTTTTTGAAGTTCTTTAATATGGATCTCTCTTTCTAAACTCATTTTGGACTTTTTAAGAATTCTTAACTCAGTAACATTATTAGTTAATTCCGCTTTTTTTAATAAAGGATTAAGAATGACCATTTGCTTATTCAAATTCTCAATATCATTAGCTAGCTTAGTTATTTCCTCTTTAAGACTAAGATCGCCAGGCGCTGCAAGATGCAATTGAGCTGACTCAACATCACCACTTTCAGAACTTATGACACCAGACATTACAGACTCGCTATCATCTGTTTCGTCATCATTTAGTAGTAATTCATCAATCATCATTGATTGAAGTTTGGACCTATCAGTTGTGTTTGCTAATCTTTCATTTTCAAAATTGTGTTTGTCAGAGTTACTGTTTAAATTATTATTATTATTATTATTATTATTATTATTATTATTATTATTATTATTATCATCATCATCATCATCATCATCATCATCCAGGTTCTGTGTATTGACTAAATTTAAGGTACTTTTAGTGTCATTTGTGACAGTCTTATTTCCTGTTGAAATAGTCATGTTGTCTCTAAATTCACTTTCAAACAATTCTGAGTTTTCATTCCCGAAAATAGTATCATATTCAAAATCATTATTCAGTGATTTCGAATTATTACTGGATTGAGATTCATTACTTTCAAAACTTCGAGTTTCGGATGGTTTCGAAATGGATTTTTTCCTTGAAGTGGATTTTTGTCTTTTAGGTAATAAATTTTTTTTCAATGAAATTGCATCAAAATTATCAGTATTCTTGACGATTTCAGTCAAAGCATGCTCCATTGCATTTATAACGTCTTCGCTAACGTTCTTTTCATTCTCGCTGTTGTTTTTACTACCCGTACTATTTCTGTTATTGTTTTTATTATTTAAAAGAGGATTGTATTCAAAATCGTTATTTTCATTAAAATATTCATCATCACTTTCAATAGTTGCATATTTTGCAACATTCATTCTTATTACAGAATCGTTAGAATTAATTATACTTTCATTCATCATACTATTTGAATCGGAAAACATAAATTTGCCACTATCAGAAGCCAATAATTTTAAAAATATATCAGATTTTTTGAAAACTGGTAGATCCTTTTCATCCATCAACTTAAAGGCTTTCAGTTGCAAATAAAGAACAGAGCTTCTAGCTTTTGCATAAAGATTTTTGAGAATTAAATTAATATTTGCTACTATCTTATACTTTGAACTTTCATCTAAAGAATTTAATATTTGATTATACTGGGCAAATACTTCAACATTTTGATATATTTGGTTCGTGATATTTAAAATTTTTTTATTTGAAGGATTTAAAAAATAGGTGTTAAAAATTAAAATAATGTCTTGGAATGAAGCTTGATTTCGTGAGAAAAAGTTGGAAAAATCGCTTTCATCATGCACTTTTGAAGATGCCTTTTTCAAGTATCTTTCTGGGAAGTTTAAAAGAGATTGGTTATCGTTATTTTCGATGGATTCAATAATTTTTTCCACATATACATCATCATCTTCTTCAAATAGTACATTAAAGTCCTCTGTAGTTGGATCGGCTTCAAGGGGATTTTTGATCCCATTCACAATTAACCAAAATTGAAGAAGCATCAATCGATCCTTTTGTTCCATAAACTCCATAAAGAAAGATAAAGAAGATGGGTCATTTAAAATGCTCATTAATTTCAAGTGCTCTCTTGGATCTTGTTTCATAGAATTGTTGGTTAATAGCATATTCAAACTTGATGAATAACTTGAATTCCTTTTCATGTGCATTGGAGAAGATATTGAACTATTTTCTAGTTCTGAATCAAATCCTAATATCGCCGGGTTTGTATTAGAAAGTTTCATGTTATTTATCAATTCAGTCAATCTATCATTAATAGCATTTCTAGCCAAACCAAGTCTCTCAATATATACTTTTAATTTTTCATCATAAATTTGGTTTGTGCTATTCTTGTCTTTATTGGATCCACCAACTGTATTAGATAATTCCGTTCTTTTTATTTGAGACGCAGCCAATCTTTTGTTTTGCTTTCGCATAGCAACTTTTAATTGAACATTAATGTAATACTTTAGTTGCTTCAATTCGGAAGAAGAAGAAGATTTGTTTATTCTCTTTAAAAACTTTTCAAAAGAAGATTGATAAGTTTTCATTGTTATCTTATAATCCAATAAATTGACAATTCCTGAATCATCATTTTTGTTAACCGTTCCACTATTTAGCCCATTATTTGAAGAGGATTGTTTGTCATTATCAGATGGTCCCTTTGAATGTTCTTCTAGCGCAGCTCTTAACTGAATAACTTGGCTTCTATCTTTTAATGTCTCGCCAACCGTTTTAACAATCATTTGGTTCCAAAAATCTGCTTCAGTAACAACATCCAATGCTGGAAATATACAGCAGTTTGCTAAAATCTCCCTAACCAAAATAATTGTTGGGGGTGACTCGCATATTTGTTTTGGAAGTAAATAGGGTAGAATTCGACTTACTTTATTTCTTAACCATTTCTTTCTATCGATTTGATTGAATTTTAAAGAATTTTTACAGTTATTAACAGCCGGATGCAACTTTCCTCGATTATAATTTAATGCCACAATTAAATCTAATTCATTTGTGTCTGTCAATGCTTTATTTTGATATGCCTGAGATTTTGAGCTCATTAAAAATCTATGAGTAGCGTTTGATTTGCCACCTTTAACTAAACTCTCAGCTTGCACAAATTTTGTAAAATGATCATCGATAATTGGTAATAATCTCAAAATCACTAAATCTGCAAATTCAACATTTGCTAATCTTATTTTAAATACTCTTATCGCTTGATGAATAAGTAGCTTTAATTCATTAATAAATTGGTCATTATCATTGGAGTCGTTAACGCTTTTATTTATATTCGAATACCACTTTAATACGAAATCCCTTAAAATGAAGTTAATAATGTCATCTAACGTATCAGATATAATAAATGAATCAGGAAACATTGGTTGGTCAAGCTTGGGATTTTTATAGTATAGTTTGTTGATTTCCATATTCCAATTTTTTTTTTTAAGAAAGGCAAATTTGGGAATAGAAATTTGAGAATCGCGATTAGAAAGAAAAAATGTATCATTGTTAATTCTGTAGTCATCGTTGGGATCAACTAGAGACTTGTACTTTTTATAAAGGAAGCAACAGATAATTAGCCATGATGTGGATAAAATAAAGGATATTCTAAAGAAATTAGCATAAATAAATTTTAAAATGTAAAAACTAAAGAGAAATAGGAAAATTTTGGAGTAATTCAAGGATTTTAATTGAGGGATTATTGTGTGTAGAAAATAATCAATCGACACATTTATGTAGTCTTTCACTTTTTTGTCACGATTGGAGTCATTGTTGGATCTGGATAGATTGGTAGGTTGAGATTTGGTTGTTCTATCGTAGCTTGTAAAAGAAGTTGAAGTGAAGGCTGTAGTCAGTATATCTTTCACCAAGGCACTATTCTGCTGAGTGCTCATCTCCACTGGTAGCTAACAGCAGTAGTTGGTAGATCGTAGGCCCTTTTTTGAGACTTGTTGTTGGTGTTTGATTTGGCATCCTTTTCAGACCAGATCTTGTTGGATTTTGTTTTGTTGATAAAAATCACCTAGCACCCTGCGGTTTTGGGAGATTAATGTTGTGCCTTTTAGGTCTGGAGTTGGATCACCGCAAAAGGTTTGCAAAAGCGGGAGGGCAGTAATTAACAGTTTCTATAACAGTTTATTATATCGGTAGCAAATAGGGTAAAAAAAAGAAATAAAATAAAGAAAGACTATAAAGAAAGACTATAAATCTCTGATCTATATATATGGTACAGTAAAAAAACATCATGTTCAAATTAGCTTGTCTGTGGATGGACCTGGCAAGTTATCCTTGCTCTGGTCAGTAATCAAATCATCCTGAAACGACATACTCTTTCCTTTTTCCTTTTTGGCATCTCTGTCGTCTTTGTATGTATTGTCTCCCTCAAGATCAGTGAAGGGGCTTATGCTTGCAACCTCATCGCTAGCACCAAGAAGATTTTCAGAAGAACCACCTTCAAAGATAACAGAACTTGTGTTTTCTTCGTCAACAGAAGTGTATCTGTGATTTCGATCTTTCTTAAGAGCAAACCTATCAAACGACCACATTTTTTTGCCATATAATCTTTCTCTTATGGTATCTAAATAAACTTTGCTATAGTCATATCCGCTGTTTAACTGAATTGTAGCCTTAACCATTATAACATGCAAAGCTTTGCTGGCTTTGTTGACCAAAGTATCGTCAGTGAATGTGAACTCATTATTTTCATCAAGACGAATTTGTCCATATCGAGCATAGTAGTAGTATCTGTAAGTAATGTAGAAGACAATAAAACTTCCAACTAAAATAGCTGCAATTAAAAGAATCAACTTCAAACCCTGCAATCCTCTTTCATAAATCGAAGCAAAGGCTTCTTCTCTTCCAGGACAAGGCATTGGATCTACTTTATCAAACTCATTTCCTCCCTGACAAGTGGTTAATGGAATACGTCTATAGCCAGTTGGAACCCAATATTCAATTGCGTCTCTATTCTGCTTGCAGTATTGGGAGTGATCTGGAGGTGAATATCCTGTTATCAATCTACACTCACCATGCTCATCACGATAATAATTAAAATCACACTCATAATCTTGTCTTGTACATGTACAGTTTTTAACGATGACATATGGGTCAGCAATAGAATCACCAATATAACATTCCTTATTGGGCAATTTTCTATAGTATTGAGTTTCATGACCAAATAGACAATTACTGGATGAAAATGGATGTTTGGGGGACCACAATTCAAAATCATCATCATCTGGATTCCTCAAGTCTAAACTGCATTTCCTCTTTAATAAATTAGTGAAATCAATTTGGAACACCTGGGATCTTTCACCACGGCTGGTTGGCATAGTTGTGAACAACAAAAACTTTCTTGAATTATCCAAAGGAACTGTTGCAATGTCATTAACAACAACTTTTTCGGTAGTAAATTCATACGAATTCCAGGTATCACCTTCATCAATAGTGTAGTAAATTACATTTGTATTATCTTGTTCTGCTACCAAAGCGATAATGGTACCTTGGTCACCATATTCCCATTGATAAACTCCTTTTTTAATTTCCTTCCATGTTACACCTCCATCTTTAGTGATAAATGTATTTCCTTCATAAAATGAATCTAATGAATCACCAACATTACCTACACCAATCATCACACCAGTGGCTGAAGTGGATGAAAATGTATCTCTATAATCTCTTCTTTCGGTAAATCCATGTAAGTGTAAAGAACATTTTTCTAATGGTTGACCAGCACACTTGTATTTCTTATTCTCTGAATCAACACTAGGTGGTTGAATATAAGACCATTGAGCACCATCGGTATGTGATATCATTGATTTAAGACTTTTCTTTGCTCCTTTTCTTGCTTCCTTATAGTTTGCAACAACATTTACAACCACAACGCCCTCTAATGAACTTATTTGTTCAAAATCAACATATCCAGCAGAATTCCTGTTCACGTAGTTTTGAGAAACTATAAAGTAAGTACCATTAGAGTTCGATTTTAAAAGTGTCCCAAATTCAGCGCCTTCTCTTGAATTTGTAGTAACATGTAAGGATATGGCTTTTGATTTAGCTCCCAAAAGAGTATAAGTTTTCTGTTTATTCATATCAACATTATGAGGGAAAAAAGTCTCTGCAAAAGTCTCGCCATCCATTGATACAAAAGCTCTAATTTCATCATCATCTTTCTTCCCTTCAGCTGCAGCAAACACAAATCCGTCAACAATTGAATAGTCTATCAAGTTTTTCACAAGAGACACTTGGTTGTATTTAAAGAAATCTGTTGAAGCAATCAATTCTTTATTTTGATCATTATTACCTTTTTTAATACAATATATTAACATATCAGAAGTTGGAAGGTTAAGATTTTGAATAAAAGAACATCTTTCAACTCCTTTTTTAAGTATTTCCCATCGTTTGCCATAAGATCTCGACACATAGGAGTTTGTTTGACAGGTTAAAGAGTTAGCATTTTCGCAACCTGTTTGACCGGTCCAAACCAACCATGATGGTTTCTTTGGATGAAAAGATATTGGAAATGTGCCAGGAATATCAATAGAAGGAGTTCTAAAAGATTTCCAATTATCAGCTCTATCCATTGAATAGATAATTTTTTGATTTGTTGTCAACAAAAAGACATGATCTGAATTATAAGGATTTAATTTGAAAGAAATAATTTCTTCGCCGGGAGCAATTTGTTCCCATGAAGCACCTTGATCATGGGTAACATAAGCCTCATTTTCACTTGTTAATAATACTATCGTTTCGTCTTGGTTATCTTTACTGACATCTCTTTCAAGATATATGTAATCTTTAATGGTTCCAGAAAATTGGAAGTTCAAGGATTTGATTTTACCATTATTCATAGAGTCAGTAGCTTCTTGTTTATCACCTTCAGCGACATCGTGATTAATATCCTTTGGAGCGCCATTTTTATTATTCATATCAATCTCGTAGTTTGGACATCTTTTAACAACATCGCTATCCAAATTCAAACCTTTGATTGAGGAACATTGATTTCCTGGAATCTTTCTGTAAGAAGGAGGCAACGAATATATTTCTGTTCTGCCATCACATTCTTTTGATTTTATACTTTCAAAATACAGACTGTCGTTAGGAACACATTTTCCGGATTCATTATCTTTAGAAAAATCATAAGCACATTCATAATCTAATTCAACGCAAGGACAACTTTCTTGGACTACTTCAGCTTCATTGTATAATTTACCAACATAACAGTATGATTCAGATTTCTTCCTTGAGAATTTTTGTTTGTACCCCATGAAACACATTGATTGGCCGTTTACAGAAGGAACGTACCAATCTTCCATGTCATTTTCCACGCATTTTCTGTCAAATAGTTTATCGAAATTAAGGGAGATGGATTTATATTTTCCATTTGAAGTTTTTCCAATGATTAAAAATTTGGAGGAAGTAGAATCTGGGGTGGTTGTTAAAACCTTTGCGTAGATTGAATCTTTAATGGATACTTGTTTCCAAGTTTTTCCCATATTTCTAGAATATTTGATGGAATTTGTTTCAATTGAATCGGAAATTGCAACAATGACTGAGCCAGAATCACCAAATTCAAATAAATAAGGACCATTCAAAGTTTTAGCCCAAGATAGGCCAGCATCATTGGACATATAGGTATCACTGTAGTCATAATCTTTTAAAGAGGAGCCAATGTTCCCAACACCTAATAAGAGGCCTGGAACAGGACTTGAATAGTATTTTCCAATCATGTTGTTTGGTTTAAAATTGTCAGCTCTTTCAACGATGGAGTGCAAATTTAAAGAGCAGGAGGTGTCACCTCTACAAGATTGAGAATCATCATCGGAGTCTGATAATTTTAAGAAAGTCCAAGAATTACCATTATCAAAAGAAATCTTTGATCTGACAGTGGGAGATAGAGAATCATCTAGAATGATAGACTGGCCATTTGAAACTTGATTAGAAAGAATAATGCCATCAATACTGGTTAATGTTTCATAATCAACATTTCCAGCAGGATCTCTGTTGGTGTAGTCAAGAATTTTATTGAAATAACCGGTGTCAAGGTTAGCAGAGAATAGTTGACCTAGGTTATCAATGCCATTAATTTTGAGATCGATGTGTAAGGAGTTAACAAAAGACTTTAAGATTGAGAAGGAGTTTGATCTAAAGTTGACGTTTTCAGGTAGAGAGATTTCCTTCCAAGCCTTGCCATCATAAGAAATATAAATGAATAAGTTTTCAGTTTCTTTGTCGGTGGTTAAGATGTTGTGACCAATTGCAATTAGATAGTGGTCTACAGAAGTCAATAGTTCAATGCCAGTTATTAGAACACCACCTTCGGCGTTAATATGGGTGATATCATCTTGAAACCAATCTAGAGACTTTGCCAATGAAAGGCCATGTTTATTGTCATAGATAGATGAACAGATTACTGATTTTTGGTCTTCAGCGTTAATTAAATTTGTGGCTTCAGTGAAAATACAAGTATGAGCAGTAGTTAATTCTTTAAAGGTTAGAAAGCCATCTCTTGTGTAATAGAATTTTCTTGAACAGAAATTGTTATTCTTTTCTTTTTCTTTTTCTTTTTTGTCTGAATTGTCGTCTATACATTGACCAGCGAATAGAGCGTAATCTTGACGTTTGCCATGGAAAACAATAGAGGGAGATTGGAAAAAATTATCAGAAATATGAACAGATTCAGGGGTTTCAATTTTTTTCCAAACTTTTCCTGCACTGATGGACCTGAATTGGTATTTTGAATCTGAAAAGGCATAAACAATGTTTTTCTTATAAGGATGGACGAGTATGAGTTTGATAACCTCATTATCGAAATTTAGTTTTTCCCAGGACTCTCCATCATTTTGAGAAAAGTATACCAGGCCCTTTGGATCGTCCAAGTACAAGACGTTGGAGGTGTCTTCGAAGTAGATGATTTGTTTGGGGGGACTGGAGAAATCCTTTGAGGAAATTTTAGGGGAATAATCAGCATTTACTATATTGAAACAAAATACGGATAGAAGCAAAATCGCTAGATATGACTTGAAACTATGATGTAGTAACTTCATGATGATTGTAATTTGTAATTTTGTATTTTTATATTTTGATTCATTTAAGGGAAGATATCAAATAACAAAAAAAGAGATACAACATAGAGAATACAGTGACAGAAGAGATGGTAAAATGTTTTTATAGAAAGCAGATCAAACCAAGGAAAAAAAGCGAGGAACATAGCACCAGGAAAGAAAGGAAAAAGGGTATTCCTGTGCTGAAATTGAGCAAAAAGCATCATGTATTGCAAGCTCCAACCTTAAAGCTGGGGATATACAAGGTGAATCGGGTCGAACAGAGCACTAAGATCAGAGAAATCAGCGAAATTGAGCAGTATAAATCATTTTGTCCGTTTGACAGCTGGATCGGTGATTAGAGAAGAGGATGTAACGCCGATTTCTCCAGCCCACGAATCTTTAAGATTGTGTTTCACCCCCTCCCCCTCCTCTGGTTTAGACCCACGCACCTGGACTCGTTTAGTAGCTCACGTGGAGGACGCGCGGGGAGCAGCAGCACTTGGCATGCGCCCACCGGGCTAGTATGCTCCCATAGGGTTGGTCTCGTTACTGGCTAGCGCGCGGTCACCCTCTCTTAAGTGTGGTTCTGCGTCCAGAGAGCTGCTGCTGCTCATTTGGCTTCTCCCAGCCAGATACCACTGGAACCACAACGACATCGAGACTGATAAGAAGCTGGTATTAGGCCTGGAGTCTTGTGGGAAATGTAATCCATACAACTTCTACACTCTTCAGGCAATGGCACTAGGCGCTGCCCATAAGCGACAAAGGAATTGTTATCTTTCCACATGTCTAGCAGAACCTGGTAACCAAGGAGCAGCGGTGTATTCTTAGTGAAGAAAAAAGGCAAACTTTGGAAGAATAAATCCTTGGAAGAAAGTCAATCACCACACTTTTCTCAGTTCCCGGATTCAAACGCTGTGGTACGTGCATCTGTGTGTGGGTCACAATTCATAAATAATTAAAAAACCAACTCTTAGCCAGTTCAAAACCAATTCTAAACTACAAAATGCCTTTGAGTTTTGGTATTTCTTTCAGCAGCCCGTTTTGAAGAAATGATAAATTCAGAAACACGACATGATTGGCTGTAGAGTTCTTGGCTGAACCTGTTCTGGATATATTTGTACTATCTTAAAGAATAGTTTTATATCAGCCACTATACCAAGAAATCCACCCAAGAGCCTTAAACAAGTCAACCGCCAAGGACCCTGCGATCATCTTGGTTCTGCATGACTGCGTCATTGGGCATGTGCTTGATCTCCTAGAATCGGATCAACCTTGAATTCCTCTCACCACCAAAAGCCCAGAGCTTTGGCACAATTGCAACTTTGGTGAAAAGGTTCCTTTAATCGCTATTCTTTAAAGTGCTGTGGTTGTTCATCAGCTTACAAGAATAGTATTCTCTGTTTCACTCGGTATGTGAAAAAGGGTACTGCGATTTATTTCAGGGAGCACAGACCCTCCACCTCTTTGAACCCTTAAAGCATTTATTCTCAGTATTCTGTTTGAATTTTCGGTTTCTTACTTTAAAATTTTTTGCTATGATTCATTGCGCTGTTTTGTTGAAACTGGTGATAGAGCACATACCAACTCGCAATCTCAATTACAATGGTAAGTTTTTTTTGTTTTATTTGAATTTTTAATAATTATTCTCATTCTACTGGTGATTGTGCTTTTTTTATCTTTCAACTGGGTTTTTCTTTGCTTTTTAGGATAACACTGTTGGCTTTCCTTTTTGGCCTCTAAAAAATAGCTTTATCACGCTTGTTTCAAGTATATAAATTGCTGTCAAAGATCGATGTTTTTTTACTCTTTTTTTTTTCTATCACTTTAATACCTTTTACAATTTTAATATCCTTCACACACACACTACATTACAATCCTCCAATACCATATAATTATATTTTATAATTATAACCTAGTTATACCCTAATCAGCTCATAATTATCTTGGAAATGTCGCACGATCCAAACGATTCTATTGAGGTCAATGTCGTAGCTACGATAGGTACTGTTTTTTGGTGTATCCAGCTTATTCCCCAAATTATTCGTAACTATAGAGTCAAAGATTGTACTGGTTTTCCTCCACTTATGATGATTTTATGGGCTATTTCTGGTATTCCCTTCTCAATTTACTTCTTTATGACTGATGCTTCAATTCCAATCAAAGTCCAACCCCAGGCTTTCACTGCTTGTGCTGTTATTGCTTTCTCCCAGGCTTTGTACTACCCTCCAGTTTCCATGAAGGTAAGAAAGCTTTGCTTCTGGACTGGTGGTTTTATTGTTGTCGGTGTTGCAATTGAGGCTGTTGCCATCGTCTTTTTAACTCCCGTCCATGAAGATGGAACAGAATGGCCTTCTATTATTATTGGTACTCTTGCTTCCATTCTCTTAGCTTCTGGTTTAATTCCTGCTTATTTCGAATTGGCCAAAAGACAAGGAAGAGTCGTTGGTATCAACTTTGTTTTTTTGTTAATTGATTGTGCTGGTTCTCTTCTTTCAATGATATCTCTTCTCATTGGTTCAATGGATATCATGGGTTTTGTTTTATATTTGGTTTTACTTGCTCTTGAAATCGGTATCTTTTTGAGTCATTTTATCTGGTGGTGCAGATTTAGATGGTTGAAAAAGGATAAAGTATCCGATGAAGAAAGCTCTCTGGAAATCGTTCACGAAATTACAAGTGGTGATTCCAAAACTGATTTTAAACTAAACTCCAATTCAGATTCAAAACATGATTCAGCAGTATGTGAAAAACATGTTGAAATCTTCGAATCTGAAAAAAAGAATTGATCTTATAAAAGTTTAATGGTTTAAAGGATCTGGTGTTTTTTTTTAATCTCCTGTTGTATATCTCAATTTTTTTTGCACATTTTTTCATTTTCATTTTCATTTTCATTTTCATTTTTAATTCATTTTTTTAGATTCATTTTTTTTTTATTTACATATTGTGTTTTATGGCGTTAAAAAGAAAAGTTTTAAATTTTTTTTTTATTTTATTTTCATCTTATTAAAGTAATTTTTTCTCTTTTGATCTTTGATCTTGATGGTCTTTTTAGAGCTTATGATGTCTTATGATATCTTGTTTTGTCTTATTTTATCTTGTTTTATCTTGTTTAAATTTTGCCTAGACTTTGCCTAGACCTTGTCTACTTTATTTTCTTATCCTGTTTTGATTTCTTTCAGACTCGTTATTATTTTGTTTTTCTACATAAATATCAATACATGTTGGGTTAAGTTTTATAATCATAGAACAAAAAAAAAATTGTATTCATTTAATTCAAAACTAACCGGGAAATTCTAATTATATATTCGTTACAATAACCAATTCAAAAAAAAAAAATTAACATTTTTTAGTTTTTGGAATGAAACTTATCGTTATCATTATTAAAGATAAATTGGCTTTCTAATGAAAAACATTGGATAAAATGTATTGAGAAGCACGTGTAAATTAGAGTCAGGGTTTACTTTATATCAGGTTAAGTCACCCTAGAAAATTGCGCTCACGTTGTCTTCTTATCCACTAAAAAAGTTTCTTAATAAGCACGTGATATTAACAAGCCAGGAAGCTATTTTATGTTCTCTTTTTAACCATAACTACAATTGGTTGATAGAACAACTAATTTAAATGATCTAATAGTTCTATTATAGATAATTGCAATAAAAGTCAGTTAATTATTAGATTCTTTTTCCAGGGTTTAAATTGCTATTTATGCTTCTATACTTGTGATTGATCTCAAATATTTCTTACTATTCTGATTAGCTAAACAAACAAATGAAGGAAGAGTTACGTAAATTGTACGGAATAGTACAAAACATCCCTACATCCATCGAACCAGCTCCAATTATTGTTTGTGGGGAAATAGACTAGAGTAGAAAGGGTTCATTTTCAAATGTGTTGAAGATGGCTTATTAATTTTCGATTTAACACTAACCGTCCTACTATATCAAAATGGTTTTAAAGGCTGCTGTCAATTTCTTCTCTAACGCCAGGAAATATGCTGTTGTTGGTGCTTCAGCTAACCCAGATAAATTTGGATTCAAGGTTTTACAATGGTATATCAACAATAAGCTACCTGTAGTTCCTATTAACCCAGTTACAAATTCAATTTTGGGGATTGACTGCGAGAAATCAATCACTGAATTAATTCAAAAGAAAGAATTTGAGGATGGGATAAGTATTTCATTTGTCACTCCTCCAAATGTAACCCTTAGTATTTTGAAAGACCTCCATGAAAAATTTAAAGATAGCTCAAGCTTAATTAAAGCTGTTTGGCTTCAACCAGGTACTTTTAACGATAAAGTTCTTGATTATGCTAAGAACAAAATCAAAATCGAAAATGTTATTGCTGATGGGTTATGTGTTATGGTTCTTGGTCAAGAAGTTTTAGATCAACAGAGAAACAATTGAATAATTTTATAATTTTATAATTTTATAATTTTATAATTTTATAATTTTATATTTTTATATTTTTATATTTTTATATTTTTATATTTTTATATTTTTATATTTTTCATTAATTATTATAAAATTGATCACACATATCACTGAAAATTTTGATACTGCTTTCATTATCACCTTCAATTTATTTTTATTTTTGTCAAACCATGTTTACATTTTTATTTTATCTTTACAATAAATTCTTCAATCCATCTTTATGGGTATAAATGCAAGTTGCAGTGTAAATGCACTAGTATGCTTTCTACATGTGGCATTTTTGTGTAGAAGTTCGAAATTTGTTCTGGTTTTCACAGAACGGACCTGTCCAAGAAAGTAAAGTTTTTTTTTGAATTTTTTTTTTGAGGTGAAATTTTTTTTGAATTTATAATCAAAAACAAGTTGATTAATAGATTTTCAACAGAGATATATAATAATATTATTTTATTAATTTGGATTTTCAGCTTATAAGTTGTTCTTAACTGAAATTCATATTGAAGAATATATATATATATATATATATTGAAAGGATATACTAATTTTTCAGATATAATGTCATATACCCAATTACCTTTAAATCATCAGCAAAATGCTGGTGTGGCAACAGTTCTCTGTTGCAACTGTGGTGTTCCAATGGATGGATCACAAGGATTAGTTATGTGTTATGATTGTATAAAATCAACTGCAGATATAACTCAAGGTATTCCAAGAGAAGCTAATATTCAATTTTGCAGAAATTGCGAAAGATTTTTACAACCACCATCACAATGGATCAGAGCAGAATTAGAATCTAGACAATTACTAGCTATTTGTTTGAGAAGATTAAAAGGTCTTAACAAGGTTCGATTAATTGATGCTTCGTTTATTTGGACCGAACCACATTCTCGTCGTATCAGATTAAAATTAACAGTACAAGGTGAAGCAATGTTAAATACTATTGTCCAGCAATCACTTGAAGTGGAATTTATTGTGATTGCTGTACAATGTAGTGATTGTGCAAGATCTTATACTACAAATACGTGGAGAGCAGCAGTTCAAATAAGACAAAAGGTTCCACATAAGAGAACGTTTCTTTATTTAGAACAATTGATTTTAAAACATAATGCTCATGTTGACACAATTTCAATTAAAGAAAATAGAGATGGGTTAGATTTTTATTATTCTCAAAGAAATCATGCTACAAAAATGATTGATTTCCTTAATTCTGTTGCACCAATAAAATCTAAAAAATCAGAAGAATTAGTGTCTCAAGATATTCATTCTGGTTCAAGTACCTATAAATTTTCATTTTCAATTGAAATTGTTCCAATATGCCGTGATGATTTAGTGGTTTTGCCTAAAAAATTGGCTCATTCTTTGGGCAATATATCCCAATTTGTGATTTGTTCAAAAGTTACTAATACTTTGCAATTATTAGATCCATTTACCTTACAGATTGCAGATTTATCACCAAACATATACTGGAGAAGTCCATTCAAATCATTAGCGACAGGAAGTGAATTACAGGAGTTTATCGTTCTTGATGTTGAACCAGTAGGTGTGGTTAGAGGAAAATATGTTTTAGCTGAAATCACTTGTGCAAGAGATGTCGATATGGGTATTAATGAGAATGAGTATTATGTCAAATCACATTTAGGTGGTATTTTGCATCCTGGAGACTCGGTCATGGGGTATTTCACCAAGAACAGTAACTATAATAATGAGATTTGGGACAAGTTGAACCAAAACAACAATGCACCGGAGGTTGTTTTGGTGAAGAAACACTACCCAAGGACATCACACAAGGCCAAACACAGAGCCTGGAAACTTAAGAGAATGGCCAGGGAACACGAAGATATTGTTGCAAATGGTAACCAAGACTCCAGGGCAGCTAGACAAGAACAAGAAAGAATTGAGAGAGACTACGAAGTCTTCCTCCAAGAGTTGGAGGAGGACAGAGAGCTACGTCAAACCATCAACTTGTATAAGGCCCATGAGCCAGATGCACGCAAATACAGTGGTGCTGATGGCGATGGTGACGGGGATGACGAGATGGACGAGGAAAACATTCCACAGATCGATATGGACGAACTATTGGACGAGCTTGACGATTTGACGTTGCAGTAGATACAGAGTTTGCAGATTAAACAGATATAATACACATAAAGCACTTGAGACCCTCTGAACGGCGCTCCTTTCTCTATCACATGGAATTCTGTTGCAACCGTTACCCGGCTCTCTGCTCTTTCAACATTTCCAGTCTTTTTGGCTTGGATCAAATGGAACAGGTATATAAAGAGCCGTTGCTGCACAGACTGTAATCTTTTTCTGCTATTTCTCTATTTCCCCTGCAAATGACGTCCATAAAGTACCCTTTGATTCTCTCTAATGCCTGCATATCGGTCCCCACCTTGAGGGACGTCTTGATTCAGATATTTCCCGACTGGAGCGTCTCTGAGATCACCATCAAGAAGCTCACAGGAGGCATAACAAACATGCTATTGCAATGCCAGCACAAGAATCAGACTGTTTTGGTCAGAACATATGGCAAGAAAACAGACTTGATCATAAACAGAAATCAGGAGTTTAAGAATTTCTTGTATTTGAACAAATTAAACTTATCTTCAAAGGTGTATGCAAAGTTGAGTAACGGCTTAATTTATGGGTTCTTGGATGGAAGATCTCTAGTGCCAGATGAATTAACTAACTTTTTCCTATATCCTTTGATTTCTCAGAAACTAGCCTATTTTCATTATAAAACAAGAAATTTTCCCAAAAAGGACAGGCCGAAGGATATATATCTTACCATAAAAGACTGGATTGACCTCTTATCTTCCCCTGAAAAAATTGCCAGTACTGAAATTAATAATGATGACACCAACAGTGAAAGTGATTATGTCAAGTTTTTTATGGAAAATTCAATATTGAATAACAAAAATTTATTGCAAAATAAAAATTCAAATAATTTAAAGGAAATTTTAATCGATGAACTAAATTGGTTCATGTCAATTGTTGAAAATAAATCCAGAGAAGTTATATCCCACTCAGATTTATTATCTGGCAACGTAGTTATAAATGAAAATCTATCTCATCTATATTCAGAAAATCACCAATTTCTTGATAATGATAATAACACTAATACCATTAATACGGCTAATTCCAAAATCATCAAAAATAAGCAAAAATTCAACTTAAAAGACAAGAATTCAATTTATAATATATCATTCAATTCAAATCTTAAAATTGACAATATTATATTATCAAATGCAAACAACGACTTGATCTCCTTTATCGATTACGAATACATGTCAACTGCTCCAAGGGGTTTTGATATTTCAAATCATTTAATTGAATGGCAAGGTTTTGATTGCGAAATATCAAGAATACCAAATCCAATTAAAACAAATCAAACTCTAAGAAGATGGTGTATCTCGTATATACTAGGCTATTTAAATATCAATTTTAATAACCCAAATATTGATAACAGAATTTTAAATAAATTATTAGATGAATTTTATCCAAAAAATGAAAATTTCTTTGATCAGTTGAATTCTAAACAAAATGATCAAAATAACAACAAACCCAATATTAAAAATACAAATAGCTTTTCAAATGGAACAAAAATTAATCTTTCAGATCAAACTTTTGATACTGATTTCAATATCATTAATAAAAATGTCAACTCAATTATAGATCAATTAATCGAAGAAATATACTACTTTTATGGGCTACCAGGTTTTTATTGGGGGATATGGGCTATAATCCAACACAGTATTTCAACAATTGATTTTGATTATTTGAATTATTCTGTCAATAGATTTAATGAATATTGGATTTGGAAAAAAAATTTTATTAATAATAGTCAAACTTACGAAGACAACTATTCTTTTAATGTTTTAAACAACTAAATTTTTTAAATCAACGAAATTTATTAGAGAAAAACCAACTAAAATCGTGCCAACTATTATTAACCAATGTATCTTTTAATTCTGATTTCATTTCTAGCAACCAAACAGTCTTTTAAGTTCAATTCATTTTTTCTGACTGTCATTTGTATTTTTTTTTTCTTGTTGTTTTTAAATTTTTTTTGTTTGTTGTTTCTCATTTATCATCATTTTTTTTCCATTAGTCATATACGACTAATTGTTTAATTGTTTAATTATTTTTGTTCATTTTGTTTTCTTTTTTGTGTTCACCCTTATAGATTTTTTAATCAATGCTTGTTCTCCACTTCCGACCATTTCCTCGGCACTTTTCCGACAACCATTGCTATGTGCACGTGTATATGCCGGAACTCCTCTGAAACTAACCAAGAGCCAGAAACAGCATTCTTTGCCATCGCTGCTGTTTTTGATTCTTCTGCTTCAACCTCACTGTAGCTATGATTCATTCAGTATTGATATGTACGTTTTTCTGATTTGATTTTTGGTAATTGCTGCATCTCTTACTAACTCTCTTTTGTTCACAGTTAATAATGATGGTCTACCTCGTTTGCTTAAATTCTATACTCCAGTAGACATATCAACTCAAAGATTATTGTTAAGACAAGTTCATCAATTGGTTTCACAAAGACCTTCAGATCAATGCTCTTTTTTAACACCGCCTCCTTTATTAGAGGGTTACGATGATATTCGAGTCATTTATAGACACTATGCTACACTATATTTTGTGTTTATAGTGGATGAGCAAGAAAGTGAGTTAGGTATATTAGATTTAATCCAGGTTTTTGTTGAATGTTTGGATCAGTGCTTTCAGGAGGTTTGTGAGTTGGATTTAGTATTTGGGTGGCAAGTCTTGGAAACAGTTTTAGATGAGATTGTTCAGGGTGGTATGGTGATTGATACGAATATTTCAAGAATTGTAGCAGCTGTTGACGAGCTTAATAGTCAAAAGACTAAGAATTTATCATCAACGAGCTCATTTCCAAGTCCTTCAAGTATTTTCCAAGCAATGGCAAGGGATACACGAATGGGTGGATTAAGTTGGCCAGGTCGTTAAATTAAAAGTCTGAATTAATTTAGATGATTTTAGATGATTTCGGATAATAAAAAGAATAATATCAATAGTAATCAATAATATTGGTAATATTGATAATAGTTGTAAAATTATGTTTTCATTTTGTTTTGATGATACTATTGGTTAGTTTTTACTCCACAAATTATTTTGAAAATTAGAAATTAAGATTTAGGGTGATGATATTAAGATTTTAGGGTAATTAAGGAAAACATAAGTTACACTGCATAACGGTTATCAAATCAAAACTGTTTGTTCGATGTGTGGAATCAATGGACAAAAATAAGGTTTATAATTTCTCACTTTATTAGTAATGATCAAAATAATAACAAAACTAAAATAAACATGAACATGAATATGAACATGGAAGTTAAAATAAACTTGGAAATGAAAAAAGAAATAGTGATTAATTCATTATCTAATAAAGTATATAAAATATATAGAAACAAAAAATAAAAATAAAAAAATAAATAAAATATAACCATAAATTTATTAACATTAAATTAAATATCCAAATTAAAATTATGCGAAATCTTCGATAAATTTGTTGTGGAAATCTTCCCATCTCTTAACCCATGAGGTACCTGGAGCTAAGAAGGTAGTTCTAACATGGTAGGTACCTTTCTTTTGACCAAAACCAGAACCTGGAACAGCACAAATACCAGTGTTTTCTAACAATTGAGAACAGTAATATTCATCAGGTTGTTCACCCAATTCAATAGCTTTTGCAATAGCCTTTTCTGGAATTGTGATCTTTGGGAACAAATACATAGCACCTTGTGGTTTGATGCATGAAACACCTTTCATATTTTGGAAACTCTTCCATAAAGAAATGGCTCTTTCATTCAAACCATTGTGGATGCTTAATCTTTCAGTGTGATCCAATTCGTAAGATGATTCACCTTGGGTTGGTGGGTTGCACATTAATTCAACCAAACTTTGACCAGAAACAGAGGAACATAAAGAGATGGAAGCTAATTTAAGAATGACAGCTTCAACAGCAGGGTCGAAACCAACCAATTCCATATAACCACCTCTTTGGCCACATTCACCAGAAACACCCTTTGAAGTAGAGTGTAGGGAAGCTAATTGAACGTTGTCATATTTTCCATCTGGATTTTCTCTTTGTAAGACTCTCAAGACTTTTTTAAATGAGATGAATTTACCATTGAAGATATTTTCTTGGTAAACTTCATCAGCGATTAGGACGAAACCGTATTTGGCGGCAATTGTAATTAAATCTCTGATATCAGATTCTTCTAAGATGGCACCAGTTGGGTTACCTGGGTTAATGACGACTAAACCATTGATTTTGATGCCCTTTTTCAAATTTTCTTCAATGGCTTGAGTGATTTGAATTGGGTCAGTTGACCAATTGTTTTCTTCATTTAAGTAATAAGGAATTGGGTTAGAGTTATTAAGAGCCAAAGTAGCGGTATAAAGAGGGTATTGTGGGATTGGAATTAATAAACCGGTGTCGTTACCAACACATAAAGCAGTCAATAAGTAGTTGACAGCAGTAGAGGCACCAGAGGTTAAGAAGACATCGTTTGGAGAGGATGGTTCACCATCTCTTTTGGAGATGAAATCAGCTACTCTTTCTCTGATGTATTTAACACCTTGAGAGTTTGAATAAGCACCAATTGAGCCAATATTGGAGATTAAATCAGTGGCTCTTTGGATGACATCAGCAGGGAAAAGTTCTGAGATGTTTTCATTTTTCAATAAACTTGGGGATTGTAATAAAGATAAAACACTTCTATAGAAAGTTAAAGGCTTTTGGTCTAATTGCTGTGGGTTACCGATGTTACAGTTAATAACTTCTGGGAAGGGAACAGATGATGGATCTTTTTTAAGGATTTCTTTTAATTCTTCAGCTCTGGCAGCGATTTTACCACGAACAGCGTATTTAGCATTGATTGCTAAGGGGTTTAAATCATCAGTAGTTAATTTTGCTGCGGGTTTGAAGTTGAGGTCGATTTTTTGTTGAGTCATATTGATAAGAGATTCGTAAAAACAGAAGAAGGTTGGAGAAAGTAAATATGTGGATATACTGGGGCGAAATGAAGTAGATTAGTAATAAGGAATATTAAGAAGCAGCCGTTGGGATGAAATGCAGAAAAAACCAGAGATGATCAGAAGGAAACTAAAAATATCAAAGAAAAAAGACAATTGCAGTGGTTTATATATGATTTGGAAGAGAGCTGCAAGTGAGCTAGAAGCAAGTAAAAGCTAGGAAGAAACAAAATGTTTATCCTCCAGGTCTTCACTAATTGTCTGCTCAAAAAAAACCCACCAAATTCCAATTAAAAAACGAAGAAAAAAAAATCAGACAGTGAAAAAAGTCAAAACCCCAAATTGTACGGATAGTGCGGGTTTGCATCCAAGTGAGCACTCACTATCTGGTCGATCCACCACCCCTCTACTAGACGGACACTCATCAGCAGCACCAACTGAAATCTGGGGTTTTTCGCAGTATGCTCTTGACACTGAGGAGATTATTCCATAATTATTCGCTGCCAAAGACTACGGGTAACGTGCCGGCACCCACAACCACCACAGATCCAAACAGCAGGCAGCTGCTTTGTTGTGGTGTGCGAGGAAGGAGTTTTCGCAGGTCGTGCTTCTCCTCCATTAGCAGTACTCAGCTCATCGCTCTCGTTTCTGGTTTCTTTCCGGGTTTTGGTGCTGGAGGTGTTGTGTCTTACTCTGCGTCCCGATCAGGCAGAACGCGCCATGTCCATCCCACTTTTCTTCCCAATCAAGAATGCGCGTTCTGCCGCACACCTACGCATACAGTGGTGTGTACGTGCTGTAGTGTGCGTGTGATGCTGTGATGTGCATAATCTGGAATGCATCCGTCACAATGGAACGCTGTAGGTATATATTCCTGATCTGGCGAGCATATACTGCTCTGGTGACCTTCCAGACGTATAAGTGTTGGGCCTTGGGGTTATAATGCTCTGGCTTCCTTTGGCCACTGCTTCTTCGCTGTGTCTATTCACTTAACTGGCTCCAGCACCATCGCCAACAGCCTGACGGTTCTGGTGCCTGTGATTATACTCGCTTTTCTTCCCATCAGGCAGCAATTTTATCCATTTCCACTGTCTGGAGGTTTCACAAACACAAATTGTTTCAGAGCATTTAAACAGTATCTTTTTAATCGCTTTCCAATAATATTTGCATTAGTGTTTGATCCATCAACAGTTCCATGAAATTCCACAAACAAATTCTCTGGATATTTAGAAAAGAAGAGTTTGGCAGCCCTTTGCGTATTCATTAACCTTTTGTCTTTAAGTTTCCTAATCGGTTTTTATTCTTTTATCCTAAAAACTTTTCTTCCATCCTTTCTTTACTTATTCTATTACCATTAAACTTGGACTTATATTTCCTTTTAATCCAGCTGCTATAAAAACGTTTCCACTAAACTAATCTCTACCTTATCATTTAGTTATCTGGATCTATTGAGCTATTTTATATTTCTAATTGCCCTTTAACTCACGTTTGTTATACTCCCGGTTTCTTTACTTGTTATATCCATTCAAAATCCTTCTCATTCTATAAAAACCTAAAATTATTTGAATTTTAAAATAGGTTAAAGAAGAAAATTCACATAAAACACCAAAAAATTAAATAAAATTTAAAAATACTTTGCAAAGAAAAAACTGTTTCAGATAATACTTCAAATACTTCAGATACTTCAGATAGTTCAGATAGTTCAGATACTCCAAAAAGCTTGTAAATTCAAAACACTAAATTTAAAAACTTAATCCCACTTTCTTGCTATTCTGTTCTATAAAATGGATACAATTAAACCATCAAAACTCAATCATAATAACGATCTTAATTGGGATGATATCAAACATTCGTTGATCAATTTATCACAAAAATCAACCAATAATATCATAAATAAATATAAAAAAAAACCCATCACCACAAAAGATCTCAATATAAATAATGACAATAATGACAATAATAATGCTATTATAGACCCAAATTGGAACAATCTTTTCCCCATATTTGACAACGACTTTAATCTTTTGAATCAATTGTTCCTAGATTTTGAAAAAAATTTAAAACATTTAAAAATCTATTACGAAAACTTTTCAAATTCAATACTAATCAACTTGATCCATTTTAAAAATATAAACTCATTTTTTTTCGATCTAATCAAACCAATTAATTCTGCAACTTTATCGATTTACAATACTGCATTTGATAATAATAATCTTTCCCAAATTAATAATATCAATAACGAAATTCAAGATCAGTCCTTAAATTCAACTAAAATTAAAAACATTAATTTAGAAATTTCACAAAATATCGAGCCCATTATAATCAAATTATTGAATAAATTTTCAATCAAATTTAATTACAATTTCAATATCCTATTATCTTTTATTAAATTTATTAAGAAAAAAATAAAAAAAAGAAATTCCCTATTAAGCCATCTATCTTCTGATTTTAAATCCTTTGAAAGATACAAAAATAAATTAATTATTAAAAACGTTCCTATCGATCAAAACATTCAATCTAACATCATCAATTTTAAATTTAAACTACAATCTTCTTTGCAAAAATTCCAAAATTTAAATAACTTAATCAAAAATGAATTGGATGTTTTCTTGAAATTATTTCAAATTTTTATTTTTCTCTCAATGTGCCAATTTTATACTCTACAAATTAAAATTTATTCTCAATTCAACAGCTCTTTGAACTTAATTAACAGTAACCTAATTAAACTAAACAATATTAATATTAGTAATCAAAATTTTTATCAATTATTAGTTCAAAATTTTAAATTAAATCATTCACCAGCTGTTGATTTAATTCAAAACTTAAACATAGTTAATTTTAAGAAAAACTTTTTAAATAAATTGTCTTCTCCAATGATATTAAGTCGCAACAGAAAAATCATCCAAGAAAATGATTATAACAATACTAATATTAATATTGATATCAATAACTATGATATATTTTATCATGATAATACTAATGATAATGATGAAAAAAATAATGAAAATCATAATAGTCATAAAATTAAATACTGCATTGCAAAATTTGATTATGAACCAAAAGAAAACGGAGATTTGAATCTGTTTAAAAATGAAAAAATCAAGATTATTGATGATAGTGATAAGTGTGGATGGTGGATTGGAGAGAATGCTCAAGGTGTAAGAGGATTATTTCCTGCTAATTATGTTCAGGTTGAGTTTTGATTAAAGTGAAACGAAATGAAATAGAATGAAATAAAATAGAATAAAATAAAAAAACCTAAAAATTTAAACTAATGAAAACATAGATTATTTTAATGAGCCATGAAGAGTGAGATATATAGATTTAATGTATAATTTAATAACCAATTTTTTTTAATAGAAATTTGTAAAAGAAAAAAAAAAAGAAAAAAAAAAAGCATGAAAAAATGTATAATTCTATTGTTATATTATTGTATGTTAAGAGTCGATTAATTATTAGGAAGTTGGATCGGGAACCATTTTATTGATTAATTCACTCCAATTATCGTCACTATTATTTATTATAGAGGAAGAGGAAGCATTTTGAGAATCATTAACTATTATTGAATAGGGAAAAGGGGAGCAATCTGTGGAGTATATTGGAGGAATATCGTCGTAAGTTGATTCAGTTGAGGATATTATCTGTAATAAAATGTTTTCAAATTCATTTGCAAAATAAATTAATTCGTTTGAATCACTTTCTATAGAATTTGAGTTGGAGTTGGAGTTGGATATTAAATGTGTTGTTAAATTTGAGGTTATATTTGAAGTTATATTTGGAATTAACTGGTTATCAATGTTATTCATGCGTGGATCATTAAATGTTATGTTGAAATTATTATCGTCATTGAAATTGTTGTTATTGTTGTTGTTGTTGTATTCATTGTAATTGTTATTATTATTGTTACTATTGAGTAGGATATTATTATTATTATTATTATTATTATTATTATTATTATTATTATTATTATTATTATTATTATTATTATTATTATTATTATTATTGTTGTTGTTGTTGTTGTTGTTGTTGTTGTTGTTGTTGTTAATATTGTTGTTGAAAGATAAATTATTGATATTTAGAGTTAGATTATTAATTTCGCTTGGAGACTCAAAGTCAGATAAGACTTTTATTTTGATATTCCAAGTTTCCCAACATTCTTTATAATCTTCTTTTATTATTTTTAGATTTGTGTCATTATTGGTGTCAGTGATATTTCTGTCATTGGAATTATTAGAATTGGTGGTATTATTTGAGGAGGTTTTATCATTTGAAAGGAAAGAAGATGGATCATACAATTTTGTTAGTATATTCCAATTGCTCTTTGACTTTGATTTTGATTTGTTAGAGTCATTTTTATTAGGATTATTATATATCTTGACGATTTTTTGTTTGACCTCATAAAATTTGACCGATATTTTGCAGATTTTATAATCATTATTAATAAAACTTGAGCTGTCAGTCGAGGTCGATAAGTTATCATAGGAGGTTAAAACGTTGTGGTTACTATTGTTGTTGACAAGTATGTTATTGTTGTGAAAATCCTCATTGGACAAAGCATCTATATAGTTGTATAGTTGGTCAACCTTATCATCTATCAAAATGTCCAAGGTTTGTAGTTTTGCTGTTGGATAAGTGACAGATAGAAACTGGTCGATGTTGGGATCAATTTGACCAACTAGTCTCTGGAAGAAGATGGTGGATAGTATGCCCCTGACAGACTGCTTGAAGAGAGGTTTTGTTATTCTGAACTGTAGGTTGTGCTCCATTATCACGAATATCGCTGGCGTTGGTATCAGTCTGTAGGCTAGTACATGAACCAAAAGCAGATCAGTAACGAGGTATAATAGAAAAGTGCTTCTCTGTAGCTAGCTCATAGCAACTAATTTCGTCCGCAGCTCAACTTTAAACTTTCTAATTGTTCTGATTGATAATCACATAGGTGCTGCTCTGGCTGCTCGTCGTAGCCCCATCACAGAGTGCTTCTCTGGACCCACCACCACCATCGCACCATTATATCGTCTCCATCCCTCTCTACGTGCTCGTGGTGCCTTATCACCTCGTCTGCTCAACACCCTCCTGCCTCGTTTCTCCAGCAGACGAGCAGCCCACTGGCCACAGAACGACAGCCCATCCAGCAGACAGCCAACCTGTGCCAGCACCACCACCGGCCTGTTCCTCCTCTGCTGCCTGTGCTGCCTGTGCTTCTTCTGCTTCTTCTGCTGCGTCTCCTTCTCCAGCTCCAAAACCACGGCTGCGGGTCCTCTTTTACGAGCGCTGATTGGCTGCTGAGAACAAGAAATGAGTCAGCAAAGATGCTCTGTTTCTACGGGGCAGACGCGCTGTCTTCCAGAGCCCAGCCGAATACGTCCCGTTTTCTGCAGGTGCAGTGACACTTTTTTTTTGCTTCTTGATCTAAAAAAGTGCACAAATTGGTGAAATTTTTCCTATAAAAGAGTCATCCTGAGGTGGAATTGCTTCTTCTCCAACTCTTATCATAAAAAAACAGCCATTTCTTCTTCTTTGGCTTCTTCCTCTTCCTCTTCTTCTTCACCATAGGATTTCTTATGAAAATCTTCACAAATCAAGTTACTGACGTACGTTATTTGCCATATATAAGACTTGGATCTCTTCTTGGGTTTATTTTGCTTTTTTGCTTTTTTGCTTTTTTATTTTTCATTTTTTTTCTTGTTTTATTGTATTATATTCGTTTACAAATATTTTTCGAATTTTCAACTAACTTTCTAATTTTCATTCTCATCTCCAATTTCAATTTCAATTTCAATTTCATTTGCATTTGCATTTGCATTTTTTCTTTTGAATTTTTTTTTTTTGATTTCTATTCTTGCAGGATTATATTTCAGACCACGTTTGGAAAGCCTTATCACCATGATTGGAAAATACTTGTTCAATTCTGCCTTTAAAACAAATTTATATTCAAAATCTTCGCTTTTGACTTTATCCAATAACATTTCAAAAAAATCAATATCTCGTAATTTAGCCTTCTCATCAAATAGCAGCAGCAGCTTAGATAGAGCAACTTTCACAATTAAAAACGGTCCAATTTTCAATGGTTTCTCTTTCGGCGCAAATAAAAACATCAGTGGTGAAGCTGTCTTTACCACCTCTTTAGTTGGTTATCCAGAATCAATGACTGATCCTTCTTACAAAGGCCAAATTTTGGTCTTCACCCAACCCTTGATCGGTAATTATGGCGTTCCATCTCCACAAATCAAAGATGAATATGGCTTAATTAAATACTTTGAGAGCCCCAAAATCGAGTGTATTGGCATTGTTGTCGCTGATGTCTCATTAAGATACTCCCACTGGAATGCTATCCAATCTTTGAGCGAATGGTGTAAAAGTGAGGGTGTTGCCGCTATAACTGGCGTTGATACAAGGGCCATTGTCACACATCTTAGAGAAGTTGGTTCATCATTAGGTAAAATTTCAATTGGTGAAGAATATGATGCCGATGAAGATGAGGCCTTTATCGATCCTGGCTCAATCAACTTGGTCCATAAAGTATCAACCAAAGCTCCATTTTATGTTCCTTCTCCTACAAACAAATACCACGTTGCTGTCATTGATTGTGGGGTAAAAGAAAATATCCTAAGATCCTTAGTCTCAAGAGGTGCTTCAATTACTGTTTTCCCCTACGACTACCCAATCCAAAACATTGCCAATAACTTTGATGGTATCTTCATCTCAAATGGTCCTGGTGATCCAACCCATTGCTCCACCACTGTTCACAATTTAAAAACTTTAATGGAGTCGGATTACAATGCTCCAATTTTCGGTATATGCTTGGGCCACCAGCTATTAGCCTTGGCCTCTGATGCCAAAACCATTAAATTGAAATACGGTAACAGAGCACACAATATTCCTGCTTTGGATCTCACTACTGGTAAATGCCATATAACTTCTCAAAACCACGGTTACGCTGTTGATGCTTCAACTCTACCTTCCTACTTCAAGCCTTATTTCATCAACTTGAACGATCAAAGTAATGAAGGTATGATTCATGTTTCCAAACCAATTTTCTCAACTCAATTCCATCCAGAAGCCAAAGGTGGTCCATTAGACTCCTCGTTCTTGTTTGACAAATATTTCGGCTTGATTGACGAATACAAACTCAACCAATCCAAGATCAATGGTTCGGCCCCAAGAATTCAGACCAGTGATACTTTAGTCAGTGTCTTCCCCAAAGAACGTATTCAATAATTTGTTGAATCAAATTTTCTATTATATTGTCTCATACTATTTTTTTCAATAAACAATACTTTTACTTGAGCTGTACATAAACATGTAAGACGACGTTACCCTTTCTGCTGAGATATGGGTCTTGAGAGTCTCTTCGGAGTCTACCCTCGCTAAGATGGGTAACGTGACGTCTGGAAAGCTCGTTTCCCCTTGGAAATAAGCCATACTTGCTACTCTAGTCTTACAGTCTGTTCCTTTTATGCTCCTAATTACTTTCTTGTTCTTATCCCCAGGAAATAAGGATATGTACAAACAAGTAATCTATATGCTAGCTGAATTTTTGATCACGTGCGCCAGATCCCAACAATAGGTAAGGTTCAAGCCATGCAAATAAGCCAAAATAATGGTCGTGGTTCAGATTAGTAATGGTAGTAATGGAACCAGCTATCTACTGCTCATCCACTGCTTTTTGATGCTATTCTTCAGATACTCTTTGGCTCTTTCTTTAGCTGCAATTCACTCCACAGCAACATGGTGGTGGCTGTTTCGCTAAGACAAACCAGGTCCATGACCAGGAAGCTTTCCACTCAAGTCCTCTCCATGGAATCAAGGGCCTTGGGTGCCTCAGCATCTGAAGAAACCTCTCCATCAGCAACAAAAAAAATCCACAAAACCTCATCAGTAATCAAAAAGAAAGTCACTGTGAAGAAATCAAAAACCACCACTAAAAAAACTCAAACTAAATCAATTGATAAAGATACAATTATACTTGAACTTATAAACAATCCCAAGCTTCCGGATTCTTTTTTGCAACCCCATGATACATCATTTGTCACTGGTCTTGATTTCATTTTATCAAAGGACCCCTTGTTATACAATGTCATTGCCCACAATAGATTTGATTTGTTTTTCAAAGAAAATCTAGAATTCCATAATAAACCTGATAATGAAAGATTACAGTATTATTATGAAAATTTAGCAAGCAGCATAATTTCTCAACAGGTTTCCGGCGCTGCTGCACAATCAATAAAGACTAAAATCTGTCATAAAGTGCATCAATTTCATAATCACGATAACATTAATATTAATACTAATGGTAATATTATTATACAATTTCCTTTTCCAAATGAAATCTCTGTTTTATCTGATGAATTTTTAAGAGAATGCGGTTTATCTTATCGAAAGGCTCAATATATCAAATGCTTATCCAATTCATTCCTAGACAATTCTTTATCTCTCGATTTATTCGAAAATTCAGATGACCAATTAATCATCGAAAGATTGACTCGAGTTAAGGGTCTAGGAATTTGGTCTGCAAAAATGTTCTTGACTTTTGGTCTAAAAAAACTAGATATATTCGCTGAAGATGATTTAGGTGTAGCTAGAGGTTTACTGAAATATATATTTTATAGACCTGACTTACTATCTCAATCAAAAACTTTAGTTAACGAAAACTACAAAACACAAAATAAAAAAATAAAAAAATCAAAATGGGGCAATAAAAAAAGAGATTGGTTACCGATTGAAGAAATTTATATGGACCAAATAGCCAAACAATTCTCCCCATATAGAACAATCTTTATGCTATTAATGTGGAGATTGTCCAGTACAAAAATTGAAGCTTTAGAAAAATAAACTCAGAAAAAAAATGAAATGAAAACTAAGTATTAAGAAAACTATGAAAAAATTTGAGTTAAAAAAAACTTAAGGAAATATACTATAAAAATAGAAAGTTTTCTAGAAAAAAAAATACAAAATAACCAACTGGTTGAAATAATATCCGATTAAAAATTTCAACCCTTTAAAATCCAATTTTATATTTGGAATTAATAGAAACATAAAAAAACCGACACCATTAATTACACTACCACAATGTCCACAATATTACTTATTATTTTCATGAATATTTATCATTTTAGCCTTTGCTATTTTTTTATTTTATTTTATTATTTTAATCTTTTAAGATCTTGTTTGAATTTAATAATTTTTTTAAAATGTTGAATTGAGTATATTGAGAGTTGTATTTCCACCAACTGGACCACCTAACGAAGGACCACCAAAATCCTTTTCAATAGATCGAGATGTTTCATGGGCCACTTTACCCTTTATAGCTAAAAATCCTAATGCGAAACAAGAAACTAATAAAAGAGCAACACCAAACCAAATTAAAACTCTCGCAGAGACACCAGCATTAGTTTCTAAACCAAAATAATCGTCTTCCATTGAAGCCATTAAAATTTTACCAGTTAATACATTGGTTTCTTGCCAAACAGCCGCTACCAAAGCCAAAGAAAACCCAATGTAACAAATACCTGTTGAAAATTGATACATCTTTGGCTGACTTGTGGGAGATACAAAGGCAAATAAAACAATTGTAAAAAATGACAATAAGATTGACACTAATAAGATGTAGGGAGTTAAACACTCTTCTCTAAATTTGGTGGCAGTTAATTGAATGAAATTTAATAAATCTTGATTGGGAGTGCTATCTGGCTCGAAATTTCTATTAATTTCTAATAATCTGGGTTCATTATCACCACAACTCCATCCACTGGTTGTTTCGTTATTTGAGGCCTTTAAACAAGATGAAAAATATCCAACTCGTACTTCGACTTTAGTGACAGCGTCTGGATAAAATCGAGCAGTGTTTGAAAAACTATTGTAATTTAATCTTATGACATAAGTGCTACTTGTGCCTGAAGTTATTGATGAACCAATCACTATACATTCAAATATAATATAAATCAATAGGAAAAAGACAGCATAATGTCTTGGTCTTATAGAGCTTATTTTCAACTCATTTAAACGTTCAAGCCTGCTGGCTTTGACATTATTATCAGCAAACACATTTGTTGGAAATTGACCACCTGGAAATCCCTCCATTTATTCTTTATAAGTTGTGACACGAGAGTGTATAAATTGATAAAATAAAAGTTGATTGCGATTTAAGAAGTCTTGAAATATATTGATTGCAACTAGGTTTAAAATGCAATATAGTAATATGAAATTTAAAAAAAATAATAGGATGATTTGATATAATCAAAAAAAAAACTAAAGCTGTGAAATTACTGTAAAAAATTTAGAACACTTGCTACTATCTCGAAACAGATATATTGAATGGAAATTTAACTAAGTTTCTTTTCAAAAGTTTTGCAACAAGAAAAGATGATATAATATATATATATCGAAGGAGAAGCAAAGTAGAAATCTGTTTATATCACTTCTCAATTGAGATAAAATCAAGACCAAATAGTGCCATATAGGGTAGAGCTCTGCCCATTGTTGATGTAAACAGTCAGTGTGTTATTGTTTCGCTGTTTGCTCGCTCTGCTGTTGGGCTCCAGTTGCACTTAGACCTTGCTCCAGATCAACAGCGACTCAGTTGGTGTTAGTCGAGCTCATGGAGTAAATATCTGAGGATAAATAAACAGCTCTGGCTCTGATTATATTGCACCTCGGTGCCACCCACACGGATCTATTTATGTTTTGCCCAATTGGGAGACGGGCTCCAGAGGAAGGGCGACAATCCGCTGTCTTCTGACGTACCACAGCTGCATATTAGCGCTGATTCCAGCAAGTTTACATCTGGATACATATGGTCTGTGTCTCCAGTTGCGTGTTTGTGCGTCGACCCCTACTGCTGGTTGTTCTAGTCCAACTATCCTCAGTCTGTTGACGATGCTGAACAATTCGCTGTAAACAGTGCTTCTCAATCTGCTGTAAATAGAGTCGTCTGTCAAAAACAGGTCTGTCAAGGGCATTGTCTTGATTTTCTCTTCCTGGCATTTTTCAGTAATGCTGTCTTCATCTGCGAGCCACTCAAAAGTCTTGCTCACTCCAAATGTGGAATAACTGTTGGATTTTCCAGAATTCACTTTGGTCAGATTAGTCAAGTAGCCAATAATTGATCTCAAGGAATATATTTCTGAAACCAATTCAATTTTGTTAATTGTCTTCTTTTCCTGTACCAAATTCAAAAACCTATTGTCTGAGATGTTGTAAAAATTCATTTGATTTCTTGTGTTTAATTTCTCAATGGTGTCTCTTTGAAGGTTGTTTATCCCAATTAATTTTTTAATATTTTCGTTCATTTGCTTAGAATCTGCATTTAATTTCGTTATTTGGTTTTTCAAATCTTTCATTATGACATTGTTTTTCTCTGCTTTAACTAGTTTGCTATTCAAAACTTCCACCTTCAAATTCAATTCATCAATTATTCGAAGCTTTAATTGCTGATCTTGTTTTAGGGAATCTAATTCTAAACTCAATTTCTTGATCTCATTAATTCTTAGATAATTTCCTTGGTTTTTCTCAAATAAATCAGAAATTTCAATTATCCATTTAGCTGGTTTCTTATCTAAAACAAATATATTTTCATTCAATGTTAAACTATTCTCAACATTTAACTTAACTTTCTCTAATCCCTCACTCAAGTCACTAACCATTTTAATTGCATTATTAAAAACTTGAAATTTGGAAGTTGTCTTTGATATCTGAAATAAATGATAAATGTTCTCGATATTAAAATTTAATTCAAATGAGTTACACTCTATTTCCAATTTTTTAGTTATTCCAAAAATTTCTTCCCACAAATTATTTATCATGCTATAGAACCCAACAAAATTGTCATAATTTATTGGATTTTTAATAAATTCTTTATTATTTGGTATCATATTACCCTGAATATTATTTTCTAAATCATCTATCAATGTTTGAAATGCTTGCATTGATTTCAATAAAGTCAAATTAATAAATTCAATCAAGTTTTTTATCAACATTTTATCTCCGCTGTTAATCATCAATTTCAAGTTTTCATTTGATTTATTAGCATTAAAATCACTATTACTATTTTTCTCAAGTGAGTTTAAAAACTTATTATTCAAAAGTTCTTTAATTAAAATGGAATTTTGTTTTGTGATCTTAATCAAAATTTTGAATAAATCCAAATAATATATCAAATCTTGTCTTTGTTTAAAATTAAATGAACAATTATTTTCATAATAATAAATAATATTAAGATTATCGTTTAATTTTTTATTTGAAAACTCTATGCCATTAGTTTTACTTATTATATCCTTATCTTCACCTGTATTGCTATTTATTTCGGAACAAATCTCTAATTCTGATTGGCTATCACTAATATCAAAATCAATTATTCTATTTTTTTTAAGAATATCCTTCCATATCCTTTCTTTGATTTCAAGAATAATACCACTCATATTTTGATTAATTTCAAAATTAATCAAGTCTTTTAGTATTCCTAAAAATTTTATTTCTAAATCCTTTGATAAAATCATTAAAAGTTCTCCATAATGAATTTTGTTATCAAAGAAATCTGTATTATTTTTCAATTCAACTGATATTTTCTTGAAGAACAATGATAATAAATAGAAATCTTTAATAAACGATAACAATGAGGCCTTTGAGTATTCAGTTGAGGTTAATTCATTTGTATTTTTATAAATATATTCAGAAATATAATAACTTAATTTAAAGAGTTTTTGGAATTTCAAAAAACAATTAAATTCAACATTGATCTTAGAAAATGATTGATAAAATAAATCATCCTTTTTAATTGTTTTAGAAAAATTATCAGAAGACATTAAATTATTTAAGTCTTTAAAATATTCTAAATCAAACTGTAAAATATCATTCAAGGCTGTTAATTTATTGTTTTCCTTTTGAGATCTCAAAAGATTTGATTTATAATCTGATAGTTGAGATTTGAAATTATTAAAATAAGTATTATCTTCATCAAGAGAGATATCATTTTTAATGTTTTTAGAATTGTTATTATTATTTTCATTTATTGGATTATCATTGTTAGTTAATAAAATTGATAAATCTTTAACATCTGATTCATATTTTTGTTTCTGTTTTATAATAATTTCGGACATGAAATTATTTTTTCTTTCTACTTCTAATAGTTTAAGTTTATTAGTTTCTAATTGGTTATTCAATTTAGTTATGTCATCTCTTAATTCTCTTTCAGATACATTATGCATTTCTTCTATATCTTCAGCCAAATTTTTTAAATCCTCCAATTCTTCAACGTCTTTTATTAATTTTTTATTTTTCTCTTCTAGAACAAAATTTTTCTCCGTTAGACTTTCAATTAATTTTATTGAATCAAGAGAAGAATCTAATTGAGATTGTAGGTTTGAAATTTGAGATTTTGATTTATTTAAATCGTTTGATAGTGATTGAATCTTTTTTTGAGAGTCATTATAATCAGATAATTGATTTGATAAATCAGTTATCTTTTGATTTAGAACTGATTCGTTTTCTTGGGATACATCTCTTAATTTAATTAGAGCAGTTTCTAGTAGTTTATTTGATTTCAATAGATTATCTATTGATAATAATTCATTATTATTTATGTTATCATCGATTAATTGATTATTGATTTGGTCGTCAAGATTTTTGATTAGATTTAATTGGTTTTGAAGAAAAAGGTAATTTTTTTTTAAATCTTGATATTTTAAGTTTAAATTGTTGAAATTTTCAATTAAGATTTCATTTTTTTCATCTAGAGTTTCTTTATCAATGGTTAAGATTTCTAAATTTTCATCTAGTTGATCTATTTTTCTTTTTAGATCGATATTTTCAGTTGATAGATTTTTAAAATTATTTAATAGAGAGTTTAAATCGATGTTTAGGTTTTTAGTTTTTTCTTGTAAGATTACGATGATTGATTGTAATTTTTTATTTTCATCCACCAATGATTTATTGTTATTGTTATTGTTATTATTAGTAATAGTGGTAGTAGTTTTCGATTTAAAAGAAGAAGGAGAGATGGGACTATTTCTTGAAGAGGTTCTTGATAAATTTGATAAATTGGAAATAGAGTTATTTCTAGATGGGTTTTTATATGGATGTGAAGGATTTGAGGAATTTGGGAGATTGGATGGATTATTTAGGTCAATTCTCGAAGAATTTCTCGAGTGATTTATTAAGTCGATTCTTGAGGAATTTCTTGAGTGATTCATGAGATCTATTCTTGAAGTTGTTTTAGAATGAGTCAAAAGACCAATTCTTGAGGAAGGTCTTGAATTGTTTGAAAGTTTTTTTTGATTGTATGGTAGATCGACTCGTGAACTGTTCCTTGAGTTATTTCTCGAGTTATTTCTTGAGATATTTACTGGGTAGTAAATCGGACTATTATTATTGTTATTAGTCGCAGTATTGATAGTCGAATTAGGAGCATTAGTATTAATATTAGTGGTTGTATTTGCCAGAGAGTTCAGTCTATCTTGTTGGTTTAAGGTGTAATTTTTTTTCAAATAGGGTAGATTTGTGGATGGGCTTTTTTTATGATTGTTATTAGCAGTAGCAGTAGTGGTGTTATTATTATTATTATTATCAATCGAGGGTTGTTTATTAGTGTTTTGATTAAAAGAAACCGAATTTCTATTTAATAAAGAACTTTTCAACGAAACCAATTTCGGTTTTGCAAAGACACCATAGTTTTTTTGGTCAAGCAATGGTTTATTTATATTTTTATCACATTGGAAATAAGATACCCCATTAATTGAGCCATTATTTTTGCCAATTGAATTGGATAGTTCGATTCCAATCCAAATTCCATCAGCAAATTTTGTCTGGCCTATGAACTTTATGATGCCAGGCTCGCTTCTTATGTAGACATTTTGGTTTAGAATCAAGAGCTCGCCAGAGTCGTTGGTTACCAGTTGCAACAGGGCCATTTTATTGCAGATATGTCGAGGAATGAGAGCAGCAGAACAGCAATTGCAACAGAGGTATAGGGAGTGGTAAGCAGGTAGAAACCAACAATCAACCAACAGCCAACAGCCTACACACCAAAACGGCAGCTCGTGGGCTGGAAGCAGCTCCAGCAGCAGCCCCAACTCCAGCAACAGCAGCAACAGTTGATTCGTGTGCCCATTCCCAGTGCTTTCCAGTGTTTCTCTATACCCACACCCACTTCAGCAGCTCAATTCTGGCAATTCTACTCATTTTCCTCTCTCTGCTTTCAATTCCCTGGTCGCAGTCAGACTGCCTGTGCGTTTCTCCCGATTTCACAGGTACTGTGCTAGCAATATTGTGCATAAGTGCAGCTGCACATCCAGCACCGCCCGTACCAGAAGGGTTGTCGTGGGTAGCCTTGCTGAATGTGACACTGAGGCAAAAAGGAAATGGAGGCAGAGGAGAGTATATATAGCGACACAGCTGCTTCCTCTCCTTTCGCCAGAAATTGCAACACTCCTCACAATGGATGAAGACTACGACGTTATTGTTCTTGGTACGTACCTCTGCTGCTGCTGCTCATGGGCCTTGTTGTGACTGATTTGTGCTCTTGTCAGTTGCCAATCATTCTACAATCTCGTAATCGCACCCACTCTCTCCATCTTTAATCGCTAGAGATCTCAATTACTAACTTTTTTTATCCTTTTTATTTTTATTCTTTTTATTTTTATTCTTTTTATTTTTATTCTTGTTTTAGGTACCGGTTTAACCGAATGTATTCTTTCCGGATTGTTATCTGTTGAAGGTAAAAAAGTTCTTCATATTGATCGTCAAGACCATTATGGAGGTGAATCTGCTTCGTTGAACTTGACCCAATTGTATGCAAAGTTTAAACCATCAAAGAAACCAGATCCAAAGTTGGGTCGTGACAGAGACTGGTGTGTTGATTTAATTCCCAAGTTTCTAATGTCAAAGGGTGAATTGACAAACATTTTGGTTCATACTGATGTTACAAGATATATTGAATTTAAGCAAATCTTTGGTTCTTATGTCTACAGAAGCGGCAGAATCGCCAAGGTTCCTGCTAATGAGATTGAAGCAATTAAATCGTCATTGATGGGGATTTTTGAAAAGAGAAGAATGAAAAGATTTTTAGAATTTATGGCCAGTTATAAAGAAGAAGATATCCAAACCCATCAAGGTTTAGATTTGGACCAAAACACAATGGACGATGTCTTTTACAAATTCGGCTTAGAAACAGGCACCAAAGATTTCATTGGTCACTCAATGGCTTTATATTCTAATGATGATTACTTGACCAAGCCAGCTAGAGAATCCTTTGACAGAATCATGTTGTATTTGCAATCCGTTGCAAGATATGGTAGATCGCCATACATCTATCCTCTATATGGATTGGGTGAGTTGCCTCAAGGGTTTGCAAGATTATCTGCTATTTATGGTGGTACGTATATGTTGGATACGCCAATTGATGAAATTTTATACGATGAAGCAGGAAAATTTACAGGCGTCAAATCTGGCAATGGAGTGGCAAGGGCTCCTATTGTTATTGGAGATCCCACCTATTTCCCTGAAAAGGTTAATAAAACTGGACAGAAAGTTATAAGAGCAATGTGTATTCTTGACCATCCGATTCCTGCTGCGCCGGATGTTGATTCATTGCAAATTATCATCCCACAAAGTCAGGTCGATAGAAAAAATGACATTTATATTGCGTTTGTTGGTTCATCTCACAATGTCTGTGCAAAGGGCTATTACTTGGCTATTGTTTCAACTATAATTGAAACCGACAGACCTCATATAGAATTGGAACCTGCAATGAAGTTGTTGGGTTCAACAGTTGATGTTTTAATGGGAATCTCTGAATTGTATGAACCCAAGTCTGATGGTACTAATGACAATGTTTTTATTTCAAAATCTTATGATGCTTCGTCTCATTTTGAGACCACTACTGATGATGTTAAGGATATATATTTCAGGGTCACAGGCCAACCTTTAGTCTTGAAAAAGAGAGAGCCTATTGAAGAGGAAGATAGATGATTATTAAATATTAAATTTTAAATATTAATAGAAAAATTATACTAAATTATACTAAATAGTACTGAATAATACTGAATAATACTGAATTATACTAAATTATTATCATTTATATATCTATATATCTATGTTATCTATCTTACCCCATTTATTTATCTTATTTTTCTCATTTTTCTAGTTGTTCTTTTTCCACTTTCTCATCGTTAAACTTTAATCTATGACTGGCAATCACTTTTCAAACCAACTTTTCCTCAATGTCCTCAAAATCCTCTTCCTCGTTAACCTCAATCAACTTGGATACACCAGCCTTGTCTCTGAACAATTCAATAGCAGCAGCATAGGTCATTCTGGATTTTTGAGAAGACGTAGGAGGCAAGTAGTAAACCAAGACCAAAGGCGATGACTTTCTGCCATCTTTGAGTGTTAGAGGATAAGACAAAACGACGAACCTTGGTTTGTTCTCAGGTAGTTCCTCAACCAACTGGTCGATGGAGGTAATTGCATCCAAGTCCTCCGGCTTGATATCGTATGAGTCGTCGATGTAAAACACCATCGCTTGCATTGTGCTGGCACGAGCACTGCTAAAGCGAAATTTGCGTAGTTTTTTCAAGGTGTCCTCAGAAAAGGAGTAGATGTTTAGATTCGACTGCCATGGAGAGTTAGTAGCTGGACACAAGAAGAACAGGAAGCACAGGAAGCACAGGAAGCACAGACACTTACCATTCTCAATAGGGTGCTTCATCTAACACAACACAAACACACACAGCAAGAAAGCTCACTGCGACCCCACCGCGTGCCTCCGGAAGACGTTGTGTTTCTTCACAACTCTGCTGTTCTTTTTCAACAGGAGCCGCACCGGCCCACGTGAGGGTGGCGTTTCTCTTGTTTTTGCTGCTTCTGCTTCTGCTCCTGCTTCTGCTTCCTGGGCCCGGAGCAATGCCTCGGCCCTTGACATTTGCTGGCTCACAAACGCCATCTCTCGCTCTTCCTCAGTTCTGCTCGCCTTGAAACTCTTCTTCTTCTGGGTCTCCTCCCTTTGCAATGTGTCGTGGTCGATGTATGAGATCAGGTAGAAGTTCATGTTGTAGTCCTCATTGCTGTTTCCACTGCTCTGCTGCTGCTCGTCCTCGTAGAAATGCACTTTGCCTTCCTTCGAAAGATGCTTGATCAAACTCGTTAGACTCGACCACTTGGTTGAATTCAAATGGATGTGCTTTTTATCCTCCAATATATATTCTTGGTAAAATTTGTTCACATTGATTTTTTTCGTTCCATGTTTCCTTTTCAACAATCTCAAAAACTCCCTTTCGAAATTCTCTGAGTAGTTTTCAATCACCTTTGTATATTCTCTTTTATTCGTCCCGAAATATTGTATCTTCTTGATATGCGATTCAGACTGTGTGTGACATTTGTATCCATTGGCGTCTCGACACTGTTTCTCGCAAACTTGACAGAAAAATTTCAATTTTTGAAGCCCTATCGATTTCATTTGATTGGAAAAGTACTTTGGTGTTCCATATTCTGCTCTTCCCATTATGATTATGTCATTGATTATATTAAATACTCCACTATTCCACTATTCTAGTTATTAACGAAATCAAAAACAAAAATACTCAATCGGAAAACACAGAAAAAATAAAAAAAATAGAAAAAATAGAAAAAATAGATTTTATACTGATCGGAACTTTATTTTTAAATCAAAACATAATCGAAAAATATTTTTATAACTATTTTGTTTTATCCAATATACAGATATATATCCACAAATCTTAAATTCATAATGGATAACACCTCAAAAAGAGAATTACTCTCTGCTAACGTTTATCAAACCTGCAATGACGAATATAAAAAAAATGTCAGAATTAACCATTTATCCAACAATATCATATCAAATGGCGAAATCCTATCTCCTGATGAAATTCTATCTGATCAAAATCCATTCAAAGAAAAACTAGATATCCTAATCAAAAATAGAGACCAATTTCCTATCAACATTCAACTACCTTCTTCCGATTTATTAAAATCCCTACATTACTATATTGGAATGTCCTTTAACGACATCCTATCAAAAAGCGAAAATCACAATTCTCTCTCGACAAATTTAAATAGTCAAAAAAAAACATCTTTAGATTCAGGTTTAAAAAAAAATCAAATAATTGGACTGTTGCATACTGAATCACAAATCGATTCGGATTTAGATTCATATTTCGATTCAGATTTTGATTCAGATTTCGGTTCAAGTTCCACCAGTATCAACAACATAAATCACACCAACAAAAATCAAAAAAATCAAAAAAATCAAAAAAATCAAAAAAATCCTTCAATTCCATTACAAAAGAAATCAAACCTCATTAATTTAAAAAAATTCGAAAGGAGCTTAGATGAAAGCGCGTTAATCACAATTGGTGTTCTAGTTGAAAATTATCTAGAAGAAATGATTGGTGAAGGCTACAAAATGTATATGGAACCAGAAGATATCTCATATTCTGATTCTGATTCTGATTCCGAATCTCAAAAAAAGTTTCAAAATAAAAAAAAAGCTTCCAAAAATGATTCAAATATCTCAAAAAAAAAATCTAAAACTATTTCTGAAATAGAACCTGACAACAATCCTCATAAAAAGAAAAAAAATACAAGTTCTATTATTCAGAGATTAAAAGAAAAATATAATAACAGCGATTATCAGGATTCTAGTGATACTGAAAGTGATTCTGACGCCAATACTGATAGTGGTAGTGGTAGTGGTAGTGATAGTGATAATAATAATGACAATAGTGAAATCAGTATATCCAACAAAAAACGAAGTTTTGCCCAAATTTAACAAAGATAAAAACGTAAAAAGATTGCTTAACTAACTATATAATATTTTTGATATCATCGTTTTCCCTTTCCTTTTCATTTCCATTCTCTTTCTGGCTTTTAATCAATTTGATGCTGAACGTATCCAACACTGTTTCCCTTGGAAAACCATTCCAAAATATCCAATTTATCTTATCTTCAGGCACAAAAATATCTCCCTCAAATTTCTCCACAAACGATCTATCTGCAAAATTAATTGTCGCAGAATAATTAATAAACTCATTAAAAATCGATACTGAAGACCAAAACGATATCTTCCTCAAACACGCAACTATCAAGCTTGTTATATGGCTTCCAGTAAGACAATGAATATACAATGGCGAGTAATCTGAGTTTATAATTATCTCAATGGCCTGAATCACTATCGAATAAGTAATGGGAACGTTTCTCTTCTTCCCCTTGCCCCCATCCTTGCTGCACTCGATATGAAGTAACTTGATATTTTGTTCTCGACAGAAATCTTGCAATGGTCTATCTGTTTTCTCTGTTATGGGACTAGGAATTAGCGATAGTATGTATTTCAACCTCAATCGTTTGAGAAACCGATAGTTGATGGGTCGTGGATAGGATCCTCGATATAGATTTGGCTGGAGAGCAGTAAATCTCAAGGGGGGAGTTATCAAATCGAGCACTCTGTCTTCTGGCATTGCTGTAGCTTGATAAGAACTCTCCTGGTGCACCACACTCAAACAGCAACTCAAACAGTAGATTAGCAGCAGATTAGCAGATTAGCAACAGCTTTGTTCGACCAACTCTTCAAAACAGCCCAATACGGATAAGCTCTGGCTCTTCTTTGCCGGCAATCCATTTTATCCTTTACAACGCCTAGAACCCTTTCACAACGAACATCTACACTCTTCTTTCTCGCTGCTCAATTACAATGGATATAATCTACGATAAGGTCCAAAACAACGTCGAGTCGTATTCTGCTGACTCTGGTGCTGTCACTGCTGATGTCTCTATTTCACACACTGCCCCAAAGCTTGATGAACCATCCCCCCCTTCCAAACCAGAGGTAGACTCTAAAACCCAGGAAATAAACCAAAAAACTGACGAACAGTTTGTAAAACTTGAGAAAACTGTGGAAAACACCTACAACTATATTGGATCTGCTTTTGGCAGCTTTTGGGGTAAAGTCAAAACAATTGAGATACCAAAGGACACCCAACAAAAGCTACAGGGCCTCAAATCAAATCTACCCGAATTAGTTAATCAGAAGAAAACACAGTTGGAGGAGCAAATTGGTAACTTGAAGCTTCAAGAGAAAATAAAAACAGCCCAAACAAATATATCTAGATCAATAAACCCACATGAATCCGAAGCCCAATCTGATACACAAACAAAAGAACAAACCCGAAATGTTGAAAACGTTGAAGAAGATAAGAACAATGATAAGAAAATGTTGGATATATTGGTCAAGACATCTGATGATTATTTGAACAGTTTGGATAAAGAACTTGAAAAAGTGGAAAGCAATATAGTCAAATATGCTTCAGCCTTTGGAAACTTCTTAAAGACATCGGTTATTGAGATCCAGCCTGAAGAAAAAAATATTGATGAAAGATTAAAAAAAGCCACTCATGGCACTGAGTTGAATGATATAGAAGCAGATATCTTGTTTAATGTTCCTGAAAATTTATCAACTCAAATCAATGCCACAAGAACTGAAGCTCAAATTAATACACTACATACTTCTCAAGATTTATATATAACTGAAGCAATTGATGAAGATTATCATGACTTTAAAAAATCTTTTCATATTCAAAACGAGACTGATGAAATATCTGCTCTATTAAAAAAATATCCCAACTTGCAAAATTTAATGTCCTCAATTGTTCCTACTAAGGTTACCTACGAAGAATTTTGGTCTCGTTATTTTTTTATGAAAAATCAAATCACAAATCAAGAAAAACACAGAAAGGCTTTATTACAAAATACAACAACTGATGATGAAGAAGATTTCGATTGGGGCGATGATGATGAAGATGACGAGTATAATGATAAAACCAATAAAACAGATAAACCAGGAAAAACAGATAAAACAGATAAAACAGACAAAATTGAGAAGACAGATGATACTGATGCTTCCAAAAAACCATTTACTAATGAGGGGACGAAACCACCTAAAAAAGGTTATCAAAAAGATATTGACACTGATGATGATGATGACTGGGAGTAAATATACTCAATTTTATTATGTTTTTTTTTCAGCAATTGTTTTTTATCTTCTTATATTCCTATATTTTGATGCTTTTTGTCTTTTTTTAGTTTTGGAAAAATTCTTTTAAGTTATTTGTATAAAAAATTTAAATAGAATCTAGTGACGAAACATTGATTAATTTTAAATAAATGAAAAATAATGAAAAAAGCGAAGTAAAACACATGTAACAGTCTTAACAAAAAATTAAAGAAGGTATTTATTAAAACAAAAAAACGAAGCTTAAAATGGATGCAAAGACAGTAAAATCAAAACAACTTTTACAATAAGAAAAGATTAAAAAAGGATTAAAAAAATAAAATAAAATAAAATAAAATAAAATAAATTAATATAAAACTCCTTGCAATTTCTTTGTTTTTAATAAACTCTTGAATAAAATAGTACATATGCATTACTGTTAACAGTATTCAATGAATCTTGATTCTTCAAAACCCTTGTATCATCAAAAAAACACCATCCTTTTTTAGCTCCTCTGTAAACAAAATTAGTGTAATGACCTCCTCTCAAATTACCACTATGGTTAATAACACCATAAAGTTTATATTTGAAAGGTGGAACTTGCCCTCTTTGTTGAAAGTTTTTCAATTTCTCATTATCAGACTCACTTTCAATTTTGGGCCAATACTTTGTTAAATCTAATTCTAATGGATAGGAAATAAGTTTATTAATTTTTTCAAAGTTTTCAAATGCTAAATTGTAGTTAACTTTGAATCTTTTAAAGTGAACTATTAATATTTTTGGTAGCATTGTGATTTTGAGAAATTTTGTTGATTTTTGAAAAGATTTACAATGGGGACATTTCCATTTATTATCACCATCTAATAACTCAACTTTTAAAAATTCTTGGAAACAATCTTCAATTGATATATCCTGTTTATATTCAGGTAAGGGCAAACTTAATATTGAAAAGGACTGGTACGTCGTTGAAGTATTAAAACAGGTTAAACATTTCAACCTACTTAAATATTGACCTTGAAATATGTCAACTATTGCACTAAAATCTGTTTTTAAATACCTTTCCCATTCTATTGCTGAGGCGATTTTGATCGATAATGTTTCTCTTCTCTTTTCATCTTCCTCAGTTAATTGAGGCATTCTTTCATGATCACCACATTCATTCAAATCTTCATGTAATCCATCTAGTAAAAAAGTTAAAAATTCCTGACAATCTTGCTGTTCAGTGCCTTTAAACTCAGGTCTTAAGGAACCAATTATTTGTTTAAAAAAAGCTGGTCTAACATAAGAGTCATTATTACTATATAACAATTTAATCAAGTTATAATAATTTTTAGCTAAAACGCCCTTAGAACCTAATTTACTGTTGACATTTATATGTTGAAGATAAGAACGATCAAGAAAAATATTGGATAGAGATACAGTTCCAGAAAGACATTGCAAAACACAATTCATGTAGCAGGTATTTCCGAGGTTTTCCAACCCTCCAGTATAGTCCAGTTGATGTGGCAATAACGATTTAGTTAGTTGCAAATTGGAATTAATTTGGCTGATTGAAGTTATTGCAGGAGAGTATATTGCAGGTTGAGGTTTTTGCAAACTTGGGAAAGAAGGCAAATACGATGTAGATTGAGTTCTTTTTAAATCAATGCTATTAGAATTACTAAAACCATTTGGGATTTTATTATTATAACCATTAATTGATGTTGAGCCTGGAAGTGAGTTTTTATTGGAAGGGTTGAACGAAAATCTATTTGTTCGAGTATTTGAAATGGTTTTTGTAAGACTATTGACGTTATTTGCATTGTTTCCAGCATGACCATTAGAAGGATTATCATTATTATTATTATTATTATTATTATTATTATTATTATTATTATTATTAAAAATAAAACCGTTTGTCTTTTTAGTAGACTGTTGTTGTTGAGGGAAATAGGAATAATTCAAGTCATTATTTGGTAGTTTTAAATTATATAAAGATTGATCATTAAATTCTGAAGGACCTGTTCTTGAACTATTTAAACGATCACCAAATGCATTTGGGTAGTTAATTTCATTGAATGATTTGACAGTTGAATAAGAGGATGATGTTTTTGTTTGAGATAGGTATGGAGAATGGTTGCTATTTAAACTATTATTTGTGAAATCGTTTATTAGGTTGAGACTTGAATTACTGTTGTTATTACTATAGTTATCATTGCTAATAATATTTGTGCTATCATTGTACATTAGGTTAGAAAAATCATCAACCTGATTATCATCCATTATAAAATCGGATGGATTCTCAAAATTCATTAATGAAGCTGATGAAGTCTTTCTAAAATGGGAAGGTCTTGAAGGTAATTTTTCTGGAATTAAAATAGTTTCAACTTTTTGTTTTGAAACATGATCAGAACCAAAAGTTTTAAACCATTCTTCAAAGCCACCATTAAGTAGAATTGGAGGGTGTTTTAAGGGCTTTGAAAAGGATTTTTTAGTTAATAATATGTATAACTTTTTGAAATAAGTTGGTAATGAGGGATCGTATAATATACTTTTTGATATATCAAAATTATAATTTTTGGTAACAGAATAAGAATCATCATAAAATAGTACTAATTGGAACAAATTTCTTTGGGAGAACAATAATTGTTCAAAAGATGGATTTATTAGCAAGGAACTTTCTAGAGCTTTATCATCTTTAAGATTTGAGCTGATTGAAAAGGGTTCGATGCATAAGATATTTTTAAAAAGGATATGAGAATTGTTAAAGCTTTTTCTTGATCTGATATCCAATATTAAGATTAAATTAGATAGCTCTTTTATATTCATTAGACGAAATAAATCTATTGGTTGAATATATGAAGTCTTATAGAATGGGTCAAACTCTTTTAAAAAATCCGGGGAAATATTTGATAAAGAATTTGAGTCAAGATTTAATAGTTTATCAGGAGGCATGGGAGATGGAGATCTTGATCTATAGTTTATTCTAAGTTTTTTGACTTCCAAGTTATTTGATCTAGGAGGCAAGGGGAGAGAGAGACGAGATGAAGGAGATGAATTTGAGGAGTTATTAGTTTTGACATTAGGATTAGTAATAGTATTATCATTTAGGATATTATTGTTGGTACTAGTACCATTATTATTAAACTTAGCATTAGCATTAGCATTAGCATTGCCATTAATAGAGATATTATTGATTGCACGAACAAGAGTATTATTTTTATTCGTGTCATTGTTGATGGTGGTAACTCTATTATCAGCATTATTTATATCAATAATACTATTATTTGGAGTAAAGTTTGAGACCTTTAGCTTGTTAAATCTTTGAATCAAGTCATTATGGGTAGATTGAAAAGTATTTAGCTGCAATCTGTTGATATTGAGGATTTCCAAATAGATATTTTGTATATTGACCTCTTGTTTATGAAGATGCTTTTGTAGATCAATATAAACACCGATTATCTCATCAGTCTTATTGGCTTTGGAGTTGGTGCTATTGCCATTTTCCTCATCCAACTGCTGAGAAATCAAGTCAAGTATTTTCTTTGAGGTGTAGTAAGATATATATATGTTTTCAATGGCCTTTATGTAGTCCTGATTTTCACTGAGGTTTGATGGAGATAAGCTATTATCGTTGGCTTTGTTCTTTTGATACAGATATACTTTGAGGTTCAAGTTGTATGTTTCCTGGTATTTCAAGGCCTTTTCGATCTTGTCAAGAAGCGACAAATCAAGGATCTTGAAGGCACTGATAAATGAATCAACGAGATTGTTTAGTTCATTGACTGTCTTCATATTGTCATTTTAGTGGAATAGCTTCAGTTGATCAAGATAAAGAGCTGTGTTTGGTGATTATATCGTCACTGAGCTGGGGATCCCGATATCTCAGGTCCTGCCGGTCGAAAGAGAAGCAAGCCACGTGTACACTTGATAGCACCCGGGGTGGTTAGTCACGCGACGCACTCAAGCTGTCCGGTATGTGGCTAAGACAGAGTTTTGACCAGTATCTGGCGTGTGCGCACCGCTCGCTTTGTGCTGTGTACACCTCTAGCACGTGATCCCCTGCCAAAGGCGCAAGAAAATTTTTTGTATGGGCTCTCCTAACTCTGTGTGCTATATTACTATGGATGTATGTGTTTTTGTTTTCTTTTCAACTAATTTTTTTTTCTTTCAGTCAATTTTTTAGTTAGACTGATTTCATATAAATAATTCAACTATCTATCTGATTATTTATTATACTATATCTATCCTATTTCTTTCTTGTTTCTTTCTGTCTTACAATCAATCAATTCAAAATGAGTGGAGAAATTCCAACCTTTAAATTAGTTTTAGTTGGTGATGGTGGTACCGGTAAAGTATGTATTAGATATGAAATATAATTTATTTCATTCTAATTTTTTTTATCTTTCTCTGTTTGGTTTTCTCTTTATTTTTCTGTTTTTTTTAGAGTTTTCATCTTGAGTTTTTATCCTGAATTTTCATTTTTAGGGATTTTGTTTATTTTGTTTAGTAAGCTGTTGATACTAACAAACTCCTTTTTATTTTCATTTTCAATCTAGACCACTTTTGTTAAACGTCATTTAACTGGTGAATTTGAAAAAAAATATATTGCTACACTAGGTGTTGAAGTCCATCCATTAAAATTTTTCACTAATTGTGGTGAAATCAAATTTGATGTTTGGGATACTGCTGGTCAAGAAAAATTTGGTGGTTTAAGAGATGGTTATTATATTAATGGTCAATGTGGTATTATTATGTTTGATGTCACCTCAAGAATTACTTATAAAAATGTTCCAAACTGGCACAGAGATTTAGTTCGTGTTTGCGAAAATATTCCAATTGTTCTTTGTGGTAACAAAGTCGATGTGAAAGAAAGAAAAGTTAAAGCTAAAACTATTACTTTCCATAGAAAGAAGAATTTACAATATTACGATATTTCTGCTAAATCAAATTATAACTTTGAAAAACCATTTTTATGGTTAGCAAGAAAATTAGCTGGTAATGCTCAATTAGATTTTGTTGCTTCTCCTGCCTTAGCTCCTCCAGAAATTACTGTTGATGGAAAATTAATGCAACAATATCAAAATGAACTTGACCAAGCTTCTGCTATGCCTTTACCTGATGAAGATGACGCTGATTTATAATATAGCTGACCTTTCACCAAGCTTCTCATTGAATTTTTCACCACTTCAATTAATTTATAACTTATAACTTATAATCTATGTCAAGTTTCAAACAAAAATCTACAATTCTTAATGGTTGATTAATGATGGTCTAAAATGGTCAATCAAAATCACTAATCAATTATAATCAATTATCAATACAATTACTACAATTTGTAATATCCTTGTGAATCCAATTTAATTAAAATTATTTAAATAATTACAACAATTACAATAATTACAATAAAAAACAGTGAATCAATAAAATTTAATTACAACAATTTTCTTTTAACGTACGATACATTTTCTCTCTTACCTTCAATATATCTTATTTATTTTATTCTACTTTCCTTTCCTCTACATTATTTAATTTTATCCTATTTTATCTTATTTTATCCTATTTGTTCGATCTATTTCTTATTTTATTATCTTTTTCTTATCTCCCCTTTTTAGCAAATCTCTGCCCAAAATTAAATCTTCCATCTTTATTTTTCGACCGAATCTCCTTTTTTCAATAAATCCACATTTCTTCCATTAAACCTTTCTACCTACAGTCTATATAATATCAACTCATACTCCTAAACAATTAATTGCCCCCAGATCCCTCTTTTTGCTCGTTTCTCCTTCGTCTCTCCGAAAGTGGCGACTTTTCAAACAGTTTTTTGCTGTTAACTTTTCATGCACGTGTCCATTTTTCTTTTTCGAGATCTGATCTTTTTTCTTTGTCTTTATTGCGAATTTTCGTGAGAGAGCAAAAGAGTGTGATTCCATAGAACTGATAAAATCGATTGATTGATGATTAATGTTGAGTGGTTATATTGAGAATTGCTAAAAATGAGCTATTGATTAAAATTGATTACAATTGACGGTCATGGTTTTTGGTATCGGCGCTTAGTCTGATTGTAAGGTCTGTTTAGCGTATCTGATGAATTTAGTCGTAACCATCAAGAAGAATTTTTTGATTTAATGGATAATATTTATTAGAATTTGAAGAGGGCTTGGTGGTTTTGAGAAATTGTGAGTTTGAGGTTGTTATTTTTTCGATTTCTTTGTTGAAAAGAGTTTTATGGGCATGATTTCAATAGAATAAAGATGATTTTCGAATCACAAAAGCAAATAATTTAAATGGGTTTTTTTAATTTATCTTTTGGTTGCATCTCTTGATTTTATCTCTTGATCTTATATTTGGTTTGATTTATAAATTGAATGGTTTTATAATTGCTGATTGATAATACTTTTTTTTAAAAAAAATTTACTAAATTGATGAATGAGTTTCATTATACCAATTTCATTAGCATTTTGTTTTACATCAATAACATTTTCAATAATCACTTCGCATTATTCCAAAAAATACGATAAATTATTAATTGATTATAACGATGATAATTTATCATTATCAATAAACCCCAAGATTTTATCGATAATTACACTAAAAAGTGACAATAAAAGAAAAGATAAAAACATAGTTAATATTTTTGTTGATACTATTAAAGAAAATGGAAAAAGTCATAAAATTAGATATACGTTGGAGAAGAATGATTATTTGCCATATATTTGGTTTTTAATTGATAATTATAATAATGAGAATAATGAAGATAATACTGAAAATAATATTGAAAATAAGAAAATAATTGCTGTTATTAATTTTAAGAGTAATAAGAATAAAGATATAGTTTCAATTATTTTTGATAAGAAGTATTCTAATGAAAATGAGTACTATAATTTTATGAATAATAATACTGAAGATAATACTGATAATAACGAAAAAAACTTTTGTGTAATGAAGTTCAAAGAGGCTAAGACACATTTGAATGATTATATTAAATTTCGAAAGATTTTTACAAGTGATACTAATGATGGTATTAATGATAATGGTATTAATGATAATAATAATAAAAATAAAAATAAAAGTAAAAGATGTTTTAATGATAACTATGAGTATAGATGGATGAATAATAGCAAATATTTAGAAAAATATTCCAATGAATTTGAGAATTTGTTTGAGGATAATGAATACAATTATAAGTTAAAACAATCAAGAAATTTAAGAAAATTTTTTGAAAAAAAGAAAAACAATATGGAAAAGGAAAACAACAGTACTAAAGATATTATTATCCATGAGAGAGTCGCATTGGCTATAAACTTCTTGAGTAAAGAAGATGTTGATGGAATTGGTACAGCGAAAAAAGTCATGATGAATAAAAAAAAAGATAAAAGAAAGATCAAGATCAAGAAAAAGAAAAAGAAGAAAAATACAAATTGCCAAAATGTAAAAAATAGAAAGGGATTTCTAGATAATAGAAATAAATGGAAAAATCTCCTTCATTTTAAAGTGATTTTTAATTCTAATAAAATTGATATAATCGAATTGATTATAAGTTGTTTTATTTCAATTATTAGAGATTGGAGAAGAAGAAATAAAATTGACTCGAAAAGAAATTTAATATTAAAAAATAGAATAAAAGAATGGGAGGCAATGAATTATTTTGTGAATTATAAAGAAAATGCTAGATTAAATGATAGCGATAATAGAGAAATTATAAGGGTCACTGCTGATAATAGCAGACAAATTGAGTATCTCAATCCAGTGAAAAGAAATGCTGTAAAAGTAGATGGAGATACGAACAATGGAAGCACAGCAGCCGAAACAACCTTCAAACTGCACAAAAAAAAGATAAACGATCTCTTGTTTCGACACTACGGAAGCAGCAGCAATTCTAACGAGAAAAAAGTTCTGCGAAGAAGACTCAGAGCACTAATCAGCAGCAGAAGCAGGACCGGCGGATGCGTAGGGGTCTAGACCGGCAATTCAAAAGAACCTGGGTGGCGGGTGCAACCAATCACGGCGCACGTTACTGCAGACACGCATACCCGTTTACGCGGGCCTCAAGCAAAAAAGGAGAGCGCAATGTATCCACCAATCAGCGCGTGCAAAAAGCAAGGTCGGCCAACCGCCAGTGCGTTGTCAGACAGTACTGCGCATAATCGGCAGGGGCCGCCAATCGGGGAGAGTGAAAATTTGCTGGAGCCGAGTTAACAGTTGAAGCTGGGGGATTTGGAGGATTTGGTGGATGTGGCGCCGGAACCGGATGGTCTGCTGTTCTTCTCTTTCGTCTCTTTCGCCTTTTTCTTCTGCTTCTTCTGCTTTTTCTGCTTTTTCTTGCTCTTCTTTTGCTTCTCCTTTGTTTTGTTCTGCTCGCAACAGCTGTTTACTTTCTGTTTCTGGATTGGGTCTCTATCTCTAGGTCTATTTTACTCACCTCGTATCTCGCTTCAAGACTCTAGGTCCTCTTTGTCTTGTTTCTATTTTTTCTTGGTGTTTTGGTTCTTTTGCTGTCAACAGTTTTATATCCACTTCCTGAACCATTTCTAAACAATTCCTAAACCCTTCCTGAAAGAACATTTGTTGTGAAAAGAACAGACTCTCTTCTCCTTTGTTTATTAGAGTCTCATACAAATAGTATATCTTAACCTCATATTTATTTTCTTTTCTGACTTATTCACATCGCTTTCACACTTTCACTCTCTATTTTTGTCTTTCTTCTATCCTTTTGTTTTTGTTCCATTCTACCATTCTTTGTTCTTTGTTTTTTTATTTTTTCTTTATTTTTCGTGTTCTTGTTCTTTTTTTTGTTTTCTATTAATTTCAGTCGCTTTTCTTCTGGTTTTTGGTCTCAATATGGACCCAAATTTTTACACCTCTCAACTTCAAAAAGATGCTCAATCTTACTCCAGAGACACCATAACATGCCCCTTCTCTTTTCAAATTGATTTAATTGACAAAGCCTTATTTGATTATCGTCATAACAAAAGATTTAACAATACTAATAATTCTGCTCTTAATAACACCAATACCATAAAAACTAAAAATTACCACTCAAATAATCAAAATAACAATAACATTAATAATAACAACAACAATAATAATAGCCAACGTTATCTTAACAAGAAAAAGTCTTATAACCAAATTAAGATCCAACAACAAAACTATTATAATCAAAATAATAGTCATAATAATAATAATAATAATAATAATTTTCATTTGACTTCAAATAATAATCGTTACGTCTCTCAACCAATTCAATCAACTACTTATAACAATAATAATAATTTCATTAACACTAATTATCCTAACAACTATTCTAACAATTATGTCAATAATTATTCCCCTGTCCAAAACCATTTCCAATTCCAAAATAATTATTTGAGTCAAAGTCGTGTTGTTTCTCATCAATTATCAAATCAATCTTTAAATGGCTTTAATCCATCTCCTACTCTTTCCTCTTCTCAATTCCCTTATCTTTCTCATCAATCCTCTAACCCTCAATTGACTTCAAATTCCTCTATTAATACTAATATTACCAATAATATCAATAATGCTAATAATATTACTACTAATAACAGCTATAACAATAATTATAACAATTACAATTCTGTCATGTCAAATTATAACAGCAATCTTACCCAATTATCAATCCCCGAAAATAAGTTACCTTTTTCCTTTTCTTCCTCTTTTTCCTCATCTTCAGGTAATTCGGCTAATTCGGCTAATTCGGCTAATTCGGCTGATTCAATTAATTCAACTAATTCATCAAATTCAACAAATTCAATCTTAAACTTGAATTCATCTTTTAACTCAATTCCCACTTCTACCTCGAATTTTTCCTCAAATTCTTCAAAATCCTTGAACTTTTCTTCAAATTCTTCTTTAAACTCTTCTTTAAACTCCTCTTCGAATTCTTCTTTAAATTCTAATTCAACAAGTCCAAAATCCGACTTGTTTTTATTAAATCAAAATTATCAAACATTAAATAATGATTATAATAATTTAAACTCTTCAAATTCAATTACCGCTAATTCAACTACTTCAATTAGCACCATTGTTGATTCTACTTCTACTTCTAGTTCTAATTCTAATTCTAATTTTACTAATGCTGTTCCTTCTTGCGAATCTTTTTCTTTAGGTTTTAATGTTTTAAAATCTGGTTGTGACAATTCAAAATTAAATCTTGGTTGGTTAAAAGTTTGGGGTACAAATGAAATGACTACTACTTGGGGTTAATTACTTTTTTTTTTCTGCTTATTTTATTTGGTTTCAAAATATAATATAAAGATTTTAGTATCCTTTTTTTTATTTTATTTTTATTAACTTTTTTTTATTCATTGAATTATTTGTTTTTCGTATTGGATGATTTTATTATTTTTTTCCTTTATTTATTTATATTATTTCAAAAGAAAAAAAAAATATGTATTTTAAATTAAAATCATAAAAAAAAAACTGGAAAAAAAAAAAATTAAAAAAATCAAAAAAAAATACTATGTTATTATAATTGTGTTTGCATTAGTTACATTTTTGTTTAATTATTTAATTAATGAGCTATGAGTTTTTTTAAAGAAAAATATTACTTATAATTATCTATTATTTATTATTATTTATTATTATTTATTATTATTATTTATTATTATTATTATTTATTAAGTTGCTTTCTTGGTTGATTATCAGTGTTTTATTGTTGTATTGTTTTATTGTTTTATTATTTTTTTATTATTTCATTTTATTGGTTAAAATTTATAAACATTTGAGAATTGACATTAAAAGTAAAAGTAAAAGTAAAAGTAAAAGTAAAAGTGAAAATAAAGGTGAAATTGAAAGTGAAAATCAAGCATTTTCAAATAATTTATTTATATAGTTTATATAGTTTATATAGTTATATAATTTATATAATTAAATGAATTAATTTTCAATAGTGAAAGACTAAAGCTGATTGGCTGATGAAGTGTGTATGTTAATGTATAGAAACGCTATCGTAAGTATAAATAAGTATGCATATCACATGACTTATTTTTCAAAAGTCAAAGAAGATATGATTGAATAACAGATTTTGATGAGGTGAATAAGAATAAGAATAAGAATAAAAATAAGAAAGTGTGTAGATAATGAGTTTGATAACAAAGAAGGGAGAAGGGAAAAGTGATTTTAAGTCTGAAGATTTAGAAGCATATCCAGTAAGTTTGATATATTTAGTTATATGTGTATGGATGTAAATTGAAAATTTTGAAAATTGAAAATACTAATTAAGAATGGTGAATAGAGTGAGATGTCATGTTTAACAGCATTTGACGATTTATTTCAGTGTTATTCGGTTGTTGGACAGTTTCGAAATGTTTATAGATATGGGGAGATTGATTATTGTAATAGTCAGCTGGAGAAGTTTAAATTTTGTTTAAAGAATTCTATAAATTCAGAAGATATTAAAAAACGAAACATTCAGTTGTTTTATAAGGAGAAATTGATGATGAAGAAGCAAGAGGGAAGTAGCGAGGATATATGGAAGTTGAGAGAAATATAAGAAACGTAAGAAACGTAAGAAACAAGAATTTATTAGAACTAGAATAAAGGAAAGAGAACAAAGGAAAGAGTATAAAAAATTTTAAATGTAGGTGTATATATATATATGTATATATAAGAGAGAGTGAATGGGTGTATAGATAGTTTATTTTCAGTCTAATAGGTTAAGATTCGGATATTTTAGATAGATAAATAGATAGATAGATTAATCTTCATGAGGATCATCATCTTCTTCTTCACCTTCAGTTGTTGTAGCAGATAGAGATCTTTCAATTTGTGATTTCATATCAACTGCATGGACCATTTCAATTAGTTCTATTGATTCGTAAAGGCACATTTTGAATTTTAGTTTGTCGTAGGAGGAAAAGGTTTTACAGTATTTTTGCATTAGGTTGTTTGTGAAATCTTCTCTTTGGCTCAAATCATCATTGACCGAGTTGTTATCGATGTATTCGCTGAATTCGTTTTCAAATTCTTTGAGTTCTTTGACGACGAATATGTCTGATTTAAAGTTTCTAAAGTCTATGCTGAACCAGTCTTTTAGAATTTTGTAGTTTAAAAAGTACTGCAATTCTACCGGTTCGATCATTTCGTCAAGAGACAAGTTAGAGGAGTTTGATCTGCCAGAAGAAGAGTTTGAAGGGTTTAGTTTGTAGATTATATTTGAAAAGATCCGTTTCCAGTAGTTATCTTGTTTAGACAAATTTGCTCTTAAAAAGGGCTTATAGAAGAGGATATCTTGATAAACGTGAAAATTAATTAAATCTAGATCATGATTTAATTTATTATTTTTTGATTCTTTCAATAAGAAAAGGAAAAAGGAAAAAAAAAGAAGAAAAAAGAGAGTTAGTGAGTTATTTTGAGGAGAGGAGTTTGGATAATGGGAGAGAGATGATAATGGGACATACTGTCGGTTAAATAGTTATACAAGTAGTAGCTCCCTACTATTGTTATTACGGTGAATATGATTGTAAGAAGCATTGTATGGGAGTATGAGGAAATAAGATATAATATAGAGAGCAGAGGTGGATGAGGAAAGTGGAAGTAGGCTGCTTGATGGAGAATTCTAATGAGTTACAGAGGGAGAGTGGTGAGGTGAGAATGAATTGAGTTGGGTATTAAAGTTTCTTCGTTAGGCAAAACGATTATATGTGGATTGATCAGTGAGCAAGAAGAAAATGAGGAAAAAAACACATGGCGTTGAGATGTCAAAACAAGGAGCTGGACCACCGAGAGAGTACCGCATCGCTGGTACGTGCGTGAGAGAAGCAGACACACTGCAGCACGCGGTGATCTGCGCTTAGCAAACCGTCAGGGTGGTGCCCTGACATATGCCCCTATCCGCAGACTGCCAGTTAGCACTGTTGCGAAGAGAGGCGGGCGAGCAACCCACAACATGCCGAGCAGTGGCCCGCCATGCTGGTTTGACTGTTTTGACGGGAGCAGGGTGTGGCCAGCGAGATCCCAGTGGAACGGGGGCGTGCGTGCAGCGGACTTTCTGTTTTCTGTGCAAAATCTCCCGAAGTGACCAAGCGGGCTCAGGCGCGGTGCGAGTAGGTGTCGAATGAAAACGCAGCGAATGGTGCGCGGGCAGCGACCGTGCGGGTGTGGAGGCGGCAGCGCGGGCCACTGCATGAGGATAAGAAGGACCTGCGCTTGCCCCGAGGATCTCTGCATTTGTGCTGAGATAGACCCAGCACAGACGCTCCATAGTGCACTGGACGGCATCTAAAACGCGGGAGATACAGGCCCACGACTGTGGGAAATCGGGGCCATGGGTCCGTTGCGAAAAGCGGGCAGAGAGTGAAAAGAAAGAGAAGCGAAAGGAAACAGCACAAGCTCTGCTTTTTCTTCATCTTCCCTGCAAAAGAATCCTACTTCCACTTTGCTCCATGTTGCACCTGCTGTATTCCTGCTGTATTATATTGCTTCTTCTTCTGCTTTTTCTGCTTCTGCTTCTGTTTCTTCTGCTTCTTTCTCTTCCTCACCTTCTCTCCTCTACTGTCTCTGCTCTGTGCTTCTTGCAATTCCCGTAAAGCTTCATCAGAAAGGCTTGAACTTCAATTGCCCAGCTCGATTTTTTTTCCATCCTTTTTTTTACTTGGGCGCTTAAGTTAACATCAGAAAAGTCATACAACTTCGTTCTATTGTAGTTTTTGATCACCAAAAATTCTACTGTTCCTCACCACCACTCTATTTATTCACCTATTCATCTGTTGTTGGCCTACTTATTGTTTCTTTCTATTTATTTACCTGACTGCCTTTTTATTCCAATCTCGTTGTCTTACTTGTTGCAGTTTTCCTACAGTTTCTGACTTTATCCTCCCTCTGTCACCTCTACTCTCTCCAATTTATCCTCACCTTTCGCAATGAATTTGGACACTTCTGCTCACACTCCCAACATCGTCAATGGTAATCTAATAACCCCTTCATTAAATCAATCTCAAAATCAACCTCAAAACAATCTACAGACTAATCTTCAAAATAATCTTCAAAATAATCTTCAAAATAATCTTCAAAATAACCTGACTATTATCCAGGCTAGCATTCAAAACCAGCTTCAAAATAATATTCAAAATAATATTCAAAATAATATTCAAAATAATATTCAAAATAATATTCAAAACATCCAAAATATCCAAAATATCCAAAAAAATCTAAGCAGCATGAACACTCCTGCTAATATATCTTCTGCTCCAACCCCAAACCCGTCAAACATAAATACCTCTACTATTAATCCCAACCTTACTCCTAACATAAATTCTAATAACAACTTGAATAATTTAAATAATCTAAATAACCTAAACAATTTGAATAACATAAGCAACTTGAACAACTTGAACAATAATCACAATTTCAATATTCATCAATTTCAACCAATGAACTCTCAGCAAATTATGAATACTCAACTTAACCAAATCAATCCTTTAAATCAACTAAACCAATTAAGCCAATTGAATCATTTAAATCAATTAAATCATTTAAACCATTTAAATCAATTTAACCAATCGAACAATCCAAATAATAATCCAAATAACAATAATAACAATAACAATAACAATAACAATAACAATAATAATAACAATAACAATAATATTAACGCCAACGCTAACACTAACACTAATTCCAATAATAATAATAATACTCCTAACAACAATACTAATAATTCTATCAACTCTAATACAACTAATTCTAATAATAACAACACTAACCCTAACCCCAACCCTAATCCTAATCCAAATAACCTTGTTCTTAATAACCCTCTCGCTAATTCAATCAATAACTCAAGTAACATAAGTATTAACAACTCTCTTCAAAATACCCCCAATATCCAACAACAACAACAGTTGCAGTTACAATTACAATTGCAACAAAAACAACAGCAACAACAACAACACCAAAGATTTCAATTATCTCAATCTCAACAACAAAACAGTCAAAATAACCAAAACAATACAAATAATCAAAATAGTCAAAATAACCAAAATAATCAAAATATCCAGAATAATCAAAATAACCAAAATAACCAAAATATTCTAATTAATCAAAATAATAATATAAACATGGACCAAATCCTACAAGCTCAATTACGATTTCAATTGCAACCTCAACTTCAACTTCAGCTTCAGCATCAATCTCAGCAACAACTCCAGCAGCTCCCTCAGCAGCTTCATCAACAACCTCAACCTCAACCTCAACCTCAACCTCAACAAACTCCATTACTTCCATCACAAAGTCTTAGCCAACCTCAACTCCAGCAGCAGCAACAACAAATCCAACAACAACAGCAGCAATCTCAACCCCAACCCCAACCCCGACCTCAACCTCAGATTCAGCCTCAGCCACAATCTCAACAACAAATTCAACTTCAAAATCAACAACTTCAACCTCATCCTCCAGCTCAATCTCAACTACAAATTCAATTACAAACTCAACCTCAACCTCAAGTTCAACCTCAGCCTCAAGTTCAGCCTCAAGTTCAACCTCAACCTCAACCTCAAGTTCAACCTCAACCTCAAGTTCAATCTCAATCTCAATCTCAACCCCAACCTCAAAACCAAGCTCAGGTTCATGTTCAGGCTCAGGCTCAGGCTCAGGCTCAACTTTTTCGACAAAGTCAGTTTCAAATACAACAATTTCAACGACAACAGCAACAACAGCAACAGCAACAACAGCAACAACAGCAGCAACAGCAGCAACAGCAACAACAGCAGCAACAGCAGCAGCAACAACAACAACAAAACCCTCAATTGCACACTCAACCCCTTCAACGTCAACAATTTTATCAACTTACTTCAGCTCAATCTCTGAAATTGCAAAAATTACAACAATTCCAAAAAATGCAGCAAATAAATAATTTTAATCAAATCCAACTAAATCCACTTAGCTTATCCTCGCTTAAACTACAAAACTCACAACAACTCCAACAATTTCAACAATTCCAGCAGTTTCAACCTCTCCAACAATTTCAACAATTTCAACAATTTCAGCAACCTCAATTTCAATTTCCAAATCAATCACAACTATTAAATCCACAACAACACCAACAGCAACAACATGCTCTTATTCAAAATCAAAAAGCAAAGTTATCAAGACAACAACAACAACAAAAACAGCAGCAATCTGAAGAAATTCGTATTCAAATTCAAAACCAATTACAAAATACTTCAGTCCAGATGGTTCAAAAAGAAACACAAGAAGTATTTAAGCAATCTGCAGATCCTAATATCTTAGCCCAGTATAAAGCTCAGCGCTTAAAATCTTTACAACAAAATAGTACAGCAAATTTAAATAATAAATTACCCAATAAAAATATTATAAATAAGGATTCTGATAATTCCAACAAATTTGATAGTAAATCAGTTGACAATAAACAGAACAATGGCAAAACTAATGCTGATAATACAAAAATTGATAATAAAAATAATGATAGTCCTACCAGTGACACGAAAGAAAAAGAAAAAGAAAAAGATAAAAATCAAAATCAAGAGATTGAAAGAATTTCTAATGAAAATAATTTATCTAGTACTACTCAAAATACTACAGGAACTCAAAACGATTTTTTAAAAAAAAATGGAAAATTCAATCCATTGCTTGGTAATAATGAGCCAGTTCCTAAATCTTTCAATAAAGCTAATGGCAATTCACCTGAAAAAAATTCTGCCAATGGATCCATTAGTCCCAAAGACACGACAAATAGGTTATTAAAAAAACCTAGCAAATCTAGAATTTACAAAAAAAAACCAGACTTGAAGGATAAACAAAAAGTTAAAAACGAATCTGAAAATTTATTAGAGTCTCAAACTCAAAGCATTTCTAATATCATACCCTCCCAAGAATCTATGAAAACAGCTGGTCAATCTGAACAACTAGAAAATCAACAACAACTGGTCCAAAATCAGCAACATTATATATATCTTCCTGGAGAACAGCAACAATTAGAAATATTGAGACATCAAGAGCCAAAACCAGTAACCCAATCAAATATTCAATTTGAAAAAACCCAAACAAATACTTCAAATAACGAACAAAATAATTCTACTCAAAACCAAAATAATCATATAACGGGAACACCAGCAGATTTAAATTCCTATGTTTATGATTTTCTCATGAAAAATGGTTTGAACACCACAGCTAGAACATTTGTTGAGGAACTTCAAACTAATCAAAATAAACACAATAAAAGACTTAGACCAAATATACCATGCCCACCAGTTGATCCTGAAAATTTAGCTTTGGCAAATATAAATGAAAATATTCCTTCAAACTTTTTGAGTGAATGGTGGAATATTTTTTGTAATATCCACAAAGCCAAAAATGGACATATTAATTTGCCAACCCCTGATGGTTCTTTAGACAACTTGGTCCACGAGTTTTATGTAATGGAAAATGCAAGACAGAGATATAAAATTCAGAATTTGCAAGGTATACCTCATGATATTTCATTGGGAATGATGCTTAATCAAACACAACAATCAGCTCCTAATGTCTCAGGCTCTGATGGTGCTACTATAAATAACAATGCTAACGGTAATATTGATAATAATTCTAATAGTATTAATAACACTATGAATAATCCCGTAAATGAGGCAATAAATAACCCTATGAATAATAACATAAATAGTAACATCAATAACATCAACATTAATAACAGAAATAATAGCAATAGTAACAATTATGAGTTTGGAAGTCAGTCCTATAATAACCTAATAAATAATTCTATCTCTAGCCAATCCTATCATAATCAAGCCAAAAGTTTGTCTTTTCAACAGCCGATTATTGACCAAACAATGCCCCCAAACACTCAGATCCCTCCTCAATTACCAACTCATATAATAAATAATCCCAAGATGCCGCCTCAAAACCAAGTATTAATGCAAAATTCTTTCAATGAATCTATACAGCAACCTAGCATGCCCAATGTTGGTAATGATTTTAGTTCATTGAATATTCCTCCTGTTGTAAATAATTCCAGCAGTTATTTCTACCATCCTCAATCGATTCCTCTTAATGGTCAAAATTTGGAACCTCAAAATCCGATTGATAATCCACCTTTACTAAACTTTGAAAACAGTGATAATATTAATCCTTTTCCTATCATATCAAATCATGAGAACGTGATAAACCAAACAAACGGACATAGGATTTTTGAAAACAAAAACAAAACTAGTGAAGATGACGCCAGTTTATCTGCTTCATTTGAGAACAATAATTTAAATCAAAAGCCTGATAAGGAAATAATTAGAAATGATGAAAGTATGGATTTTGTTGGTCAATTTAGAGACCAACTTGATCAATTAAGACAACATAGAAATTCGAATAATGCCAACGGCCCAAATCTCAATTCTTATATTGGAGGATCGCCACATTACAAAAAGGGTAATGAAAAAGAAACTAAAGATGATGATCCCCCTAAAAAAATTGTGAATTCTCGTGCAAAATCTACAAAGCCTTCACCAAAGTCTATCCAAGAAGGTGTTAACAAAAGCAAGAAAAAACCAGTCAGAAGAAAAAGAAAGAGTCCTGTGGCTGGAGCAGTAACCAAAAATAATAATAAAAATAAAATTCCTAAAGGTACCGGTATTAAAAAGGAAAATAAAACTGCTAATGAAAAATTTAAGGAGACTCCTGCAAGTGGTAGTAATAAATTGGAAACTCCGACACCCCCAACACCCTCAACTCCATTACCTCCAGTTAATATTTTAACTAGAGATAACAATTTAAAAAGGCCATTTTTTAGTGAAACTTCTACTCAATCATCTGTTGAACCAGCAACTAAAAAAAGAGACACATTGGTAAAAGATTTGAATAATTTAACAAAAGAAAGTGCGAATCAAGAAATGCTATCTTCTAATGATTTTTTCGATGGTGTTGAGTCCAATGTAAAGAAAGCACAAAATGATGCTACAATTGATTCAAATATTATAAATGAAAACAATAGTACAAGTAATATAGGCATCAGTGAAAACATAAGTGAAAATACAAACACAAACACAAATACTAATACAAATACAAACGCAAATACAAACGCAAATACAAATACAAATACAAACACAAACACAAACTTAAGCACAGAAAGCTCTGGTCTTACTACTGATAGTACTATTTCTTCTAACAACAGCTTTTCTAGTAAAAAAAATTCTACTAACCCAATTTCTCTGGGCGAAGATATTGATTCGAAAATTAACACAATTGAAGAATATAATAAAATAAGTGGTGAAAATACTGTTGATAATAACAAAGATGTTAATAAAGAGAATAATAAATTGACAGCAGAATTGCTGAAGAGCCAAGACAATAACTTCGATATGAAGTTGATGGAAGAAAATCTGAATATGAAAAATAACGGAATAAATTTTGATGATCAAAACTACAATTTCAATTTTTTAAATTTGGGATTTGATGATATATTTGATGATGGTGATGAACCTTTGTTTTTACATCATTAGGTTTCCGTTCTTATATATTTTTCAATCATGTTTTTTCTTAATAACTATATTTTACTGAAACCCGATTAGTATATTATAATTGTTTTTTTCTTGTTTTTTTGTTTTTCATTTTTCATTTTTCATTTTTCATTTTTCATTTTTCATTTTTTATTTTTTATTTTTAGTTTCATTGTTTAATTCAGTTTTTTAATTTTTTAATTTTTTCATTTTTTTTATTTCATTATTTAATTATTTCATTTTTTGTTTAAATTTGTTGTATGATTATCAATTTAGTATCATCATTTTAATTAGGCATATTAAAATTTATTGGTTATATTTAAAAATTTTATCATCAGTCAATTGGAAATTGAAGTCTAGAAAGCCAGTGTTTATTTGTCAATTGTTAATAAACATATATTAAAACACTTCTCCTATATAAAAATATTCCTATTCTGAATAATGTTTGATTTATGAGTGATTTATACGTGTTAGTAGATAATCAAAACTTTTTCTTAACCTGTTTCGGTTTTGCTTCGTCGTCTTGAACAGCATGTAGTTTTATCACATTGGTGTTGTTTTCAGCACTGTAAGTGTAGCCCTTCGACCAATCATAGCCCAAGGCATAAGCAAAGATTGTGCCTGAAGAATTGAAGGTGGTGGCAGTAACAGAAGAACCTAGATTGGTCATTTGTTTTAGTTTGTGTCTTTGGTCTTTATCCCAGAAGATAATTGAGCCATCAGAGCCCCCAGTGCAAAAGGTTCCATGGACAGGATGAAAAGATATAGCATTTACAGAATAGACCTTTGTGTTTTTAGTCTGAGAATCCTGTTCTCTGTGACATTTAAATGTGAATTCTCTTTGGGAGTCAGAAGGATCAAGGTATCTTATAGCACATCTACCTTCAATTGAAACCACAGCATAACCATTGCCTTCATTAAAGCAGGAAATGACTCTTGTTTGGTATTTTAGAGGAGAGGAAATCTCTCTGAAAATGGTGGTGGGATCATTCAAGTCTATAATACATATTTTTCTGTCTGCACATCCCACCACCAACAATTTCTTCTGGGAATCCATGGTGTAGCACCTTTCAGGTAGGTTTATTGTAGAAACAGGACTGGGTGATCTTGAGTCCCAATATTTTAAGGTCTTATCCCACGAAGCTGAAGCAATGACTTGAGTCAACGAAGGACCACACTGAACAAATCTGACCTGACTGACTGGAGCATCGTGGGCCCCTACTTGCTGGGCCAGGCCACTGGCAACATCATATAGTTTGACTGTTTTGTCGCAGGAACCACTTATGATTTTGGTGCCATCGGCAGTCCATCTTGTGGTCAACACTGGGGCTTCGTGCTGGTAGAAGGCCTTGCCCTGTGTTGTGCCATTGCTAAAGACCTCATAGACTCTCACTTTTGAATCCCACGACGACACAGACAAAAAATCGCCCTGTGAGGAAAACGCCAAATCTGTAACTCCATCCTCTGGGGGGTTTTGCACTGTTATATCGTACGAGGTGTCTGACACATTTGAAGCAGCAGCAGAGGCACCAAGAATGTTTGACTTAGGAAACAAGGACATTGCAGGCAGTTGGATTGAAAGAACTGGAGGAACTGGGCTGGAGTCCACCTTGGAGAAGCAAAAATTTTGATGTCTGGCTTTGTAGGCGAGGGTAATCTGAAGCCTCCTCCGATTAGCTTTGAAGGACGCTTTTTCTTCCCAGCGTGGTTTTTGATGCTCTGTACTTATCGGCTACTCGTCGATGAACAGAAAATATGCCTAAACCATGAACCAAACTGCCCACATTCCTTTTGTTTCTTATCGAAAACGAGGTCCCTCTGAAGGTTCAACGTCCAAATACACCTTCTTCAGCAAAAACAAGCACTATGAAAATTATTCTCAGATCGACTGGCCCTACGAGTATCAGAGCCAAAGATACATTGCGCAGAGCAGTCCAGGCTCCAAAAGCCTGTTTAATCGTATTGAAAAGTGGTTGATCATATTTCTTGCTGGAACACTAATAGGTATCATAACTTCCTGCATCGATTTGTCCTCAAAATGGGTCTACGACATCAGAACTGGCTATTGCAAAGATGGGTTTTACTTGACCAAATCAAATTGCTGTTTGGGCTTTGCATTGGACGAGTGCACCTCCTGGAATAATTGGAACGAATATCTAAGGCTTTCAAACTCCTCGTTTTTATCTTATTTGATCAACTTTTCAATCTACATCGTCACCTCCATTTTCTTATGTTCTACTGCTGTGATTCTAGTCAACAAAGCTCCATTCTCAATCAAATCAGGCTTGATAGAGATAAAATTAATTCTATCCGGCTTGATCTTGAAAAAGTTTCTCAGTCTAAAGGTTTTGCTAATAAAATCCATTGGCCTAATTTTAGTTGTTGGTTCGGGTTTATGGATTGGTAAAGAAGGCCCATTGGTTCATATTTCCTGTTGTATCATTCATGCAATTTTGGATTTTTTCCTTCTTCTAAAGAACAACAGCTATACCAAAAATGAGGCCTTGAAGAGAAGTCTTTTGCCTGCATCAATAGCAGCTGGAATTGCTGTCGCTTTTAATGCCCCCATTGGCGGTGTCTTATTTACTTTGGAGCAGTTCAACTCAAGTTTTCTTAATATCGACAAGCTAATGTGGAATTGCTTTGTGTGCGCAACAATTGCAACAATTATCCTACAATTATTATACCCCTTCAAAGAAGGTAATAACGTCTTATTTGTTGTCAATATGGAAGTCAATTGGTTTGGCTTTGAATTAATACCTTTTGTAATCCTAGGCATATTGGGTGGAATTTATGGTTTTATTTTCTCAAAATTAAACAACTTCTTTGCAAAATTAAGAAATCGTTTTGTTGGCAATAATTTTAATAAAAAAATCTTTGAAATCTTTTGTTTATCCATTTTCACTTCAATAGTCACTTATCCTTTAATTTTCGCTAAATTACCTTTATCCACTCTAATCATGAGGCTATTCACTGAATGTGATAACAATACTCTAAATTCAACTTCCTCTATTATCTTTCACGACTTGTGTTCAATTAAAGATGACGATATTACAAATTTTCAATCAAAGGCTTTCATTCTATTAATCTTAACCGCCATTCAAGGCCTAATCTTAACCGCCTACTCATTCGGCTCATACATTCCTGGTGGAATTTTAATGCCTTCATTAGCAATTGGAGCCTGTATTGGTAGATCAATGGGAATCTTTATGAAATATATTCAAATTAATCATTCAGATTGGGCCATTTTCAGTGAATGTGCTTTAATCGATAACCACAATTACTCTAATATTTCCAGTTTTACCAAAACATTGGATTCAATAACAAGCTTTTTTGGTTCAATCGTCGGTGCAACTAATGATACAGATCAAAGTCCTAAAACTATATTGGTCTCTCAGTGTATAATTACTGGTGCATATGCTGTGATAGGAGCAGCTGCATTTTTGACAGGCGTGACAAAATTAACTGTTTCGATTGTCGTTATAGTATTCGAATTAACTGGTGCAATAACTTATGTTTTACCCATAATGATTTCCGTTTTGGTTTCAAGATATGTCAATGATCTCTTAATCAATAAGAGCTGTTACGATTTGTGGATTGAATTCAATAAATTTGATAATATACATATAAACGAAAATGCTGCTACTAATAATCTGAAATCTATTTCATTAATCAGTGCCGAAGATATTATGATCCAATTAAAGGATTTGTGCTATATTTATGCTGATGATTATTTGATTCATTTTTGTTCACAGGTTCTAAAAAATAATGAAATTATTACCGATAATGAAAATCGGAGCAGTGGGAATAGTATAGAAGAAAGGTTGACATTGAAATCACTAATTAAATTAATAGAGTTAACAGATCCCTTTCCCAAAAGATTAACAAATGAACAAAAAGATTTTATATCATATTCATACCATTACAGTAATAGTTATTTACAGTCGTCAAGAAATGTCTATTATAATTCATATTTAAAGAACATTGATGGATTTCCAATATTAAAAAGTAAAAAAGAACCTATATTAATTGGATGGTTTAGTAAAACAGAATTGAAAAACGAATTGGAAAAAATTCAAAATGATATTAAAACCATTGATTACAGTTTATTGGTGAAATTAGTTGGCGAAAGAGACAACAATATTATCAATAACCAGGAAAACAGTAATGAAAACGATAATATTACTGCAACCACCACTATAACTAATAATAATAGTAATAAAAAAAAAGATAGTAACGACAATCTAAATGAAATAACAATTGGAAGCATACATGATAGTAATAATGAGGTTGATGTTATGGATTTGAATATGAACAATATAAGTTTAATTGATGAGGATTCAGGCTTAATCTCCTCTATTGACTACGAGGAAAATGAAGCAAATAAAATGAGTGTTAAAGATAAAGATAAAGACAGTAATTGTATTGGAACTTTTGAGAATATTGGAGATATTGAAAATATTGATAATACTGAAAATGTTGAAAATAGTGTTAAATACCCCTTATATCATTTAGTGGAATCAATTAATTCCATTATAGTATTATCGAGTAAAGTAAGTTTATTGGTAATAATTGAATTTTTCAAGAAAATGAATTTGAATAATATTCTTTTAATTGATAACATGGGAAGGATAAATGGAATAGTTAAAAAGAATACAATTGTCAAGTATATTGAATTGGACAGTAAACTCAATGGAGTGATCGATAAGCGAATTATAGCAAATGAGGTTAACAATTTGAATGGTAATGATAATTTAATCAACAATAGCAATGACAGTAATGGAAATACTACTAGCATTAACAATAATATTCGTTATAATGAGGGGCCTACTAGTTTTCTTGGGGATATAAATGAACTGGATATCGGTGTTTTTTTGGATGATGAATCTGCTTCATCATATACGAGATAAATTAATTCAAGCTGTAAGTAATGTATAATTGAATGTGATGAAAAGACCAAAATTAGAGAAAATATTTATAAAAACTGACTAATACACGTAAACGTTTAATGGGTAAAAAAATAAAATAAGCTAGCATGAGAAAGAGAATACCAAAATTGAGAGAGTAGTTGAGAGTAACTGAAAACAAAAAGTTATAATTCTTGAGAAGCCTTTGGTTTTGAGGTCTTTTTTGGTAATAAAGTATGGTGAATATTTGGCAAGACACCACCTTCAGCAATAGTGACATTGCCCAACAATTTGTTCAATTCTTCATCATTTCTGATGGCTAATTGTAAGTGTCTTGGGATGATTCTTGTTTTCTTGTTGTCTCTAGCAGCATTGCCGGCCAATTCCAAGATTTCAGCAGCCAAATACTCCAAGACAGCAGTCAAGTAGACTGGGGCACCACTACCAACTCTCTGAGCATAGTTGCCCTTTCTGAGTAATCTGTGGACTCTTCCAACTGGAAAGGTCAATCCAGCTTTGGCAGATCTTGTGGTGGACGTCTTTTGTGCAGCACCGGCCTTTCCTCCTGCTTTTCCCTTTCCTCCAGACATTGTTAATGATGATGTGGTGTTGTGTGTAGAATGTGGTGTTGTTGGTGTTGCTGTCGCTGGAGAGCCTGAGGAAGCTGCTGCTGGGAAGAGCCTCTTTAAATACCCCCGAAAAGCCCAAACACAAACAACGCGAAACAGGTCCCGTGCTGAGATGTCCCATGGCTCCCGTATTTTCCAGCACGCTCTTCTTCCCAAAACGGCCGACGCGTGTTCTAACACCTATATAAACACAAACCCTCCCACCTCCACTCCCTATGCTTCCTCTGCTTCTTCTGGTCCATCTGCTTCCGTTCTCTCTTTATTTCTCACATCTTCCAAATGGCTCCCAAATCTGCTGAAAAGAAACCTGCCTCCAAGGCCCCCGCCAAAACCGCCTCCAAGAAGACCGCATCTTCCTCTGCTGCTCCAGCTACAGAAACCAAAAAGAGAAGCAAATCCAGAAAGGAGTCCTATGCTTCCTATATCTACAAGGTCTTGAAACAAACACATCCAGACACTGGTATGTCCAAAAAGGCCATGTCCATTATGAACTCCTTTGTCAACGATATCTTTGAGAGAATTGCTTCAGAGGCTTCAAAACTAGCTGCTTACAACAAAAAATCTACTATTTCTGCTAGAGAAATCCAAACCGCAGTCAGATTGATCTTACCAGGTGAATTAGCCAAACATGCTGTCTCTGAAGGTACTAGAGCTGTTACTAAATATTCTTCAACTTGATTTCATTTATTATGATTTTAATTTCAATATAGTCATACAGTTTTTCAGGTCATATATCAGACTGATTCAGTTTTGTCATTCATTAAGTTTTCATAAATTATTAATTATTTTATATTTTGAATTTTAATTTTTCTAATATTTTTTGTGTGTTTCTTTAATTTTTTATTTCTTCGTTTTTTGTATAATGGGTTGATGGTAATTATTTTAAATTAATTATAATTATTGTGAAGTTTATTTATTTATTTATTAGATTAATATATGTAGTCTGTTTTAGTTTTTTGGAATTGACATTAACTTTCTAATTGAATTCATGCTGACAAATTAATATCAATATTAAAATTAAAATGAAAATGAAAATAAAGATTGCAATTAACAATTGTATATTAACTTAGATATGTAAAATTAAAAAATTCAAGGCATACGTTTTAGTATATATTAATGATTATCTTGAAGCATAACATTAACTAATTCATGTAATGGACCATAATCCTTTTTGGATATTAAATTAAACTCATTTGAAAATAATACAAAATGTTTTAAACTTGTATTCAAATGATTTTGCAATCCCAATTCAGTAATTTCATCAAAATGATGGCAATATATATGTGCATAAATTCGAAATAATCTCTTCATAATTGTCTTAATTAATGCTAAAAACTGTTGAGGAAATTCTTTATTAACAAAAATATTGCTATTAGAATTAGTTAAATCAATTGAATTATTACGGTTTTTATTATAGTTATTACTGCTATTATTGCTATTATTACTTGAAACATTTATAATATTGCTAGGAAAGATATCATCATCATCAAAAAAGGACTGGATCCAATTCATTAGGTTTTCAATGTAATTTGGTGCAGGCAATGGAATAGGCTTTTTTAAGTTCAAATCTTGCCATAAATATTCATATTCATTCGTTGCTATCATTCTGGGACATGTTCTGGGTGAACAAAACTCGGTTATTGTGCTGTATAACATATTAATTTGATTATAAAAATCAACCACATGAACTGCTAACCACTCGTTAAGATCCTCGTCTTTGGGTAACTTAACTGCTTGAGCCAATACTGATCCTGATCCGAGTGTGGCTTCAGCAAAATTTCTGATATCTTTATGAGATGTAATGGCTGAACCATTTGTATTGTTGGGAATATTGCTATTTAATGCTTGTGAGCTGGTAGCATTCTTATTCACCTGCTTAGTTGTAGCATAGGCATTATTGTTATTAGCAGGATTATTTCCAGTGTTATTGGCAGTATTACTGCCACTGTTATAATTAGATTGCTGTTGGTTCTGATTAATTCTTTTGAACCCTCTAACAGTTCTCATACCACTTCCGTTGCCATTAGAACGACTGTAAAACAAACAAAATGTTAGTAGATGCCCTCATTTCGAAACACCCAAATGCACCAAGCCAAATACATACAAGTTCTGGAATAAGGAAGCCATGGTGAAGAGACGATAAAGAAGAAACAACTGCTTCTGGTGAAGTTGATCAAGTTGTTTACATTTCCACAGCAAAAAACAAACACAAATCAGAAAAGTACAAAAAGAGAATGAACCCACACTAATGGTCTCATATTCCAAATTGGTTGTCTCCCATTTTCAGAGGGATCTTTTGCTAACAGGTCACGTTTGGACTCAAACACGTCTTTTCAAATATTCAAAAAATAATAAAAAAACATGGAGGATATCATTGAACGTTAAAGATAATAAATAACATGAAAATATTCAATTATTGGGTATTTATTCTATTTATTATTTGAATATAAATATCTTCGTGCCTTTTTTTCTTTTCTTCAGTTTTGTTTTCTTCTTTCCTTTTATTTCTTTTCTTTTTGTTGTTTTTTTTTTACTGAATCATGGACTCTTATAATCGCTTTCCTTTATCTTCTTTGGCTCCCAATATTCCTAGATCAACTCTCACAATGAACAAGAAAAATGGTAGATTTGATAAAATTAATAATTACAATAATGTGATAATAAACGATGTTCACAACCACAATGATGATGTTAATGCTAATGACGTGGACTATGGTAATAACACGAATAATAATTTTCAAAATCAGTCACTAGTGCCTTTCGATTATGTTAAATTTATTAAAAAAGTAGATATAATTCAATATGAAAATCTTCAAAACTATAAAATACTGAAAAGAAATTATAGCTATAATTATAATAATAATAACAATAACAACAACTATCGTTACAATATTTGTAATAGCAATTATTCGCTGAAATCTCATAATCATATCTTGAATGCAACAAAGTTGAAGAAAAATCTACAATTAGCTATTATAAAGTTATCTCAATCCCAATCACAGTCACAATCACGAACACAATTACAGTCACTGTCACAGTCAGATTCAAATTCAAATTCAAATACACTTTTAAAATCAAGTTCAAAATCGAATAATAACTTTTTTAGTCAAATTAACAAAAATTATCTTACTAGTATTAATAGTAATCCAAGTACTATTAGTAATAACAACACAACTAGCGATAATAACATAACAAGTGACAATCCTTATAACGATAACTTCGATGATACCCAGCTAATAAAAGACACTAGTAGTAGTAATAATAATCATAGTAACAGCGATAGTAATAACAATAATAACAATAATAACAATAATAACAATAATAACAATAATATCAACAACAACAATAAAAATGACAACAATAATAATAATTTGCCTTCAATAAGCTCAGTGATTTCAATCTCAAATTCGGCTTCAAATTCAAATAGTCAAAATTTAATTGGCGACTCTATCAATATTCAAACACCTCAGTCATTAATAACCAATAAAATCAATTTAATAAGCAATACTCAGTTTAAGTTGCCATTGCCAAAACTAAACAACATTAAAAACATCTATGCTAATAATGGTAACAACAGCATCAATAATATCAGTAATCAACCCAATTTTGCGACCAAAAACAACATCAACAATATTCTTTCAAATAAGTTTATCCCATCAAGAAATAACTCATCAATTCAAATAAACTTCAATACTCCTCCACTAACCTCAACTCCATTAAATTTAAATAATAGTTCAATAAATATCACTAACATTACTAACAAATTGAACAATAGCATGAACACTAGCATGAACACCAGCATGAACACTAGTATGAATACTAGTATGAATAGCAATTCAAGCTTTAATGAAATTAATAGTGCTAGCAAATATTACTCCAAGAACTATTTCCCAATTGACTCAACTCCGATTGTAAATAAAACAAAATTTTATAATATCAACAACACGAATAAAAAACATGAAAACAGCAATGCCAGAAATGTCAAATGTAACAGCAACCTCATCAATATTGTCAATATGAGCACCGATAAACTATCCTCTAGTCCTATAAAACCAGATCATCATAAGGTCAAAGGTAGGGACAAAAACAAAGAAGATGAGCATCTAACAGCTGCTGAAGACACTGACCAAACAAGCAGCAAAGATGGAAGAAGTTCAGATGCAAACCATAAGGATCCAACTAAGGAGAAAGAAGACAATGATACCTCCTCGTCTTCAATTGGGGCTGCAAAGTCTCTTTTACAACTAGCCTTTGTCAGCCAGGGCTAGCTGCTGCTGCCAGCAGAGGTGGCTAACGTGGGCTGCCATTTTTTTGTAATCTTTAGTTGTTTTTTTCACTTTCTGGCCTTTTTTTTACTGATTTACTGATTTTTTGTCACTGATTTTCTTTTACTTTTACTGATTTACACTTGTTTAATGATGCTCTTTTTGCTCTGTTTTGTTTCTCCCCCTTCTGCGTAGTTAAGGCCGGGCAGCGGTACACTTGTCAGCCCTACCGCGCCGGCCCGGGCAGAAAATGCTCCTCGTTGGGAAACACAAGCTTTTTTATCACCTCTTTATCAACTGTTCAGTCTTGAGATACACCATCAGAATAAATATAACTCAGTGAATATGGTATGTGTGGTTGTTCTTCCGGTGATTATTTTGCTGCTGATTTGGAAACACTAACGCATTTTATTCTGCACTTTAGCTCCCTTTGTATTTATTGACAGCTGCGAAAACTCAACCAATATCTGTTGAATTGAAGAATGGTGAGACATTGAATGGTCACTTAGTTAACTGTGATTCATGGATGAATTTGACATTGAAAGATGTTATACAAACTTCGGCAAATGCTGATTTGTTTTTGAAAATTGAACAAATTTATATTAGAGGCAGCCATATAAAATATCTAAGATTGCCAAATGAAATAATGGACCAGGTGAAAGAGCAAAATATTGCAAATTTAGAAAGAAACAATTCTAATTCTCAATTCAACCAACATATGAATATAAATCAAATGAACAATAACAACAATTACTATCAACAAAATATTCCAAACAATAATACCAATCAGCAAAATCCGCAAGGAAATCCAAATATAAATAAAAATTATAGAAACTATAAGAATTACAACCGAGGTGGATATAATAGTTATAATAAAAGAGGTGGTTATAAAAGTAGAGGAAATAGAAATTATCAAAATAATAGCTCGATGAACAACCAAAATGCTAATCAAAATAAGCCACAATAACAATAACACTAAAAATAATCATAAATTCTAAGATCATATCATTCTACTTACAAATATAATTTCAAATCATTTATATTTTTTTTTTTTAGATATTTGGTGACTTTTTTTTTCTATTAACTATATAACTATAGGATTAATTATATATTGTATAATATTAGAATGAAAACGCGTATGGAATGGAATTTAAAGTTTTTGAATTTTTTCTATTTTGTTTTGTTTTGAGTTATTCAATTTTCAGATATTTTAGTCTCTGCTAATTTATCTTCAACTTGATTTTGAGCTTGGGCTTGAGCTGGAACTGCAGCTCTAGCACCTCCAGTTGGATAACGACTGCCTTTATTTTTAACCTTCTTAATCTTCTTAGCTTTTTCTTGTGCTTTTGGTATAGGATAACCCTTTTCATGAGCTTCTTGAAACTCTTTACTGTTTTTGAAATCATTTCGAACTGGTTCTAATAACTCATTAATAGCATCAGCAACACCGGCTTTTAAATCTGGAGGAGCCAATTTAAGATCTTTGAAATCAGCTTTAATATCATCGAAACTACTATAAGTAATTGGTCCACCATACTTTTCTGGCCTATTTATGAAAAATTCAAATTGTTTTTCAGAATCTGAATGCTTCAATTCATAAATTGGAATCAAAACATATTGAACAAAAGCTAACAATCCATTGTCGTCAACAACACCTGGAGCACAGAATGCGCCATTGATTTTTTTTTTAACTTGTTTAGGATCTTCCAAGACGTCAATTTTACTACTAGGATCACTTGCAGACATTTTACCACCTTGAGTTAGCCCGGGAACCATGGGATTCATTAAATGTGCTCTCTTTTTATAACCAATCGATTGTAGGTTTTCTTCGGCCAAAACAAAAATTTTTCTTTGATCAACACCACCAAATTGAGCATCCACACCCAAATGCTCTTCATCTAATGCTTGCATTAATGGATAAATCAACCCACTTAATAATGGATTTGCAACCTGTTTGACAACTTCTGCTCCTGCTCTTTTTGCATCGTTTTGTGAAACCACATTTGATAATCTGAATATATCCAAGGTGTAATCAGGAGTTAACTGATAAGATGAGCCAACTACAAACTTCAATTTTTCAATTGGCACATTGATCGATTTCAAAATTGATTTAACGATACATTCATAATATTTCGCTCTGTAGCCAACAGTTTCTAATGTAGCCTTCATGTTGTCTAAGAAAGCATGCAAATCGGCTAATAAAACAATAACTTCGCAACCAGCTTTCAAAAAATGAGCAAGTTTGGTCATTGGAACAAAATAACCACAATGTGGTCTACCAGTTGGTGCAGTACCCCAGTAGATTTTCAATGGTCTTTTTTCGACTTCCAACACATTTTTAATGATTTGAGGATTGAGAATTTCTTGTAAGTTCTTGGTGATTAGCTCATAGGCTTCCTGAGGGTTGACATGAGCCTCCAGAGACATTTTGGTTGTTTGAATTGATAAAGATGAAGATAAAGATAAAGATGGAGATAAAGATAAAGATAAACCTAAAGCCAAATCATTCCCAGGCTGTTGCTTATAAGTGAAAAATTATGCTCAAACAGACGAAGACCAAAGAGTCATCTCCACGTGATGCTGGAGACTTAACAACTCACCTTTTTCCTGAAACTCCACGCTTCAAAAGCAGCAAATCCAACAGCTCCAGAGCAAACAGCACCAAAACAGCCATGTACAACAACCAGAACAACATTCTCCATCCCCAACCAACACACCCTGCTCTTCCCACGTCCAGTATTCTCATGAACCAGGGACTCGACCAACAAACACACCAGAGAAACCGATCCACGAACTACCAATCTCCTTATCTTAACCAATTCGCCAACAACCAGACTGCTATCCCTCAGGCTCAACCTCAATTCCAGGGACAATTTCAATCACAACAACAGCAACAACTGTCCCAGCCCCAGTTCCAACAGCAATTCCAACAGCAGCAGCAACAGACACAACAGCAATCAGCTAATATAAATGCTTCAGCTTCTTCTCAATTCATGCCAAACTTATTTGGTAATCCCTTAATCAATGAATCTGCCATGTTGGCAGGAAAATCCTATATTGATTCCAATTTTAAAAGTTATTTACAAATTAACTCTCAAACCTCTGACGATTTAAAATATTATTTCAAAGTTTCTAATGATTATGTTTTAAGAAAGATTTTTTTGATCTTGTTTCCATATAAAAATAAATCATGGTTGAGACAAATGAACCAATCAATTGATTCAAAAGGCAATAAATTTGACAATTTTTCTTCTCCAATTTTTGATATCAACGCACCTGATTTATATCTCCCAATAATGGGTTACACAACCTATATTTTTCTATTGGCAGTTATTAGTGGATTGTCTGGTAATTTTCATCCGGAACTATTCGGTTATTCGTCCACTAAAATACTTATTATTCAAATTATAGACTTCTTAATTTTAAAATTGTTTTTATATTTATTGAATAACGAGTCTAAAAATTTGGATTTGGTTTGTTATTCAAATTATAAATTTATTCCATTAATATTGATATTGTTGCTAAAACAATTTCTCTCGGTTAGTTCATTGTCAAATACAAATCTAAATTCATCAATTTTTTCATTGACTAATATTTTTTACTACTTGACTATACTATTATTGAATTTTTCATTTGAATTTTTCTTAATGAGATCTTTAAAATACATTTTTCTTGGTAATGGTTTGGTGAACAACAGTGCTCAAACAATTCAACAAAAGCAAAGACAACGAAGAATTTATTTTCTTTTTTGTTATAGTTTTATAGTTCAGATGATCATAATGTTCTTCTTAGCATAATTTATAATTATATTTAAACAAACTAGAAATCACAGCCAATGATGTATTAATAAACTATCATCAAAACACCAATTCGCTATTAAAGTATCATTTTCATTTCTATTCTTTAAAATGTCAAAGCATGAAATCTAATAATTACCCTCTTTTAGTTATGCTACCGTTCTGTATACATTAACACAATCGGGTAACTCTTACAGGTCAAAATCAAACAGAAATGACATTGATAAGTTTTTCTATTGCTAACAAAATTTGATAATAAAGCCAATTGTAAATTTCAAATAGTTGTCTTATTGATTTGGCGCTCATCAAACACAAGTTGGGCAACAATTTCTTGCCTATATGGGTAGCTGCTAGGTTTTGAGGGTGTCCTGTCGTGATACATTAGGGTCTCACTTTCATATACTTTCCAAAAAGCACTATTTTAAAGTGTGGGTGATGAGTACATCTCTTTGCTATGTAAATGATTCATCAGAGTCTTCATAAAACTGTACATCAAACTACTTTTTAAGACATTGCTCCAGCTCCTTTCAAATTATGCAGTAATTGTGGTTTGTATTATTTGCTTTTTGTTTCTTTCTGGAGTTTAGTGTTCGTGTTGCCCTCTCTTTCTTTAGTACAGTGTTCCCACCGATATTCTGCGAAGGGTAACTGCTTTTCTTGTGCTGGATAATTTTTTGGTGAGATTCCAAATTCGTTAAGAAAACAATCTTTTATAGTACAAAAATCAAAGATACAAAAATATACCTCGCTACAAGTATATAAATACAAGACTGTCATGTCGGGTTTTTATTTTTATTTTCCACCCATTTCTACCTAACTTGAGCTGGTTCTTTGCTATTCTATATTTTATTTTGCTCAAACAATGAGGGTAAAGAAGCCTTCATTTGCAAATGTTTCAATTGAGCTAGATGATCCGATTTTTAGATATTCAAATAATGTCCTATCCGAAGGGAGAATCTATACAAATCTTGAACCCATCACTGGCCAGGTTAATTTAAAATTAAAAACAAGAATGACTATCAATTCAATGTCGATCAAGTTAATAGGTATGTCAAAAATTTCCATGAGAAAAAAAAAAGATCATTATCAACCAAAAATGCTTTCTGTAAAATTTTTGGAAATTAATAAACAATTATCTAGGATACAGAAAAAAGTAAAGTCTGGAAACCACATTTATAAGTTTAAGTTCGATCCGATTTCTTATAATTACGATCCTTATGATCCCCAACAATCTCCCAATGAAGATGCCCATGAAAATGAGTCTGGTGATGAATTGAAAATAGATGTTCATGGTCAGAATTCTTATGATTTTTTTCACTCTAGAATCAATTCCTTTGAGTATAAAATTTATAGATATGATGAATTGTTGGATACAGATATTGTTAAAGTTTATAATAGTTTACCTTTGACAACTGCAAAAACTTATTTATCAAATTCCTTTGGAGATGCTACACTTGAGGTATATTATTACTTACAGCTCACTATCATCAGATCCTTTTACCATTCTAATATCAATACTTCTAAAACATTCTCATATCTTCCTATAAATAAAAATCCACTCACTCGTTTAGGTTTAAGAAGATATAGGTCAATTTTTTTTGACGATGATTTAATTGATATGAATATTCCGGATTCCCCTAGCAGATTTCGCAAAGAAGATCCTCCTATTTCACAGCATCGTACTGTTAATAATATATACACCCTTCCTCCCATTGTTCCTCGAACCATTAGTCCAATTACTCTCAATAACCCTATTAATATAATCAATGAAGTTGATCCACTCGATTCCACTGATTTAGTTAATAATCCAATTGTTGGAGATTTATCTAATACTCTTTCAGTGAAAATCAAAAATAGCAGTGAAAAATATTTTAGAACAAACTTTTATTTGAGGTTCAATCATGATCCTATTATGATCATTGGCGAAACTCTACCTTTTGCTTTATATTTCACCTTCCGAGATCCACCAGACTATTATACTGATCAAGGTGTGCATAAACTATTAATTGATGAGCTCACACTAGATTTAATTTCCTGCACTTACTTGAAAGCCGATGATGACACCACTAGCTCCTTCAGAGAATTGATACATCTAATACAACCCGAAGATAACCAAAATAGAGAACCAATCCTAATGAATATGGAAGATGCCATTAGAAATCCTATTGATGATCTTTTTCGTTTGTTGGTTCCCATTGAAACGTACAGAGAGTATGTTTTACCCAAAGAAATCCCTCCCACCTTTTGCTTGAGAAATCTCTGCAGAAAGTATGAGATCAAACTCACAGCAAGAATTTGCCATTACGTGGAAAACAACAATGATCCAAATGACTTTGCAAACATTAGATGTGCCTCAACAGTTCATCTACTTAACGACCATTCTTCCTATGTTTCTGCTTCTGTTAGCAACGACGTCGAGCGTATGATGTTGGATCCTGAGGCCTATATGGAGAACCACAGGAGCCGGAGGTAGTTTGTAGCGTTTTATAGTGATACACTTTTTCTCACTGAAAGATCTGCTTACCCTCCGCTATTTTTGTTAGCAATTTCAGCTCAAACCAAAGTGAGGGTAATTGTGTTGTTGAAAATTAGAAAACTGATCAGCCCGAAAAGGTGATAACAGAAAAGTTCTTTATGATGCTGTGTATTTTGCTTGAGATCGCTCAATTTCTTCTGCAAGTAATATGTTGAATATACAGATTCCAAGTTGTTGTTGTTAGCGAGGGTTTTGTAATTGGATTTGCTTGTGCTATGCTGGTGCTTCAGATTATTTGTATGAAATAATAGGTCATGAATCATTGATTGAGCAACTGCTAATGGAAAGTAATATATTAAATTGAATGAGAAAATGAAGTTCAAATTTTGCACAAAAATGCCACAAATACAATTTTGGCTTGGGGAGTTGCGGTTTTTTTGATTTTGATCTTAGAAAAATATACAGAAGCACTTTTTTCAATTGTTTATCAATGTCCATGTCGATGCACTAATTCTTTTAATATTCTTGATTGGATAATTAAAATCATTTTTTTCTTAAAAAAAATGTTTTCTGATCATGCTGTTTTAATTGAGCTCGATGACTCTATAGGATCATATTCAAATGATGCATCTACCCTGATGAAGTGTTATTCTAATCTTGAAGACATTTCTGGTCAAGTCAAATTAAATATAAAGAAAAAAATTATCATTAATTCAATTATCATTAAACTAGTTGGTATTTCAAAAGTTTCAATAAAAAAATTAGGAAACGATCTAAATTTTCATCACAATGATTTCAAATTCTTGGATGTTAGAAAAAATATATATATTAAAACAAAATCTACATTTAAACCTGGAGAATATAATTATGATTTTCAGTTTGATTCAATTCCTTATGATCTTTCACATAATATCAACAATCACAAAAATTCCTTTGAAGTCTTTAATGCTGATTTTAATCCTTTTTATTTTGCTAATAACCACAGAGAAAACATAACCCTAATTAAAAAAAGATTTGTTTTACCTCCATCAACTTACAAAACAACTATTTTAAATTCTTTTACCAATGGTTCATTCAAAATTTATTACTATCTTGAATGTATTGTCAATAGACCTATTTATACATTAAATCTCAAATTTAAAAAAAATATTTGGTTTCTTCCCATGAGTTCAAGTTTAAGTCCACTCAAAAATCTTCAATTGAAAAAATTTGAATATAATAACATTAACCCAAATAGTGATCTAAACATAACAATACCTAAAACTGTATCACAAAATGTTGCTTTAAATAATGTTTGTCATCTAAATAATAATTTCTCATTTGATTTTGCTATCAAATTCAAAAATGATCCTATTTTAACAATAAATGAAAAACTTCCTTTTGAACTATATTTAATCTTTAAAGACCCGCCAAATCATTACAGTTCTTTTGGCTTGCAAAAAATATTTTTGAAAAGTTTTGAAATCAAATTAATAGTATATACCTTTTTGAAAGGAAATGATTTTAGCAGATCATTCAGGGAAAATTTAAAACTAATTTCTTTTGCTAATAACCACCATATAAAGTTAAATATTAACAAATGCACTAGGTACAAAGAAACAAATTCATATTATTTGAGGGTTCCTAAATATCTCTATAAAAATTTTATATTACCAAGGTCAATCATTCCAACATTTTCTCTAAACAATATATCTCGAAAATATGAACTCGTAGTTTCGTCTACTTACTTTGTTGGTACTGGTCCACACTCTTCTCCTAAATTAACCCAGCATATTTACATTATTAACAATGCAAATTCCTATAAAAACCTCACAATTGAAAGCTATTCAAATAATAATCATTGTGTAGATTACAATTCTCCCACTCAAAGAAATATCTTCAATAATTCCAATAGAAGCGCATTTGCCATAAATCCAGCTAATGGTCTTGCGATCACTCCCCCACCAACTTACGAAGAAGCTGTTTCTAATATTTAGACAAGACACTTCTATAATACAAAACAAATATCAGTGATTTATCACTAATAAATAAACTAAAATGAGATTCATAAAATAAACTAAAAAATTATTGACACAAAAAATTGAAAAAAAACCCACCATCAAAGCCTTCAAAAGCTATGAAATGAAAAATTAAACAAACCAATTTACGAACACTCTTCATATAAAAGAAGATAATAAACTACAAATCGTGATAAAAAAAATTCAAGCAAAAAATAAATGATTTTCATTATGCATGAATCAAACTGGAAATTCGATTGACATTGCTATTTGGATCATTCATATTGGGATCCATGTTGGGATCCATATTAGAATCATTCAAATTCATCCCAGAATCTATGACTTGGTCCATATCTGCATCCAAAGAATCCCCAGTTTTCGACCTTTTATTTAAATTATTGATAGGAACTAACTTTCGTTTCTGACCTGTTGATTCAGATATTGAAGTAGATGAATCTCTTAAACTATCATGATGAATATTAGTCAATCCTAATTTATTCTTTTTTTTATACTTTTTTTGTATACTCTTTTTGTTCAAAACATTGAAACTATCAGTAGTATTAGTGCCGAATCTCCCATAAGAATCTAAATCGTGAAAAACACTAAATCTATCTGATTTTAAGATAATATCATTAGACTCAGAAATAAAAGAATTTAAAAACTTTTTGAAATAATAATTGGATTGAGGGAAATGCTTTTTGCTATTATTTGATAAAAACGAATTCACCTTATTATTAAATAACTTGGATATGATTAACAACTCATCAATATTTTCTTTAAAATCATCTTCTTCAACTTCAACAAACTCATCTTCAAGATTATCAAGTTGATTAGACTTGTCAACTTCTTGTAATTGAGAATCAATCTCCATGTTATTCAACCCTCTTGAAACCTTATCTTTCTTCCGTTTGTCTCTTATCTTGTTTATATCTACAGAATTCTTTTTCATTTCCTCTTGCATTACATTATAGCTGCGCATTTCTTCTTTGACTAGATCAACAATTTCTTCGTCACTTAAATGTCTGTTGATCACAAATTCTTCGTTGGGAAACAAAATATCTTCAATTTCTAAGGGCTCAATAATCAAATGATTAGTAGTTTCTCTATTTAAATTAATCAATCTGTTGTTAAGTAGATTTGGAAGAATGCTTGCAACACTTGCAAAATCTGCATTGTTTTTTTTAGGCTTAACTAATCTAATAATACCATTATTTTCAAAAATTTTTAGTAATTTCAAAAGTTGGATTTCTTGTTGATAATCAGAATAAACAATCGGATTGATTAAACTAGAATTAATATCACCTGTCAAGTTAATTCTATTTAACTGTAGGATATCACTGTTTCTAAAACAATTAGAAACAATATTGGATCTTAGAAGTTCATTTCCATGAGCCAAATTATTTGCAGCAGTTGAACTTAACAAATTATTTAAATGCTCAGAGAATGAACTATTAACAGGAGTATTTAATCTTTTTTCTGATTCTTTAGCTTTATTGTTATTTTTTTCAAATTTTTCATTTTGAAATTTGAATTTCTTCCAAGCATCAATAACAAAATAAATTAAATCAATTTCAGTAATGCTATTCATAATTTTTGTAACAGCTTCAGGATTAAAATTACTAATAATAACCTGCTCAAAATTATCAGGAATTGAAAGTTTCATATTTGAAATTGGGGAGTTGTCATTACTATATTCATCGTAACAAATAAACTGCGCTAAATAAAACTGAAATAAATTCAATTTAAAATAATTCTTGAAAATTCTTGAAATTCCTAAATTCAAAGGTTGGATATCCAATTTATTTAGTTTCTTAACATTTGAGCTTAGTAAAATAGTGCTGTTTTTCGACCGATAAGGAATGCTTGGAGGATTTAAATAAGAGCGTCTTCCAGTAACATGAGGAGAGGACATTGCATGATTTGCCAAAGAACTTTGACCCATAATGCTATTATTATTATTATTATTGTTATTATTATTGTTATTATTATTGTTATTGTTGTTATTATTACCATTTCCAGAGAGACCTTGAGAAAGAGAAATATTAATATTGTTCATGATTTGACCTTGATTATCATAAGTACTATACTCATTCAAGCCTGGAGAGCCAAAAGAGTTTAAATTGTCATTAAATATATCAGTGGGATAGGTTAGATTTGATATAAAATTAGGGCTGAAATAGTAGATATCAATATTTTTTAAGTTATCTCTTGGTATGATGTGGGGATATAAACAATTAACCAAAAGAGCTATTTTTCTATCTGGCGTATTTTCATGGATTGTATGATCCCAATTCGAAATAAACTCGTGGAAAATTTCGTTTGTGATATTAATTGAAAAATTCTGGAAATAGTTATTGAAATTAGACAATTTTAATTCATCTTTATAAGCTTCTTTACCAATGATCAAAGGATCCAATAGATTGGAGCCAGTGGCATTAACACATAAGCCGACAATTAGTTTGATGGTGTTTACTTTTTTATCATCGAAATTTTTCAAGCCAGGTAAATCAGAGGTTACCGCATATTCATCAAAATGATAAACATCATTAAAATTGTAATTTTTTAAAATGTTTTTAATTCTAATTTTTTCTGCATTGAGATATTTGGTGTTAAAAATTGGTTCTTGGTCTTTGAAAAAGTCCAAGATTAGATTTTTTTTCAAAGAATTTTTCTTTTTAAAATGATGTAACCAACCATTTGATTTTTTTGCTTTTGTTACATCAAAATTTGGGTCGAATAATAAGGCATAAGTTTCATATTTTTTAAGCAATAATCTTTCCGAGATTTGGTCAATATTATTTTCATATAGGCTTTGTTCGTAAAATAATTCCAAAGCTCTATTGATCTCAGGGTTTTTCAAATTTGGTTTTGTTTTGTAGATATTTCTATAATTAAAACTCAAATTTTTAAAGTCTTTTCTTAATTTTGCTTCTTCTTTTACCCATCTATTAAAAGTTGATTTGGTTATGGAAAATTTTTTGAAATTTCTAAAATGGTTGACAGTGGTCTGTTGGCATTTTCTTTCACTGGCATTGTGCCAGTCTAGAACCTCGATTTTTTGTTGTAAAGTGGCTCTGGGCAACTTGTTATCTTCAGTTATTGCCTGGTCGTCTTGAGCCGGAAGCAACGAGTTGTCAGCGTTATTGTTATCGATGCTGATGAGATTATTTTTTGAAGAAACTTTTGAGGAATTATTATTTACATTCACGACATTGATCAACCGGCTCAGCGTTTGATTCTGATTCTGAAGACTGTTGGTAATATTGCTACCGTTGCTGTTGTTAGTGTTATTATTATTATTATTATTATTATTATTATTATTATTATTATTATTATTATTATTATTATTATTATTATTATTATTGTTGTTGTTGTTATTACTATTATTATTATTGTTGTTATTATTGTTGTTATTACTATTATTAATGTTCTTATTATTAATGTTCTTATTATTGCCGCCATTATTGCTGCTGCTATTGTTGTTGTTACCAAGGCTGTTTCCGAGAGTGGCATTGAGACCGCTGTTGAGATTGTTGGAAATGTTGTTGTTTAAGGCATTTGTAAGACTGCTGTTGAGACTGATGTTGTTACTTAAATTGCACAAGGTGTTGTTTGTATTGTCGTTGTTGGAGTTGGCGCTGTTGGAATTGTTGAAAGCGTTGAGGTCGTTGCTGGAGTCGGCGCCTATTCCAACTGCTGCAGCAGTGGCGTTGGAGACGTCGATAAGAGCCTGGTCGATGGGAGTGGGCTGGGCCAAGTTGGCAGCAACAACAGCTTGCTCCTGAAGCGACTGGAGACTGAAGTTCAAGGTAGACAAGTCATTGGCGTGGTTGGAGGAGGCCTGGAAATGGGCATATGAGGTTCTAAAGGCGTTGTTGCTGCTGTTGGCCGAGGCGTTGAGGTTACTGCTGAGGTTTGAGAGGTTGATTTGGTTGTTGAGGCTGGCAAACTGATGCTGCTGGAGCTGCTGTTGGCGGACCTGCGAGGCCTGGCGATGGGCTTCCTGGGCCTGTTCCTGCTGCTGCTGCTGGAAGTACTGGATGTGTTGTTCGATATCCGAACCGTTGAATTCGTTCTGGTTCATTATCCCTGAGAGAGTGGTGGGAGAGTGGTGGGAGAGTGGTGGGAGAGCGATGAGAAAAGCAATGTATTTGAAACCGGTAGCAAAATGTGCAAGATTCAGAATAAATAAATCACTACAGACGATGACAAGAATCCCATTCGTGCAATAACGAGAAATAGCAAACATATAAGAACTGAGTGATATGACGGCAAAAAATCCAATTTGAGAGTGATCTGCCTACCTGCCGAAATGGGACCCCTGCCGCCTATTGGCTGATTTTCACCTCTCATGCCCACATCTCCGACGCCTACGGGATATCTCAGCACATTTATTTTGCGTCGCCGACGCAGTTTTGGTGCGTGTCGCTCTTCCTCACGCAGATTATCTTTTGCACTTTACCCGGTTTTGTCGGTGTTAGGGCTTCATACAAAGAGAAAGCAGGGCTTGTAGAGTATCACCCACACTGCTGGTTTTCCACTGCCCTGTAATCCAGCTTTATCTTGTGTTTCCTTCCCTCTTCTCTCAATGTCGTGCAATATTCAAGATGGAGGTTGAGGAAATTGATAGTCCAGTGTCGCTAGCCTCTTTTAATGCTGCCTCTGTTCCTGCTAATGACATTGAGCCTGAGTTTGAGCCCTCTATTCCCGATGTGTTGCCCCATGAAAAGCTCTACACCATTCAGATTGGTGGGAACTCCTTTAGCATAAGTGGTGCTTCACTATCTTCTGATTCTCCTTCTTACTTCACAAATTATTTTATCAAGAATCCTGACAAGACAATACTATCAATTGACAGATCTCCCACTGTATTTGAAAAGATCTACTCTCACTTGCAGGGCTACCACATCAGCATTGAAACTCCTTTGGAATTTGTTTATCTATTCTCAGATTCATTTTATTACAATTTACCAACTTTGAAAAAATATATCTATACTTATCCCTATTATTTTATTATTATCGGAAACAGTTCTTTTAAATTCAATAAAAACTTAATTGACTCAAATCATTTGAAATTCGGCAACTATCCAAATTTTTTTTCAATCTCTTATAATTCAATCTTTAAGGATCCAACTATTTTAATCCAATCAAAAAATTTAATTCGACCACCACCACAAGCTCCAATCATCTTAAAGAAAAACGATGAAAACTTATTTAAAATCATTCTTAATATATTAATCAAATTCAACTTCTTCATCAATAATAACTTAAACTACAGTGTTCTACAAAATTCCGTTGACAGATTTGATAACCTCTTAAAACTAGATCTAATTAACGAATGCAAATATTTTAGATTCTTCGGCTTGGTTCAATTATTGATTAATAACAAAATCATCAAAAACCCATTTACTTCAAATTACGAAATTATCTTGAATCTCAATGACTTGACTTTCAAAAATTTAATTCCAAATTCCTTTGATGCAATCTTTCATTCTTTTCAGTTGCACACCTCAATTTACCTTAAATATTCTAGACCTTATATTGATATCAAACCAAATAAAAATAAAATCAGCTTTAATAAATCAGACCCAAATGAAATCATAAATAATAAAATTGAAAGAACGTTAATTATTCAATTACAATCAAGCGATGTTAAACTATTCATTCTCAATAAAAATTGCTTATATCTAAATATTTCTTCGGATTTATCCATCAACTTTAAAGTTTTATTCAAAAAATTTTTAAATCCTTCAAACTCAATTACATCCTTAAATTTATTTCAAACTTTGCAGTCTCTAAATGACAACTTATCCGATAATAATATCATTAATCATAATGTCGATGATACTATTCAAAATACCACCGATAGCCCTACTAATAACGATAATAACAATAATAATATCGACGCTAAACTTAATAAACCAAATAAAATTAAGTTGCCTAATAAAACTATTATTGAAAATGACCAAAACAATCAGTTTAAATCGCTATCTTTTCCGTTAAAAATCAACAATGACTCAGTTTTAATTATAAATAATACCGAGGCGTCCTCCAATTGGCTAGATGATATTTATACAGCTAAAAATCAAGACATTCATCCTAACAATAAATTCAAATTTTTTACTGTCGACAAACTTTTATTCAAAGTTTTAATTCAAAATGGACGTATAGTTTTTGTTGTTCTTAAATCAAATTTAATATCTGATAAAAAAAATTACAACAAATTATTGTTAAATTATATTTAATTTTCTCCCTTTTTTTATTTTGAAGAATAATCCCGCCTTCTAGATTTAAATTTATCTTTATAATCCAAAATAGTAATCTTTAAATATACCATAATTACTTAGTTCATCAAAACTTATAAAGTTATAATTATCATAATTATTATGGTTCTGGTTTTGGTTTTGGTTTTGGTTTTGAATATTATATTGATTGAAGTTTTCACTGATGTTCTCATTGATATTTTGATTAAAAATTTGACGAAAGTCTTGATTGACATTAGAGCTAAAATCAGTATTGAAATTATTATTGAAATTGTTACCAAAGTCAGTATCAAAATTAACATTAAAATTGTTATCAAGATCAGTATTTAAATCAGTATTTAAATCAATACTAAAATTATTATTAAAATTTATATCAATATGTTCATTATTTTGATTATTTTGATTTTGATGGAAATCTTGATGATCTTGATCAAAAATTTGATTTATACTTTGAACATTTTGATTCATGTTTTGATTTATAAATTGATTTATGTTTTGATTGGTGTTTTGGTCCATGCTTTGACTAATGTTGGTATGAATAATTTCATTCATATTCTGATCAATATCCTCATTTATATTCGCGTTTATATTTTGGTTCATAGTTTGATTAACACCTTGATTGGCACTTTGAATTGCATTTTCATTCAAATTTACATTCAGCTTTTTGTTTGAATTCAAACTATCATGTTGATTTATGTTTTGGTTCAACCCGGAAATTATAATGCTCAGATTAGGATCCTGATAGGGAGCATGAACTGCGCTTCTTACATTTTTATCAACAATGACAAAGCTTTGATCTGAAATATTATTTGATATATTGGTGTTTTGTTTTGGAATGACGTCTTTTGCTATAAAATTTTCAGGTTTTTGGCTTTTATAATTTCGAGAATTATTGGCTTCTTTATTATTATTATTATTATTATCATTTGCTGAATTCGTTTGTTTTGGTGTATCCGGTAAAATATTTTTTATCAAGTGATCATTAAAATCTTCTGGTTTATTATTTAGAGAAATTCTATAATGTTTTAATAACAAACATAATATATAATTAAATTTTATTAAAAAACTCGGAAATGTAAATTTTTTAATGTTATCTGAAAATTTTCGAATCAATCTTTGAACAATATTGACACAATAGGTTTTAACGTCCAGATTAGCATTATTATGCATTTTGCAAAATTTTGGTTTAATATTATTAGGTAAAAAGACCCCAATTAAGTGCAATTTTAAATAGAATCCAACAGCATAAATTAATTGAGGAAAACACATAAGTGGCAATATCATTAAACTAGTAGAATCTAACTTGAGAAATGAATGTATTATTAAAGTGGTATATCCATGACAATTTTCCAATACTTTAATAATAAATGGGCTTATTTTTTTACGTCTTGCCAAATTTTTTAAACCAAGCTGATAACTTCTTTTTATAGTAATGACAGGATTAAGAATACAATTTTCATACAAAAATAATAAACAAACGTAATAGGTATTTTGAAACTCAAAAGTTTGATTGTGATTAAATTCAGAGATTCGATCGATTTTTTTTAGAAAATGCATTAAAATTTCTTTATTTTTGCTAATGTTATTCAGAAAAGTATTATTATATGAGGTTGTCAATTCAGATTTCCGTGTTAAATAATAATCGTAATCATCGATATCAATATCAATATCAACATTGCAATGTATTCCCTTAGCTCGACTAGTTGAGTCATTGTAATTTTTATTAGGATATAATTTGAAAAGACAAAGTTCAACTAAATGAACAATTGAACATAAGGAACCCAAATTAATATTTAAATCTTCAGATGAATTCTGTAAGAATTGGCAAGTTTGATTTATATAATTTGACCAAGACAATAAATTGGGTCTTTGAGAAAACATTGAATAACTAAATGAATATATATAAGCGTGGACTAAAATTTTTCTGCATTCATCAGTTTCTACTTGGTTCAATATTACCATTGTTTTCAAATAATTTGAACAATTGTGTAAATGTAATTTAGGTCCAACATTTTTATCTTTATCCAAACCTAAATCTAATACCATTGAGTTTAATAAATTTAAAAAGAAATGAGTTTTCACTCGAGAATATAAATCAGAGTCATTGAACCAGTTTACTGTTAAAAGTAAAGATTTTAATAATTCAAGTGTCTTTCGACCTTTGGATAGAACTTCTTGAGTTATATGAGAATAATGGTATAACTGAATTAAAAATTGTTTTTCAATGATAGGTTTATTTAAATTGATGGATTTTTTGTTTTTTTGAAACCTTCTATTTAAAATTAGTTTTGAAGTTATTGACATGATGGTTAGGAAAAGTATTGGATAATGTTCTCTAAATTCCTTTATTGTAATTTGTGGTATGGAAATTATAGAATTTGAATGTGATAAGTGATTTTTAGAGTTGACATTCTTGAAATAATCCAATCTTGCTATAGCTTCATCCAATGATATAATATTTGATGATACCAAGTCGTTTTTAATTGTTAGATCATTCACAAGAATAAAGGGGTTTTCACTGAATTTATACCTATTTGATAAGCCATTAAATTCATCCAAAATTTCGTGATTCCTATGATAGTACAGATCAATTTTATTGGAAGTTGAACCAGAAAGTTGAAAGTCCAGAGCCATTGTTGAATTTTCATTAATTAAAGTATCAGTTTCATGAAGAAAGTCCATTGTAATTGTTTTTTTTTGAAAAATATCAGACACAATATTGAGCTGATTTAATTGAGCATTTAAAGGTTGGTTTTGTAGCTGATTTTGAAATGATGTTTCTGCCGGAACTTGCAGTTTTTCTTTAAAAACTTGAGCATCTTTTGTTTCAAAGTGAGTATTACTAGATAGTAGAGGAGATTTGGAAGAATTAAAGGATGCCGGTGATGCTGAAAATGTTGTTGAATTTAAACAGGATGAAAGTTTATCTTGATCAGTAAAGATGATATTTTCAAATTTTTTAAATTTTTTTTGGAATCTTTTTCTTTTTGAAAAATCTATTTTGCAGTGTTTTTTTAGTTCTTTGCATTTTTTGCAATCTCCAAATGGTTGATCTTTATCAACTGGGACACATTTAATCTTTAATTTTTTGCATCTTTCACAAGCAAAGGGGTTTCTTGAACTTGATCCAACAGAGAAGGATACTTTGTTTGCCTGACTATTTGTAAATCGCTTTGTTATTCTGTTGTTTTCGAGATTAATTTTTATTGAATTGTTGTGATCTTGGTCCTTATTAGAAGGTATGTTAGTTATTCTGGAGGAGGTTGAGGTAGAGACGGAAGCAGAAGAGGAAGAAGAGGATGAGGAAGGTAATTTATAACTTAGAAACATCTTTCATATGATTTTAAGTTCATAGGCATGGATACTGCTATTATTATTATTTTTGTTAATATTAGTGTGATTGTAGGGAGTGATAAAGCAGTAATTTGACAGATTGGAAATTTGGCAAATGCCCTCATTAGTAAGTTTATATACACTCAAACTTTAAGCAAACGATGCCTGATTGGGCGGGAAGAAGGTTATGTGATGATGGTGGTATTGAGATCGAATTGTACTGATTACGAGTACATATTAATATATATTAATAAATATGCTAATAAACGCTTTACTTATTTCAATTAAAAGTCATCGCCCTTCGAGACAATCTCTTTACGAGTGGGATGAATTATAATGGTATGCTCAAATTGAGCAGTATATGAACCCTTTGTGTCAACTAAAGGCAAATAATCACGAACATAACCAGATTGAACCAAGTTTCTTAAGGCTAATAAATATTTTTGTTCACCAGTTCTATCAAGGTATCTTCTGCAAAATGGCAAAGTGCCAAAGTGAGAATCAATCGTACTCAACAATTCTTTTGCTTTGTTTAATTTTAAAGTTGGAGGATAGCCATTTGATATTTCAGAATCCGGGATTCTTGAATAATGGGAACATTCACCCTGACTGATAACGTAGCCTCTACCGGTTGAACCAAAGGTTTCAATGGCAAAGACTTCGTTTTCTTCCATTTTGGTATTGTCGCCATTTTTAACAATTGGAACAGTTTTACCACCATGAATTTGGAAGGGAGCAATATTATGACCATTTAAGTTTCTAATACATTTGATTGGATAAACCCTGTTATCTAATTCAATTTCATAACTTTCCATAACCTCCTGAACAGCTTCACCGATGTCAGTTAATCTTACATCAACTCCTGCTTCTTTAATACCAGTATAAGTGGCTTCTCTTACAGCAGTTAATAAAGGATCATATTTAGGATTGAAAGTATGAGTGAAAGCACAATCGACTATATTGCCATTGACATGAACACCTATATCAACTTTCATAACATCATCTTCATGTAAGATAGTTTTATCACCAGCGTTTGGTGTATAGTGAGCAGCAACATGATTTAATGAAAGACCAGTAGGGAAACCCATACCAGTGATTTTTTCATTAAGTTTGTCACCACCAGAAAATGTTCTAACAGCATTTTCAATAGTATCTGCGATTTCGATCATTGTCATTCCTGGTTTGATTAAATTTCTAGCCAATTTTCTTGATCTTCGATGAATCTCAGCGCCTTTTCTGAGATCGTTCCACTTATTGAAATTGATTAGATCTAATTGTTTTTTTTCTTGATTAGTTGAACGCTTTAAATTATCATCAAGCTCAAGATCTTGTTTATAATCTGACCATTCACCTTCGGGGTAAATCTCGTTGGGATAGTATTGAGTGATAATGGTGATATTCTTCTTTTTTGAGTGTTTCTTCTTCTTCTTTTTCTTTTTCTTCTTTTCACCTTCCTCCGGAGCAACATTCTGGCTCGGTTCGTTCTCTAGTTGATCCTTTGGTTGATCATCTTTTTTCTTCTCTACTACATCCACAGTGTTAGTAATCGCTTGCACAAAACACCAAACAAACTAGCTTGCAACATACACTTGACAGCAGCAATGCCCTCAGACAACAGCTCTGGCGATGGAGCAATAGATTCTTTCTCAACTTGCAACATTGTATTTATTGTCTCTTCTCAAATGAAGCAGGAGCACCAAAAATCCAATAAGAAAAAAACGCAGACGAAAAACTCCCTCTCTAATTACGTAATACGTCTGCAGCTTTTCGGCATCTGCCAATGCTATAAATATGCTTGTTGATGTAATAGTGCATGCTGTAACATTTGATCCAAACTTGTGATTTTCGTTTTTTGGGGCAAAGTGCGTCGTGAACGGCGTGACAAAATGCGTGCGTTTCACGTGCTTTTTTTTTTTCTTTTCCTCATTTCTAATCACTGAGTGTTTCTTCTTCTCTCGTTATTCTTTCCACCACTATCCTTCACTCTTCTTTATAAGCTCACTAAAATGGTCTTGGATATTAGCTCTATTCGTTCTTCTTCTTCCTCCTCTGTTTCTCCCATCAACTTTTTGCCTTCTCTTTACAACTCCAAGAAACTTGTTCTTTCACCTGCCACCCAAAACATACTTAAAACAAACGATAGTCACACCAAATTCATCAGCAACAACAACATTAATAATATATCCAATAATCATAATAAAAATGATTTAAAGTTATCTGATTTTCAAATAGCTAAAGCTATCAGATTGAAGTTGGATAGTTACAAGTCCTTTGATTTAGAAGACGATTTAGAATATTGTCCTATTTTATCGTTTTATCCCCCACATTTTAATCCCATTAACACCATCGATATTACTAATTCTACTAATGTTTCTAACACCACCACTAAAAATCCTAATACTCTAAAGGGTAGCAATAACGACAATATCATGGGTAACAACTCGAGAGTTGTTTCTTCAGAATTTTCTTTATCTTCTCAATTTCCATCTGACTCATCTAACTCATCTAACTCATCCAGTTCATCTAATTCATCTTCTCCAACTAGATCTCTTTATAATACAATTGATTACAACTCAACCTCATTTAATACCAATCAAACTCAAAATTACACTTATACCAATCAAAATTCATCAAGTTATATTTGTAAAAATGATTTTATTACTAACAATAATAACAACAATAATAATTCTCCTTCTTTTAATTCTTCAAATAAAATTCAATCTCAATCACCTTCTTTTAATCCATCTAATAATAACAATATTAACAATAATAATATATCTCCTATTAACAAATTCAACTATTTAAATAGTTCTAATAGATATTCTCCAAAATTATCTGTACCAAGTTATAATAATAACAATAATAGTAATAATAATAACTATAATATTAACACTAATTATAACAACAATAACAATTATAGATCTTCAAATAGATATTCAAATTATAATTATTCATCTAACGATTATAACCATAGATATTCTAATTCTAATTCTAATAATTATAATAATCATATTAATCATAACACTCATAACACTCATAATAACTACAGCAATTATAATAATAGATATTCCTATAATGTCAATTCGGCTTCCATTGCAAGAAGAAAACTTGATGAAATCACTTACAATTCTCGTTAATTTATTATTTATCATAATATATTTTTTTTTAATTACTATTGTCTTTTTACTGTCTTTCTATTTTCTTTTGTCATGTCTATTGCATTCAAAAATTATCCTAAAATTCCCTAAAATTACACTAAAATTTTCTAAAATTACAATGTTTTTTTTATGTTTTCCTGTATGTTTTTGTTTCCTATTTACTTCTTCAAAAAATTCCTTTTATTTTATTTGTTTCCTTTTTGGTTTCTTTGTTTAATTCCTTGTTCAGATTTGTTTTTCTTTAGTTTTTCAAATAATAATACTTAAAATCTTCATCCCTGTTTTTTTACTTTTCTTTTTAATTTATTTTTTAATATTCCTATTTAATTATTAATTATCAATTATCAATAATCAACTATATTTATGTTTATCTAAAATTATTTATGTTTATTTACAACTATTTATATTTATATTTCTACCTTTATCTATATTTTTCACTTATGTTTTACTGATATCACACAAATATGTCTTGTCTATGTTTTTGTTTCTTTTTGGTTTACTTTATAAAAATGATTATTCTAGTATTTCATTAACTTTATTTAATCCCTTATTAATCTTTATTAGTATTTATTCGTCTTTATTAACCCTACTATATATACATCTATTGTTTTCCAATTTACTCCATTCACTCTTTCTTTTGTTAATTTTGTCCTTTTCATCCCTTTCTCTTTCTTCTTTTCCTTCTCTTTCATCTCTACTATAATAAATATTTTCCACTCCCACAAAAACGGCTTCACTCGAATCACCTGCGTCCGATTTTTCAAAAAAAATTTTAAATCTGCCCTTTTTCAACTTGAAAAATTTCAGCCCGAAGACACAATCTTGAGATTATTGAGCAGTTTTGATAGCTGAAAATGAGTGTTGTTAAAACAGTTGAAAAGAGAGTAATAGATAATGAAACAACTGGAAAGAGCGCATTTTTTTTGAAAAAAAAAAAAGTTTGTTCTCCTTTAGTTCGTTCCAAAAATAAAATTGGTTCCAATGGATTATCTCAATGCTTTAAAAATGTCACTACAAGATTATATCTTTCAATAGCTCCATGTTATGTCAATGACCCAATTAACGCAATTAAGGTGCAGCATTTAGATCCTTTAATAATGACATTCTATAACCCTCTTGGTGGTGTGATATTGTCATATTCCAATCTAAGAGTATCAAATTCAATGTTTGACGAATTTGCTAGTGTTACAGAATTAAACAATGATAGTTCAGATGACGATATTGATGATAAACAAAAAATTAAAGAGAATTCAGTTATTACTAAAATACCCAAAAAAAAAATATGTTTGGCCAAAATCCAATTCGATACGCCTTTTGCATTTTTATGGGTTTCTGTTGATTTCTTAATTTGGAAACCAGAAATCAATGATAAGATTCAAGGATGGTGTTATATGCAAACACCATCTCATATTGGGTTATTGATCCATGATATATTTAATGCAACAATTAAAAGAAACTCTATTCCTTCAAATTGGCAATTTATTTCAAACCAGATCGATGAAATTGATCCAAATGATGATTCAACTACACATTCTTTGGGTCATTGGCTAGATTCTGAAGGAAATAAAATTGATGCAAAATTGGATTTTTTTGTAAAATCAATTCACAGTGCAGGAAGAGCAATTAGTATTGAAGGGTTATTAATTGATTCAAACAATGAAATAAACTTTTTTTCAAATAACAGTAGTAATAATGCTTCTACTGTCACTAGTCATCAGACTAATAGTGATAATAATAGTATTAGTAATAGTAATAGTAATTCCAACATTAATACTAATACCAATACCAATACCAATAGTAATAATGGTAGTGGACAACATAAAAGATTTGATGAGGAAGACTTGGTAATTGATAAAGATATGTTAGATGTGATAAATACTACATCGTCTAAAGCTATTTTAGAAGCTAATAATGCTTCAATTTTATCCAAATATGATAATAATAGTGAAAATGATGAAGATGATGAAGATAACAAAATAGTAAATCAATCAGACAACTCTGATATTGATTCTGATTCTGATTAAATTAAACCAGCTATCGGCTGAATATAAACATTGAAATCACATTCTTATAATTTTAATTATATTTTCATTTAAATTCACACCTCACATTTCACGTTTCATAATTTGCGTTTCATAGTTCACACTTCACATTTAAAGTAAAAAATAACAATATTTTTTTGACATTATGAGCCAAATATGAAGTTGAATATTGAGAAAAGGATTTGAATATTGTAAATTCCAATTGGCAAGGAGAATTGTTTTAGAAAGTGAAAAATTTTCTCATTGATTTCAACTTTTTGGCGCATTTATTTTATTATTTTATTTATTATTTATTATTTATTATTTATTATTTATTATTTATTATTAATTTTTATTTTTTCTTTCTTTTTAATTGTATTAACATCTGTATGGTTAGTTATAAAATGTAATTATTATGAAACTCAATCTGTACTGAACTTATAAAAACAATTTATCATGAGACAAGTTGAATTAGTGTAGTTATGAGATTATATAATTATCTGTTTATCTTGTTTTATGCTTAATTTTTTTAGAGGTGTTTTTATTTTTAAATAATTTTTTATCATGATATGATAATAAGATGATATGATTTTGTTATTTAACTTGTGATAAAGCGATAAGTTGATGAGTAAAGAATTTGCAAGAAAAAGAATTGTGAAGTGGTCTCATAATAAAATTATTATTTAGTATGATCTTATATAGATATATATTAAGTGTATATAATTCAGTAGACTTGTTTATATATAGATGACAACTTTTCGTCATCTTTTTTCTTTGTTTTTTTATTTACACAAGTAGTACAATTTATGTTTATTATGAATATGTTAAGTTTTTTAATCAACTTGGCCAATTTTCAAATTCTATTATTGATTTCACTTATTTTATCATGTATTGGTGGCTTGAGTAATAGATATAAAAGCCGACAATTAAAATATTATAAAAAAAATTTATTGAAACAGCTTCATCAAAATAGAAATAATGAATTGCAGAAAAGACGTAAAGAAATGTTATATTACAAGTGCTGTGATTCATCTTATTTTGAAATGGATGATCTGGAGCGATTAGATGAATTTGAAAACCCAAATCATATAGATCCATTAGATAGAAATGGAGCAAAAGATACAGAAAGTACAGAAAGTACAAAAACTAAAGAAAATACTGGTAAAATAGATAGAATAGATAGTTTGGATAAAAGAAACCCATTCAAAAACGATACAGATTTGAAACAACATAACCATAAAATATTTTTGATTGATAAAACCCAAGAAAAGAAATTGGAAAGTAGGTTTTCAAAAGAAAACGTCTTGCTAGTATATATTTCAGTTTTCGATAGGATTGAACCAGTAGCGCAAAGACTTAAACCTTTGCTTCCAGCGATTTCGTTTCTAATGGCAGCATCGTTTTTAATACAACTTGAAGAGTAACTTTGTGCTAGCTCTTGTTACGTTTACCTTTCCCAACAAAATGTAAGTGAAACGCCTCCAATGTGTGTAATTGTGAAACTCATATTTTTAAAGCCGTGTAAATGTGAGCACGTCACATGCTCCTGTTTGCTTTTCAACGTTTTTTTTTTATTCTCACTTTGCAGTGGAACCAAAAGAGAAAACGGTAAGGGAAAGGCAATGAACGGGAGTTTCTAGTTCGTGCGTCTGGATGAGTAGCTGAAGAGAGGTTTTGCTGGTAGGAGGTGAATGACACTAGAGCTGAAACAGCGCAAACCATCCAGTTCCTGGTGTAGAGAAGAGCAAGCAAAGGGTGCATGTAGAGCTGTGGAAGAGCTTTTGAGGACCAGAGTGGTGGGTTTTCCACGACTGCATGAGCAGCATGCAGGAGCGGCTTTTCCGCAGCAAACGCTCTGACCAAGACCAATGAGTGGAGCGTGTGAAGGAGGGACCCTGTTTGCGGGCGCTAGACTGCAGCCTGTGCGTCTCGAGGAAACTCTGGCACCTGCACGCCATGATAACCTGCACGCACGTGTTATTTCTGATGGGTGTGCCTCTATTGTGTCTGTCCACAGTGCTGCCTGTTGCCATTGGCTGGAGACTAGAGCCCACATCCAACTTGGTCAACATCTGCGATTTTTGCTCTCTGTTCTGGTGTTATCGTCTTGATGCGAGATTTAATTCTAGAAAGACTGGCGAAGTGGTGCGTTTTTTTCTTTTTTGTCCAGCTTATACACTCCCATCTTGGGGGTCAGATATAATCTGCTTTGATCCTATATAAATTGTCTGCTTTGCACTCACCATGAGGGTTGTGGGTTTTTCAGATTATTGCCAGTTGCTTCAATCCACAACACTGCTGCTACTCTTCCTTGCTTTGAAAAATGACAGTTTCTGAAACAATTAACAGCTACTCTGACGTCCCCGTTGATGTCGACGCTGGTGTCTTAAGACAAAAATTCATTCCTGATATCGATGTGGAAAAAGTCGATGCCAAATACAATGTGCGTCCTTTTCCAAATGCTGGAAAGACAAAGGAAAATTTGAAAATATTAACCTTGGATTCCTTGGACTTTAGCAAATATCAAGATGGTCCTGAGGGTTTGCAATCAAGATTAGAATTAGCTGCTAAGTTGGAGAAGGCTATCACCACCATCGGCTTCTTCAACATAATCAATTTTGGTTTCTCGGATGCTGAGTATGATCGTCTTGCTTCTATTTCACAGGCCATTTTGGAACTACCTCAAGAAGACAAATTGAAATATAGATCTGGCGCTTTAAGATCCGATGAGGAAGACCGTTCTAGATCTTTGGGTGCTGAAAGAGGTTTCGGTTTCAAACCAAAGGGTTACTGGAATATTAATGCAAAGGTTAGAGATAACATTGAATTTTACAATATCAAAGATGTGGTTCACGACAGCCAGTTATTTGATGAAAAAAAGAACTATCCAGAAATTGCTAAGGCTCATTTGCCCGAAATTGGAAACTATTATCGTTTCTTGCATTTCAATGTTTTGAGAAAACTTTGCACTCTTTGTGATATCATCTTAAAATTGCCCGAAGGAACCCTATGGGAAACTCATTTCAAAGTCTATAAAGATGATCTTGTAAATTCTGGTGGCGGATGGGCAAGACTAATGATTTACCATGGCTTAAAACCCGATGAATACAAACTAACTAATAACACCCAACTAAGAGGCCATTCTGATAGTCCAGGTTTTACTTTCATCAAAGGTTTTGCTGAAATCTTTGGTTTGCAAATTAGAGATTACTACAGCGGTGAATGGATCTACGTTCAACCAATCAAGGAAGCCCTATGTGTTAACGTCGGTGATGCAATGGAATTCATCACTGGTGGCTACTTCAAATCCTCAATCCACAGAGTTGTTGCTCCACCTGATGATCAAAAAGGCTTCAAAAGAATGATGGCTATTTATTTCTGCGATCCTGCTTTTTCTTCCGTTTTAGATCCAGAGCATTTGCAATCTCCTAAACTAAACGAATTGAACATTACAAAACCAGATGAGTGGGAAAGAATAACTCACGATGTTTGGTCAAATGAAAAAGGAAGATTGTTTGGTCAAAAGAAAGTTAACAGCGTCCAAGGTGATGAGCCAAGAGCTGTTAAAATGTTTGGTAGATTAGCAGAAAGATGGCATCAAGTCGATCTTCAACAACAAATCAAAATCTAATTTAAATTCAAACCAACCTCCACACATGCTGTTTTTTACATTTGATATACATATATATATTCTTTACTTCTAAATATTCTTTTCCTCTATATTCATTCTTACTTTTTTTTTTATTCACTCTATGACCCGCTTAATAAAATGTTTCATGTCCTTTACTTTCTCAAAAAACTGCCTTAAAATTGCCTTAAAATTGCCTTAAATCTTTGCACACACTACAAAATCACCAATTTTCTCATATCCCCTTCTTTATTTCCTTATATCCCCTTCTTTTCCAGCCCTTTTCTAAACCGAGTCACATGAATTTTCAACTTTGATCTGTTCATTTGGAAATTGTTAAATGAAAGGTGGTCAATTTTCCCCTTCTTGAATTTGTATTGTCTTAAGAACCAATACATCGCTAGCATTCACTTCAATCTATTTATCTTTTCATTTAGTTTCTTTTGCTTTTTTTTTTCTCCCTTAAATCTTCTTATATTTACTTCAATTGACCATGTCTCAAAACAATAACAAAGTCTTCTCTGCTAAAGTCAAAAACGTTCTCTCTGGTGATACTTTAATCCTCGTCCCAACAAATCATAAAGGCACATCTCCACCTCCTGAACGTCAACTATCTTTAGCTTACTTGCAAGCTCCAAGATTAAACCTAAACGAGGTGTACTCTTTTGAATCCAGAGAACTCTTAAGAAATCTATTATTAGGTAAAGTTGTCCAATTTAAAGTTTTATACACTTTGCCTGCTTTAAATAATTCAAAAAGAGAATTCGGTGATGTTAAAACACCAATTTTCAACAGTTTAATTGAATACGTCCTAGCTAAAGGTACTGCTAAGGTCAGAGAAAACGCTGAATCTCACAATGAAGACTATTATTATGACTTGAAAGACTTGGAAGATAAAGCTAAAAAGGACAAGATTGGTTTATGGGTCCACACAACTCCTTTACAATTAGAAAATGAATTGTTATACAATGAAATCGAACAATCCAAAAAAACTCCTTATGATGCAATTGTTGAAAGAGTTATTTCTGGTGATCGTCTTTTAGTTAGAATCTTGCTAAGCAAGAAAAACCACGCTGTTTTACCTGTATTAATCGGTGGTGTTAGATCTCCAAGAACTGCTTCCTTAGAAGATGAAAAGGCTGAACCTTACGGCAATGAAGCCAAATTATTTGTTGAACAAAGATTAATATCAAGAATGGTTAAATTGTCTGTTATTGGTTCCTCCTCAAATGGTGTTCCAATTGCCAAAATTATTCACCCTGCTGGAGACATTGCTGAAAAAATTCTCGAAGCTGGTTTAGCTGAAATAGTTGATTGGCAATCAACAATGATTGGCTCTTCCAGAATGTCAATTTTAAGAACTTGTGAAAGATCTGCAAAAGTCAGCAATAAAGGTTTATGGAAAAATACAAACACTAGATCAATTGCTCTCAGTGACTCCAAAAATCTTATTAAACCGGGCAAGAAATTAAATGCTACTGTCACTAGAATTATTTCCGCTGACACTCTTTCTATTAGAATTAATAATGATTCCGAAGATAAAGAATACACTGTTCAATTGTCTTCATTAAGAGGTCCAAAACAATCCGATGCAAACCAAACCAATTTCATACCATTTGCTAAAGAATTTGTTAGAAAATTGACCATTGGCAAAAAAATCACCGTTCAAATTGATGGAATTAGACCAAAAAACGAACAATTTCCAGAAAGACCTTTAGTTTCAGTTACTTTGCCAAATGGTGAAGATTTATCAAAAGCAATTGTTACAAACGGTTGGGCTCAAGTTATTAGACACAGAAGAGGCGATGATGATAGATCACCAAATTGGGATGAATTAATTGAAATTGAAGCTGAAGTTATAAAAGCTAAAAAGGGTATGCATGGAAAGCTTCCTCGTGTCGAAAGAATTGTTGACGCGTCAGAAAATGCTGGTAGAGCTAAAACATATCTACAAACATTACAAAATAGAACCAAGATCTCAGCAGTTGTCGATTATGTTTCATCACCAAATAGGTTTAGATTGATTTTACCCAAAGAAGGTTACAAGTTAGTATTGGTATTAGGTGGATTAACCAACACTCTAACTGGGAGTAAAGACTCCGAATTGAATAAAGCTGCACTTGACTTTGTTAACAAAAAATCATTGCAAAGAGATGTTCATATTGAAATTTATAATGTTGATAGAATTGGATCTTTTATTGGTAACTTGTTTTTGCCAGGACAAAATCTACCATTACAAATTAATTTATTGAAACAGGGTTTTTACAAAATTCATGAAAATTCAGTCAATCAAATCAAATTTGCAGATCAAATGTGGGAAGCTCAAGAATCAGCTCAAGAACAAAAAATAGGAATTTGGAAAAATTACGTGCCAGAAGATGGCGAACAAGAATATTCGAAGAACAGTTTAGTTAAAGACATAACTGATAAGACTGAAAATTTAAAACTTGTAAATAAATATCATGACATTGAGGTAACAGATGTATCAGATGAGGGACTAATATCATTTCAGTTTTTGAATGCCGAAACCGATAAACTTATACCATTTATGAAAGAATTCCACGAGTTCCATAATAACCAACCAATCAAAGCTGTTAAGGTAACTGTTCCAGGGGCTATTCCAGCATATCCATCACTTTTACCTAGATTACCAAGAAAGGGAGATTATGTATCTGCTGAATTTTCAAGCAATGGAAAATTCTATCGTGCCAAAGTTCTTTCGTACGATAAAACAACCCGTAAATGCAAAGTTCAACACATTGATTTTGGTAACACAGACCAAGTCCCAACATCATCAATACGTGAATTGCCTCCTCAATTTTCACTAGCAAAATTGGGTGCACAAGGACATGTCGGTTTGTTGTCTTTGATCAAATTGCCACCATCCAAACCAACGGACTATCTTACAGATGCTATTTACTTTCTCGAAGACTTGATAGCTGGAAAGAAGTTGATTGCATGCGAGAACAAAAGCAATCCAACTCCAGGTGTCGAGATGTCAATCACTTTGTACGATCCAGAAAAGATTGAAAAGGACGTTACCTACTCCATAAATCGAGAACTCGTTGAAAATGGATGGGCCATTGTCAACAAAAAACTCAAGGGTTTTGAAGTTGCAATGAAAGACGAATGGAAAACCTTGATCAAATTGGAACAACAAGCCAAGTTGGACAGAAAGGGCTGCTGGGAATTTGGTGACATCGAAGGAGACGAAGAATGAGCAGCACCTGCTGCTTCTGCTGCTCCTTCTGGGTTGTTTTCTTTGCATGTTTTCTGGTTTACATAGCTTCTCTTTCTCATTTCATAACTCACACTAAATATACGCATTAAAAGCTCTTTCTCCTCCACAAAACCACCACCGATCTGGGGAACTGCAGCGATTCCGTTTCAAACAGGGGTCTGTCGCAGTGAAACCGGATCTCTGTGCACCCAGTGCGGCAGGACGTTCCGCGCAGAGAGGTCTGTTCAGCGTTACCCAATTCATCAAAATTTTCAGCGAGTTATATTCCAAACAATTTTCCAAGAAGTGTTTGAAAGTGTTAGCAGGAACTGCTGGTTAATGAGTTGGAAGAGTTATTCAAGAGCTGTTATTTTATGACATCTGGTTTTGTTTTCTGCTGTAATTCTGTGATTTTCTCTAAAGATATTAACATTGGGTCTTTTTTTAAACTTTTTATCGTCGTTTCGCTTCAGCCAACTACTACACAGTATTCTTAAACAAATATTTACCATTTTGAATGAATCGAGAAAATTTAGTTATAGACTTATCACCACAGATATCGGCCAACCACTTTGATTCGAATTCGCATTCCAGAAATGTCACACATCAAAATCACAAAGATAGTACCAACAATGATATAGAAAACTCTTCTCCGATATGGATGTGCGTGGTAGCTGGTGCATTTGGTGGTTTAACTGGTGATACCTCGATGCATTCGCTAGATACAGTCAAGACTCGTCAACAGGGAGCACCCAACATTTTGAAATACAGAAATATGTTCACTGCCTACAAAACAATATTTCTAGAAGAAGGTGTTTCAAGAGGTTTGTATTCTGGTTATTCTGCTGCCTTTCTCGGTTCGCTTCCTTCAAGCGCTATCTTTTTTGGCACTTATGAATTAACAAAAAGATATCTTGTAAATGATTTGAATACAAATCCTACTATTGCTCATTTATCCGGAGGCTTTATAGCCGATCTTGCCACCAGTTTTATCTATGTTCCATCAGAAGTCATTAAAACACGATTGCAATTACAAGGCCAATTCAACAATAAGTTTTTCTATAGCGGTTACAATTACAATGGAATTACTGATGCAATCAAATCAATTTATCACAAAGAAGGTTGGAAAACTTTTTTCCATGGATTTAAAGCTACATTGTGTCGCGATCTACCATTCAGTGCTTTTCAATTTGCATTTTATGAAAAATTCAGAGAATTCTCGTTTGATTACTTAAATTCAAAATCAAAGAAAGAAAATCAGAAAATTAAAAACGATAATACTGACTTGGAAGTGAAAAAACTACCTATAGCCTTTGAATTCTTGACTGGTGCTGCTGCAGGTGGTTTGGCTGGTGTTTTAACCACTCCATTAGATGTCTTTAAAACTCGTTTGCAAACTCAAAATCCAAATTTATTAAATCACATTCCTTCACATCCAGTTATTTCTAAAACATTGCCAATTAACTCATCAACAAATTCTGCTTCCAATGTAAATTTATCAAAGAAAATACTAGAAAAAAATATTCATACAATACCTCCATCAACTCCTCCAAAAAATCAAACTGTGATATTAAATACATCTTCAATTCTAAAAGGTTTATATATTGTTTATAAAACCGAGGGTGTAATAGGGCTTTTTGCAGGAGTTGGTCCAAGATTTGTGTGGACCAGTGTACAGAGTTCCATTATGTTATTCTTATATCAATTAACCTTAAGTAAATTAAACAGTCTTATATGATATGATGCTTATATCGACTAGGTATCTTTTGTTAACATATTCTTCTCCGTCGTTCCATTTGTTTTTTTTCTATTTTTTTGGTATTTTATTTTTTTAGTATTGTTTTTATTCTTAATCCTCTTAAATTTTTGTTATGGTTTTCAATTATTATTTTTTTCATATTTTTATTTTCTGTTGATTCATGAGGGAATTAATTTTTAATTTTTTATCAATTCTTTTGTTTTAGTTCATTCTGTATATATACACATAATTATTTCAGAACTTTATAAAGTACTGCATTGGATTATTATATTTTTCATTATATCTTATATCTTATATCTTATATCTTATATCTTATATCTTATTTTTTTTTTATCTTTATGATTAAGAATTAATAGAAAAATAAAAAAAAGATAATAAACATAAATATTTTGACTTTATTATAATATACTATATAATATTATTAAACGAAAATGTAAAACCAGATAAAATAAAATAAAATGAAATAAAATGAAACAAATATGAAATTAAAAATTTCTTTTAATAATACACGATTAAACAGCTGGAAATCGAGTGTTTGTTGAAGTTTCATTCATATAACTGTCAAGTTCAGCATCTAAACCACTAGTGTCTTTTGTAACTTGATTGAGGTTATCGTTCCCATTTAATGCATCTGGATTAGGTTCTGTTTGATTCCTTTCACCATTCATATAATTTGATAACTCGTCATCTAAATCTTCCAATGTTTTCCTATTTTCTGCTGGTCTTCTTTTATTCTCATTAAATCTACCTCTTGGACCACGAGGACGACCACGAGAACGAAATGAAGCTGGTTGTCGTGGTACTGGAGAACTTAAACGATCTTTTAATGGAACACCATTTTGAACACTTATAATTTGACCAGCAGCTTTTTTGCCATCGTATTTTTCAATCGCCAAATTATTAAAGGATGGATCAGTGAAACAAACATAAGCGACACCAGTTGAACCACCACTGGTATTATATTGAATTCTTGTGAACTTTACTGGGGCAATTCTTTCAAAAAGCTCAGTCAAATCTTTTTGAGTCAAATCATAATGCAAATTTTTCACTTTAAGATAAGGAGTTCTTTCACTTAATGACTCCAATTCTGATGGTCTTATTTCTTCAATTGGTGATGCAGAAACTCTTGGTCGAGATCGTGGTCTTGATCTTGATCTTGGTCTAGGCCTTGGTGATCTCGAATTAAACCCTCTAGGATTTTTGCTCACACCTCTTCTGTTATGAGAAGAGCCTTTATTTCTTCTTCTATCTTGCTATGATAATTGAAAAAATTGGTTATTATTTGGTTTGATGATTTTGATGACGCCAGAGCTGGAAAAAAACTGTTTTATTTGTTGTGGAAAGTGTGATGAATCGAACATACATGTTTCTCGCCAATTATTTCATCCAAAGTCTTTTCTAATATGGAACTGTTTGACATTTTAAGATGAGTGCTGATAAATGCAAAAACATTGGTACTCCAAGTGATTTCAACTGCTCGGTTCGTTGTGCAATTTCCAAAGGGTGTTGAGAAGCAACTACAAAAAGGTCACCCTGCGGCTGTTAAAGTGCGCAGCAAAAGCGGAGCTAAGTTGCGACACTTAAAGTAGCGTTTGTTTGATAAATTATATTCCATTGAAAACAGAAAGGAAAACATAAGTCTAGATAAAACAATAAATGACTGAATAACTAAATATATATAAAAATATAAAAAAAAATAAGAAAAATAATTTGACTATCGCAGTCCTAAAGATCAATTGCCACTGGGTCTCTTTTCATCTAGTTTTCTAGTGTTGCTAAATTCTGGATTGGCCAATTCTTCGTATGGTGGAGGAGCAAACTCAGGATGTTCTGGCTCTTCATCTAACTGGTGGTTTCCTTGTGGTTGAATAGCTGGGGCCACTGACAGTGGTTGAGCTATATTTGATTTCTTTTCTGTTTGGTCTTGAATAGAAGAATAACCAGCTTTTTCATTAGGATAATAATTGGCCTTTTCATTGGGATATTCTGGTTTCTTAGGCTCGGCTGATTTATTAGAAGTGGGTACACCAAAAGCTCCTGGGAAAGCTCCTGGAACAGAGCCCAAGGTAGGACTAGAAGAAGTTTGTGGAATTGGTGTAGAAGCAGGGGAAACAGGGGTAAGGGCTGGAGCTGTCGTTGGTGATGGAATTGGAGAGGGAACTTCAGCAGAGACCTGTGGTTGCGCAACTGCAGTTGATTTTTCTGGTGATGTGATTTTAGCGGGAATAGGTGGTGTGTCAACAGATTGAGTGGGTGGAGGTGGAGCCGGTTTCTTGTGATAATAGTTTATGGGAATTGAGGTTGAAACAGCAGGAACAGATTGAGGAGCTGAAACGGGTTGTGGAGCAGGAACAGATTCTTTATTCAAGCTAGTAACTGGATTAGAATCAGAATTAGAATTAGAATTAGAATAAGATGCAGGGTTTGGAGTGGCTGTTTCTGGAATGGGTTCTGATGCAGGAACCGGTTTGGGGACATCGGTTGTGACTGTTGGCTCATAAGGAGTAGTTTTTGTTGGTACTTGTTGTTGTTTAGAAACAGGAGCTGGGATAGCAGCCGAAACAGAGGCTGAGGTAGAAGGCAAGGTTGGGGCATCGGCTTTGGCAGCAGTTGGGACAGCCTCTTTTTGTTGAGGAGATAAAGATGAAGAAGATGTTGCTGTTGGTGGTGGAGATGTTACTACTGGGGTAGTTGAAGTTTGTTGAGAAGTAGGTGGTATTGATGGTGGTGGGGTGGAATGAGAACTTGAGTTGTCAAAAGAATCAGGTCTTGGTGGTAATTTTGGTGGTTGTTGAGAAGTTTTTGAAGGTTGTTGAGATTCAGTCGAGGAAGAGCCGTAGTAGGCATCATTGGAACCCTTTTTAAATTTGTGTCTTACAAAATCACCAAATTCAGAATAAGCCTGGGAGAATTTGACTTCTTCATTTGGTCTAATTGAAGGATCAGTTTGAGAGATACTGAGGAATGAATTGATATCTTTTCTAGTTCTTGGATTGTAAACGTTTTGGATGACAGGAATGTTTTGGACCAATAAATCCAATGAAAGAATAGTGGATTTATTTTCTGGGGTGAAATCAGCAAAGACTTGAAGATCGTGGTACTTTGTGATATTGCTCGTTTTCAAAGTTTCATAAAGAGAACCAGGGATCAATTTTGATTTGTAGGTATCCTCGGGAATAGTTAATTGATAAGCATAGGTATCAGGGGTTGAAGAATTGATTTGTTGAGCTTGAGATAGATCTAAAAGAATTGGATCGTTGAGTTGAATTAAAGTTGTTGCTTCTAAATATTCAGCTTTTATAGATTCAGCTCTAATATCAGTTTTTGAATTTAAATTGAGTTTCAAGCTTTTTAGATAGATTTTATCAGAACCAGCGGACTGTTTTAAATCCTGTGGACTCTTTTTAGAAGTGATAACAAATACACCTGGAAAGGATTCGTCGACGACCAAGTAGGGGAGATTCTTTGGGAATTTGAGCTCAAAAGTAAAGGGAATTTCATATTGAGGTGTTGATGAGACTTCTAAGGATGAAGCAGACTCGATTGGAGAAGATGGGGACTTGATGTCAATGATTCCATCTTTTGCAACAGAAAATGGGTTTGTAGCTGTATTGACACCATCGATTACCAAAGAGCTTGATGGAATGAAGATAAATTTCTCATCAACTCTGCCATTGGCTTTAAAGTGACTTGCTCTAGCAACAGTGACCTTGACAAAATATTCAATGGAAATATCGGTTGTTTGGGTGTTTTCTAGCTCAGCATCAGAAGTGTTTCTTGTTTCAATAAGAGTAGGGGGAAGAGCAAGACTGTCGGTGTTCTCAGGGATTCTGAATTGAAAAGGATATTCGTACTTACCTTGCTTGATGGTTGATACACTCTTTGAGGTTTTTGTTGACTGCTTTTTGGAAGAGCCTTTGGAGCCCAAGCCAAAAAAGCCCCTGGAGGCAGGAGGATAGACTTCCAAGGTCTCGTACAAAAACCTGTAGTCCTCAGTGTCTTCGGTCTTGATATTCTTTTGCTTCTTCCTGTCGTAATTGACGTTTTTGATGTGGGTGGTGGAGACACCTTGCAATTTAACACTGATGTTGCTGACCTCTATGTCCTTGTGGACCTGCAAGAGAACAGAACCAGAGACAATGTCAGTGTTGGTGAAGATGCCATCGGTTTCGGTTGGCTTGTGGAGAGCAACAGATAAGTCGTAAGAATAGCCCATTGCGAAGTGTTGGAGAAGGAATTGTGTCTGTAGAAGAGCTAGGTACAGAGATTGCAAGAGAAAGAGAGAGGAGGAAAGAAGCAATGAGGGAGGTTTTATAGTCTTGCTCTTTGCTTGTCCAAGCCCCTGACTGCGATCAGCCTGGTTGGGGGTAAATGTGCTTTGGTTTGCTGTGTGTTTGAAATGGGCCTGGAATGAGCTGGGCCTGGACTGCTGCTGCTTCTGCTTCTGCCTCTGCTTCTTCAGAGCATTGGCCTGTTTCTGGGGCATTTCGTGCTGCTCCAGAGTCTGGACCTATTCCAGCTCCCAAGCTCTTTCAGATCTACTCAAGCTTGCGCAACAAGCTTTAGGGCGATGTGCAGCTGTTATTTTACTACAGTCGAGTGCCCCCAACACAGCAAAAGCAGCAGCAGCAGCAGAACCACCCAGACTGGCGTTGGAGATGGTCACCAGAAACACTGCTTGTTCTCGTCCTCAGTACAACTGTTTCAGCAGAGTCAGAGTAGCCACCACCCTCCCCCAGATTCGCCAACAAAACAGTCTGGAGAGCTTCCCAATTTCAAGTGTGACATGCTCAACAAACTGCTCTGTTTCATCAAGTTGTGGGCATTTCATTTGACTGTTTTCCTACAGCAGATCTCAGATCAGTTTTCATTGATCTAGACAAACCTAAGAGAGCATTGGTGATCTGTAAAAGTGTAGTCTTGGTCCACATTTCGCACAGAATGGTATCACTCAAACTGGCTCTATTTGATCTCATCCCCCAAACTCAAATCAAAATTGACATTTTCTTGGATTCTTCAATAGGGAGCTGTCAACTAACTATTTATAAGATATAAAATATAAGATATAAGCAACACCAAGTTTACTACGTGTTTACTGTCATCTTTACGGCTGTGCTGAATTAAAGCTTATCAGTCTTTCTTTGTATTTCAATCATTTATTTCATCGTTATAAAAGCATGTTCATAATTCCACCAACATTGCAATAACTGTAAATATATCTTATATTCTACTATATTAGACAGACCATATCTTTCTTCCATACACCTTTCTCTTTGAATCTTGATTATTCTTGATTATTTTCCCTCATTCCTCGGGTTTATTCAACTTAAAATCATCATCGCAGATAACCATAGACCAAACAAGATTTCAAAATGTTTGGTTCCAAAGATTTGACAATCACTCTCGATAAGATCTCAAATTCTGATGGTGCTCATTATACAAATTATGATCTTATAACTGGCGAACTCTCCTTCAAAACTTTCAAACAAATCTCTGTTAAATCCATTATAGTCTCCTTGAAAGGAAACTCATACACTTCAGTAACTGAAAGAACATACGATCAAGAAAAAAACCAATACACTTCCAGAATTATATCTGAAAAACACAACTTCTTAATCATAAACCAACAAGTTTTCCCTCCTCCTGAAATATTAGCTGTTTCAACTTCCAAAAAACACTCCATTATGCCAGGAAACCATGTTTTTGCTTTCCAAATTCAAATTCCCCTAAACTCAAACAATCCATTCTGTGGTGAAAAACGTCGTAAAACTGAAGAAAGACAACACCAAATGCAATCTTATATGGAAGATAACCTTTGTAACGCAAATTCTAATCCTTTCACTTACAACCATTATTCCGATGGCTTCAATGTCTCATGGGGCAATTCTGTAGATCATTACCATGATTTTTTATTGCCCAGCAGTTTCCATGATAGTCTCTCCTGTTCTGATGGTCCAGTCACTGCATATGTTGAATATCACATAAAAGGCATTGTCAAAAAGGCAAGATTCTTCTCTATCAACGCAAGAGCAAAAGAACCCTTTGACTTCTTAGCTTTACCAGACGTTTCCTTGATAGATCAATATCAAACAACCTCACATGAAATCATTAGAAACTCTCAATTTAATCTAAAAAGAGAAATACTTCCCTTTGAAGAGTTCCAGCAAGAAAAATCTCTGGAAATACTTATTCAAAATGAAAAGGAAAAGGAAAAGGAAAAGGAAAAGGAAAAGGAAAAGGAAAAGGAAAAGGGGAAAAAAAATAAATTTTCAAGCATCTTTCGTGATATCTTTCTGCCTTTCAATTCTATTCGAAAGAACTACTTCTACATCCCTCTTGCTTTACAAGCAAAATGTAAAGTTCCCACATTGCTTAACAGAGGCCAAAAATTCCCAATTACTTTATCTGTAACTTCTAATCTAGATCCAGATACTTTTATTAAAAATGGCTTTGGAAATATTTACATCAAAAAGTTAAACATTCAATTACTATGTCATACATATATAAGAGCAGAGCTCAAAACAGTCTCTCCAATTAGCTATATTACTATATTTGATGCTTCAAATCATATGAAAATAGATCTAACAAAATTAGAAAGACCATTTGGAAAAAACTATTATGAATATATGATTCCTGGAGAATATTACGATTTTACTGTTCCCAAATATCTAGTAGCTTCTCTTCAATCTTGTAATGTTGTAAAAAAATATGAAATTTTAATTACTGCTACTTTTTTCAATTACTTGAGAGGCGAAGAAGAAGTAGAATCAGTCTCAGATTCTTCAGAAGCTAAAGTCAGCATTGACGTTCAAGTTATTAACGATGTTGTTCCTGGAATAGTTTTAAATCAAAAATGTAATGGAAATCATCAACAGCAACCTCAAGATCTTCAAGTTGATAATACTCTTCCATCATACAATCAATCAATTGAGAGTTCTTCAGCTGCAATTTAATCCCTATTTGTAAAATTCGTTTATCTGCTGTTGCTTTTTTTTGTTTTTATTTTAATAATTGTTTCATTATTCTGTTTCTTATTGTAATACACAAATCAAAATCCTTAATTTAATCAAGCATAAAAGCTTAAAACCGCTTAGTGAACTGAAAATTAGCCAAAAGTTTACTCATTCAACTCAACAACTTATTTGTTTATGATTTTAAAAATCTGTTAATACTGAAGCAGAAAACAAAGGCTGATTGGTCAACACAAAAAACGTCAACGGTTTTTCCGAACTATTGTTATTTATCCGTGTGAGGTATAAAAGCTGGCTGCAAATTAAACTAGCAATTACTTTGCTGCTTCGATTTTTACTCTCTAACACTTCTGGAATATAGACATAATTGGCGAAATCAGAATGTTCTCTTCAGATAAAAAACCAAAGGTATTGAACGTTGGAATTATTGGAACCGGTGTAAGTGAAATTAATACCAAGTATAAGCCTAAGTGGTAAATATAAATCAGCAACAAGTTCAGCAAAAACTAACAAAAAAAACAACAGATTTTTGCCACAGAAACTCATTTGCCAACAGTCAAATCAATACCAACATTAAAAGTGGTTGCTTGTTTCAATCGTACAAAGAAAAAAGCTGAGGAGTTTGCTAAGAAAGCTAATATTGATCCCAAAAATGTTCACAACTCTATTGACGAGCTTTTTGCAAATCCAGAGGTTGATATTATTGATGCTTTATTACCAGTTGAATGCAATCTATCCATTGTCGAAAAAGCAATCCAGTATAATAAACCATTATGTTTTGAAAAGCCAATTGCAAATAATTTAGAAAGTGCTGAAAAAATTGTTGAGTTGTGTAAAAATTCTAAAATGCCAATTTTAGTTTTAGAAAATTTTATTTACCATAAAGCTGTTGAAATAGTTAAGAAAAATTTAAAAAAGATTGGTGATCTTATTGCATTTACCTACAATTCAACTGGCCCATTCAATGAAGATAATAAATACTTGAATACATCATGGAGGCAACATCCAAATCATATTGGTGGGTTTTTAAGTGATGGTGGTGTTCATCAACTAGCTTATCTTACTGAAATCCTAGGACAAATTGAATCAATATCCGCACATACAAAACAAGTTAGAAAAGAATCAGGCACTGATGATATTTTGTTTTCTTCTCTCAAATTGAAAAATAATGATGTTATTGGCACATTTACTTATGGTTCAGCGTTTGGCGCTACATCAAAATCAACTTATTTAAAAGTCTATGGAACTAAAGGTACATTATTTTTCGATTTCTCGCCTAAAAATGAACTCCCAATAATCAAATTGAAATTAGGAGAATATGTTAAAGATTACAAAAAAGAAGAAATCATCGAGATTAATAATAAAGAAGATCGCTCCGGGGTCAAAAGTGAGTTTTTGAATTTTTATGAAAGTGTTATAAATAATGATAAATCATTGCTTAAAAGTACCCCGGAAAAGACTTTCCATCATTTGGCAGTAATTGATGCTGCTTTGAAAAGCAGTGCTGCTGATGGTGCTTCAGTTAAAGTCGAATGTCTTGCTTGAAGTACGGAAATATATAATCTTGAATTTTCATATTTTATTTTTTTTTTCATTTTCTAAAATACCCTTTTAGTATATTTTGCATACTGTTTGCAAATCTTCATTATGTGGTTATCAACTGAATAGTACCTGTATTTGTATGATGTAGATTTTATGGCAAAAGACAGCTGCAGATCCAGTAACTGAACCAATGAAAAGCCAATATAACTAAAACAAAAACAAAACACAGCAATTCACCCCAACAAATGCCAGCCGTTTATCGCATCTGACCTAAAAACCATGACAAATATTATTATCATGTTAAAGAATACTGAATATTATTTAAGTATTTGATTAAATAGTTCGCCGTAGTAGGATCAAAACTGTCACCTCTTTCTTAGTCAGGCTGATTTGAGACTTTTTTTTTCGTTGGCAGCAAGACTCATTTATTTCCCCAAACAGCAAGTCTCTGAATCATCTTCCAGATTTGGACATGACTCGATATGATTACCCAAAGCGGTGCGCAATGATTGGCCAACACTCTTTTTCAGTCGTTTGTTGGTGCTCCAATTTTTATTTCTTTTCAAGCTCTTTTATGAATTTTTCTCTCAAAGCTCTTGGTTGTGGTTATATTATCTTGCAGGTCTGGACTTGGCTCGGTTTTAACTCGAGTTTAAAGTTAGCAGCACTCAGAAATTAGCCTTAGTATTTTTCACCTAAATTCATATTCATATTGAAAGTTTTTTCATCTCAACATCAACATAATATAAATACAATGGAGAGTTCCTTTTTTTCCAGAATAATATAAGTCTTTTTTTCTATTGTACCCTTTTTTGTTTGCTGATCTCTTTCAAGAACTTGATATTATCAATCATCTCTTACAAATGTCGTCGCAACCTCTTGGAGCCACAAGGTCTTCTGATTCAATCAAACAGAAAAACTCCAAGGATCAAGAAAATGATAAAAACTTTCTATATGATGAAGAAGCCAATACCTCAATACAAACACCTGAAGATTCAAAAATTTTAGACAAAATTTACAGAAAATTAGACATCAGAATCATTCCTGCGTTATGGTGTCTTTACTTCTTGACTTCTTTTGGTTCTTCTGCTTATGGTAACTCATTAACAATGAATGCTGAAGCTGGCCATTCAACAAAATTGGCATTAAATTTATCAGCTCAAGACACATCCACAGCATCCGCTCTATATTATGTTGCTTATATTATCTTTGATGTCCCAATGAATTTAGCCATGACAAAATTGCCTCCTCAAGCTTGGTTGGCTCGTATTGTTATATCCCTTGGTTTAGTTTATGCGTGTTTTGCAGCTATAGAAAATTCTGGTGGTTTAATTGCTTGTAGGTTCTTAACTGGTATCTGTAACGCAGGTACATGGCCAGGTTTAACCTATTATGTTTCCTTATGGTATCCAGCTAAAAGAACAACAAGAAGAATTGGTTTCTATTTCACCGCTGCTCAGATTTCTGCTTCCGCTGCTGGTCTAGTTGCAGCAGGCTTCCAAAAAATGGATATGATGAGGGGTTTATATGGTTGGCAATGGATGTTTTTGGTCTATGGATGTTTAACTGTATTTGTTGGCATTACTTTGATCTGGTGGTTACCTGATAGACCAGTTGAATTAAAAAAAAATGAAAAAAAATCTATTTTTAAACATTTTTTGCCTAAAAACAAAAAGCCTTTAACTCTTGAACAAAGAGTTCTTCATTTAAAGGACATGCAAGAAAGATATAGCAAACCACTTGAGTGGGGTCTTAAAGATATTGTTACCATTATTTGCGATGTTGAAATTTGGCCTTTGATTATCATGTATTTCGGTGTTGTTGGTACTGGTTTTGGTCTTGCTGTTTTCGGTACAACTATCATTAAAGCTACCAATCCCTCCCTCTCTTCTATTAATGTTTCTCTATTATATGCTCCAATTTGGTTATTTGATCTCTCTGCCATTTTATTAATTACACCATTATCTGATAAATTCAAAAATTATAGACCATTTATCTTTTCTTGCTCTACTTCTGTTATCATGTGTGGTTTATTTGTCATGACTTATTCTCCAGATAAATGGAGTAAATACGGTGGTTTACTTATTTGTGGTTTTGGTCTTGGTCCAACTGTTCCAACTTGTATGTCAATGGCTGCTGATATTTTTGGTAGAAAATATGGTGATGTTGGTACTGCTGTTAGTGCTGCTTTAGTTTCTGGTTTAGGTAATTTGGGTTCTGTTGTCGGTACTTATGCTTTATACTCAGGTTGGCCAGAAGATATTCCAAGATTATTTCAATACAGTAATATGATTTTAGTTTTGATTTGTGGATGCAGTATTATTGCTGCTGCCGTATCTGCAGGCTTGACCAGATATTTAGAAAATAAAAAAAAAAGTTCAAGCTAAAATCATAATATTTTTATCTTTTTATCTTTTTATTTTTTTTATTTTCTTATTCTCTTGTTTTTTTGGTGTTTTTAAAATTCAAATTTAAATTCAAATTCTTTTAATATCTTTTTATGAATTCTTGGCTTAATAAAAAATTTAATTTAATGACAATTTTAAATCGTTTTAATGTATAAAATACAATAAACATAAAAATGCATATAAACATAAGTATTCAACGTAATCTTTAAAATGAATCGTAAACTTTTAAAAATATATTTATTTTTTTTTTTTTTTTTGCCGCTTTTAATCAACACGACAAATATTGTATTAAATTCCTATAAGAAATATTATTTTTTTTTTCATTATAAATAATAAACTATTTATGATATAAATCATAAACATACTCAGCAATACCCATTGAAGAAGTTAGTCCGGGACTTTCAATGCCTAATAAATTAACAAAACCCGGAAAATCATCCTCTTTTTTTATAACAAAGTCCTGAAATTTCCCCTTTGTATTTGGATCATTAGGATCATTTAATTTTGGTCTTATTCCACTGTAGGCCGCGGTTAAATCCTCAATCATTATATTAGGGAAATATTTTATAATTTCATTAAATGCGGTTTCAATGTTTTTATCATTTACATTATAATTAGTTGGGTTCTCAATCCATTCAATATCTGGACCAAATTTTATTTTTCCTCCCAAGTCAATTGTCAAATGAGTACCTAAAGATGACAAACCTGCATTTGGTACTGGATAAACCAATCTTGAAACCTTTGGAAAATTTCTATTGAATGAAAAATAATTTCCCTTAGCATAATAGGCCTTTAAATGCCTTGACTCAGGTAGTAATAAATTAGATATTTCGACTGCATTCAAACCAGCAGAATTTATCAAATTTTCTGAAGAAATTTGAGTGATTTGAGATGAACTTGAATCCGAATATTCAGTTGAGTCAACAGTGATTTTATATTCATTGCCTTCAAATGACAAACCAATCACTTTTCCATGTACTGCTAAATCTCCACTATTGTTCTCAAATTTTCCAAGAAGATAATTCATCAATGAATCAGCATTTATAATACCGGTAGAAGGGGAGTTTAAAACCGATCTGTTGGCGTTAATAGATGGTTCCATCATTTTTGTTTGCCATAATGGGACAAACTGGGTTTCAACATTCAACTCTTTTGCTTTAAGATGCAAATTTTCTAAATATGAATCTTCCTTATCAGTTTGAGCAACAATCCATTTCCCACATTTATCCATTTCAACGCCATTCTTCAATGCCTCAGAATAAATCAAATCTTTACCACGAATACATAATTTTGACTTCAATGAATCAATTGGATAATATATTCCAGAGTGGATCACCTCAGAATTTCTCGATGAGGTCTCCTGTCCAATTTTTGAGTTCTTTTCAACAACCAAAACAGAGTTGGAAGGGTTTTCAGATAACTTGGAAGCAACTGCTAGACCAACTGCTCCACCACCAACCACGACATGAGAATAATCTGCCTGCAAAGTAGCAGTGGTTGAAAAGAAGCTCTGGAAAACCGAAAAAAGAGAAGCCGACTTGGAAGTTAGAGTTTTTAAGATCCTTGATCTTCTATAAGCTAACATCAGTCTGGGAAATTGTGCACAGCCAAAAGCAAAGCATCACTTTTCTTATACTCTTTCATGTTGAGATATCAGGTCCAATTCATTGGTGAATCTGCTGATCTTGGGCTGGGGCGGATTCGAGTTTCCGCTGTTTTTTTCCGCTGTTCTTTCCATGGATTTTTCTTCATGAAACAGAATTTGATGATAACGGGTTTGAGATCAGCAACTCAACTTCACAAACAACAGCTGAAGAAATGTCACAGAAAACCGACCCAGTGCTAAAACAGAGGAGTCTGGTGGTTAAGAATGACTCAATTAGTCCATTGGATGCTTCCGAGAAAAAAGTCCCACAAGACCAGTCTAAACCAGAGGTCAAAAAAGCCAAAGTAACAAGCGAAGAAGCAAAATATCAAAAAGAACAGCAGGAAATTATAAATAACTCATTACCACCTCCAATTGTACTACAATACCTCATAACTTTAAGAATAATCAATGCTTTTACCATAAACACTTTTTTCCAGCCTGACGAATACTTTCAATCATTAGAACCTGCTCACTTTTTTGTCTATGGATACGGTGAGTTGACATGGGAATGGTTGACTGAGCTTAGAAACTTCAATTATCCATTTATTTATTCATTATTGTATCAGCTATCAGAGTTTTTTGATTTGGGCTATACTGGTGTCTATATACTACCAAAACTATTCAATGGCATCATTGCAGGAATAAGTGACTATTGTTTATATTATTTAGCCAGAAACTTGAACCTCTTTCCAAACAGCGCAGCCAAAAATGAGGTTTTTGCAAGATATGTTTTAGCTGCCTCTGTATTGTCTTCTTTTAATTGGTTCTTGATTACAAGGAGTTTTTCAAATAGCTTTGAAATGATTTTGACAACAGTTGCTTTAAGTTATTGGCCATTTTCAACTCGTTTGAATAGTTTGGATCCTAAAAATGAAAAAAGCACTTTAAAACTAATAGTGAAATCGTTGAGTATTGCGTCGGTTGCTTGTATAATTAGACCAACAAATGCTATAATTTGGTTAATAATTGGTATAGATTTTTTGGTTTCAAAAAAGAATTCAAAGAATTTTAAAATTAATGTCATAATATACTCATTAATCATTGGTGTGGTGATAAATTTAATTAATTTATTAATTGATTACTATTATTATGGAAAATTGACTTTTCCTTTGAAAAACTTTATCAAATTTAATTTAATCAATTCATATTCAGATTTTTATGGCATAAATTCCATTAGTTTTCATTTTTTACAAAGTTTACCGTTTATTTTGACAACTTATCTTCCTTTTTTTATATTTTCTGTTTTCAAATTTCCAGCTGAAAAAAGAAAATTATTTAATATTATCATTATTTCAAATTTGGGGTTTTTCTCACTAATTACACATAAAGAATTCAGGTTTATTTATCAATTGATGCCTTTTTTAATTATCTATTCGTCATATGGTATCTATCAATTTTCCAATATTCCTAATACGAATAATGGAATTTTAGTTAAAATGTTTAAAAAATATTTTTTTCATTTAATTGTTATAATAAATCTCGCAATCAGTTTATTTTTAACACAAATTCATGAAAGAGGAGTCATTGATTTGGTGGTAAGTCTTAGAGACGACCCAGATGTTGAATCTATTGGACTTTTAACGCCATGTCATTCAACACCTTTACAATCACTTTTACATAATAAAGATTTATCAAAAAAGAACCACATTTGGTATTTGACATGTGAGCCACCTTCATTAAATAATGAGTCTGGAGATAAAATTGATATTAAAGATTATAAAGATGAATCAGATATATTTTATGAAAATCCATTTGCCTTTTTAACCCAAAATCTTCCACCTGTTTTTAATAAAAATCTAAGAACTCCAGGAAAATATTTTAAATATGAGTGGCCAACACATTTAATTTTTTTTGAAAGTTTAGAAAAGGAAATGAAAGAATATTTAAAAGATAGTAAGTATGAAGAATGCGATAGATTTTTCAATACATGGTTTCATTGGGATAGTAGAAGGCAAGGTGATATAATAGTTTACTGTAAATGGCCATGGGATTGAAAATAGAAGAAATGAATGAATGAAAGAAAGAAAAAAAAAAGGAGGGGGAAATAATAATATTTATAAATTGAAAGAATATAAATTTATATTATACATATATACATTAAAAGTCTTATTAATTTAAATGGAATATTAATTCATTTGAATTAATATCAATTTTTGATAAAGAGTTAGATCTTGATTTTAAAAAATTTTTAAATAATTCTTTGTTATTGAATTTATTCAAAATATTCAGTTTCAAAGAGTCATAAGTTGATCTTGCTTCAGTGTAATCATTTAATAGAATATAACAATCAAATTTTCCAATTAAATAATTAATATCACTATCATTTAAGTCATAGCCTAATTTAAACCATTCTAGAGCTTTAATTGGGTTGTTGAAGTAATTTAATTCTAAAAAACCCAAATCTTTAAAAGATTCTTTAAAGGCTGATTGAGCAGAAATTTCTAGATGATATCTTGATAATTTTGGATTGGTCCTTGAATAAATCTGAGCTAGATAATAATGGGATTGAATCGAATTTGAGTTTGATGAATTGTAGGTATTTAAAGTTAATATCGACTGAGTGAAATATTGTTTAGCTAGTGAGAGATTTGGTTTTTGGAAATTTAGGATACCTAATTGCTTGTATGTTTCAGCAAGAGTATTGGTGATTGATGTATTAGCAAAGATTAAGTTAATTTTATTCAAGTTTTTATTTGGGTTTGATTTTGAGATGATATCTAAATAAGACAAGTAATAATGTTCAGCGTTTAAGTAATTTTTAAAATTAAAGGCCAAATCACCCAAGTTTTTAATTGTTAAAGGATGGTCAATGTTGTGTAGGGATTTGATTAAAGATTTGGCAGAATTTTTATCGTCAATATTTGAATTTTTATCTAGTAAAGTTTCAAAAGCGAGAATAGATATAGCGTTATTATCGTGTAATTCAGCAGCTGCTTCGAGCAATTCATTTTCCAAGTTGACCAAGTTTTTTATGATTAAATTGGACAGAATTCTGTAATTTTCTAGGATTCTTTTCATTATCATTAAATCCGAGCCATCGATATATTCTGGGATTTTTATAGGCGATTCATTTTGATTTTGATTTGAGATTGAGTTGTAGAATAGTTGATAAACGGGGATAATTTTTCTATAAGTGTGTCTACTATCTAAATCGAATAGTTGCCTTTTAATAAATTTTTTTTTTGGTAGTATTTGAGATAATTGTATATAATCGTCTTTTTTATTATTATTATTATTATTATTATTATTATTATTATTATTATTATTATTATTATTATTATTATTATTATTAGAAACAGAAGAAGAGTTTGATGTGGATATAAAAGATTTTAATTTTGACAATAAAGAAAGATTTCTTGATTGAATTATTGTGTTATTCAAAAACAATGATTTATTAAAGCTATTGAAGTTATTAGTAATACTGTATTTAATTAAATTATTTGGTAACATTTTTAAACCAAAAAATGAAGATGGATGAAGATGGATGAAGAATAGTATGAAGATGAAGAAGGAATTTTATTGGTCATTTTGAAAGATGAAAGATGAAAATAAACACGTGATCTAATTTAAATCTTATTATGATTATGATGATTATTATAGCTAATATATAATTTAAATTGATGTAATTAAGTTAATACTTATAAAGAGTTGTTGTTTTTCTTGATTTTTTTATTGTTTTTCCTGATTTTTTATTGATTTTGGTAGATTCCTTGGGGGAGTTGGATGAGGTATTTCAAGAAAGTAAGGAGATAGTAGGCACTGATCAGAATTGAATCTTGCAGAGGGATCTAGCTCAGTCATTTTGATGAGCAAAGTTAAAGCGTTTTCAGTTGCAGCTAAGAATCTTCTTCGTAACTCGTCTCTCGAAGGCTTTGGATAGATATTCAAATTTTTGTAAAGGGGCAAGGAAGAGACGTTAGGCCAATTGATCTCAGTTGGAGTTCCCAAAGCCTTGAAGGTGATATCGAGTTGGTCTAGGTCGTTTAAACCAGGCAAGTAGGGGGTTCTTAGCATTAGTTCAGCGAAGATAATGCCAATTGACCAGATATCGATCTTGTCGGTGTAATGGCAGGAGCCAAATAGCAATTCAGGAGCTCTGTACCATCTTGTAACGACGTTTGAAGTGAAGAGTTCGTTTGGATTAGCGCCAAAGGATCTCGCAAGACCAAAATCAGCGATTTTGAGAATGCCCAGGGGTGAGATTAACAAGTTGTTTGGTTTTAAATCTCTGTGGATGATGAAGTTTCGATGGCAGTGGTGGATGCCTCTGAGGGTCATGAGTAGCCATGATTTGATATCGGAGGGAGAGAAGATTAGATTTTTGTCCTTGATGAGCATTTCCAAGTCGTTGGGAAGGAACTCGAGAACGAGGTTTAGGTTTTCAAACTCGTAGTAGACATCGATGAGGTTGATGATGTTGACATGGTGCAACTCCTGTAAGTACTTCATCTCTCTGATGGCACTCATATCCAAGCCATCTTTGAACATGATGGTTTTGATCTCCTTGATGGCAACTCTTCTGTGGGAGGGCGAGTGCTGGCCGACATAGACCACAGCGTAGGTACCCTCGCCCACCCTGGTGTCCTTGATGTAGCTGGAAATAGTGTCTTTGCTGGAGGTTGTGTCGAGCATGGCGTGGCAGCAGAAGCACCAGAAGCACCAGAAGCACCACCAATATCAGCACGGTACCCCGTCGGCCTCGCGCCCCGCCGTGGCTCGAAGCGGCGCGAGCTCGAAGTGGGAAGGTTCCCTCTTTGGAGCTACTTTGTTTTGTTGCAGCTTCCTCTCCCTCCTCTGCTTCTGCTGCGTTTGCTGTCTGCCTGTTTTGCTGTTTCTGCCGTCTCTGCCGCTTCCTTTTGCCGAGCTCCTGCTTCCCTTTGTCATCCTCCCACAGCCTTCCAACCCCATCCTTGCCTTGCTGCTTATTCAGAAGGGGGATCATATTACTGCCATAACAATTCTGCTCTTGTCTCACTGCTGCTGAACAGATTCAATTGATTACTGCTTCTGCCTCTAATTTATCTTCCCGATTCAACATCCTCGTCCTTATCTTCATTCTCTTCTACTGCCTCTTCTTCTCCAGCTTTAACTTGACCAGTAATCTGAAAATTCAAATTCAAAATTCAAAAAAGATCTACACTTTTTAGTTCACTTTTTTTTCCCATTTTTTATTTCACAATCTCCAACTCTTTTCACTATTTAATTCTCAGTTCTTCATCAATCTCCATCAATCAATCTATCAACTCTATCCAATAATATCTAATTCTCACTATCTTCCAGACATCATCGCAAAGCTAAATCACATAAACATATAAACATAAACATATAAACATATAAACATACAAACTATAAGTTCCAGCTTACAAGTTCCATCACCATAAAATAAATTACTCATCAGTTATAGATAACTTACCATCCATAACTTACTATCTTTTTTATTTTTTTCTATTCCATCACACTTTCCATTCTTGTTTTTGGTCTTGTTTCTCTAACTTTCTCCATATTTTTTATTTTCTATTTTTTTTACCTTTTCTGTCTCTGTTTTTCCATTTTCTCTCAATCTCCAATTTATTTACAATAATTATAATTAATACATTTAATATAATTAATTAATCAACCATCCATCTCATTTATGTATGGACCAAAATGGATAAAGAAAATATAAACATAAATTCAATTCCAAATTCAAATTCAAATACAAATACAAGCCAAAACAAAAATAAAAATAAAAAATCCAAACCCAGATCTCAATTAAATAATTCAGCAAATCTCAATCACAATAATAATAATAATAATAATAATAATAATAATAATAATAATAATAATAATAATAATAATAATAATAATAACAATAATAATAACAATAATTCAAAACCTCAATCAAGAGCCCCTTCTTTGCAACCAATATCCCAATCTCAATCAAACTCTCATTCAAATTCCTATTCAAATTCCCATTACAAACAAGATAACAATAACGACGCCAAAGAAAAAAATAAAAGAAATGATAACCTCAAACAAATCGATACTTCAATTAACAACAACAAACTAATTCATCAAAATTATGATCAAATTAACTTAAGCGCCAATAAAAAACTATCCAATTTTGATTCAATCACTGTTAAATCAAATAACATTTCAATAGCCGCCGATGATTTTTCTAATAAAATTAACAAATCAAACAATAACAATAATAACAATAATAAAAACAACAACAATAATAACAAAAATAAAAAATCATCTAACAACAATAACGATGATGATAATACCACAATCGACAATGATGCTGAAGAAATTTATATTGCAACCTACTCTGGAATCGACGTCTATGAATCCCTAATCGATGGAATCCCTTTAATGAGAAGATGCACCGACGACTGGGTCAATGCTACCCAAATACTAAAAGTTGCCAAATTCCAAAAGGCTCAAAGAACAAGAATCTTAGAAAGAGAAATTCAAACTGGCAATCACGAAAAAATCCAAGGTGGCCATGGCAGATTCCAAGGCACTTGGGTTCCATTAACCATTGCAAAAAACCTAGCTAAAAATCACTCAATCGATAAAAATATCATAAATCTATTGAATTTTAAACTAAACCCTAAAAAACCCCCAATTAGAAAAAAACCTCAAAAAAATCATCACAATCACAACAACTACAACTCTCATTTCAATAACAACCTCTCCAATAATATCAACAATCATAATAATACTACCGACATTAATAATAATAATAATAATAATAGTAATAACAACAGCGCTTCTCCTGACATTTCTACCAATACCAATAATAATATCTCTAATTCCAATTCCAATTCCAATTCTAATTCCAATTCTAACACTAATATTACTAATAATAATAATAATAATAATAATAATAATAATAATAATAATAATAATAATAATAATAATAATAATAATAATAATAATAATAATAATAATAA